GGAGTTGGTTGGGGTCGCGGAGTTGGTTGGGGTCGCGGAGTTGGTTGGGGTCGCCGAGTTGGTTGGGTTCGCGGAGTTGGTTGGGGTCGTGGAGTTGGTTGGGGTCACGGAGTTGGTTGAGTGGTGCGAGTTGGTTGGAGTGTTTTGTTTTTTTTTGCCCTTATTAACATTACTCAAACTTATGAAAGTGCTGAGGTTATCAACTTCACCATCACCATGATGTTGAGCAAGAGCAGAACGTTAAATTTTTTATCCACCGCACGCTAGCATGAAGTGGAAAACCGTTTTGCCTCCCGAAATTTTCCACTGCGTTGAAGCAGCATGGTCCTCAACAACAGCAAGAAGTGTATGGCTTTGGATGTTGTACTTTTTCTTTCTATATCTTTATCTACTTTTTTTCCAATATCATCTCTGTCATGCAATTAACGCCAAGCACTGCATATCCATATGCATTGTTTTTGATCCTGATCGATCGCGCCACTGCTCGCTCGTTCGATGAAGATTACGTCTCGACTTTAGGAATCTAGAATCTGAAACAGGATTGTTGTAGTGCATCGACGTCATTCCGCTCATCAAGTATTTGCATAGTGCCCTCGTAATTCTATCAAAGAAATAAAGATGTTTCGCAGCTTCGTCGTCTCCTCTGCTCTTCTCGTTTCGTCTTCAGTGCAGCAGGTGCTCGCACAGGAAACAACATGGCCGGCGTGTATGGAACAAAACACGGTGATCAGAAATGCTGGCAAAGCACTCTTCACAAATGTCGCAGGTACGAGAGCTTTTCTTTGATGTGGTAAGACATGGAAACAAAAGCAGGCTGGCGCAGGCGGCCGCAGCAAAGCTCATATTCGTCTTTGTTGAATTCATCGCTGCCTCGTCGTCCACCCTTGAGACAAAAAATCAGGTTACGGCGCCGCAGCGGGTTGCTTCATTGACGACTGCATAAATACGGATAAGTTCGCGGTATCGACCCTGGAAAATTGCATTGCGGTCTGCAACAGCGTACCAGAATGCAACTGGTGGGTCTTCGGCGAGGAAGAGGGCATGCAGAAGTGCTGGTACTTGCTTCCACCGTGCTTTCCGTGAGTTCGAGGACGTTTTGGCGTTTTCTCTACAAAGATTTCGATCCACCTGATTGTGTGCATCGATCTTCGAAAAAGACTTTCGCAAAGGAGAGCTGCCACCGACACGACCTTCGAAAAAAAACATAAATGAAATGTAAATCTTGCTTCAAAAAAAATCAGGCTGCGTGTCGCCGACGACGGGCGCGAGGAGGGCGAGGGGTGGACATCCGGCGCAAAGTCGTGCCAGCCGGTCGACACGGAAAAACTAATCCTGGGGAACACGGAGTGCTGGATGGACGGGTTCGACTACGACACCTGCTGCGATCCGAAGTTCGGCCCAAACGGCAACACCCAGTGCTGGGACGGTATGTTCAACTTCAACCGGTGCTGCTTCCCGAGAATGGAATTGTAAGACATTCCTTTTCCTGCATGATCGGACGAGCTTAGTAATAATAATAAAACGGCGGTACTAGATGTTGAACGAGCTGCATGTACAACATGTACTTCGAGGGAGAACATCAAGAACTCTTTAGAAAGAATGCAAACGAGTAGAGGCGGCATTACCGTTTTCATGTTCTTATTCTTAAACTTCTACAAAAATGAATACTTCGGTATAGTAACTGCTAGTGCAAAAAATGTAGTCGCAGGATTTGACGCATTGCGTTTGAGTTTTCAGTTTCTGTTGGCCTTGTTCGCTTTTGAACATATAAAAAATGCACTCCATTATTGCGCCAGCAGCAGCATGTTGATGAATTTGCGCTTTTCGCGGTACCGTTAGGCTTTTTTCTGCCTCCCTTTTCGACGCTAGGTCCCGCCCTAGTACGATGAAAATTTGATATGAAAAACCTTTGTACCTGAGTTTTACTTCCTCGTGTCATCAGAACGAGCAATCGCAAAGCGCATGGAGAAAGAAATTGTAGTGGCGCGCGACCAGCGACAGCCCTGCAGCAATGTCGCACCTCCTCGTCCAAGCGAGATACAAGATCGCTTTTATTCCTATCGTGTTCGGAGCTAACTTATCTTCACATATATTCATTTTTCTCGCAGTGATGACGATGGCGATCTTACATCAAAAGGAAGCCCAAAAATTGTCCAAAACAGATTTCCTATTTGCATCATGACACGCACCAGTTCGCCTAGCCTGTTTAAGTTCTTTCACCGTGGTCGCCTTCATCGCATTTTTTCAGGCTAAACCAAAATGCAAATATCATGCTGCTCTTCGGGTTGCAAACAGCACGCTAAAGAGGCGCTTGGCCTACGCTTAGAAAGAAATTAGTTGGTTAGAAAGCCGATGGCGTTTCTAGAAGTAAGTATGAGTTGTACTAGTACATCTACCTCCCGCTGCAGTACTAGACTGCATCGAGTTAGTTGTTGATACAGACGGGTCCCATTCTGTTTTACAACGATATCGAATTCAAATATCTGAACACCACCACACCCACCTGTTCGGGAGGACTTCCTCATTCGTCTAACAACACAAAAAATTGAAATTAAGATAATCGGAAAATCAAAATGGTCGACCCGATCTGGTACTCCAAAACGCGAGAGGTCGTGAGCTATTGGAGCAAAGACGCCAGCCACGACTTGCTATTTCGCGACGAGATGGATTTCTTCCGAGAGTTTATCAGCGACGCACAAAAGCAGATTGAAAAGCGGGAAAAAGAGCCACCACGTGACTGTCTCCGCGTCGACAGTCCCGCTGACGCTAATAAAGTCAAATCGACGACATCGACAACTACTAGCAGTACCCATCCCACGACCGATGGCGCAGCCACGGTTGTACTAGCCGACCAGTCAGGGACTTCGACCATGTTGAAGCGGCCCTTACCATTATCTGAAAACGAAGTGGAGGACGTCGGCGAGACAAATAAACCCAGTAAGCGAAAGCGAAACAAGTGGGGCACCGAGTCCGTTTTCGTCGCCGACACGACAGCGCCGAAAGTAGAGTCCGCAGAAGATGCGACGACGAAGAGGTACTCGCACAATTACAGCTTGGACGGCCATTAGATTTCAGCAGAGTGAATTTCAAGTGATTTTAGGGGCCTGCCAGAATTTAGTGAGTGGCGCCGCAACATATTTCCTGCTGCAAGTATCGAAGCCCACCGATGGAAAAACCGTAGCAGCGTACATCTCAACAGGCTTCCGCTAGCGGCGGAAATTTTCTAGGAAAAAAGCACGGGCTGGGGAGCCATAATACGTAGCTGCATTTCCAACGCTCGAATCCTAGCCCGGCCAGTTGCAAACTAACTTCGCGCGCTTCGTGTTGTTTTCTGGGTGTTTTGGCTGGTTGGCCGGGCTTTGGTGTCTGGAGCTGGCCGACGCCTTTTGCTAAGGCAAGTTCCATTAATTTGATTTTTCGCGCGACCTTAAGATGCAATAGAATTTCGGTCGTTTCGTATTTGTGCGTGCATGCTCCAAAGGTTTGGCACTTTCTTGAGCAAATGCGACGGTCATTGTTCTGGATCAGATTTTTTGGGTCCGGTGAATTTAGAAATGAAGGGCAAGATGGGTGCTTGTTTTGTGGCGGCCGGGAATCCAGAATCAGGTGGGGGGAAGCTAAATTCACCGGCCACCATTTCCTAAATTCACCGGCCGCCCATTTCTAAATTCACCGCTAAACTCACCGATCGCAGCACACCATCGGGAAAGGGGGTGCTTTTAACCTGCTTTTTGGCGCCAAACAGCACGGCACTCCGCATCGATGATTTTTAGCAAAAAAGTCATCTTCGTCACACCATGGCGATTGATGTTTGAGTGGAAGCCTTTCCCGATGGAAGTGGGTGCTGTTTTTGTGCGATTTTTGTTGCCCAAAATTGGGACACGGAAGTTGAAGGGTTAAGAAGGAAAGGAGAAAATCATGAAGCCATCAAATGAATCCCTTTGCGAAAAAACAAGAAATCAGATGTGGTGGCTTGGGCGTTGCGCGGAGGGGGATGGCCATCAATGTAATGGAGCGATAATGACGAGCACAGTGATGCCATCGCCTCTATTTTTGCTAGCCCTTGCCCCACGAACCACTAATACCCGAAAGAGCAGCCCCCCAATTGTGCGCCACCTCTAAAATCACTGGAAATTCACCGCCCCTATATCTAATGGGCGTCCAAGCTGTAATCGCACAACTCAACGAGCAGCAGCTCCGCGTACAAAAATCAGCCAAATCATGAAACGACAGCAAGAAACACAAATACAGCAAACCAAAGCAGCAAAAGCCAGCAATTATTCGAAATCCCCTCCGACGCTGAGGATGAAGAGAGACAGCACGCCGAGCTGGTGGAGGAGGAAAATCTCCCGAATAATTGCGGCACAGAGCCGACGGCGAAGGAGCAATCGAACTGTGCGGAGTGGAGCCAGACCGCGGCGGAATCGGCGGAGTTCGGAGATTTTGCAAGTGCTGTGAAGTACATGACGCTCATTCTGAAGCAGGGGCGGGGAACGGCCATGCAGTTTGCAAAACGCGCAGAATACTACTTGCGCTTGAAGAAGCCAGCAACCGCGGTCCGGGATTGCAACAAGGCACTGGAACTAAACCCGGACTCGGCAAAAGCATTTCGGGTACGGGGGAAGGCCAATAGGTACCGAGGTCAAGAAGTCATCAGATTTTGATGCGGATGAGTTGCTTTTTTTTTATTCCTTTTCCTTTTTTGTTTTTACCTACTGTTACTTCTTAACTATGATTTAGCATAATTTATTCAGTTACAGGCGTGCGACCGATACGATTCTTTTTCCGAAATACAAATAGAAAACTGCAGCGCTGGGACGCCGCCCGTACGGACTTGGAGACGGCCCAGAAGTTGGACTTCGACGAGGACCTAGAGCCGGTGCGAAAATTTGTGTTGCAGAAGTGGAAGAAGCTCGAGGAGGTCAGGGTCAAGAACCGCATACGATTCGAGGAACTGACGGCGAAGCAGAAGGAAGACAACTTACGCAGGGAAGTGGAGTTGCGAAGACAGCGGGTGTTGGAGGAGAGACAGCAACAGGAAAAGGCGCAGAAAGAAGCGAAACAGAAGAAAAAGGAAGAGGAGGACGAGATGCTGAAGCGGGAGAAGCAATTCGAAGCGTTTTTGTCGAATCGGGATTACGGTGGGGTCGGTCCGGCGACGAGACCGTTTCAGGGCAATACGTACAAGTTCGCGGCGGTGCCACCGAACATGGTGGGGCAGATCGACCCCAAAGCCTACGGTGCTGCGGTGTCTAGTTCATCCGGAATGGCAAGCAACACATCTGCTGGTGCGCCAGGGGTGTCTGCGGGAAAGGACATCTACGCAGCCTATGGTACTAATCTGACTAGCGGCTCCGTGCTCGTGATCCAGATTTTTGCTGCTAGTGCGTGCATGGTGAGCATTAGTGGTCGCCGCTATTTCAAAAAATACTCCTTCACTTAGGGCAATAAATTACTATGACTCAGCCTGAAGATCATGATATAATTATCCATCGCTCAAAAATATAATTGTCAGGTCGGCAACCTTCCGCGGCAACAGGGACGTCGTCTTCCGGTCCGAAGTCCAACCACTCGACGCTTTCCGAATCCACAGCCGATCTCCTCAGCGGCTTCTACTTCGACCCAACGCAGGACCTCTCGACCACCGGCGCGGAGAAGTTCGACCCCGGATTTGAGGCATTTGACCCCTGCGCGCGCCCGGACATCGGGGATGGGGCTCGGACCGGGGAAGGGAGGACGGGGAGAAGTGGCGGAGGTGGGAAAAAGAAGTATGATCCACCCGAGGAGTTTGTGAGTTTGTAATCAAACAAATCTGACAGCGACTAGGAGGACTTCGGCAACGACTACGACATCACATGGCACGGCCTGGGAAAGAAGAAGCTCGCAATATTGGGTGCTGACCACTTTTTCGTTTTCTGTGCTTGGTGGGCGTGGGCGTAGTCCTACATGATGAGCGCTTTAATCCGTTGATGCCGATGCGTATTGTACCACAACTGAACAGAAACAGATGCAGAGTATAGGCAAACGAGAAAAACAACAATCCAAATCCTGAGTAGTAAGCGACAGGGCCATGCAGTTCGTACCAAGAGAGGAAACGAGAGGGAGGTGACAAAAGGAGGCGTTCTTTTTAGTGATGAGAGAAGGAGGCGGTCATTGAGATAGAGATTGACGAGAGCATTCCGACTACAGTGTGAAGGCGAAAGCCAAAGCAGTATTTTTGACGGTTATTGGTCATCCTTATCCTGGTCCATTTCCAATTACATCACTTCTCGTTTGTCGTTCTTGCCGCAGTTGAATTTCGACACAGGGACAGGAAAGGAGAGACGGAGAGAGATGCGGAGGAGGGAAATCAGAATGCCGCTAGGTGATAGGGGTCAGCGCGTGCTAGTAATCTGCTAGCCTATAACATTCATAAGTCTATTGGTGCGTCAATACGATGGCCATCTCCTTATTCATCTTCATTGGTTGCATCCCGATGTCCCTTGTAGAGGAGAGGGCTCGAGCCCGAGCCTCATTCGGCGCTAGAAAGATGGCAACAAGCAGGATGCTCTTACTTTCGGTCGCGCATCTATTTCGACGCTGACCACGTCCAGGACCTCCTGATGATTGGCTTCAATTGCCGTGCATATTGTTGCTGTTCGCGATCACTTCATCAAGTAGTAAATTCAAAGTTATCGAAATTATTTCGAATAAAGGACTCAGCTGCGCCACCTAGAATACATCCTTGATCTTTCCAGAAGAAGATGTTCCCGTCGTCGTCAGCGGCTCTCTCTTCCGACCGGGCCACGGCCCTCTATGGCCCTTCCGTGAAGCCGGACCTTGCCAAGAACCACGGTTGCCTCGTAGCGAGCGAGCCATGCAGCAAGGTCGGCAAAATCCTTTTCAGCGACCGCGCCCTGCTCGACCCGTCTTACTACGCCGATTTTCGGTACACGGACAACGTGTTAAAAGGCCCGTTTCTGGAAAACATCGCACTAAAGAACGTTCGGGCGATACACACGGAAACCCTGCTGGAAACGGTCTGCAGGGTTGTGTTCGAGTATCTGCGGTTTTGTGTTTCTGTTCGCCACGACGTGAAGTATTTCCATTGAACCAGAAAGCAGCAGGCGAAAAAAGAACAGCAACAGGCGCCACGGGAAGGCCTCGACGGCCCGTCGGGAAGCCGCCGGCCCGTCCTCAGACACGGTGGGATTCTCGATTTTTTCCGGTTGGGAGGGGCCCCCAACCGGAGAAAATGGAGCGCCCCACCGTGTCTGAGGACAAACCGGCGGCTTCCTGGCGGGCCGCGAGGCCTTCCCGGCCGGTGCGCCTGCACGTAGCTGTATGGCCTGCCACATAGCGGCCCCTTCCCCTTGTCCCTTTCCTTGAGCCTTTCCTTCGGATTTTGGTAGATTTTCGGCAAATTTTTGGGAGCTTTCAAAAACGCAGAGTGATACGCACTCCGCCTTTTTTTTGACACGCAAAGTGACACGCAGAGTGACACGCACACTGATACGCACTCGTCAAACACGACCTGTTTCTCGTTTTTGACGAGTGTGTACTGTCAAACCGCTCTGTAAATTGACACGCAGTGAGTGCGTGTCAGTGCGTGTCACTTTTACAGACCGGAGAGAGGTTTTGGAAAGTTTTGGAAATATCCTTCACCGACGGTATTGTGTGACACGCACTCACTGCGTGTCAAGTGCGTGTCACTCTTCACGCCTGTATTCTCGCCACCAGCGATTCGGTCGTGCGTGTCACTGCGTGTCACCAGAATATAGGTGCAAAAAGTGACACGCACTGACACGCACTAGATGCGTGTCACTACCATACCGTGCAGGAGAGAGACAACGCCTGTCGTCTTTTGGTCTTCCCCGATGGTATACGGTGACACGCACTGAGTGCGTGTCACTTTTTGCACCTATATTCTGGTGACACGCAGTGACACGCATTGCGGTACGCAAGTGACACGCAGTGTGACACGCACTGCGTGTCACTTGCGTATCACTTTGCGTGTCAACTGCGTGTCACTTTTTGGACTCAACTGCGTGTCAACTGCGTGTCACTTTTTGGACGTTTTGCTTGTCTGAGCGTGTTCATTTTTTTGCGCCTTTTCTTCCCGAATTCGACTGCCTTTTTTTGCGCCACATTCTGCTTTTTTGAACAACAGAAAATACGGCTTTTTTCTGTACTTTGGCAGCTCCAAGTTGAAGAAAAAGGCCGCGCTGTATGTTTTGCTGCAGAAAGTACTCAAGACCGGCGCCCCCGCCCTGCTGGCGGGGGTCGGTTGGCCGGCATGGGAGAGAGCACGAAGCGCCCGGAAAAGGGAAAAGAGGCCTTTTCCTGAAACTTGGCGGCCCGAAGTTGCAGAAAAAGGCCTCCAAATGATTGCCGCGAGCAAGTGCGCGCGCTTGGTCTGGCTTGGCTTCTTTGGCTCGGGCGATGCTTCCTCGCTATTGTTGGGCGCGCAGCTGGGCGCGCGGTTGGGTGCAAGCCGGCTTCTTGGCTGCGATAGCTGCGAAGAAACGAAAAGACGAGCTTTTTCTGCAACTTGGCGGCCCCAACTTGTCGAAAAAGCCTGTCAGCCGAGACCTGTTGAACAAGACCGCTGCGCCTTTTGCTGCTGCCTGGCCGGAGGGGCCCGGTGACCTTCCGCCCTAGGCCCTCGCATTTGTGCCTGGCCGCTAACTGAGGCCTTTTCTGGCAACTTGCAGCTGGGAACTTGTCCAATTTGCGCGTCTTCTTTTTGTGTTTCTTGTGTTGGGCTCTGGGGCCAAAAGAAACACTTCGACAGCGCCACTCCCTATCGCCGCCTGGCGTCCCATGGCCATGGTAGTGGACATTTTGAGCGCGTTTCAGAAGCCACCCAGTTGCTAGGCCGATTTCCCTCCGACGACGTGAAGTATTTCCATTGAACCAGAAAGCAGTAGCACTAGCATGTGCAAGAACATGAACATCTTCATGTGCTGTGCATCACCATTCATGTGCACTGTCTTGCAAGACAAAAAGTAAAAGCTCCGCAACTCCAAAACACACACAGATATACCCGGCTTTATCCGGCGCAGAAAGACGACGAGGTTTCAACAGAGGATGGCACAACTACAACCACTTCGGAGAACAACGCCAGTGCAGTTGTTCCTGCCACCCTACTCGACGTCAGTTCCCCTTCGAAGCGTCCCGGTGCGGAGGAAAGGGTTACGAAACTAATCGACCGACTCCGAATTCTCGAGCAGCAGCTGACGAAGAACGACTCTTTTCGGAAGTTCTGCGAGCGAAGCAATGTTGAGGAACTACAAGAGGAGTACCAGTACGCGCTTGCGGTGAGGAGCCCGAAATCATCGTCAAGAGGCGGTAGCTCATCAGTAGCAGCACAACAGCACAGCAGTCAACATCAATCTGCTTTACCCGACAAGGACGGTGCAGGTTCGAGTCCCGCCCAAGACGAACTCTCCTCTACCCGCGTTTTGTTCGACGCCAACGACGAGGCTAGTGTGGCGGTAGTGCAAGCAGGAGGCGGCTCGGTAGAACTACAACGCGACCCCGCGGGACATAGGTATAGAGCTGGTGGTGCTGAGTACGAAACCGCGGTGAGGCCTAGCGAAATCACCGACCACGAGGGAAACGTGACCGCGCCGGCGTTGGCAATGGCGGTGATACAGCAGAAACCAAGTACAACGCCAGCTTCGGCCTCCAGTACTTGTGCGGGCGTCGAAAATCCACACGTGATCGAGATCAGTGATCATGCGGACGCAGCACCACCAGATCCGGGCTCATCTGCCGAAATGCGGCAACTCGCCATACCAAACATGAACCAGCTTGCTATGGCGTTCTCAAACGGCACATGCTCAACTGTTACATGAATTTGTCACGCAAAACTACCGCAAGCCGCGGCCGCCAGATGATCTTCAAGCTGCTTCATCGCATGACAAATCTCCGAAAGGCTACTAGACAGCATCTAAATCGGTGCCAAATCTGTGATGCGAAAGCAGCAAGCCAGCCCCTTCAGCGCTGATGCTGTTTTTGCGTTCTTGCAAATTCATGTAGCAGTTGAGAGTCTAACGCTTGAGAGCGCCATACCTGCGCCGGAGGAGCAGGAATTGCGTGAGCTCGAGACCGCGGACTTGGCGATCGAGCTTCACGAGCAGTGGCTGAGGCCGGAGTTCCAGAAGAAAATCACGAAGAACGATTTGGATGCGTTGCTGCAGATCTACTTGAACTGCTACGTGCTGGACGATAAAGACGACCAGTGGATTTCCATCGCCGAAGATTGGGACGACAATTCCAGCGAAGCCGTCGCGGCCTACGCCCTGCCAGCCGTCGTAAAGCACAGCTCGACCCCAAATTGTTTCATCGGCCCGCTGATGCGCAGGTTCCTGAACGAAAACAACAAAGGGTTTGGGGATTCCTTCATCGCCTGTCAGCCAGAAACTTCTGCACTAACTTGTTCTGCGGGTGAGCAAAATATAAACAGCAGCAATCCGGGTGGATTTTTCATGACCACGTCTGTTGAGATCAGAGCGCTGAAGCCGATAGAAAAAGGCGAGCCCTTGACGGTGGATTTTGTCGGGTTTCCGGATTGTTACGCGCCGGTAAAGAGTCAGGAGAAGAGCCATCTGGAGTTTGAAAAGGAGAAGAATCCACGCTGGAAAAGCGCTTTGGAGATCACGAGGTGCTTCACGTGTCCGAGCTGCGGGGCGGACGAATTCTGCACGCATAATGTCGACCCGGCGGAAGTCTGGAATCACCCGCTCAGCTGTCGAGCGTGCGGACAGAAAGGTATCGCTTTGATTTCGTTTTGGTTTTCATCGTTCGCTCGAGGTTTCTCGTTGCAGCTGATGCATTCCATAGTCAGTACGTAGCTCGTGTCATCTCATTGTATGCGGCAGGAATTTACATTTGGTCCTCGAAGAACAAAATTACGCCATCACTTCCCCCAAACATCAAAAAAAAACAGCCACCCCCGAGTTCGCGCAGCGTTGCCGCCAGGCGGAGCAGGATTTCATGCGTCGCCAGGGCTGCTCGGCCGCCGACGCATATACGCCGGAAGCGCCGATGTCCAAGCACCACTACATGGTCTTTGCCGCGTCCTGGTTTTACTTCCACGAGGGGCTGCTAGCGAATCTGGAAACGGTAAACAAGCAGGACGGGACGAAGATCTGCGAGGTCATCCTGGAATGTCTCGAACGGGTCTACGGGTCGCACCCGGTCATGCTCAGATTCGTCTCCTTTCTCCAGTGCCTCCACAACGAGGATCTAGCGCTACAAAGACAGTTTTTGGACGAGGAGCAGAAGATCGTCGCGCAGTTTTTTCCGGACGAAGCGGAGAGACTCAACAAAGAAGTGACCAACCTGCTCGAGCGAAACGGTGCGCAATTTCAGAAGGCAGCGGAATCGGTCGAGAAGGACCCCAATGCGCAAGAGGAGGAGAAAGCGGCGCTGGCCATCGAGAATGAGAATTGAAAGTGGACCACGAGGAAAGTTTTTGAAAAAAACACGCACGCAATCTCAAAATTCTCTCTGCATGATGATCTGAATTCACGTCGTCCGACTCCGACAACGCATGCAACGCAAATTGACAGACTTGTTCTTGTAAAAAGTACACTTCAAGAGCGCCTGCGTTTGCGAGATAAAGTGCGCGAGTAAGGAGCAGATACAAGATCGGTTGAAGTTCTTGACGAGGATGTTCTCTTTGTATGCAGTGAGAAGTTCTTCGCCTCCTTCGGTGAATCAGTATCGGTTTTCAAAAGTAGATCATGTGCGTTGATGATGAGAAGGGACGAGCAATAAAAGAAATGTTTAGATCAACCTCCTTGACAGCGGAGGAGATACCCAAGCTGTTGCAGCTAATGTTTGGTGTGGCCCACATGCTGCTGGAGCGATAGTGAAATAACAACTGAGCCACGGTCCTTCCTTTGTCATTCATTCACTTCTGACTGTGACTGTACCGTACGACGGACATTTGTGTGTGTGCCATCATAATTACTCACCCCAGCATCCATGTGAGTGTGACTCAGTAGCCGCTGCTGCCCATCTCCCCACTGATTATTTGAGAACAGCAGGAATAGCAATACTAGCTGCGCATTTTGCGCATAATAGATTTACCTAAAAATCTACCCTGCGGTCCCTTAATACCGGGCAAAAATTCCATCACGACCTTCAGTATCACTACCTCCAAAGAAATGAGAGCAGCGTCTCAACAGCTTTCCCGTGCCGGGCGAGGACTCTTCCGTCCGCATCAAGCTACCTCAGCCACAGGAGCACGACAACTTTATTCCGTCTTCACATTCGTCGTGGTCCCTCGCAACTTCTCCTCCGCAGCGGCTCCCGCCGCAGCGAAACAAACCGAGACAAAGTTTCTGAAACCGGAAAAGGAAATCGACTTGAACGACGCCCGGCGCAAGGGTTTATCCTGGCGCGCGAAGCAACGCGGGTGGTTGGAGTTGGACTGGTTGCTCGGGACATTTGCGCAGAAGCACTTGGCGAATCTGACCGAGTATGGACTGCAAATATCATCTCTTCTGGGTCTGGACGAAAGACAAAGATGCAACTTGTGATGCGCATTTTACTTTTAGATCTAGATCATAGATAGAAAAATCTGTCATGCACGCATGGGCGGCAAACCTCGGCCATTTCCTTGTCATCGAAAGAAGGGACGATTTGTGATGCGGATTAGGCATTGAGAAACGGAAACCTGCTCGAAACCTGTGATGCTGAGACTCGCATGCCACACCTTCTGGGTTACGCAGACACTGCATGATCACAAATGGCTGCATCAATCTTCCAGACCCAGACGCGTTATTTGCAGTTGATACCGAGGAGGAGTGTGTGCTGTTCGAGGAGATTCTAGAAGTCGACAATCCGGACTTGTTTCACTGGCTCTCCGCCCAGAAACCGGCGCCGGAGAAGATGCTGGAGAACTCGGTGTACTTGATGTTAGCGGAGTACGTGAATTCCGAGCATCCAGACATCATGCGGAGAATGAGCACGCAGAATCAGAACTTGTAGCTTTGAAAAAGTTGTACAGATCAGAGACGAGTTCGTTCTTGTACTTATGAGCGACCGAAAAACTATTCTTAGAGGATACGATCACTTTTTGAAGATGAAGATTTTATGTTGAGCATCATAACCGAAACCGGCCTCCAAACTTGTGGTTATAAATAATTCCGTGACTCTAGAAGTAAGTAGAACAAAACCGGAAAGAAAACGAGGTAAAGGTTATGGATTGTCAGCCCGTCACAAAGCCCTGGGTGTAAAGAGGAAAGATACTGATGAAGTGGACGATTTGCGATCTACTGAGTTGTTGTCTTCACAAGAACTTTTACGCGGCAATATCACACCAAACCACAGCGCTAGGTCGGCGCATACTTCGATTGTGAAGGAAGGCAGCTGCCACAGCCTCGCTGTGCGTCTTTGCTGCAGATGTGATTGCAGCATTCTTGCGAGCGGATACTGACGAAGCTGAAATATGAACGTGTATGTGATTAATGGTACAAGTACTAGCGAGTTGATGTTGTTGTTGGGGTACGTTCTGGCGGTAAGCTGTGTTGAGAGGTACCGTGCGCGGCTCTAGTTTGCAATCGCCTTTCTCTTTGAGGATAGCTACCTTGCAAAGTTGTCTCCTTTCTCTTCGGTTCGTGTTTCCGAAGATATTTGCAAGATTTCTGCTTCTATTTGTTTTCTATGTTTGTGCGTTTGCGGTACCAAAAGCTCCTTGTGCGACCACCACCCTGATAGTTAGTTTCTTATGACGCACGGTGATCGTCTAGTGGAGGCAACAGAAGACGGTTGTTTCCCGCTCAAAGTCGCAAATTTTTACTTTCTTGATTTACACAATCACAACATAAGAAACGTATACGTAAGCTAACAAACATCCAAGAAGATGGCCCGCGGAAAGAAAACCGCTCTCGAGCTGAAGGTCGAAGCTGAACAGAAGAAGCTCGCGCAGCTCAAGGTGGCGGAGCAGGCCGGGCTATCCGACCTGTACCAGGAGAGCGTCGTAAAACCCGGCCTCGCGCGACTTTTCGCGGAGGACAAAAACCGACCTGGCCGGAGCAGTAATATTTCAGCCTCATCGTCGTCATTCAGCGGCGCCGCGGCGGGAGGTAGCACCAGCTCTTCAGCGAAGAAAGTTGCAATCCAGATTTCTAACGACGTCTTCACGAGCGAAGATGAGACTGGGAAAACACTCCAGCAGCAGGCCAAGAATATTAAGAATTGTAGCAAATCTACTGCAGAAGTTGAAGTTCCCGCCGCAGCAGCCCACCTGCTGTCCCCCTCTGCCTCTTCCCGGGGCGGAGTGGTCGCGGCAAATAAGAAAATACCTCCAGCCACACCTACGCCGGGACAGGCAGGAGCCTCCAAGAAAGGCAAAAGTGCTCCGGGCTCGAAGGACAAAAAGCAGCCTACTCAAGAGGACGAGGACCAGCAGCCGCCGTCCTCAAAGTCGGGAAACAAGATGAAGCGCGCAACGAAAAAGATGGCAAAGGTTACGTGGGCGCCGGACGAAGAGGAGGAGGAGGGGAAGGGCAAGAAGAAGCTCGCAACGCCGAAACGAGCACTGACGCCGGGGGACAAAAAGCGCGGTTATGAAAAGGAAAGATCCCCCCTCCCCATATCAAAAACGAGATCTGTGACGCTGGATTTGCGTACACAAATCAGATTTGTATTGCAGGAAGGCATTGCGGCCAGATCCCCAGGCTTGATAGGGGCGTATGGGTCTAGTTGTTCAGCATTGCAAACGGCTAACCTTTAGGCCCAACAGCATGACAAATCGCGTCCATGATGGGGCGGAAGCCTCTGCCCTTGTCTTCTTGCAAGACAAACGTGATTTGTGGCCTCAAATCAGCAACACAAATTTGCGGAAAGATACCTTTTCGATATGGGGAGGGGGGATTTTTCCTCTCAATAGCGGTCTGGGGGCCGTTTTTGACGCCGACGAGCTGGAAACGATCGCGGAGGATGAGCGAAAAACCAGTGGGAAAAAGGCAAAGCCAAAAAGGAAGGTAGATAGGGACTTCTGGCGCACTTCGCCGCACATGAACGTCGAGCGAATGAACCATGTGGTTATAACATCAATAAGGCCAGGGTGTTGATCATCCGGTCGATGTCCTCATGATCCCCTGAGCCTGACGAGGAAAGAACAAACGTTGCATGGTTGCACGAAGATCATGCTGGTGCTGGAGTGATCTTGATCTCCTGATCAACTTATCCATGCGACAATTGTTCAATTCTAATTTTCAATTCAATCAGGCCTCGAAAGACAGTACCGAGGACGACGACGTTTTACAAGGCAGGAGTCGGCAACTTTTGTCTGAGAAGAAAGGCGTCTCTTTCCGGAACTCGATCGACGTGACGGAAATTGAGTCGCAGGGAAACGTATGAACTGCAAAAGTATCGCACTCGTATAAATGCATTACAAATTTCCTCAGCGTGAGAAATTAAATTTGTAATGCTGATCTACCTTAAGAGTAGTGTAGATTTGTAATGCAAGACTTGCATTTATACGAATGCGATACTTTTGCACAGGATAAAACGCAAGGGCGGTTGTGCGGGGGAGTCACAAGCGGGGCGCAGCGGTGGTCAGCCCTCCCGAAGACGACAAGGTTTTGCTTTTGGTGGTTATCTCGTCTTTTCGACATCCAAACAAGTGCACCATGTGCTTCGAACTCTTCATTGCAATATCACGAAAATGCTTAGGCTGTATTATCAGGATGTTTTAGTAAAAAAAGCGAAAACTTCCAGTACTTCTTCTACTTCCTCATACACGTGCGAAGTATGACACGATCTCCTGCTGTTCTATCAACTCTAAAATCACAACATCTACAGGACATCAATTCATCTTCGCGCCTCTCTCCCGAGCAAGATTCCCACCACTCGCCGAAGCGACAAAAAACGAATAAGAAAGGTGACACTCCGTTGCAAGACTTAGATTCGAAAAACAAATCGCCCTTCCGCAATACCTGGCATCCGTTTGGCGGCATGAGGAAGACGACACCCAAGCGGTTCGGAACCCCGCAAGACGCCATCAATGAAAACCTGATCTCTCCCGGGCCACGATCCGCTGAAGCGGGGAAAACGAAGATGACGCTGTCATTCGATTTGGACGAGGCGGATGACAAAGACAATAAACGACGGAAGCTCACTATCGCAAGAAAAAAGTGTTACAGTTACACATTGTGTTGCAAGACCGGCAACACAGACAACCTTTCTCATGCAGGAAATGCTTGGGAGCCTCGTTTCCTTCCTGTTTTCCCTTATGATCTTCGCATTACAAGTTTTCTCTGCCACACAGAGAAAATTTGTGATGCAGAAACAAACTCTAACAAATGTGTAACTGTAACACTTTTTTCTCGTGATACTCACCGCAAACCCAGAGGTTCTCGGCGGGCAGTCCGCCGTCGGAAGCTTGGAAGCGCAAAGGCACGCGGACGCGGTGGCGAAATTGAAAAGCTCGCAACGAAACAGGCTGCTGTCGCCGAACCCGAGAGCTGCAGTGGGGGGAGGTGGTCCTCGGCGGGGGTTACACCTCGAGATCCGGTCGCCGAAGGCGAAGCCGCTGACGCCGTTAGTGACGGAGGTGGTCCTCGGACAACAAGACGAGGTTTCGAAGAACACAGCGCTCAATCGACAGTACGTTCCGCCGCAGTTGGATGACGAGCAGAAATCTCTGCTTCACCTGTTTCAGTCAATCGACCGCTTGCTCGCGATGCGGCAGATCCGGGGCGGGAGAACGAAAATTGGAGATTTACGGAAGGACGCGGAGAAGGACTGCAATCGGTCGTTGACGGTGTCGCGCTTGCAGCGCATTCTGTTTGTTGCCAAGGACTTGCTCCGGTCGGAAAGGGTGCCGGCGGTCCCCGCGAACGGGGACGAACGGGTGGAAATGGTCCACGGGGACGAAAACATAGTGCTGACCCTATTCTCTAGAAATTAACCCTCCCCATCCACTTTTTGCATTGCAGCTTATACAGTGTTAGCGAGAAGTAAGGAAAAGATAATAAAAGTGCCCGGGGATGAAGATATACTTGCGATGTTTTTCGCGGTTCTGACCCTAGATCTCCTGCGTCCGGAGCTGCTTGCGGCAACGGTGCAAAGGTTTTTGAAGTGGCGCAGTCGGGTATGCATGACAAACACAGAGTTTGGATTTGCGTACAGGTTTTGCATGACAAACTGAATGGTCATGGGGATGGTAAATTTTCAAGGAATAGACGCAGGTGGAAGCCGACGAAGGCTCGGCGGACACCGCAATTGACGCCGCGACAGACGGGGTGGAGGAAGGTGCGAATGTTTCGTCGTCCAGTTATTCGAGCAGTAGCAGCGCACCGAATTCCATTCTGAAGAAGACAAGGGCGGCAGCAGCCGCGGAGGCAAAGACGCCGAAAACGCGGCTGTGCGTGGGAAACATGACGCCCGACGTGCTGTACAGGAGATGGAGAACAGTGTCTGAGCGGTATTTAATCATTGATTTTTGGTGTCGCGCATAACGAAAATGCATGTAGTACCTATGGGTTAAATGCGCTCGTCTCTCGTGTATGGTGTCGAAACTTCTTCGAATTTCATCCACGTCTAACTATCACGACAGTCTCGGCAAATTCGGCCTGAACAAAGACATTCCGCATGCGAAGCTGCCCGAACTCGCTGGACCAGAGCTTCCGAAACAGACATCCAAGGCGGCCGGCGGTGCGCCCATTACCCCAGATCCGAAGAAAGGCGCATGGAAAGTCTCCAGCGCTAGCGGAAAGAAACTGAGTATCTCGGAGAAAGCGAAGCACAAGGGGAAGGTACTAAAGAACTTGTCACTCGTAGGTCTGCTTTTTTGTGAAGACGCACCATGAGATCAACATCCATGAGTTTGAATAGCTGCAGTGAACAAGAAACAGGAAGATACCCGAGCCTGCATTTGATCACCACAGATCGCCAATCGCGTGAAGAAGCTGACTGCGGAAAAGGAAAAATTGGCGAAAGAGTCTGACCGACTCGCGAGGCTTCTGGAAATCCTTCCCCTCATCCAAATCAGCTTTGACCAACGGCAGCGACCAACTTTTGTCCCGCACAACGAGCTGGTGAAGGATATGGCGATGTCAACGTTCTCAACAAAAAAAAAACCCAAAAAATTTGAACTCGGTACTGGAGTTGGAGTAGAAGATAAAACTATTTTAATTTTTGTATTTTTTTATGGGTACCTATTTTGACTTTCAGATTCAGAGTTGCATGCTACTTGAAGGAGCGCGTGCACTAGATATATCATTCAAATAGCTAGCTCCCCGCTCCGCCGAGCAAGCTGTTGCTCTTGGATGATCTCTGAACACTGACGAACACGAACGACGCCACTCGCATCGAAAATGCCACCTCGACCCTCTGGAGGGCGGGTTGAAAAAGTTGTAAATCGAGGCGCTTCATTATTTTTAGTGTCTGAGAACGTTGCTAATCCACTAACTGAGTCTGGAAGTATTGCGCGAGGGGCCAAACGCATCAAACTAGCTATCTCACGCGACCACTTTGGCGACCCCTTCGGAGAGGTCTCGTCCCGAGGTACTGCGCTGGTTACTGAAAAAATTTTGAGAGTCCTTTGTCTGAGAACGTTGACACGCCGGCATAAAGGAGATCACGCGGAACAACAAGTCTGACTTTTCCGTCAACACAATCGCGGACGTGCTGGTGGAATTTTCAAAGGAAGTTCCCGAATGGCTTTCCATCCGGGTATCGAAGTTCGACGAAGATGCGAAATTCATCCACTTGAAACACGATTTCAACACGGATATTTGGCGGAAGCAGTGCGGAGACCTGCGGGACTTGAAGAGGAACAGAATGACCTTTATTGAGCGGGAAATTCAAGATCTGTATGTGATGCCGGCGAAGTAAACACTATGTTTTTTATGGCAGATGAAATAGATGAAATTTCATCTGGTCGTGACGAAGAAGCCTACTAGCGGGGCGTTCAGAGAAAAACACGATGGTGCAGAGAACCACCACACTTGTGAAGACAAGAGCTTCACGTTCTGCTGGTATTGGGGTGCTGCAATTAGAGCCACAACAAGATGATCTTCAGTGCAACCTCTGGCGCTGCAGTTTCTCGCGCCGCTACTACGTTCTAAAACATCTGGTGCCTGCGTTCACTGTCACGACTTCCACATCACCTGTCTTGTCCTAATTGTTTCTTTTTGCTAGTCATTCTCTACTATTCTTTTCGTTTTTCTTTTTGTTTTTGCAAGACGTAAAAAAACGCCTGAGGCAGAGAGCACGCCCTATGCGATTTGTTTTTTTCTGATGCCACTTGTGTCCTCTTTTTTCTTGAGTGCAAGGAGAGCAGGTTGGGAGGCGTTTCTTCGGTCCGCTGTTTGTTCTGCACCTTATAAATTTACCTAGTTTTCCTCTGGCAAACTACACTATATACATTTCGCCGGATCACTGCGCTCCCCGGCCCGTTATGTATAAGAGCGCGGTAACAATTAAATCAACTAACTCGGATCTCCGAGTTAGTCGCCCGGCCGTCCGGATCCGGGCGGCCGGACGACTAACTCGGGCCTGTAAGTGCGAAAGTTTTGCGGGCGGCCGAGACTGGTCGCCACGCACGAGCTCCCTAGCCAGGTAAGGGAAACTCGTGGCGACCACTAGCTAGCAGGCAACTCGCGCAGTCGGTGACTGCCGGAATTCCCTATGCGGATTTGTGCTTTTGTGCATGTTATTTGTGCTCTTAGGGTTTTTTTTGAAAATCGGCGGGGCAACGTTTTCGCTTTCTTTGCAACGCAGGCGATGCCTGTTTTGTCATGGCGAAATATTCCCTGCCGTGAAGCTAACATTTACGAAGCGCAACAGTTTTACACGCTTTCCGACTGAAGCGCGTTTTTTAATGAAAGCGCAAAAATTATGCACAAAACCGCACGAATTGCATATGTTGCCAGGACGTTTTCAAAGCACGCCTCTGATCGAAGTCGTCGGCTCCGGCGTCGCTATATCGAAAAACTTTCCCACTTACAATCCCGAGTTAGTCGTCCGGCCGCCCGGATTCGGACGGCCGGGCCACTAACTCGGAGATCCGAGTTAGTTGATTTAATTGTTACCGCGCTCTAATATAAATATTCCGCAACCCGCACCTGGCTGTACGCAAAAATAGCACCCTCCAAAAAATAAAAAATACCCATATTCTTCTAATTGACAACGCTGAAGCAGGATCTTTCTCGACAAGATGGCGCACCGCGTCGACCGGATCGCGAATCAGGTCGTCGCAGCGAGCCAGACGGACAGCGGAGGTGGAGGCGACACAATTACAATCACGGATAACAGGAATGGGAAAAGGTATAATAGATTGAGATTTTTGGTTGATGTATAAGAAGACCTGCGTGACAAATCCTGCAGCCGCATTTTTTTTGTTATTCGAAATTGGCTTTTTTTTTCAGTGCACGACAACATCACAAACGTACTCCCACATCACCAGCTACAAGCTCGCCATCACGAACAACACCATCAAAGCGACGGATCTGAAGCAAGTGAAAGACGCAAACGGCGCCCCGTTGAAAACATTTGATCCGGGGTACATGAACACCACGTGCTGTATCTCCCGTATTTCCTGTATGGGAGTGTCAGGATCGAAATCATCAAAGTTGAAATAATCTGTAATGCAAAAAAGCGATACCAGCTGGAGCCCAGGTTGCAAGTTGCGCATGACAAATTTAGGCAGCATGGAAATCCAATTTGTCATGCTGTTTGGGCAGAGAAGACCGCTTTTGTCATGCTATTTTAGCAGCTCTATCTCACACCCCAAGCAGGAGTATAATCGGCCTCAGTTGCCTGCTCTGCAAGACAGGCATTTTGCGTCTAGCATTTTATATATGCGTCACAAACTATTTCTATTTCAACTTTGACGATTTCAATTCTGACGCTTCCATATCCTTCATCGACGGGGACAAGGGAATTCTCCGGTACCGCGGCATCCCGATCGAGCAATTAGCCGCCCAGTCGAACTACCTGGAGGTGGCCTATTTGCTGAATTACGGAAATCTACCCGACGCGAGCCAGCTGAAGTCGTGGAACACGGCGATCATGGAACACGTGCACGTGTTATCACAAGAAAAAATTTTATACGTTTACGGAACTGTTGGAACTTGTGATGCAGCAATGCATCACAAAAGCAAAACGTGCCCAAATCTGTCCTCATTCATAACCTGCATACTAGGGGGCTATATTTGTGATCATGCATGGCTGCAATCTGTGAAGACCGTAAACGTGAACACTTTTTCTTGTGATACGTGTCGGAGGATTTGGTGAAAATGCATGCAACCTTCCGGTACGACGCACACCCGATGGGGATGATCACAGCAGCGTTTGCGGCTCTGGGCACGATTTACCCGGAGCAAAATCCCGCGCTGGCGGGGCAGGACATGTATTTTTTTGAGAACAACCTAGAAGAAGATGTTGCTGGAGGCGGACATCTAGTTCTCTATTTGATTTTACTTCAAATTCAAGCTGCTACGTTCACGCTCACGTTGGATGAAGAAGACATGAATATGACCTTAGCTACTTCTACTTCGCACTACGAAGAAGATATTAAACATAAACTTGCAACTAGTGAACAAAAACTACAATCAGCTACAAGTCCGCTGAAGTACGCAACAAGCAGATCGCCCGTGTGATCGGCGCCGGCCCCACGCTCGCCGCCATGGCGTACAGGCACAGACTAGGAAGACCCATGGTGGCGCCAAATGAAAATCTTGGGTACACGGAGAATTTTCTCTACATGCTCGACGTGATGAACGAGGGACCGAGTTATCGACCACACCCGACGCTCGTGAAGGCGATGGACGTTTTGCTCCTGCTCCACGCCGAGCACGAATTGAACTGTTCGACGTCGGCCATGCGCCACTTGGCCTCCTCCAACGTGGACGTCTATACGGCGATCGCCGGAGCCTGCGGCGCCTTGTATGGGCCGAGGCACGGTGGCGCGAACGAAGCGGTGCTGCGGATGCTGGATTCGATTGGGCATGTGTCGAAGGTGGACGAATTTATCGCGAAGGTGAAAAACAAGAAGGCGAAGTTGATGGGGTTCGGGCATCGGGTACAGTTCTTGTATTTCGACTTTACACTGTAATATTTCGTCGAATTGCGTATCATGATATGTAGTTTTGTCTGACGGGGAAGTTTATCGTGGGTGGTAAATTTTTTATTCTCCATGCCGGTGCGTAATAATTTCCAGCAGAGCGCTCTGCAACTCCTCATCACAAGTTGGTTGAATCGTTGTGCAAAAGAACAAAATAATCTTCGTCAGGTGTACAAGTCGTACGACCCGCGCGCCAAGGTCGTCCGCAAGATTCTGGACGACGTTTTTGCGCTCACCGGCCCCGACCCGCTGATTGACGTGGCGATGCAGTTGGAGAAGATCGCTCTCTCGGACGACTACTTCAAGTCGAAAAAGTTGTACCCAAACGTCGACTTCTATTCCGGCCTGATTTACAAGGCCATGGGCATCCCAACGGACGTGTTCACCGTTCTCTTTACGATCCCGCGGTTGTCCGGGTGGCTGGCGCACTGGTCCGAGTGGGTCCAGGACCCGGAAAACAGAATCTACAGACCATTCCAAGTTTACAAGGGTACACTAAAGCGGTCGTTCTTTATCTTGGTGTAGTGAAATACTCACAGCTCGCTCACCGTCTACTACGTATGGTGTCATATCACTTTACTTTTTTCACTTACACATGGACGTGTTTCAAAGTGAAAGCGTTTCGCTTTTTTGAAAAGCCGCATCTTCATCGACGAAACATCATAAATCATACAAAACGACAGGCGAAGTGCTCCGCGATTACGAGCCGGTTGGCCGTCGGAAACCGGTCGACTTACACCCCAAGATTGCCCGATCGGCAATCAACCGCAGAAGGGACGTGACGTTGGGCAAGGTCAAACCAGAGTACTCACGGATTTTGCACGGGCAGGATAACTAAGGGAGGGAGCACATGCAGATAGTGTCTCCACCAGCATATTATTGCCGCACTAATATAAAACTAAAACAGTTTTTTAAAAACAATAAGACGGTCACGATGTCGAATCAACTTTACACGAACATGGCGTCTCGGGCAGCTACAAGAAGTCCTGAGACATACTTCATTTTACAAAAGAGAGAATCAAAAGAAAAGGGAATCTTCACAGGTATTTATCAGGCGTGAATGATCTGCATTATTAACTGGCAGAAGGGCCACCTTAGGTCAGAAACAAAATTTTCCATTGTATGTCAACGCTGTACACTTCTACGGCCAGTTCTTACGAGGGTTGTCTAGTAACTAAGGGAAAAATAACGCCACGAAGAAGAAAGGCATTGCCACTATCGGATGTGTACATAACTCGCGAATTTGGATTCAATACTTATTTTCCATCCATTTTTAATATTCTCATTGATTAAAGGCCACACCGAATCAGGAATAGAAAAAGCAAAAGGCAATTTTTTCAGCAATAGACGGAGTACAACAAGTATTTTTGCGCAAATAGCAGCGGGCGGGATGGGTCCAGTGCGGCTAATAGTAACAAGGAGAGAAGAGACTCCTGCATTAGTTCTTGATCTGGGTTGGTATACTCAAGAAAGGGCGCACTCTTCTCCGGGAAGCTGCAGCGACAAGCAGACTCCTGGAAGTACCGGACCGGCGCCGCTTGAAATTGATCATAGATAGAATGACCGTGCTATACTCGTCTGTTCGACTCAACTTAAGTTCAAATAAACTATATCTATGATGGCCCTGCGGCGCTAGTACAGTGAGTTCTGATGAACAAGCTCAGTTTGTTTATTTCAGTTTTTGCGCTGTGTGTCGATCCATCTCTAGTAAGTCTATGCGGATCTTTTTTCTTTCTTCTTCTTCAAATGCAGTCCAGTGAGTCGTAGCCTGGTCGTGGTCGTGCTGCACGAGCGTGATAGAGTGGGTGCTGAGGACCGCAAAAATCGACAAAGTGTATGAAAATCTTCGTTTTTCGGATCCGATCTTCGTCTGTCGTGTCGCCTGCTGCAGCACCAAAAGCAAATCGCCATCGAGTCGCGAGTTTGAGATTTTTTTGGTTTTATTTTCGAATTCGCTTATCGGCATCTTATTTTTTTCGACGGAGGTGTTGCTGTATGTTCTTGATGTTCTCGCTCGATTCGTCATTTACATTTACTTTCTGAGAAGAACCCGCAGAGAGCTATAGCTGGTCGCTTTCCTTTGACGTCCACCACCACCTTTGTGCTTTCCTCGCTTTATATATCAGTAGTAGAAAGATAGGAACTCTATTAGATTTTCCATTTTTCCATTAGAACACAACTAGAGGGCTACACCTATTAGAGCTTCTTCACGAGCACGACCCACCAGAAATATATAATTTTAATTCTAGATGTTCGTTTTAGTTTTAGACACTGTTGAATACCATCCATTTATCCAGCATCAGCTCGAGATCCCAGCATCAAGTCCAGCACCAGGAGCAGAGGCGGAACTACAATATCACCACGTCGATCACCTCTACGACAACGTGAGCAGCGCCAGGGCCACGCCCGAGCTTTCCCCGGTCGGCGAGGTTTTTGCGTTTCTTTACTTTCTGATCATCTTCACCAACTTCTACAAAACCTGGGTGCAGGTGTACTGCGAATTGACGGACTTCACCCCGGAGATTCATTTGGCGCTCTTTGTCCTTCCCGGCACGGGTCCGGAGTTGCGACGACACCTGGTACCGGCGGCGAGCAACTTTCAACCGCACGAAGTGACGCTGAGTGACGCCGAAGTGATTAGGAGCATCGCGGTTTGAAGAGTTGTGGTCCAAGAAACATCAACTTCAAGGACTTCATCACTCTGGATGGTGCTGCCGCTCGTTTTCGGAATCGTTGCGAGGAACAGCATTGCGATTTTGACGGCCCAGCACTTCTACAATCAAAGGTCGGAGGTTGGTGGAATACCGAGCCTGCTAACGGTGCAGAAACCGACCAGAAAAAACGTCTACTCGATTCAAACTACGCCCAGTGATAGTTCTTGAGCAGGTGCAAAATACTTTGTGGCTATGAGGTTCCGATATAGGATCAACATGCAGTTTTCATCTTTCTTGGTTATTCAAAATTGATGAACTTGCTTGCAAGCATTTCAGAAAACTCTCAGCGGCAATAATTAACGAAACTACACCAGGTCCTACTCATTCAGAACCGCACCAACATGGGACCCGGCGAAGGTCTCACCGAGGCCATTGCCACGGCCGCCACTCGTGGAATCGAGATCTGTGGCGTTTTCGGGTTTTGGCTCCTTATCACGATCCTCGTTTCCATCGTCGCCGCCGCTGCGAGCTGCTTATTCATCGAAAAGTTCTGTTGCTGTGTCAACAACCACGCAGCTTTTCTCGGCCTGTCCGAGGTTCACGAAGACCCACAGTCGCCGAAGCGCGTGGATCATCATCAATTTTACGGCACAGTTGATGTAAATAATGATCAACAGGAGCATCACTACAACATCTCCCATCACCGCAGCACTCCTCCTCTCCCCGCAAATTATACTGCCGGTGTTTTTTTCAGTAACTACCGGAATTTCTGGATGGCGCAGCCGGGGGGGCGAGTTTCCGAGTCCCGGTCGAGCCACACGTCGTCCCCAATCGGGCAGGAAGAAGGTCCTGATGTGGAGGAGGACGAGTATGACGAGGAGAGTGACGTCGATGCGGGAGGAATTGCAATTGGTGTGCAAAACAAAGCTCGAAATAGTGCCAATTTTTACGACGAAGAAGGGGAGGACGAGGACGACACGCCGGTCGTTGCGGTCGCCGCACACCGTCATCAGCGCGAGGGCACACATCAACACGAGTCGCCGTTTCGGGCGACCCAGAGTTTGCCCCTCACCAGTGACGATCTGCCGCACCAGCAGCGGGGTGGGGGCAGCTACGAGAGCCATCTCCTCGCGGCCAAGAGCCAGCGAAGAAACACGCCGCGCTCCCTGTACGCCCCGCGGTACTTGGGACAGAACAATCGCCCGCGAGGTGGTGGAATAAATGCGCACTTTTCATCATCTGAGCAACAAGGCCGAAATAATGATAAAAATCACATGTTGGTTCCGCCGATCCCGGGGTTTGCCGAGGCGACCAGTCCGCAGAACTTGAATTTCCTTCGCAGTGATCTGAAGCCGCCCAGTGTGCCGCGTCGTGGTGCGCCAGCGGGGGCTCGGGAAATGTTGATGACCAGTTGTGCACCAGATAATTTTAATTCGTTGGAGGTGGAGACGACGATGCCTTTGGAGGTTGCCAGCTGCAGTGTGAGTGGCAGCTCGAGTTCGTCCTCGTCAACATCTCCGGGGGCGGGTGTAGTCGCGCCAAAAATTCCATGGGACTGGTGGAACCCATTCTCTTCGACGGGCGAAGTAGGCGATGAAATCCAGCAAAACGAAAAGTCGAACTCCTTTCCGCCAAACAAGCAGCTTCCATCCGCATTCTCTAAGTCGCCGGACGACACCGGCGGGAGCGAGAGTTGCAGTCCGGATCTAGTCGCGGCTGGTGAAAAGCAACTGGCGCGTTCCTTCCCGAACTCGCAAATTCACCACCACCGGACGTGGGGCCTGACGCCGCCGGATCAGCAAAGGTAGGAACTATGTAAGCAAGAGTTGGACAACATCACTTGATGTGTATCTCTATCTTCCCTATTTCTTTTAGGCCTACACCTGTTCACTCAGCATCTTCGGCAGCATCTCTTCACTTTACTACACCTCTCTCATCCTCCTGGCCGTCGCCATTGCCACTGCCTGAGCGTTGAACTTGTTCTTGATCAGTTACCACGAGCAAAATACAAGAATGACTTCACCCATCAGGTACTTGCGAGCCCCGCCGAAGCTTGATGCAACGGGACCACCGACGAGGACAGCCTCGTCGTCCTCCTCTACCACGTACCACATTGGCACTCCGGCGAAGACGCAGGAGTACACTATCGCGACACCGGACCCAATTGTCGTGGCGGAACCAGCACAAGAATTGACGACTTCGAAAATAGTTGCAGAACGACCAGGTCGACGAGTGGAACTTTCGACGCGCTCCGTGGTTGCTTCCTCGAGCCCGTCGCCCCCAACCACCGGGGTCTTCTGTTACAACGCAGAATTTTTCCAGAGAGAAGTACTTGGGGAACGAAGGCGACCGCGGGCCGGAAGGAGCTTCATCCGGCACGTCACATCTCAAGGAGCCGGATTATCGACCGGCACTGGTGGAGGTCCTGGTCGTGTTACTACGAACAAATCGGAGGAGGTGGAGGTGGATCATCGAAGCGAGATCTTCGCCAACGAAAAGAAGAACAGTTGTACCACTAGCCACGTCGATAAGATGAACAGCGAGTCCTCCACTCCGGAAATAAAGGTGATCCCGCCGATCGTCCCCTCTCCGGGTGGCAACTTTAACTACGGCTGGCAGTTCGACGACGCATTCGGTGTGAACAGGGACTACGAATCTTTCAGTGCCCAGCTCCCCCGTAAGCAAACAGCTGCTGCAATGGAAGAGGATAAAGCGGAAGATCAGGACGATGCCGAGGACAACGAAATCAGCAGGAGCAGCAGCAGCAAAAACGACTCGTTTTCCCGCTTTCCACACGAAGATGAAGTAGATAAGAACGTCGTCTATCCTGCGGTCGAGCAAATCCCGACGCTGCACTCGCCATTAGGATTAGCGGAACCGGTGCGCGGGCGCTTGGCGGGTCAGCGCGGCGGGTCTGGTGAATTTTATCTGCCTTCCGAAGAGTCTTCGGAAGTGGTAGATGGGGGAAATGTCTACGGGAACCGCAGCCCGGAGGCGACACGGTGGTAAGGGCGGTGAGCGTGAGGAGCTTTTGTCTATCAACAACTATTTCTTCATCTTCTCACGACAACAATCGTTACTCTGAAATTGAGAAAATTTCAAATTATCTGTAGGCGATATAGAGTTTTGATAAATATGTGATGAATCTACTCAATCTTAATCGAATTTGTTTTGAACAGGAAACGGACAAGTTGATATTGAGTTTACAACGTCAACATTGGTTAATACTCACTTCAGACGAGCTCTTCTTTGTTTTGAAAGAATTTCTTTGAAAAAGTTCAGCGCCCAACTTTAATTTTGTATTGCCATCTTTGGGTCGTGATAGATGAAATGCCATGCAAACTCTAACTCACCAGACATCAATTCTGACACCGAGATTGAGAACTTCGACTTTTTCTTCGAGCTTTTATGATTTTACACTACGTGAACAATTGTCAGTCATTTTTTTTGTTTCCATCGTCTCCCGGATTCTGAATTCTTTGTGTTTCACAGGAGCCTAAAAATTCCAGAACTGAACAAATGAAGCAGGTGAATAATATAGCGAAGGTTAAAATGTAGAAAAATTCACGTTCTGACTGAAGTATGTGCCCCAGCACTGCATTACTTACAACTGGGCAGCACTATTTGGAAGAGAACTTTTTTAACGAGTGAGATTCTTTTGTTTATCGCAAAGTCGTCTCCTCCTATTTTCCTAAATTTTCCTTTTCTTTTACCCGAACTTTTTTATTTTGAATAGAGGATGACAACAAGCAACTCTGATTCGATCTTGTTAGCAGGTCCGTGGAAAAAGAAAAGACAGTGATGTTTTCAGAATTGTCTGCATTCTACTGACGAGCTTGCTTCCCACGCCCACCACCACCAGTTGCTCGTCTTGCCTTCTTGGAAGTAGAGAGACTACTCCTACTCCAACAGATCAATGTCAAATGATGCATCAACTACATCATTGCGTTTGCGATTGCAGCTCAGAGTCGCAGCGATCGACAAGAGCCTCCTTTGGTTTATGGTCGCCGGCCCCTATGAGTTGAAAACGACTGCTGGAAGGTCCCATCTTTCTATCGTAAGAACGACGGACGTGGAGGTGTTTCTAGTTCCTGCAGTATCTTGTTCCAAAATCATGGCCAACGAGGTCAATCTCGCTTCTGTTACTTGCATTTGGAGCAAAAGCCGCGGTACTTTCCGTGCAGCCGCGCTGCCAAAGACATGCATAGTGGTCGGTTTTGAGAAAGTGGCGCTGATGCAACCTCCTTCGACATCGTTACAGCTTCTAATGAAGATGACTTCAACTTCTATACAGTAAGTAGCAATCAATGTCAATCTTCGTCATCGTGATCGCCTGCTAGCTTTCATGAATGGTCGTGTATCGGCAAATCGTGTTGTCGTCGTGATCGTTTGTAATATCGTTAATATATTTTTTCGCATTCTTCGTCGTCAAAAAAGTTACTCGCTCGCCTATCGCTCGTCGGCAAGCACGAGCCGCGCTTATGCGTTCTCAAGCCTGCGGCTGCGAGCACCGATTGGGCAAATGATAATCTGAAAACTCAGCCGATTCGAAAAGCACACGCAGTGCCTGTTTTCGTTTCAAAAGCTTCCGCTGGGAGATTGTGAGGACGTGTGAGAATGCGATACTGAAGTAGATATTGATGTAAGTACTACAACTAGAGCTTCAGTTAGATACCGATATTGCGCTTCACAATCATGACCGCCACGCTGGAATCCGTCCTCCGCCACTGGAAAGACCGCCTAGCCGTCCTGGAATGGAGCAAGGAGAAAGAAACCACCCGCACCTACGGCGAACTCCACGAGCGCGCTTTGAAGGCCGGCGCCGGGTTGAAGTCCTTCTATTCTCTGGTCCCCGGTGACCGGATTTTACTCCTGTCCAACAATGGCGTCGACTTTCTGGAGATGCTGCTCGCCTGCAGCTTCTTCGGTTTCATCCCGGTTCTCGTCGATTTTTCCGACTATTCCATCGACGAAGTCTATGGATGTGTCAGGATTGAAATCGACAAAGTTGAGATGATTTCTCGTGCATAAACTGCAAGGCGTGAAGTGCCTCTCTTGCAGGGATGGCAAGTGAGGCCGACTGTCAGCCTGTTTGGGGGCTGCGATAAAGCTGCTAAAGTAGCATGACAAAAGACGCCTTCTGGTTCTGTCCCTAAACAGCATGACAAACTGGACTGCGGCAGCGGCTCTAGTACCCAAAAACTTTGTCATGAACCACTTAGAAACTACTGGGTCACAACTGGCATCCATTTTATGCATGGCAAATCATAATTTCAACTTTGTCGATTTCGATCCTGACATTCCCATAAAGTCCGAGAGGCGTTCATCTACAGTAGCGAATTCGAAGAGTTTAAAAGGAAGCAAACGGGGATACAGAGGCTGTCTGCCTTAACCGACGGCCTCGACGCTTTTTCCGACAGTGGCAACGATACGGAAGATACGGAGTACGATGAGGAGACCGGGCGGAGGCTGCCCTCGAGACGAGAAAGGGAAGAGCAGGAGGCCGCCGCGAATGCGGTGGAGCAAGCCAGTGGGGAAGTAGGAGTGCGACCATCTACTGCTTCAGCAGCAGATGAAGATACGAAAAAGAAAAAAGCCGAAGAAAGCAATAAGGCGAACAGCGCCTTGATCCCAGTTCCAGAGGAGCCGCCGCCGGACATGGCGCAACGGATCCACGGGCCGCGGAAAACCGAAGACGAAAAGTGGCGAGACAACATCCACCGGAACACGTTTCTCACCAGGCTCCCCGGCGGGCAAGACACGAAGTTTGGGAGGCAGTTAAGAAAATTGCTCGAAGGCTGGGAGATCGCGAGACTGCGGGACGAGACCGCGCCGGCGCTGAATCCGCAGATGCAGAGGCTTGCCGCCGCGGTGCTGGAGAAGGCAGCGGAGGACGTGCAGAACATGAAAAAGAAGATGCAAAGCTTGGCAATCCAAACAGCCATGGACAAAGCAACGGCAGCGGAGGAAAAAAGAAGGCAAGCGGCTTTGGGCAACGCAGGATCAGTTGCTTCGAAGAAGAAGTTCGGTTTGGGGAAGAAGAGAGGGAAGAAGGGCGGGTCTGCACAGGATAATGGGACTGAAATCGTCCGCGGGCCGAGTCAAGAGGATCTCGACGACCCGACTGGGCGAATTGCAAGGGAAGCGGCGGAGAGGGAGGCGGCGGAAACAGCGAAGTTGGAGGGCATTGCGGCGGCGCGGGACCCGGACCGCATGCTAGACAGCTGGTTCCGGCGAATCAAGCCGCAGGGCGGGACACTGCATATGAGAGTGCATGAGTCGTTTTTGTTTTTTCTTTCGCTCCTTACCTGTCATGCAAAGTAAATACCAAAGCCAAAGTATACCCGCCAACCGGCTTGCGTTGCCTGTTAGTTTGCAGCCTTTTGGCAGCGCTGTTTGCATCGCACAAAAGTCCCTGGGTGAAGCGAAACTGCGCTACACAATCGACGGGCATGTTTGTCATGGAGAAGCTGCAGCATTGGCATTGTTCTTTGCTGCTTGTATTGCAACTCTTTGTAGATCATGCTATCATGCAAATTATGAGGGTAGAGCGAGAGGGACGACCTCCACGACAGTTGTGCACAACTCCCATACTGCAGAAATCGAAGTGGGAAGACCAACGAAGAGACATGCTGCTCGCTGCGCGGTCCAACGGGGCGAAGGAAGCGAAGCCCGATGGCAGTTACGGTCCCCCGACAATCAAGGTGTACGAAGGTGCGCCGGGTGGGAATGAGCTATTCGGCGGCAAAGCGAAATCACCCGGGGAAGAGGCCGCGAGTGAGGAGGGAAACGGGGGGACGACGACCGCTGGAGAAGACAATGGCACTTCTACGCAAGGCGGCGGTGGTGCGACGACGTCGTCGTCTTCCTCTGCAGCGCCAAGCAGACCGGGAACGGCAGGAGGAGGAGGAGGTCGCGTTGCTAGTAGTAGTAGAAGTCCTTCCTCAAACAACAACAACACCATGTCGAAGACTAGAAACGTCGCGAAATTCCAGAACAAACTGCTGGACGACAAAGCCCGCGCTTTGAAACAGTCTGGGGAGACGCCGCCGAAGAAAAGTGCTGCGGGGGAAGATCAAGATCTTCATGCAGACGATGAAGAACCTCCGCACCAAGCCAGCGCGCCCCCAGGGATCAACGGTGTCTCCGCTAGGGCCGCGCCAAACAAATCTTCTGGGAAAACAAGAAGGAAGCACCAGCACCAGGAGGACCAGGTGGAACACCAGATGGCGGCGTCGGCGCAGATGGTGCAGGCGTTGATCGGCGGTTCGGAAACGGAATCCTCCGACAACGAGGAGCAATACGGCTCGGATGACTCCGAGGGCGCGAAGATGCGGTCTGACGAAGACCAGTCGGACTACGAAACTAGACAGGTGCACCGGAAAGCCGCGAAGGATAGGCGCTTCCCACACCTCTGGCGTGTCGATTGGCAGAAAGATATCCAGAAAAAAACACCCATCTCTATCCAATTTGTCATGCGAAAGATGCATAATTTCCAGTGTTTGATGTCATGCCAAAAATGGGTTTGGATGGGTGTTTTTTCCTGGATAAAGGACCGGGACCGAAGAGCGAAGCTGGCGACGTTCGTTGAGCAAATCGTGGCGCAGGTGGAGCCGAAGCTGATCTTTTTCCCCAAGGAGCCGGGGTTCGAGCAGGAGATTCCGAAACCGCCCACGATCGTGGTGAAGGCGGAGGAAGAGGAGGACTTGGATGCGGAGTTGGCCGCTTTTGCGGCTGCGGGCGGTGGAGACGGGGACGACGACGCCGAAGAAAATAAAGACGATGAGGACCACGACGTGGACAGCCAGGACGGCCCGGAGCCCAGTATCGAGCAAGTCGCACACTCCGTGGAGCCGAGTATCGACACGGCGGGAATGAACAGCGCTAGCATTCTTGAAAACAAAGAACAAGAGAACAACTCCGGCGAGGACGGTGAAATGACTGCAGCAGATCGAGATCCAAAAAATGCAGCAGAAGCTGCAGCGAGAGCTGAAGGCCGCGAAGCGGCGGATGGCGAGGCAGCAGCATCAGATAGTAAGCCGAAAAAGAAAAAAAAGAAGAAAAAGGGCGGGGCAGCCACGCCTCCCCCGGAACAACCGGAAATCCCAGTAAAGCCCGAGATCGACGTATCTGACGTCGTCCCCCCGTACACGGACGAAGTTTACGTCGGCAGGGAGGGGATGCTGACTGTCCCCGTGTGCACGTCTGTGGACCATCTCTGTAAGCACGGCTCGATTCTCTATTTCAAACCGAGCTGCGTGGCGATCGAGCCCGAGTCGGTGTGGTTCCTGCAGTACCAGGTGAGGTCCCGGGAAGAAACGCTCTGCCGACCGCTCGTCCGGAGCTTCGAGTCGGTCTTCGCAACTTTGCAGCCGCACGTCCGGGCTTTGCGGCTGCACAAGACCTGCCAGGACACCGAGTCGCTAGCGAAAGAAGCGGAAATCGTCGAAGAAAGAACGGAATACGATGAGAACGGGTTTCCCGTCGATTTAAAAACGGCGGGGATCATGACATCAACGGACAAGAATCGCAAGAATTATGCCCTCGACCCGAAGAAGCTTCTGACCACGACAAGCATGAAGAACCCGAATCAAGAACCCTTAGTACCCGGCGAGAAAAGAAAGGCCCTGAAATCCGCTGTCAACGGCTCCCACGCGCGCGGCCTCTTTCTCCCGCCATACGAAAATTACAGCACGCTCTTTTACATGCTGGTGACCCTGTGGGCGGGCGGTTGCATCCACACCAGCGAAACCGTCTGCAACACGGATCCCCCCGTCATCAGACAGAAGCTGATCAACCGACAGTGGCTCCCGCGCGTGAAGCCGACTTTCACTGCGTTACCCCCTCACAAACTGCGCCTGATCGACCAGTGGAGCTTCGATCTCGTGATCCTGCTCGTCGTGAACAACAGTCTGCTGCGGGGGACGTTTCGCCGGACTCTGCGAAACCAGCACAGGCAGGTGATCGAAGCGTACTACACGGCAGAGTGCGGGTTGATCGCCTGGCGCGTCTGGGAACCCATGTTGACGCCGGATGAGGAGGATAGGAAAATCGAGGAATTGCAAGATTTACGCATTTTGCAAAAAAAGGAAAGTATCGTACTCGTTGTACTTTTGAAGTTGCAAAAATCAGAAACATGGACTGAACAAGAAAAAATGGAAGTCTTTTTCTCAACCACGCAAATCCGCCCTACAACTTCCACTTTTGTAATGTCATTTTTGCCGAATTGGAATTTATTGTGATGCGCTTTTTACTAGTACGGTCGACACCTTTGCAATGCATAGAGCTTGGACGCGGAATCCGGGCTAATCGACGAGGAGGGCGTGGATGGTGTTGATCTGGAGCATCCGTTAGCGGGTTATGCAATACAAATTTCCCGTAGTTCTTGTACCAGTGCACGCAAGTAAATAGAAGGACTATAAGGGAAAAAATCACCACAACCTTCAGAAGAAAATTCTTCAGAAGAACCTTCAGAAGAATTCAAAAATCTTCTGAAGGTTCAAAAATGGCTGTTTTGAAAAAGACATAAAATCGGAACGGATTCAGGTCCTGTTTCAAAGAAAACAGTTTTTTTTTCACACCTTCAGAAGCTGACCTTCTGAAGGTTTTTGACCTTCCTGAAGGTTTTTGAAACCTTCAGAAGAATTTTGATGCGCAAAAGCTTCTGAAGGTTTTTCTGCTGTTCATTTTTGACCTTCCTGAAGGTTTTTGATCTTCTGAAGGTGGAAATTTGAAAACCTTCTGAAGGCCGAATGAAAAAAATTGGCATTTTTTGACAAAAAAAATTGCGAAAAGTGGCGCATTATTTTTTGACCTTCAGAAGGTCAAAAAACCTTCCTGAAGGCCTTCTGAAGGTTGAGACTCTTCTGAAGGTCCAAAAATCTTCTGAAGGTTTTCTGCAGCTTTTTTGAAGCTTGCAAACCCAAGAAGTGTTTTTTTCGACTAACGCGCCGGGTGGAAAGAGCGCGACTGGGCCTCGTTCGCGTTTAGATGCTTCGCGCAGTGCTGTCTCGATTCCCGTCGCTCAAGAAGCGCCTGGCACTTTGACAAGAAACTAAAGCTGCGCGCTTTTGTAAAAGCAAAAAGCGAGGCCTGGCTAGGTAGCGGACAACAGGCGAGCTCTTACTTTCCTGGTTTCCTCATGATCTGGCCGGGCCTCCGAAATAAAAGCCGCCAAAGCTGCTGGCCACTATTGTAAAGCGAGAAGCGACCCCGTTGCTTGTTTGTTAGTCTGGGCCTCAGAGACGAAGCCAAAAGCTGGCCGTCTTTGTCTTCTCCCGAATTTGGCCACTTCGAGAGAAGCCAAACGCGGCCACTTTATTATGGCCGACAAAGTCGAGCGCGAAAATTTTTCAGGACAGACTGGCACTGGGCCGACAAAGTCGAGCGCGAAAATTTTTCAGGACAGACTGGCACTAAAATGAGGCCTACGCTGAATAGTTGTTTTAATTTTTCCCACGCGGCGCACGCCGCGTGGATTGGTTCTGACGTACGAATGATAAAACATAAAACAAATGCATGAAATTGACAGATGCTGGTTTTTTAAGCCTAAAGCTGGAGGCGGGCGGCTTTTGGAATCCCGAGTAAGGTAGGCCGAGAGCAGTCCGTTTGCGGAGGCGCCATATAATGCGCATGATGTGGGTATTGATGTTGTACAGGAAATTAGTTTCAGTGGATACAGGCGGGGCCGGGATGGAGTCAGATGTCGCTGGGGGAACCACGCCGAAACAAGGAGAACAAGAAGGTGGACATTCGAGTTCTTCTGCCGTTGCAGGAGCTGGCGCCGATAGTCTCACACCTCATTCTGCTGGCGAAGGCGCAACTGCTACTGCTTCCACGCCCGCCACGCCCAGTGGTCTCGGAGGTTTCGCGATGCGGTCGAAAGCGAAGGGCAAGTTACGGACCAAACTCGCCACGGCGCTTATGATTTCGCAGAAAGTGACAACCGAAACCGACCTCCAGGATGAGAACCGGGCCCGGGAATTGGAGAAGGAGCGGCAGACGCCGATGCAGAAGAAACGGGGGGAGAAGAAGGAATCGCCGCCGCCGTTGACACTGGAGCAATTGACGTGGAAACGGAGGAAGAAGGAGTACCGCGCGCTGTTGGACTTGCGCCACGAAGCGCGGTGTTTGTCCGCGGGGGACTGCCGGGACATCCCGAACGGAACGCTCGTCTGCGTCTCCCCCGTGAAGTGCGATCCGTTCACGAAGGAGCTGTTTGTGCGGTCTCAGTCGAATTTCTGCGGCTACTACTTCGACGCCAACATGCTGAAGGCGGTGTGTCAGATGGGGATGGAGCGGAACCGCTTGCGGAAAGAGCTCCATTCCGACGCGATGATCTACCATCCGCTGTCCGGAATGCGGGGCGTCGTGCACAAACCGAGCTGGCAGGACCGGATGAACAGAATCATCGCCGGGGGGATGCGGGCAGCGCGCATGTACCCGAAGTTCATCGGGGATCCGGAAGTGGAAGTAGAGTTTTCGGAGCGGGATAAGAAAGTAAGAGAGAGGCTGGAACAAGTGATGAGCAGGAGGGAAGCAATCTACGACGAAGATGAACAGTCGGAACAAAAAATTGGAACGAGGACGAAGACGGTGGGGGCGGTCGAAGTAGCGGAAGATGATCATGGTGAACAAGCTACCGCAACACGACATGCCGCTCCTCCGGCATTGATGTTCTACAACGAAAATAAAGCACTCGAGCAAGTAGAAGAACAGCAGCAGCACAAACAGCGATTCCATCTGGCGCTGCAGACAAAGGGTTCCTGGGTGTTTGAAGACCCCTTTGTTTTGGAACAAACTCTACTACCTGAAATCCCAGCACGTGAAGTTAAAGAATCGAAGAGGCAAAAGAAGCATCGGATCCGCTTGCTCGGCTCCGGCTTCCTGGCGTTCAAAGCGTCCATGTGGTCCGGGGAACCGGCTGTGGTGCTGAACCAGCGGAAGCAAGAAGAAGAGGAAATTTTACCGACGGCGGAGGAAATCGAGAACGGGTTGGCGAGGGAACCGTTTATTTCCGGAAGAACAGCAGGAGCAACAGCCGCGGGGTACAAGAATCCAGAACAGAGAGCTGCTGGTGGAGATCATGATCATGAACAACTCCCTCCAGTAGAAAAGGAGTTCGACCCGCTGACCGCCCGGCTCCAGAAACCGCCGACGGAAAAAGAGATCGCGGCCGCGGCACAGCACGTACCGACGAAGTTCCAGTGCGCAAGCCCGACGCTCCAGAAGATGACCATGCGGGCCCGGAATTTAGCTGATATGAAGAAGCACAACATGGCGAAGTTCAAACCCACGGAATTTGAGCTGATCCACATGCAGAGGATCCAGTGCAGCGAGAGATGCGACTTGTTTGGCCAGCTGTGGAGGAGGCGGAATTTCGAAAAATTGAAACTGGCGGAGCTCTGCCCGGGCAGGTTGAAATTCACGAGCGTGGACAACCCATTGCCGCGGAACGTTGTGCAGAAAAGACAGATGTACTACGTGAAAACCGTTTTGGATCCAAGTTCGGACAAAGAGGACAACAACGCAGGACCAGCAGGAGAGGAGAATACTGCGGACCACAGAGTGGATTTGGGAAGAATCGTGGCTGGTGGCGATCGGCCGAAAACACCCAAAAAAGCGAAGACGCCGAAGAAGGAGGCAAAACCGCCCGCGGGGCCGGTTTCCCTAGCGGACCAGATGATGATGGACGGGGGGAAATCGCCGAAACCGAAGAAAAAAGGCCAGCACGTGAAGAAGAAGAAAAAGAAGAAGGGCACCGCGACGCTGTTCGATCCGCTGTACTACGCCCGAAGGAGGTCGTGCCCGGGGAAAATTCTGCAGGACCCGATGTTGTTGCAGCGGAAGAAAGCGGTTTTGATCTTGGAAAGCGTCATCTTCAAAGTCACGAAGCGGCTGCTCGACGAGGAGAACGCGCGGATGCCCTGGACGGTGCTGGACGGGGTGCAGCCCGCGGAGGTCTTTGTAAGTGAAAAAACAGTGCCACCGCCGTCCCCAGTCGACAGCGACGACAGTCAGGGGGAAGTGGTCCCGTGGCACAGGAAGCGGAAGAGGGGTTGGATTGAGTCCCCAGTGAGGAAGGGGAACAACAAAGAACCAGAGGAGGATCATTTTTCGGCTGCTGAGAAGATAAGGGCAGGTGTACTTGTAACTACCACGACGAGACCCTCCAGTCGCAGTCCGGCTGAAACATCGACAAGAAATAAAGTCATGCCAGCAACGTCGTCGGTGGATCCGACGCTGCCGCGGCCAAAGGAGCACGAAGAACTAGCTGCCACTGATCCCGGTGCGGACCTGTCCTCCGCATCCGCAGGAGTCACTGGGGAGACTTTGAAAAAACCGGATCCGAAAGCCAAACCGCGCTACGGAGGCTTCTTGCCCGCGCTAGAGGTGAAAGACGTCAGCTCAGCGTCGAACTCACCGGCGAAGAGCTCGCTGATAGCCGGTGGACCACCAGGACCACAAAAACAGCAAAGTGGTTCGGAAATCATGAAGCGGACCATCTCGAGGACGTCGAGAGATGAACAACAAAACCAGCAGAGCAAGGGCGTCACTTTCGCGTCACAGAACTCGATCCACCTGGTTTCGTCCGCCAATTCGTCTGTGCAGCTGGACCGGAACAACGCAGCTGCTTATGCAAGTAATAGTGCGACATCATCAACATCTTCGCAAATAAAGAACTACAGTATCAACCCCGCCATCGATCACGAAATCCCGCCCAGTCCCGGCGAACTCCGCCTGGCCGCCGACGATCTCTTGGAGCGCACCCAAGAGGGCAACGCGATTCTGAACTTTTCCCGGCCGAAGGCGGTGCGCGTGCACGATGTGGTCGGGGAGAAACGAGCGCACGAGGTGATCCCGAGAACTTTCTCCCCGCGGACGGAAAAAGAGAAACGGGAGGCAAAACACAGTCGTTACGGATTGCTGAAAGAGGAGAAGTATGAAATGCAAAAATGTCTGGGTCTGGAAGAATCTAACTTGTCATGCTAAATCAGAATCATTCAAAAATTTGTGTTGCGTGATTACAAAAAGCTGGCCGGCCACTTTTGACCTAATCGAGAGGCAGTTTCTCATGCAGGATACGCATGATAGAACTGTCACATAATCTGTCATGCTATGTCCTTCATACCAGACCTCATGGGTCATGGAAAACCTGCATGACAAGTCTGCATTCTTCCAGATCCAGACCCAGACATTTTTACATTTGATAAGAAGAACGTCGAAGCCAGCTTCTTCAATCACGGCGGACCGAAGTACGCCCATGCGCGGTCGCTTTACGACAAGAAGATCCAGAACAAGTTCTACGGCGCCAATTCCCGAACGGCGAGAACCGTCGCGGACGTTCTGGTCCTCGGCGAGGAAATGAGCCGCATTGACGTTACGAAGTCCGTCTTGGAGCATATGCAGTACAATAAAAGCTAGCATCCGGCGCATCGTTTTACTATTGATTTTAATTTCTCAAAAAGAAAAGCATCAAAACTGCAGTTCTGTTTTTCATGCCGGAAATGAAGGTATTGAAGAAACAACGAATCTGTCATGCAAGAATGTGCCATCGGGATTTCCTGCCCGTAGACCACCAAAGTCATGCAAGAATTCTACTACGAGCAGTATGCGAAGCGATACTTTTGCACAGAATAGAGCAGTTTAAACAGCAGAAGAACTGGCAGCTGTTGAAGAATCCAGAGGAGGAGATCGCGAACCAGTTCATCGAGAAGCACATTCTCGTTTCCGGCACGGGGTCGCTGGAGTATTTCTTTCCGAAGAATTTCGCCTTTGACAGTAACGAGCGAAAAGAGTTGGAGAAGTCTCTGATGCTTGGCCCCAATACAGAAGTCTTCGTCCCGGCGCACACGACCTCGATGCCCATCGCGTCGATCGATCTGAACCTGCCGGAATTGGACCGGGGCGGCGCGAAGACGGCGGCGCGCACGACCAGTTTCCTGGATGGCATTGGGAACACCGAGGAAAAACGAGCGACGAGTCCGCGGAGGCAGTTTTACCACTGCTTGTATGACAAGGCGGATGAAGACGTCGCGAAGGCGCTCGAATACGCGGAAAACCGGAACACCGCGAAAGCGATTGCGGAGAAGTCGTTTCTGTCATCACCCGGAAAAAATAAATCTGCGTCCTCGAAGGGTGGCGTTGGCGGGTTTTTGACCTCGTTGAAAGGCAGTGGTAGGAAGGACAAGGAAGTACCAGAGCAGAAACCGACGCCGTTCTCATCTCCGAGTAAAAGAACTGCTTTCAGTAGTGCCGCAACAAGTACTCATCCTAGACAAAGCCCGTCCAAGGCCTCCGTAGGTGGTTGTACTACAACAATTACGGGAGCAAGGACATCAACTTCGACCATCGCCACCCCCTACCACTCCACCTCCTACACGACGTACTGTTCCCCGCAGAAGCAGGCGATCAGTGTTTCGAAGAAGAAGAAATCCTGCAACGTGGTGGTGCAAGGCGTTGCGGATTGTTTGATCAAGGAAACCGCTTTGGGGCTAGCACGAGACGACGCGCTACGGTCCGCGAATTCGACGAAGCTGATGCAGTGCATCGTCCGGAATCCGACACAGCCGGTGTACTTGTCGGCGTTGACCCCGCTGCAGTTGCAGTGGAAGCTATCGCCAGAAAAAACTGTTTCACTGTAAACTTGTATGTAAGGTGGCAGAAAATATAGGTCACAAGTAGTGTTTCTTGTCTTTGTCACATGCAAGACAGTGGATTTATTTCACCTGCGTTTTCCCTGTAGGAACCTTGCATGGATGAAATTTCCTCTGTCATGTAGAGCGAACTTGTGATGCAAAACCTGCAAAAAACTTAGTTACAGCGAAGCACTTTTTTCTCACGATAGAAGCGGATCGAGATGTTTTTGGCACAGATCGGGGTCAACCCCTTGCCGAAGCAGTTTCTGGTGATCGGGGACAAGTTGATGAAACTGTTACCCGGGAGCTCCGCCTTAAAAAAGTACGCGAGTGGGTTGCTGGGGAAGGCGGAACGAGCGGAATTCAAGGCAAAGCAGAAAAGATTAATGGAGGATAAGAAAAAGAAGGCGATTTTGCAATATGAAGACCAAGGTCAAGGAGCTTCCGTCAGCGAGCAAATGCAAAAATCCTCCGAAGTGGAACCACAACTCGCCGCTCTCCAGAACGACCGTCCGGAGGAAGAGGAATTCAGGTCTCTCCCGCCCCTGCAACACGTTTCCTCTTATGCATTGTAGAAGTTGTCTCGTACATGTACTAGAACTAGTAGCAATTCTTGCAATACAAATTAGGTTTGCATGACAAATGGACTTAGCGAGAAGTAAGGTAAAGATAACATAAGTGCCCGGGGATGAAGAAATACTCGCGATGTTTTTTCGCGGTTCTGACCCTAGATCTCCTGCGTCCGAAGCTGCTTGCGGCGACGGTGCAAAGGTTTTTGATGTGGTGCAGTCGGGTATGCATGACAAATGGACTTTGCCATGCTGATTTAGCTTGGGAAGGCGATTTGTCTTGCATGATTGCGATTAGGTGCAATTGTTGCGAGTGCGATACTTGTTTTGCAACGCATAGCTGTGCCCCCGTGACGATTCAGCTCCTGGGGAACATCGACCGGGTGATCTACGTCACCTCCACTCCGCAGGTCTTTTACCCGGCGGAGATCGAAAACTTCGTCTTGTCCTTGGCTTCCAAACGGATTCCCAAGCCTGACAACGTTTTGGAAGATGATCCGGAAGACGAAATAGACACCGCAGGAGCTGCAGGGACTACCACCGGCGGATCCACGAGTGGTGGTGATGGAAAGACCAGTAGTACGAAGATCAAGGGACCTGCGACACCGAAATATCGGAACCGGAGGGGGATCGTGGGGCGGAAATGGAAAACCAGGCTGCGAATGATGATGAACTTGCAGACAAAGGGTGATAGGGAAAGGCAACTAAAAAGGGATCGAGAGAGGTGGAGGAAAACACAACACGGACAAAATTTGGTATATTGTTGTATCATTTCTTCACTTTGTTCTTGACGTCGTGGTGTTTCTTTAGTAGTTTATGCAGTTAGTTGCAGTTTGATCAATCATGCTATAATTCGGCTTCTGGGACGGGAGGAGATGAATCTGAAAACTTCATCTGACCGGAACCTGCTGTGCAGCAGATCTTATCTTTTTGGGGAAAAAGAGAAGGATTTCGATTTCCAAAAATAAAAATGAACAGGTTGACGAGTTCGTGGAGGACTGCGTTGTGAAAGGCCACCCGTCGAACTTGAAAGCCGACCGCATTCAGTGTTTCCTCATAACCGCAAACGACATCACGAACGAGCAGAAGCAGCACCTGAGCAGCTTCGTCCTGAAGGAAGTTCGGGAGGCGAACAAATTCCCCCGGTGTATGCTACCGCGAGAGGTGAAGATCCGCCGGTTGAAGGACACGAAGCGGGACATCGTGACTGGGGAACTGTTAATCGACTCGGTGATGGACGTGTCGGCGATGAAGGACATGTTCAAGGAAAACCTGGAAAAGGGCCACAAAATCGAACGGAAGTTGTACGACGAGGAACTGGATCTCCGCGGCACGGAACGCGCGATGGCCGAATACTACATCTACGAACACGCGAAGGCTCGGGTCGAAAAGCGGCAGGCGAAGTTGGACGCGCGGGAGGAGCGGAGACAGTTCTACAAGCTGGTGAGGGAAGAGTATCTGGAAAAACAAAGAATCATGAGGGGGGAAATTGAGGCGCACAACGAGCGGGAATCGAAGGAATTGAACGAAACGGAGGAATGGGCAAGGAAGGTGGAGAACGGGGAGCGGGTTGACATTCCTGATTTCCTGAATCTGGAAAAAGTTAGGGCAGAGGAAACTGCGAAAGATGATGCTGGTCGTAGTAGTCCTAACGTGGCGGAAAGCGGAAGAATCGGAGCGTCTGTTGTGGTGAAGTCGGTGTCAGTCAGCGGGTCTGCAGTCGGGGATGCGGAGGAGGAGAAGGGCGGTGGGACGGAAGAGAAAGTGGAAGACGCATGATTGATTCACTTCTGACTATGAGCTAAGCGCTAGCACATCTTCTTGTGGAAGATAGAAGAAGGTGTCGTGAAAAGGTTGAATTTGAATGAAGATACTCATACTTCTAGACGAGGACACCTTTGATTTCTATCTTGGACTCGGGCTGCTGAACTAGAAATAGATGCAACTACGACTTCCTGGTCACCAGGAAACGACCAAAACGCAGATTGAGGAAAAAGCAAGTATCGCCTAAAATTCGAACAATGATTCAATGTCTGCCAGCGAAGCATTGAAGAAACCACGACCTCCGTTTTAGGTTTTCTCTCTGCAACATTCGTAAAAATCGTCGACGGGAGGTATTTAGCAATCGGATTCGTAATCGCAATCGGTCGAAATGGTTCAAGAGTGAGTCTTGTCGAGGCATCACCAGGACGCAGGAGAGGTGAGGTAAAAATAGTCGCGTAACCCCACGACCAAAGGTCTCGGTATTGACTTAGGTCCTCATCAAGGTAAAAATCGATGATTGATGAATCGCGTTTATTTATTCGCATTCGCTCGGGGTTGTGTTGTCCATCGTTGATACTCCCATCGTTGGATCGTTTTTCTCGCAAGATGAAAGAAAGTAGATAACAAATGCAATCTATCTCTGCCGTACTTCTCTGGATCTGTCCTTCACCGCTTTATTTATGAGATGGTAAAATTCGACCTCGACGGAGTGAAAGCGTTTTCTTCAGCACGAAGCGAAAACTGTTGGAGAATGTATGTTGATAATGTCCGCTCTTTGAGTTGTACGACTACAACAGCTATTGCCCTCAACTTTCAAAAAGCGTCGAATATGAGGATCATGCCTTCATCCTCCCTTCCAATACGCCATGTTCTGGCATTCCTACTTCACGTCTTTCTCTTCTTCGCTAATGACGGAGGAAAACGAACACAAACAATCGTGGTGGCCTACAGTCCGCGAACAAAGAGGGGAAATCTGCGAGGACTCTCTGCACCAGCGCCGGAGCAGACTGCAAGTGACGACAATTATGGTTATTTTGATCGACCTAATTTTTCCAAGAACTCCTATGCGTCTTCGACTCCACCCGATGAAACCAATGGCGCGGCACCTTCGACCAGTTATGAGGACTACTACCTCATTGGCGGCCAGGGCGATAACCAGGAAAATGTAAATGACCAATACAACCATCATGATGCAGGTCGTCCTGGAGGTGCAAGAGAAGATGTTGGACCTCCTCCTTCGTCTGCTTCAGCGGGGCTACCACGACTTCTTCCCCAACAAGCATCCTTTCTCGATATCGCGGAAGAGCAAACTATGCTGTTGGAAAGAAAACTTGCCGAGGAGCACCGACGGGAAGAAGCAACGAAGTGGTCTCTGGACGAGTTGAAGAAAGCAAAACACGAACGCGAACTACTGGAGCTGGACGCGGAGATGAAAAAGGAGCAACTCCAAGACAAGCAGTTCGCGCAATCGAGCATGGATGAAGTGCGGCTGATTCAACTTCAAGAGCAGGCGATGGAGAGGGAGTTCGAAAGTAAATTGCGGGAGCAGGAGCGGGGTGTTCGTGAGGACAGCAGCCACCTGGAAAGCCAGAAGGCGGCGAAGAGCAAGAAAGTAGGCGGCAAGTCCATGTTTATCGAACTGGAACAAGAAGAGAATCAAAATCGGCAAGTAGAACAGGAGCAAGAGACGCAGCAGCTCGCACGCGAAAGCGAGCAACTTGAGCAAGAACGAATCGAATTAGAGCAGGAAAAAAAGCAATTGCTGGAAGAGAAACAGCGGCTAGCACGGGAGAGACGGTTGGAACTGCAGGCGGAGGAGGATGTGAAGATTGCGCGGCGCAGACGACAGGAGCACCGAGAGAAAGTGTCGAACAACCCGCCGAAATTCGCGCCACGGTACGACCCAGGCTACTACACGCAAGCGCATGGGCACGCGTCAGAGACAAGCACCCCGCAAACTGCGGCCCAACGGGGACGAGGACGAGGACAGCCGCAACTACCGGCGCCAAGACAAGGCGCTGCATCATCTACAGCCGCTCCTGCGACGAGAACTTCTCTACCGTTATTTTCAACATCACCAGATGGCCGCGGTCCACCGCTACCACTGGCGGACATTGGTGCACCACGAGTGCTGCCGGAGGAGCGTGATGAAGAAGGCGCTTTTACTGATTCTGTGGCTGACCGTTCTGCATCCCTCCAGGAGCCGGCGCCTTTTCTTTTCTCGCCAGACGTTTCGAGAGAACAACAATTGGAATTGCAAGAGCCCGCAGGAGGAGATCCACTTCTCGGTGAGACCGCTGGCCACGGCAACGGGGGCGCAGGTAGTGCGGGCACCCCGGCTGCAGCATCCGGCGCAAACTCCGCACTGTCTTCTCGTCCTGACGAGACGTCGCACGAAGGGCCGATGGCAGATGATCTGCCACAAAGAACATTGAGGCAGGGTGAAGTAACGTCGACTGCGGCTGGTAGTACACCCTCCAGCGAAGAAGTAGATGTTGACAAGAACTTCATGATGACGAGCACGCCAACCCCGACCGGACCACCAACGGACACAACTACCTCCGGGAACAAGGAAGTAGATTTTACCAGCCTGCAGAGACAAACAACTACTTCCACACCAAGCCCCGTTACGCCGCTGCCATTGTCGCAGCCGCAAAAATCCACCCCGACCGGAGGTAGCAAGCAGGAAACTTCTTCGGACAGACCAACCACAAAATCCGGTGGTGCACACACAAATCAAAAGAAGAAGAAGAAGCCGATGACAACTGAAGAACATGTCGCAATGATCAACGACGCGTTTAAGGACATCTACGAGCTTGATGAGCAAAGGCAGAAGGAGAAGGAAAATAAAGCCATCGACGAGCAAATCCGCAAGCTAAAGGCGCAGCTAGACGTGCTGGAGGCCCAAGAGCTGCAATCCATTCCGCGGGAGAGCAGGAAAATATCACACAGAAAAGTGCTGTTGAACACAGATGAATAGCAGTTTTATTGCACAAAATGATTCTTTTTCGTGACAAATTCAAAATATACCTAGCACACATACAAATTTCAGTCTGCTTTTGCATGCCTGCGCTGCTGCCGGCCGAATGCCGTTAATAACGTATTGAAGCACGACTTTTCTTGTGATAGAGAACGCCCCCGGACGCGATGAAGATTAAGGCTCAGCTGGAAGAGGAGGAGCGGCTGCAGGGTACACCGGGTTTCAAGTACATCGTGAAAGACCCCGCGTGGACGGAGAGAAACTATTTGGTCCGGAACAAGACGGCTCTGCGCGAACACCTTCCCCTCGTCCTGCGGCGAATCCAACAGCGGTCCATCATGGACGAGGAAAATGCAATGACGATGAGCACGTTGCTGATGAAGGAAGGTTTCCAGAAGGACGGTGTCACGCTCGTGATCGTCTTGCTAATCAGCTTGACTGTCCTCTTCGGCCTAATCTTCGGGCCCTGTTTGCTGGTGTTCGGGTCGGCTAGGTTTCGAGGAACAAGGATGACTGCTGGAAACCTACCAGCGTTAGTTGCAGCAGATGAAGATCCGTCCCGTTCCAGATTCCTGGCCGAATTCGAACGGGTCGGAACGATTAACAGCACCGTGCTGATCAAATCGAAAACGACAAAACGCTTCCAACTCTGGTCTGTGTGCTCGGTCCTGATCGGGTGTGGTCTGTTGTTCGCGGAGTACCCGTATCCACAGTAAATCTCAATTTACCGTACACGCACAAGCAATGCGATTTCCGCATGACAAAGCTTGCCTTCGACCCTGGTTCGCATGACGAGTCGTGGTAGTTTTTACGATGAACAAAGTTAGCGAAACTTCTTGTGATGTATTTTGTACGTGTGCATGTTCTGGAAATTTGTATTGCATAATCCGAACCGGATTTACTCACCCTGGATCCCGACGGCGGATTACGGAAACGTGTTTTTGATCCCGGGGATTATGCCCATCAACGAACAAATTCTTCGCGGGTTGTGGTATTTACTACCCGCTGTGGGGTTTCTCTTCTCCGGCCTCGTGCCGATTGCGGTGTTTGCGGCCGTTTCGGTCAAGAGTAGCGCGCCAGCTCAAGATCTTGATGGGGATTTCGTCGATGCGGAGAGGGGAAATCGTGAAAGACAAGCTTCTGGTGCAGCGGGAACATCTACAAAACGGCAGCGAAGTGTAGCGCGACGGAGTCCAGGAGCCGCTAGCCATCATCTTCCATCTGCACTGCAATCAGGTGGAGCAGCTGCGAGTGATTCTGGCAGCGATTTTTACAACGACGAGCGCGGTGGTGGGATCATCTCAAGTACTACGCCAGTTGAGGAATACAACGACGGTGGGGATCAAATTGACGACGAGCCGCATTCATCTTCTGGCAACGAAAACGACCTCGGCAGCGCGCCGCCCTCGTCCGACGAGATGCCCGGTTCGGATGGTTCGGGCGGTGGGCACTCCATGGACTTGGTTTCCCGCCCCGGGATTCCTTCCAGCGCGAACGTCAGCCCCGACGACGTGGAGAAGCAGTATCTGCAGGAGCACGAGCACCATCCTGGTGCTACAGCTTCGAAGCAGAAGGCTGGTTCTGCTGGCGAGAATAAAGCCGTGGAGGGACAACATGCGATGGCACCCCAGGGAACTACGGAGATGGAGCAACCGGCGGGAAAACCGGACGCGGACAACCCGGTTACAGGGTACAATCCGGAAGATAGCGAAGAAACAAACTACAGGAGCGGTGGGGGTGACGGTGACCCGGATGATGATGCCGGGGCAAGGAACAGAAGCGCTAAACCCTCCTCCTACTTCCCTGTGTCGAACCTGCAACTCCTCCTGCTCGCACAGAAACTCGCGGCGCCGTACTCCCTGCTAATCATGCTGATCTTCGAAACCGTGCAGCTGTTTTACGGGGAGTGCGTGACCATTCTTGCGTACGAAAACGACGATCTGGACGGAGAGCCTGGCAGTCCGCCACCGACCTTCAGCTTCCACTTAGGCAGTACAAAAAAATTATTGCAGTTGTATAGTTGTACACCTACAAAATGTAAATGCAAAGATGAAAGAAAAATGCGTCACAAATTATTTATGTAACTCAGAAGAGCGTAACACTTGAACAGCTTCGAACTTCTCAACATGTTGACTAGCATTCAAGAAGAGTTTTGTCATGCAGAGCCTGAGGCAGCATTGATTTGAATTTGTACGTGTGCGGGAACAACATCAATAACTCGATTTATTGTGGATAGCCCTCCAGCATGTTCAACGTGGACGCTTGTAAAGACCACGGGCAGCACATCCTGACGCTACACACCAACAACGGGTTCCAGATCCAGCAAGTGCGCACAGTTGCCGTGTTACTTGCCTGGGTCGTTTTCGTCATGTTTGTCTTCGGCGCGCAAGTGGCGCTTTGCTGGTTTGGGTACCTGTTCAAAACAAGGCTCGGCCGGGACAGCAACGTATCAAACGGTGGCGTGGCAGTTGTAGGAGCAGCAAGAACCTTGACAATGCCAAGAACCGCCAGAATTTCCTTCGTGCTGGAAGTTCTTCTCTACTTTTTGATCTTTTCCCTGCCCCTCCTGCAGTGTCTGCAACACATCCGGTCGCTCGCGTTCAGTACCGACCCAACGGCGAGCAGGGACATGCTGCAGATGCTGCGCCGAACGGCCTTCGATCACGCTGACGAGACCAACTTGCTGGTGGGCGACGGCGGACCGTTTTCCCTCTGGTACGACACTTTTAGACCGCCGTGAGTTTCATCTGGAAAGCGCTGTGGAGGTTGTAGTGTGAAACTAGCAATAAAAAACGGAGAAAAGTTTTTAGTCAGCGTGAAAGATTCGACAGTAGAAGTACTTACGAAACGTAACTAAACGACCCAAACGTCCTGGTGTTTTATGTTCGGAAACTACAGCGGGATTGATATTATCTCGAGTTGTACAAAAGGGAACAAGCAATAATCTTCTTAGAAATATAAAATTGTAGAACCACCACAAATAAGTAGGACTCCTCGCGCCGGCAGTTGCAAGCAGAAGGCAGCTATCTGGTCAGAATCAGATGCAGCGATCCTTTGCGTTTCCTTTCCGAAAATTTTAAGAAAATCGAGAAAGCATGTAGATAAATCTCTCGAATTAATGTTAAAAATCTTAATCCATTGCAAAGATAAAAAATCTCGCTGTTGATGTTGTACACTACCACTACCAATCGTCTTCGTTAAACTCTAGCAATTTATTTCTTGTGTGTCCTCTGGTTCTCTCTTATCCTTATGTAAAGACTACAGCTTTCTTCAAACATCTGTCTGAATTCGAAATTGATTTCGTTTGTACACCTCGAAAGAAACGAGCTCGAGCTTATGATTATGTACAAGATATTTATTAAAGTTCTTGCCTCGCGATATTTTAGACGCAACACACGAAGCAGCTCCCGCCTAGCTCGAACAAGTAGCAATGGCGAAATCATACAAAGAAGTAAAAATAGCGAGTTCTTCGTTATTATCGTTTTCCTCATAACCAGTCACAGCATCAATGTGATTGTCGTGAAACAGAAGCAAGTCAAAGGTGATTTGTCGGCTTCATCGAGTATTATCGTTGTGGAAGGTCGTCGTAGATGGGTCGTAGAAAGAAAAAATGCAGTCCTCCAACAATCTCTCCCCAGTTGAAACGAATATCTTCCATTTTCTCCTTGCAGCTGCACTACAACAAAATGATGATCCCCACAGTCGTGGTCTCGCAAAAAGAAACAAAAAAAGATGTTATCCTCCCTCGTCGTCGTCGTGGTGGGCGAAAGCAAAATCTATCTCCTGTGGGAGTCTTCCATCAAGATCAAATCGTCAGTTATAACCTTGCTTTATCGTTCTCATCGTTGTCAAGGTAGATCTTTATTCACTTCCACTTTGTAAACAAATTATGGTATTTACAGCTTTTTGTTTTTTCGTATGGTACCGTCGTCCTGAGACTCCTCACTGATGAGGAGTATACTTAGTAGTAGAATGCGAAAATAAACAAAACTACAGCAAGTAGATACAACAGAGTTATTTGCCTTGACGTAGTGGTAGTTGCACTTGCATCTTCTTCATATGGGTACGACGTGGTCGCTATCAAAAATGTTGCGCAGCAGCAAATCATCTCCACCGCTCCAGCTCCAGGGGACAAGTAGTCGATCTTCCCTCAAATTCGGATTCCCAGTCCGCGTCTTCCAGCCGTTCCTGGACAGTTTGCCGCGAGTATGCCTGCTGTGCTTTTTTTTCCGGCTTCCAGCATCCGACTTCTCTGGTGGAACTTTCACAGCTACACCAAGAGGTACATGTTGTACTGCTACAACAACGTTGTTCGTCCTCGGACGCCAACAACAGGACCACAAGAACAAAGCATCACGAACTACACGAAGTAGCACTTCTAAAGCCTATCGGGAGCTGCGTCAAATCTCCAGAAGCGCCGGGATATTAAATGTTGCTGATTCATCCGACAAGACCAAGAGTACGACCGAAAACCAAAACGCGTCCCCGGCCGTGCGGCAGATGAGCATCGGCGGTAATCCTGTGCAGCTGCCTGGAGCTGCTCGTCCGAACGCCGCCGGTGAAGAAGAAGACGAAAGTTCGGAGGTGAAAAGGAGACTACCAGGGCTTTACAATTACAACCAAAGCCACCCTCCTGACGGTGGAAATCATCAAATTGAGCAAAATGTTGATGACGCCCTTGCTCCGGAAGTAGAACTGTCGCGGTCCTCACCTAGTACGGGAGGCACTACAATGATCACACAAGCAGGCGGTCCTTCCAGCGCCAGCGGAAACAATAACGCTGCAAATCTCAATGACAAGAACGCGCAAGGATCATATTCCACCACATCAAGTACAGGCGGAGCAATCGTGCAAAACTCGCCTGGTATTGCAGCGCCTCGCAATTTTCAGCAGGAACCGGAAGAACCGCAGCAACCGAAAGACCCCAGCGTCGTTGCCACCTCAGAGCACGAGCAACCTTCGCCGCTGCTTTCATCCTCTATGAACTCAAATGATGTTGGAGGCGCTGCTGGCGCTGCTCCACCTCCCCCATACGACATACGCATTCGCATTCCAAAAGTATCGCACGAGTTAGCATCAATCGCATAGACAAATGATTTTGTCAAGAAGAAAGTTGGAAGCTGTCAAGAACGTACATGCAGATCATTCAGTATCTGAAGCAAGATTTGTCACGCGTCGTGATTGCGATTAGTAGGAGCGCGATACTTTTTCTTTTGCAGTGGATACGACACGCGCTACGGCTATCTGTTCGACCCCCGGTACGATAACATGACCATACAAGAGTGGAGAAAAATTCAGAAGAACGACGAGGCGAAGAGGATGGGCATAGAGAAAATGTTTACCGGCGACGATTTGCGAAAAGGAAAGCGCGGACACGAAACTTCGCTGGCCTACGGGCTGCGGCACCCCCCAGACGTGACCCCGCAGGAGTGGCAGAGGTTCGACTACCTGCTGAACAACGTCACCGCGTTGAACGAAAATCTCGCGGTTGTTTTCAAGCGGATGCGCGAGCGGGCCGTTATGCAGTGCAAATGCTTATGAATATGAATGTCTGCTTCTGGAAACTTGTGATGCTAAAATGCGCAGCATGGCCATGGATATGGAAAGGAAACAGTTCCGATGGCAGCCGAGCATGACAGCTGCCACCCAGAACGCTTTCTCATACGCAGCCCTCATGAGAAACTGCGTTTTTGCTTGTTGACAAAGGAGGCTGCGACTTTTCTTGGTTATGCAGCACGCAAAGTTCTTACATTTACCAGTTCGCATGCTCCAGCATTTGCATTACAAGTTCGAACGCTCTAGACCCAGACATACACATAAAACTTCATATTTGCAGTGCATAGCCGTGACGGATGAGCAATTGGTGTTGAAACTGCACGTATCAAATGTAAAAATGTCTGAGCAGTCTGGAAGAATGCATGTTTGTCATGCTAAATCTGGATCATGCAACAATCTGTGTTGCATGAGTACCAAATAAAGCCGTGCATTTTTGACCAAGGTGACAAGGAGTTTCTCATGCAGGATAGGCATGATAGAGATCTCGCAGAATCTGTCATGCTAGGCCCTGCATTCCAGACCTCATGGGGCATGGAAAAACTGCATTACAAATCGCGCATTCTTCCAGACCCAGACACTTTTACAGTTGATAGCACGCAAACGTCCTTCTAGAAGCGGAGAACTACGACGTGATGGTCCTCTATGGAACTGTCAGGATTGAAATTAACAAAGTTGAAATAATTTGTGTGTGATGCATAAAATCTATACCAGTTGGACCCACAGTTTCCAATCGGCGCATGACAAATTTTCCTGGCCTCTGAAGCAAGTCTGTCATGCTGTTTAGGGCAAGGAGGCTGCTCCCTGTCATGCTAGTCAGCAGCCCACTTCTTGACCCTTTCCCTTGCCAGCACTAGAATCTGCCTCCCTTGCGCCTTCAGCAATAGAGTCAGTCTTTGTGTCGCATTTTATGCATGACAAATCATTTCAACTTTGTCGATTTCAACTCTGACACTCCCATATTCTCGTTCTGCTCTCCGTCACGTACCTGATGCTGATCCTGGGCACCTGCCTGCCGTGCAACATCGTGTTCAGCCGGCCGCACCTGTTGCCGGAGAACTTTCCCAAGAAAGGCACGCTGTCCAACGTGACGCAGCGGCAGGACACGGTGGCCGGGCAGCTGTGGAGCGTGTCCCTAATCCTGTTCGCGCTCGCCCTGCTTTTCACGGCCTACCCCTTGCACATCTACCCGGCCTGGATTCCCATGACAGACAAGGACTACAACGGCCTCCTGCAGCCGCTGGTGAACTCCGCGCCCGAGAACTTCTGGCGCTCAGTGTGGTACGTGGTGCCCGCGGTGGGGTTCTTTCTGACCGGTGCGATCCCCAGTTTGACGGATAAAACCCAGCCCCGGTGGTTGTCCTCGTCCCGTTTTGCCACGTCAAGCCCGTCAGTCGTCCCGCGCCCAGACGGCACTTTGACGCACATAGGTGGCCGCGGCGGAAAGATGTCCGGCAGCAACAGGAGGCGCGGTGAGGGGGAGGCTGCTGGTGGAGGCCCTCCGGATGGAGATGTTGATTCGCAGCTGGATTCCCTTTTGCCAAGCATAAGTAAAACTTCCCCAGGTCATCTTCCGAACAAGAATGTTGCCCTGATTCCGGAGATCGAGCAAGGCGGGGACAGTGACAACTACAGCAGTGGTGGCACTCCTGCTGCTGCTACCACACCCAGAAGCGCTTCTAGTCCGCGTAGTCAGTTGCTCAACAAGCAAAGTAGCAAGGCAAGGCTGGACGCGAAAAATGAGGCGAAGAACAAGATCATTGCGAGCGTGGGAAACAAATTCAGCAAGAGTGTCGTCGACAAACGCGGAGAGGACAGCCTCGCCCGCGCCACCTTGGACATCTCGGCCTCGCCGGGGGAACTGCAGGCGGAGGAAGATGCGCGGGCGAGAGCGAAGGCGGAGGCGCTCGTGGCCGCGAAGCAAGAAATGATGACGGTTGAAACGCTGAAGCCGAACATCTGGGAGCCCGTGTCTTTTGTCGAAGTGAGTAACGACCTAAACGACGGGGATCGCGGCCGCAGTACGGACCAACCGCAACAAGCGCAGCTGAGGCTTCAAGAACTTGACACCGAAGTGGACACGACGTTCTGGGGGTACATGCATGCTCTGCACGGGACTTCCGCCATGCTCGCCATGACGGCGTTGCTCTTTTTTGAGAATTACCAACTTTTCTACGGCGAATGCGTCTCCTTTTTTTCGGACGACGACGGGGACGCAGACGGGAGCAGTTTAAACTTCCATTCAAACGAGGTAAAATGCCCCGGCTACACCTGGTCGATCAACGTCCTCCGGTCCGAGGGACGGGTCTGGCAGCCGATCCGAGCAGTCATTCTGCTACTCGCCTGGGCCGCCTTCGTTGTGTTCGCTTTCGGAACCCAGTTGCCGCTGCTACTCATGTCGGACTTGCCCATTGGTGTCGCGAAAATTTCCTTCCTCGCGGAGGTGCTGCTGCTCTACCTCGTGCTTGCACTGCCCATCATCCAGGTCTTTTCGCAGGTTACGGCCAGTGGGCGCAGCGACGGCACGTCACTCATGCGATCCTTCAACTGGATGACGCACGAAGATTTTCACTGGAACCGACGGTGGGTAAACCACACCGACCAAGACAGCATTTGGGCCGACACCTTTGCCGGGCCCGTAGACCCGAGTAACCCACTTGACCTGCCACCGGACATCAACAAGTGGCAACCTCCGCAGCACGCACGGGAGGCGCTCGCACAAGCAGCACAGCTGCAGCTCCGCCCGTAAAAATGATTTCGGTTTATGTTAAAATGAGTGCAGAAGGCACGAGGGGCTAGGGGCTCTTCATCTTGTTGTATTTGTAGTCGCATATTATAGTATCCAAGAAGTTCAAGTCGATGATATTATGTAGGCCTTTCCGATCATGTGAATTTTATGTGAATGTTTTTTGTTTTTCTTGTTCGAAGTTACCATGTTTGTTTTATTCAATCATTGTTTTACTTATGGCAGGACAACCACATGTGTTATGTTTGAAATTTCGATCGGTCGTGGTGATTGACACCAAGCTTTTTTCAACCATAAAATGTATACTCTATTTCTTGGCGTTGGAGGATTCTTAATCTGAACCTGAAGATTTTGATATTTCTTTTTCAGTTTCATTGCCGACCCAATTCGAGTTGTGTGTTGGATGAGAATAAGAAAGGATGCGCCGAGAATCTTGCTCTATTTCTCTTCGTCCGCATGGTTTTTTGCTTATTCGATGTTCAGAAATGAAGTAAGAGCTGTGAACACGCAGAATCCGTTATTATCGGTTGATCAAATCAATGCAAGCAAAAATTTTATAGCATTGGTGTGTCCTGTTGTACTGAATTTCAGTTCGGTTGTAAGATTGTTTGATGAACACGCGCATGACGAGGATTGCTACTCGTGCTCATCACACAATCCTTGTTAGAGCCATCGTCTGTTATTTCGGTCCATGTTGTGACATTGTAGTAATTTCTCTCGGTCCCTTTCACAATGAAATTCGTCGGCAGTGAGTCTCTCTTATTGTAGAAGTCGATTGCATGATAGTAGAATCGGAAGCAGAAGAACAATCTTCAGACAGTTGCAGTTCTGTTCGTTCTTACCAAAAAAGAATCGAAATCATTCAGGACCTTTGCCTTTGCCTTTCCCTTTCTCATCTGATACACCTTGTGGCACTACATTGACGCGCCGTATTTAGCTTGGACTGCAGAAGTCCAGCTTTTTGTAGTACTGGAAACAATCAATATTTGATTCTGGATTACGACAAAGAAGTCTTGTATGTTTTATGATTATGCCGTACCTCTAGTAGAAGGAACTAAGGTAGCCTGTTTACTTCTAGAAGTTGCAGCTGGTGTGGCTGGAAATACTGTCGAGTCTTTCTGGATCTATGCCAGTATCACCAGCACGACCTGTAGCTCCTTATTTCCGAACAACAACTTTACCTTTGCATAAAAAAGCTGCTCGATGATCGATGGCAGATGAAGCGAGACCAGCTGTGGCCCCGAATTCCCTCCAGAGCGTGGTAATCCTTGACCTTCCAACCCGACCCAACTCTAACCCAATTGCAGCAGGTGCTGTCAGCTGCACCACGACCCGTCTTCCCTGGGAGGATGACCACGTTGACGACGGTGAAGATGACGAGGAGGACAAAAATGCACGACCACATCATCAACAAGAGCTACGAAAATCTCCGTCAATTTCAAGCCAGATTTCTGCTCGCCTCGCAAGACTCTCTTCCACCGCCAGGAGTTCCACGGCGGAGCTTGTCGGAAAAACAAGAACCTTTTCCAGAAGCACAACCTTCGCGGTTGGCTTCTCCCTGCTCGCGGTCGGTGGTCTCGTCGTGGGCTTTGTCTTCTTGACGTTTGCTTTGTCCAAAGACGGGGGGAATGACAGATTAAAAACAACCACTATCGCAGTGGACAACTCCGCGCAACAGGAACTGATTCTCAACGCAGATGACCTGCTGAACTTCGACAACTTTCTCGGAGTAGAAAATAACTACAATGCGACACTGACTAGTTCTGGTGGTAGTTCAGCGCAACCTGGAACTGCGGCCGACACAGACACGTCGGGCAACACCTGGACCGACGTTGTCAGTGACGCGACGAGCACTGGACTCATTGTCTGGACGGACGATATGATTAATGTCACAACTACGAACGCGAGTAGCACTAATTCTACTTCGGCGATGAACGATACGAATGACACAACTTCTACAGGAGCAGTGCCATCAAATGCTTCGTCGACAATCTTCGCACAGACGATCATCCAAACGGCACAACAGCTGCTGATCGACAAGATGTGGAAGGAATCCCTCTTCTGCCCGCGACTGCTGCCCTGTTGCGCGAATCAATTCAGGAATAGCCAGATCACGAAAGTTACCAATGTTTTGTACGGAACGGGGCGGAATTTGGTGGATAACGACCAGAAGAGCTACCCTTTGAAGTTAGATCTGTACCTTCCACCTGATGTACTAGAGCTGGCGTCACCTCCTACACCTCCATCAAGTACTAACGGCGCGCCGACGACCCCCCAACGTCAACCCCCCCGCCCCGCTGTCCTGTTCCTCCACGGCGGTGCCTGGCTGCCGGAAGCGGCGCAGCGCAACTCTTCGAAAAGCTCCAACGAGGCGCGAAAGCACGCGAGAGGTTGGGCGAAAAGAGGCTTTGTAGGGGTTTCCGTCGAGTACCGACGGTGGAATTCGTTGACAACCGAGTGGAAAAGCCGCATTCTCTCCGACCCGGTGCGGGATGTGTGGACTAGCATCCGGTTTCTGAAGCAAAACGCAGCGGCCTACAACATCGACGCGTCAAAAATCGGCCTCGTCGGGTCCGCGGCCGGGGCGCACAACGCCGGGCACGCCGGATTCTTCGAAGAGTTGAAGTTAGGGCTAGGCACGACGGGGAATGTGGCCGGCGCGGGAACAACATCAAGCAATCCAAACGCAATCCCGTTTGAAAACGACGAGCATTTGGCGCAGGCAACAAGCCCCATCAACTTCGTGATTCAGCAATCGGGCGCGCTCGCCGGGTGGGCGCCCCTGTTCCCGCCGGACCAGTACTGGAAGCAGAGTGTCAGTCTGCTTCCCTCCTACCTGCTCATCATGAGCCGGAACGACACGCTCGCTGACTACACTAAGGGGATCGACACCATGCGGTATCTGCGCGAAAAGTTCCCGACGAGCCACAACCCGCCGAACCCGCTTCTGCGAAACACCGAGCAGTTTCGTCGGTTTCTGGTGCTGCCGGGGAGGGACCACGAGTTGGACGCTTTTCAGAAAAAAGGCCGGTTCAACAGCCAACTGTTCAACGATGAAGTAGGCTTTTATCCGATGCAAATATAATGTCTGGGTCGCCTGGTCCAGGCTCCTGGAAGATTGCGGGAGCGTGACTTGTCATGCTAGTGTGGGATGTCCATCTCTCTGAGCTCTATACTGCGTGGCCACGACGAACTACTCCTCAAGCCTGTCATGCAAAAACCCAGGCTGTCGTGCTGAATACGCAACAAAGATTCACAAAAAAGAATAAGTACTTTGATGTGCATTAGAGTCCGTCTAGTATACGCGTACTTCTTGCGTCACACCTCTCCAGACTCAGACATCATATTCGCAACGCATAGCTCTGTCATACGGGCAATGGACGTGCAGAGTTGTGGATTACAGGATTTGCAGACGCTGGCGGCGGCCGCGGTAGTGTAGTCGGCAGAAAGTTCAAAAGTGGTACTCTGCGTGTGCTGCTAGGTGTACTACTAGCCGACACTCCACCTACACCTACTCTACTTCATCAAAGATGAGCACACGACGTGGTCTCAACTATTAGCGCTCTGAAAGAATTCTTAGTCTAGCACCTTGTAGTTGAAGTTGTCGACGAATGGAATTATACCTGCTGTGTCACAGGAGAAGCAGACGCTCAATAGATTCCCAGAGTTGAAAACCGCTCGTCGGTCACTAACGAAAGCCGCAAGAAATGTTGCTGATGTTGACCACGTCGTGACTTTTGCTGTTTTCACCTTATGCGCCCTGCGCGTTTCATTTGCGTCAGCATCTGGGTTAGTAACTAACAGTCAAGTAGCACGAAGACAAACAACCTTGTCGGCGATATCGAGCTGGTGCGCTAGTAGCAGTCATCGATTCATTGTGCGAGAACTATTTGCACTCTCGTAAAGGCTGGTCTCACTGTAAAGATCGAAACTGTGAGGCATGGTGTTGAGACTGAGCGTGAGTAGCGGACCAGGAGTGGGAGTGATTGAGAAATTACCTTGAAGCTCGAGAAGCACAAACCTAGACCAGGCGAACGAGCCGTGTTTTCGTCTCATGGAGACAATTCGAAGATGTCTTGTTTATACATGTCTACTTGGTCACACCCCGGAATGGGGATCGACGCGTGCGCGTAAAGAACGCAACTGCAAAAAATATTAGTACTTTACAATTTATAGGCCAAGATGGGTCCTCGAAGCTACTTGCTGCATTACTTGTAGCCCTCTCAATCACCATTTTAGTTTATCACCAATGACCATGGTGACGCTCGCCTTTCCTTTTTCATCGGGGCGTTAGTCCTTCGTGATTATGGAGTTGTTCTCCATCAAATCTTTCTTGCTTTCCCACGGACAACTGCAGCACCAACTGGAGCAGCTGCAAGCACGAGTCCCACCGATTGTGATTTTCGTGGTCGCTGTCGCTTTCGTCTTGGCCGTGAGTTTCTTCTACTTCAAGTGGAAGGACCAGGACCATTACTGCGTGGCTCTGGAAGCAGGACAACTGCACATGGGAACTCTTGCCGTTGATCAAGGACAAGACGAGCAACTGCCATACCAGCACGACCAGCAAATTGCTGGGGTCGACAGACCGACGCAAACTTTTGAAGGAACGACCGCGATGACCTCGACTTCCGTCGATGCGGATCATTCGAAGGTCGATCGGTCTGTTGAAGATCCTGTTGTTGCGTTTCGCTCCTCAACATCAGCGATGTTGATCGCAGCTACTTGCAGCAGAGTTCAAGTTGACCAACAACTTGTTGTAGTTGCGCGAACAAATCAACAGCATCACACCCTTGGCCAGCCTCCGGCTGCTTCTGCGACCAGCACTTATCGTCGAGAGGATCTACCACGTTGCGTGGATGAAGAAGGACAAGGGGAGGCGGGAAGCGCGACCACTTGCAATATCCACAGCAAGAAATTAATAAACCATCCGTACTCGTAGTGATCGTAATTTCGCACTTGGTGTCCTTTCCTAAATCCGCATGAGAAGTTGCATATTTCATCATGACAGAAGAATTTGTGCTGTTGTAATTTCCACTACTAGTACGATGAATACTTTTGCAATGCATAACAAGTAAAGAGCACCACGGCCGCGACTTTCACCACGAGACACAACTGGAAGAGTTACTAGACCCGAACGCAGGCCATTCTCGGCGCTACAGTTCAATGTCCACGAGCGCGCCGTCTCCGCTTTCAACCGACGAGGAAGCGGCTAGCCCTTCGTTCAATATTCCGATTATTGAGCGACAAGAGAATGGCCGAGAAGTAGAAGTAGAAGTGGATCTGGCTTCTTTTTCCGATGCTGAAGAGGAAATCGACCTGCGAGCGCTTCATCGAGCCATTCAGCTGGACCGATTTCGGAGTTACTCGCGACCCGGGACGATGGTGTAAGCTGCATGAAAGGAAATTAATTCGGGAGTGAGGCATACTTAGTTACCTACAAGTACGGAGAATATTGCTCCAACATTTTAACACTACAGAACTATGTAGACATCGAGTGTCAAGAACTTGCTCAACTTTCTTATATATTCCTTTTGCTGTCTCCGTACTACTCCGATTCGATCTAATAGTCCTAACTTCTTCGGTGGAAACGGAATAAACAAAGCGATGAGCTTTTTTTTTGTGAAATAACAATTTGATCTTCGATATTCTACTTTACTCTTGAGTACAGAACTTGAAATAATTTTGTACGATTGGTCGAACCTTGTTATAACAATACAGTACAGCAGATTGCGGACCGTCAAAAAAAAACATTGTTTATTTCCACGTACAACAGTTTTGATTAAATCACTTTTACGCTTTTGCCGCCTTCCGACGAACTAACTTCTGCGACTGCGAGGCGGTGGACGAAGCCTAATCCCTTCGCCGCGATTCTCGGTTCGGAACTTTTTACGGCAATAAAAATGGGAAAAATACGCTCGATAAGCCATCGTGTGCGGAGGTGAGCCCCGACGTTGATACCACTACAAGAGCCGCTTGAAGCAGGGACAATTTTTGATGCGTGTTTTTTTTCTTTGTGGCTGAGCCTGAGGCGTTTTTCAAATGTCCAAAAAATTATGATTTCGTATCGCCGGGGACAAGAACCATGCTGTGATTTTTTTTTTCACTTCTCCCCCTTGATGCCCTTGAATAATTGTCCTCACATCCACCTGCTCCGAGAGGACGATTCTTGTGGCTTCGTAGTTGAGAGTGATTTTTCCTTGTTGAGTTGATTTTTAAGGTGAATCTTCCCGGTGGTCTATAAAATAGATGCTATTCTAATTGTTGTTCGAAGTACACATCCATCTCCATGCGCATCAAGTCCTAGACAAGATTACTCACACGCTTCCAATGGCAACCATAGAAATACTATGCCTCCTGCTCCTTTCTCGCGTGCCGACGCACACCGTATCTACCACGCTTTCGGTGGCCACGACCTGAAGAACGTTGCCCACTGTGAAATTCCCAACCCGGTATGTTGCACCATCCGCTACGCGTGCGCGGTGAATCCGTGTGGGAAGCGGTTTTCTGTCGAGAGACCCACCGATCCGGGGGGTTTGGTCGCGCAGGACAAGGGCGGGGTCCCGTTGTTCTCGAGTGACACTGTAGAAGTCTCTACCTGCTGCCCGTTTTGGAAGGAGCGAGGCGTGCCCAAGAGGGACATCTTCGACGATGACAGGGACGTTTTTTCTTTTACATTGTTCACGCACCCCGTTTGTTGCTGCTTCCGTATTGCCACCGTCGGAAAGCAAAATCAGCCTGTCGGTGGTTGTAAATGTTGTGTGCGGAAGCGGACGAAAATGTTGACAATAATCGACGTCGACAACCGCGGAGAAATAGACAGAACGCTACAGCGGCCGAATTATAATTACGGCCAGCAAATCGCGCGAACGGAAGTAGAGCTGGCGTTGGGAGTGCCACGACAGCAAGGCATGACAAGATAGCAGCTACCGAAACGAAACGCAGCGTTGTTCTTGTTTTATTTTCTTTATCACGATGTTTCGTAATACGACCATATGACGACCATGAATAAAATGCGGACGCTCGAACGTCGGCTAGAAATCGAAAAATGTACAACTCGTACGCGGTTTTCTAAAAAGGGCAACATCACCTCCATCGCATCCTGTCGAAAGCGTCCTGGATACACAGCACTCTTGGTTTGATCCCGGCTATGCGAGCAATGCTGTCGCTAGAAGCAAGTTTCGACAGAATTCCTGGGCAAGGAGTAGTTTGTACTCGTATTGCGTATGCCTTTAATATTGCACTTCTTGCCACTGCAGTTTTTTCTTGAAACAGTGCTGCTATTTTGCGACGTCGGATAAACTTTTATCTGTACTGCATCGTCATCGTGGTCCCTTTCGACACGGAAAATCGTCACTTGTTATGGTCGTTTTGAACGAAAGTTGATCGTGATTCGATCGTTTTTGGATGCGCTGTCTTCGTCGATGTGTTGAGGGATTTGTTCTCACGACAGCACAGAAGTGGTTCCATTTCGCAATCGCAACCGCCTTCGCCGCGTCTCCAATATTAAATCGTGTATTTTATGGTTCGATTGTCTGATGTGGATGTCGTTCTTGTAGGTACAGTCGTTATCTCGTTTACTTCATCTCGTTGTTGTAGTCCCGGCCTCGAAAGAACGTGCTAGCGCTACGAGATCGGTTCTTGTTTCACTTTCCATCCCATTTGCAACCCGCCAAAAAGGGCGCACACAGCAGCAGCTTCCGTCGTAAAAGATACAACGCAGAGGGGGGACCTGATGCAGACTTTTGTGAGGCGCTTCGGTATCACTATCGCTTTTTCACCAGAGTAGAAAAACAAAAATCTTACCAACATCAAAATTATGGGCAACACGTTGATCACCTCTCTGTGCCAGCCGGAGGGCAGCACTGCCTCGTGTTACGGGGAATGCGAGATTACCCGAGAACTGGATTTGACCACGATCGCGCCGGCCGGCAATGTCTTCCCCGACACGCTGCGCCACTTGGAAAATACGTTGGAGCGGCAGCTCTTCCACTTCGCGGCCGGGCAAAATTTCGTCATGGTCCGTTGGTTGCTGTGTCTGAGGGCGGATCCAATGGTGACAGACTGGAACGGGACGACTGCACTGCATGTCGTGTGTCGCTGTGGAAGCGTCCAGACGGTGCGGGATTTACTGGTGTGCTCTTCAACTAGAACAGGAGCAAATTGTACAATTTCGAACAGCAGCCAAGTCCACACGACAGGACAATCACAATCAACATCCCTCCTAACCGCCAAAGACCGTTTTGGCTGGACGGCGCTGCACGTCGCGTGTGCCGTTTCGCGCCTCAGCGTCACGAAGGAGTTGCTGGAACAGGGCGCCGCGCAACTGGACGCAGAAACGCTGAACGCCCTTCTCCGCGCCCAAACCAACCAAGGAGAAACCGTGTTGACGCTGGCCGATGGCGATTCTCAGCTCCGACGGTTGTTGCTCGACGCGATCGTGAAAGCCGCCAACTTGTTGTCGTTGACCACTGATAGTGGTGGCGGTGCTGGAACCACGAGCAGCGGAGCAAATACAGCAAACAGTGCGTCAGCTCTACTAGATCTTCCCGAGGACATTGTCGACGAGTTGGAGCTAACTCGCGGCCGCGGTTCATCAACATCAGCAGCAACTCGCGGTGCCGCCGCAGCCTTCCAGGATGCTGCAACAGTTTCGCCTACTACAACAACTGGTGGACATCCTCGAAATAATACAGGCAACAATAAATCGCAGCTAGTCATCCACGGACGCGCGTCGCAGTACCCGAATAACGCAGCTGGAGAACAAGTTGCAGATGAATCACAAGTAGATGAAAGCGATGAAACTGATGACATAGGAGACGAGGAACTAGTAGATCTCCCACATCAACGGAAGCAGGTCGCAAGTAGAGGACGGCAGCGCAAAGAACACGCAGATCACTCATCCTCGTCCGCAACTAGCAATATCACCCGTTACGAGCCGTTTTTCGTTCCGAGAAAACCAGCGTTGACAACGAACAAATTTCGTTCCGAACTGGCCCAACTTGGAATTCTGTTTTTCAACAAAGACCCAGGCATCGGCCTCGCTTTCCTGGTCGCCACCAATGTGGTGCAGGACTTCCCGCTCTCCTTGACCACGTTTCTGAAGCGCAACACGATCTGCAGCGACAAGGTCGGGTGGTTTTTGTCCGAGCCCTTCTCTCTGTCCAGTGTCCTCCGTGCGGAGTTTATCAACAGCATCCGACTGTCCCACTGCGGCGTCTGCGGCTTACTGCAGCGGGTTTTCTCTTTCTTAGCGGTCCCACCGGACTTGGTAAAGCTCGACCTACGACCCGAAAAAATTGCCCCCAGCCCAATTTTCAAAAATTTGCACTCCCGGCCCGCGTAGTCCAGGTCGTAGAAACCATTCGGCACCAGGCGAGCGCGACCGATTGGCGAGTGCCGGGGGAAGCCCGGTGACGCGCGACCATCCTCTTGAAGAACACCAGCCAACCCTTCTCCCGTCTCCAGCATTGTAGAGCAGCGCGCTGCTCCACCTGGTTACCTCAGGCCCAGCATTGTAGCTCAGGCCCGGATCAGCACGACGCGATCGCGGGCCACGAATAGCCGGAAAAAGCCCTTGCTTTCGAGCAGCTAGCAGGAGCTATTGCTGCTGCCGAGGAAGCCACAATTGGGGACTTTACACAATTTCTGGCCCCAGCCAAATATCGCCTGGACTGCGGACCTGGGGCCAGAAATTGTAATGAGCCGAAACACGGGCTGAGTCGGCATATTACAATTTCTGGCCCCAGGCCCACAGTCCAGTCGTTTGCGGGCCAGGTTTGTGGCCGCCGGTAGCCAAAATCTTGGAAGCGGAACGCTTCCCCTTTTTCTTCGAAACTAGCAAAACACTAAATCAAGCCAATGCATTTTCTCAATCCCTCCAACACATCCGCGCCAAACGCGGCGCATTCCCGCGTCATGTCTTCGTGATGCGGAATTTCGGCCCTCCCGTTGCGGGTGTCTTCGCGCAGCCCCACGCGGGCCTCCTCCATGATTCCCGGGGCCTCCTCCATAATCCCGGGCTTTCCCCGGCAATCCGCAGGGGGCCACCTTCGCCGGCTGCTGAACGTTTTCTACTAGCTGGGCTATCAGAAACGGGAATGCAAATTTTTGAAAAATGGGCTGGGGAAAGTTTTTCCGTTTCGTACGACCGCATTCTGTACCACACCGCCATGACATTCTGGCGACAGTGCGAAAGGAAGTTCAATGCGGTGCAAATAAGCCATCAGATGAACGCGCAACAAGGGCGAGGAGGTGGCTCCGGTTCGTCGCCGAGCAAGATAAATCCAGTCATCGAGGAACCGAACAAGCGTCCCAACGCCTGGGAACCGGAGGGCATTGAGGTGTTGCAGCAATTGAAGTGCTTTGAGGGGTTGTACGGGTTGCTGACGTCGTGCGTGCTGCTGCATTGCAACCTGCATAGTGAGAGTGATGAAACTTCCACGAAGCTGACGATTGCCGGCGCGGCGGAAGTAGAAGGAGACGCACCGGGCACTTTTACAACTATCCAGCATCGGAAATTGGGGAAAGAAGAGTGGATCAGTCTCAACAGCAACATTGACAGTACATTTGGGGATTTGGACACTTATGGGGAGAGCGCTGCAGCCCCGTTCTTGCATCAACTCTACGACCTGATTGCCGCTGAGCCGATTCCGGCGTTGCAAGCCGGGATCGTTGCCTTCACAGATGAGGAGAGTGTGGTGGAACTGTTGGAGCGCTTTGCTGCGACTACTAGCGCTACACAACTAGTGCCAGCGGTAGAACAAGATGAACCAAAGCCGACTACAACTTCTTCGTCGCTTCAAGTAGAACCCCGCAGTGGAACTAGTGCCAACGTCCTCGCAGAAACGGTAATTCTCCACTTCTGCGACGCGAACTTCAACCAAATTTCGCTGGACGAGTTGGTGCGGAGTTTCACCGGGAATTTCACAAGTCACAACACAGTGTTTGAGCACGACGAGGCGTTTGCGTCAAGGATGCTGAATTATGCGGAAGGAAGTGCATTTACAGATACAGTTTCATGCGGCGCCTTGACCGCATCAATTGCAGATACACAAGGTCCTCGTGGTCCACCCATGTTGGCAAGAGATGTCGTTTCTCCGCAGCACGATATCAACAAAGCAGGAGCTTCTACTTGTTCTGGGGACTTCACGGCGCGCAGTAGCGACACAATCTGGACTAGTACCACATCAGGACGAGCGCAATCCACGGGCAGAAGGAGCTCGCGGTATGCGAATTTAGGGTTTGTGTTGGGGGAACACGTCGCGATGTCAGGATCCTCTGCAGCCGCAACGGCGTCGACCACCGCTCGGAGCAGTGCCTCGACGAGCGGAAGAAACTTAGAAGGGGACAGCACAGCTGGTGGCGCGAAGGGAAAACAGAAAAACGCTCGAGCGTCTGCTCCATCGATGCAGCTTTTTCCCACGGCGAAGGTGGATGAGCTGAAGAAAGGGGATATGAAAGATGCAAAAAGTAGCGCAGCAGCAAAGTCGCAGCGCGTGGTTGTCAGCACGATGTCCACGATGATGCGAGGGTGGTCTTCTAGCACCCCGGGAGGTAGTACGACAATAATCGCGTCCAATAGCAACTTGCTCGATGATGGACGGACAACCTCTAAATCAAAAGCAAAAAATGCTTTGTCAGCGGTAGGAGTTGCAGCGTCCTGGACTTCGATAGATCTGGTTGCTTCTGCGTCTAGAGATGGTGCTGCTGCTTCTTCGGGGGCATCTGGTGAGAAAAACATCATCCTCGACCTCGACTCGCATGAGGCCTCTCCAACGAAGATTGCCACCGCGTTTCAACCTACAAGGGCCCTTCTCTCATCCAGTACAAGTTTCGAGCCGCTATCTGCTCGGGGCCAACAGCAGGGCAGCAGTACGGAGAACCAGACAAATAACACCAAGATCTGCTTCGCCTACCTGTCCTGCGGGTTGCTGTTCCTTGCAAACAGCGAGAAGACCGCACCATTCGCGTTCGTGAATCTCCGGTATGTGATACGCAATGCAAATTTCATCCCGTACACGTACAAAATGCATCACAAAGACCTTACTTAGATATGTATAGCAACGCTTGTAAGTAAGGCTTCCGCTACTGAGCGCAATGTTTGTCATGCCGAAACCCCATTGATTTGTAGTTGTATGTGTGCGGTAAATTTTTATTTACTGCGGATATATGAACAGCGGGACTGGCGCGAAGTTTGTGACGATGAAGAAAACCTCCTTTCTTGACAGTTCTGAAGAGCTTCAAACGCACCCCGTCGAATATGGCGTTCTCAACTGTTACATTCTCAACTGTTACATGAATTTGTGATGCAAGTATGGCAAAACTGAAAGGGCGAAGATTGCGCCTTTTGCATGACAGATTTGGCGCAGATTTTCATCCTGTTTGTCCCTTCGGGAATTTGTCATGCGAAGCAGCATGGTCGTATCGATTCTGATTGGAATTTTGCATGACAAATCATGTAACAGTTGAGAATGTAACATTTGAGAACGCCATATCGAAAGCGACGAGTACGAAACAGAGGTGTACGATCTCGCCATCTACTATGGAAGCGTCAGGTTTGAAATCGTCAGAGTTGAAATAATTTGCAATGCATAAAACGCATGACCCGAGGCGCGTGCGTTGCAGAGCAGGCAAGTGAGGTCGATTGTAAGCCTGTTTAGGGCTACAGCTCGAGCTGCTAAAGTAGCATGAGAAAGTCACTCTTCTTTGCCTAAACAGCATGACAAACTGGATTTAGGGACCACCGAAATTTGTCATGCGCCACTTGGAAACTGGGTTCCAACTGGCATCCATTTTATGCATGGCAAATTATTTCAACTTTGTCGATTTCAACTCTGACACATCCATATCTACCTTGAGAACCAGCACGGCCAGCGGACGCAAAATTTGGAAATCGTGCTGCTGTTCAACGACGGCAGGTGGAGCAGCGTAAACACGCCTGTTTTGGAGCTTACTTTTCGCAGCGAAGAGGTTCGGGACCAGTGGGCAAAAAAAGTAAAGCACGTTCTGGCGGATGGAATCGCAGCTGGAGGTTCTTCGCAGGCATGAAACGTAATAAACAAGAAGGCATGATAGATAAGATTTGTAAGACAAAGACTTTGTCTTCCCATCTCCTGGTGTAGGAGCATCGAATTGAATTCGAACTTCAACTTTTGTAAAAATTCGTTGCGGATGATCATGATGTATGATGAAGCAACAAATTAAGTGTTTGTACCTCAGATTCAGAACTTGATGAACAACTGTAACCTCTACACGAATCAAATTGTAACGCAACGACAACGACCTGAATAACGATGACCTGTACGATTGATGCGAACGTCGATGCCTCCAATTTGATCTACAACGTGCTGTCGGTCCACTGCTTGTAATTCTATTACTTGATGAAGACAAGGACCATGAAGTAGAAGTCATCTCCATGATGAAGACCTCCACTAGGTGCAAAAATAAAGAAAGCTCGAGCTCCTGGCTCTTTTCCTTAGAGAGGCCGAGCTAGTACCATACTCACCTTTCCACCAAACGCGAGCGACCTCGTCCTGCGCGCAGGATCTCCGCGTAGGAAAGTAGATCACACATGCTGTAGCTGCTCAGTCGAAAGACATTTTTAAACGTAGCTCCCTTGGGATCGAGATCGAATACGGTACAAGATCGATTATCCTCGATAGAACGTAATTTTCTAGTTTCGCCTCGCAATGCACAGAGCTAGAGAGATGCATATGGAGACAATTCGTCGCCCTTCGAAAAATCGCGAAGATCGTATTGTCTTCATTATCGACCGCGGCTTTTAATTTAGAACGATCGCTTCTTTTTCATCGATTTCGAAGCCGCGAAAAAAGCAGCCACACCAAAATTTGTACTTTGCTAATGTCGAGTTAGATATTTGTTTCACATGTTGCTGTGTCCCTAAGAAATCTTCATTTCTCAAACAATTTCTTTTTCGCCGTGGCCTTGACAAGGTACTAGAATGGGTCACTCGACATAGAGCCCTGTTCGTACAATCTCTAAGAGCCTATTTTATTGGAGGCAGGTGGTAGTCGTCCAGGCGCGACCACCACTCGTTCTCCCACACCCACTGTTCAAAGAGGAACTAAGATAGACTCCACAAAAAACACAACCAACATGCCCCGCACCGTAGCTCTTCCGAGCCCTCGGACCAGCAGTGCAAGTCGTGCCGCAAGCAGCTAATTTTGTTGCAATTTATTTGCCGTCCTGCTCCGGTCATAATTGCGCCGTCCTATATTATCCACCTCTACTTGCTTTCAACCCGCCGGGGCAAGAAAAATAAACGTGTTGAACCGCCCATAGTACAACTTCTACGACGCGGCGCTGGATAAGTTGCGGCAAGAACCGGCACCGACTGCAACGCAGAGGCGCACTTGAAAATACCGTGGTGAAATGCAACAAATAAGGAGATCATCACTCTCGTCATCTTGAAAAGCTAGTACGGGTAGAAGTCCGAGTGGGAACCGAGAACCAGTACAAGCAAATCGACGCCAAATCTCGCAACGAGCGCACTCGTCAACAAATTCTACTATCTGGGCTAGCAGCTCATCGCAAGCCAGCGAAGTACTTCACCTCCACCAGCTGAAGCATAGACCCTGGTCTTGTAGCGATTCCCTGAGACAAAGAAAATTTCGGAGTCGTTTTAAAAAGGCTGCTCATCTGATAAAAGGTAGAAGCCGAGACTGAACGGCGTAAATTTATTCGCAGTTGTGCATAAGGAAGCGCAAGCGGCGCGAGGACGTGAATAACAATAAAGAAACCAATCCAGAACGACGACGCAGGAGCACTACTCGCCAAAATGGTGATCGTTCGACCCGGTGGCGTCCTTGTTGGCGTCCTGGCCGCTTCCTCCAGTACTTCCCCCTTTCCCTTCAGCGACGGCGGTACTTCTAGTAGTGCAGCGGCATCCACCTCTTCCTCAGCAATCTCAACCGCAGCAGGAGCTTTAGCAACATCAATTATACCAGCGATACTATCTTCCTCCCTCGTATTGCTCCCCTCGATCAACATGATCCCAGGCGTTTCTGCCACGGAAAACCCGCCACCCCCGCCCAACCAGCCCCCGCAATACGCGTATGACACTATGCACACGCCGAGGAGAAGGGGCGAGCGGGTGAAATGGATAGAATTAGTACACCACACGTTCCGGGACGGGAACATAACCGACAACGGGCTGGCTCTATGGTCACTAGAATCCTGCGCGATACCCATGGCGGATCAGATACAGCTGTTTACCGACGTCACGGAAAGGAGCGGCCAGCTGTGGAACCGGGAAGCGATAACGACAGACAACTGGGAAGTGCAGTTTCAACTGGATGTATAGTTAGAGTGGGTTCTTCTTTCTGCTTTGATCATAATTACTTGGTGGAATTGGATCATGCAGTAAACAGTATGTGAACGTGTAGAAGTTGAAATTGTTATCCGTATTCCATCAAATACAAATTTATCGTCGTCCTGCTCTCCCCCATCGTCGGTCCCCACATCAACTACCTGAAAGGTGTCCGCCTTGAACATCATCCCGAAGACGCGGAACGTCGGCGTGGCATTTTGGCTGACGGACTTTCAAGTCACGTCGGTGCTGAACGCGAAAAACATCGTCGGCTCTTCTCCGATGAACCAGGCTGATAGCGTATCAAATGCACAAATGTCTGGGTCTGGAAGAATTCATTTTTGTCATGCTTGTCTGGCATGACTCTTAAATCTGTCACGCACGTTACCCAGAAAGAGCTCCGTTTTTCTGTGATGCAGAGCCGCAGTTTGTCATGCAGAATAGGCAACACCTAGGAGCTCAGAAACTTGCCATGCTGAGCCAGTATTCGTAGCCTCATCATGAGACGCCACCCAGCATCACAAGTTTCCAGACCCAGACACTTTTACTTTTGATATAGCGACTGGAACGACAATTTGGCGCACTTGGGGTACGATTTCCTCGGCCACGACACGACGCTCCGGGGGTTTGGCCTCATCTTCTCGATCGAAGATGAGACCGGGAATGTGAACCCAAATTTGAGCTGTATAGAAGAAGTGCTCAGTTTTAATTTTGTGTAGTGATGTTGTATGTCACCTACCACTCTGCTTCACCATCTCCATCAGTCACCCTATTATAGGTTTTGTTTGCAGTCATCATCCACGCAGCAGGCGGGTAGTTGTGATGTAATTGCGTGAAAACGCTTCGTTCTTTTTTGACAAACGAAACAAACGCCGCAGGTACCAGAACACCGCGCTCAGAGAAACTCCAGATGGGTGTGAATTTCCCGGACAAAAACGCAATGAAAATCGATTTTCGAAATCAACCACTGGACGTTCGAGTGCGGGTGAAAGCCGGATCTGTCAGCGTGGACTACAAGTAAAATTTATAGATAATTTGTGATCGAAAATTTAATATGTACTTATTTGCTAGAACAGCTCTATGTCTCTCTGCTCGACGTCCACCTCGTCCTTCTTGCTACTTCTTCCCTGTGTGGTTTATCAACTCGCATTCTATAGCTATACGCGAAACGTCGATTTTTTTTTGATTTTTGATAAAAAAAAATCAGATTCGCGGCTACGGGCACGAGCGCTGCCAGCGACCGCAATGCCCACTACTGGCGCCATGTCTGCATGCTGAGAGACTACGAACCCCCAAAGCGGACCTACATGGGCTGGTCAGCTTGGAGCGGGACGCCCAAAGTCGCGGGACAGGCACCCGGCGACTTCAGGGCGGCGGTGAAAAAGATCCGCACGTAGAAAATTTAAACTTTACTGATGATTTTTCCATGTTGCATCTAACTATATGCATTTTGTTCATCCACCCTCGCCTGCAACTACTACGGCTTCACAATCTGTGCCTAGTTTACAAAGCAGGAATAAATGAATCAAGATCCAAATTATCCAACAGCTGGAACTACAACCTCGCCACCGTGGGCTCCGAGATGTCTGTACGATAGTGCACGATTCCACTCCCTCTTTTCATTTCGAATCATGCATGAGCAGCAAGAGGAGAACGAGAAGCACTCCACAAAGGATGCTTCTTCCGCATGATAATTAAATCTTCCGCAAGTCACGGTGGACTGTAGATGTAGCAGTGAAACAAGTAATATTTCGCAATTGCAAGTTATGAATGAAGGGCGGGAGCAGCTCTGTGCACTCTCATAATCCGGTGTCGCTGAGGAAATTCGGGACATGTACGCAGACCTTCACAAAAAGAACTTTTTGTTTGAGAGTATGGCCTCCTCAGACGGAACGATTTGAACTGGAAGAATTTGTCATGAACAAGTCCAGCATGGCAGTAAAAGATCTCCAAGACAACTCCAAACGACCACATTGGAACAATGATCTGCGTAAAGTTTGTAATGCAAATAGGCAGGAGCAAACGATGAATCACATCAGATTCAGACTTGACTTTTCCCTTTCAGACGAGACAGCGTTCGGCTTGACCACGACCTTGTTCCACCTAAGAAATCGTTCCGCCTGAGCAGGGCATAGAGAACCAGCGCGAGCAAACGGAAGCGATTAATGGCATCCTGGGCATGCTGAAGCAGTACGTGATGGGCAGTCACAAGACGGAGGAGAGCCAGGCAAGGACCCTGCTGCACGTGAAATCCCAAATGCTGGACATGGAAGCCAGCGCGCTCAAGTTGAAGAACGAAATCCACTACGTCTTGGGTATAGAACGAAGTAGCGCTGTTTGAGAACAAATTCATCTCGTTTTTTCATTCAGAATAGAAGATGGTGGTCTGCACCAATGTCACGACATGATGAACGTCAGCTGTGATGCTCAGATATTATTTAAGTGCAAAAATCGATGTCGATCTACAACTCCGTCAGATGAAACAAACTCAAATACAGACGAAGGCGAGAAGCGGCGTATTGAGATGAGCGCCGCGGAGAAAAAAGCCAAAAAAGACCGCATACTGCGCGAACTTCGGCAGGAGATGGGAAGTATCAAAAACGTGATCTCAAGCAGCGCAGAAGACACGCAGAAGCTGGCAACGGTTTCCACCTCGGTATAGAACGAACTGAGATGATGTAGTTTTGCCTAGTGCTACTCCTTTCCAAGGTTCGAATGAATTTACTCTAACAAGATAGAGGCGCGACCATGACCATCCTGTGCTGTCTCAACAAGAAGATCAAAAACTACCACTACGTTCATATCAGGCCCAAGAAGCCGCGAAGACGGACAAGAAGGTGATGTCGGTTTCCGAGCAGACGGATGCCATCAAACGGGCCGCGGAAAGCCAAATGTTTTACACGAGCTGGATGAACTATCGCACGAAAATAAAACTGTCTCACTGTAGTGATTTAGCAAAGTTGATGTAGCAGCAGGGCTAGTAGCTGCTGCATCTTCACAGGTTTCTTGCTCTTCCGCATGACAAAGACAATCAAAATGTGTCAACATCATCATGCGAGCATTGTCTCTAGGAGAAATAAATACGGCTATATTTATATTGCTTTGCATGTGTAGCACGACAGCCCAGCGGCATCTTTTGTGATGGAGGATCCTTTGCATTTACAGATTTAAAGTGAAACATATTTTTTCTTGCGATATTCACGGGATGGTGATCGTTTCCCTGCTCGGCATCGTCGTCTGCATCTTCTCCAAAATCATCTACTTATCCACTGCAAAAAATAGGTCTCCGTCTGGAACGATGCAAAGATTTGCGATGCAGCTTTGGCATGACCCACAAGAATTATGTGAAATACGAGCTGTAGCAACACATTCACAAGTTTGATGGTGGAGATGGCTCCTACTTACTTATTTCCTGTGTAGTTATTCAATCCAGAGCCAAATCTTTGTGTCGACCTTCCTTAGCATGATCCAGACCAAGACACATTTGCAATGCATACCACTACGAGAAAAAGCATTTGCTGTAGCCACGACATCTGGCGCAGCCTTTCCAACGTTGTGGCTGTGGAAACGACGAGCAGCAATTCGGAGCTTTCTTTGTTCTCTCGCATCGCCTCTTGAAAGAAACATGTTGAATTTGAACACTCGAAGCAGATTATCTTGAATGAACAACCATCCATCCTTCGGATGTAATTGAAAAACTTAAATTTTTATGATCACAACTCACACTCTCAATCTCAAACTCAATCTACTCGCGACTCTTCTACACAAACTTTTTGTATCTGCTGCGATACTGATGTACACGAATATCTTCTTTTGATGTATGGCGAAACCAGATTCCGCCCGAATCTTGGTAGGTGGAGCCTCAGTGCTGCCAGTACTGTGACTTGCATAAAATTCTATGAAGTCTTAGCTCATGTACAATTTGACAATGATACAGATCCAAGATGAAACTACCCAGATAAAATTACCACTAGTATTGCGACATCTCCTTGAGAAATCTAACGAAAAACAATAAACAATTGAGAATATTAGTCTACAGCGAAAATACCTCTTTGCTTTCTCTGTTCGTACAGGAGGAGAAGCTTCGCACGACAGAATCACTCCACCTGGAAGCTTGTAGGTATAATTGCCGAGATGAGCATCTTCAAAATGACGCATCGACTACCGCCAGTAGGAAAATCATGCGGTATTTTAGATGTTGGGAAAAAAACGAAAAGTAGAGCTCTCTTGTGTAGTCCCGATGAACGATATGATAGCGACAAACTACCTACAGCAAAGCGGCCTGCTTGCGCGCGACAGAAAAATGTACCAAATCCCAAGCAGCAGCATAATCGTTGAGAGTTGCTCCTCCTGAATTTTGTGGTCGCGAGCTCTACTTCTACTCGTCACTACTTACGCAACCAAGACCAACAGGAAGAAAACGTCGGCGCGACTGAATGTCTTCTGACCTATTAAGCAGGACAGAACTTCGCAAACAGTATGGTCAGCGCTTTGTTCTGGATCATGGTTGTAAACGTATTGGTCACCTCCGGAAGGAGATGCTGCACAAACTCGAAAGGAACGCTCAGTCGCTTTTGGCAGCTTTGTGACAGAACTATCCAAGTAGAGGCAGCCTGGTGTCGTTCTCGTACCAGTTGTCGCGATGCCAATGGTCCAAAAGAAATCGTGACAGAAGTGCTGAAAAAATAGAAAACGGACAAGTGGTGGTGCTATCGTCAAGTAGATCCAAATGTCCTCTTGATATGTTGCAGATTTTTGGGGACGCCACGAACGTGGTTACAGAAACAGACGCAGGAGGATGAACAGTGCCAAAGCCAAAACAAGAAGATCCGCAGCCATACATCGAAAAACACCCAGAAGATGAAGCAGAAGCTCATGACGATCATCTTATCAGTTTATGCTAATTTGAATCGTTTGTTTCACATTACTGCAAAGGATTTTGCCCATTTTTCTGCTTTGATGACAGGCGACACCAAGCGACATCATAAGTGAACCTTCATGATCATCATCTTCTTGATGATCCGTGTCCATCTTATTTTGACTCCCTGGAAGCCTCATCACTGACATTGTAACGCTAAAGTGTTGTGGAACTTCTAAACTTATCTGACGATGTGAACGTTGTACGTCTAGTTCCCATGCGGTTGTAAAAATATAGTATAAACGACTTCTACTTCTACAAGAAGAGCTACCAATGATGGCGCCTCCACCTCCTGCGGCGAGCGGGGGTCCGGGTGGTTCGTTGCCACCCGGTGCGGTCGGTACTACGACTAACAACTCTGCAGGTGGTGCGAGCTCTTCCAGCACCGGACCTCTCCCATCTTCGATGACTAACATACAGCTCCACCAGCACCAACCGAACCCCGCGACGTCCAAACTCCCGTTTGACCCTACTGTTCTGCTCGACACCACCACACCCTGGGGGGACGACCGAGTGCAGCTTTTGGACGTTATGGTGGAGATCATGTACAGCCAGAGCGTCGAAATCATCGTGAAGGCGATGGAGAGCGGGAATTTGCAGATAGGCGGCGCAAGCTCCTCCTCTGCTTCATCTGGTCAGGGTGGCGGTGCTGCTCTAGGTTTACCAGCGCATCAAATAAACCCTGGTGGTGCTTCCTCGTTCAACCCACACACTTTGACGAAGCAGGACCAGAAGCAGATCGTGAAATTCGCGCACGAAATCCTTCACCAGTTGAAGGACAGACCGGACGCGTGGCGCCTGGTGGACACGATTCTGGCGAAGTCGCAGAACCCCGCGAGCAAATTTTTCGCCCTGAATCTGCTGGAGGAGTGCATCAAGTCGAAGTGGCGGCTGCCGGACCTGCCGCGGGAGCAGATCAAGGCCTTCGTCACGGATCTGCTGATCAAAGTTTCCCGAAACGCAGAGGTGGTCCAGAGGGAAAAGCAGTTTGTCACGAAACTGAGCGAGGTTTTGGTTTGCATCGTGCGGCAGGACTGGCCCCACAACTGGCCGGAATTCATTCCGGAAATCGTCGGCGCCTCGAAGGTGGACCCAACGCTCTGTGAAAACAACTTGAAGATCCTAGCGATGCTCTCCGAGGACGTGTTTGATTTCGGGGAGAAAACGATGGTGAGTAAGCGGGTTTTGACCTTGAAAACAAGCCTTTCGCAGCAGTTCACGCAGGTGTTCGAACTCTGTATGTTTGTCTTCGAAGTCTTCGTGCAGCAGGCGCCCGGGACGATCAAACCGTCGCTGGTAAAGACGACGCTGCAGACGCTGAGCAAATTTCTGTCCTGGATTCCGCTCGGGTACGTGTTTGAGACGGATTTGATTCCGATCTTGTTCAACCATTTTTGGGACCCGATAGAGTTTCGGATGGAGTGCATCTTGTGCCTGAACGAAATCGCGATTCTCACGCCGGAATCCACGCCAGGGCTTTCTTCTAGTAGCACTACGGCCATTATGTCCGCCTCTGCGGGTGTTGCGAGTGCGACAACGGCGTCCGCGCAATACCGGGATAAGCTGCTGGAGTGCTTTGTGGCCACCATTCGAAAGATCGCAACCACACTGCCGAACGGTATTCTCGACCAGGTGCGAGCGGGGGACGGATTCAGCACACACATGATCCAGCAGTGCGCACTGCTGGTCACGTCGTTTCTGAAGCACCACTTTGAGGCGGTGGACGAAAGGTGGGATTCGCTGTCAACGGCCTTGAACTTTTTGGTCGAGGTCACCGCGGTGCCGGATGAAGAGATTTTCAAACTTTGCGTCGAATCTTGGGACTTGATCGCGGGGAGGCTATATTTACACGGGGAACAGAGTACTTGATGCTTTTTATGTGCATTGCTTTGCAATCTTGCGATGGTTGGTTCTTGTATGCATGTCAACCTCTTGATAGATTCATTTGGATGTATCTTGCTCATCTATATCCCCAGGTCGCAACGCGTGGCTCCGCGAGCAGAACGGGAACAACATCATCCCGGAGCTGCAAAACGACGAAATGTCGATGATCAACGGCATGCTAGTGCGGACGCAGCATCGCGACAGCGCACAGGACGTGATCCGCACAGAGCTGAACGACAACAAACTCAAGCGGTTCTCCCCGGTCTTATCTCGGGTGCGGGAACTCCTCGTGCTGCGCATGGTAAAGCCGCCGGAGGTCACCATCCGGGAGAACGAGGAGGGGCACATCGTCCGGCAGGCGGAGGACGACACCGACGAACTCGCGCTGTACAAGATGATGCGGGGGATCTTGGTGTACCTCTGCCACCTGAATCCCGAGCACATGGACAAGCTGATGCTGGAAAAACTCTCCCAAGAGGCGCAGTTGGCGCACAGCATGAACAGCGAGCCCTCGCCCGGACCCGGCGGCGGCGGCGGCCAAAATCCGTTGCGGAACCGGTGGTCGCCCGGCAACCTGAACCGCTTGTGCTACGCGATCGGGTCCGTCTCGGGGGCTCTCTCTGAGAACCACGAAAAACGGTTTCTCGTGTCCGTGATCAAGGACTTGCTGGCCTTGTGCGATCTGAAGCGGGGGAAGGAAAACAAAGCGATTGTGGCCAGCAACATCATGTACGTGGTGGGGCAGTATCCGTCCTTCTTGCGGGCGCACTGGAGATTTCTGAAAACCGTGATCTTGAAGCTGATCGAGTTCATGCACGAGTCCTTTCCGGGCGTGCAGGAAATGGCCGTGGACACACTGTTGCGGATCACGCAAAAGTACATAACTGATTCAGCTACTAAAGCACTGCGCAACTTGTTGTTCAATCGTGCTATCACTTCCACTGCGACAATGTCTTTCGATTCTGCTGCCTTATTCAGGATCACGACGTTACTGATAAACTAATAGCACTTTTAGTTATCAGTGCTGTCATGAATAATTTTTTTCTGTGTAAATAGATCATATTACCTTTACTGTTTTCCTGAACTTTTACGTTATCAGGTGCAAGAAAAAGTTTGTGACGACCCAGCCGGACGCGGCGGAACCGTTTCTGGTGGAACTTCTGGAGATGACAAAATCCAACATCAACGACCTAGACCACCTGCTGATCACCACCTACTACGAGTCCATTGGCATGATGATCGGCGCCGCGCGGCCTGTGGACCGGGAGCAGTATGTGGAAAAGCTGCTCTCTATCTTCAACGACATCTTCGTCAATACCATCCGGCACATCCAGATTGACCAAGGGAAAAGCCTCTGCGAAAACATTGACGAACTCAAGCGAACGGCGTTGGTATAGATACAACTGGTGCGTCGGATTAACTTAAACGTAGAATTTCTTGGTTAGTGACAGTAAATAGTTCAGCTTCTTGGCTGCAAGTTGACAACTTCGACTTTGGGTCCTTCTCCTTCACGACGCATGCTAGATATAAAAGAATGCAGAAAGAACTCCGGGTCCGGAAATATCAAAAACCACAAATAAATTTCAGTACCTCCGTTTGAATGAGCGCGTTGCCGGGACCGTCGGCCTAGCTTTCACCAAGCAATTTCGCGCGGTTTACAGCTCTTCACTGCAGCTCTACAAGCTATTCTCGCAGTACATTGGGCAGAAGACCGCGGAAATGATACAAATGCACCCGAATATGAGCAACTCCGGCGCGAATGCCTTGAAGCTCGCCAACGTCCGGCAGATGCGAACCGCGAAGCGCGCAACCCTAAGGCTGGTGACCACGTACCTGAAGAAGTGCTCCGCAACCGCGCTAGCCGCAGAGCAGCAAGCCGACCTGAACACCTTCGGCCCGAACGACACCACGCAGCAGTCCCAGCAGCTGTTCCTGCAATTACAGCAAGATCCCGCTGCCTTGGAGCAGGAGGTCGCGACCTTCGTCGTCCCCCCTTTGCTCGAGCCGGTGCTGCAGGACTACCAAAATGGTGTGCCGGAAGCGCGGGACGCGGAAGTGCTGGATTTGCTGACAACGTTAGTGACGCAGTTGGGAAAGCCGATATCAACGGAGATGCCGCGCATCTTCGACATGATTGTCGCGCCGACGCTGCGGATGCTGGAGAGCGACATGCAGAGCTTCCCAGACCATCGGATCAAATTGTACTACCTTCGTCCTTCATTTGTTAGATGGAATGATAGTCAGATGGAATCATGATAGATAGTGATAGACATAGATCTAGATTTTCATTTTGCCAATTTCTGTTCTTTCGAATTTTTCAGCAGCTTTGCTTCGTTGTCTTTTCGAGTTTTCGACGCGTCCACCTGCGAAACAAATTATATCACTGATCTATCACGACAGGTTCGACCTCCTTTCCGCCGTGAACCGTGACTGCTTCAGCTCTCTGTTCAGCTTGCGCGATGACATGATGCGGTTGTACCTGAATTCCCTCCTCTGGGGTATGAAGCACGAACATCCCGTCGTGTCGCAAACCGCACTGCAGATTCTCTCGCAGTTTCTGCAGCAGGTGCTAAAATCCCTACCGCCGGAAGCGTCGAAGCCCTTCTTTCGCGAGTTTTATGCCTTGATTTTGAATGCGGTTCTGGGGATTCTGACCGACACCATGCACACCAGCGGGCTGAAACACCAGGTGGAGATTTTTTTGGAATTGGTTCGCGGCTGCCACGACGCTTCGCACGACAGCACAGGTGCAGGACCACTTGGCTTAGGTCCAGGAGGCTTCGCGTCCACGCAGCAGCCCGGTTCTGGCGGCTTAGCGGCTCTCTCGCTGACCAACGACCCAGCTGCATCCTCTTCCAACCTAGTACCTTCTGACGGTGCGAGGACAAAAAACCCGCTCGCGTTCTCGCAGAAGGATATCCAGGAAAAAACATCCATCCCCATCCAATTTGTGATGCAAAACATGCATAAAGTCCACTATTTGTCATGCAAAACATGGATGGGGATGGGTGTTTTTTCCTGGATAAAGGAGTGCATGCAGCTGTTAGTCGATTTCTTCCAGAATACGTTTCCGAATACGTTGAACCAGACGCAAATTGAAACCTTTGTCTATCCCACGAAAAAACTGCTTCACTGTGATGATTTTGTACGAATCGCATCACAAGTTTGCTACACATGACACAGAAAATTTGCCATGCGCGTTTCCCAAGGGAAAACACGCTTGAAAATCCAGTGTCTTGTAGGTGTAGCAAGACAAATAGTTCTGTGCTCCATTTTCTGCATCACAAGTTCACAGTGAAGCAGTTTTTTCTTGCGATATGGTTCTCGGATTGTTCAATACGTGCCAGCAGGCAAACGAGTTCTCCGTCCACGTTTCGGATTTCTTGAAGGAAGTAAAAGTCTTCGGCGGCGCCGAGGAGGAGTGGCGGGCGGCCCGGGACGAGGCCATGCGACTGCAGAAGCAGCAGGAGGAGGCAAAACGGGCACGCGTGCCGGGGATGCTTTTGCAGTACCAGGAAATCAGAAGGCTGGATGACGACGACGATCTGTAGTAGGGCTATGGACATCATTCAACATGCGGCCGATGTTCGGCTTTGGATCTGATTGATTTCGATTTCATTCGATAGATAGCGACACGTGTCAACATAGAGCATACAACAAGAACCTACTTCATCACTAGAAGTGACAAAATACGATAAAAAGTTGAATTTGCGACAAGAGCAATCACAAAATGGAGAATAAAGAAACGAACTGAATCTCTGGCGGCCGGCGTGGCCTCTACTTTTTGCGCATCTCCGTGGAGAAAATAACATAAAGTACAATGAATTACGACCACTCACGCGTCTCTTCATCATCATAAATTGATGGCTTCTGATGTGTCATGACTTTCTGCACATTCAGCGAACTCTTGTTTTATCTGAAGAAGAAGACGTGATTCGTGATGCATATCATTTGTGTGTTGAGTCAAGTGTCGTCCTTAGTACTACTACTTCTTAACTTCCTGATGGAGCGAGAAACTTCTGACAAGTAACAGCTAGTACGCCTGAGTGTCAGTGTCAGACGCGATCTTCGAGCTGGTCTATTTCATCTCTGAGTGTGGTTGCGAATTATGACAATGAGTTTGTTGAGGCGCCTTCGGGCTGAACTACAGAAAACAAGTACAAAAAAAAATTATTGCTGTTTCGCCAGTTGTTTGGTTTACACCCAGAGTGGCTGCTGGCCTCAGCCTTTATTTCCCATTTTTCTCCAGTACAAAACCATGGTCGCCTTCGGCGAGCAACTCGTTCGCGACCGGGTGATCGAGTGGCGCGCCTACTACGTGAGCTATGAGGTGCTCAAGGATTACATCAGCGAGATGGTCCGCGACCTCTCCTACCACGAGCGGTTTCTTCAGGAACTCGGCAACAACATTTTACGGTTCACCAGATTTTACGAGCACCAAGAAGCCCGGCTTTTGGACAGTGTCGCGAAATGGGCACGGGTGCTGGAGCGGTCAGGTGGTGCCCCCGCAGGTGGGAGGACACCACAAACTTCGGCGCTAGTTGGGAATAATGTTCTTGCAAAGGAGCAAGGAGAACGAAAGCTGCGTGATCGAGATCATGATGGCGCAACAAGGGAGACCGGAATTCCTCACCTTGCCGCGACCTCGACTTCTACCAATGTCAATGTGGTCCCAGTAGTTTCGGCAAATCATGAACCTGTTCAAGACCAAGAACATGATCATTCTGAAAAGCGACCGCACTCGTCATCCACCACTCGTGGGACTGGTGCACCACCAGGAGTTGCGGATGCGGATTATCTCTATCTCTCCTCCAACGAAGATCCGCATCATCACACCGGTGGTTACAACAACTTCGAGACGCTTCGCTCCTCCGGTACTACGACCCATGATGATGGTACTACAACGCTCCTCGGCCGGTCCTCCAGCGAGCGCCGACGTGGCGCGGACGAGTTCGGCGCCCTGGGCAGCGCACTGACGGTCACCAGCAGTGTGATGTTGCCTCCGCGGGGGAGCAATGTGAGCGTGGAGGAGGGGGTTTTTGCTGCAGAGAACAATCAGAATAAAAGACCCTCCACATCACACGAACTCTCCCGTGCGCGCAGCGGTAGTGTTGTTTTGGCGAACTACTACCACGACGAAGTGAGGAACAATAACGGCAACGATACAAATTTTTCAATGTCGTATAGCACGTCTGTTGGTGCAGGGTCATTTTCCAGCTCGAAAGTGAAAGCAGCCACGAACGGTTTCTTCCGTTTTTCCCCGAAAGACCTCGAGGCCGCGCGACGAGCCGGGCACGAGCTTGGCGCAAAAATTGATCGGCTGATCAAGTTTGCGGAGACAAACTGCACCGCGGTGCGAAAGATCTTGAAGAAATTCGACAAGGAAATCGCGAGAAGGGAGCATTTGAAAGTCCTCGCGGTGCGGAGGCAAGCGCAAACGGAACAAGTCGCGATCACGAATGTTGGTGGTAGAGCAGGTAGCAGTGCAGCCGGCACACAAGAAGTAGAGCATCTTAGCATTGCAGACATGGGCTCATCGTCCCAACTGGCTGCGGTTCCAGCAATTCAAGGTGTTGAGAATCCCACCGGTAGTGTAGTAGGAGCGCTGTCCATAATGCCGACGGATAGCAGCGAAAGCGGTTTCGATCGGGACCTTTTTGAAGACAGTAAACATGACGGGGACAACATCATCAACGACAAGAAAGAGAAACAATTGAAGACCAGCAAAAGCAAGCTTGTCAGCCTCCAGAAAGACGTCCTGGACGCTTTGAGCAAGACAGCGATTGGGTGCGCGAAACAGCGGTTGTTTCCACTCAAAGAGCTTGTTCAATCTGTTCCCTCCGCCGCAAGGTTGTTTCTCAACAATGGTGCTGGAGAGTACAACATCAGAAATAACCCAAACCACCGCAAGACGGGCATGCGAACGCCGACAGAAATTGGTAAAGGAGCGGCGAAGAAGGTTTTCGACAAACTGAAAGACCGGTTTACTACCACGTCGAAGCGTCCCAGTTTTCCGCGGCCGTCGAATCAAATCGAAGACGCGACAGGGGCAGGAGAAGGGCCCCGGGCGCCGTTGGTTCCCAATGACTCACTGGGGAACTTGTCTTCAAATGGCTTGTTGCTCAACAATTTTTATGCAGAAGCTGGAGCTGCAGGAGAAAAGATTCTGAGCAAAAACGACGCCAACGTGCTGCCACGAAAACGTAATTCTAATCCGGGCACAGAGTCACCCGCTTCAGATCGGGCTGGGGCAGCCGAAATCCCTCCACTTCTCGAGCGGGCCTCGACGATGGATTTGGCTGCAATCGCAACTACTCTGGAGCAGGCAGATGTTGACCAAGGTCCTCAACCGCATGGAGGAGGTCCCGCTGGTGGTGTCCCGCAATTGACCTTGCTAGCACAAAAAACGACGAGTCTGATGACATCGCTACGGTTGTCGACCCAAACCATTACAGTGCCCGGTGGTAGTACAACCGTTCCGGGAACGCCAACAGTCGGCCAGCCAGGATATCATCAAGGGAGTAGTACAATGATGAGCAAACTGGTAAACAACAACAGCAGTAGCAACAATAACGGCGTCAACAACCTCCTTCAAACCATTCCTCCTGACGCAACAACATCAACTACGAGCAAGAAACCGAAAGTCGGCACCACCGGCGCACAGATTGCAAAACTGCTGGAGAAGTGGCACTGGCGGCCGCCGACGCGGGACCCGCGCTCGCAGTTTGCGGTAAATGACCAGATCTTACCAGATTTTCAAATCGCGGATATGCCAGACGAGGATGAGGTGGACCAACAGATTCTTCCGCAAGGTTCCACTGACTTTACAGATGCTCTTGAAGGAGTGGAGCTGTACAATCAACAAGAAATCATGACAAGAAGGAGAGCACGCGCCGGCGAAGTCCTGTTGTACCAGGAATCTGTGCTGACCGATGAGGAGTATGGTGCTGGTGACCAGATAGAGTTCTTGTCAACAAGCAGTTGTACTTATTTCCTCTCCTCCACCGTACAGGATTTGTTTCTCAACGTAATCCTCTCCATCGACGTTCTTTTCCCCATCATGGCTGCGATTCTCTGTTTCGTTGGCTGGCAAAACGACTTGTGCAAATTATTTGTCGAAGATGCCGACTTTGTCGCCATTCCCGGTGAAGAGCCACTCGACCCCGAAGACAAAAATCTGCCCATTCCCTCCTGGAAGCCCTGGCTGACGATTTGGACCACCGCGGTGGTTCTGCGTCTACTCGTCACCGGCTGGCCCTCGGACGGCACGCTGATTTTCGCAACGCTGTGGCTCTGCCTCGTCGGGGTGCTGGACTTGGAGCAAGCGTGGGCGGGATTTTCGAACAATGTGGTTCTGTCCGTCGCGGTTTTGGGTGTCGTGGCGCAGGGGGTGGAGCAAACGGGCAGCGTGGAGCGGATTTTTTCCACCGTGTTGGGGAATCCGAAGGGAAAGTTCAAGGAAGCCACTCTACGGCTGTTACTTCCCGCAATCGTTCTCAACGTCGGGATGAGCAACACGGCGGTGATGTCGATTTTGACGCCGATACTGGAAAAGTGGAGCCAGCAAATCGGGATCAGTAAGAACATGTTTCTGATGCCATTGTCCTACGTGTTGTTGATTTCCGGAACGGTTGCGATTTTCGCAACTTCGTCGAATTTGATCGCGCAGGGTCTGATGATCGAGCACAACCAGAAGCCCTTCGGCACCTTCGAGATCGCGCCGGTCGCGCTGTGCTCCACCGCGGTGACCCTGCTCGCGGTGTTACTATTGATGGAGAAGCTCTTCCCGGATTTGGCAGAGGTTGAGTGCGACGACGACGCTGGAACGTCGAGTTTTGCTGTGGAAGACGACGACGCTGCGACCCAGATGCTAACGCCGTCGGATTATTTGAAAACGCCAGCGGGGGATCATCTGATGGCCGCGGCGGAACAACAGGAGGAGGCCCGGCGGGTAGGTGTGGTTGCCGCTACGGCGGGACCACAGTTGCAGCAGCCACTACTTGATAACAGCATGGCAGCCGGCGTTGACGCATTCTTCAAGAGCTCCGGTACAGCTACGAAAGGAGACACGACTACCTCTAATAAGCGGGACGAGACCGCGAGCATTTCGAAACCCGCTGCAAAGCAGGTGGAGAAGCATTCAACTGCCAGCCACGGAGGAGCTGCAGCAGCGCCACCACCTCCACCGCGTGAGCGGAAAGACACGAAGCGATTTTTGCTCTCAGTGCAGATGTCCTCCCCCGAGTACCTTGGGAAAACGCTGGCAGAGTGCGATTTCCTGAAATCGGTGAACGAGGTCATCCAGGTCGAGAGGCTGGGGCAGAAGGTGAATTTTAGTAATACCACCACCGGCGCGTCATCTAGTGCGTTGAATACAGGACAACTGCAGCAGCACACCGCCGGGGCCGGGGGCGTTTCAACTGCCGGCACGGTGGGCGTTTCCCCCACGACAGAAACGACCCAACAGCAATCGTCTTTTACTTTCCAGTACTACGACATTGTGCACATGTACACCTCCGCCGCGCAGGTTGTCGCGATCCACCGCAACGCGGGCTTGCACGTGCTCTGCCGCGACGTCGGCGACCCGGTGGTCCACAGACTCGCGGACTCCATGGAAATCGCGGAAATCGTCCTCGATGCCGCCTGCCCGCTGTTGCAACAGCCCATGTGCAGCGACCAGGTCCGGCGGAACTACGGTGCCAAGGTGTTGGCCGTGCGACCACTCTACCTAACCGAGTCCCTCCGCGGCGCCCTGTTCGGCCCGACACCGGACAAAACGAAAATCGCGAAGGCGGTGCAGGAATTCGCCGCGATGGAGCTGAAGGGCCGGAAGTTCCAGCTGGGCGACACGCTTCTCGTGCTAGCCCGGGAGGGGTTTGCGGAGCGGCATGTCGGGTCGTCCGAGTTTTTCGGCGTTCGGGCACTGTACCAGCCGAGCTTGGACGGCGGGATTGAGTCCTCGACGAGTTTGGAAAAAAAAGCGAAAAAGGAACAAAAGCGGAAGAGCACCAGTGCGGGTCGGACGAGTCAAGTAAAGAATCTTGTTCACGCAGGCGGTGGCCGGGTGGACGAGAGCAAAAATGTTGAGCAGGGTAGTTATAACAAGGTGAAGCTGAAAGGCGACCTCCTCGCGGAGGACAAGCTGGACGAGAGGAATGAAAATCAGGCGCACGACCCAACATCCGACGCAGGAGCCCTAGAAGTGAAGCACTCCGCATCTTCCTTGGAGAATCTGCAGCAACTTGAGCAGGCGGGTGAAGATTTTTCTGTATCGACTTCGAAACAGCCCTCGCTGCTGGCGAGAATTCGCACCTTCTTCGACGACGAGCGACAGCAGAAACAAGCCGCGTCTCTGTTGATTTTAGCAGTTATGATCCTCTCCGTCTCCACCGACACAATCCCGCTTTTGTCCGCGTCCATGGCGGCGGCTTACGCGTTGGTCGCGACGAAGTGTTTGTCGAAAGATCAGGCGATCGCGGCCGTCAAACTCCGGACGGTTCTTACCATCGTCGGCGCTTTCGGGTTGGGCGACGCGATTGGACGGACGAAGGTCGCGTTGCTGGTTGCCTCCGGAGTGACGACGGCACTTTCCCCGTTCGGGGAAACCGGGCTCTTGATCGGGATTTATCTGGTCACCGTCCTGCTCGGAATCGTCTTTCACGCGACGGCCGTCGTGATTCTCATCTTCCCGGTGTGCTTGGACGCGGCGCAAAGCCTAGGCGTTTCCGTTCACCGAGCGGTCACGATTCTGATGATTGGGGCGGGGTGCCAAATGCTGTCCCCGGTGTCGTACCAGACAAATTTGATGGCGTTCGCGGCGGGCGGGTACTCGTTCAATGATTTTCCAAGGTTAGGCCTTCCGATCGTACTCCTCATCGGCATCGTCGCTGTGCCCGCAACACAGGTTTTTATTGAATGATTCACTTCTTCGAGGACGTAAGTACTAGTTTTGATCCAGTTGAATTGTTAAGTTTCCTAACTTTCTTTGCACAGAAGGACGAACGTAGTTTTGTATGATTGGATTTCAAGTGGCGATAATGAGTAGACGCATCAAAGAATAAGAAAGACACACATCAGAATACACCATAACAAATCATGATGGAGTTGTTGTGAGGGCGGCGGCGGGGAGCACCATCTCCGTGACCAGGATCATCATGACCATCCGCAACAATGTTTCCAGTGTCGTGGACGGAAAATAGAAGTATTCTCGTACTACCCCAAATGTTCTCGGTCTTGTACAACTTGTTGCTCCAAGAATTATCAAACGTAGTCCTCAGTTCAGATTTTGCCTACTTCTGGTTTTGGTTGAAAAAGAAAAAGTCTGTCCTAGTTCTTGGACGTCCGTCGTCAACAGAAAGAATCGGTTTTTGGTGCATTTGTCGCTTTGAATTCTCCACCATGTTCTTGATCGGTTCTCGTAGCATAGCTGGAGCTTCTTCGTTTTGTTTGTCGTCCTCGGTTCGTACAACATTGCGATGTAGTGTCTCATATTCGTCCTCCTCTACTTCGTCTGTTTTATGTGAAGCATATCGCTCGTTTTGGTTGTTTCGTCATCTTTCTTCGCAAAATGGGTACTGGATGTAACTCGTTTTAAACAGGTCTCAGAAAAACAAGATAGCACCCCAACATCATTTCAATCAATCTTCTAACCCAAAGCCAACGTAAAAAGTACACTACTTCTCAACTCAACTCAAACTCACGAAAACCACCACGACTACATCAGCATCTTCTGAAATGCGAGCAAAGGTTTGTGACAGCTGCCCTTGCTCCTTTTCACAAGAACGGTTCTAATTCCTTTCCCCCACTATGTCCACACTTGACACATTGAGAGAAGAGGAAGAAGAAGTTCCGCAAACGACTAGCACCACTAAGCCGACTACTAAAGCCGTCCTCTCCGTGACCAAATCGTTGAATTTGAAACTGGATTCGGAAACTCTGCAGAAGGCTCAGCAGGAACAAGTCCAGGCCGCGCAGTACAACCAAGCTCGCCGAGCTCTATCTTTGCAGATCGAGCAACCGAGTTTACCGTCGGCGCGAGGTGGTGGCCCCCACCAGCAAGGCGTAGTTCCGTTATCCGCGAGGACGCCCGTCACTGACACGCCTCGCGTAATTGTTGGAACTACAAATAACCCTTCCAGTCCAAGGAACAAAATCGCGACCAGGCAAGGGGACGAAAGCGCCCGGAGTGTAGCGTCTAATAGCAGTGGTCTATTCTCCAACTCGAAACAACCTCTGAAGCACCAGCTGGTCGTTCCCCACTGGTTCACCCCGGATTCCTCCCCCCGATCCGCGGGCTTTCTCACTCCCCCCCACAACCACGAGTCAGCGGTGCAGAATATCGAGAAGGAAATCAAGGCCATGATGGAGTCGGGGAACAAGCAGTTCGGTGTCCAGTTCAACAGCCACACGGGCTGGCTCACGCCGTTACCCCCCGGGCACCCGGAGATTCAGCAGGCGAGGGCGGAAAAAGCGGAGGAAGAAGAAAAGAAACAGCTGAACGGGATGAAACGGGAGTCGCCGTCCGCCTTTTTAATGACAGACTCAGACAATGACAGCCGCATGAACTTCCCTAACGCCGCGGAACAAGAACCTCAAGAAGTGGACACGAAGATGGAGAGCAACAGCAAACAAAACATAAAATCTGAAGACGATAATCACGACGACATTTTGAACGAAGTGCTTGCGAACCGCCGCGACTACCACCCGAGTAACCCGCTGGGAAAGACCCCAGCGGTGCAGACGCGTAATGTTCCGAAAACAAATGCAAACAAGCAGATGTTGAAGCACTCGCCGTCGGATTATTACCTGAATTTCTCTGAGAACTACGAGCAAACGAACAAGATCGCGAACACGCCGAGCACCAACACGATGGCGAGCAGCAGCAACAACGATTTGGTCGGCAATGGGACCACGTCGGCGAATAATGTTCCTTCTTCTGATCCGCACGACCACCTGGTGAACCACGTCGAGGAGACCGCAAATGTCGGGTTCCAGCGGTTCGGTTTGATGCACCAGTCCAACATGATGAACCTGGTTCACTCCCCGCGTCGGCACGAGGTCGACCACTTGCACCACATTGAAGCCGCGGAGAAGCACGAGGAGCGGTTGAGGGACAACCACGCTCTGATTCGAAATTCCGGGCTTGGATACAAGTTCTCCCTCCACCAGCCGATTTTGGTGCGGAATTTCAACTTCGAGCGGGGCATGGCGATCGGGTTGCCCTCGCAACCGGTCAAAGCGAATTTAAATTTCGACCCGCGGGTGAAAAGAACCTCCGTCCACATGTTCAACAAGAACGCAGAGCAAGAATCTTCTTTGGCGAGTCCGCGGGGGCGGTCTGGAACGATTAACTCGGCCCGCGGGCGGTCTTTGACTCCCGGCGACCCGAACAATTTGCTGTTCCCCCTACGGGGCGCGAGTCCGACGCCACGACCGGTGCCCAACGCCGGGCTGGTGATGTTCAACACGCTCGGGTCTGTCGGCACGGCGCTGACCACGCCGCGAAGGGAGCCTTCGGTCGACTACCACGAGTTCCGGCGGAAATCGGTCAACACGCACGTCCAGATGCTGAAGGAGGAGGAACAAATGCAGCAGCAGCAGAAGGAGCGGGAGCAGGAAGAGAAGGAGAAGCAGCAGCAGCTGGACCAGGAAACCAATTCCGTCGGGAAAACGAACAGCAACCTGGGCGAGGGCCAGCACGAGCAGGAGCCCTTTAATACTAGTAACAGTGTGTCTGGCGGGGACGAAACCAGTTCGGCGATCACGATGAACCGCATCGGGTCCAACCCGAAACTTTTGGAACCCTCGGACCGCCAAAGAACACTCGACATGAGCGAGATGAAGCGGGACAGTAAAGAATACATCCAGGCGCGGCCGAACGATCTGAATCAGCCCCCGAAGCTGCAGCACGCGTTGTTTGGCGACGAGGCGATTTCGCCGCTGGTGTCCCCCCGGTTGCCGCTTTTGTCCGATGACCCGCTGCCTTCCGCGCGCGCCAGGCCGTGTTTGCCGCAGGCGGAGTTGATTCCGGTCAAACTGCACGAACAGGGCCACGACACGCCGCGGGACGACATTCTCATCTTCAAACACCACGAGCCGGGTTTGTTGCACCACGACCGGGAGTCCCACAAGTCGCTGGAACTGGGCCGGTTCACGCCGGGCGCGCCGCCAAAGTTCGATCTGAAGCTGCACGGCATCGTGCCGCTGCCGCGCTCCGCCCTGAACTCAGCCAGGGAGGGAGATGTTGTGAACACGCCGAGGGACATGCCGCTCGGTTTTCGCAAGCGAGAGGGATCGATGACTTTGCCGGACACTCCCAGACTAGGTACTTACAGGCTATTCGCGTGGTCGCTAGGCTATTCGCGTGGTCGCTGTACAACTTTTATATGGTGCTGTTGTTTCATGATGACATCATGATGTACCGGAACATGAACAAGATACCGGTATGTGACTCATTATTTTCGACTTGATGTGCGAAGGTGCGTAAAGCAAAAACAAAACTTTACGAAAACAGCGCCGATTATCGAGCCGCCGAAGGGTTTGGAGTACGGTCAGAGCCTGGACTCTGTGGTCCCGCGGTCCTTTCAAACGCCCACGAGCATTGCGACGAACTGGACCCCTTACAAAATTTCAGCCGCAAATGGAGTATAATAATGATTATGATTGGTTTTTCTTTTTGTTCACCTACATGGTACCGGTAGTAAGTCAAAAAAGCATGATGCGCATGCTGTGTATCTGCATCTAGTATGTTGACGAAAAAAATATCAGCAATGCCAGCATTACTGATGCACCACTGACACTACGACGCTTATGCGCACGAGTGACTCGTACACGTACTCCTACGAGTAAAGGTTAAGGTAATAAATATGTATGTAGCTACAGCTAGTATCGAAGAGGAGCATGCGAATGCGGATCACTACGCGCATTCGTGTGCCGGATGATTCAAGATCAGCTTCTCATTTTTGGAAATACTCACGACAGGCCATCAAGCAGTCCGTGACTGATATGCGAAACGCGCAGGCCGGCATTTTCAGCCGCGAAGCCCGGGATCGCAACACAAACGCGGCTATCGAGCGAGACATCCAATACCAGAATAGCGAGCGTCTGCAGAGGCAAATCACGCCACGACCGGTGCCGGTGGAAAATGCTTTCACACCAAGAGGCGGAAATATGGGCATGAGCGGGTATGTGACGCCCAGTCGAAATTTCAACTTTCTGCCGCCGACTGCGGGACACTAGTGGATCGAACAGATCATGAGCCCAGGAGCTGAAGATGATATCTTGTTGAGAAGATACAATTATTATCTTGAGCTTTCCATTTGGGACATAGATTTTTATTTTTCTCGTTTCCTGCTATTGAACACAAAGACAAACACACTATGTACTTCTTTTTCGACATAGAAACTCGTCCATATCCCTGAGTCTGAGCAAAAGCTTCAACTTGTTTTTTTGTTCTTTCATGTCAGTCCTCTACCATTTTTTTTTTTCGCAATAGGCATACGCGCACGACAGATTTCTTTTTTTGAACCATCAGGGTCGATATTTTCTCACTGAGCGAGTGCGAGTACGGAGTCATCTATGTCTGAGCTGCTACAATGATCACAGGAGAAAAATCTACAGTATTGTTTTCTTAGCAGTTACAGCAGCCTCGTTGTATCTAGCCCTAGTCGTTACCTTACCCTTCTACTTTCGCAACACAAGCCTGGCAACTTTAGTTTTACCTTTCCAGAGCGCCAAGCTTCACTTCGAAGCCGAAACGAATTGAGAGCCAATTTCGTTTTGACCAGCTTATGGATTTTATCTGTGACTCCCCAAGAAAAGTTGTAGGCCTAGTCCCCCAGAATCGAGATTTCAATGCCACGAGAACAAACAAGTATCCCACGACTCTACATTCTGACACTATTCAAGCAGCTTGGGCTTTACCAGAGCGCTGCGCAGGACGAGTAGCCTGTGAAGTTGGTGTCGGTCGTGAAAAGTTGTTCTTTTTTTGGGTGGAGGTGGTTTTGTGCTGTTAAACTGAAAAACTTGTTGAACGGCGCGGCTTGCGCCTGTCCTTGTGAGATGAGTTGCAGACAATGACGTAAGTGGGCAGGAGGACGATGAACAAAGTTAAAAAGTGTTTCATCTGGGGGCGTGACTCTGCTTTTTTGTGACACAAGTATGTAAGTTTCTTCGACCAAAAAGGAAGACAGAAGTCCTATCGGTTGCACGTCCATCGGTCTTTTTTCTTCGTCTAAGAATGGCTGCGACGAGTTAGTTATAGTTTCGTATGCAGCCTCCTCATGATGTCCTTCTCACTTGTGGAGATCATGAAGGAACCATTGACTTGACATCAACAATAAACACGTCCTACTTCCTCGCCTGATAGTCGTTTAAGAAAGAAACCCGCCCCAGACACCGCACGCGAGGAAACAACCACAGCACGCGAGGACCCCTTTACATTTTCCTCACCAACCAGAGCCAAAAACACAAAACAAAAATGGCGCCCGGCAAGTCTCTGTACAACTGGGACACCTACAACACCCAATACTTTCTCAATGGCGCCCTTTGCGGGGGTATTTGCTGCTCCGCCACACACGGCGCGCTCTGCCCCGTGGATGTGGTCAAGACACGAATCCAGTATCACACCCAAAAGTGGTAACGTTAACGGAATTTGGAATGCAGCAGTGCATCACAATCACAAAACATGCCAAAATTTGTAATGCATAGCATGCATATTGGGCTACATTTGTGATGCATGACTGCAATCTGTGAAAGCCGTTAACGTTAACACTTTTTCTTTTGATATCCAGCTGGACCCGGTCACCTACAACACCGGGCTGATCGGCGGCATGCGGAAAGTGGTCGCCAACGAGGGCGTGGGCGCGTTGGCCACGGGGCTGGGCCCGACGGCCATGGGCTACTTCATCCAGGGCTGGTTCAAGTTCGGCGGTTTTGAGCTCTTCAAGGTCAAAGCGGCCAAGAGCTTAGGAGACGAGAAAGGTATAATTGAACAAGATTCTCATCGTCAGACTCTTTTTACTTGCTATACTTGAGCTGGACTTGTTCATAGTGATGAATGTGGTGTCATGTCCGGATTATACTTCTACGAGTTTTGCAAGCAGTGCCTCTGGCCCCGCGTATTGATTATGATTAGCATTAGCATTTAATATCGCACTGTGTAGTTCATCACGGTCATGGCCATGCTCACAAAAAATTCTATCAATTCCAGGGTTTCAGTACCGCAACCAGATTTACCTCGGGGCTTCCGCCTGTGCCGAGACCATCGCCGACGTTTTCCTTTGTCCCCTCGAAGCCGCCCGGATCCGACAGGTCTCTGACCCCAGCTTTGCCCAGGGCACGATCGCGGCCCTAAGAAAACTCTACGCCATGGAGGGCTTCGCCGGGTGGTACTCGGGTTTCATTCCAATTTTGTTCAAGCAGGTGCCCTACACCATGGCAAAATTCGCGGTGCAAGGAATGGCTGCGGAACAGATCTACGGGACGGTAATGTCAATCGTTCTTTAGGAGCGTGGATCCTTGTTCCTTTCCCTTTCGCTGCAACATTTCATTTTTTTGCATGTGTAGTTTCTGCATTGATGCGCATTATTCAAGTTCTTGCGGTTGGTATAATTTCTGCAGCTGCCCCCGCAAAAAGGTGCAAAGCAGCCAACGCGAACTGCATCGTAGCATGAAATTATTCTCGTTTTTTTTGACATTACTCTCCAGGTCGGCCAGCCGGCCACGCTTTCGCAGACGCAAAAGACCGGCGTTTCCCTCGCATCTGGTGTCATTGCCGGTGTTGCCGCCGCGATCATTAGTCATCCGGCAGACACTATCAACTGTAAACATGTCTGGGTCTGGAAGATTCTGACTCTTGTCATGCACGTTTTGCGTGAGCCATGATGTCTGTGATGCACACCCTAGCAATACAGATTTTTTGAGGGCTTCTTGATGCCTATTCCGCATGACAAATGCCTTCTCAGCGTAGCAAAAATTGCATTCCGTTTGCTACTCATGCAATACAGATTTTTTTTGGAATCTAAATACAGCATCACAACTTGCATTCTTCCAGACCCAGACATTTTTACATTTGACAGACACCCTTTTGTCCAAGATCAACAAGAAGGGTGCGGGCGGCGAGGGTGGTATGATTACGCGTCTCGGTCGCATTGCGGCGGAGATCGGGCCGGTGAAGCTGCTCACGACGGGCTTGGCGCCAAGGTAAAGAATTTACTTTTATTGCCTCATCTCATGCTTGCACTCTCAACATCCACCCGCATCGTAAAGAGGAGCGAAAAATAGTCTCCGCGCAGTTCTTATTCAAATCGAAACCCACGAACAACAAGAACCTTTCGCCATTATACGCTATGCACAGCGATACACATCAAAGAGAAAGATCCGTATAATCACGATCACGACGACAACAGGTGCGTCATGATTGGTACGCTTACTGCGGGTCAGTTCGGTATCTTTGATACGTTGATGCCAATGATGGGCGTGGAGAAATTCCATTTCCATGATCCCTCAAAGCCGCACTAAGCTGGTCCGGGGCGAGGAGGTAGAAGGCGGGGGCGGGTTAGTCATGGATGACCACCTTTGACAGCAGGCGATACAAAATTTTTAATCTTTTCTTTACGTTCGGCTTCTCAGGAGAGACGAGCAATTGTTACAACGGTTTAGAATCATCATCAGCAGAGTCTCAACATCAGACAAAACTTCAGTTAAGAATCACAGACACCTAGAGAATCACAGTACTATGACGGTCTATAAGATTAAGAATCTTCAGACGCAAAAATCACTATCAGACTGCTTATCCTTGAAACAGTTTTTGTGGTCGTCACTGACACAGCACCACGAAAGAACCAAAAGTTAGCTTGTAAATGCAAAATTAGCCTCAGTTGATATTTTCCGACGTTTCATACGCAAGCGCGACCCTACACCCTGGCGCTCTTTGCCTTTGCCTCGTAGAAACCACGCAGGGCCTTGCCTATTAATTTTCAAGTTCGACATTGTATCTAAAGAGTGAGAAAAATCACAGTCAGAAAGGCATTTGTCATAAATCAAAGAACGCTGCCTAAGCCTACTTACATCTAGGGAATAGCATCAACACTATTATCTTGCTTTGAGAAGGAAACGGCGAGGAGCGGTGGATATTAATAAGGATGCCCCGTTGTAGTTGCAACGCGAGCCAAGGTCATCAAAGAATTGTCCTAACCACGGTTACGACCAGCATGCGACACGCAGAATACATGTGAAATGAACGCAAAGAAAACGAAGACGACATAGGCATAGCACCAATGGATTGGAGTGGATTGGCTCTAGATTTGTTGCAACATCAGCAGATGGAGTACTGGCTTCTCGTTATGGAATCAATGCGTTCGCCTTACTTCAAAACATAGAACAGCAATAGAAGCGTTTTTGTCCTCGTCGTTCTGGTTTTCCGGATTCATGATTTCTTGGAGAGACAGAGAAGATGATTGAGGCGAGATGAAATCGAGTGATGTCGTGTCGCTGCATCAGAACCAAAAACTCCCGCATGAAAGATTATGTGATTTGTCGATCGCATCAATTCGGCCCGTCGGTACGAAAAAATAAAAGAAACTGAAGCAGATAACAGAAACAGGAGCAGACCTTACATATTTGATAGATCATCAGATCAACGTCAAGTCGTAACGAGGCTGTAGTTATTTGTATTTCATCGACGACGAACTAAGATTAAGAAGCTTGCGCTACATTGTATTTCATCGACCTTTGGCTCCAAACTAGGTATGGAAAATGTAGAAAAGTTTCATACCTATAAAGTACTAGCTAGCACGGTCGGGCACTGGTTACGAGCACGATGGCGATCATTCTTTGCATTTTTTGGCGTCCCCACTAGCACGGTCGGACCGTGTTAGCGGGGACGCAAAAAAAGCAACCCCGCTGGTTGCCGCGCGCTTTTAGAACCTCTGCGGGCGAAAAAGTGAATATATATCCAAAAAATGAGCCGCATATTTCGAAACTGGCCCGCATAGGTTCCAAAAGCACGCGGCAACCAGCTGGGCTGCTTTTTTTGGCGTCCCCACTAGCACGGTCGGACCGTGCTAGTGGGGACGCCAAAAAAAGCAACCCCGATGTTTGCCGCGTGCTAGAAGTGCCTATGTTGACCAATTTCGAAAATATGCGGCCCATTTTGAAAATATGCGGCCCATTTTTGGGGTATATAGGTATGAAACATTTTGCAGTTTTCCATTCATACTCCAAACAAAAACTCCGTAAAGATGAATTTGAACTCGGAGCTGGAGCCCGGCGGGACGCTGTTTGGTCCGCAGCGTCCGTCGCTGGAAGTGCTGAAAGACGTGGCGGAGGACGCGTCCCGTGTGGCTTCCAACCCGATGGAGTATCAAATGTAAAAATGTCTGGGTCTGGAAGAATCCGAAATTTGTTATGCTGTTTTTGCATGACACAGAATGTCTGTCATGGAAGCCCTAGCATCACAGATTTTCAGAGGCCTTCCTGATGCCTATTCCGCATGACAAATGCCCTCCACGCGTAGCACAAACCGGACTCCACCTCTTGCTGGTCATGCAACACAGAATTTTTTAGAGTCCAAAGGTAACATCACAAGTTCCAACTTTCCAGACCCAGACATTTTTGCAATCCATATGGAGCTCGCCAACCTGAATTCCTCCGAAACGGTCAAGTACCAGAAGCTCGCGAAAAACCAGCAAAAGTACCTCGGCTTACTGGCGGAGAAGTACCCGGAACCGGGGCTGATGGCGAAGCCGGACGGCACGGAGGTCAAAGACCGGAAATTCGCGGGAACGGTGACCGCGGGGGACAAACTGTCGTACTTTTCTTTCCCCGGAACCCCCATGTACTGGACCACGGAGCGGAGTGGGAAGTCGAAACTGGGCGTCACCAGCCCGCCGGCGTCGTGGTGGTTGCAGAGGGAAGCGGCGCAGCGGTTTTGGGAGTGGCTGCGCCCGATGGGGAGTTCGGATCGGGTATAATACTAGGATTTTTTTTCTTTTTGGTCATCTTCATCCCTCACTTATCATCCAAAGGCAAGGAAGAGAATCAGAAACAGAAGAAATATATAACATGATTATAGCACTTCAGTATCCTGCTCTAAGTGGTCTCAAGCTAAACCACAAATCGATATTAGAACGGCTCCGTCCGGGGTCCGAAGTTGCAGATGCTAGTGAACATGACATCGATGACCGGTGTGGGCAAGTGGTGGCCGGACATGCCGACCAGCGAGTCGGATCTGAACCGGCATCGAGGCTGGTACGCGTCCAAGTGGGTAATGGACACGCAGCCCAGTAAGTTGGGAAAATCAGAGTTTTTGGAGATAGAACGAACTACAGGTGCGCCTGATCGGAGTAGTTCTTCTGGCGAAGAATATGTAAGAGACCGGGCGGATTATTCTCGGGACACCAGCAGGAATCTCCCACAGCGTCACAGACACCGGATAAGAAGCACGACTTCAACTTTCCTCGACACGTCTTCAGGAATAGATGGATTGACCGCCACGATTGAAGGATCGACATCAAGTGCGCGGCCGTGCACAACGGGCTTCTACGCTGGCGTTGTTGTCGGAACAGGACCGGCGACGTCGTCTTCCTCCTCATTTTCCCATAAAAATTGCCTCCATGCCCGTGCCTGTTCCACTTCCGCCCATCGAGGAAATTATAACGTAAGCCATCATCTCGAGGAGCAGCAGCAGCAGCACTATCGAGATATTAACCATCGCCACGTGAAACCAACGACCTCTTTTGGGATTTTTTTCAAGAACCGTGACAACACCGCCCATCCAGCGGTTGGCGAGGTCTCGCCCAGCTACTTGAAGCCGGCGATTCCCTGGGTCACGCGGGACCAAAACGGCGTCAACTCGGAACAGCACGACCCGGAATCGCGGGAGGGCGAGGTGCAGTCGTATGAGCGGGATTTTCGGAAGTACCGGGACCCTTGCAAGTCCGGCGTGCGGCAGGCTTTAACGCCCGAATGCGCCGTGGCGGGCACGTTGAAGCAGGTGAAAGGCGGCACGGAGCCCACTCTAGAGCAGAACGGCGATGAGAAATCCGAGACGACGGTGAAGAAGCAGGAGCAGAAAAAGCGAGGTTTGATCATGCGGGCGCTCGGCGGGATTGCCAACATGTTGAAGTCCACCGCGAAGATATCAAACAAAAAAGTGTTAACGTTAACGGTTTCCACAGATGGCAGTCATGCATTACAAATTTTGCCTTCCATGCATGCTACGCAATACAAATTTTGGCACCTTTTCTGATGCATTCCTGCATCACAAATTCCATTCTGACCCTATGCCGCTCCAGCGCCTGCGGAGGCTTGCTTCCTCAGTGATAATGGACAATGGCAATGTCGGTGCGGTTGTTTTAGCATCACAAATTCCGTTAACGTTACCACTTTTTCGTGTGATAGAAGAAGGATCCGCCGATAACCCAGGCGGACTTCTTCCGGCGTTACTCCATGAGGAGAGGGCGGCAGTTTGAACCGACGAATCCAGTGCTCGACGAGGAAGTGTACACGACCTACGCCGACGAGTGGAAGAAGAAAGCGGGCGAGGGGATCCCGCTGGATAAAAAGCAAGTGGGGAAAACCGTGAACAGTTATGGATTGTAAAAATGTCTGGGTCTGGAAGAATGGAAGGTCTGTCATGCTCTGCCAGCATGACTTCAAAGTCTGTCATGCACGTTACCCAAGAGCCCCGTGCTTTTGTCATGCAGAAACGCAGTTTGTCATGCAGAATAGGCAACACCTCGAAGCTCAGAAACTTGTCATGCTGAGCCAGCACTTGTGGCCGCCTCATGATACGCCAACCAGCATCACAAGTTTCCAGACCCAGACATTTTTACAGTTGATAACAGTAAAATGAAGATGGTGAAGGACATTGCGCAGAAAACGATCAACGACACGGTGGGGGTGGTCAAGGGGTTGATGGGCATGTACGAACCGTTATGCAATACAAATTGAAATTTCCCGTACATGTACAAGATGCATCACAAATTTCGCCAATTTGGAGCGTAAAACTTGTCATGCTAAACTAGGACGATCGAAGCCAAGTTTTGTCATGCAGAGACCGCATTTGATGATGATGATGATGATGATGATGCAGAGACCGCATTTGTACGTGTACGGGAAATTTACTGTGGATAACCGTCCCGGGACTACAACGAGGACGTAACCCCGCCGATCGAAGAGCCGCTGCAGGATCCGGGGAGGATCGACCGAGTGGATAACGAGTACCAGAACGTGATCATGTCCACAGCCAAAGACCAAATGTACAAGGACGGGTACCCGATCCCGAACGGGGTCACGCTGGACCCGGATCTGTTCAACAAAATCGACATCAACCCGAACGGGGAGGTGAGCGGGAAATCTATGTTGCCACGGGACGTGCCGCATTTGGTCGCTTCCCGCTGGCAGCCGTACGGGCACCCGATGCAAGTGGTCAACAACATGATGAGCTTCCCGCCGGGCCCGGGGCCGGGGAAGATGGAGCCGAAGCCTGCTGAAGGAGGGGCTGATGCAGAACCAGCGCCGACGAGTTTGAACGCAGGGGGCGCAGCAGCAGGAGCAGATGCTGCTGACGCAGGAGAGATGAATTCCCACGGAGGGTACGAGTCCCTCCCCGCAGTGACGCAGGAATGCGGTCCGCGGCCGACACCGGCGGAAGGGACCACGGGAGAAACGGCGGGCGAAACGGGGGACTCTCCCGGCACCCACGATCCGGTGCTAGATGAGTGGAACAAGTGCGCGAAAAGGGAGTTTAAAAGGGAGAAACTGATGACGGAGCGAAAGCACTTGAAGTGCGGGAACCCGCCGCCCGAGGCGGGGTACAAGTTAGAAGAGCCGGCGTATGAGAAGTGTGCGAAGGAGGCGGGGGACGAAGCGTCGCAGGAGTTTTACGACCAAGAACTGGAGAGAGACGTGACTGAGAAAGCGGAGGCGGAGAACAAAGCTTTGCTAGAAATGCAGAAGTCGGAGGAGTTGTACGGGAATTTAAAGCCGCCAGACGAGGAGGAGGTCGAGGAGCAATTGGCCCACTTAGAAAATGAAATCACCGGCGGGCCGGAGTTTTCTCTCCCCCTGAAGCGGATATCTGAGGAAAAAAAGTACGAGATCGCGATGCGGCGGGCGACGCAGAAAAACGCGCTGCAAAGGCTGTTGCCCGACCACGTGATGACGCCCACGGCCAAGGGCGAGATTCAGCTGCACCCGCCGCCCATCAAGCCGGGTTTCGAGCAAGACGCGATTTTGGCGCAGCGCAGGGACGCGTTGGTGATGGACGATAAATATCTGCGCGACTCGCACATCCAGGACGACGAAAATGAGTTGGGGAACATCGCGAAAAAAATGAGTCACACCGTGGCCGGGGACGACGACACTTTTGTCATGGAGGGAATAGATGACCGGAAAGCAAAAAAGCCGAAGATTGATGCAGGTAGCAGTGAGGACAATGATGGAAATAGTATTAAAGACCACTCTAAAAGAACAAGCACATCATCATCAACCACCTCCGATGAGGACGGTGCTGCGGAAAAGAAGGAAGAAGCGGATTCCTGGACTTCATTTTGGAACAAGGTCGGGTTCGAGCAGGGGGAGCAGCAGATGAAAAGGCTTTGGGAGCAGTGGAAGCCGTACCAGGAGCCGGAAACGGTATCCGAAGTGGAGAAAGACATCCACTGGCCGCGGACGAACAGTTTTGACGCAATCCGGGAAGACGGGGGGTCGATCCTCTTGAACAAATACCGGAAACGCTTGGAGAGACAGGTCGGAGCGGTGAGGCCCGGGTACAAGAAGTGGAAGCTGTCGGAGATTCTGTAGGATTTAGATTTCTGCTGGTTCATCAGAAGGATTATGCGGATTTTTGTAGAATGCGATCGTCGTGTAATATTTCTGATAGTTTCAAAGAAATGTCATTTTTCCTCGTGTGGGGAGCTTGAATGAATTAGCGAGTTTGAGCAGGACTTCAAATGCCATAGACCGTAAATCATGTTCCGTAAAAAGGAAAATGTTCTTCGTATGAGTTGCTGTTTGTTTTGCGGCCCGCACCCGCTCAGTGCAGAGGCAGCGTAAAATTTTGCGTTTACGACACGTCCTGCGCAAGCCGAAGCTGCCGGATATTTTGTTGCGAAGTGGGCCCTTCAGAATGTACGCTTTGGCACCTGGGGGTAGCTCTGATGAAATACGTTGTTCCGATCATTGCATCATTTGCAGATGAAAAGTTGTGCGTCCTCACCTCCAGCAGCTGAATCTGCCGTCTTTATAGATAATACTTTGGAACTACGCCTACGCGTCACAAGTTGCGCCAGGTCCACCCTCCACATTCTAATTATATATACACCCTGAGAGCGACAGCGAGAAGCGATGAGTACGCGCCGCGACGAGAAATACACACACGAAGGAGTTGTAGTCTTTTCTTGCTTCGTCTACATGTACATACCCCTCGCCCCTTACTGTTGTGGTTTTTTTATGTCATTGCCTTTCTTCTTCTTGTTCCGCTCAGTTCAAAGGATATTAATTAGAGAAAAGCAACATGATGATTCTTTGATGCGCTAAGGCTAGCTACACGAGTACTCAGGACTGCGAGCGAGTTGAAAACAACGAACACCAGAAAGAGATGACTGCCTCTCCATGAAGATGTTTGCTGGGAAAGGGACTTTTTGTTTTTACTTGGTTAATAAAAGCGTTAGGAAAAAATCAAAACCTTAGCTCGTTTCTGCTTGTTGCTGCTCTTCGAAGAAACTGTGACAAATAAGAAGCGTTCCAAGATGTTGAAGCGGTTCTTACCCGGCATTGCTGGGTGCGCAATGGGCATGCTCGTGGCGAGCCTCGGAGGCGTCGAGATCGCCTCCGCCGCCAGTTGGGTCTCGCTGCCGAAGAACCTACGAATCGGGAAACTTTTAGCCGTCAAGACCCGAGCTGAGCTTGTTTTGCGTAGTACCAGCAGAAATTCTGGCCCTGTGCTGCATCTTCAGGACGAAGATGCACGAAATCTTAATGATGCATGGATGGTTCACTTGTATTTTCATTTTCCAAGGAGCCCTTCTGGTTCTGTTTTCTTTTTGCAATGAAGAAGAAGTATAAAAAATCGGCTTGCGCTCACTCTTGATCTTTAGATTTTCCCTGCATGCGCTCAGCAGAAGAAAGCAGCCGCTAAGGAGGACAAGAAGTTGCTGGAAAAGAAGTCGAAGTCGACCAAAAAATCCTCTTCCAAAAAGGCTGTCGCCTCCAAAAGCGCCAAAATATCAGACGAAAGTAGATTTTGTTTATGTCTACTCAAGAAGCGCACAATTTCATGTAGAAAGGTCATGATCATCCAGATCACGCATAATGCGTTTTTATTGACAACTCGCTACCGAGTAGAAGTTCAGTATCAACATGACAGCCTCTGTCTTTAGCAGCCAAGGAAAAAAAGTATTTCGTTCTGATATCCTAGCGACGAAAAGAAATCGGTGGCCGAGTTAGAAGCCGAGGTTGCGGCGGCGCAGAAAAAGCTGGAGAAGGCCAAGAAAAGCGAGAAAGAGGAGAAGGACCTATGAAAGGAAAAACTTCTTTTCACGTTTCATCTGTCGCATTCGATTTGCTACCCCTCTAATATAACAATAGCTGATGGTGCGAAGTAGATCTAGATGAAAGTAGCACTACAACATGCATGAATAAGATCAAAGTCAAAAATCCTCTGCAGCTGATCTTCGCTCTCAACACTCTCATCTACGTTTATTGGCATACATCACAAGAATGCAGCTGCAGAAATGTTGACAGTGAAAAGTGTAGAAGAAGGTTTTCCTCTGCACAGAGCTGCTCGGAGAGCAAAACCAAGCACGGCAAGAAGTCCAGCTGAGACAACCGCTAAGTGTCGATCTTTTTCCTCACGGTAGTTCGGAGATCTTTCTCCACCGAGGAGTGCAATAGTCGATTGCTATGGAAGTGGTGGAAAGGGAAACTACAACCGCTGATAACTATCTTTTAGGGTCCGAAGAGGTCGAAGCACAGCCCTCTGCTGTTCCTCGCCCCCTTTCCAGCCCGAGCTGATGAATAAAGAAAATTTAGTACAACTTAATTGCTCGTCTAGTCTCGCAGTTTGATTGATTGGTCACGATTAGCACAGGAGCTTTACGGTGGACCAGTACAGCCATCATGTTGCGGCTACTTATTAAACGATGAGAATTCATGTAGTTGGTATTCCTTTAGTAGAAAACTCATTTGTGAAAACGCTTTATCGACGACCTCTCTCTTGTGTCTCCTCGGAAGTATCAGCTGATGCTCGCGAGTCAGAAGGTTTCGCGCCGATTTTGTCGTTTGATCTTCGAGTTGCAATCTTTCTTCTTCGTTTGACATCGTCCCTGAAGCCGTGCAGTTCTTTTCGTGTCCGTTATCCGACGATTTTACTACAGTACAGTCTGCCAAATTCTAATTTAAGAACCTTAATGCTGATCCTGTCTGAGCGTGATCTCAGTATAGTTTCATTGCACAGTAATAAATCCAATTGAAATGCTTATATGATGAAGATTTTCGAAGAAAACGAAAAGCAACATCTTCATCCTCCTTCACTAAGTGAAGACCACAAATAAAACATCAGCACACCTACATTTGCACAACACGACGAAAAAAAATCAAATCGCAACAAAAGGCTCGCGCCCAACTGGTCTAGATTGCTACTTGCAACTTCTGACAGAAGATTTTTCCGTTTTCCTACTTGGGTGATCCGCCGTAGTGCGTCCCCTGCCGTACTTGAGGTCGGAGCGAAAATGGTGAGCAGATGAATAGTTCGTCCATGGAGTAAGAAATAGTGTGGATGAAGGAGGATGAACATCCAGTATGAACGAAGATGAATTTCAGAACTCGCGACTCCATCCAACAGATGAGGGAAAAATTAAGGTTCACGTTTTGGAGAGAGAGAGAAAGTGATTTTCTTACTCTGCAATATCTGCACACGAGGAAAGAGCGCCAGCATAGAGTGCCAGCATTGTACCACGGAGGGACGAACGTATCCCGCGGTTATTAATGCAGCAAGTCATTTTACGGCGACCACAGAAGTGACGCAAATCAATTGAAAACCATGAGGCGCCTCGGCGTGCTATTTTTTCTTCTCGCTGCTTACCTGACAAACGTTGACTTTTTCGTGGAGTGTCGAAAGAAGAAGAAAAAGCCCACAGCCGTGGCAACGTCGGGGGACGACGGTGGCGATGTAGCTGGGGAAAATTCGGATTCGCAAGGTAACTGACTCTGTGCCAAAATGAAAAATGTTTATTCATTGCGTTGGTTTGACATTATCAGTAACACTTTTGGTTCTGCAGGAGGTTGAGGTGACAAGAAAATGAAAAAGAAGTAACGAGGAGCAGCAAACTGCTCAATTTGCAACACAGTTGCGACAGCTCGCAAAAATGTTGCGCATCTTCAATCCGCCATACTGCTAAATTCATTACACATTCAAGTCATATGATACAAAAACCGCGACAGGCTTTCTCGAGTCCGGGCGTAAGAAACACAAGAAGAAAAAGAAGAAGTCCAAGAAGCAACAGTTTCTGGAGGAGAAAAAACAGCGCAAGAAGGAGCGGGAGCGCGTGAAGAAGGTGAGGAAGAACCGGAAGGGGAAGCGGAGGCACAAGACCGCACTGGAAAAGATCCAGTACTGCTTGCACTATGCGGGCAACGGAAAGTGCGGGGAGCTGCAGCATGCGATTCCGCTCTAGGACGAGGAGATCTTTGGATTCGGTGGTGCTGTGGGCAAACGAAGTAGAAGCAGCGTACTAGGGACCACACAATGATGGGTGGAGGCCGAGGTGGGGGAGGCGAGTTTTGAATTGATAAGATTAGCCGCATCAAGACGTCGCAGAGATACTGAGAAGAAATTTTTGTTTTCTGATGTAGGTTTCGTTGGTGGTGAAGAAAGCTTTCGCGCAGCGTAAGATTGATGAATTTGAATAAGAATAGGTACATAAAATTTCTGTGAAGGAGCCAGCTTAGGATTTTTTTATTGTTGATGATCAAGTTCAAGCCGCAGCAGCAGCCGGGCGCTGGAAAAATAAAATTTCATTATGATAATGAGATGGCAGGTGAAGTAGAAGTAGTGCCAGCTTTCCTAGAGCTGTGTACTATGGTGAGTTGATGAACGCTATCTGTAGATTCACCAAGTGAAAGGGAAAGAAGGATAGAAGCAAATGGAATGGTGCCGGACGCTGTGCTTGGTGGGGTCGATGTGACGACGACGTAAAAGTAGTTGTGTCTTCATTGCTGAAAAACCCAAACTGCAAATTTGCTTGAAGCTGTTGACTCACGGGCAAGCTCAGGCTTCGATATCTGCTGCTTGCGACTCGTCTGTCCAACTCAACAAGAGTCGGTTATTTCAGCGGTCCTAGCAAAAGAAAATCCGTCATGTTCTTGATGAATGCAGCATTTTTTAAGGAAGCCCTCGAAGCCCTGCTTCCGCTTTCTTCTACCACAGTGAAGATGAGCTGGAGGTCCACGACCTGCTTACTTGCTAGTGTTTAAGGTTGAGCGAGGATTCTTTCTCTTCTCCTTCTGCTACTAGACCTAGATCGATGAACAGTGTAGTTCGCGTTACCCTTACAGATACAGTCCCTGTTTTCCTCTAGAAAATAAAGAGATTGAATACATTCATACACAGACATAGTATCCTTCTTCAACAAAGCTGCACACAACTTCTTAACAACGGCCCGACGTGCTGCAAAACAAAAAAATGAATGCGACATCATCAAATACGACCGCGACCCGGACTCCCGAAAGCCGGCTGCGGTCCATGCTGAAAAAGAAGAATGACCAGCTCGAACAGCGAAAGAAGGAAAACGCGGTGTGCAAGAGTCTCCGGCGAGACGTCCGGGCGATGTTGCGGGAATATGTAAGTGAATTGCAGGAAGACTATATGGATGAGCATCTTAGGCCGGGGGAGAGCTCTAATGAAAATATAAATGCTTCAAGTTGTAGCTCGGACACCGCATCAGAAGCAGCTGATCCTGAATGTAACGAAGCAGTAGATGCAGATTTCGACAAGAAATACCAGGCTGGAAACGAACTTTTGAAGCACTGCTTGCAACAACTGTCACAGATGAAAACAAGCTCAACCTCAGCTAAAACTTCCGACGCTGCAGCACTTGCGCCTGACAGTAATAAAGGCAATGGTACAACCACTAATGCGAGCGCTGCCGCTGTTCTTGGATCTAAGGCGGCCAATAAACCGGCTCCCGCAAAGGACGCCTCGCTAGCTGCCGGTGGTGCTGCTGCAACCTCTTCTCATCTTGGTGTAAATGTAAACGGCGGTGCGGCCCCACCTATCAACAGCGCCGGGGGCGCGTCGCGACAAGTTAGTTCTTCGTCCAGCATGAGAGGGACTGCTACAGCAATAACGCAGCAGGACCTATCAACCGGCGAGCACCATCCTTTATCGGCTTCGACCTCTTCCACGAGAGGCTTGCTGACACAGGTGCATCTAGGTGGACTCGGGACGACTACAGGTGGAGCCACACTTTTCAACACGACAGGTTGCTCCGCCACTGCTGCGTCGCCTGGGCTGTTCTTGCAGCACTCTTCTGGAGGGGGTCTTCACAGTCTGCTGTCTTCCTCCACCGCTCAGTCACCCTTGACCAAGTCTATTCCCTGAAAATTTATATTTATATTTATCACTCCCATAGTCCAATCTGTCATGCAAAAAATGAAGAAGAAGAAGAAGACGAAGAGCCTGCTTCAGCTTCTGTCTTGTAAAAAGTGATAAGTAGGGCCGGGGAAAAATGAAAATTTTCAGGGAATAAGATCCTCTCTCAAAGGGCAGTCCTTTGTCGCGCCAAATCTCGGCGCGGCCGCAACGAGCCTGCTCGGCACTCCGAGTTCCCTGCACCAAACTCGGCCGGGCGGGGCGTCGGGAGGTAGTAGTACGTCCTCCGCTGCTTGGCGCCCGCCCTTGCTGATGACCAGTCCAATGCATCGAGTGCAGTCGCCGGGAATCAGTGTGCAACATCAACCCGGTGCCGGAACAAGTGGTCACCTGGTGACGACCCCAACTTCAACGTCGAGTCGCTCTCTCTTCAGTTCCGCAGGAGGTGGGAGTGCGAGTACCATCGCGGGAGGACAGCAAGGCAGTGCAAACCCGAATTCGCCCTTTTTTTTCCGCAACAAACCGGTCGCCATTGGGGGTTTCGGGCTTCCCGCAAACACGGTCGGAACACCGAACAGCACAACAACTACGCCAAATTTGAACTTGCTCGGCGTGGGAGCCGGAGGAACGCCGAGCGGCCCGGGGAAATAGTGAAGGAAAAAAAATTAGCCGCTTGCTGCTCTGCTTGAGGCGGGGGCGACAACTTCAACTCACCTGCGTCACTAACACTATTGAGACCATAATCAAAATCAAGGCTGCCAAAGTCCAACGCTGAGTACTTCTACGAGCATGCATGGTACAAAAACGGCAGCACATTTATTAAACCGCTTCGCATTCACCAGTGCATGTTCGATCGATGCACCGTGTCGCTCGAGCGATGAACCGCCTCGAGCAGAAGATCTTCACTTCATTTGAGTTTGCTCTCACGGATAAGATCTCGTCCCTGCATCATACTCACGTGCCCTCGCAGCACGATCTTATTTTGATGTCGATCATTATCATGCCAAACGATCGCAATTGTAACGAACCTTGCCGCACCGTTGGCTGATGGCGCCGCAGATCACCCTGATTTCGTGAAGAGAGGATCTGTGTGATTACCAAACAAAACTTGGCTTGCTACAAAGTTCCTTGCGTTAGAGCAAACGTATATTGCTCAGAATTTGAATTGCCCCTGCTGAAACTCACTATTTACAGCGACAAGCTTCGTAATCTGTGTAGAAGTTCTTCGTGTAGACAAAAGCAAAACGTCGTACTACTATAAACCATACCGCCCGAAAAAACTATCACCCTTTCTTCTGACTCGACCACGACCGCGAATACTTTTTTCAATTGCGTGATTCCCCATTGTGATGAAATTTCGAGCGACATCTCTTTTCCACATTTTATCCATGAGCAACATCCAAGTTCTGTGCTACATCGAGACATCAGCACTTGTAACGCGGCCAAAATGAACTACGAGGAAGAGCAAGCGCTGGAGCTGGAAGCGCTCCAGTCCATTTTTGTGCACGACGGCGAGTTGGAAGTAGTCGCACCGGATAACTTTATCCTCAAACTTTTGCCACACCCAGAAGAAGATGAAGAGAATCACGTCGAAGTGAAGCTCGAAATAAGGTACTTTGCGGCTGTAGCGCTGCGGCTTCTTGCTTGATGTTTCTTGCTCAGATGAGGAGGTAGTATTGCGCCTTTCTGAAGCCAGGGCTGATTGATGGCTCCGGCTGACAATCTCCCAGGCAACTCCCCGAGCTTGACTGGTTCACAGCTAAGAAGAGTTTTGCTTCATCAGGCTCCGGTGGTGATAAGTTGAAACACCATTCACCAGCTATTTACAAGCAGGAACATAGAAAGTACGCTAAACAGTTACTCGCTCGCCTGAAGAAGCGAGCACCCGATTGAATTTTTTTCTGGAAGCTTCACGACAAGTGGTTTGTCATGTCGGGACGGAACAAAAAAAGCCTTATGTACAACATACAAGAACTTCCAGCTGCCAGCATGAAGACGTCTTCAATCATCGAAACAGGTATCCCTCCACCTACCCCGAAGTTCTTCCGGAAATTGAAATCAAGGACAAGAAGGGACTAAACAACGACAAAATGGCCAAGGTGCAAGCTCTGATAACAGCGACAAGTGAGGAAAACGCTGGCATGCCCATGATTTACATGGTCGCAGAGGCTTTGCAGGAATTCCTTAGGGAAAACAACGAAAAGGAGCTGACGATGCACGAAGAGATGATGCTGCGAGAAAAGGCGAAGAAGGGTGATGACGATATCGGGGAAGAGGACGATGAGGATGAGGAAGGTACTAACTGTATTCTAGTTTTCGCGGTACTGTATCGGAGAAGGGCTCCGTCCTCGCGCGCGCTTTTGTTTACCAAAAAAAATAAACAGCATAGCACCGTCGTATCGTCATGTATAAGATTATGCGCGAGCGATTAGTCGTTCATGACATAAAGACGTCGTACACCATCGCGCATTACGTTATTCACCACGCTATCACGCAAAGGTAATGCAAGACGTTTGTGAATGACCCGTAGTATACCATCGTGCGTAAAGTTACGCACCATGGTATGGTGAAACGCTTTTCATGCGGTTATTTGTGATATCACTTACTGCACCGTCGTGTACAGTGTTACCTCCGATAATGTTTGTTGATAAGACTTGTACTTACAGTTACATACAATTGCCTGCAGGTGGCGCCACTAGTTTCATCTCTTTACAAAGTAACACCGTTTACAGGCCGTTTACTACAAAGCAAAGCACTACTTACATCAACACCAACAGACGACGACGACCTCGGCGAGCCAGCAGACGAGGAATGGCGCGGCTTGCACCTAAAAGAGCTCTGCGCGGAGTCGAGCCGAATCACCATCCAGCTCTTTCTCGATTGGAGGACGAAGTTTGAGGAGGAAATGGCGCAGTTTCGGAAAAAAGTGAACAAACTCTCCACGGTGACCGGCAAGCAGTACTTCATGACCCAGAAGGAACAAAACGGCGCGAACGCGGAGGACAAGATGGCCGAAGAGGAGGCCAAAGCCGCGGAGGACGAGTTTGTGGACGACGATGAGGAGGTGGATGAGGATGAGGACGCTGACTTCTCACCGCCACCAAGATCCAACGCGGATCGGAACCTCCAAGAACACTTGAAAGCAGCGACTTCTACTGAGAATTCGTGAGGGTCGTTCTTGGTGCGGCTTCGCACTCGTCGTGCACCAATACAGCTGGTTTTCGGACCTCATGGTAAGAAGTACACTCGCGCTCGCCGCAGACCTCCCCCCTCTGCGGACAAATTATCAACATACAGAAACATACACATCACCGCTGAAGCTCCTGCTGCGGAAAGCAACTCTCCAGTGGTGTCATTCACATGAGACGGAGATGCAGCGCAGCTGTTGTCGTGTTCAGACGGAGATGGCGAGATGATGTTGCTGAGATATTACTTAGTTATAGTTGTATTAATCTAGTGCGCTGAAGCTGATTCACTCAATCTTGACGAGGATCTCGCTTTCGCAGCAGGTAAAATAAGCAGCTACGCGTTGCCAGATCAATTGGATCCATTGCGAGTTGTTGCGATTTAGTAAAAAAACCACAACGATGAAGTGCCTATGCCAAGAGGAAATTGCTGCATTTTGCTTTTGTTAATATGCGAAAAGACTTCATATGTCCACGAGCAGCGGAAACGATTTCCTCTATCGCACCCTCGTCGAGCGAGCGAGCTTTTATTCTATTTTCATTTTCTAAACCGAAAGCAATTCCGTCTGGCTATATTTCAATTTTGTTCGAAGAACAAATCGTCTACCATCTTGCATTTCGACGCTCCTACCCTTCTCTGTTCGGTTTCGCAGGCTCAGTTTTCTTTTGCAATCACGATAAGTATAGGAGTTCTCGTAATTTGAGTCCAAGTAAGCCTCGTCGTCCACAAATAAATTCTCGTCCTTCAAGATGATCCCGTTTTGCTGGCAAATGAACTGCATGGAGGGCTGCAGCGCCACCTCCACGGCCGCGCCTCCGTGCTCTCGGTTCCGCGTCCCCGCCGCATTCCCAAAGAAAACCGAGGAGAGCCGGCTACCCCCCAGCAGCACTCCAACGGTCCGGGGGAGCACGGAAAAAAAATCCTCCTTTACTGAACATCGGGCATCTTTGCGGAAAATGAAAAGAACTTTTGCCGGGGTGCAGGAGCACAAGAAAAGGATGCTGCAAATGAAAAGCAAAACCAGAACCATCATCTGCCGGCGAAGACTACGCAGGAGCTGCTGCAACCACGCCTGGGGCAAAACGTCACGGTCTACAGCATGGTCTCGCACGACCATACGCTTTCCTTCGACGTTTCACTTGATTCCGGCGAAGATGCGGGTCGGTCAGCAACAGAAACAGAATCTGCATCTGGAATACAACGCTGTACTTCTTCCGAAAATACTGCCTGCTCCTGCATGAAGGCCAGTACAACTTCTAGCACATCTATTTCAACAACAGCAAACTCCTGTGCCAGCATCACTCTGCAGCAGCTTAAACGTTCGATCGCGAAACAAATCGCGTTCGAGAAGAACCGGAAGCGACCGCGAGCTTGGCAGCTCGTGGACGTGTTTGTCGACGAGAAATCGGAGTTGGGTCAGAGAGCGCTAAAGCAGAACGCGGGCGGGGACTCCGGTTTGGGGTGGTTGCAGCTAGTGGACCCGGAGCTGAGCATTGACAGTGCGATGCTGGCACAGAGCGGGTTCGCAGGACGGGGCGGAGATGGAGGTGGCGCCGAAGGTGCTACCAGCGACTGTAGTAGTAGTGAAGAAGAAGAAGAACATCAAAAGGAAGATTTGTTTGAACAGACAAGAACTGCAACTGGATTTAGTCGACGCCTCCACGACAGTGTTGATTTGGAGACCGACAGCAATTTTTCCGCCGACAACTATAGCGACTACACGTACGAATCTGATGATGAAGGAGGTCCTGTTCTGCCTCATTCTACCGACCGTGGGCTTTCGAATAATAAATCTTCCCCAGCAAGTGGAGCTGCACTTCGACGGCACAAGAACTACGATGTTGAGCGTGGAGATCCTGCACGTGTAGTTTCTCCTCCCGACTACGCCATCAAGTACAGCGAGCGGTTCTACGAGCCTTTCCAAACGCGAAAGGATTTGAACGAGGCGGTGGAGGCGCTGTACCGCGTGACCCGGCCGGACTACGGCTACCACCTGCACCGCAAGACCAACCGGATCGACGCGAGTTTGCGCGGCTTGACGCAGGAGGAGTGGCAGGAAAGGCTGGCGCTGCTGGAGGAGAGGCACGGGCCCTACTGTGCCTGGGACGTGTCGGAAGTGGGCGATTTGTCGCGGCTCTTCCAGGGCTTTCAGGGTTTCCACGCGGATGTGAGTGGGTGGTGCACGACAAACGTGACCAGTCTCAACAGCTGTTTTCTATCGAGCAGGAATTGGAATTGTGGGTCAGATTGGGGTCGTGATCCTAGGTAGTAAGCCCTGTGTATGTAAAGAGATGAAGGTCGTGAGCTGCATGGTATGCTTGTGCACGTACCACCGGGAGGACTCCTCTGTGACTGTGCTCCTGCGTTTTTACGTTATCGATGCTACGGAGGGTGAGTCCATTCTGCCCCTGTTGGTCTCCTGCAAGAACAGAATAAAAGCATATCTTCACAAGGCCGAAGAGAACTACTGTAGACAGATACAACTTGCTTTCCTATTTCTGATTCACGATTTTACTGCGATCTTTTAGCTGGTGCAGACTGTTCAACTGCGACATTTCGGATTGGGACGTGAGCTCCGTGACAGACATGTCGAACACCTTCGGATGGTATTGATTACGCTGCGATGTCGTACCTTTTTGTTTTTTGTGCATTGATATTGAAGAACAGGAAAGGAAATGTTTAATTTCTGTTCCTACAGGACGACGAGTCTTTCGATCCCTCCTTACAGAACAAGATGCTGACGAGCAAAATCAAACCACAGGTGCTTCAAGTTCAACCAGAATCTTGATGGGTGGGATGTCAGCTCCGTGCTCACGATGGACGGCATGTTCTCCCAGTGCGAAGCGTACAACCAGCCGATGCTCTCTTGGGATGTTTCCAAAGTCGAGGACATGTCGGACTTGTTTTGCGGCTGCACGCGCTTCAACCAGGATCTGAGCACGTGGGACACGGCACGAGTCAAGAACATGAGCTGCATGCTGCTGCGGTGTCCGGCCTTCAAGTACGACGAGCCCGTCACGTGTGGTTACAATTCGTCCGAGGACGAGGAGGAGGATTCTTATTAGATAGAAACAACTGGAGCTGCTCCTACAACACAGCTACTTCAGATGCCGGTGTGTTGCTGCTGCACGCATCATGACATTCCGAAGTACTATGGGCTTTTTGATGACATCAAAATTTTTTTTGACCACGACATAGAAATAAGACGGACCTTCGCGAAGATCTCTTTGGGACCCGGGGAAGCGGGAACGAAATATTTGTGCACGTAAGTAGTTCTCATCCGTTGAACGCGAAATAATAGTGAAACTAAATAACATTTCTTCGACGACTGACTCGGGAATGAATACAAATGTTGTACCTGTAGTAAAGTGGATTTTTTCGGTGGCGGTGGAAGATGAATGGTTCTTGACGATGTCGATTTCATCTTGCGCGTAATTTGCCGCGCCTCCTGTGTAGTGTCGTCGCACCAGCTACAGGTCTGCGTGTTTTCCAATCACACGGCTTCACACACCGGAGGTTTGTTTCTCGCTGAGTAGAACAAGTGCTGGCGCTTTCATCAAGAAGGTCCAGTCGTGCCACCACCGAGGTTCAGATTGGCGTTGGGTTTATGAAAAATATAAATTGAAAGTGTTTATTACCGTGATAAAATAAAGAAACGGGTAGGGGGAAAGGAGTGCACGCAAAAGGACATCGTAATGAAGAGACGAGAGAAGAAAGTTTATTGAGGGCGGAGAGCGTGGTGACTTTCGTTGGTGCATCAAAATGCCGATCGACGGACCACGTGGGCAGTTTCCGACCAGGAGCACTTCTCACCGAATTTACAGAGTGAGCGAATGGTTTTCGTACAAAAATCGTTGCACAAATTTTACTAGCAGTGGTTGCAGTATTTGTATTGCGAACACACGCACACCGAGACGACTGCGCGCACCATTAGTACCTCCAGGTCCCGCACAAGCACATCTTACGTCGAATCCAAAACGCAATATACCATTAACATCACAAACACCTTAACGTCCGCGTCGTCCCAGTTTTAAGACATAAGCTAAACGAAAACCATGTTTGTGGCTTCCCGCACGACCACCGGAGCGCTGACTCCTCAGGTGCAATCAGTGATAGGGCGAAATTTAGCAACCCTTGGTGGCGCAGCCGTCCCCATCACATACACATCCTGTTCTGCAGGCAGGTTTCAATATCTCCTGGGCGGCGCAAGTTGTACCGCAGCCTCGTCCAGTCGGTGCTACACAACTGCTATTCTTTGCAAAAGTATCGCAGCACTCGTGGCGCTGGCAATAATTACAGATTTTTTCATTCTCTACTTGAACTAGCATCATGCAGCTTGGGAAAGTTCTAGCTGCAGCTTATGTTATACTAGTACCAGTACAATACCGACTATAGGTATAGCGATACTTTTGCGCAACTCTTGCATAAGTGACGGGAGCCGTCCGCAGTATGTGATGCGCTTCGGCAAGCACCGGGGGATTGCAATTGATCAAACGCCGAAGGATTATCAGCAGTGGCTGATGCGGGAAAGGGTACTATTCAAGAATTGATCGATGTACAACTCAAGAAGACTAGTAGTAGTTACAAGCGGCATACTACAGCAGGGCTCATGCAAGGAAACAGCAGCAGTGAGTTCGACCACTTCGATGCTAGCTGTACACTCATCCGTGAAGTCATTTTTTTCACCCGCGAAATGACAGTTGTACAGTTCTTGTCCCGCCGAATTTTTATATGTTGATCATGATCACACCATTTTTTCATTTTCAGGTTTACCAAGGAAAACCGGACATGGCAGCAGCGTTGGAAGCGTTAGGCTACAAAGTGGATCAATTTGACCAGTATTCTTAGTCGTCATAGCTTTTCAAAGACATGAGTATGAGGCACTGGTGTAGAAATTTTGGATTTAATAGAACTAAGTACCCGCACTAGCAGAAGAGGAAGACCTGCAAAAACTATAAATCTCGAACAAACGTATCTCCAGTCTGCCGCCCCGGTCGCAGTACGGGCAACCGCGGTCCTCCTTCAGCAACAGTTACCCGCGAAGCGGTGGAAACTCGTTTGGGCGCGCAACTATCTCTTCGCCCCGGGAGGGGGCCGCGGGCCTTGTTCGGAATGGAGGTTTAGGCTAGTTTTCGGTCTTCCGGCGCTTTTGTCCGCTCCCCTGTGGGGCACCGCAGCCGTTCTCTGCGACGTTTCTCAGTGGACGGAGTGCATGGCGGCGCTGTTCTCCTGCCTGTAGGTTTGCCACGTCAGTATTGCCGCCTCGCCGGATATATATTAGTCTCTCTCTTTCGCTTTCTTTTGCAGTAGACGTGGGCGGGAGTCCTCCTTTGGGCAGCTCCTTCCGTTTGCGGGGGTGGACTTGGGGACTCTGGCGCTGTACTGCTTATTGGATATTGCACGGGTGATACTCGGGGATTTCCAGTTGGATGGTGCGGGTATTGGCCTTGCTACTTGGTTGCTAGCTGTTCCACCAGACGCGGATGTGAGTTGCCTTCAGGGCCTTGCTGGCTAGGGTGTAGTGAGTGTTACTTCTACTTTCGTGGAAGGGCTTTGCTTCTCTTACTCATTACCGGTTAGGAGGCGCTGCCTGCCGCTTCGCGCACTTTCCTTGCAAATATGGTCTATGCTTCTTCTACTACGTTCCTTTGTGATGGCCTTCGGGTAAGGATAAGGTAACGCGAAGCCACCTCTGCTGCTGATTATAGCGACTTTTGCCCGCGTTGGAAGGTTGCTCTGTTTGCCGTGGATGGGTTTTCTGTTTTCCCCTGGTGGGCAAGTGGGGCTGGGGCTGGCGCGTTTCCCCCCATTCAACCACCGTAGGTGGGGTTCTGGGGGGGTCTTGCCCGCCTGGGGGCAGGTGGTGGAGTGGGCTGTTCCCCGCTAGGGACACTAGGCACGGCCTGCTTCGCCCAGCCCCAATGAATAGGCGCGGTCCAATGGGCCGCTTGGGTGTGTGATCATTGTGGATAACACTCGAAAGGAACGCAACGAAACGTTATGGTTCAAAGACATGACTCATTGATGTAGAAACTGTGGATTTAATAGAACTACCCGCACTAGGACTAGCAGAAGATGAAGAACTACAAATCTCGAACAAAACGCTCTTCAGTCTCCCGCCCCGGTCGCAGTACGGGCAACCGCGGTTATGAATTGCAAAAGTATCTTCGCACTCGTGCTAATTGCTATTGCACTACAGCATGACACACATATCTCGTCTCTATAGCAAAAGCAGCACAACAAATCCTATTTTCCCTTCTGGAAAAATCTGTAATGCTATTTCTACTAAAAGTAGTACGAGGATAGGAAAGCAAAGGATGCTACTTTTGCAATGTATAGCATTCATCTTTCAGCAACAGTTACCCGCGAAGCGGTGGAAACTCGTTCGGGCGGTCGCCGTATCGAAACAATTACCAGCGAAAACCGTACATCCCGGTGGAGAAGAAGTGGGAATCTTTGAAAATGGAAGGAGCAGACTGGTATGAGGTTTTTTTGTGATTCTTGTCAACATGCCGTGCGGCTTCATCGTGTTCGCGCATTTGTCCAAATAATCAGTCAGGAAGCATGAGAATGCATTATGATGCACGCATCAATTGCAACCTCAGGTTGGATTGCCGCAACGACAAGCGGAACCCGCGTGCCCCAGATTTCAAGCACAAGGAGGACCGCGACTTAGCTCTGTGGATCGACTCGGCGCACACCCCGGAGTGGGCGCGAACGTACGATTGGGATCTGCACTTCAAGAAGGTTGGGGAGGAGCACAGTGCAGGAAGTGGAACGGCCTAATCCGCAGCGCGGCGCCTCCTGTGTTCACCTAGTACACGATGAATCGTGATTATTTTTCAAATCGAAACTCATCTTCAACGGAGGATTATTGTTGTACCTGTGCTCAGTGAAGAGCACCATCTAGAAGTATACGTTGACCTTGACATTGTGTTACGTTACTTTTTATCATTTTTATGCAAGTGATGAAAATTTCATTGTACCAAAACCCTATTGTTGTAAATGACCACTGCATCATTGATCAATTTCAAGTTATTTACAGCCACAAAAATAAGCCTCAAGATCACCCCTGGAGGCTCTCTGTGGATCATGTTGTACAGGCTGGACGAGGTCGTGCTGGCACTGCATCGAAACACTTTTTTATGGGTGACAGAGAAACAGGAGGCACACCGGTTCCTGGCGTCGACGTCAGCCCCCCCCCGCCCCAGTTGCAAGTTATTTGGTCAACTACCCAAAGAAGTGCCTATCATTATATATAAGCACGCGGCAGCTCGTCCTAACCCACAAATTAATGAAATTACACTTGCTACTAGTACAGAAACAGAACCAAATACCGACGATAACTTTCTACACCTACTAGCATGAGTTCCAACGATCCAAATTAGCGAAAATTCGTTTCTACCTCAGACGAGATTCTGTAAGTTTTGAAAAAAGATGGCAATAAGAAGAGCGACATGTTGAGAACCACTATAGCAAGTTTTTACCCCCACCTGGCGTTGACAAGGTGCGTTTGATGCACCCAGCATTTGTACTTTTTCCAAAAGAAGAAAACTTAAACTGCGGAGAGGAATTGATGTGAAAAACATGTAATGTGCTGTCTAGGCTTCTTCTCTGCATCTGTTCGCTTGTGAAGCTTTGTTGTAGGAGGTATGATCCAGCAACTTTTCTGTAGTCGATGAATGATTCTTCGGTATCGTATTCAAGGCTCCTTTGCCTTTGTTATTGATGTGGTTTCTGATAGATCTGTCAGATCTAATCTGAGTCGTTTTGCAGCCAACAAAACGATCAGATCTGATCTGATCTGATCGTTTTGCAGCCACTTGTCATGTTGATCAACCTCGTGGTCGTGGGTATGAAATCGTAATTAATCGTTTCAGTCGTTGTATGAAGATGTACAGCTTTCACATCGTAAAAAATTGATACGAAGAGTCAACAGAACCGAAAGTAGAAACTACAGTGGTTACTGGAGTATATCAAATGCCCACTGCGTTTGCGATTCCGATTCATCATTATTGCACAAAGAATTCCACTTGCTCCCATTTTTCTATTAGTAGCTTCAGCTTTTTTTTAGAAGGAGGGCAGTAGAGTATAGTAGTTACGCCTATGTGGAGGTTTTTCCTGCTGTCCCGGTCCTGGTAGAGCCAAAAGCAAAACTGGCCAACGAGGATCAGAATCAAGTTCAAGCACTCGCATCTTCTTTCGCCATGCTCGACAAGTAGTGTTCATCGACGGATTTTTACTATAGCAAATCCAAACAAATCTCTTGATCGCGCAGCATTATATATGATGTCGTCTTCCGTTTTTGGTTCCACAACACCGCGGATCATGGACACGCACGACTTGACCGAGCGGACCCGACGGAAAATGCGGTTGCACGCCGAGGCGTTGGCGACACGGATGAGTTCTGTTCCGAGCAATACGCCCAGACGCGTGCTCGAGCAGTCACAGTTGCGAGAACTGAACGCATTAAACTCGTCACCGAGCGTGGCTCCAGTCGTGGGTGGCTCACCTTCTGCTGGTTCAGGCTCTGCGGTCCCTCCACCGAATAGTAGTACAAAAAACTACGTTGAGGCCACCAGCGCTCCGGCCCGCCACGGCAGCAAAGCGCTTCCCGACAACGTGGCGAGAAATATGGACGCGTTGAATTTGTCGAGGAAGGCGTTTCCGCAGGTGTTTCGCTTGATCGAAAACACGAAGTTTCCGGAACCTTTTTTACGAAACGTGCGCCTCGAGACGGTGAAGACACCGCGGCAGTTTGGACAGGACGGCGTGGTGACGAGTGATTTAACCGAAACAAATCATAATGATAATCAAAATGAAGTGGATGCTGGGCTACATCAAAATCAACGAGAAACAGCTGCGTCTAGTGTTGCGCAGAGGACTACGGCCAGCGGGGCGTTCGCAGCTGCCACTTTGGAGCTACACCACCATGCTCAACAAGAAAACGGGGCTCCTTCTCGTCATCCGCTGAACGGTCGATTCCAAAAAGTGCTTCATCCCCCCGGCCCGGTGCGTGCCGACCACGGAGGTGCCCGGACGGCTTCTAGGGTATCCAGTGCCAGTTCGGCGGACCGGGTCAGTCTGAATTTATGGCGTTCTCAACTGTTACATTCTCAACTGTTACATGATTTGTGATGCAAATGCACCACCAAGATCGCCGCGATCAAGCTGCTTCGCATGACAAATATCCGAAGGGCTAGACAGCATCTAAATCTGTGCCAAATCTGTAATGCAAAAGGCGCAATCTTCCACCTTTCACTTTCGCCGTTCTTGCATTACAAATTCATGTAACAGTTGAGAATGTAACATTTGAGAACGCCACAGAATTTGGGGAAGAGTTTGCAGCTCGTTCAGGGTCTGTTGCAACAGATGGAGCGGAAAGAAAGGGTAAGTGTTTTCGATGCTGGAGGAAACAATACGATGAACAGCAACGATTACCACGCCGAGACCACTAAAGCGGGCACAACTCTTCCCGAAGGGCGCGCAACGGCAGTGGTACGACAGAACATCCAGCAGCAACTGCATCAGCAACAACATGCTAAAACACCGACAGTTCGCGTGGATCTGCACGAGACAGCGTCAGGAAATGGAAACGAAAATGCGAGCATGTTGAGCAAGTACGACGAGGACGCAACGACGAAAACAAATATTGCATCGAATGGAAATAGTTCTGTACCGTCACGCTTCAAGCCGGTGTTTGCTTCTTCCACAAGAAGACCGCAAACCGCAACGCCGACTGCGGCGGCGGCCAACAGTTATGATAAAGAAGATTCTGCTCAAGACGTAGAGCAGCCAGTACGGAAGACCAAGATGAAATCTTTCGCTGACGTGGTGAAAAGAGTGCAGGAGCAACAGAAGGAGTTGCCGCACTACGCGCGCCCGACCATGGCGTCGCTTTTTGAAAGCAAAAGCGAGAAGGACAAAGAGCAGGCAGCGGCGCTACGGGAGAAGGAGCGAAAGAAGTTCGTCGTCGAGGGCGCGCGGCAGAAATTGAAGCGCGCGGTGAACCGGGCGACGCAACAGGAAGGCGCGGCTGTCGTGAATGGGGCGTTGTCAAGCGCAGCGAGTCCTGCTTTAGCTCGTAGTTCCGGTGGCGGCCACGCGGCGGGGGAAGAAAACAGCACAAAGACAAACAGTAAGGACAATGTAACAAAATCACCGCCGGCACCGGGGAGTCCGAAAGAGGAGGACGAGAACATCCAGAGTGGGAGTCGGGCCGCAAAGAGGTCTTCTTCTTCGTCCCCCCCTGGCTCTCCAACTACTCAGTCCCAGTACTACAAAGCTACCAGCATCCGTTACGCACCCTCGAGCGCGATTTTGCCAGATGGGCGGGTTGTGTTTTTCTCGTCGGTCACATCGGGGATGGTGCAACATCAACAAAACTTCTCCCCCGTAGGCGGCGAGCACGGCACGACCACGGGCATGATTAGTACACCTAGTACCGGCGTAAACTATCTGCAGCCCCCAGTGAACTTGACCCTTGGACTACCACCGCCTGGCGCAGGACTAGCGGATCCACCTTCAACATCGCAGAGCACTAGCCGGGCACTTCCGCTAAGCGCCGCCACGGCCAGCTCTATATTGCACACCACGCCGTTGTTGCAAGAGTCTGCGTTTCTGACGAAGCCACTGTCATTCACCGGCTCTGGCAGTAGGACGGTGGGGCTGAAGCAGCCGAAGACGGTACTGCGGTGGGTTCGATTTTGGTTATCTGCATTGATGTCGTTTAGTAGTCTTTTGTGTAGCGTCATGCTTACATAAAAGGTGTTCATCACGTGGAGTGAAGCCTAAAGTTCTAAGCGGATATTTCTCACAATTGAATTTATGGTTGTGACAACATCGATCCATGCATCTTTATCTTATCAGGTCCAAAAGCCCATGATTCCCGGCGTTGAGCCAATATTCTCGACGTTCCCCGACCAAAACCGGACCGGACCATTGCTGAACCCTGTGGGCAGCGACGTCAGGTTGGTCAGCAGTCCGGGAAAACAAGAGCAAAGCCAGAGTGCGACGAGAGCGACTAATGCGCAGGTGCTGGTGCAAGAACCATCGGCGCAAGTAGGACCACTTGTTGTGTGTGCGCAAGCACACGAGAATCAACAGCAGCATGCCTCCATGGAAAGCATATTTACCCTGTCCGGAAACGCGGTTGGGCAGATTCCTCTGTTACCGGAATACAAGCTAAACTTCGCCTGCGACCTAACGGACGGCGACTATTCCGGAGCGGGAGAGGACTTTGAATGGCGGGTCTTAAGAGGATCTGCTACAGCTTCGGAAACAGGGGGCGCCAGCGGTTACGGCGCTACGACTTCCGCTGGAGTTGCTGTGCACCAGCTGGCCACATCCCCAACTGCGCCGTCCATCCTAGAGGTGGATTTAGACCTCGGGGCGGCCTTGCTGGTCTGGCGGAAATTGGCCAAGCCGGTGTCGATTGACGGAGGGATCTTTGAGGATAGAGTCTCTTCCTTTATTTCACCGCCGGCAGCGCAAGATGGAGAAAGCCAGAATACGAATGACTATGTCAAAAAACTTGGAGAACCGCCGCTAGGCCTCGGGGCTTCGCCAGCACCAACTAGTGCAGTCTCGAAGACGAGCTACGAGGCATCGCCGTTTTTGGCCAGAATCGCAACCGCCATTGGGCTTGTTGGAGATGATCCTATTGATGAGCTGAAAAACAAGAGGACTCCGAAAAACAACAAGAGTGACTCCTCTGATGAAACAAACAAGGAAGGACACCGGCACCTTGACGTTGCGATTACCTCACCACGCGGAGGGCCGCATGGATCTGCGGGGAAGAGTCTGAACGTGCTGGAAGTGCCTTCGAATCGCTTGCCGAAGACCTTTGACTCGACCAGCTTGAGGGTGTACGTGAACAGCAGCACGACAACAGAAGCATCCGAAATAAGAGCAGCTGAGAAAATCAAGGCCAACCCGTACGAAACCAGAAAAGAAAAACCCGCTACCTACCGCTCCATCTCGCTCGTGTGCACGAGCAGCCGCAGTCTCTCCGCCGTCTGTCTGGACGCCGACACTTCGGTTGTCCTCAAGCATAGTCTCCTCGCTGCCGCGACTGCACCAATTTCCGTAGAGGCACTGTCGGCGGATGACTTCTCTTTCGCAGGACAGGTCGTTGCAACCAACTACAGCAACTACAGTACCTCGAGCAGCAGTAGCTTGAAAAATCATGATTTGCTGTCGGGGGAAATAAACAAAACGCTGACGGACCTGGAAAGCTACTGCAGAATTACGGCGAAGTGCTTTTCGCGGAAAACTTCCGCGCCGGTGAGTCTCTTCTGCCGGGGGTTGCTGCGCAAGTACAAGCTTCGCGACTACATGCAGGTGAATCGCAATCACCTGTGCGGATTTCAGGTCCCGGGCATCCGGTGCTTCGACACCTATGATCCGAATTACGTCGTGTTGACCGGAACCGGGAATATTTGGGTTGTGCACGACCATTGGGTTTCGAATCCAAGAGTTTCTAGAACCACAAGCACAACTCCGCAGCTGTATCAGTCAGCAGAGGACGTCGCAGCTGCGGTATTTAATAGTAGCGCAGCCGCGGTGGACGAGCTCGACGTCGACCAGGTCACCCTGCATGAAAAAACTCCCGGAGAAAGTGCCTCACCACGACCACGCGGTGGACAGGCTTCGGCGGTACAACCGGTGGCCAAGCTCTCGCCGAAACAGAGAAAAATGGAAGCCGCTTTCGCAGCCTTTGCTGGCGGTACCGCAATAGGGGACGAGGGGGAAGAGGATAGTGGTGTATTTGAAGATGGTGCACCGACACAGGAGCGGGATTCTTTGTCGTCCCTCCTCGAGAAGTCGGCGCCTGTAGCAGCAGCTGCAGCAGAAAATTCAGTTCCTGCCGCAGTGGAGTCGTTTGTTGATCAAGAAAAAGCTTCTGGTTCACGATCTCGTTATTTTCGTTACGACGAAAAGCAAAAAAGCTCAGGTAGTTCAAAGCCCCACCCCCACCAGAAGCTGCAATCTCCGACGTTTTTTCAGAGCAGCGCCTACGCAGAGGGGGAACGGGGGGCCGACGAAGCGGAGAGGATGCAAATTTCCTCCGGCGGGCCAGATGAAGAGGGAAAGGAGGACCACCCGGATGGAGAGTCTCCGGTGGTCGTTCCCGCGATGCATTCTAAGATGACCTCTTCAGAAATTCTTTCCAGCCCGAGCACAGGAGCGGTGACGGGGTCGATGAACATCAAGCCGCCTATATTGCAATGAAAAGTCCCCCCTCCCCATATCAAGGCGAAAATCTGTGATGCAGATTTGTGGTCAAAAATCAGCTTTGTGATGCTAGAAGGCAAAAGATGCGGACTGTAGTGCTGTCTAGCGTGGGAAAGCCTTGCAGCTCCAGGATGACAGGAGGCAACTGGAAGTGGGAAACAGCATGACAGATTGCCTGCAATTTAGGCCGCAGCCTCGTCTCTTGGCCTTCTAGCAATACAAGTCGACTTGTGTACTCAAATACAGCATCACAAATTCGCGCATCTTCCGTCTCCGGTATGGGGTGGGGGCTTTTTTCACTTTGATAGCCTATCGAGCAGCGCCTGTACACAGAGCGCACCGTCACGGTGCCCTTCGGGGTGGAGAAACTCGGCTTCGGGTTTCACATTCGCGATCACTTTATCGTCGACATCGTCGCGGATTCGTGGGCAGAAACCAGCGGCGTGCAGAAGGGAGAGTACATCGTGAAGGTTTGCGGAGAACCCTACGCGGAGCTGACGCCGGAGCGACGGCAGAACTTGTTGGCGCACAGGCGCCCCTGCGAGATCGTGCTGCGCTCGTACTTCGTCCGGGAAGCGGTGGGCGAGAAGGTCAAGCAGGGACGGGAAGAAGAAGAAGAAAAACTGGAAGACTACTTGAAAAACGCGTTAAGCCGAACCAACTCGTACGACCAGGAGATGGCGCCTAAGGCTTTGTCGAAGTCCAGTGCCTCAGCCACGGCGTATCTGGACGCCCTGCTGAGCATATGCCTTGCAAAATCATCTAAAGAAACATAAAAGCCACTTAGAGCAGAGCTAGAGAAGTTTGTAATGCATGATAGAAAGCAGATAGGTACAATGTACAAACACCAGTGTAACGGTAGCTACTGCTGTACCTGTACATGTACGCGTACGCACGCCCACGTGCAGCTGCGCATTACAAACTTCGGGCAAGGATGAAAAGAGAAATTCTATAAATAATTTTGCACTGCATAGGGCAGCAGTGCCAAGAAACTGGAAGAGCGGAAAATCATTTGGGAAGGAAAAATTTAAGATGGAAACCAAAAGGGGGCGCGGGGTCGGAGTTTTTTTGGTTGTTGCCTTTTGTATTTGCAAAGAAAATAGTGATGATTTTCAATTTGTCTTTGTTTCAACATTCAATATCAAGAGAGTTTCTTGTGTATCCGCATTTGAGCTCGAGTTGACTTGTGTCAGCGTGAACCTGAACTACCTCGACATCTATAATTTCGCCATTATTCATTGCCTGTATGTGCTTCCGTTTCCTACAACTACAACCAGCTGACATGTTTGTGAATTTTTCTACGAAGTCGTACTACCTTCTTTATGAATGTTTTTTTCATCGGATCATTGTTTGATGTGTCTAGTACCGCTTGTTTTTCCCTTACTTGTAGAATGGTTTTTGGTTTGAGAAGATTCATCTGTACAGTATGTTTCTGCATATGGCTACTTTCGAAAGTAACAGAAGCAGGTGAGCTGTACAAAAAGCTGCAAAGAAAAAACTGAAGCATCAAGAACCAGATGTTGCGCATGGAGGAAGACCAGCTTATGGAAGTGAACAGCCTCTGCCAAAAATTTGAATTTTGAAAAAAAGCATCGGCTTTGTCTTCTATACCTCCTGCGAGCGATGTGGGGCTGGGGCTGCTGCCTTGAGAGAAAATGACAAATGACGTCGACGACGTGATCTGTATTGGCTAAAGCTATTGCTATGCGCACGAGTTGAACAAGAAAACGATCGTGGTGAATTGATCCAGGTCAGAATTTCGATCGTGAACTGATTCTGACGTCTTTCGGTCGTCTAGAAAATAATCCATGCAAACGAAATTACGGCGCACCACGAAAACGCACTTAAGTTATCTCAGGCCATGAACCGAGACAAGGGTGACGTTGATGTTGAGCTTGAGCTTGTTATGATGTCAGATTGATACTTACTGAGTTAGACTGTAGTATCGTGTTGACTTGGTTCTTCGGTCCGTGCACACGATTTGGTTTGTGCGTCGTTCGCGGCACCACATCAGGTAGAGACCTGTATAGTCATAGTCGTGGTGAAAAAAACAAAAAATGCCTCTGACACTCTGTAGATGGATCTACCGCGGCTCGGTGTCATTCGCTTGAAACTCGTACAGTACAGCACTCGTTCGGTACTATTATCGTTGCGTTATTGTACTTAGTCGGTCGTTCAAAAATGTTTCGTCCAGTGAGCCCTCCCACGTGCTCGTGCAACAAGCCCAAAGCTTGGGAAAAATTGTGGCCCAAAAAAATCGACTCGAGGCTTCGTTTTTTACTCAAATACGTGCATCAACATCGCCCACGCTGGCTATCAGTATCGTCATTCGGCTCCGTCAAGTCCTTGATAAATTCGCACACTTCATCATCATGCACACATCAAACTCACAGTCACAAACACAATTTACCACAATCACAATTTTTCACCCTCGTTTTTCATCACCCCCTCGAAGATCCATCCCCCTGTTGTGTCACATTGTTGCTCTTTCGATCTTCCCAAGTTGTAGTCGCAGCAAGAGGCAACATCTCAGTCACAGCAATTACGAACTGCAATATCAAATTCAAAGCAGGATTGTCGCGCATCTAGCGTGTGAGCAAAGAAGATTCTTTCACGGCTCCTGGGTCGTGACAACAAGACTTAGACTCACTTCGCGATTTCCGGGCTCTTCAGGAGAAGCCGAGTGTTGGCGCTGCAATATCTGCATTCATTTACTAGCGGAAGCGAAACCGAAGCGAACTACTACAACCCCAGGTTCGTCTTGTTGTGTAGGTCTTGGCGACGTAGTTCTACCCCTCAGAGATGAGTAGTGGCGCCAATTATCAAGGGCCTCGTCCTGTCGTCATGATGGAGGATGACGCGGCAGCTCCTCATCTCTTGAAAAAAGTGGGAGCCGCGACGGATTGTGCTGAACCGCCTGACCCTGATCAAGGGCTTCGTCCTGTCGTCATGGCGGAGGACGACGAGGTGGCAGCTCCACTCTTGAAGAAAGTTGCAGCTGCGACGGACTGTGCTGTCTGTGATGAACCGCCTGACCCTCGTTCTTCGTGTGGACGCATGTTACCTTCACCGGCGCAGCAAACAGCACCAGGCGTCGAGTTTCAGGGGATACTCATCGATGAATTTTCGTCCAGCGAACAGATGTCTTCCGCGACAGAGGACGAACAGATCAATGCTACTAGTCCAGCCCTTGCTCCTAAAGGTCCTCCTCGTACCGAAGTAGAGCGGAGCAACACCAGCGATAGGTGGACCTCCACGACGTCGCGACTCGCAGCGAAGGACCAGCAGGAAGATGTTGGAACCAACACCAGCACCCCTACCACGAGAGGACGAAAGTCTCGCGGAGATCATCAACATCGACACCGAACGCACAGAAGTACAAAATCGCCGCCAGCTTCGAAACTAGCAAAACAGCATTTCGGATGCCGTTCGGTAGGCTTGTTTGCGCTACGCTGCATTACTGGGCTATTTCTGCTTCTGCTTCTTTTCGCCGTTGCTACTTGCGTGGTGTACCACGCCGGCTTTTTGAGTCTGACGGAGGTCGAAGAGTGGTTTTTGTTCTTCGGGATTGAAGACCCCTTCCAGACCGCACAAGAAACTCTCGTCCCGCTTGAGAGCGACACCAGCGGCAGAGAAATTGATGGAGCAGCAGCGGAGTGCGAACATGGCAGAAATTGTAGCACTACCAAGAAAGGTAAGCAAGCTCGTCCCCATTTAGCACCCCAGGCCACGAGAACCTCGACGCCGGTCAGCAAACCGGCTTCAGATGTTGCAGCAGGAGTTGCAGTTTCGCCTACAACCCTAGCGGCGGACCGGAAATTGAACCCCTCGCAGCAACTGCAACGAGCCTCTGTCCGCCAAATCATGGAAGACCCGGTGGATTACGGGAAACCGAACCTGAACCTCGACCCGGACGAACCCTTCCTCGAGCAAATGGATGACCCGGATGAGGAAGGGCTCGACCAGGATCGAGAGTTTGAAGAATCGCAACGCAGAACCACTCCCTTCAAGAAATCGTCGTTCGCTTCGAGTTTTCTCGACACAACGTTGGACGGCCTGAACAAATGCGCCTCTGGTCAGTGTGCAGACAAGGGACAAGAAGCTACAAATGCGCACGTGGAAGAAAGAGAAACAACAAAAACTACAACAAATGCGGCGCCTTTCCTCGAAGATGAGTTTGAAGAACGGGAGGGAGCGCCAGAATACGATTTTTTAGAAGTAGAACCTCCTGTGCGAAGAACTGAATCCGCCAGCAGCAGCACGAGAAAGTCGAGGGCACGGGCAGCGGGCACGACTTCCAGAAGTCAAAGAGCAACAAGCGGCGCAGCACAAAACGCGCCTCCCGTGGGCCGCAGCGTCAACTCCGAAGCTGTTGCGGACCGGATAATCAACGCGTCGAAAAGCCCGCAAAGCGAAAACATGCGTCGCCAAATGCCAGACCCAGTGGAGGACGACGACGAAAGATTTGACGGAGCAGATTTGGACGACGAGGACTTTCTCCAGCGCATGGACGACCCGGATATCCTATGTGAATTTGTCCTTGCCACGAAGCATTTGTTTTGCAGACGTGCGCGCGGAAGTAGCGGATTGTAGGAGTAGTAGAGATAAAGGAAAAGGCTTCATGCAAGACAGGCCACATGTTGGAGGATGCGAATTTTTATATTTTTATACAACAACATTCTTGGTTTTGCATTTTATTTTTACATTACAAGATGACAAACGTTTCACGCACATCCATTGTGCTAGGTGAGTGAGGGCGTTTTTGCAACGGATTCCTAATGAAGAGAGGCTAGACCAGGATCAAGATTTTGAAGACTGGAAACGCGGGATAACACCGTACGCGACGTCATCGTTTGCTTCAAGTTTTCTGCACGAGAAGCTCGTGCTTGGATTTCCAAATTGTTGGGGAGGGGAATCAGCTGCAAGTACTGATCTTCATGAAGTGCAGTTCTTGGCGCCGCTGCCGGAAGATGTGCAGGAGGCGGAACCGCTACCCCAACCCCTGGACTATGTGTTGACACCTCTGATAGCATCAAAATCCGTAAAATCGGGAAACAACAAAATAGAAATATATATTCTGTAGCACCTTTGGCTTTGGCTTTGAGTTTGATGTATCATGCATGTATGCCTTTGCCTATGGAAGCCAGAGACCACGTTAGAATCTGTATATCCGCGGACCATTGGAGATGTGGCTCGAAAACTCTCGCACGCTCCTGCCCGCGATCTTTTTTCGATTTTCACCCGACCAAATTTGCGGCGGCAAAAAATCGTCCCGCCGCCATGGCAAAAAAAGCTCCCGATCACTCCACCGGCGCTGGAAAACTGAAAAGAAAGCGGATTAATCTCTGAAAGCAGATTGATACATGAGGAAAACCAAAAGAGCTGTCGAAAGCCGTCGAGAAAACTCAGTCCATGGAATAAAAAAGTCTCGGTTTGAAAGCCGCCGCAAATTTTTTTCTTCTTCATTCCCCGCTCCCCCTTCTTCGCTTGGTTTTGTTGACGGGCGCAGTTTTGGTTCTATTCCCGCTAGAAAACGCAGGCCGAAGCTGCATCCAAGTCATAATTGAGCAAGAAGCCCCTCATCTACTGTGGCGGGTAGATGATATTTTTTTTAGTGCCCGACACCGAGCTATCGACATGCGCCGGTAGCCTGCGAAATTCCCGCCGATCTGGTTCAAATGGTGTTAAGGGAAGGCTTTGCACCTTGGGGTCGGTTTTAACATCACCAACAGTAGGATCGGTTATTTATGACAGGAGTGCGAGTGCGCAGCTCGTCCCTCTCCCCCTTATTTGTTGTAATGGAAATGATGCAATAAAACGCCTCGCCAAATCCTGTTTGTGCCTTCGCCTTTTGGCCTGCATGACAAGCTCTGGAAACCCAGACGACACGTCTACTACACTCCGGACGTGGGTTTATGTGTCCGACAATCTTCATTTCATTTTTGAGATGGTCATAATTTCTCTTGCTAGATAGGAATGCATACAGGCAGAGTCATGTATTCTCACACTACAATTCGTATCCGTCGGGATCTCCCGGTGTCGCGTTGCGATTTCGGTATGGTGATGAGATACAACAGACAGTATGTATGAATATATTTATTGCGTTTTCCCGAGTTTGTCTTTGTTGATTTTGTCGTCTCAGTTCTGCTGGACATACGGCGGTTGGAGGAGGGCGGCGCTAAGGGAGATGCAAAAGGGGAAGATGAACGTGAACATCTCCCCAGCCGAGTGGAGCAGGAGGAGGCTCATCAAGACTGGTTGGGCCCCATCCGAAAAGAGTGCGAAAAAACGAAAGCGTTTGAAGTGGTTCAGGCAAGCGGGGGCTTAGTTGGTATGCTCGTTACTCAGCTTCCCGTTCCGCCTGAGCTCAAGGATGCCACAATAAATCGTGTCATTCCTCTTTCCTGTGCTTACCTTTTGGACAACGGTGACGGTAATGCCCTGAAGGTGTCGGCCCTGGCAGGGGCACTCCGCGCGAAAGAAAAAACAGGGGAAGTAGGAGAGACCACGATTTTCGATGGATACAATCAACCAGCAGGGCAACCTTTGGTGGACTTCATCGAACAGTTCCTACCGAAATCTGATGTGTGGACTTCGCGTCCGCCCTCGACGGTTTATCTTCCACATCTCCTCGAAAGCATTCTGTTGGCCGAGAACAGCGACATACTGACACGAGAAGTCCTTGCTGTGGGCCACGCGGAGTCCTCTGCCCTTGTTCCACCCAGCACATCAAACGAAGCCCGTGGTAGTAGTGTCTCTTCGACGAAGCAGAGTCTTGTCTCAATCGAGGCTAAGCTTGTTCTGGGACTCGACGCTGTGAATCGTAAAATGATGCAGAAGATAAAGGAGAGGGAGTTAGAGCGCTTACAACAATGGATCGGACAACTGCGCTTTGACCTTCCTTCTCCGATCGTGAACCAGCTTCCTTCTCTGCTTGATGGTGCACTCGCGACGCCCGTGAGGGAGGTTGTCGCAGGAGGGAAAGAGCACGTGTTGCACGAAATTCAACAAAAAGATGCCAAAAATGCACAAGATTTCTTGCGCGAACAGCTTTTCGGGATTCTTGAAGCTGATGCGCCTGGAACGGAGTCCGGTTCGGACTCCGCGACAACTTCCGCCGACAGAGCGCATTCCGTGCTGCTGGAGCTACTGGAAAATGGCAGTATCGCTGGAGCAGCTGCCCCTGCTAGTCGTCAGGATCACTCCATGAAGAACTCCGAGAAACCGCAGGGAACTGCTGCAGTTTCCCGTGGTGGAGGGGAAGTACAGCAGGGCCGAATACGGGATCATCAGATGACTGGCGCAGAGCAGATGGCTGGGCTGTCGTTGTCGTCCAAGGACGGCGGCCGCACGCGGACGCAACAGAAACATGACAGAGCTGCAGTTGCAGAAGGACTAGCCCACGCCGATGGTGCATCTGACGAAGACATCCGGTCGATGTGCCGAAGCAAAGAGACCTTGGAAGCCACACTCGGCTTGCAAGATATAGAAGAAATGCCGCATGGTTTGGATGTCATAGTCGATGTGATAAAGAAGAAGACGCTCGCTGACGTCTTTCCAAATGTGTGTGCCTTTTTTTCGATCGAGGACATCAACTTGGTTTACCGCTTAGGAGGCATGCTTCTGGCGGACCAATACACTGGACAAGTAGCGGAAGAGGTACTTTTTCCGAGGAGCGACGAAGATGGAGGAGGACCAGCACCACTAGCGGCAACGAACTTGTTTGAAAATTATTATGAATCCGGTACCGGACTGAAAGGGGGCTTCAAAGATGTGATCGCTCCGATAATGATGGAGCTCGAGCTCCTCAAGCCACCGTCCCAGCACTTGAAGCCAGAGCAGCTCCTGCTCACAAGTACACTCTTCGGCTCGTACGGCGAAAATGGGCAAGGCGGAAAGATGCTCTTGAAGGCCGCCGTGGAGACGGGGAGAACTATTTTCTGGATCGAGAAAGGCGAATCTCAGCGGAGCAGTGCTGCCGCTGAAGTGTTTGAGGCGCACCATGCTGCACTCGGAATTTCCTTGCTACTCGAAGTGGTAGAAGAAATGCTTTTGTTCAGGGACTTCGAGAAGAATGGTCTTGTGAATCCATCCCTGAAAGTCCTTGCGCTGCCCCTTTACCGGGAATGGGTCACGCACCCTTCCCGTCAATTCCGGAAATTCAAGTCCTTGTACCTAGACGAGAACGAGTCCAGGACGACTGACCACGCTGTTCCTGCGCAGCATTCGATCTCGACGCCAGTGCAGGAGGATTTGGAAAAGGTGCTCGGGAACCTTTTAGGTAAAGATTTGTTCCAAGTTGTTCTGCGGAAGCAGTTTCCTGCTGCGCAGGGTGACTTGCAGTTGCCACCTGAAGGTGATGCAATGGCAAAAGCGGCTGGCTTTGGAGATGGTGGAGCAGACGATCAGGTTGCTGCACCGGGTTTTGATTCACAAATCCGTGCTGGCAGAGAAGCACGTGGAGCTGATCTTATGGCACAGCAGCCAGGAGCACGAGGAACAGCGTCTGGCTTGGAAAGTAGAAGTCCGGTCGACGACACTCCGGCCGATGATCCCAGTCACGCTCACGACCACAGAAGTAATCTTCAATCGCAAGAGCCAGGAGGTGGTGGTGGAGGAGCGCGCCGTGCGGTTGCACCACCACCGGCCGGTGGTTCACCAGGGGCAGGGACGCACATGCAAAGCATTTATGCATTACAAAAGTGTCGTGTACTTAGTAATATAATATAAAAGTGTAACTGGTATTTAATTGCATTTGCAACACAATTTTTTTATTTTCAGAAGCAAAAACGAAGTTTGTAACGCGGGGGAGAAAGAAGGTAGATGCAATATTGCAATGCGTACGAGTACCACGATACTTTTGCAACGCATATGACCGGCGCACAACCCCGTCGAGCGGCTGCGGCACCTCGTGAACCTCCTGCTGCAGGTCCTAGCACACCTCTTCGTAGCGGCACGAGTCCGCAACAATCTCAAACCTTACAAGGCCCAGCTGCTCCAGTTCAACAGCGGAGTAGACGCGGACAAGGACACCAAGCAGCAGATCCGACGAAACAGAGCGCCCAGCAGAAAAATACCAAGAACTGTTGCTAACTGACTCTGCGACAATTAGAATTACAGCAAGCAAAAATATGAAATCCTTTTTGATGTTTTTGTTTTTACTAGAGCGTGGTCCCCATTTCAAACACGATTTTGAGTGTGGTGTCGCAGCTACAACGTTGTCCTAATCACGATACATCATGGTGAGAAAATCAATGCGCTTCATGTACTCTTGCAATTCAAATTCCAATTTTTAATATGCTGGGTCAGCTGTCCTAGTGCTGGAGGAGGGAACAGCACGCAGCAGCCCGCCAAAGGGCACACTGCCAGAACTATCATCATGACACTGGTGCAATTTCAACCGGACGCGACGAGTTGACAATGGGAATGGGAATAGTGGTAGCTCCTCTCATGATGCTCCACCTCCAGTCCGTCTCCGTTTGTTTCGTTAGCCATGAATGAAATGCATCGGGGATGGCTTCTGCCCGCGACTGACCTTTATGTTTTCTATTTTCAATAAACCAAAATAAGCAAGCTTCTCCGCGCGCTCTTTTTTTTTGTTGCTGAAATAGCCCCGCTAGAGACTGTGCCCATTTTTCCTTTTTTGAATGTTTCCGACTTCCCATCTAGCTCAGCGGGGGGGAGAGCGTGTGGGGCTTTTTCTTTTTTCTTTTTCGTGGTGCTCCTATTCACCGGGCTCGTTTTTTTCTTTTTATAACCTGGCACCTTGACCTTGTTTTTTTAAGAAAAGCTTTTTGTTTTTGTTTTATTAAGCGAGACCCTACATACTCGAGTTCTTTTTCCTCTTCCGCCTAGTTCCCTGTAGTGCGGTTGAATTCTTTTGGGACGGCATGTGCAAAAGTGTGACTTCGCGCACTATCGGTCTTTTTACATGATCCCGAATGACTTCATTTTCAATTAGGTTAACTTAAGATATCAGCCCCGTCCTCCTCCTCCAACTTATTTCCGTCTGTTTTCACGTCCGTTTTTCCTGTCCGTTTCTTCGTTCTCCATGAATTTGCATATTAACATTAAGATCCAAACCACGTCTCAAATCTTTTTTTTTTTGAAATTTCAAAATCAAAGTACGACAGATGCAAAAGCTACTGCATTGCCATTTCTTGTTGTTCATCTTTATTTCTCGTTTGCCTATATTTTTATTTTACTCTAATCATATTGTCAAAGTGGAAGCAGCCTCGAGGCCCAAATCCAAATCGCGACCGAGTGTTTATTTGCGTACCAAAATCAAAAATAAAATCAAGATTTGAATCGGAAAATAAAAGTTGGATTATGAAGATGAAAGAGAAAGAAAAAAAATGCCGCGCACAAGTAACCATTGACCAAAAAGCGGTGACTTTTCCGGTCACTTGTGAATAACATGTTCGTCCCTATTCGTCTTACGGTAGGTAGAGGTATTGTCGCGTACGGCTCCGTAAAAGTTAGAATGGAGTAATGATCAAAAGCAAAAAGTGATCCATAATGTTAATGTGTCGATGTTGATAGGACGAATGGCACTGGAAAAGAATGGACCAATGAGAGTTCAACAAGGTTCACGTATCTAAAAGAATTTCGTCATAGTACATTGACGAAATTTTGGTTAGTGATCAGACGAGATCAACAACAGGTATGTACCGAGACTGACAGAAAGAATAGTGCGAAGCCCCGAAATAAATCGAAAGCTGCTGAGGCACTGAAAATTCTGATGAATGGTGGGTGCGTTTTGATTGCCATTGCATTTGCAAGCACTCGGCGGGCTCAGAAAGAAGTTGCAAAGATAACGATCTAGTATCAAATGATCATAGATTTAGATCCTCATAAATTGTACATTTATTATGATCGCGTTGACCATTTCCACCCACTTCGTTAGGGCGGGATCGTGAACATTTGTCGGGGACGAGGGTGAAATTCTTGTTGGGAAGGCCAGTGCCGTGCTCCTCATGGGTAGCATAGCAATAGTCTGTTCCTGGCCCGATTGGCAGCCCCAACCTCTCGTCGTGAACTATTAAAAATAATCTCGTTCTCGATCATTTTGTCAGCCAGGCCGCAATCCGAGTTGCAACATCGTCAACATGAAGTTATATTTATTGTTTTTTTCCTTCACTTCGTCATAATTTAGTATCTCTTCAGTGAGTAGTACTTTTTGATTTGTTTTTGTACGTAGCCACCCTGTAAGTAGTTGACGTGGCCATACAAATCGTTGACTCAGACTCGCCATTTCACTATTTCTACAAGTTGACTCGTCAATACGACGGAGCGTGGCTTTTTCTCATCTACAACTGACACTGCCCACGCTTCTGCGGAAGATACGACCATGATGCATATCTTGCTCAGCGATCTTGAAAAAATGAAGAATCATGCACGTAATTGTGATACGGAGAGGGGCCTCCAGCTCCACGACGTCGGTGACCATGTCCATGACGAAGGGAAATAATAGAGTTAGAGGGGAGCAACAAAAACAATATTAATTTGACATCAACATCATCGCCACCTTTCTAACGACATCTTCTTGGGCAGCACTTGTTGTCGATTGTTTCAAGGACGACAAGCCAAACACCACCTTGAGTGGTCTCCAACCCTGAAGACTGCACTGCGTGCGATGACAGCCGACGATGCTCTTTCCGGCGGCGTGGGCGGACCTTCTCACCGGCCTGCCGCACCAGCGCCTGACACGGCCAGTAGAGGAGCTTACCGTGCCGACGGGGAATTTATCGTCGACTTTTTCGCCTACGGATGGTACTTATTTGATGATTTCGTTCTTTGTCTCTTGTGAGAAGAAGAATTGCAACGGCTTATCCTTAGGCTGCGTTTGTGACGAGGACGTCGATATTGAATTCCAGACTTTGCAGTGATGATCCCTGTGAAATTTGAGATCACTTTTAGTCAAAGGCACATCACTTTCCAGATGAGGTGCTGAAGCGGGTAACGAGCGAATGCAAACTTCATATACAAACCGTACAGGATTGTCCTCTACCTTCTCTTCATCTTTGCCGGGTGCCTCCCCGCCCTTCTCCGTTACATTGTGGTTCGCAGCCTGTTCACGATCCCGAAGGAGCAGCAACATGAGCACGCGGTTGAGATCTCGTCGGAGATCGCGGAATTGGGACGGACCCCCGGCACGTACCGCAAGCAGGTGTTGCTGCAGCGGGGCTACAAGAAGACCTGGAACGGGCAGCTGCTGCGCATCTCCGTGCTGTTATTTCTCGTGTACCTCGGTTCGCAGCTCTTCGTGATGCAACTAAACAAGTCGTTCCCGACCCTGCTGTCGCACTACGTGCAGTCGTGGTGGAACCTCGGGGGCTGCAACGAGGCGGTCGCAGACGAGTTTGGTAATCCAGATGCGGTGCCAGAAGACGCGCCCGGAAAACCGCCAGACAACCAGCCCTGCGCTGGTGGTGCTGGTGGAATCACTAGAAGAGGCACTGCTTCTTCGAGTGCAAGTAGTTCAACAGCAACAACGGGAGCTGCAGCGCTGACGAGTAGTGCCCCGACCTCCGCGGAGATAGATTTGAACCTGAAGTTCATCTTCGTAGTCTTCTGGATTCTGTTCTTCTGCACCCTGGTGACGTTTTTGGCCTACCGAAAAGAGTTCTACAACTGGTGCATGAAGGAGGTGGTGCTGGCCGAGGCAGACTACGTCTCCATCGAGGAACGGATCATCGAGGTTCCTGTATGGGAACGCACGAGCAACTACTTGCTTCCCTCGTCTTCATCGTGGAGATGGTCATCTTCGGAAGTTGTTATGCAAAATGAATGTTGTACCAACTTAAACAGCAAATAATTCTGGCAATTAGGCCCAACCACAACCAGCATTGTAGTCTCAACCTTGCGTGGCGGGTGGAGTTTTCTCTATTGAGTAGTTCTCGTCGTCGATGGTGCATCGAATGTACAAATTCAACGGAGGTGCTTTTGATTTTGTAGTTACTGTGGATGCAGCAGCCCACGACCTTCAAATGTTGACATGGCGGAACAGTAGAAGCAGTAGTTGTGTTGCACTTGCATATCTTATCAGCGAGATCGACAACCAACCTGCCCAGACGGCGAGTGCCGACCCTCACGTCGACCAGGTCGCAAGGCCGGCGGGGACCGCAAGTCGAACCACCGATGATCGCAGGAACAAAAGCGACGAGGATGCTGCACTTGTTTCAGCAGCGGAGAACGACGAGAAAACAACAAGTGGTATTAGCAACATCCTCGAGAGAACTACTTCTTCAAATTCCCAACACGGCACTTCTTCCCCGGTCGAAGTAAAGCTAAAGGACGCAGGGACCCCCGCCCAACTAGTCGCAAGAAGTAGGAGCCAGCTGCTGAATGAGGAGGAAGATGATAATCTTTCGCGAAATTCCAGAGACCAACCTTCAAGCGCGACACCACAAGCGACAGACATCCACGACGAATTCGCGAACAGCAGCAAAGCAACAAGAAGAGCTGCTGCTGATACAGCAGGCGGAGTTCTTGCTGCCGAGGACGTGGTCGTGGACGACCAGACACATAAGCGGAGGACCCGGTCCTCCGCCACAACGTCCTTCTCGTCCCGCGCCAGCAGCAGCAGCTCCGCCCTGGACAAGGACTTTGTGAGCTCGCGCGTGATGGAGAACTGCAGCATAGAAACGACGTCGGAGGGAAAATTTATCCACTTCCAGTGCACCAAGCTGATGTACGCCAGTGCGACAGCAGCGCACAACCCTTACAATGCGGGGGTGTTTCTGGAGCCGCGGAACCCGGTCACGGAGTCGACGTTAGAGGAGTTGAGGACAAACATGTTCGAAAACCCTTTGACCACGCAGCAGGCCCGGTACGACCGCCTGTTACGGGGCACCAACAGCATCGAAATCGTCGTGCCGGGCTTTCTCATGTGGGTCGCCCGCGAGGTGTGTCTGATCTTGAACGTGTGGCAGATCATGCGGAATGTGGCGACCGCGTTCGATTCTGGAATTCCCTTCACCGCGTGGTCGATCTTTTTGTTCCTGCTGCAGCTCTATTTCGTCTCCCGGTCCAAGCAGTTGGCGATGAAACAGATCGAAGAAGCGGCGACGCTGACCAACATCCCCCTCAGGGTTCTCCGCCGCGGAACGCCCGAGGGGCAGTTGGGCGTGGAAGAAACCCGGCGGACTACGGTCTTGGTCCGGACCAGCGCAACGTCAAGTGTGGCGGGTGGACGGGGCGCTGCTGGTGGGGTCGCGTTCATCTCCCCTGATGATGATCTTCAAGGTCCTCCTTTTCGGCGCCCTCGTTCTGGAGGTGGTCGTCCTGTAACGAATGAAGGAGAAGCAGCATTTCTTCATCTCACTGATGATAAACAAGAAGAACATCACCAACTCCTTCACCATGACAGGGAACGGCTAGAGTTCGTAGAAGATCGCGACGGCGATCGGCGGAGGAGCACAAGAACTGTAGCTCACAGTCAAACCAGGAACCGTGCAAGCCAGGCGACCATTGCGACTTCAAACAACAGCGACGACGAAGCAGATGACGAAGGAAACAGTAATCTGTACTTCCACAAGGCGACCAGGAGACCGATTTTTAAAAATAAAAATACCGACGGCCGAACGCCGATCGGCGAGGGCGAAGCTGCCCTGGAGTACGATTACGGAATAAGAGGAAGAAGTAGGAGCGAAAGAAAGCAAGAGCGGATGCAAAGTTACCAAATGTTGATGGAAAATGGCACAGAACGAATGGACAACTTCAACGGGCCAGTTGCACGGTATGAAGATCCCGAGGAAATTGATGTTCTTGAGAAAGACTCGCCAGCGAAGTGGTGCGTTATCTCTTCGTCGCAGCTAGTCCCCGGGGACATCTTCGAAATTCCCGACAATTCCTCTATGCCGTGCGACGCGCTGCTGCTGGAGGGCTACGCGTTGCTGAACGAGGCCGATTTGACCGGGGAACCCATGCCCGTTTCGAAATTTCCTATCGAGGCCGGCAACCCGGGAGAGAAGCTGCAGCTGAGTCGGCACGGAAAAAAACACTACCTGTACTGCGGTACCACCGTGCTGCAGTCGGTCGGGTCGGGAAAAGCTAGTGCTGCCGAGGCAGCTCGTCCTGGTTCCGCCAATAAAAGCATCAACCCGATTAAAAGCAGCTCTTCTGCCGTTCTTGCATTCGACTCTACAACTGCAGATGAGAAGAAGAAAACCTTTACAGCAGCCTCGGATGGTGAAAAAATCAAAATGGACAGCGACAGACCCACAGCAACGAGCGAAATAGTATCACAATCACGCCCCCTTTCATCTTCTACAACAGAGGAGCGGGGTGAAGATGTTCCTCTTCCTCCTGCGCAGGATGTTCTTGACCCTCTCGACTTCGAGTCGCACCCGTTGCAGGCTATCGGAATTGTGGTGCAGACGGGGACCGCGACGACCAAGGGGGAGATGATTCGGAAGATTCTGTACCCGACCCCGGTGCAGTACAAGTTCAACGAGCAGTTCACCCTGTTTCTCTTCCTCGCCGTCGCGATCTATGCGGTCATTTTCAGCATTCCCGCGATCTCCTCACAGCTGCAGCGACAGCAGGCGATCTTCCAGATTCTCATCGTATTGTTCTTCGAGATCGTGTACATGGCGTACATGGTCATCGCGCCGCAGCTACTCCTGGGCTTGATGATGGCCCAAAACTACGCGAAAGACCGGTTGGAAAAATCGCCCTCCAAAATCAAAACCCTGGAGCCGGGGAGGTTGCTGATGGCGGGCGAGGTGAAAGTCCAGTGCTTGGACAAAACCGGGACGATCACCGAAGACGGGTTGCAGCTCAGCGGAACGGTGCCTCTGGTTGCAGATGACGAGTCAGCACGACATGCTACTGGCGTTGATAAAAATACGTCGCCTTTATCTCCTGCTCCTCCGAGATTGTCGAAAGTGCAGTTCTTTGCGAGCAGTAACACTGCAGCTGCCAGCAGTACTAGTAGACCACTAGGAGCGTTGACGACATCTACTTCGACCGATCAAGCGACAGGAAAAATAAACGCGAACACTTTTGACAAGAGCGACCTTTTCTCTGTCGCGATGGCGACCTGCCACACCGTGACGAAGGGCCTGAAACCCGGGGAATTGTACGGCAACATGGTTGAGGCGGAAATGGTGCGGAAAACCCTGGGCGCCGGGATTGACTTCACGCAGAACTCCCGCGACAACACCGTAGATTACCACTTTGTCGCGGCGGGAGGTTGTACTGAAGGTGATGAGGAGCTGCAGACCAGGCGGGATCTTGATGTTCTTGCCCGCCCTGCGGATGTCGTTAGTCTGAGCAGTAGTCCTCCCATCGATCAAGAAGGAAAATCACAAGTTGATGCGAGCAATGAGGCTACGACGAGAAACATAAAATCAGAAATGCATGATCAAGACCTTCAACCGGATAAGATCATCTACCCGGCGCAGCACGCCTCCTCAATTAGTTCTTCAACAAAACCCTTCATGCGCACCGTCCGCAGATTCGAGTTCGACCAGTCCGTGCAGCTGCAGTCGGTGATCGTGGATCGTTTGGAGACGGGCAGTAAGAAGCTGCTGTTGACGAAGGGAAGTTACGACTCGGTGTCGCGGATCGTCCTCCCCAGCACGCTGCCCTCCAACGCGGGGCAAATGCTGAAATCTCTGGCGATGGAGGGCTACTACGTACTCGCCTTCGCGTACCGCGAGATGGAAACGGAGGAAGAGACGCAGCGCCCGCGGCAGGAGCTGGAGCGGGACGAAACTTTTCTCGGCTTCGTTTTGTTCCGCAACGAGCTGAAGATCGACAGCATCGGCGCCATCCGGGAGATGAAGCGGGGCAGTATCGAACCGGTGATGGTCACCGGGGATAACATCTGGACGGGGCTGCACGTGGCGGAACAGGTGGGACTGATTCCGAAGAGCTCTTCTTTGAACGGCACCATCGCGGTTGTACTCGCCGCTGACGTGGAGAAGCTGCCCGTCAGCAGTGTCGGTGCACCAGCGGCTCCTGGTGGTACACGACCTTCATCTCCTTCTTCTAAAGCAAGGAAAACATCAAAAAGCGCCGGAGCAGCTGCTGGTGCTTTGACGCCGGTTCTCCGCTGGCAGTACGTGCGGCAGGAGGACAGCCAATTTACCAACGCCTGGGTGGACCTGCTCTGCAGCAGCGGGAACCCGACCACCGGGGCGCTCTCTTACCCCGCGCAACTCTTCTACTACGGCGACAGCACGAAAGTCCTGCAATTGGGCCCCCACGACACGAACTTCAACATGCACCGCTTTCCCAACCCCGGCGGACCCAAACTGAGCTTCGTCGACCCGCACGAGCAATACTCGAGCTCTGCGGACGCCTTCTGGTTCTCCGCCGTCGTCCGCCCGAAGGCGTACGTGCACAAGAGAAGCCCGTCCGAAGTGTTGATTCCGGCCACCGGGGTGCGGAAATTGACGCGCGAGATGGTGCATCCCCCACAGGAGCTCCCCCCGGCGCGGCCTGGGAGCGGCGGGAGCAAAGAGACCGAAAAATTCGTTTTACCCTACTCCTCCTCCAGCGCGGACGAGTCGCAGCAGGAAAGCGTAAGCGATGAGGATCAACATCACGGAAGAACGAGGAAAACATCGTCAAAAAATCATGCTACGGTCTTCCAGGCACTCGCCTCGCAGAAGGAAGACGATTTCAATCCCTTCAACCCGACCTCGAAGCGGCGATTTTACTTTGCGCTGTCCGAGGCGGCTTTTAACTTTCTCCAAGAGCACGACAGCGAACTGCTCTCGAAAATCCAGCACCGCATTGTCGTGTACGGGAAGGTCTCCCCTTCGGGGAAGGTGGCGGTGGTCCGGTCCCTCCAGCGGCTCGGCCCGCACGTGGTCGGGATGTGCGGCGACGGGGGCAACGACTGCGCGGCGTTGCGTGCCTCCCACGCGGGGATGGCCCTGTCGGAGGGCGACGCGTCGATCGTCGCCGCGTTTTCCACGCCGAAGAAGTCGCTGTACGGGGTCGTGGAGCTGATCCGCCAGGGCCGGTGCTGTTTGCGCAATTCCACCTCGCTGTTCGAGCTAAACATCATCGTGGGCGCGATCGTGACCGCGATCGTCATCATCAACGTGGTCACCCGGACCTACTTCGCGGACGACGCGAAGGTGGGCACCGACCAGTTTCCCTTCATGTGCATCATCACGCTGGCCTCCGCGTTTCCCCCGCTGCACCTCGGCCTGCGAGACATCGACAGTCGCCGCAGAATGGGCCTGGCCGCTATTGAAGACGGTGGAACAACAAATGGAGCTGATTTGAACAGTCTAGAACATGTTGGCGAGGACTACGAAAAAGGCAAGAACAAAGCAGATCCTGGTCGTGACAAAAAAGCAGTAGACCTTGAAGATGCTGAGCAGGAAAGAGAAGAAGAGCAACATCAAGGACGAGCTACAGAAACAAAAAAGCAGAGGCGGTCTTCACGCCAACGCTCCAAAGGCAAAGAAGAGGATCTTCTCGAACAAGGAGATGATGAGGACGAAGTTGATGAAGAAGACCCGGAGGAAGTCGTTCGGTGCTGCGGCAACTGCACGCGGCGGGAGAAGTGGCGCAAACGAGGGGAACGGAACACCACCTCTTTCAAGATGCTCTCCGTTTCCCGAACCAGCGGGAATTTGCTGGAAAGATCCCGGGTTCACACCCTGCTCCTCATCCTCGTTTTCGTATCCCTACTCTGCTACGGCTCCGTGCAGCTCCTGCAAAACGAGTCCTGGTACTTCGGCGAGGGGAACTTGCGCCTCCTAAAAGTGGAGCGCAGTGTCTGGAAGTGGGACAAGGGCGGCACCTACCTCACCGCGCTGTTGTCCTGGACGTTTCTGGCTTCCACGTTGCTCGCATTGCTCTCGGTGAGTCGGGACGGGAAGTGGCGCCAGCGAGTGTGGTGCAACCCCATGGTGGCACTCCCGATAGCGTATCTCGGAGTTTTCTTCATCTGGCCCTACTTCTCCGCGAACACGTTTTGGAACCAGGTGCTGCGAATGAACACGGACAACGTGTTTGCCTGGTCAGAGTCAAACAAAGGTTACTACGCGCTGTTCCGCTTTTTCAACACGCGCAGCTCCGAAGTGCACTCCGCAAACTTCTGGTTCACCCGTGCCACCGATCAAGTGACCGGGGACGGCACGACTGGGGATTCAAGTTATCCAAATGAGTCCGTATTTGACAACTTACCCGCGGGACGGATGACGGATTTTTTACGTTCAATCTGCTCGGACGACGAAAACGCTGACAGTTCTTCATCCCGCCCGGGAAACAAGACTAACACCGATGATCATGAAGCCGCGACCTTCTACCACATTACCGTGCCGCAAAGGACGCTTTACAGTGCCGTGAGCCACTTCACCCGCGCTAGTAGTTCGGAGGATTTAATCACGTCGACCCCGTGGCGGGTCAGTCTCGCGGGCTCGGTGGTGACAGACGGAAGCAGGGGACGAGATGGTGCGTCGTCCGCGTCCTCTTCATCTGCGGATGATTTCATTCTATTTGCCTCGACGTACGCGTTTGTAACGGATACAGGATCGCACGGCTTCGTGCAGAAACTGGCGCAATTGCGACAGGTACTGTTCTCAGACATGCAAACCTTGGAAAATTTGAAAATCATCAAAGATGATGAGGGGGATAACACGACGAGCCACGAAGTTCCTGATCTTAATCTACCAAGAGAAGAAACAGTAGACCCCGCCGCTGGTGTCGACGTCCTGCCGCCAGACAACTTCCTGCAAAACATCCAGATTCGCATCGTCGCATTTGAAACAAGCAGCCGAACTAAGAACTCTCCTTCGGTCATTGATGAAGACGGTGACGGAGGGGGGAAAAATGGTAATGCAGGCGGTAGCGGTACTGGTGCTCCCGCTTCCAATAGCGGGAAGAACAACGATGCAGACGACCAGGACCATCCAAAGGCCCGGGCCGACCCGATGGGTATCGTCATCGATTTGAAAAAACTCGCGGAAGACCCGCTAGTAAAGAAGTTTTTAAACACGAATCTTCCAACGGACGAAGAAGTGGTCGATACAACTTCTCCCCGCGCTGGACAGGGATCAAATTCAACACCGTCACCATCATCAGGCCGGCAGATGAGCAGCGGCCCTCCTCGCAGAAGTGCAGCCACTGTGTACCGGGACAGACTGGCGGACTTGAAATCGTTTTTCTGCCAAGAGCTGTGCACGCAGTCGTGGTCCTGGGCCCCCCAGCCCATGAATGACGCCATTGACGTGCACCGATTCTACTGTTGGTACGCCAGTGTGTCGGTGGAACACCGAGGAGACGACGAGGATAGTGACAGTGGTACTAGTAACGAAGATGTTGAAAATAACACCTGTTTATTGCTCCCGCGCTTAGACCTGCACTTGCGCGCAGTCGGGCCGGACCTCCCGGGTTACATCAATCGCGTTTTGATCCCCGGATCGAAATTCCACCGGCTGTTGACGAACGTCAGACCGCCCGTGGAAAAACTAACGGCCTGGAAAAGTAGTAGTACTGCCACTGGTGGTGGTGGTGCAGCTGGTGCGCAGAATATGTTGCAGTTGCAGGGTCGCAGCTATGAACAAGCACAAAGAGGAAGAGCTGTGGGAGTCCTGGGTGAAGCAGAGGCGTCTCCAAGAGCAACTTCGTCTGGTCATAATTTTCGTGGTGAGTCCCAGGAATCCGGCTTTCTACAAAAGGAAATCGGGTATGCAGCCGATCTAGAAGACGTCGTTGAGCCCCCGCCAGATGAGGATATTACAGATGTTGTTGCGCTCGATGACGAGTGGGATGATGCGCGTGCAGCTGCAGTTTCTGCCCGTGGTCAGCAAATGGCTGTAGGACCCTCAGCCTCTACTTTCCGACCTGCAACTTTTGCGTCAAGGGGACAAGTCGGAGAACAAGAGCCGCGACAACCACCACAACCATATGGGTCGCTGCCACCCGAACAAGCGTCGTGGTCCAGACAGCAAGGAAAAGCAATATCGAGCTTACAGTTAGTACAGGCAGCAGAAACAAAAAATCAAATGAAAGTGCTATCAAACGACTACGACAGGACGACTGATACCCGAACGCCCGCCGAGCAGGAGCAAGACGTGAGATACAACGGACTGGTTCTCGAGCCGATAAAGAAAGCCGGAAGTAATAAAACTACATCATCTTCAAAAATAGATGGTGGAGAAAAAAGTGCAGCTGACGCAGAAGATGAAAGCCAGTACTCTCTTGCGTCGAGTACTGTCAAGAAGGTGAAATACCGTACCTTTTTTGTGAACCGGCATAATGTCTTCTCTTGGTATTCCCTCCCAGACGCGGACCCGGGGCCTCGGGCACGCAGTGTGACTGGCAGGCTGCTGGATAACGAGGTGAGCAACACGAACATTTCGGCGCACAGCTGGGAGTATTGGTTGCAGCGACACCTCCCCAGCTTTTCCCGTGTCGGGGCGGAATCGTATTACCTACCGCGGAAGAATTTCGACCGGCGGAAGGACATCCAATGGTACCCCCGCGCCTACTCCCACGTGGCCAGCAGCGGGCACGTGCCGTCTTTTTCCTTCAAGTTGCTGCTGTTCACGGTGTTAATTGCGCTTGTCTTAATGGCGTTGTTTCACTTGTTTTTGAAAATTGACCCTCTGTGGAGGTGTTTCCACGGCCGGAGGGCATAGTGATTTTTTCACGCCGAAAACGAAATTTTTATCTAGGCTAGTAAGTGTTTATTTTCCAAGAAAGGCTCGCTCGTCACGTGTAATAGTAATTCTATATGCTTTCAGGACCACAAGAAGAAAATATACACAAGAACACGTAAGGGTCTCAGATCGATGAATGTTTTATCGATTGGCACTCTTGATGTAATTGTATTGGATCCAATGTTGTCATTCGATGGTCTGAACATCGGATCGGGATCCTCAATCTTTAGTACGCCTCAGCTTGCGTCTTTCTGTGTGCACAGGATTATCTGCACAAAATGAAATTTACTATGCACAGAAGTGGTGCGACTACGTAGGTACACGTAACGCATTGAGTAGGTTCGTCATGATGCGCTTCAAAAACAAGAACAGACTCAGATACCGTGTACTTATTTTGCAAAGCTGATTTCCTGGTGGCGTTCTTGTCCCCTTTCTTCACCACAGCTACTGGTACCGCTGCCATGACCGAAAGAAGGGTTTTTCTAAGGTTAATTCTTTAGCCATACAAGAACTTTCATATTTTTTTAGGAAGCCCGCCCAGCAGAAGTAGAAACTCGACTTCGGTTGTGTTTGATTATATTGAGCGCCATTGGTGATATTGCATATGCTACTTGGAGTTTGTTTCCTTTCATACACGGGCTAGTTGTACGCCCTCAGTACTATCATAGTAGGTACTACCCGAAGCAGCTGCATCTGCATGATGAATTCTCAACCCCGACATGCTGCAAGAACTTTTTCCTCTTCATAACCCTGCCTCGTCCCCGCCCCGACACGAATCCACCTACAGAAATAAGTGAAAATGTGAGTCACAAGAACAACCACAACTCCTCCCACAAACACTTACAGCAAACTTCACTTCGGCAATAGCTGCACAAAGAATCTCGTAGTTGATTTTTACACACGAAATTGTTCGTGCAGTTATTGCCAGGTGTAGACGTAGAGAATCTTCTATCAGTAGAGTTTGTACAATGTCCTAACTGCATGTCGTGCACCAGCACCCCCATCTTTTTTTCGCACGCTGACTCTATGATTTGGCGACAGTAGAATTTCGTGGAAAATTTTTGATGTGTTCATCCATCGCAACTACATTTGGATTTGGTTGCATGATCAATAATCCATCTCCTGTGCTGGAAATAAGGAGGCTTAAAATACCTTGGAGCAAGGTTTTTTTTTTTCGCTTAGAAGAATCTCCGATCGTGTAAAACTTCAAAAGTTGTAGATCAAGGCCTCACTAGTTGTGGAGCGGTCGTGCCTGCTTGCCTGCTTATTTTCTTGAGATCTGCCGCACCACTGTCTCCATGCATGATGTGTTTGCGGTCGGACAAATGACAAGAAAAAAGTGAGTAGTCCTCGTGCTCCAGTCAGACGGGAAGATCTGTCGGAGTAGTTCTTTCGCATTTTTTATTCGGTTGTTCGTCTTATTCGTGGCATCTTCAAAGTAGCATTTTTATTGGACCACGACGTCGCTCCTTACGGTTTCATACTAAAAACGCTTGACTATCGTAGTTATGACAACTGGACGGTCCGTTGCTGCAGGTCATGCGGCTTCTGTCGTTCCACCGGAACAGGTCGTAGGTGCTGCCGCAGGAGCGCGTCGTGACCTTCTGGGCGATGTTGGCCTTCTTCCTGCCGTCGTTCCGCTTGCTGATGCAGACCCGGACGCGGTAAAACGTCGAAAGTTGCAGGAAAGCAACGAAGAAAACTCAAACCAGGGCGTTGACGCAGTCACAAGAGGACCCACAACCGGAGATGAAACAGAAACAAGAGTGAGAGAAACAACTAATGCAGCAAGACCAGAAGGCGGTTCTTGTGCAGGAGAGGTCGTGGAAAATGGTAAAATAAATGGCTCTAGGCGTACGACTAGCGCTGGCGCTGCTGTCGAGATCTTCGTCTCTTCTCGAAAATCCGTCCTGGCGCTGTACCAAACCAACGCGGTGATTGCCATGCTGACTCGAGCACTGGATACAGGGAAACTACTTTATCATGATCTGTCACAACAGCAGTACAAGTTCACGCTGCTGGAAACCTCCACCGTCGGAGATCAAGTGCAGAACCGGCATCTTGCCGACATGGGTTCCGTCGGGGTTTTCACGAAAGAGTTGGAACTCCAACTCCTCGCGAAAGAGTGCAGGTTTGCGGTGCATTCCCTAAAAGACATGCCCACGGTGCTGCCGGAGGGTCTCATGCTGGGGTGCATCACGGAGAGAGGAGATCCAAGGGATTGCGTTGTGGTACTATGAGGGTTCCTAATTTAGAATGATTTTCGTTGACTGGTTATTGGCACATGATAACTTTGTTTGAGACCGCACGGTCGTTAGCTGAAGCTGGTGCACCCACGTCGATGGGCATGAAAATTTGAGTTTTCCTGACCACACAGCTTCACCCCCGGTACCGCGGCAAGAACATCACTTCTTTCACGCAACTTCCTTACGCATTGCAAAAGCATCTTTCGTTCTAGTATTTGTTCCACGAAGACAAGTTTTGATTTCCTCATGATCATGAAAATAAATGAATTGAAAATGCGGTTGCGGACCACTTACCTGCATAAGAATAGGTGAAAATAAATGGATTTGTCATGCATGCCTGCAATTAGAATTACTACGAGCGCGATGCTTTTGCGCAGGATAGTTGGGAGACGGCGACGATTGGCAGCAGTTCCGTCCGCCGGGAGGCGCTCGTGTTGAAACAGTGTCCGAAAATGAAGATTGAGAACATCCGCGGGAACCTTCAGACCCGGTTGAGAAAGTTGGAGGCCGAGGACAGCATCTACGACGCCATCATCCTTTATGGGAGTGTGAGGATTGAAATCCTCAAAGACGAAAGAGTCTGTCATGCATAAAAGCGATACCAGTCGGAAGCCCACTTATCAAGCAGCGCATGACAAATTTTCCGAGCACCGATATCCAATTTGTCATGCTGTTTGGGCACAGACGACTGCTTTTGTCATGCTACTTTAGCAGCTCTATTTCAAACCTGAAACAGGCTCAATGTCGGCCTCACTTGCCCTCCTGGCAAGACAGGCACTTCATGCCTTCCATTTTATGCATGACAAATCATTTCAACTTTGTCGATTTCAAACCTGACGCTTTCATATCCTTGCCAAAGTCGGGCTGGAGCGCCTGGGTTTGTTCTCGGAGGACAAAGGCTTCGTTTTGGAGGAAGATCAATTTCCCTACGCGGTTTCCCAGGGCGCGTACGGGGTGGAGTGCCGGTGTGATGATGCAGAGATGTTGAAATTACTGAAAAAGATCGAGCATCTCCCCTCGGCGATCCGGTGCACGGCGGAGCGGAGCTTGTTGAATGCTCTGGACGGCGGATGTCAGATATCCATGGGCGTCAGAACATGCTTTGTGCCGGACAAAAATTCTGCAGCTGCTGCGCCAGTCAAAGATGATGTTCTACAAGAACTTGAGCGGCCTTCATCTGGAACAGGAACCGCATCCGCTTTTACAACAATCTCATCTACAGAAGCAGGCACAGGCTCGTCTAACGCAACAACATCGGCAAATAAAATCCCAGATATGATCGGAGACACGTTGAGCAAAGCGTCTTTGCAAACAAGCAGCACGGGAATCTCTTCGTCCTCGTCTAGCGACGAGCTCGACGTTGCAATGAGATCGGCCTGTTCAACATCATCCGTGGCCTCGTCGCCGGAGAAGTTGGCAACCGTCGTCAACATGGTTGTACAACCGACTCCTGGCGGTGAAGCTGCAGGTGGTAGCTCCACCTCGTTCCCATTCCCCCCTGGTGCGGCCCCCGCAAGAACTGCAGCTGTTTCTACTTCAAAGAGCGCCAGCGCGACCATCGGCATCGGCAGCAGCAAGAAACCATTTGTATCGGGAACCCTTCACATGCTTGCGGAAGTGCTGTCCAGAAACGGGCAAGATTCAGTCCACGCCTCCGCCTTTTTTCCGGACATTGACAGCTTGGAGAAGGTATCAGGTGTAAAAATGTCTGGGTCTGGAAGAATGCAACTTGTGATGCTAACTTTTGACTCTAAAAAAATCTGTATTGCATGACCAGCAAGAGAGGTCTCGCTTCTGCTACGTGGGGAGGGCTTTTGTCATGCGGAGGAGGCATCAGGAAGCTCTCGAAGAACCTGTGATGCTAAGTCGTGCATTACAGACATTCTGGGGCATGCAAAATATGCATGACAAATCTGGACATGCAAAATATGCACTGTGAACGCAGCTGGATGACTGTGACCTGGCTCGTCTTCGATGGGCAGGCGGATGACTGTGACCTGTCTCGCCCATCAAGATCCCTAATTCGTAGCTCCTAGACGTTGCCTGGCCCGCGAATGACTCCAGGGCAGCCGGATGGCCGTGACCTGGTTATAAAGGGCTTCGTCGATCGATTGTGCCACTAGGGCCTTGTGTTCCGGCTACTCCGGATCGCAATCGATGGAGGGCGGGACCTGCACCGGCGACAGGCGCTATCCAACCAACCAACCAAATCTCAGAATCTTCCAGACCCAGACACTTTTACAGTTGACAGGAAGCGGCGGACTGCGGAATTTTGTTGGCGGACCGACTCAGGGTGCTGGGCGTGGCGCGGATCTGGGGCCCCGCGGGAAATTGTGGCAAGAAGCGCGCGATCACGTATGGGAGCGCCGAAACCGCAGGGATTCCCTGCGAGGGCTTTGGCGAAGTAGTACCGGACCAAGGTGGCTGTGCTCCTGAGCCCGGCGGGGTTGCGGCAGCGGCATACTAGGTTAAGGAGTGTCCTCGAAGAAGATGAAGATCGGACAGGAGTACGCCACTCGTCACACGTCGACCGAAGATCAACATCATGACGAGGGTGACCCAGTAATGCTTTAAATATGCATTGTTCGCTCTGTGCTTTCATCCGTAACCGTATGAGTATGGCTATATGAAATTACAACCTGAGTGATGATCACGACGATGCAACAAGTAGAACACGTTGAAAATGGTCAAACTCAAAGATGATGAAGATCGTGATAGATACACAGATCACGAGACGCCATCGCCGGAGTACTAAGTTGTTGGAAATTTGTGAAAGGGGTATTTTGATGACACAGAAGCAACATGTTCTTCGTTTTCCACTACCACCACTTCATCCGATGTCGAAAATTGACATCTTCATGGCTCAAAGGATTCTGCCTCCATGACTATGTTGGAACAGCGCATTGGCATTGCCTGATCATGATTTCGTCGAGTAGACGGTCAAACAAAAACTTTTCCACAAAGAAATCGAAAAAAAGACCAAGAGCTGTGCCTCCGCGATGCAGATCGTTATTTTTTCTGGATCCGGGTCGTGAGATCAGCATCAACATCTATGTATGTGGGTGGCGTAACACGATCGAGATCGAAGTCATCTTCAATGTAAAAAAGCGCTAAAAACAAGTTGTAGATCGTTTTAGATACTGCAATGCCCCACATCATGGACATCCGTTCGCATGTCACGAGCCAAAAAAATTCCAAAGGGGCACCGTCGGGGTTCATTCGTCACAAAGCCGTTTCACGAAGATGATCATCCTGGTGTCCTATTAAGTGCAAAGTCAACTCAATTGTATAGAGTACAAGTATTCGCGTTTTCCCCTTTTACTTCATCAGCTTAATTTTTCACCCCATTTAATTTCAAAATAAAACAGATAAATGGTCGCCACGATCAGAGTGCCTGGAGCGGTTGCTCCACGGACGTAAGAGAAGTTTTTATCTTCTTGGGTGGTAAGTGATCGCTTCACAACTACCAACACAAGCTCAACAACGTGGCATGTTGACTTGGGTTCTTCTATAATTCTTATCCTATTTTCTATTGAAGGTTCTTGTGTGAAGAACAAGGACGAAACTTTTTCAAGTTTCAAAGAGTTCCCAACGTTTCACAAAAAAAATAGTAGCGTGGTTTTTTTCGGAAACACAAAGAGCTAGAGCAAGGAAAATATTGTAGAATATTTGGAAGTAATTGTCAGAAAAAAAAACGCTGTACAAGAAGAAATTTTATCTCTTTGGATTTTTTACAACTAGATACACTTACACGTCATCGAAACTCTCGCTCCAACATCACGACCGGTAAACTTCTAATGGCCTTTTGTCTTTCGACACTTATCGACGGAGCACGGGATTACGTAAGGCCAAATCCAAAATCATTCCAATAAACAGAAGCTTAGCTTGGCCAGGGCTACTCACCGGGAAGAGATCACTATTTTCCGAGAACGACAGGCACAACGACGAAACCAGCACCGGCCAAACCGGTCGAAGTACCATTCAGATCATTTCCATCGACAGAACCGGAATAAAGCCACCGAAGATTTTAAAGACCCCGAACCAGACCAAAGTCATTATCTCTATTATCACTACTAGTAGTACAGATGAAACACGATAAAAACTACGGGGAGCTTTACGACCAAGAGGAAGGAAAGAAGTTTTGGGTGAACTACAAGAACTCGATTGACAGCAGCACGAAACGAAATAAAATAACTGTTGTGTAAAATAAAAGATCGAACAACAAGAACTCCCACTACCACCATAGTGGCCGAACAACTACATCTCGGAAGTAGCAAAGAAGTGGAAATCGACTCCAGTTGTAACAGGCGCAGGAAAAACAAATAGAACGGGGGCACGGACGGCTATTGGAGATAAAAACAAAAAGTTCTTCGTGTCTTTATCACATCAAAAGAAAACTTCTTTTACCGTCGAGAAGTCCAAGAACTACGTCAGTGACGAATCTTCGGCACGAGCAGGACAGCAACGACCTACAAACTCCGGTTAAAAATTATTCGACCTTCTTCTTCTTCTTAGACTTGGCCCAACGACGAGACTAAATCGACACGATGACGGAAGTGATGCGTCAGGAGTCCATGCCGATCACCCCGCGGGATCATGGCAGCGGCTCCTTCCATGGCGGTCCGCCCCCCAACATGAAGGGGAAGGGGAAGCAGGGCAAACCGCCAAAGCGGGTTCGCAATGTGACCGGTGCGGAGGCCGCAGCGGACATGTTTGGCGGGGCCAAGAGCGACATTTGCCCCTTCTACGCGAAGATCGGCGCCTGCCGGCACGGAACCACCTGCTCCCGAAAGCACATCAAGCCAGAGCGAACCCGCAGCCTGTTGCTGGCGCACGTGTACTTACGTCCTATGATGTGTTCTAGCTACTTGTTCGCTGTTGAGTAGAGTTTTTCTTCAATTTTGTTGATGTAGAAAGTTGTAGCTCTGTGCCATAAACATAAAGAATCATCCTGTTGTCGAACCAGCTTGATGCCTGTCATGCTGTTTATGTAGTTTTGCTTTGAAGATATTTGTCAAGGTGAACATACGCTCCTGCATAGATGAAAATATGAAAATTTCTTTCCAGCTTCGGCGAGACCCCGGAGACCCTTGCCGTGAGTACGGACCTGGGTGAGTGGAGCGAGGAGGTGTACTGCACCGCAGTCGACCAGGTGGAAGAGTTTTACGAGGAAACGTTTTTCCACATGGCGAAATTCGGCGAGATCGAGGATTTACTCCTCGTCGACAACATCTCGGAGCACATGTCCGGCAACTGCTACGTCAAATACTACACGGAAGACGCGGCGACCAAGGCACTGGAGGCGGTCAACGGCAAGTTTTACTCCGGGCGGCAAATCAAAGCGGAGTACTCGCCCTGTATCGACTTCCGGGAGGCCAGGTGCCGTGCTTTCAACGAGGCGAACTGCCCCCGAGGACAGTATATTGCTCATCTCTTGCTTGTTTCATGATAAGCAATATCATTTTCTTGTTCAAGTGTTTCTCGTGAATCGAAGCAAATCGAAATCAATGCAAACCTCATCAGCACCACACCATGATAGTGCGTAAGTCGTATTACCGGGCTTGAAAGTTTGGTCTGGATGCTTTGATGTGATATATTTAGAATATGAGCACTTGATGTTGAACATATCAAATCCAGGAATTGCAACTTCCTGCACGTCCGGCACGTTCCCAAGGCTTTGAAGCGGCAGTGCGTGATGCAGATGTATGCGGACCATCCGGACTACAAGAAGGCCCGGGAGGAGGCCGGACGGCCCATTACCTACAAGTTTCTGGACAAAGTCGACTGGGACAACGATTCGGACGCCAGGGAGGCGTTCCACAAGAAGTGGTGGGCCATGTACGAAGAGCGGCGGGAGCAGGAGAAAGCGGGGACGCCGGCGAACGGCAGCGGCAGTCCCGAAGACCCGGAAACGAGGAACGCCACGGAGATGAACAGAAACCGTATTCAATTCGATTGTGTTGAGATCAACATGCTGTTTCTTCGTGAAGTGGAACATTAAATAATTGTTTGATAATATATGACAATGACTACCAGAGATGTACCAGAACCAGTTGTACTATCTTCTGCATGAAGCCATCGCCTGCATCTGCATAATGAAAGCATGAAACCCACCGTGCGCCGAGGAAATATTTTGAATTCTATCAAAACACAACAGCCTCGTTCTTTCCCAACGGGAGCGCGGTTATGGAAGAGGTGGATGAGCATGGCAAGAAAAAGAAAAAGCGGCACAAGGACCACGAGAACGGCGACGACATGAACCCCAAGCGTCTGATGCTCGGCGATAATGCCAACGGCGAGCACGATAACGAGGACGAGACCCCCACCCCGAAGAACGTGATGCGCGGCCCCTTTGACGCGTTTAACCCCCCGAAGCCCGGAGAATTGACTCCCTCAACGGTCGGAGGTGACGGAACGCCCACGCCGATGAGCGGTCAGTTCCACCCAGGTGGAGTGCCCCCGCCGGGCGCACCATTTGGTGGACCACCGCCGCCGGGCATGTTTCATCATCCGATGATGCCGGGGATGAAAGGCGGTCCGCTTCCTCCCGGTGCTCTGCCACCCCCGCATATGAATCCGGGAATGATGATGATGATGAAGGGGGGTGGTGTTCCGCCGCCGGGAGTTGGCGGAAAACCAGGCGCACCCCCGCCCCCGGGCTTCATGATGGGAGGAGGTCCCCCGCCGCCACCGGGAATGGTGCCCCCGCCGCCGCATATGATGATGAAGGGCGGAGGTGGACCACCACCGCCGCATCTGATGATGAAGGGCTTCCCCCCACCACCGGGAGGACCAGGTGGTGCTGCGCCGCCATTCGGATTTGCTCCGCCGGGCGCTGCAGGTGGACCACCACATATGATGGGCGGCAAGCCGGGCATGCCGCCGCCGGGAACCATTGTGCATATGAAGGGTGGCGGACCGCCGCCGGGGACGATGCTTGGAAAGGGAAGTGGACAACTACCGCCGGTCAGCAACATGATGCCATTACAGGAACTGATGGACTACGGAGCCGCACCGCCAGGAGCGGCCCCGCAAGGTAGTCCGCGGGTGGATAGTACCGCTCAGCTGTTCCCCCCACCCGCACCTGGCAGCGGACCAAACACTCCGCAGATTCCGGCGGGCGTCCCAGGAGCTCCGGCGATCATGGGTGGAGCTCCTCCGCAGTGAGGTGTTTTTCTCAACCGGCGGATCTTCACTCGACAAATAATTCTATCGAATTTTACAAGTTCTTGGTAGGAGTTTGATGTTTGTGTTTCGACGAGATTTGGAGCGACGTTTTGCTGTTGTACCTTTGATGATGATGATAGGACCACACTTGTTCCTCGATACATCAAAAAGGTGCTTGAATTGATCATGTCAATTTTTGTAAATGTCTTTTTGGAAAAATAAAATTGAAAAATATCGAAATTGAGGCTATTGATATTGCTGTCGTCCGTAACTAATTGATGTCATAGTATTTACTCAATGTGTTTTCCAGTTTTCTACAACTACACCATCACGATTTATTCAGTTTCATTTTACTACGGCTGCACAGATGATGAAGATGGCAGATTGGTCGAGGTTATGGCTTCGTGACCAAGGCAAAAAAATGTCGTCCTTTTTGTTGAAAATGCTCGGCTACTTGATGGAGGATTTTCTCTTACGACAAAAATGTACAAATTTACGAAAAGATTTTTTCACTCGGGAACTACAACTACGAGAAAATCTAGCGATAGATAGAACACTGGACCAGCGTCAGGTCATACTCATATTATGGAGGAAACAAAAACGAATTCATATCCAATCGACCACGAAACAACAACACCAACCTTCCTAGCTCCTTATCATACGACGCGATAAAACTATTACAACATCACTTTCTCATTCTGTCCCCTCAGATTTGAAGCGGATGTTAGCGACTTCCTGATATTTTTTCAACCCGAATGATATTGCGAAGAGGAAGAACGACCTTTCCGCCGGAAAAAAACAACAACGATTGCGAACACAAAGAAAAAAGTTTAGTTTCCCCAAGAACACGAAAAAACGTTGATGATGTTGAGCAAGCTAACTTTACAAACTGTCCCCAAAACCACTTTGAATTTGGAACTCCTCCGTCGAACTCGAAACAAATTCACGATACAAACTTGGTTGCCCGCTTGATTTTATCTGCGTGGTGTTTGTTATCGCAATATAAAGATGGATGCGCAATAAGATAAAGATATAACGACCGGAGTGTGTCGTGTTAACGGTGCCTCTAGCCGTGGTCATTCGCCAGCCGTAGCCTTCGCAGTATCGCCATTTTCTCACTGTTGCCCGATCCTCAGCTCCATCTCCATGATTGCTTTTCGTCATTGTTGTAGCATAATGATCACACTGGGGGTCTTTATCCACGAGCTGGAACAAAGACGACACAAAGATTCTTTGTTGTGATACCCGCCAATGTGGACGAAGACGATCTTCATTTCCCGTTCGAAAAAATACGATTAAATGAGTTGTGTCCTCGTCTTCCTTGTTGTCGCCGGTTTTTGACGAATGTGAATGACGAAAGAGTGCGAACGAAAAACTGTAAAATAGAGCCTCGCAGCCATGAAGGTGTCCTCATCGTCGTCTCGTCCTCTTGCTCCATCTGACGGCGTTGTTTCCGCGACGGATATTGATGCTGCACCGGATGTACGAGCTGCAGCAGCCACTCTCGGTGTAGTTGACAGCGAAGGAGTAATAACGCAGGCGTTGGGCAATACCACCTTGGTATATGATCAGCACGAGCGTGTGACTTGCGAAGATCCTGGTCTTCATGATGCGCCATCCTTTGTTGGCCGCTACGTAGAAGTACCATACTTCGGAATCGGCATGTGCATTGCGGATGCGGTGGACTACGACAAAAATTCTGATCGTGGCAACGCGATGAGACGAGAAGATGTCGTTCCTGTTGCAGCGGAGGCCGCATCCTCTCCTTTGGTCGTGGGTACTGGCAGCGCGAGCAGCAGCAGCAGCAGAAATTCTCGCAGAGATACGGATACCACATCGTCACAGAATAAAAGTACCTCAAGAACCAGGCTCGACGTCTCCTCCTCCGCAAAGGACCCGATATCGTCCCAAAGCCAGCTGATCAAAGTGAAGCTGATCCACAGCAAGGAGACGGGCTTCCCCTGCACGACGAATAGCACGCGCGCGCAGTCGACAAAAGTGGAAGTTACGCTCCTGAACAAGTCCAACGCGGCAAAGTTCGCGAACCAGCGGCAGGTGTTTTGCACCTTGCCAAGGTCGCAAGTTTTGAAGGCGTCGAAGTTTCCGATCGGGGCCTGCGTACGGGTAAAGCTGCACAATTTCGGGGTCGGCGTGCTATGCATCAGGGAAATAAGCGCTCATCTTTTGGTCTCATCGAGAGGTGAAGATCAGATCTATGATGCTTCATCAACAAGTAAGTAGATTGCTTTTGCTTCATCATTGATTTGCAAGGTAGATGAAAAAGTGCATGATTCCAACGGAAGTAAACCAAAACCAGCTGCACTTGATGAAAGTCGTAAAACGATTTCTTCACACTTCCTCAATCGGATCAAGATGTTACCTTTCAATTCCGTCTCGTGGGGTGGCAATCGAAGAACGAAATCCATGTGGTGGACTTCCCGAGTCTCCAGATTCAAGCGTATGTGTCAAAAGACGAACTTTGCGCGCACCAAGAGCCGGCCTGTGTCGGACTGAAGTGCAAAACGGTGCACGGGAGCGGCTTGGTCGTGGGTTGCGAGAGGAAGCGAGCGCCGCTGCTGAGCCCGGCGAGGATAAGCAGTGGGGGTGCTGGTGGACTACAAGGTCTGATGTTGAAACAACAAGCGACATCTACTGCATCGAGGAAAATAAATGCGGGAGAGCTACTACTTGCCTCCGCTGGCACTGTTGCAGCGGGTGCCGGAACAACAAGTGAGGCTCCTGGGGAAGCTGAAGTGGTAGACCCAGCATCAGAAGATGTTGCTCGAGAACGTCGTGATGCCGATAGTCAAGTAGACGCGGCTATTATGGAACACCAGGACCACCAGCTCCAGCAGACAAATTTCGACGATCTGCGAGAAAGAGAAAGAACATCTAGCATGGCACAAATAACCTTACCGCCCCAATACTCCTGGAAAGTTTGTTTCGATGACGGCATGGTTGGGTTCTATGACGAAGTTGAATCTGACGCCCGCTGGCTCCCCATTCTCGAAGTCGCGCGACGGAGGTGGCGTGTGCGGCAAGCGAAGATCTTTGCGCTGCTGGACAAATTTCAAAAGTTCGCGGAGAAAGCCGGGCTGGTTCCGTCGACGCTGGTGGAGGACGTGAAACAGGCCTCGCTGAAAACCGTGGCAAATCTGAAGGAAACAACTGGGCAGAGATTGGAGGAGACGTTGATGTCCACGACTTTAGCGGGCGGCGGCACAGCTCCATCTGGCAACATGACCGGTGGTTCTTTATCTCCCGCACCCGCGCCAACTTCTGCTGCGGGTGCTGTCGCCGGAACATCAGGAGAAGCCCCTACGGGTTGTGGAATTATTGCTGATGATGTTCTTACATCTGCAACTGCAGCCTCTCCCGCGGGACGAGAAGATCATCTTGTCGCGACCCAAGAAGCAGCCCCGCGCGCTATGGTGCTCCGTGTGCAGCAAACGCCGCTGAGTGACGATGAATTCGAAGAGGCTCTTTCTGGCGAGGAGGACGTGTCCACGTGGGAACGCGCGTCCGACATTGCGCAACTGGACGGCTCCCTCTCGTTCGACGACTGCTGCGAGGAGCAGGAAGACTTGGAGCACGCGCTGCAAGATTATGCAATGTAAATTTCCTGTACATGTACAAAATGCATGACAAATTTCGCTAACTTGCAGTGTCCAACTTGTCATGCTACACTAGGACTGAAGGCAAGTTTTGTCATGCAGAGATGACTGCATTTGTACGTGTGCAGGAAATTTACTGTGGATAAAGATCTAGTCAAGGCACGAAGACAGAGCTCCTTCCTGTTGAACACGAGCATTGCCTATGCAATACAAGCTTTTTCCCGTAAACGACGTGCAAACCCAAAAGGCATGACAAATTTCGCAATAGAACTTGGAGTGTGCAACTCGTCATGCTGACTAGTACTAGGATTGACAGAAGGTAGATCAAAATTTTGTCATGCTGTAGTTAGACCGCGTTTGTAAGTTCGTCCATCGTACGGTTACGGTGAATTTACTCTGGATATCGCCAGGCCGGACTGGCTTGCGGCGGTGGTGCAGGAGCATAAACGGAATTCGGTCGGAGGTGTTGCCCGTGAGAGCGCTGTGTTTCCGCCTGATGTACTGACCACAAACGCACCTGCAAGAAGTTCCTCTAGTGTTAGTGCTGGTGATGCCGGTGCCCCGCTCTCACCTGTCGCGTCGTCTTCGCGCGACCGTCTAGGTCGTGATGCAGATGATGCAGGCACTTCGTCTCTCCTCACCCCCCAACAAGAGCCGACGAGTCCAGCAGCACCTGCTTCCGCCCCCGGAGTCACGGAAGCGGAGAAGCAACGTCTGCGCGAGGACGTGCGAAAACTCAAAGGCGAGCTCGAACACGAAGTGGAGCACGTGGGGACGGTTTTACAGTCCGAATTTTCTGACATTACGACCAAACTTGTCACCGGGGTGCAGAAAATGGGAGAGGAACTCGAGAAGGATGAAGACGTGCAGAACCTGGCGGCGCAGGCGGACCACGCAGTGCACAGAGTGAAAGACGCGATTGGCTCAACTTTTGAAAATTTCGACGACACGGCCGTGGGGAGAAGGTTTAAACTCGGTGGGGACCGCTTGATGCAGACCTTGCAACAGTTTAATAACGCAGGAGAGGCAGCTGCGCAGGGACCAGAACATCTTCAAGGTGATCAACAATCGGTAGCACCTCAAGATCCGGAAGCCGCTGCGTTGGCGTCGCAAAACGCGGCTTTAGCGGGGGAGCTCGGGAGCAAGTTGAGTGCGGAAGTGGAAAGCCTGGGAAAGGGTTTGCTGGAAAGGGAAGAGGTGTGGAAGAGCAAGGGCCTGGACATTCTCGCTTCCGTGCAGCAGCGCTTTCTGAGAAGAAATCCAGACTGGCTGGAGAATACGAGGGCGAAAATCTTGCAGGTGCTGCAGCAGCAGGGAGATGAAATCGACTCGCTGGCGAGCACGGTACTTAAACTCCAACTTACCACGTTTGGTTTTATCCTCTTAATGCTGGATCATGCAACAGCCTCACACAACAGGTTGACCTTACTTGTTTCTATACGTTCTTGCATGAGCAGTGTACACAAGCATTACTTTTATCTTACGTTCTTGCATGCTCCGGGACGAAGCGGAAACTAGAAAAAAAATCAAAATCCTTTCCAGCTCGACGAGCACACCTCGGACGCGCTTTCCTCCGGCAAGCCACCGCTTTCCATTCGCGAAACTCTCGCCAGAACGTGCGAAAACTGGGTGCAAACTTTCGCCACCGAGGAGCAGACCAGCTTAGAACTCCTTGAGCAATGGGAGAATAAGGCGCAGAACTTAGACTATTTGGACAAGCTGGACCTTGGTTCCGTTCTGTCCAAAGCCGGGATCAAACTGCCCCCAGGATTGCAGAAACTCCTTCCGAAAGCTACGATTTCGTCTTCCCCGCGAGGAAGCCCGGACCATCTTACAGGTACCAAGGGAAGTAAAAGTAGGAGAAATAAGCGCGGCGCCGGATCTTCTTCAGCGTCGAAAAGCAAAAGCGGGAAAAGAAGTGCGAATGACGACGACGAAGCTGCAGCCTCTTCCTCTCTGTTCCAGTCCAAAACCCTTGCTTCGCTCGATGTTTCCGCCTCGGACTTCACACGAGATCCGGTGAACACAATTTCAAAGATCCTCGCCAACGACCGGGTGGCCGCGAAAGCCGAGACCGCTATGGAGAAGGTGGACGGTATTCTGAAGCAAGTCAACGCCGCGAGCCAGGGTTCTGCCATTCAAGGGTTGCTAAACAGCGCCTTAAATTTATCCTCCAGCCCACCGAAAAACGTCGCACAGAACAAGCAGCTCCAAAACTACCACGACGGCACCACCACCGCGAGCGATTCCGGCCACTCGGCTCCTGAAGGAGGACAGCATCCACAGCAACCGCAGCAAGACGGAGCGGAGGGCGGAGGGACACAAAGTGCGACAGTGTCCACCCAGATTCTCTCCAAGCTGGAAAACCTCGACGTGGGAAGGGTATTCGATAAGGCCGAGGACACGATCGATAAGTTGATGGACGGCGACAAAAGAGACCAATTCCTCAACGAAATTCTAGACGCAGCGGTTGATCTTTTGATGTCCTTTCTCCCGAACATCCGGATCGCGGAACTTGGGGGCGAATCGGAGGATTTGGTCTATGAACTGGAGAACTTGGACCTAGCGGGGTTTAAATTGAAAAAAGAGTGTGTGAAATTAGAGCTGAACACAACTCCCGGGGATCCGCGGTTGCTAAATTTCGAACTTTGGGACATGAGCTGCCAGATCCAAGACCTGCGGTTCAAGTACAAACAGAAGAAATTCCCGTTCCTGAGAGGCCACGGACTGGCGTTTGCGTTTGCGGGGGACGTGAGTTTGCAGCTGTGCTTCTCAGTGCGATGGGTGAAAACGACGACGGCGGAGAACGAGGAGCAAAGAACTACTACTGCTGACGCAGGAAAAGCAGATTGTTCGGGAGGTCAGGTCGCAGTACCACGACGGAGCAGGAGGCGGGGTAGGAGACAACGACAGGGTCGTAGAAGAGAAGGTAATGGCGAAGTAGAGGACTTCGATTCTGAAGATTCCTCCAACAGGTCACTCGCTGACGAAAATAATTCTGATTTGCTCACTTCCGAAGACGATGAAGCTGCTGCGCTAGACGAAGATGATGACAGCAGCAGCATCTTTTCCACAACCTCCTCGCATCAGAGCCGCGGCAATAATAGATACCAATACGACCAAACCTCCGATACTGACAACGAAGCCCACCAAAACAGTGGCTGGCGCCCAGAGTTGGTGATGAGTAAGAACGAGATGCGGATTGGGGAGCTCAAGTTACATGTGGAGGAAACACGATTCGCCTGGCTGTACAACATTCTGTCGAAACTGTTTGGGTCGTTGATTCAAACCATAGTTGTCGCAAAGATTCAGGAGCAACTAGCCGCCCATGTGTCGCAGTTTTCGGAGATGCTGTCGGTGGTTTTGTCTCACGAAATGGTGCGGCCGTTCGTGGAGAGTTTACGACCGGAGAACGTTGGGGTGATGTCGCACGAAACGGTCGGGGAGGGGGTGGCGATTGCACATGTTGATGGGGAGGAAAGAACTAACGGGGTAGCTGCACTCACGTCTTCGTCTTCCACTGGCGACCATCTTCAGGGTACGACCGGTACAAGTAGAGTCTCAACTACAGCTGCACTCGATGCAAAGCGGGCGAGTGCGGCGGAGAAGACAGCCGTCCGCACCTCCGACGCGGCAACAACCTTGCCCGCGACCAGTACAACAAGTCTGCTCTCTGTGGATGAGGAATCCACCAGGCTCTCCCGGCGTGGCAGCGTCCTGTTGCAACCCCCGACGAGAGTTAACGAAGAGGACGATGCAGCCAGGGACGGAAAAACTTTTACAAGCTACGAGTCACAGGATGTGCTGATGATTCATCCAACGTCGAACGGGACAAGTTCATCATCTACTTCCTCTTCCACTGCGCCACCACTGAACAAAACTCGCAACACCGTCTGGAGCACCGAAGTGACGTACGCAAACCGGCAAAACAGGTTCGGTCTGTCGGAAACAAGATTAGCGCGGCCTTCGAGGGCGGAACGGTTGAAGTTGTTGTCGGGTGGAGGTGATACGATCACGCCGGCAGATCATGGTGATGAAATTTCTTCTGAAGGAGCGTCGAGCCATCAAAGTGAAGAAACCACCGCAGACGGAGAAGAACAAACGGACAATATTCACTGGGAGCTGCCGAAGAGGATAAAGCTGGCGGACCGACCCGCAGCTGCGATTTTGGTCGGCGGGCAGGGGGACGAACAAGAGTCCTCTTTGTTAGAAGACGTCGCGATCACAAACGCAGGGGCTTCTACGAGCGGCTTGCTTTCTCGGGGGCATTTTGAGCAGGATTACTTTGCAGGGAGAGCTATTGCAGAAGTGGAAGTTTTAGAGCCCAATTCCGAGCTTGACATCCGGAAAAATCTCGCAGAGCAGAGTGCAGCATCTGCATCAAATAATACGGCACTCGCTGCTCCGGAACAAGGAACGACAGCACCAGGCAGCTCCAACTCTATTGGCAGCAAATTTGCGAGGCTGTTCGCAGGGAAGTTCTCTTCGAACGACGCCGACGCTACTCCGTCATCATCGTCGTCGAGTAGGTTATACCGCCCCCCGCTACGCGTTGACACAGGAGATGATGTGATGAACATTAAAGGCCAATTATCTTCGCCTTTGAAGTCGTCATCCTCTTCCACTTCTCCCAACAGAAATAAGAAAGTCAACCTTAATGTCGCTCACCTCATGCAGAGCGTCGGCGAAAATGGCGACTTTTGGAGCGCAGACTCGACACAAACCATGGGCGACAATGACTTGGCGAACACAGTGGCGAAGCACATCACCGCAACGTCGCTTCTTCGTGCCTCTTCTCTCCGCTTGGCAGCCACGTCGGCTGCAGACTTCAAGAAGTCTGTGGAAGAGGGGCTGTTGTCGAAAATAGCGACGAGGTTGAAAACAGCGGCTGAAACTAGTGAGAGACTGGGAGAAATCAAAGCAGAAATTGCATCAAATCTTCGTGCGAAAACTTCTGCAACATCTTCCGGGAAAGAAGTCGATGAGTCTGGTTATTCACCAAGCACCCGCTCAACCTCAACCGGTTCGGTGCAAGCAGTCTCTTCCGGCCGATTGCCCATGCTCAGCGAGGACGATGGCGAGCAGGTCGTCACAATGGTTGCCAGAGGGTCCTCCATGCCGAAAGGAGTTGCAACTTCGACTTCAAGAGAGCGTAATATTAAATCTGTGGCTACGACGAGAACAAGGAGAGCAAGCACACCAAAAAACCACCACCTTTCCTCCTCCGATGCAGACACTACGAGTTCTTACGAACACGAAATCTTTGGCGTCGCGGCGGAGAGGATCCTCACCACAGTGTGGACAAACGCGCTGTCTCAAGATGTTCGTAACAGACTGCTAACAACGAAATTCCACATACAGGAGCACTGCATGCTGATCGGGCCCTGGAAAGCTCTTTCGGGGGAGACCGCAAGCAGCGTCTTGAGCCTGCTCCAAGACATACCGGAGTCCCCCCTCTCCCCGTGGATGCAGCTCCGTTGCTTAGATTATCTAGCGGTTGAGTACAGACGGCAGTTGCAGCACCAGACCAACTTCTTGCACCAAAAGGAGAGCATCAAAAAGTCGCTCCAGCTTCACTTGCAGCAGTTGTTGGATTTCATCTACAAATATCCACGAAAAAACACCCATCCCCATCCAATTTGTCATGCGAAACATGCATAAAATCCACTATTTGCCATGCAAAAAATGAATGGGGATGGGTGTTTTTTCCTGGATAACAAATCTACCCGCGACTACATTCACGTGGCGAAGGACACAGAGCGAGCGGAGTTGCTGATCAAGCAAGACCGGATTAACTCGCTGCACAGCCGAATCGAAGCGGGCGGAAACTTCGAAAACTGTGATGAAGCGCTCTTGGACGCACTGCTGGAGTTGGTGTTGGATCTGTTGCAATCCCGGCGGAGTGTGCGGGACCGATATCTGATGATTGCGTACTATCAACATCACAAGAATGGTGGAACAGGTTCGGGCTCCACCTCGGCGGGGGCTCTTGTAGCAAGTTCCGGAAGTAGTACAGTGTCAACCTCTTGTCGTGCACCAAGTGCAAAGAAAATGAAACCTCCGAAGCGATGATGATATGAGGTGATGTCGCTGTGGTCGCAAATCCAAGAATATTTTCTTGCCATTAAGCAGACAGTGAAGATACAGAGACCCGCCCTGCACGAGGACTTGCAATCATGAGATTTCGCGCTTTCGTTTCCAAATGATTTTGATTGTCCTGCCATCCTGGCAGGGAAAAATAAAATGAACCATCGACGTGACTCGGAAGAAATTTCGATTCGAACAATGATCTCGGACGCCGCAGCTGTCTCGAGCTGGAAGCTTCTCGCATTCGTCCGTGGTGCAAATGCATTTGAATCGATCTACAACAAATGTGTCTCCTCTGCAGAAGTCGGTCTCGCCCGTACATCTTCAAACCAAAGGCAAAAAATATTATATCAAAACCATGGCGGGTCCATCTAGTCGGTTAAGTTGCTGGCGTCAGAATCTTATTCGTCTTCGCTCGGGCCATACAGATTATACCGTATCCACAATATTTCGTCTCTACTACCTAGTGCATGTGTCTCAACTACATCTTCAGTACCTTGTCTGATTCCGGATGTTCCTGTGCTCCTTTTTGTGGTTTATCTTCATCAGTTGAGCTCAATAGAGAACAAGGGTTGTAAGAAGACCATAGGAGAGGTACCTCGACCTCTAAGTACACAGAGTTACTTTTAATGGACAGATTTTTTTTTCCGAATATCAAGAGCGACAAGAAAAAGAATTTGTTGTAGAAAACATTCCTGTACAACTTCTAGCTGTAGCTGTACTACTAGCTGTAGTTCTTCCCTCTTCCTCGTCTAGTTTCTACATCCTGAGGCCGGGTCCGTCTCGGTCTACCCTTGCTGTACTGGTATAATTTTCTGCTTGTTATAGTTTTGTTTCCACGAGGGGAGTAACATCGCGTCATTTAGATCTGGTTTTGGATTTATATAATTTGTTGAATACACTACAAGAAATATAAAAGAAAAATGGTACTTCAAATCGTTCGCGACAAGCTTGCCCTCGCGCACGAAGTGCAAGGTACCCGCCAGCAGGAGTTTAAGATGGACGCGGTTTACCTCGCGATGATTGCCGGTAGCGGGACCATTTTGGGCGCTTTGATCCCCATCTGGGCACCCAAAATCACCAGCAATGGGATGGCCTTCAGCTTTGCGCTCACGGCAGGTACAGCTTCTGGATTTGTATTTTTCAATGCGTTCTTGGGAGGTTTATTATTATTTTCGATGTATTTCGCTCTATTGAAAACCTTGACGCATTGCAAGTCCACAGACATGATCTTTGTGGAAGCACGAGATGAAGATTGCTTATAGATATTGAAGCGAGATTTATTGTTTTAATGCCACCTCTATGCTCTATTTTAGGCGTCATGCTCACGGTGTCCGCTTTGACTATCGGACCAGCGGTCATTGGCGGACAGGACAAGAAGCTTTCCACGACCCCGATGCGCGATCTCTACCTCGACCTCATGTGGTTTCTGCTTGGCGGACTGGTTTACTTTTTTCTCCGGTACACGCTCTACCCCCCGCCCGCGGAGGACATTATTCTCGAGCAGTTGAAAGCGGAAGAGGAGCAGAATCTGTCAGAGGGGCAGCACTTACTGCCAAAACAGCCCGGTAGTAGCAGCTCTGAAGAACAGGAAAACGAGCACGAACCAAGGGGAGATGTTAGCAGCATTGAAAAAGATTTGAAAGAAAAGAACAAAAGGAAAAATAAATCACGAACGAGTTCTTCTACAGCTGCGAATATTAAAAAGCAGGACCGGGTCGTGTACGCGAGTCCGGACGTGCGACTAATGTCGGACGGGCTGGAATCCCCTATGGCAGGAAATACAAACACCGCGAACACCATGATGACCAGTGGCGAAAATCCGCAGGACGTGCCAGTAGCATCCACAAACGAGTCGGATGTTGATGACATCGAGAAAGGAACCCCAGAAAAGAAAATAAACGCAGGAACTAGAACATCAGCCGCAGCAGCGAGTAGCAGCACGGTCGTAAATAGGAGAATGGTTAGCGCAGGAGCGGAGGGGGAGCAAGCTAGTAGTTCGTCCACCTTTCTCGTCCAGCCGTGGAGGTCGAAGCAGCTAACCATGGAGCACGTCGACGGGTTTGCGGTCAGGGACCGACATGACGGGGAGGCGACGGACTCGAAGTCAACGGTCGCGGAAACGATAGTGCTGCAGCAGCGCTCGTGGCGCCTCGCGCTGCTGATGTTTGTCTCTCTATTGGCGCACAATTTTCCAGAGGGATTGGCGGTCGCAGCCGGCGGGCAGCTGAGCGACAAGGTGGGCGCGACAGTCGCCGCAGCGGTGTTCTTTCACAACATACCCGAAGGGCTGGCGATTGCCGTGCCGTGTTTGGCGGTAGAATATGAATTTTTGCTGCCTGTACAACCTGAAGATTAAGTATTCATGCTGCAAAGTGAGACAAAACTCAGAGTTTGGTTTCAACATCACCTGCGTACAGATCATGCGTCTTGATATTCGTCTCACTTGTTCTGCGAAAGACAAAGATCCACAAGAAGAACAACGTCCTATATTCCCAAACAAAAACAAAGGCCTTCCCCGACCGTCCATGGCTTGCGTTTTCCCTAGCGTCTGCATCCGGCTTGGCTGAGCCGGTTGGCGCGCTGATTTCCATCTTCTGCATTCAGGAGGTACAAGTCCCCGTTTCTCTCGTTCTCGCCTTTGCCGCCGGGTTGATGTGCGCTCTCTCCATGTTCGAGCTGCTCCCGGAAGCGATGCTGCAGGAGAAGCGTGGCTTCGGGCCCTCCTGCGGTCCGTGCGTCGGGTTTTTGCCCGGACCGGTGGTGGTGAGCGGGCTGGCGGCGGGCGTGGTGATGATGGTCTCAACCGAAGTGCTCATGAATCAAGTGGCGTGAGGACGGCGTGAGGGAAGGTAAAGGTAAAGGAAGCGGGGCTGCGTGGAATTTCTACAGGGTCTCTGGTTCCCCTGTCGCGTCCTTCTTTGTCATTCCTACGTCGCCCGTGGTCGACCATAGATGGTAGACAATTTGAAAAATTTGAAATCCTTGTTCATCAGCAAGAACACTTTTTAACCTTCATCAGCTTTACTTTTACCCCACTTAGCGTGTACGAATTGTACTTCACCCATATCATGTACTAATCGGCTTCCGCTGGTGCTGCTACTACGCTACGGACACTCGAAGAAAATTATTGTATCGAAACATCGACGAACACGAAGGGAGCGCTTGTCGGTACTTCAGAACTACTTTATTTCGCCAGCTACTTTATGTTTATGATTATGAGTGGTTTTGTAGTTGGTGTTGGAACATGCCAGCTCAGCCAAGCAATCTTCATCTTGTACTCCTATAAATCCAAAATCGAGAAGCTTCAGCATCTCTTCACATTGATCAAGACCAACGCCCACCAATATGATGTCCCGCGTTTGCGAAATTACGATGATGATTTTCAAAAAAAGTTTCAGCACTCGTCCAGGAGATGTTGCAGGTTGTGCAACTGCTCTTGCAGCGAAATAAAACGAGAAGGATCTTCACAAACAAGCTCTAAATGAAGCTTTGTGCGCGCAGCGACTCGCTGCCAGCGAGGTTTCGCGGTCGCTGTTTTGTCCAGAAAAATGCCTTTGTTCTAGATCATCTACAGAAAAAAATATTGTTAACGTTAAGATGGTATCGCTAGAAAATAGTTCTCGGGCAGAGGTTCGATCTTTTTCTAATCTGTTTCCCTTTTTTGGGAAGCGAAGCAAGCAGAACACTTTCAACCAAAATCAGCAAAAGCGCAGATGTTTTTCCCGGGAGTTTTGCGGGGAGCAGCCAAGATTAGGCAGTGCTGCAAGAGGACACAAGAAATGCGCAGCGCAGTGTCGGACTGAAGTAAATGAGTTCGCTGCCGTTTATTTTCACAAAATTGATTTGCTTATGTTCAAACTTTTCACCAAAGCGCAGGTCTAAGGTACTACCCCACGATAGAAGCAAGCGGCCTTTCAGCACTACCACACAGCAACAGGTCGTCAAGCGACATGATCACAGCGAGACATACTACATTTTTTCACACGATTTCTGGTTGGATTCTACATGTTGATGTTAGAAGAGTAGAACGTGGTCGTAAAAACGTTGAAACATCACGAATAAACATAGCTTCTTCATCAGGATAGGAACCTTCGAGGTGACGACCGTGAGGATTGAGATTGGTGCGACACAGCATCTGTTTCCCTGAGCAAACCGCGGCAAAAACCTGGAACGAAACGCATCGGGATCGGCGAGGAGAGGAACACGAATTAATAGTCCACTTTCCTCGGGGCAACATCGTCCATTTGATCCTAGCATTTTCAATCCACCTTATCCTGAAAACAAAGCAAAACCAGGAGGCACACAGCGACAATGGCGAAGCATTTGGCAAACATCTACGGTAAGGCTATCATTTCTGTGGAGCACAGCTATGAGTAGACGGATTCACATCCTACTTTTCGTTTCTTCATATGGTTTTCTTGGTGGAGCAGGGATAAATGAAAATGAATTGAAGAGTCTAACAAAAAATTACTAACTTCCCAGGTACCGAAGAGGACCGAGTGAATTGCCCGTTTTACTTCAAAGTCGGGGCCTGCAGAAACGGCGATCAATGCAGTCGGCAGCACAACCGACCAACGAGCTCGCAAACGTTGTTGTTGAGTCACATGTATAGCGTTTCTTTGATTTTTGCTTTCCCATTCAACTTCGCATGTTGACAAATTTCAATAGATGAGGGATAGTACCCACTGCCATTCTTATTTTCGCATGAAGACAGCATGAGCATCGACAAACAAGAATTTGAATTTGTACTTCATCCGCAGGTACTCCAACACGCAGGAATCGCTCGCCATCGCAAGAGAAATAGACTGGACGGATGACCAGTACGATGTGGCGCAGAAGCATCTGGAGCGTATAATTCGTTGATAAATTATGCTCTTCCAAAAGTTCTGGTGCTGCTGCTGGTTTCGTTAGCTTCTATGTAAAGTGACACATGCATACATGACCACATCTGAGTCGTAATTTCTGTTGATGAGAACAAGCGCAATCATGCTCAACATCATGCTTCATCGCAATACAAATTTCACAAATTGTGGTCCAACCTATATTTCACAGAATTCTACGAGGAGGTGTTTCAGGAAATGGCAAATTTTGGCGAGATCGAGGATATGGTGGTCGTCGACAACATAAGCGACCACATGGTCGGGAACATATACGTGAAATACTACCGAGAGGAGGACGCGGAGAAGGCATTGGAAAATTTAACGGGCCGGTACTACGGCGGAGAGTTGATCCAAGCGGAGTTCTCCCCCGTCTCGGACTTTCGGGAAGCCAGGTGTAGGCAGTTCCACGAAAGCAGCTGCAATCGGGGAGGGTACTGCTGATAATGCACTTTTTATTTCAGATGATAATGATTCTCATTCTGAAATGTTAATGTTGACACGGATGGCAACTACATGGGTCTGCTTCTATGTTGCCCTCGGGACAATTATAAAAAAACTAGATCTTTTGTTCGTCATTATCTCATTTCAACGCCATAGAAATCCAAACCCCCACAACCACCCCCAGGTACTGCAACTTTATGCACATCAAGCACATTCCCCGTGCCGTGAAGGCGAGGCTCGTGCGTGGCATGTATGAAGAACACCCGGAATTTCTCGAGCGCGATAACAAGAAGAGGAAAGCAGCGCGAGGCAAATCCCGAGAGCGGGAAGACCGAGGGAGAGGAGGGGATCGAGGCCGCGACCGGGACCGAGGTAGAGACGACCGGTATGAGCGAAGCGACAGGGGCAGGGATAAAGGCGGAAGAGACGATCGCGGCAGAGAGCGGGACCGCGGGAGAGGTGACGGCGACTTGGGGGCGAAGTATTGAATTGTTTTTTTCGAGGACCATGTTTGTTGTCGTTTTCATTCAGTGCTGAGATTCGAATCCGAATTTTGTACTATGTATCCGAGGTCGTGGACTGACACGAAAATCAGCCTCACCATGAGCAACTACGCACACTGACACTTCTCATGTCTACATAACAACATCATGGACGAGGAAATACAAACCATCAAAACAGGATCCACCGCTCCAACAGTGAGGAGCGACGAGCCATGATCGCCCAATGGGCAGACGACGACAAAAAAGAGGACCTGTACTGCCAACCCACCTCAATCTAGATGTTGACGCAAGAATTTTACGCAGCTACCCACCAGCGACGTGGCTTTTGGTCGTTCTTTTGGCTCCCGCCCCCTTGTGCTGGTCGCCTACTCGATGGCTTCTTTGCTCAAAGCTGGTCGCCATCAGACACACACATCATCCAAACGGAATTGCGCGAAGGAATGAAAAAAGAAAAGAACGACACAAAGAGAAAAAAAGGAGAATTAGTCGCGTCATGAAGAGCAGTAGCAAATCTACTATAAAGTAGCTACTTGCTCGTAGTCCTGTTCGTCGTATCGTGTTCTTTACCCCTCACCAAAGGTGTTCCATATTGTGTAGAAGTGGGACTTGCCGATGCACCTGGTTTGCTGAATTTGTGTTGGCCCGCGGTTTATAATTTCTGGTCCACATTCATGTTGTGATTGCTGGCTCGTGCGTTTTTTGGCGATGATGTCATTGCGAAGAAGATCAAGCTCAAGGTCCGCGTAATATTTTTGGTGCTGCGAAAAAGTGTCCGGCTAAAAGTTGTGTTGCAAGATGATTTTTGTGATGTGAAGATGCGCGAATACTTTGTCGGCAAAACGGTCTGCGGCACTAGCGTATCCACGCCTGGCCGGCTCACGAATCAAAGTGATGCCCTTCGCATTTGATTTCTTTTAGCTCGTTTATATTCCTTGTCGTTTTCGAAATTCATGAATTTAGGTTTAGTTGCAAGAAAGATAGGCTGATGGAAGTCACAAACATGATATCATGTTGCATATAGTAGAAGATGATTGCATTCCGTTGAAGACGAGGCAATGCGCGTTTTCAGCGTCGCAGAGCCGATCCAGGCTCCAACCTCCAGCACCTGGTACAAAGGATGAAGCTGGATTGCCGCCTTTTTGCGCATGGCGAAAACATACGAGTCTTTCACACAGAATTACCTTTTTTTCATTTTACAAAACCTCCACGCGGCCACACGTACACGTAGCACACACGACATAGCTTTAGCTTTAATACTGCTCTGATACAACAGAACATGAACATGCGCGAAACAAAAGCTACATTTTCCTCAAGGAAAACAGGAAACAGTCAGTGTGAAGGAGCAAAAAGCTGCGCCGGAAACTGCAACTGCTGTGGGAAAAAATTAAGGCAAAGAAAGACACGAGCAACTTTCAAACATCAGCATAATAACACCGAACTTATTATCTACTACTGCATCCAAAAAAAATTCGAAGACTTGACCCAAAAAAGACAAGAGTTCTTTGATATATTGGTAATTACCTACTTTCATCTGCACCAAGCGCTACTTCTGAAGGAATACAATTTACATAACTGGTTTACGGAACTTTTTTTCCGATTTTGAGCTCTGCATTAATGATTTTAGCGACGTGTTGGGACAAAAATTTGTACTTGTAAGCAACAACTTTCCTTTCTTGGAATAGGTCACTCCTACTCAACAAGTGTGACAAAAAAAACCTCTAGTAGGACCTCAAAGTAGGTACTTGGTCAACAACTACTGCGAAGCCTGTATGATCTTCTTCTTGCAGACTCTGCCAGCACGACTGGCACTGTCACTGATTGTGTAACAAACGCAATCTTTTCACAAATTGAGCAGCTCGACGGCTCCGGCGAAAAGGCAACGCAACAGTCGCTCGACGAAAAGAACCGAGCAGCAACTACAGCCAACTCAACTACACGCCTCCCCTACAGACGGAACCATCAGCCTCTTATCCACGTGTCGTAAATTATTTCAGACGAGAACGTAGCGATGGATAGTGAGCCTTTGTGCAGACCGCTGTACGGCAGCACGGCGCTTTTTGGTAAAATTTTACTGTAGTTTCTTCATGCATCAGATTTCGAGCGCTTTTGGTGTTGTTTTATATTTTGCTTCCGCATATGGTAGTGCTTATTTTGCAAAAAAAAATCGTAGAGTTCTGAGTCCGACGTCGCTTCTGCACGCAGAACATCAAAGCTTCAACATAAACAGCCGAGGACGCGCACGGCACTTGCCCTTTCTACCTGAAGATCGGCGCTTGCCGACATGGCGACCAGTGCTCCCGACACCACGTGCGACCGACGTCCAGTCAGACGCTTCTCCTGTCCCACATGTACCCCGTGCCCGCCGCTGCGGTGAAGATAGCAGCGGGGGGACTCTGGGAGGAGGAAACCTACAACGCCGTGCAGAAGCATTTGGAAGATTTTTACGACGAGGTTTTCCACGAGCTGGCTACTATCCACAGTGCAATTTTTTTTTTTTGTTCACGACGTAAAAGTGAGTTTCTTATTTTTCTGCATGACAAAAGTTTTTTCCAATCCATCGTCCGAACATGATTGAGCATGACTAGTAGCAAGCTCCAAGCTGGCGAACTTTCTTGTCATGCATGGTGTACGTCGTTTACGGGAAATTTTTTTGTATTGCATACCTACCTACGGTGAGATAGAAGACATGATCGTTGCGGATAACGTGTCCGAGCACATGTTGGGCAACATCTACTATGCGAGAAAAAAACTGTGTAAGTTTGTAATGCAGAAAATGCGAGAGAGTATACACTTGTCATGCCAGACACCCATGACGTCATCTTTTCATATGTGTTTTCACGTACTTGCTGTGCTTGGCAGGCTTTTGCTTTTTCTCTCATGCGGAGAAAATTTGTCATGCTGTCCCCCGAAGTAGACACCTTCACTAACAAAGTTTTTTTCTTCGATATTTACGTGAAGTACTTTATGGAAGAGGACGCGGAGAAAGCATTGCAGAAGTTGAACGGGCGGTACTACGCGTATGGGGTTCTCAAACGTTACTTCATCCTCAACTGTTACATGATTTGTCATGCAAAATGACCATAAGCCGCCACACGATCAAGGTGTTTCGCATGACAAATTCGCGAAGGGCTAAACACCACCTGGACCTGCTCCAAATTTGTAATGCAAAGCGCGCAATCTTCCCGCGTTCACTTTTGCTCTTCTTGCATGACAAATTCATGCAACAGTTGAGAGTGTAACATTTGAGAATCCCATAACGCGGGGCGCATGATAAAGGCGGAATTTTCCCCGGTCACGGACTTCAGGGAGGCGAGGTGCCGCGCGTTCCACGAGGCGAGATGCAATCGCGGAGGGTACTTCTAACCGCTTGAAAAGTTTCTCTGGTGCGCCGTCGTCCTGCTCGTGCGCGGAGCTTTGTTTATTATTTTCACCTCCTCGCTCTGCAGGAGCTGCAGGTGAGAAATATTAGACTTTTTTTTTTCATCACATCAGGTATTGCAACTTTCTGCACATCAAGCATGTTCCGAGAGCGAACAAGCGGCGGTTGGTCCAGGAGATGTACGAAGATTATCCCCACTACAGCCACAAGAAGGAACGTCTAAACAGCAAGAAAAAGCCCGAGTCTTTCAGTTCCAGCTCCTCTTCGCTACCGAAAATCGACGACCCTGCTCAGCAGTCCGCGGCCGCGGCCGCCGCGATGTGGGGCGCAGCTGGGATGTTTGGCCACCCGCTGATGCAACCCGGAGCAGCATGGGACGTCGCGACGCAAAACGGCGTAGGCGGGCCAGCGGGTGGTGCGTTCGGCATGCCGGCGCCAGGGGATCATCCATGGGGCGGTGGTGGTGCTGCGGGTGCTGCAAATGGAGCGGGTGGTGGAATAGCGCCGTGGGCGGGCGGTGGTACGCAGCAAGGCGGCAAATGGTGGGGCGGAAGAGGCGGGGGATCGTCAGGTAGCTGGGGAAAGGGCGGGAAAGGCGGAAAGTGGAACGGACAGCAGGGCGGGTATTAACTTATGAAAATGAAAATCATTTATTCTGTTCATACGCATAGAAGGCACTTCTCTGAGAATCTATATCTCTTTCAATGGCCACTTGACTACAGGCCATTTTTTCACTGCACGGTGAAGAAATCCTCAACTTAGTTATAGTGCAGTGATGACCACGTGGTCGAGGTCGTGCGCAAGTTCTTATCAAGGACCAAAAACTAACTACAGAACCAACTACTCCGTGCCCGATGCACCGCTCGGAACGGACGCAAATGCCGTTCCAGTCGCGAACGTTGTACAACAAGTACAACCCCCACCACCAGCAGCAAACAATAAACGGGAACAAGAAGTAAATGAGGAAAACCCCCCATGGCCGCAATTCGATCCTGCGATGATGAAGCGACAGCGAATGGACGATGTTGGCAACGCGGCAAATGCGGGGCAATAGCAATCCTTAGATGTTTTAGTTTTTTTGAAAGAAGGCATTCAATTCCAAACACTAACAGTGCGGGCTACGGCTATGGCTAATATCGAGGGAGAAGCACTACAGCAGTAGTAGCTTCTTGAAGTTGACGAACGAACAGGAAACATTCAATCATAACAGTCAGCGACGACAGCTTTTCAGGAGAGGACACATTCAATCACATTAACGATTCTTCAGGTCGGACAGTTGTAGCAGTACGAAGACTAACGCTAATTGTAGCCCTTGGAGCTTGTTTTTTGTACCAAGGATCATGAGAATACAGATTTTGGTTTGGTCATCGGTCGAGCAAGTGTTACCAGACCACTGGCATCAACTGACGGATGAGCAGCTGTGATAGTTGTGCAAGTTGTGATGGCAACTACTGTAAAGAACGGTCACCAGAAGTTGTCTTCTATCAATTCAAGGAATATGTGTTGTTTGATGATATCCACCATGGATAGAGCAGACCACTGCACTTGCAAAATAATGTTGATGATGTTCTTCTAACTATCTTTGTTGATTGCGCACTGCCATGCTTGCCCCAGCGACTGAAACTCGGAATCGGAAACACATCCAAGAGGAGATAACTCAGGAGCGAAGGCACCTTGTATAATTGAGAGATGAAGCTTCCGCATCGTTCGATGATTTTTTCGATCGTTTCATTGTCACTCTGAAATGGAACAACTCATTCGGGACAGCAGCACTCATACGCATACCCAATATTGGCCCCGCCCACCCCGACGCACCCTTTCCAAATGTACAACCCCACACATAAGTGATGCAGCCCGCGTCTTTCGTTTTCCTGTATTTTTCTGCAATGACTGTCGGCGTTCTGGTGAAAAAGTTTGAGAGAGTGTTTTTGCGAACATCTTCCTCTACTAGTGGCGCATCAAGGTCAACAACAAGGGCTAGTAGCTTCTCCAGGACATCAATAATACCAGATGCCACTCACATATTCGACGCCGACTACAATTCTAGTGAAGATGAAGCTCCACCATATCGCGTTTCTGTGAGGAGTCTATTGATTTGTGCCTGAGGACTACAACCTTCCGTGGTCGTGGGAAGAAACAAAAATGGAGACGTTTTTTAGCGCTTCTTACAGAGTAGAGCCTTAGTTATTAGCACCGGAGTCGTCGAATCAACATAAACGAGCACTTGTCAAACAGTTCAGTTACTACTACATCAGCTGCGATAAGAATGCTAACCGGAGCTCGTGGTGTGGTGATCGGGGAACAGCCTCAAAAGCCCCCGTACTCGAGTAACTTCGTAATACCGTGCGCCAGAAAAATTCTCGACTATGTCAACAAGATAAGATATCCTGACGAAAAACGTACCCACACCATAGTCAAGATGGGGAATCGGCTAGACAAATCCACAAGTTTTGGCTGTTTTGCATCACAAATTTGGACTCATAGCGTAGTGCTGTTTGAGCTACCTCAGCAGCATCACAGACCTAGCATACCATGCTGATTGGAGCATGACAAATTGCAAAACACGACTAGAAACAGCTTCTCATGAGGCTCCGCATGAGAAACATTCTCAGCATGCAGATTTGCATTACAACTCTGGTGTGGGTACGTTTTTACTCAGGATATAAGAATCGAGAAGGGGTTGCTGCCCCTGAACACGCACAAGGGGCTTTGTCGCGCGGCCGAGACGCATGCAGGTAAACGAAAATGAAATCTTGTCTTTTCTCGCTTTCTTCTTTGTTTTTTCTTACCGATCGGAGGCTCTTCTTTCGTTTTGTTTTGGCAATTTCATCAATTTCGCAGCAAACTGAATGTGAGAAGTGATGCTGATGTTACCTTACTTTCAAAACAGAATATATTACTCGAAATCCTCTCTAGTACTGAAACAACATCAACATCAGCCCGCATGTCCGAGGCCCTGGTTCCGTTCTCCCACCAAAACGCGCTGTCCCGGATAAATGACGCCGGGACGTTTGAGGGCTGCGGGGAGAATCTCGCCCGGTTAGAGAACTACGGCCTCGAGGCGGTTCCGGAAGCGGCGGTGGACGGGTGGGTCCATTCGCCGGGTCATTTTCGCAACATGGTCATGCCGGACTTCAACGTGTGTGGGATAGGCTTGGCGACCTACTACAAAAACCCGGACAATCGACATCTAGCCGCGCAGGAAGCGAGTGGCGGGGAGTTGCCCTATTTGGCCCACGCGACCGGGCAGTGTCCACAGTTAGAGGAACCGAGAGAATCCGTGACCTTTGTAACGATGTTGTTCGGGATAGAAAGGGTGCAGAAGGAAAACGCAAAGACCAAAGTGATGGAAAGTACAACTATAGCACGCACTTGCTTCTGTTTTTGTTGCCAAGATGAATTTGAAAGATCTGCAGATGCATGGTACTGACAAGTGTACGTTCTGCTGATAGTGATATAGAAGATTCCTTTAGATCACTCGCAAACACGACAGAAACCGACGCCACAATTTGTGCCTGCGGCCTCGTCGGCGCCGCCATTGGCGGCATTCTCACCGGTGGCATGCTGGGGGTCGCGGCCGGATCTTTTCTCCACAAAGCAGTCGGGATTACGCCAAAGGGCACGGCTTTCTGCTATCCAAAGAAAAAAACCCATCCCCATCCATTTTTTGCATGACAAACACAGAACTTTATATATACGTGTTTTGCATGACTACAAATTGGATGGGGATGTTGGGTGTTTTTTCCTGGATATCTGCATCAAGGAGTTCACGAAGAGGTCGGTACTGGGTCTAGGGAAATTGAAGTGCTCCTTCTGCGAAAACGAGAACGCGAAGTACGAACTAGACGACGCCCTTTTCTGCGCCGACTGTTGGTCGGTACCGCCGGACGGGGTGGGGTTTACAGCGGAGCAGCGCGACGAGTCGGCGTTTGTCGTTTTGTAGAGACTCCCAGCGGGGAAGTAGCGGCTTGGCAACAAGGAAGCGGATCGTGCGGTCAACACGGTCGTGGCTGCGGACGACGACACGGAGGTGAGATGCAGAATTATAAACCAGCAGGTTCTTCTAGTACAATAAGAACAACAGAACAACTTCAGCAACCAACATTTGGAACCATTCTTTCACTGAGACGACCACGAGTAAAAATAAGCGGATGGGTCGTGATTACTTGCTACTGTCCGCAGCGGGTGACGTGGTAGCACCCGTGGGCTGGCCGAGTCTGCTGCGGAAAGCGATAGTGATAGACAAGCGAGCGCAAGAACCGCGTCCCATGATCGACGTCCCACGCAGTAGCATTGAGCCTGCTCCAGTACGGCGACCTGAACAACCTGAAGAGCAAAGAAGGCCAAAATAAGTGGAGCCGGGGTTAGAGCGGACTGTGACGAGTTTGAGGTGTGTAGTTGAAAAAATCTGATGTCATGGCGTGTCGGAAAACAAAGGGCGACACATAATTGCGCTCTTCTCCTCCTCCGGCAGTGTAGGGATTCAGTCTCCTGAACCTGGTACACTACAGGAGAAGGAGTTCATCTGGATGAAAGAGTAGGAGAAGTAAATATAGGAGCGCTAGAAGAAGGCTTCATGTTCCTGTTGATGCTATTGCTACTTACATTAGGATTAGTGAACAAGAATTGCTGAAATTTCAACATCATGAAGAAAATCCATACAGCTTGAAGCACAAGCGTCGAGGTAAACTCGCACAGCTTTCCTGCTAGAGTGTACAATGCTGATGCTGGTTCACATTTTTTGATACGCCTACGCACGCCTTTGCAAGATGAAGCAAGAGTTTTTACATCGCTAATGTTGGCCACAGGATTGTTGAAATACAAATAATGTTGTTGACAAAAACCTGTAAAAAAGGACTTCTGCTGCTGGTCTGGCATGATGCCGTGGGGCAACCATTACAAACTCACACCGGGGGTACATTACGTTGCAAAATGATTTATGTCGCCATGTTGTGGCAGCGAGCCTTCGCTTGAGCTGGCCTTGGACTGTAAATGTTGGCGAACTACATCCACGCGCTACCTGTCTGACAGTTTCAATTCTTGTTCTTCCACCAGATCGCTCCCACTCCCGGTCACGATAGAAGATGAAGCCAAGACTTACAAGAAGATCTGATCCGAAAAAAGTCACCTCTACTTCAACTTCAGACCAGACAAGTTAGTTACACAACGAGTTGATGGCAATACGTGCCACTTTGATCGTGACATCGCATGGATTTCAATAATTCCAAGAATTCGAAAAGATGAAAATGTCGGCCTTTCCTGCTTTCATTTGTCCCTGTCGTCGTGTTGTCCTTGCTGCCCTCGTTGTGCCATTTGCTCAAGTTTTTTCTGTGAGAGACTCGTCTTCTTCACGTCCACCGAGGTGCTATGTTCCCTCACCTGTGACAACTCTACCTCACCCCAGAAGCCGTGTCGAAAGCAGCAATGCAGATGCCAACTATCCCGAGCCCCCGGCTGATGAAATCACTTGGATATTAGATGAGGACGGGGATAACTACGCGAATGCTAACGAAGTTACCGATGATCTCCAGTCGTTCGATTGGCGTTTTGTCGGAACGTCCGGCGGGACGAACAAGAAGAACAAAAACAACTTCAACCTCCGCAACCTTATCGAAGACGTGAAAGTGTCGCAACTGAACCCCGCACCTTCTGCGACATGCTGGGTTATCGCCGCCGCAACCAGCTTCGCGGATCGGTTCCGGATTGCGATAGCGAGGTCGATGATGCTGTCTTCGGCAGCTTCACTCACGAAAACCGCTTTCCCTCTGCTGTTTAGCGTGAACGCGCTGTCGCCGCAGTTGTTGCTCAACTTCGACTCGAGTCTCACCGGAGGCGGAAGCAGTCAGGGAGGCGATCCGATCGACGCGTTTCGGTTCTTCAAAGAGTTTGGCACCACGGATGACTCCTGCGCGATCTGGGAAGGAGGGGTGGACTTGGGTTATGAAAGTGGAAAAGTAAAGACTTCAGCATCAGCTTTATCATCAGCACGTTTCTGTTGTAAATGCGGCACCTCATTTGTAGATATTATAAAAATGAAACTCGCGACTGTTGAAAAGTGTTGCAATGTGGGTACGTACTTACAACAAACTGTCAGAATTAGAAGTAATGAGCCGCGGTCATAAAAATTGTAATACTCTCCACGACCTGCAGTTGGTGAACGTGAACAATCGGTGAAGACTTTCTTTCCTTTGAATCTCTGTGGGGTCCAGGCTGTTGCGGCAAGCGTGCGACGGCAGTGGAAAACGCAGCAGCATATCTAAGGCTTAGCGAAGTAGAGATGAACAGCACCGCTGCAGTAGATGTTGAAGAACTACGAGGGAAAACACCTACCTGTAGCGCAGCTGGGGCCAGTACTACAACCACTACGGACCACGTCGACCGGTGCAACAAAGATGCTGCGACGTCATCTACTATTGCAGGAGCGCGGAGCCATCGCCATCCTGCTCGCGGGAACGATTTTTCATCGCGCTTCAGCATCGACGTGGTAGAGGACTTGAAATTCGCAGCCGTTGACGACCTTCGCAGTTTTTTCTGCCGTGCCTGCGATTTCAACGGAACGTGTGCTTGGAACACGGAGATCGCGGGAAACAAACCGATCCAATACGATTTGGAAAAGGGCCCTGATTCTGCAATTACGCAGCTGGAACGACCGCAAGAACAGACGCACGGCCCCGCGTACCAACTTTACAGGGCGGAGTTCTACGGACGCGTGGTTGCCGCGACTGTGGCAGAGATGGAGAAGCGGATGCGTTCTGAGATCTACAAGAACGGACCGATTGTGTGCGGGGTCGCTGTCAGCGAGGAGAGTGTTTTTCAAAACTACCGGTTTGAGTACGGGGTACGACTAGCGGATGTCGAGCGACCGGATGGGGGTGGTGCCCGTACCAATGCTTTGATTATGCAAAAAAAGCAAGATCTTGTTCACGATAGCAGTTCAGCTTCACGAAGAATTGCAAGTGTTGGAGTTGCATCAGAACCCGACCACGTCGTCACCTTGGTCGGGTACGGAAAGGTGCAGGAAACACCCTACTGGTCCGGCAAAAATTCCTACGGGACGAACTGGGGTTTACGCGGCTTCTTCTACCTCGAGAGAGGTGTGAATTTGTTCCAGATCGAATCCGGCCACTGCTCCTTCGCGGTACCGGATCGAAGAGACGTGGCCAGGCTGGTGAGCATGGCGAAGGGGAAGGTTGAGGTACCATCATCTTCAGAAGGAACTACCAGTGCAAATACTGCGCAATCTGAAAAACTAGACCTTCACTTCCGGCCAGATCCACACCTGCAGTTTCTGCTCGACGGAAAAGAAAATAAACAAAAACAACACCTCCGAGCGGACAGAGATGAAGTTCAAGACGAATCTCCATCACAAAAATCACGAAACCTTGCCCGTCTCGACCCCGCCTATTGGACCGAAATGAGTCTTCGCCGGGAGAAATTTCACAAGCTGTGGCGAGGAACAAGCACACGACGAAAACAAAACAGCCTGCGAAACAGCTTCGACAGCTTTGTCATACCACCCAACATACTAGGAGGAAATAACGGCGCGATAAATCCAAGAAACTTATCTCCGACCACAACTGTGGTCGCGCCGTCGAAAATCCTTTCCCAATTCGCCGGGAAGATTTGCTACCACTGCTGGGCCGCGGCGCTGATCGCGACGTTTTCCGACCGGATCAGGATCGCCTCCAAGGGGCTGCTCGACCCGACAGTCTCCATGCAGACGCTGCTGAACTTCGACGACTCTCTCACCGGCGGCGACTGCAGGTCGGGCATGGCGATTCGGGGGGCGCATTTTCTGAAGCACTTCGGCGCCAGTGACGAGACCAACGCCCCGTACCGTATGTCGTTTTCAACTGTTACATTCTCAACTGTTACATGGATTTGTAATGCAAGACCAGCACAGGCGAAAGGGAGAACCTTGCGCGTCTTGCATTACAGGTTTGATCCGGATTACAGTGCTATTTAACCTTTCGTGAATTTGTCATGCGAAGCAGCTTGATCGTCTGGCGGGTCATGGTCATTTTGCATGACAAATCATGTATACAGTTGAGAATGTAACGTTTGAGAACCCAATATACCGAGGCCACGGGTTCGCCTGGGGAATCGAGTGCTGCGGAAAAATGTCGACGTACGAAGGGCCGGGGGCGTTGGGAAATAAAGTTTTGTTTGGAGGAGGGGGGACCGGGGCGGGAATAGAAACAGACAGGGAGGAAGATAGCAAGAACTCCGATGCGGATACTACAGCAACTTCAAGTGGTGCTGATCAACATGATGCGGATCGGGATAATTTAAAAACGCGGCAAGAAGATCACAGACCTTCTGGGCTGCTTCCGGCGTTCTCCGCGGCGCAGAAGGATTTTGTTTGCAAACACCTCTCGGGCTACACGTGCGCCTGGAATGGAGATTGTGGCTTCTTGAACCACAAAGCGGATGCGAGCGGGTATGTGCAAACGAATATCGAGGAGGAAAGCAGGTCGTCTGACAATAGCCCCACCACTTCTAGCACAAGCTCGGAGGTCATACGGCACGACTCGCAGCGCCAGCCCCTTTATTACGGTGAGGAAGATGGCCCAAACGACACCTGCGACAAGGCCCATCCCAACATCTTCCGTCTCTCCGAGTTTGGCATTATCCCAAATTTGAGCGAATTCACGATGATGGAAGAAATTTTTGTCGGCGGACCGATTTCCTGCGGTTTTTTCTCGAACGTGAAGAGTTTCGACCGGTATAGAATGGAGAACGCGGTCCTTGGCGCTCGACGTGCTGACGGCGAATCGCAGGACGAGAACATTGGAGGCAAAGGCTCAAATACGCCCGACAGCGCCAGCACAGATGTACCAGAGTGGAGGAGATACAACTCGGTTGTGTTAGACCCCGGTCCTCATCTAGGCGATGCGGAGATTCGCAAGGGACACGCGGTGGACCACTTTGTTGAGCTAACAGGATGGGGTACAACTCATAGGCAAGACGGACGAGAAGATGCACGAGTACGTGACGAAAGTAAGAATAACGCAGACACGACCACTGTAGTACCTGCAGCCGCAGGAGTCCCATATTGGGTCGTTCGAAACAGTTGGGGCTCGTCGTGGGGTTGGGCGGGATGGTTTTTGCTTGCGCGGGGGAAGAACGCTTTGACGATGGAGAGTGCTGAATGTGCCTACATTATTCCTAGTAGGAGAAATTTGGAAGCACAGATGATGAGGCTGAAGAGAGTGAAGCTGTGAAAAAGAAGACGCGGGACAAAGTCAAACCACGCTTACAAGAGGTTCTTGCGCATGTGCTCTTACGGAGGGCGCTAAAGAAGCTAAAGCAAAGATCAAAATCTGCGACAAAAGCAAAACAGCAGCGTGCAGCAAGCAGTGACTGAACCGGTGGAGCAGCTAGCTCTGCTGGTGAAATTCGTCAGCTTTGTCGTTGTAGGGCGGGTCGTGAGGATGTTCATCGTCTCAATGTGTCAGTGAGGGCGAAACGCTACCAGCCGTATGATGGTCCTGCAGGTCGTCTTGTTTCATGTGATCACCGCTACTTGCGTAGCCGCGTGCTCGCCCTCAGCCGAACAAAAAAAAAGCGGTCGCTGTGTAAAAAAAGCGCCTGGTCGCATCAAAGTAAACACTGCAATATCAATCTGCTTCTGCTCGACACTGACAACTTCCACTTGGGCTAGTAATCACGAGAATATTCAAAGTTTGATGTTGATTCTTGTTTCTGCAGGAAAGCGCTATGCGCAACGAAGTGCAGCAGGTGCCGCCGGCTCCGCCACATTACAAGCTACTGCTCACGGAGCAACACTCGCTCCAATTACCCATCACGAGCCGAATGCGTACGCGAACCTTCGAAAGCTAGACAGCGCTGATGTGGAGAAGCAGCTTCGGATCGACCGGGTGTTGTGTCAGAAGTACATGCAGAGGCTCTCTACCGACGATCAGATTAACCACGGTGGTGGTTCCGCGACAACTTCTTCGCGGCATCATCGGGATTATTTGAAGCCGGCCTGTGGTGTCTACGATGACAACTTCTGGAATCACACTGATTTGCAGCGGCCCTCAGGAAGAACAGAACATAGACAAGCAGGAGCGCTGGAGGACAAGTTGGATTTCTTCGCCAAAGACCACATTCGCATCCTGTCTGGCGGTTATGGCTGGGTCGACCCTTTTCACGTTGTGAATGTGGAATATCCTCCGCTCCTTCTAGAATACGACTTCCGACCCCAGCTCGACGACTACCACAAGCTGCGGGCGAAAAAGCGGCCCAGAGCGTACACTCCCCCACAGCACGAAACGCAGAGAATGCGGGAGGTTGAGAAGTATCAAAAGGAAAAGACCAAGCACGCTCAGGGATACCTGGCAGAGTTCTGGCGCAATGAGCCTGGATTCCGCGACAAAGTCTTGCGGGATCTGAGAAGGGTGGACAGAGAAGACGGTGGAAAAGGCAATAACTCTGGGCCACCCTACAGGGCTTTGAACTTGAACCTTCGGGAACACGACGCGAACTTTCTGCAGGAGCTGGTCGGGGAAAACACCCTGACACTTCTGCAAGTCACCTTCGCCGGCATCCCGGCCCTGCAAGTGATGGAAGCCAAGGGAGCACTGATGCGGTGGCTGGTGGCAAAAAAAGTTCAGGAGTTTTCCCAGATAAAGACGTTCGCGAAAGAATACGAGGACTTTGCTTCTAGCACAGCGTCGTATAATTCTTCCGGTGGGGTTTCGGGTCGTCCTTTGTTCGACTTCAAATTGCGGTATGCAGATGAAAACGAAATTGTATTCGATGCGAGGTCGTTGGGACTTGCAGCTTCCCCGCCTCGACACGGAACGAGCACAAATAATAGCACGACAGTTTCTCTTCGTGCTGCTGCGTATCACTGACGCAGTCCCAGCGCTGTTGCTGAAATGAATTTCAAGGTAAAACTCGCCTCAAAATGCACAATTGCACTAAACGGTAGCGATCTGCTGCTGCACTGCACCTGTTTCTGGTTCTATCTGGTGTCATTGTTTGCACCTTTGCAATTGCATGGTAAAAATCTTGGCGCTCGTTGTACAAGTGCGCTATTTACAATGGTATTGCTCCACCTCCTTGTTCCAATAAATAGAGATCGGCCTCACGACCTGGCCTTGTGTGCATAGATGGTCTTCAAGGGCATGATGTATTTTTTTTCCTTCGAATGCTCGGCTACGGTGCGGGTGCCTTCTTTTTGTCGACACCTACTGATTTCTGCTTCTCTTTCGATCGCAGATCTGGTAAAAAGTAGCAGGACCTACGGGCAGAGCAATTATGGTCCAACTCAAATGCGCGATGTTGTGTACAGATGAATAGCAGACAGCTATAGGTTGTTCAACTTCAAATCGCCTATCACTTTCTTATGTCTGAATTGAAGCGCATTCTTTGTCGTTGGGTGGCGCATCGTGATCGTTGGTTCAATCGTGATAAGGCAGTAAATTTCTCCCTCTCGTCGTCCAAAGATGTCGAGCCCCAACACCTGTTCACAAGCATCCAAGAGGCGCAACAAGTTTGCGTTACGCACGAGGAGGATTGCCAGGGGATCAACGGCGTTTTCTCTCGGCAACACAGCACCTACATCTACGAGATCGCGTGGAAGACGAGAACGGCATCGGCACAGCCACGAGAACAGGAAGAAAGCGAGAATACGGAAGAAAGAGTAGATCGAGATCCCCTATCCCAGCTGGTCCCTGCTGGAAGCTTCCTCTCGTCCGATGTAGTTGAAGATGATGTTGCACAATCCACCAGTGCTACCGACGACCAGGACCCGATGCTCCTGGGCCTTCAAACGACCGACTACAGTGCCCATTCCTTCTCGTTCAACTGCGCCTGTGCGCACTCTGAGCCGGCGGTTTACGCGGATTTCATCCGCTACTATAAACAGGGCACACCGCCCGTCCGACTGATCGTGGACTTGAGTCACTTGCTCACCGAGCCGAACCTCTCCTCACACCACTGTGCGGCGGCGGTGCTATCAGCACTGCTGCTGAAGGTGGAAGAGACGGTATACTACGACAGGAAGGGAGCGAGACGGATTTTGGATCGGTATCTCGTCGAATTCGGCCGGGCTTTGCGGGAAAAGTAAGGCTATTGGAAACATAGTTTGAGTCAGACGGATGAAATCGAAGTAGAAAGCGAATTTGATCTGTGATAAAAATGAAATTTTAAAATTTCGCGATTTTGTTAAAGCAATAAAAATAAATTTTTGAAATTAGGCGGATCTATAAAAGTAGATAAAATCGCGAAGCGCACAAGAGCAATTTGTAGAACTGCCTAAATTCCTGCGAGCCATTGAATTTGGATAAAAAAATAAAATTTTAAATTTCACATAATCTGAAAATATACGGACATACTACAAAAATGATTTTAGCGTCGTGCTGTACGTAGTGCTTCGCGTCTACTTCAGTCTGTTTCTTCCGAGCTCTTGTTCTTGACCTTGAGGAAATGCAATAAAAATAAAATTTTCAAATTTCGCGGATTCTCATGATCAGTCAGGCAAAGCGAGTACCTTTTTGCGTCTGTAGCTGTGTAAGCGCATGGCTTTTGGAACATCAAATCGATTGACTTTCGTAGCTCGTGTGGGACCCGCCCAGGGTGCCTTCTTTGGGCCGCCTACCATCGGGCAAGTGTTTTGCACAAGACGCGTTTTTGGTCGTATTGCCCGCCGGCCTGACCCGGGCCCCCCCAATATGGTGGGGGCGAGAGGCATGTATGAGATTTGCGATGTATGAGCGCTCATACATCGTAAAACTCATACATCATACATCGAAGATTTGAGGAGAACGACCTTTCGAACATTGTACATCATACGTCATACATCATACATCGCAAATTCTGCGACGTATGTACCTCGTACATCATACATCATACGTCATACGTCGCAAATTCTGCGATGTACCTCGTACATCATACATCACACATCGCAAATTCTGCGCTTGAGGTACATCATACATCATACATCATACATCGCAAATTCTGCGCTTGAGGTACATCATACATCATACATCATACACCATACATCGCAACTTCTGCGCTTGAGGTACATCATACATCATACATCATACACCATACATGGCACATCATACATGGTACATCATACATGGCACATCATACATGGTACATCATACATGGTAGACCATACATGGCACATCATACATGGCACGTCATACATGGGGTATGGTGTAGTGTGGTCTGGTGGTTTGGTTGGTTGCGTGGTGCTGCTTGGTGCGCTGCTTGCTTGCTGGTTTGCTGTGTATTTCTCTAGGCAATAGAAATAAAATATTGAAACTTCGCGGATTTTGCAAATCAATAAAAATAAAATTTTGAAACTTCGCGGGTTTTGCAAGTCTTTATTTTGAAATTTCGCGGATGCTGGTTTGGTTGGTGGTTTGGTTGTCAAAACGCCGGAACGACAACCGCTCGCTGGAAACGTTTTACGACAAGACCCGCCGACCCCACCCACGCCTAAGGCTGCGTCACGATGAGGGTGAGGCGCGTCGCGGGTGGTAGTGTGGGGGCCAAAAATGTCCTGCATGCGTGTCCTCCACGCGGGCGGCCCCTGGGTGTGTCACACTAGCGGCCTTTCCTGGCGCAGAGTGCACAGCGAACGACTAGGATGGGGCTGGTGCCAGAAGCGTGTGCGCCTGTGCAGGGCTTCAGCACATGACATGGTCGATGCATGCAGGTGAATCGTTCCGACGATTGAAACGACGTGCCGCGATCATGTCTACTCTAGGACAGTGGATTCGATCTGCAGAAAGATGCCGAAACTCAGCACACCAGCAGGGGCGCGACTTCCTCTGTAATAGGAAGTTGGCGCACACCATCAAGGACGGCGTGCTTACCTTTCGAGTATGGTTCCTTCGCAGAATAGTTAAAATAAATAAAGTTCGATGGTGTGCAGATGCTGCGGACATCGCGGTGGCCGGACGGACTAGAGGATACGACGGGAGGAGTGAGCTCCTTTTTTTTTTCAGAAAAAAAAAAAGGGAAATTGATCGGCTTCGTTCTCTTCAGTAATTATTTTTCCAAAATTATCGAAGAAAAAAAGTGTTACAGTTACGCACTGCATGAAAATTCATCGAATTTTTTCTGCTCCGCAGCAAAATTATTCTTGGCGCGCGGGGCAGAGAGTGTTCCGGTGTTGCTCTGTGATGCAGTTGGAGGAAATGGAGTTGACCACTGGCCGTGTAATTTATGGTTTGTTCGAGCTAGCAGAGGAGCCAGCTATTTCAGCGCGTTCCTCCCAGTTGCAGGCGAGGCCCGTCGCTCGCCTTCCACACGGCGCGGCAATCAAGCAGCAGCAGCAGCATCAAGCAGCAGCACCAAACACCAAGCAAGCAGCACCACACATCCAACCAATGCATCATGTATGACGTGCCATGTATGACGTGCCATGTATGATGTGCCATGTATGACGTAACGACGTATGACGTACGATGTAAGCCATGTGCGATACATCAATGCGCAATGTATGAAGCATCAACGTATGATGTATGATGCATCAATGTATGATGTATGTATGAAGCATCAATGTATGATGTATGATACATCAATGTATGATGTATGATGTATGATACATCAATCTACAGTGTATCATACATCGTACATTGATGTATCCAATTTGCAATGTATGATGCATCAATGTACAATGTATCATACATCATACATTGACGTATCCAATTTGCAATGTATGCTACATCAATCATTGGTGTGCGATCAGTGTATGATGTACGATGTATGGGTTGTATGATGTGCGATGTATGATACATTGACAACGTATCATACATCGTACATCATACAACCCATACATCGTACATCATACACTGGACCATGTGCGGTACATTATACATCGCACACGGAAACCGTCGCGCTCTCCTCAAATCTTCGATGTATGATGTATGAGTTTTACGATGTATGAGCGCTCATACATCGCAAATCTCATACATGCCTCTCGCCCCCACCATACCCGGCCCCGCCGGGATTGATTCTACGGGGTAGCTTTTTTTGGCGAGCACAGCGTCGGGCAAGCGACTCGTCGGGGAGGGATTTGAGTTGTTCGGAATTCCAATCTGCGGCAAGGCGGCTCGTTTGGGATTGGGACCCGTCCAGGGCGTCTTTTTTGGGCCGCACACCATCGGGCAAGCGTTTTGCACAGGACGCGTTTTTGGTACCGCCCGTTGGCCGGACCGGGGCGCCGCCGGGATTCACCGGGGCAGCTTTTTGGGCGACCACAGCGTCGGGCAAGCGATTCGTCGGAGACGATTCTGTTCATTGTAATTTGTTGTGGGGTGGCTCGTTTGGGACTCGCCCCGGGCTCCTTCTTTGGATTGCATACCATCGGGCACGTGTTTTGCACAAGACGCGTTTTTGGTAATGCCGGTCGGCTTTGCCCGGGCCCCGCCAGTATTTTTCCCCGGGGCAGCTTATTGGGCGAGCACAGCGTCGGGCAAGCGATTCGCCGGGGGGGATTTTGGTGGTTTGCAATTTGCTCTGGGGCGGGCCGTTTGGGACTCGCTCAGGGTGCCTTCTTTGGGCAGCATACCATCGGGCAAGTGTTTTGCGCAAGACGCAGTTTTGGTATTGCCTGTTGGCTTGGCCCGGGGCCGGGCCCCGCCAGGATTCCCCGAGGCCGCTTATTGGGCGAGCACAGCGTCGGGCGATTCGCCGGGGGGATTTTGGTTGTTTGCAATTCGTTGCGGGGCGGCTCGTTTGGGACTCGCCCGGGGCGCCTTCTTTGGGCCGCATACCCTCGGGCAAGTGTTTTGCACAAGACGCGTTTTTGGTATTGCCTGTTGGCTTGGCCCGGGCCTCGCCAGGATGCCCCGGGGCCGCTTATCGGGCGAGCACAGTGTCGGGCAAGCGATTCGCCGAGGGGGATTTTGGTTGTTTGCAATTTGCGGTGGGGCGGCTCGTTCGGGACTCGCCCAGGGCGCCTTCTTTGGGCCGCATACCATCGGGCAAGTGTTTTGCACAGGACGCGTTTTTGGTATTGCCTGTTCGCTTAGCCCGGGCCCCGCCACGATATCCCGGGGCAGCTTTTTGGGCGAGCACAGCGTCGGGCAAGCGATTCGCCGGGGGGGATGTTGGTTGTTTGCAATTTGCTCTGGGGCGGCTCGTTTAAGACTCGCCCAGGGCGCCTTCTTTGGGCCGCATACCATCGGGCAAGTGTTTTGCACAAGACGCGTTTTTCGTCGTATTGTCCGCCGGCCTGGCCCGCCCGGGCCCCGCCGGGATTCATCGGGGCAGCTCTTTTGGCGAGCACAGCGTCGGGCAAGCGATTCGTCGGAGACGATTTTGCTTGTTCGCAATTTGCGGTGGGGCGGCTCGTTTGGGACTCGCCCAGGGCGCCTTCTTTGGGCCGCCTACCATCGGGCAAGTGTTTTGCACAAGACGCGTTTTTGGTAATGCCGGCCGGCTTGGCCCGGGCCCCGCCGGGATTCCCCGGGGCAGCTTATTGGGCGAGCACAGCGTCGGGCAAGCGATTCGATTCGCCGGGGGGGGATTCCGGTTGTTTGCAATTTGCTCTGGGCGGCTCGTTTGGGACTCGCGCAGGGTGCCTTCTTTCTTTGGGCCGCATACCATCGGGCAAGTGTTTTGCACAAGACGTGTTTTTGGTGATGCAGATCGGCTTGGCCCGGGCCCAGCCGGGATTCCCCGGGGCAGCTTATTGGGCGAGCACAGCGTCGGGCAAGCGATTCGCCGGGGAGAATTTTGGTTGTTTGCAATTTGCTCTGGAGCGGCTCGCTTGGGACTCGCGCAGGGTGCCTTCTTTCTTTGGGCCGCATACCATCGGGCAAGTGTTTTGCACAAGACGCGTTTTTGGTATTGCCTGTTGGCTTGGCCCCGGCCCCGCCGGGATTCCCAGGGGCAGCTTATTGGGCGAGCACAGCGTCAGGCAAGCGATTCGCCGGTGCGGATTTCGGTTGTTTGCAATTTGCTGTGGGGCGGCTCGTTTGGGACTCGCCCAGGGCGCCCTCTTTCTTTGGGCCGCATACAATCGGGCAAGTGTTTTGCACAAGACGCGTTTTTGGTAATGCCGGTCGGCTTGGCCCGGGCCCCGCCGGGATTCCGCGGGGCACGCAGTTTATTGGGCGAGCACAGCGCCGGGCAAGCGATTCGCCGGGGGGGTTCTGGTTGATTGTTTGCAATTTGCTCTGGGGCGGCTCGTTTGGGACTCGCCCGGGGCGCCTTCTTTGGGCCGCATGCCATCGGGCATGTGTTTTGCACAAGACGCGTTTTTGGTATTGCCTGTTGGCTTGGCCCGGGCCCTGCAAGGATTCCCCGGGGCAGCTTATTGGGCGAGCACAGCGTCGGGCAAGCGATTCGACGGGAGGCATTTTCGGCATCGAGAAGAAGCACATGACACAGGCCGCAATCGATCGATCGGCATCTTCTGTCGCACGCTCTTTGGAACGTAATTTATGCTTATGGCTTTTGACGAGTTTCGTTTATATCAATATCTTCGCCTGACTCACTTCCGTTTTCCACTTCCATAAAGCCCGGATCTCAGAGGAAGAGGCAAGGGAGGTTTGGTATCTGGACAAACGATTCCGCGAGCTTCGCCCGCTCGTGTTTCCGAATCTTGTTGCGAAGGAGCTGAAAGACGCACGAGAGCTGGAGAACGAATGGCGCTTGATGCATCGGAATGCACAAATACAAGAAGTTGTGGAGAACTCAGAGCAAGGCGGTGGTGTTGTTCCGGCTGGCGGGGAAGCAAACAGCGGCCCAACACCGTCGCCGGACGACCTACATCCGAAGACCGCAGAAGAAGAAGAGCTCCCTGCGCAAGAGCAAGAAGAACCTTCGCAAGTAGAAGCCGTATCTGGGTTCTCTGCAGCTACACAAGAACCTTCCGCCGCCGCACTCGTGGACTTCGCTCTCTCTTTCTGCAAAGAGGACTTATCCTGGTTGGAGGACCTTCTTTACGCAGAGGAAGCGAAGTTTCGGGGAAAGGGAAAGGTGATCCGGATCTTTCTGTACCGGAAATGCTTGTTTCGCGGGATGTCAGAAGAAAATCAACAGGTGGTCAGGCGGATCAATGCGTTGCTACTGGACGGTGTGGAAGTAGATTCGCCCCCTTCACGACGACAGGGAAAAACTACCACACGTGGACCAGGTGGGGCTGCGTCAGATTATCGCATCTTAAAAGATGTACCAGAAGACCCAACTTCCGACTACAGCGCTGCGAATTCGAACATTGTGGCGAAGAGTGGAAACGTGTGGAACGCAGCGGTGGCACTGGAAAGGAACAAAAATCAGGACATCATGGCGAATGGCAGCAACGGACAAAATAATGGCGCTGATAATCATGATGTGTCAGACGATCAGCAGATAAACCAAAACCAAGGAGGCTTTGTAGAAGAAGACCACACGACACCAGGGCAACTCCGGTGGAACCGGATCTCCTTCAAAGAGTTTGTCGGCTCCTGCGAAGATAATTCCTCTTCTTCCACGACGCGCAACAGCTGCGAAGATCATGTTGAACAAAACAGCCAGCCTTCAGAACTGCCCGTCCCGACTTCCGATTTCGACTTCGCTGAAAATGGGGTCTTCCGGATAGCAGATGTGGTCGAAGACATCAGGTCGGATGAGTGCTCCGCGTATCTCACCCATTTGATGCTTTTTTCGGTCCACAAATCCTTCGCAAAATCCGCCACTTTCTTCCTCCACGCGGACGCGGTAAACCACGTGCTCCCTTCGGTGCAGTTGTTGTCACAATTACTTCAGGCGTTCACGGTTGAACAGTCTTGGAACGACTTTAATGCTGTGCGGGTGGTGGCGGACAAGGATTTCACAGCGGCGTCGTCGGAGATCATTTTGGAAGAAGCGGGCGAAGCCCTACCTTCTGACGTTCTTCCGGCTGGTAGGAAAAATTCCCATGAAGCCAATAGAAACCGGGACGAGCAGCATCGTGCCTTCTGGCAAACGAAACTCGTGGACGTGAAGCCTGAACATTGGATCGCAGTCACCACTGAGACGCAAGACTTCGGCTCCACAGCGGAAGATAACCAGGCTGTCGCTGCGGATGCAATCAGCACAGTTGTCGAGGGCGGGCGGAGCAGTGGCACTCGAGCACATGAAGATGATACTGGTCTAAAAACTTCTCCACAACTAACAATTGGTGCCATCGTTCCCGTGCTCTACTTGACGCAGAACTTCATCTCCTACATCGACTCCGAACGGCTTCTGGAAGACGGGATTTGGCAGCGGTTTTTCACGCAGCTCTTCCACAGCTCGGTGCCTCCCGACGAGAATGGGCTGAAATTCTACTGCTGTGCGCACTTCGTCGCGCCAACCGCGGCGCTGTTGCGGAGGAGTGCGGCGTTTTACGCGGATTTCTGGCGGTACATGACGAGTTACGAGAGTTACACAGACATGCTGTCCGTGTCTTTGGAGAAGAGGTTTTGGACAACATCAAGCAGAAATAAAATGCCAAGCACAACATCAAGATCTTCACCAGCCGCCAAGGGGACGATAAAAGAAGCGCTGATCTTCCAAAACGACGAAACTTCCGGCAAAGCCAGCTCTGCAGTTCCTCGCCCAAGTGCCAGTTTGCGGCTGCGCAAGGATGGAGAAGTAGCCGTCCCGGTCGCGACCTGGTACGATCGGGTGTGTCGCTACCCATGCCAACATTTGATGAACTTCTGGCCTCTGATGTTTGGCGATGACGTATCGCAAACGCAGCGCTTCTACCACCCAAATTTACCTTACTTTGTGCAAATCAGAGGCATTGACATGAAAGCGTACTATCGGTATTTGGAGAGGAATGCTCATGGTGTAGTGTCAACTTCTTCTTCTGCGCAACAAGAGTAGAAATCTTCTGCATGCAAGACACGTCAGGCACTATGATTACTTTAGGCCAAATGAAAAAAATCAGAAGCAGAAGACTTAAGTTAGAATAGTAGCTCCTCAAAGAACGCGTCGGTTCCCGCGCAGTCCCCTGCTGTGTTCATTCTATCGGGGAACGAAGGGATTGTCTATCGCTACTATAGTCGATGCTGAATTGAGAGTCGGAAAATGGCGATCTAGAAGTGCGCGTGTGACGCGAGAGTCCTTACGAGTGAGCGACGGGGGAGAGATGTACTTGTTGCTAATCGAGATGCAAATGCAAAAACAAACGATGATGAAAAACGGAAGAAAGGACAACCAATCGAAGTCGGTACAAGCATTGATTTCATAAGAATTTGGTCTTTATCTGAGAGAGGTGGAGGAGATAAGGACTTGTAATTGTTCTCGCAGTATGTTGGTACCAAACCATGCAATATTTCTATTTTGCATCGAAGCCACAGCATGACACATCATTCCACGCGTGACTATAAAACAATGAAACAAAATCGGTATAACTTTTCTGATTGAGCGCATATGGATGCGAAGAAGAAACACGGTCACTTTACACCTTTACGCCGGCAAGAAGCATATTTCTGAACGTTTCTCTGCATGTTCGCGCTGAAGTGCGTACTTGTTTAAAGCACGGCGGCGCTCGAACATTTTTTGACTACATACGACCCTTTGTAATTGCATGATGCAAGCACAAAACGACCTTTCATCAAACTACTCTACGTATAGTAGACCTTTGAAACAAGGTGGTGGCGGTGAGCACACGACCGGGAGCCAACAACCGCTCTCCTCACCTGAAGTTTTGAAAATTATCAACTACCAAAAAGAAATCACTACAGAATCAAATAAGCCAAAGACCATGGCGAGTAAAAGCAAGAGCCCGGTCCCGGGCACCTGGGCCTACTTCTTCACGGGCGTGGGTGTCTGCAGCGAGGATTTCTCGGAGGACGTTGCTTTCCTGGAGGACACGCCGACCTGGAAATGGTGGCAGCCGTATTTGAAGCACGCTGTGAGCGACACGGAGCGGGAGGTTTTGTTTCTCGTCGCGCTCCAAACCTCCCTGTATGACTTGTGGACCAGTGAGGAGTGTTGGGATTTGCTACCGAAGAAGGATAATCCCCTCTCTGCCGGCGTCGCGGCGCACTCGCTCGGTGAACTGGCCGCGTTCTACGCGAGCGGAATCCTCCCGGAATTGGAAGATGTCCGGCAGATCGCTCAGTGGATTGCGGATTCCATGAAGGCGCACACCAACGGCTGGATGGCGGGCGGTTTTTTCGACAAGAACGACTTTTCGTTGGTTACCAAAAGCAACCGAAACTTCCACCTCGCGTCAACGAACTTCCCGCACGCAACCGACCCCAATTTGGTGCACAAAACGTTCTGCGGCCAGGGCAATGATAACAGCTACGAGAAGTTTCAGAGCGAGTACGCAGAGAAAAACCCGAAAAAACTAAAAGTTCGCCACTGCTGGCACCATCCGGATTGCGCGAAGTCCGCCCCGGTGAAGTTCCCGACGCTGAAAAACATCAGATCCGGCTCGTTTTACTCCTCTTCCGCGATGAAAAAAATCAGCTATGATGGGGTCAACGACGGGACCGTGCAGTTCCAGATCGAGACCTACTGGCGCCACTGGTTGATTCACCCGGTGGACGTGTCTGTCCTGCTGGACACGGTGGCGGATAGCTGTGACAAAATCCTCGAAGTCGGCGCGCACCCGACGCTGGCGTCGTTTTTCCAAGCGAGCAGTTCCTCTAAAGAGAAGTCGAAAATCGTCCCGTGTATGAGTCGGGTAGAGACGTGCTCCACCTTTTTCATCCTGCAGCAGAGGCACAAAATCACCGACGAAGATCTGTTTTTTGACAAGTTGTTGGCCGAGTTCGGGCACGCGGACTTGAACCCGGAAATGAACTGGCTCTCCCAGGGGTTAACCAGCTTGTCGTTAACGCAGCTCGCGACCGGGCTGAAGAAGTACTTCCCGAAACTGCAGCCGAACGACTTCTACAGCTACCTGACGCTCGACGACCTGTGTCACAAGTACCGTTTGAAGGGCGTGACCGACTGCGTCGAAGAAGCGAACTCCGGGTGCTACAACGCCACCTCCTGCTCGGTCTTGGTCTCCGGTATCGGGTGTTGGCTCCCCGGGAAGATTTCTTCCGCGAAGGAAGCGCTCCAATTCTTCGAGAAGAACGGCGACGCCGTGACGCACGCAAACCCGAAGGGGTTCAGCGACCTGCAGTGCGGGTACATGGAACCGTTCCCGTTTGACTACTCGAAATTCCAAATGCGAGTGAACGAGGCGAAAAACCTGGATCCCCAACAACAACTCGCGCTGTTCACCGCGGACCGGGCGGTGAAGGACAGCAAGATCGATCCGAAATTACTGCAGGGACCGCGAACGGGCGTGTACTTCGGGGTTTGGAACCAGGACTTCTTGGGCAACCGGGACTCGGCCTACGACGTGGTCGGCTCCAATCCGTCGATTATCTCCGCGCGGATCTCCTCCCACTTCGACTGCCGCGGGCCGTCCGTCGTGCTCAACACCGCGTGTGCGAGTTCGTTGGAGTGCATGTGCCGGGCGGTGGACGACTTCCGATTGGGGAAGATCGATTACGCGATCGTCGGTGGCGTGAACGTGATCTACGACCCGGAGTTCACGCAGCGCATGAAGCGCGGCGGCTTCCTGGGCGACAGCCAGCGGTGCCGGACCTTTGACGACCAGGCGGACGGGTATGTGCGCTCGGAGGGGTGTGTGGTGTTCGTCTTGACACGAGGGGGACGATCCACCGTAGACTTGCTGGACAAGTCCCAGTTCTACGGGCAGATTTTAGGAGGGGCCTCGAACCACAACGGGCACTCACCCTTGATCACGGTGCCCTCCGCGAAGGCGCAGTCGGAGTTGTTGCTGGCGGCGTTCGGCAACGCGGGCTTGAAGTTCGAAGATCTGGACTACTTGGAGTGTCACGGCACGGGGACGAGAATCGGCGACCCCATCGAACTGGACGGGATCAAAAGGGCTTTTTCCATCGCAGAACAGGAGAGAACAACCCCGCTGTATCTCGGTTCCGCCAAGGCCAACGTCGGGCACTTGGAGTCCGCGGCCGGGGTCACCGGGGTCTTGCGGGCGTTGCTGACGTTACAGAACCAAACGGTGTACGGGAACCCGCTGCTGAACGTCTTAAACCCGGGGTTGAAGTGCCCGGACTGGATCAAAATCCCGTCGAGCAAGGCGGAGAAAGCGAAGATCAAGAATGTGGGGGTTAGCTCCTTCGGGTTCGGCGGCAGCAACGCGCACGTCCTGCTCGGGTTCGCGGGGGAGAAAAAAGTTTCCTTCGGCGAGGAGCTACCTTTGATGTCCGAGCAAACGCCGAACTCGACGATCTTGTGGATTACGAAGAAACTCCCGGCTCTGGCGATTCCGGATCCAGACCGGTCCCGCGCACCCAGTGACTCGGGTGTGACCACGGAATCGTATGTGGTGTTGAGCAATGGGGAAAATTCCGATCCGGACAGAGTGATCCAGACTGGAACGGGCATCACAACCCGCTCGAGTTCCTCCGCTTCTTGTACAAACGAAGACATTATCCCCTGCAAAAGTACTTTCGTGGACGTAGATGTTTGTGCAGCCTTGCATCCAGCAGACTTAAAGAACAAATTCTAATCCCATCCGCACTACAAATTCAACTGGTATTAAAACGAGGTAAGATCGGATACCCACTCTGACTTTTTTCCTGCCAAAATTTGATGTGATGCAAGTTTTACGTATCTATGTACGATAGTACTTTTGCGATGCATAGCCATCCCGATGGAGCACCGCGACATCCCCAGCTTCAACCCAGCGCCGCGGATGAAAACCGTGGCGAGCACCATGTCCATGGCGTCGGAGCCGGAGAAGTTGTCCTCCCGACGGGTCCACCGGAAATTGTTCGAGTTGATCCGGATCATGGGGGTAGACACCGATGACGAGTTCCGGAGTCTTCAGGAGTTGGGGCTGGACTCGTTGTCCATCACGGATTTGTTCCTGCAACTCGACCGCACGTTTGGCACCAACATGAACGACGGCAACTTTCTGATCGAGGGCGCGAACGTGGACAAATTGGCGAAGTTTATCATCCAAACCACCGGGCACGGCGAAGAAGACGAACCCGCGGCGTCCTCGCCCGCTCTGCCGGCGCGAGTCACGCAGCAGGGGTCTGTGATGCCCAGTAAAACACCGCGCGTTTCCCCCTCCGCGGCCGGCGACGCCGCCTTCCAGCAAACTCTGAACGCGTGGAGCAACGCCGCGCCGGGAACAACGGCCACCACTAGCGCAGCAAATAAAACCGCTGCTCCTGCTGCTTGCAAAGCTGACCCGGAGCAGATTTTCGAGTGCGAGCCGGTCGAGAAGCCGAAGCCCGCGCCGGCGCCGAAGCCCGCCGCCGGGAAGCCGAAGCAGCTCGGGTTCGAGGATTTAGAATCCTTCGACTACTACCTCACCCGCCCCTTCGCCGGCAAGAAGCGGGGTATTCTCACGACCCACGTCGGCTCCCTACCGCGGTCGTTCGGCGCAACCAGCTTCGACCACATTTACCAGCAGATCGACATCGGCCTGGACATCATCAACGACGGCGAGGTGCACCGGGCGAGCTACGCCGACGAGGTCTTGTCGCGCTTAAACGGGTTCGCCTTCCTCGGCGCGGGGGACGCGGCGTCGGTTGCCTACACCCCGCACGACGTCGCCGAGTGTCCCAACTGCGCGCGGCGGTTCATCGGGAAGTCGAGCTTGATCACGTTGAACACCCGGTTCCCCGCGTTGAACCCCTCCTGCGTCGGGGAGGTGTCCTACAAAAAATCCACCAACGACCTGAAAAAGTACCTGGACAACTACGAAGACGCGCTGCGCCGGAACGGCACCGAACCCTCCTCCGCCTTCTACTCCTGCCCCAGTCCGGGAACCCTGGCGCTTTTCTTCAAGAACACCCACTACAAAACCGACGAGGAGTACCTCTCCGCGTTGGCGAACGCCCTGGCCGTGGAGTACAAAGAAGTTGTGTCCCGCGGTTTCACGGTCCAGGTCGACTGCCCGGATCTGGCTATGGGCAGGCACACGCAGTTCCAGAAGATGTCGGACCGCGAGTTTGTCGAGGTACAAAAAGGGTTGATCAAGGCTTTGAACCAGGCAGTGGCGGGATTGCCGAAGGAGAAAGTGTATCCTGTGCAAAAGTATCGTACTTGTACTAATTGCAAATATGCATGACAAATATTTTTCCTAGGGCAAAACCGCATTACAAATTCCACTTTCGTTCTTGCCCTAATTTGTCATGCATTTTATACTAGTACGATACTTTTGCAATGCATAAAGTGCGGGTGCACATTTGCTGGGGAAATTACGGGTTTTCGCACCACCGCGACATCCCGCTGGAAAAAATCGTGCAGAATCTGAACGACATCCACTGCAACGACCTGCTGATCGAGAACGCGAACCCGAGACACCAGCACGAAATCGAAATTTTGCCGAAGATTCGGAACGCCGTGATCACGATTGGGTGCGTGGATACCAGCAGTCCGCACGTCGAGTCGGCGCTATCCTGAGTAAAAACGTTCCCACCCCAGAGTTGTCATGCAAATCTGCATGCTGAAAATGTTTCTCATGCGGAGACCCATGAGAAGCAGTCCCTCTTGGTGTTTTGCGGTTTGTGATGCTCACATCCGAATGGTATGCTAGATCTGTGATGCTGCTTCACTAGCAAAACACGACTACACTGCGACCCCAAATTTGTCATGCGTAACAGGCGAAGCTGGTTGATTTGTGTAGCAGATTTGTCATCTTCACTCTGGGGTGGGGACGTTTTTGCTCACCATAGGCGCAGCTCATTGCACAGAGGATTTGCAAGCTCGCCCAGGTGGTCGGACCGGACCGGGTGAAAGCGGGGACGGACTGCGGGTTCGCGACGACCAGTGAGTCCCACAGCAACACCGAGATTGTGGTGATGAAGCTCCGAGCGCTGGTGATGGGAGCCCGGATGGCCTCGTCGATTCTGATGAACGGTATAAATTTGTCAACGCACAACAACTGCATGAGCATTTGGTCCTCAACCCCCAGCAAGATTGTTAAGAAGCTGCTCAAGGACGCAGAAGCACGAGCCTCTCGTCCATGTTGTTCAGCTCGTTGCGCTTTCTGCTCGCGCCGCCGCGCCTGCCCGCTTGCCCAAAGAACCGCGCTGCGGCCCACCGCTGTACTACTGCATGCAATTGCAATGCTGAGTCGTGCATTGAATATTTTGCAGCGCACATATATGAATATGTTTTTCTTTCTGCTGAAGCTAGCTGCTGTTCGGTAAGGCTACTACTTCTGAACCTGAAGAATTTTTCTTCAGAACTCTCTTTGTTTCGCTTTCGCGATGCACGAGACCCCACGAAAAGCACACGGAATTTCACCAAATACAGGTGTTTCCCTCTTCCAACCCCGTGCCAAGGCCCGTTTGTACTGGTTCGGGGAGAAACCTATGCATTGCAAAAGCATCGTACTAGTATAAATCGCAATGCAATTTTTTTCAGATGGAAAAATGGAGTTTGTAATGCTGATTTGGCTAAGAAACAAGATTTGTCACGCATGTTTGCAATTAGTACGAGTGCGATACTTTTGCACAGGATAAAACCCCTGCGAAACCTCCCCCAGCTGGAAATCCGTCACTATCCAGGAAAAAATCTGTGTAAGTGTAACCTTGTAGGGAAAACAGCATCACAAGTTTGTTTTGCATTACAGCTAATACAGGGAAAACCTGTCATGCGCAGCTAGCACGTGGAAACACGCATGAAAGTTGCCTATGACGCACAACATCCAGCATGACAAGCGTATACACTTTTGCATTTCATGCCTCGTCACAGACTTACACTTACGCAGTTTTTTTCTTGCATAGTCACGTCCCCGACTGGATTATGCAGGAGGACGTCGAGGCGGTCGCGCGACACATGAAATCCTACACGGAGCTCCCGGTGTTTTTCATCGTCGTCGGAAAATCTACCAACTTCTCGGGCGGGCAGAACATGTACGGACAACTCGATTTCTACGAGATGCAGATGCGCGTCTTATCAAAAGGAAAAATCTCCCCTGCCCATATCGAAAAGATATGTTTCCGAAAATTTGCGTTGCTGATTTGTGACCACAAATCGGGTCTGTCTTGCAAGCAGGCACACTCAGGCTGTCCGCCACCTTATGCAGGCGATTTGTCATGCTGTATGGCCTACAGGGTAGCGTAGCCGTCTACTATGCTAGGCGCCTACACCAAAAGGCCCCCGCCTAGGCTCAGGATCTGCGCGCATTCCTCTACTGCAACACAAATGTGATTTGTGTATCCAAATCCAGCATCAGAAACTTCGTTTTGATATAGGGAGGGGGGATTTTTCCTTTTGATGCGTCTTGCTGAAAAACCTGGAGCACACGCCCGCGTACCCCGAGCAGATCCTCCGGCTCCCCACGAACCAAACGGTATGCATTGCAAAAGTATCGTACTCGTGCGGTGTAAATCTAATATGCAGCACAGCATTACAGATGTCAATTCCTGTCTGATTTAGCATTACAAATTGCACCAGACCATGTTTGTTCACATGTTTCGGGAATTTGTAATGCTATTCTTACTGTACTACTACTACCTAGTATGGTACTTTTGCTATGCATATACGGTTGTGTTCGACAAAATCCGGTCGGTGGTGTACCACGGCACGGTGTTGGACCCGATGAGTTTGCACATCGAGGACCGGTATCTGGAGAAGGCGGAAGCCGACCTGAAGGACTTCTACGAGGTGGTCGTCATCGGCGCTGGGTTAACCGGGTTGCATGTTGCGTCCGAAATGAAGAAGAAGGGGAAGGACTTTGCGCTCCTCGAGAAAAACGACCACATCGGCGGGATTTGGAAGTACTTCGCCAACGAACGGTCGCAGGTGAACACAAGCGAAGCCGCGTACCGGTTGGTGGACAAGGTGAACACGAACAAAGATCACTCCACCACAAGGGAAATTCTCACCGATGCGATCCACGTGGCGACGTCGCTGGAAAACCGGTTGTTTTTGAAGGCCCCGGTGACCTACGTGAACAAAAACGGCCAGAAGATCTACGAGATCCAAATCGGGGACGTCCACAACGGCACGGGGAAGACCATCCGCGCCGGTGGTGTGATCATGGCGATCAACGACCGCGTCGGGATCCCGAGACAGGTCAAGTGGAAAGACGAGGAAAAGTTCCGCGGGGAAATCCGGTCCGGGTTTAGCAACGACGCGGCAGATTTGGACTGGATCGGGAAAAAGGTGGTGATCGTCGGCATGGGCGCGTTTGCCACGGAAAATCTCAGAACCGCGTTGGAGTGCGGGGCCAGTTCCGTTACGATCTTAGCCAGGAGGCACGGAACGGTAAAATTTTTGAGATGACTTCATCTTGATGCTAAGTACTTGTCGAGATTTTTCAACCTGGGTTTGGAATTCTCAACCTGGGTTGAAATTTTTTTTCCGATAACTGAAAGAACTTTTTGAACGCTGGTTGAGAATCTTCAACCCAGGTTGAAGTTTGTGCACAGATATTTTCGACACCGGGTGAAATTTGTGGTGCAGAGAAGTCAATTTGTTAACGGTTGAAACTTCTGTAAAGAAATCAATTTTTCAACCAAGGTCGAAACTTTTCAACCAAGTTTGAAACTTCTTGCCTTGGCTGGCAAGCCAAAACCCAGACAAGCCAAGGCAGGCCAAGAATCCGGCCTGAAAATTTTCAACTCAGGGCAAAATTTTCTTACAGATGAAGAATTTTCCAACACGGGTTAAAATTTTTCACTTCAGGATGAAATTTGTCTTGTGCCGGACCTCTCTACTGCGCAAGTTAGAATAAGCGACTTTTTCACCACTCAGGTTTGCCCGAAGTACATCGATTACGTGAATTTCGTGAACAAAACTTCTGCGGATGGGCTCCAACACGACTCGGTGACCAACACGAAGAACATGATGGTCTGGCGAAATTTGTACGAGAAGACAGGTATTGTCTTGGTTTCGCGGAGGTAGTTTCATGCATATTAATATCGGGCATCAACGTCATACGCTGAGATGAAAATGTAAATGTAGATTATGGCGTTCCATATCCATGCAGATACTTAGTTACAGACTGATGAACGTTTTAACTGTATCCTCTGAAGAAAAATTGCTATGCAAACAACTACGACGTCCCAAGAATTTTTTTTTCCATAGGTGCCAAGATGCCCGAGTGCTGGATGGGAGCGATTAAGCACTACGGGCACACGATTTCAGTATCTGACATTTGGTTCATCGGGCACCACCTGCGCATCCTCGACTCCCTCGCCGACGAGATCGGCCACTTCACGGAAGACGGGATTGTGACGAAAGATAGCGGCACCTTCCTCGAGGCGGACATTGTGATCCGGTGCACCGGGTTCGAACGGAACGCGCAGTTGATCCCGCTGTTGACGCCCTACAAGACCGTGAACAGTGTCAACTACTTGGACGAGAACTTCATGTACTTGGCTGACGCGCTCATCGACGACAACGTCTTCAATTCCGTCTTCGGCTCCTCCGTGATGGAGATGGCGAAAATTTTCACCACCATCTACCTCTACTTCTTCGACAACCGCCAGGAGTACAGCAAGTTAGCGCACAAGCTCAAGTCCGTCGCGGTCACGGACCGAAAATGGTCGGACTACATTGCTATCCAATGCAAATATTTATGTCTCCTGGGTCTGGACGAATGCGAGATCATTATTTGTTTGTCTTGCAGTTTCCTCAAGCTCTACCTCTAGCTCTAGCTCCACATGATCAAGGTCTGGAGCCTGGGGCTTAACATGATCTTGATCACAGGTAGTTCTGGAGCCCCTTTTTTGATGGGCAGTAAGTGGGCATGTTTTGCAAGTCATGCAACGCGGATCATTTTCGTGTGACGAGGAGCCACCACACGCACGACGACGAGTTCATCACTCTTTATTTCCAGAGGACTCAGAGTAGAACAAGATTATATTTGCAATGCATACTTGCGGGACTCGACGTGTGCTTCGCGGAGTGCACCGGCATCCAGGCGCTGATGCAGCAGAAGATCGAGGAAAGGAGGCACAACTTCCTGAAGGCACACACCGTCGAGGAATACATCCGGGAGAACCGCCGGGAGTGGAACGAGCTGCACCACATTTTGGGGGTCTGGTCAGAACAAACCAGTGTGTTGGCCTACCCCAAGTGGACCGCGAGCCAGATGGGCGCCACGGCGGCCAGTGCGGCACCCGGGTCGACGTCCAAGTGATAGATAAAGTAACAGCTGTGCTACTTCTCTTTCTTGAAGACCAAGTAGTAGACCTTCTGTATTTAAAGATATCGGTCTACTTCACCGCACGCGCGCGACGACGTCAGCATCTTCTTCGATATGGCTTTGTTCGCGACGTGATGTGGTTTTTTAAATTTTTTTAGGTTGATGAAATCAATGTGGTGCAAGCGCTGGAGCAACATAGTCAAAGTGTAGTGGTTTCTCGCGACCAAACGTATTTTCCGGTGTGCTGTCGAAGTCAATGACAATGTCACTGTGGTGTTGTGGACTGGAACTGATGTCCTAAAACTCGTGACGCAGTACAAAAGGGAAATAAGTGAAAAATTTCTCGATAAAAAGTAGAACCAGAAATATTAAACTTGTTGACATACAAGAGCGAGCCTGTTGCGTACGACCTGAATGGTTTGACGACCACGAAGATGTTGCCACACTTTAAACCGAGGGGACGGGGGAACGCCAGTATTAGAATTTCGGAAAAACTACAGCATGTCAATGCGGGACAAGAAGAGTGGTGCTTACAGCTTCGAGTGGCACAGCAGCAGTACACCTGCACGAAATCGACACTAGAAGTTCGAATGATATCACCGATACACACATGACGAGCATTCTATTGGGAAAACAAATAACCTCGAGAACTGAGTTTGACACAACTTACCAAAAATGTACCTCTACATTACAATCGGATAAGTAGAGCTGAGCAGCACCTCCAATGTGCGACGCTTCAGCGACCAGCAATCTGTGATCGTCCGAAGTCATTTTGACTTTCTGACGTTCTGACGTTTTCATCTTCGCGTTTCTAGTGCTAAATCAGCACAAAAACCGAAGTACGACCGTTTCTGGCTCTGCAACTGAAAATTGTTTATTTCCTCCAGTGCGACATCGCTACTTACGACTCATTCTTTTTATCCTAGGTCACTAGTAGTTTTTTCCTTGTACAATGACCACAACGCGACTGCAGTATGTTCATCGTTCCCTCACGCGGAATTGGGTTTCTACAGTATCAGAATTTTCATCGCAGACTTCTCTATAGCAAGCACTAGCTTATTCGGTTTCCACATGATGCTGCTATAGATTGAACAATTCAAGTTGAATTTCAAGCCGTGACGACGAATGCAACTGTACTAATCTTTCTCTTTGCAGGAGCAGGCGGCAATTATCATGAAACGCAAGAACGACCTAACGACCCTACGCCTACGACCTAGAACTGGCGACCTTCAGCTCCTCTACCTAGCTTTCACTACTACACGCTTGTACTTCTTGTAACAACTACGCAAGAACTTCTTGTTCTACCAAGAGCAAAAGGCATCTACTCCCGAAGTTACCAAGATTCATCTACCTGTGATTTTTACCACGCACAAGTTTGCTTCTCAGGACAAGGAGGACAAGCCGTCTGTCATCTCAATCAGCCGGAACATTTTCGCAAGCCAAGAATGCATGTTTGTGACTGGTTGTTTTGGACGATGATAGATGGATCCTCTATTTCCTGTCAAGCAATAAAAACTGTAACTGTTGAGCAACTTAATATTTATTCGGATGAATCGATTGTGTGCAGAAGTCGAATCTTATTTGGGTTTCAACATTCGCATCTAAAATCTTCATCCACCGCGAGCAAAACTTAAGAGCGACGATCTTGAACAACTTCAAGGTTCTTTTTAGCCCTAGCAAGATGAAGCACAAGAACAGTAAGAATTGCGGAGAAAAAAACATGATGAGTCTGCCACCAATGTGGACATATCAAAAATGGTAGCTGCACCTCTGTCAATTTAGAAAGTGTTCGGCCGTGTGCCTCATTTCTGGAGTTAAGCCCTGTTCAGCTTCACATCATATGTTTCTCGTTATTGTTGTTTCTTTTCTTCTATTTCAACATTGCATGAACCCAGGCCGGGAGAGCATGGTGGCCGCGAACCAAATAGGGCCTGCTCAAGAACATCCGAGTTCTGCTTTGTGGTAGTCGCCTTCTTTCAACAGGTAGAGCAGTGAAGTGTTTATTTTTGATAAGTGTTGCCGCGTGCGGCTGCTGACCGATAACTTTAATTCTTCATTCAGCGACGATCAACTTCAGTGGATAACATTGCGACGCGTTATTCTTGTATGTCGTCCGAGGCAGCTTGATATTGATTTCTTGATCATCTCTCTCACATTCCATTGTCATAGTTCCAAATAACTAACAAAGACAAAGGACTGCCTTGATCGAAATCTATGGCGAGACATCACCACAGGTGCAGCAACAGGATCAGCAAAAACAACGAGCAGCAGCAATACATCTTCAACTCTCTCCTTTCAGGCAAACAACAATAACGAAAGACTACCAATCCATGCAATCGTGAGACTTAGAGGACGGAAGAGGATAATCTAAGGGGACTACCTCGAATAGATTTACATCATCAACTAACAAAGACGAGCTGCTTGCATTTCTTGTGTCATCTCTGTGTGTCCCTTGATAGCATCTGAAATTGATAAACGCAAAAAGAAAAAGGATGGCAAGTGTTGACCAAGTTGTATCAAAGGAAAAAAGTTCGTCGTTATCATTCATTTAAGATGGGACTTCCATCCCAGTGTTTCTGCAATCCAATGCCAAGGTATGAAAAGTTGTGGTGGACAGTTTATCATGCAAAGCCTGAAACTTAGTGACTGGAAGTGACAGACTGTGATTGTGACAAGCTTTTTTCTCTGCATCAGTTGCGATGAAATTATATTGCGACATCACGCTACCAAATACAAATATGTCTGGGTCTGGAAGAAAGCAAATTGATATTTGTCATGCAATTTTTGGATCTGGAAGATGCCGAGCATGGCAAGTTCTGCGGAACAGACTTTTCCATACCTAGCCTGCGTGAGAGGTGCGAGCGCTGGCGTTTCAAGACAAAAACGTGCATCTTCTGCTGAATTTGACTACGTCGCAACCCAGTTTTTATTGCCCGATCATGACCTAGAATCAACATCGCAAGTTTGCATTTGCATTTGCTGACCCAGACGTATTAATTTGCAATGCATAGACGCACGACAGTGCGCGTTGTGCAACAATAAAACAGTTGGAGTATTGGGAGTTGAAGGACATGCTCCAAGAAGAATTCGGGGAAGCAGGGATTACTTTTGTTGGGAAAAAGCTCGGGAGATCGTGGTATAGATATAGTTTTTTGGATTCCTGTTCGTTGTTGTTTTAGTTTTCTAGTTCGCGGAGAGGTTGTTGCCTGAAGATTGTGACTAATTGCTAGCGCCTCATTTATGAGTACGCTGCCCCCCCTGGTCGCGTTGAACTCTGCTCGGGGTGCGGCTTGAGGTTTTCCTTAAAACCCAATGTCTTCACGTACAACAAGCAGAAATGAGGCGCGGCCGGGCAGCCTTACATTAACATTAGTGCTTCCATTTTCCAAACCTTTTTCAAAATGTAATTTCAAACTTCAAAAGCTTCACGTTGGAAGTGAACACGAGATGGCTGATATGAATTCGAAAGCAGTTATCGTGACTACAAGTTTTCTAGCAACGTACTTCTATTTCGGCTTTATCGCTGGCAACAGCTTGCGGGCAGTAGCCTGTGTTTGATGCAAGATGTTATTGTTAAGGCCACAGCATAGAAGAAGACAGCTCGTCTCTCCAGCATCTGTCATGCGTTGATTTATTTCTTCACATCCTGTTCCTAGCAATGAAGACGCGGGAAGATGATCTTCAGCAACTGCTTTCGGTTTCATGCCCGACCCTGATGGAAGTCGGTGGCTATCTGCAATCGCGGTGGGGCGTGATGGTGCGGCGGGCGGTAGGAGGGTATGCGTACTAGGATGATGATGATGACGCGGCGGGCCATTGGTTTCGTGGAAAATTCTGCGGGGCCCTTTGGCCGGTCGTCCGCTCTGTGCATGCTCGTGACTTCTCGAATTTGGCCCCCGGGCTTTGGTTTCGCAAGGATGTGCAAGAAGTTGGCGACTTTGAGGAAGTTCCGCGGCTGCCGCGAAGTGAAGCAAAAGCGTGCGCGAGGTCGCTCGCTTTCCCGGAATGCCCAAAGGGCTGCCGCCCTGCGCGGCTCCTTTGCAGGTCTTTTGTGTTCGCGCGTTTGGTTGGGACCCACCGGGCCGCCGTGTTTGTCTGCTCGGTAGTTTGTCCTGTTGCCCTTTTTGGGCCTTGGGCATTAATTTGGTCCGAGCTCGTTTGTTCTTTCTGTTCTAGTTCTCCCCCGGTTGCCTGTGTGTGCCGCCAGTTGCAAGCCCAGGGCCATGAATCTAAGAGAGAAAGCGATCGAAGCCGGTGGCGGCCGACGCCTTCGGGCGGGCGCGCGGAGCTTCTCCGGGGATCTGTCAATGAACTGCCAAAGAGAGAAGCAAGGCGCGCAAGCGGTAGCATTCTAGTGCAAAAACATGGTCGCGCGCCCCGGTCCTTTGACCCTCCGGGGCTTGTTGTTTCCCGTTGCCTGTTTGTGCTCCGGAGCCCTTTTTGCTAGTTTCGATCGCGACCCGGGAAACCAACCTGGTCCGCTGGCGGCAGCAACCGACCGAAGCCAGGGCACGCGCCGAGGCGGGGTGGCAGGGTAGGCCCGTTTGGCCATGTGGTGTGGCGCGCGTTCGCGTATTAGCATGGTCCGTGTGGCGGCGCAACCAGTCAGAAGCAGCAACGAACAAACCAGAGCCGCTGGACACCCATGCGCAGAAGCCGGCCCCGGTGTGAGTCAGTCCATTGGGGCGGAGGCGAAGAGCGGTGGCGGCATATCGGCAAACACTGGGCCCACGAAATGCGTGGCAAAGAAAGGGGCAGCCCCCGCTCTGGTCGCGCCCGCCCGTCGGGCTAGCGGGGGGCCGGGCATACATTGAACGGGCGCAGCTGGTGGCCTCGGTGGGGGGGGGCGCACGGGTGTCGCTATATTTGTCAGCGCCGCGCGGCCGCGCGCGCCCGCGCACTGACTGATGCTTGCAGAACGAAATGGAAACGCCGGGCGCCAGGCGGCAGCGCATGGCAGGCGCGCCGCCCGCGCCCGCGACGAGATAAGACAGACTCCAGCAAACAAGGTCCGCGGCTGTGTGTGGGAGGATTCGTAACGCCCCACGGCGGGCGCGCCCCGCGGCAAAAACTAGCGTCGGGGGGCCCGGGCGCTGCTATATTTTGCAACCATGCCAGAGGCATGGCCTTCTCCCTGGCGTTAGTGGTGCGCATGCATTGCTTTGGGGCAGGGGGGTTAGAGTCCTACCCCCAAACGCGGCGCCCAGCATTTGTTTTTGCGGTGGCGCCGTAAGTATTTTCTGTGCGGTGCCGGCGCTGTGCAAGGTAGCAAGCCCCGCCCGGGGGCCCGGATCCACCCAGCCACCCGGCGACCGGAGGCAGGCCGGGGGGGCGGTCGCTGCTTGGGTTGCCGAGGGTGCTGCGCCCAGCCGCGGTCTTTTTGGCTCGCCCTTTATTGTGTCGCCATTTCTGCGCCGAAGTTGTGGTGAAATTGGAAGGAGCCGAAGGCCAGCGTCTAGGTTAGGTAGCCACCTGGCGCAAGGGGCGGGCCGGCGCATGGTCGTCGCCAAGGGCGCGACGGCCAGCCCCGACACTTTCTGGACCGTTTCCCTGGTTATGCCGCACTCACTCTCTGCGCCACGATTTTTTTTTGGGCTGACGCGGCTTCGCCCTCGTTGCGTGTTTTTCGTTTGCATGGACGGGCAGCCGTTTTCTGTCCTTCCTTACTCGTATCCGCAGCCGTTCCACCCTAATACGTCAGCCTCGGTCGTGTGCAGTGAGTGTCGCATCTTGACTGCTCCATCGTGTTGGTCTTCTGTTTCTTGGCTTCGTACTCGTTCCATTTTGAATGTCTCGTGCAAACACTCATTCATCGTAAAGCGTTGCAATTGGCCTGCCGTCTCGTCATTCTTTGAAAGCCCGTTCGCAAACCGTAGCGTCCTCAGTTCTAAATTTCATTTCCACCTTCCCAGCATGACAGACTGCAGGCTACCCCCAACCGCGTAGAAAATTGAAGCCCGCCCGCTGACAAGCCCCCCCTCCCATATTCATCCCATCTAAGCAGCATCTGAATCTTCACCTTCAGGGAGACCACGACGAGGAACACGGACAGAGCCCCGCTGTCTCCAAATGGCGCGCCGCAGCTCAAATCTGACCTATGGGACGCACTACCTGGACGAGGGCGGTTGCGAGCGCTCGCCGGCCGGCTTCACGGCTCAGCAGTGCGAAGCCCCAGCCCACCTGGGATGCCGAGTTGTACCTGCGCAAAAGCTCGGGCAACTACATGGAGTTTCCAGCGTGGACAAGGCAACACAAAAGATGTTCGACCGGGCTAGCTCGAGTTCCTTTGCGGTGCTCGAGCTGCAGCACGCAAAGGCGAAGATCGAGGAGCTGCAGCAGGACAAGCAAGCCCTGCGCGAAGACTTGCTGTTGACCAAGCGGCAGATGGCCATCGCGTCTGGAACCCGCACGGGAATTCTGTGGGAAAGCGCTACTCGTAAGGTTTTTGAGTTAGCTGCTACGCGCGACGAGGTGGAGGTGGACCACCGCGCGCAATCAAACATCGCCGGCCCCTTTCATCCGGGGACGTCGAACGTCAGGGATAATTCCTCGTCCACGGCCACGGCACGAGCGACACCTTCACTCGCAAACGACACAACTTCCCTCACCCCCGCCGCGGACTTTGAGAGGTACCGCATGCTCGTGAAGAAACACCTTTCCGCCAATTTCGCCCAGCACGGCCAGCAGTGCAAGCTGTGCGGGACCTTTCCCACAGATTCAAACTCGAGTTTGATGCAGCTCGAGCTTTTGAAGCGCGTGCACCAGGACGCGTGGCTCCGGATGCAGCAGATCAAAGAGATGGAGCGGGAGAAGGTGGTGCTGGCCGTGCAAGTGGAGGACGACACGGCCGTTGCTCGCGAGCGCGCGGCGATGGGACGAGAGGACGCGGAATCGAAGTTCGTGGAGCGGGTGGTGGCGGAGGTGGAAAGAGCGTGCGAGGCAAAGCGGAAGGAAGATTTGCACGCTTTAGAGGAAAAATTGCGGGCCAACTTCGCGGAAGAAATAGACGAAATGAAGCAGAATCAGTGGAAGAAGGAGGAGCTGCTAGTGGGAGAGAGGGACCAGGTGGCGACGGAAAAAAACAAAGTTACCAAACAGTTGGAAGATATGAAGAAAAAAGCGCAAACGCTGGAAAAGCAGGTGAAAGCGATGAGGGAAACTGCTGGAAAAGCAGACGCGAAGCGGGAACAGGAAACTGCGAATCTAGCTAGTGAGTTGGGATTGTAAGATACGATGGCATGATGATTTTTCGTAGAGTGCAGGTTTCAAAACTAAACCCCTTCAAAGATGAAAGAGGTAAAGAAAGCGTAAGCAGTTTTGGCGCTACTTGGAATTGGATCCGTTGATTCTGACCACCAGGATCATCACTACAAATAAAACGTTGGCTTGCAAAAAGCGCAATAGATTTGAACGTACAGGCAGGTACCTGATTGTAGTACAGATTCAAATCCATTTGCGAAGATAATGCCACGCACTCGGGGAAGTGGAATCTTAAACTTAATCCGCGGAGAAAGTTTTGCGATCTTTGGGGTGCTACTTTTGTTTGATTTCGTGTGCGTGAAGCACAGCTTCTTTTGTTTCCAGACAAAATCACGGCAGGTCCTTGTCCAGGAAGTTTGAATTTTACCACAGCACGCCCCCGGGCGTGTCGTGATAAAGTTCGGTCGCCGTTGGCCCAGTCCCACAGGTTCAAAGCGAGGATCTGAGAATTCTGTTCTTTACCGTGTAAATCTTCAGAAGAAAAAAACAGTAGGCCACACAGCCAAGGAGCTGGCAGCCAGCAGGTCAAGTCTTCGTTTCCTGACAGAATTGAACAAGTGGTCCTCCAATCTTCACTTTCAGATATCTCTGCATCGACTCTAAGAAAACTCGTAGCGTTGCCTTTTGGCAAAGCCATTCCATCACTTTGTATTTGTAATAGCTCTCAGCCTGCAGGGGACGGAGAGTAGCATCGGTACAAACATCTAGACTCGGAAAAACGTATCAACATGACCGGCACGAAAGAAAAGAGATTTATCTATCTTGCTTCTGTTAACCATTCATTGCATTCGACATCGGTCGCACAGTCAGATCATGCATGATGGGCACGATGATTAGTGCCCATACGTTCGGTTACTTGGCATTAGGTGGATCGGTCGAACGACACATTATATAATTTTGCAGGCGGAGCAGGAGACTAAGTACTTGATAGTCGATATGTCGTGGTCCTGGTGCTCACAAACTCACGTGATCTTGAAAGTATTTATAGGTCACGACATCAATTGAGTAACATACTTGTGGGCTCTTGCTACTTGCTACGCTGCATCTGTCTGAGACAGAATCAACATGGTGTCTTTCCCTTTCGGTGCCGTGATTAGTAATCACTCGAACATTTAGTTGCCGTTCTTTCGAAGAGATGTCCGTGCATGGAACAAGTTGTCTGCATACAGAAGCAGGCCACGCACAAAGCATACAGTCATTGAGACCAATTGGCCCTACTTTGACTTTTGTTTGTTGGAAAAATAATCTTGTTCTTGACGCATCATTTCAAGTCACGCGAATTTAGTATTTTGAAGTGCCGTGTAGTTTACTGTGGCTGCTGCTTCATGGACTATCTGTAACTTTGCTGTAAGTTTTCTTTTACAACTCGGGTGCTTTTGTGCCTGAACTTGATAGTACGAGGCGAAAGCGCAACCACCCAATGTACCAACTATGATTTATCCTGCTAGAAGAGTAATATCTTTGTCTACTTTTTGTTTTTGAAGCGCACAAAAAACGAAATGCTGAGAACAACAAGCAGGGTTTCGTTCGGCAGGTCTCCGATACTAGGCACGACGATTTTATTCGCCTGGCAGTACTGTGGTCCCTCTTGGACCTCCCCAATTTTCCTGTGCAAGGCTCTGAGACTTCTGGAGCACCCAAAAGTGCAAAGTCTCCAAGCGAAGAACGAGACCAATTTGTTCGTGGACACCGACCTGGGGGAAGAACAACCGCAACCGGACCCGCGAGCGATCGACGGCGGACTTCTACTCGTGTACGGGCCGGAACAACAGGATCGCGGCATCAAGAATGCGCAACGATTTCAAGCATCGACGTGGGTTCAAGAAACCGCGTTGGCAGTGGCACTGCACGAAGCAGAGCAAGCACAAAATTATGCGTGGTACGTTTACGACGGGGAACTGTCGCAGGCTTTTGCGGGGTGGTTGGGTAGAGCCTTGCTAGACCACCTTGACAACTTAGAGGAGCAGCGGAAGAATTTCTTACCAGAATTTTTTCCGTGGTGGCAGGACCCGGCTGGTCATGCAAACACGATTCTGGAAGCGATGCGAGAGGATTTCGGTTCGGGTAGCAGCTGGTTGAGCACGACCTCTCCAGCAACACGCAGAATCCGGCTGCAGAAGGACTTTAATGCTAATCCACGGGACCAGGATGCAGTGATGAGGGAAAAACAAAACTACGTAGCCAGTATACCACCTGTTAGCGGCCTTCCAGCGGACTTCTACCCAGCTGGCGGGAGCGGGTCAAATCTCCTTGGAAGGGGGAGCTATGGGAGCGTTCAGCCGCTCAGAGGGCCACAGGAACCGCCACTCAATCCGTATGGGAAGTACGCGCGAAAATGCCAACGCATGTTGGTAAACCTGCCAGAACAACATGAAAGCATCGCTGCTTCATGGTGGATCAATTTTAACAGAGTGTGGTGGAGCGAGCGAATGGTCGAGATTTTCCTTCACCGCTTTCTGACCTTGCGAGAGAAAAAGAGGACCACTCTCAGTACATCTGCTTCTGGGGCGGGGATGCATTGCGTTCCACACCTCCACTCTCTAACAGCCGCAGTTTTTCAAAAGCAACAAGTCCCAGGTGAGAACGGCAGCGCGGAAAACACTTTGCTTGAAGTGTGCATGATAATGGAGCGCGGGCAGCCTCTTGGGAACAGGGCGAAGAAGTCACACGCTGGTCGCTTGACAAAGGAGACATTTGATCCTGATGCTTTCACAGACCATTTTCGACGTTGCCTTGCAGACGTATGGCGTTGTCACGCGTTAGATATTAGACTACCGGTGCACCCTGCAGCATAATTTTCCGCAGCAGGTTCTACTTAAATCTTGTGATTTATCGGGTTGAGTGCAAAAAAAAAAGAAATTGAAAAAGGAAAACATACAGATGCACGACATGGACGTAGTCGCGCACTATGTCTATGACCGCTTCCTGCATATGCAAACAAATGTGGCACGTCGGACTCCCCGAGTGCTATTCAGCAGGTCAGAAGATTCCACCGGTTCCATCCAGCAGGCTTCGACACGAGCCAAACGGTTCCAATAGATGATGCGGAAGGTGATATTACGCTTGAGTATGTGTATGAAAATAAATCTTCACCAAAATATATGAGGTAGAATGCAACAGGGGTTCATTTTTTAATGTTTTTGTTTGGCAACGCCATAAGACTTCGAGAAACTCGGCCTTGTCCATCAGGACCTCAATCCGAATAATGTCGCCTTGCCTTTCCTGCTCCACAGTGACAAGCCTGTTGCGCGTGCTCTGCACAACTACAGGAGAGGGGTAACAACATCTGTGGAAAAAGCGCGGCTTTCTCGTCCACTCATTCTCGACTTCGGGATTTCGGTACTGGTTCGATGGGAGGCGTCCACTGATCCCAAACGGCTCATGAACGTGTTTTTCAACAATGTTGATTTGTCGACAGACTTGCCGGGTACGGCGGGCTACGTATCCAGGCGAAAACACTCATCGTCATCCAATTAGTCATGCAAAACATGCATAATGTTCAATGTTTGTGGTGGTCGTCATGCAGAAAATGGATAGAGATGGGTGCTTTTCCAGGATCTTGCGTTGACTTTGCACATTTTGAACACTTTCGGAAAGAACCTCACCAGTGTAACAAACAATTCTTGGCTCACCCGAGGACGGACCTGTATGAGTAGTAAAAACAGATCCCCGTATGACCCCATACACAGTCAGGATGAGAAAGAATCTGCTTGGCAGGATATCCAGAAGTTTTGCTTCCGGCCCGCACGCGTTACAAGTTTGAATTTGCACTGTAGTCAGGCCGAGCTGGTGCAGCCGCTCGGCAAACCTGCTCAACACCTGTTATTTTGAGGAGTAGCAGAGCAGAACAAATTTCCGAACACAACTATAACAAAAAAAAGGCAGGAGCTGCCGCAGGAGGGTGGATGCGCACGAGAGATCTTCTGCGCACCAACACCATGCAGCTTCACATGAGATGAAATGCGGGGTCGCTGTTACGTTTTTGCACATGATAATCTGATTGGCTTCTCCTTCACTGCGTTCGAGCTGCTTGGTTTGCAAAGAAAAAAGTCGGGATGCAGTTGCACATTGTGTCGCACGAGGCGGTCAAGCAAGGCAGACAAGCTCTGTCATGCCAGCAGACGTGCTCGGAAGTCTAACTAGATGCATACGTGTTTCCTTTCTTGTCATCTCTACTGCATTGCAAAGCTACAAGAAGTAAAAAGTTATACGGGTTAAAATGGGTCAGCTCCGGGCTCCTTTTATATGGGGCGTCGCGCTTATTTGCTTGCTGGCAAGGCTAAAATTAATATCGAACCTCGGGTGTGGTACGTTCCCGACAAGCCGGCTTTCTGTGCGTGGAGACATATCGAGGTAGTGCTTGTTTTTGCATGTTGAGGTCGCCGAAGGTGCTTCCTCACCCACCCCCAGGCAAGAGATCTTCGGCCTGTGGCGCTGGGGGCGGGGGATGCCCACTACCTGATGATGATGGAAGGAACAACAACAAACAATGTGTCATTGTGTTTCTTTTTCCTTGTGATACTGGGTGAAGAGGACGCCAACATTTCTCCTTTCCGGCAGTGCCTGACGAAGCTCGAAGGTTGGGACCTATCGCAGGAAATCAAAGTCAAGGCGCCAACGTGAAGATCGCAATTTCATCAATATCAGTTTGAATTTGGGAAGAAGATGCAATAACGCATGAAGATAGATGGAATGTACTGTCAACATGTCCATGTGCGATTGCAATTAGCTGTGTATTGAAACCGTTAACGCCAACACTTTAATTTTTCTGGTTGATCAGCAACGGAAAAGGGAATGTCTACGCTCGAGGCGACAGATGTTGAACTAGAGGAGACTCTTCGAGGAAATGTCTGCTCGAAAATAGAACCATTTTGGAGAGGCACGGACCGAGACACGGCGGCTCCCTGCGCCGAAGGTTTCCGGGTGGACGAGCTCATGGGCAATTCCAAGGCCGGCTTCCTGGGAGGAACCGCTTTCGTGGGCAAGCTCAGGGAACGCGGAAGCCAAACGTTGACGAATACCGCCATGACTATTCTCTCACCCTTGTTGTTTGCGGATTGGAGGGACCGAAGTTTCTTCATATCTCCGGCGGACGGAGCTCCAGGTGGCCTACAACCCGACGATGATAGGCGAATTAGAGCATCTCGTAAAGATGAGGAGACGATCGAATGGAAAAACAAAAAGGATCAGGTCATGCAGGAACTGCGCGGAGCGATACAGGCAAAGGTAGCGCAGTTGCAGTCTCGAGAGGATGCACAGTGGGCGCGTGAAGCGGAACTTGCTGTACGTCACGCGGAGGGTTTTGCTGCTCGTCGTGGGCCCGTGAATGGGCCTCGAGGTCTGGGGAGAAAGTGAACCTTGATCATTGAAGAAAAGAAACAAAGTAAGATATTGCAGCAGCTATTGTGCCTTTCCACATAGAGATCAACATGAACATCTTTTCTTCGTCTCCAATCATACGGGCTCCGCAGGAGCCATGAGTGGAGGTGTTCTTTATCTTTAACTTTATCTCCAATAGGGTTTATGCAAATGCTGCATGATCATAGTCATACACGACGTAGACTTACACTTACACAGCATCATCATGTGGTCTATCATTGATTCAAAAGAACGCTAGTGGTACTTACACTTTTTTCTCTATACATAACTTTGAGATTGAATTTTGAAAAGCGAAAGAAGCAGTTGCCTTCTTTCCCAGAAATCGAAATGCAGAAGCCTGCTTCTCCAGGAATGCGGGTATTTTTTTCACAATTTTGTATGAAGCGCGCGCCATCTTCTTTCCACAACACGGGCGAACAGTTGGAAAGATTTCACATTGCTGCGTCCCTAGAATTTCACTTTCGCTATCGCTATGTAGTTTCTTCGTTATCTTAATCTTTCTACAACAACTAAATTTGCCTTTTATCCAACATCAATTTTGTATACTCACGCTCACCGCTTCATGTGAATATCGTGTCTGATGATCTGTGTCATTCTTATTTGATTTAGATTATTGGAGTAAGTAGAAGTACACGGACGATCGGAGCAGCTGTTTTTGTGATTGTGTTTGCAGGACTTAACCTCCAAGACGTCCGCTGTAGTGCTTCTGTGGCAATCGTGGTCGGTTCCTGATGTTACGCATGTACATGTAGCTCCGCCAAGCAGATATCCGCCAACGATTATTCGCTAAGCAGATACAGTCCGACTCCAACGGGCGCAACAGATCGCGAAAGTCATGACACACAAGAAGTAGCAGATCCAGACTCGTCCTCCTGGTCCTGCGGTTGAAAGTGTGAACGTCAGTAGATCTGAATTTAGTGTTATACGTGAGCTCCTCAGCCTAAATGGATTGTGTATTCGAAAAAAACCGATCCTGTTCCTCAACGGCGCATGATAGTATCGTGTCCGTTCGAAGAAGGAAGTTTACCGCAGCACGCACCCGAGCGTGTTCTATCGATTTATGATCACGGGCTCGGGGCTCTCGCAAGTTCAAAGCGATCTTCTGAAGAGTGTGCTGTCGTGCATTATGCATTACGGAGAAATACAAATAACAAGCGATCCCGATCCTGATCATAGCATTGGATGGAATCAGAAGATCAACATCTGGCACACCAGCACCACAACCAAATCGGTGCATCACAGATGTGCACCATCGTGGTTCTGTTCTTTCTAACGTGATCCAAATCAAAGTGAGCCATCATGAGGTGGTGGGGATGAAGATCCGACGAAGATCATGACGCAAAATTTTTTCGCTCATGGTATTTTGTGATCCTGAAATGAAACTTCGCTGAATAATATGACTTGCTGCTTCTTTATGCTTTGAAACTCCAGGTCAGTAGAAAGAATAGGTCGACGCACTCGTAGCGAAGAACGCATGATAAGATACGTGAAAAAAACGACATGCTAGAAAAAAAGAACAAGAACGAAGTACAACTTGCTTCTAGTGCATACTTTCACAACCAAGACGATTCGATGGCAAGAAAAAAACACATGCACGTATTTACATTTACGTCTTAGTTGACCTTGACCTATCGTCTTTGTATCCCGGCCTTGTGATGTTGAATACAATACAAACAAGAAGATTGTGAAAAAATGAAAATGCCAACATCTTGTTCGTCGAGCACAATGGCGTCAGATGCAACCGAGGCCGAGACCGCCCTGTGGCACCGGCGGCGGCAGACTTTGCAAGAAATTGCAAAGCACCCGGAAACGGGTCGGACTCTGCAGAAGCTGATCAACAAGTACGTCATTGTCCCAGATACGGACACCTACACTGCTGCCGACAAGGCGCTGGAGAGGCAGATTTTTGACCAAATTCAGAAAGACGTTGTGACCTTGTGTGGCTCGTCGTCTGGGACGACTAGACTCTCGGCTAGCAGCAAAAGCCCGCCGCTGTTCAAAGGGAATACGACCCCCAGCGGAACTGATGCTGGTTCCAGCGGCAGAACGCCAAGCAGTAGACAGAGCGGCAGTAGCACGGGCAGCTCTGGCCGCGCCCCCTCTCCGTGGTGCTATCATCTTCGAAAGACAGCGCCAGACCTGTTTTCCGCGGTTGCAGGGGCTGCTGTGGTCGCACTTCCTGGAGCTTCAGACGATGGTGCGCGTTCAATAAAGCCTGAATCGGTTGCCGCGGTTTCGCCGCTTTTCTTGCACGCGCAAAAGGCACTCTTTTCAGCCGCCATCGAGCGTGAGCTCAGGACCGAAAAGACTGTTTCGGTCGAAACCGACTGGCACCTGCTATCTGCGGTAATAGCCCTCGCGCCGGAGCTTCGGGGTGACCGGTTTGCGGTGCGTTTTGCGCAGAGAATGTGGGAGGCACAGGTCGAAGCCATAGCCATCACAGGACCAGCACGGGACAACAGGAAACAAAACGCACGCGGCGATAACCACACACCAGCCCACGAGATGACGCGCCTTGCCATCTGCCTGCGCGCTCTTCGGGAGCTGATGCGGCTCACAGCGAATGAAGAGAAGCAGTTTCTGGAAAAGAATTTCAGGGGCGTTGATCATCCGCATCAGCAAGTCACAGCAGCCTCTGCACTTGATGAACTGCTGCTGCAAAAAGCGATTCAGAAGGTGAATTGCGCGGACCACGAGGAACTACTGGATGTGCTTTTCGGTGACAAAGACGAAGAGTCTCACAGCACGACAAAGTCGCGTCCGCAGTCTCCATTTGCGGATCATACAGGGCCTGACGCGATGGTGCATAGGTATAGCCAGTCGCCGTCTCCGGCACACAAGAATCGGAGTACTGCCGCGCTTCTTCAACACCTTTCCGGCACAGTGGAGGACCAAGATACTCTCTGGGCACAGCTGGCACTGGAAGGAACGAAGGGAAGCAAGCAAGCTGTTGCACAAAGCGCGAACCGTGCCGCGCCATCAATCCTGCCGGTCGTGCCGAGCACTGCTGGGTCAACAGCTGCTGGTACAACGACACCCTCCTCGTCCTCTTCCCCCGCGTCTTTCGTTCCCACGAAGCGATCGACTGCCCTGTTGCAGCGCATGCACCTCTGTGCGAAATCCAAGAAACCGCTGCTGCTGACGGGAGACAGCGGGGTCGGGAAAAGCTTCTTCATCGAGCAACTGTGGAGGGAAGAGTGTCGTGAAGCAGGTGTCAAGAACATGTTGCAGGAAAATAACAGCTGCATGCACGATCCTCCACTCCAACCCCTTTCGCTTTTCTTCGACGAGCAAACGGACAGCAAATCTCTGCTCGGCTGCTACACCAGCGGCGAGAAAGCGGGGGAGTTCGTGTGGAAGGCCGGGGTACTGACGCAAGCCTTGCAGGAGGGACGGTGGCTGGTGTTGGAAGACATCGACACCTGCCCGGAGGACATCCTCTCCGCACTGTACTCCGTCGCGCAGACCCGGGAACTGGTGCTCGCGGACAGGCAGGTCGTCATCAAAGCGCACGAAAACTTTCAGCTGTTCGGAACCATGCGGGTCTCTTCAACATCGACAGCAGCTGCGGGGAAACAACCGGACCTCCACGGTTGTCGGGTTGACGCTGCTTCACCAGCAGACATTTCTCAACATACTGCGGCCGCTGCACCAACTACAGCAAGAACTTGTTCTACGTCGCAAAATCTAAATCTGTTCGACTTCGACTTCACCTGCACGGCCACCACCATCCCGCCGCTCGTCGGCTGCTGGCACAAGCTGCACGTCCCCTCTGCGGAGAAACCCGAGCTGGTCGAGATGCTGCGACAGAAGTTTCCAAAAACGCCGCTGGTTATCGCGGAAAAGCTGGTCGACACCATGTTCTTCGCGCAAACGGAGCTGCACCTTTCCACCCTGACCGCGAAAGATTTGTCTGCCCGGAAGCTGAACGTGCGGGAACTTTTTCAACTGGCGAAGAGAATCCAACACTTGACCTTCGAACCGAACTTCACCGAGAACTCGCGGACGGAATTCGCCCGGCACCTGCTCGCCACCTTCTTCGCGAACTTGAACACGAAAGAGCTCCGCTCCGAGTGTGTCGAGCTCTGCGTCCGGAAGTTCTGGGATTTGGTGGATGTCGGGGACCGGTTGGTCTGCCTTGAAAAGCCGGAGATCGATCGGAAAAAGAAGGAACTGATCATCGGCACCCTGTCGTTGAACGAGGACAATTTGGTGAAGGAAGTTTTGTTCGAAGACCAGGATCACTCGGAAGACGAGTTCGAAACGAGAAATTCCAAGGCGAAGCGGAGAAAAAAGGAGAAGCAAGAACAGAAGGCGATTTTGAAGCAAGCAGCGGGAACGAAAATGAAAAACGACGATGTTTCTTTGGCCACGATCAGCAACAGCGCGACTACTTCTAAATCCCTCGCCCGCGAGCTCGGCAAGCAGATCCAAAACAGTAACTTTGCCTGCACTGCGGTGCACTCCCGCGTGCTGTGGCAACTCGCGGCCGCGACGAAGCACTCCGAGCCCTGTCTGTTGGTCGGGGACACGGGGACCGGGAAAACTACCGTTATTCAGCGGTTCGCGGAACTCTGCGGGCAGAAGGTTTTCGTCTACAACTTCAACGACCAATCCGAGGCGCAGGAGCTCGTCGGCGGGTTTCGCCCGGTCGACGTGCTGAACCAGGAAGTGCCGGCGATTTTCAACCAGTTCCTGAAGTTTTTCCAAGAGACCTTTTCCTTGAAACAGAACCGGAAACTCCTGGAAAAGGTGCAGAAGGCGTTTCGGCAGAAGAAGTGGGGGAATTTTTTCAAATTCCTCAAGCAGGTGTCCGGACAGGCGATCGAGTATTTGAAAGGGAGAAGTAGTCGTGTAGTTGCGACTGCTGATGCGACTTCTGAACTAGTACCTATGGCGGAAAGAAAAGACGCTAGCGCCGAAGAGGATCACCAGCTCTCCCAGTTCTGGTTCAACTTGCGGAAGAAATCGGAAGAGCTGTCGCACCAGTACAGCAACGGGGGACTGAAATTCGAGTTCAAAGAGGGACTCTTAGTCGAGGCAATGCGCACCGGTGCGTGGATCATTCTGGACGAACTGAATTTAGCGCCGAACGACCTGCTGCAGCGGATCCAGGGGTTGGTTTCCGGTAGCTCCGATACGACGGACAAGAAGGAATTAGCTTTGTCCGAATGTGGAGATTTGCGCGTGACCCCGCACGAAAATTTCCGGATTTTCGCCTGCATGAACCCACCGACTCTGCCGTCGATTGGATATAATGGCAGAAGGAAAGGACTAGAGCAGAGCGGAGCGGAGGAAGGTGTCTGTAGTGAAGATGCAGAACCTTCGGCAAAGCGGTTGAAGGCTGATGGCGAGGTGGACACCACCAGCACCAGAACAAAAAATAAACCTGTGATGCAGCAGTCGCAACAGGCGCTCGCTTCCGCGGGGAAGAAGCAGCTACCCGCCGGCATCCGGTCCCGCTTTACCGAGATTTTTGTCGACGAGGTCGACTGCGAGGAAGATTTGGAGCTTGTGATGCGGGGATATTTGGCCAGAGGGCTGCTCCCAAACCCGCCCATCCAGAAGTTGGTGGACTTCTACAAATTCTGCCGCCAGGAATCGATTTCTGGGCAGCTCGTCGACGGGGCAAACAAGGTCGTGCATTTTTCTCTTCGAAATTTGACGCGCGGGCTCCGGTTCGCCGTCTCTCTGATGACGAAGGAGAATTTGATCCACCGCGTCGAGCCAGTAACGGCGCTGGTCGAGGGTATGCTGATGGCATTCGCGACTCCGCTCTCCACCACCTCCGCGGCGATCGTTTCCAAGAATCTTTACACCACCTTCGGCCGCGCGGACCCGGCTCTGTCCAAGGCGGCCAAGAAGAAGGAGCAAGAACCGGTCGCGCGAATTGCGATCGCCGAGGACAAGGGCGACACGGTGACGAAAGCGTTGGCGCACTGCGGCTCGACCAGTATGGAAAACGTGGAGGAGAGAGTGAATGCAAGCTGCGCGAAGGTAATATCGTCCACTTCTTCCCGAGCGGTAGAGGCCATCCAGATTGAGGACTACTGGATCACGAAGGGGGACCAGAATGTGGACTTCGTGAACGCACACAAGCACTTCCTCGTGACGCCCAGTGTGCGGCGGAATCTGAAAAACATTGCTCGGATTTTGTCCGGCGGGCGCTATCCGGTGTTGCTCGAGGGTCCGACGTCGGCGGGGAAGACCTCGCTCGTGAAGTTTTTGGGGAGGATCACGGGCCACAAATGCGTCCGCATCAACAACCACGAACACACCGACCTGCAGGAATATCTGGGGCAGTACGTGTGCGATAGCGCGACGGGGTCGTTGGTGTTCCAGGAGGGCCCGCTGGTGAAGGCGGCGCGAAACGGGGACTGGGTGATTTTGGACGAGCTGAACCTCGCCCCGACGGAAATTTTGGAAGCGCTGAACCGCGTTCTGGACGACAACCGGGAACTGTACATCCCGGACACGAACACCGTTGTGAAACCCCACCCGGATTTCCAGCTGTTCGCGACGCAAAATCCGGCGAACGCGCTCTACGGGGGTCGGAAGCAGCTGTCCCGGGCATTTCGCAACCGGTTTTTGGAGGTTTTCGTCGACGACCTGACGGTGAAAGAGTTGGAACTGATTCTCCAAAAGCGCTGTGAGCTCCCCCCGAGTTACGCGAAGATCATGCTTGCGGTGTTCCAGGACCTGCAGCAGCACCGGTCGAACAGCAGTTTGTTTTCGGGGAAAAACTCCTTCATGACGGTCCGCGACCTCCTCCGCTGGGCGAACCGGAAGCCGGACGGGGTGGAGGAGTTGTTGCAGGAGGGCTTTTTGTTACTCGGAGAACGGCTTCGGAAGCCCTCCGATCAGGTGATCGTCGAGGAAATGCTCGAGAAGCATGTGAAGATGAACGCCAAGGTGCGCATCGACTATCGGGAGGACCGCTTTGTGCAGGAAATTATGGAGAAGTTTGCGAAGAAGCTGGAGAAAGACCGAGCGAACTGCCCCTCCGGGCCGCAGGGCTTGGTCTGGACCCAGTCCCTGTGCCGCATGTGCGCTTTGGTCGCGCGGTGTGTGGAGTACAACGAACCTGCACTTTTGGTCGGCGAAACTGGGTGCGGGAAGACGACGATCGTGCAGGCACTGGCGTGGTTGCGAGAGGATGTCGATGCTGATGCTGTTGCAGGAGCTCCGGTAGCTGAAAAAGAAATTGTCGACCAACAAGAAGAAGAAGACCACATAAAGATCGCGGAGCCAACATCAAACGCTGGTCGTTTTCAATTAGAGCAAAGTCTCCGCATCGTCAACTGCCACCAACAGACCGAAGCAGCGGATTTCGTCGGAAGTCTGCGGCCTATCCGCGGCAGAGACGGTCTGAAAGCGAGTTTTTTCAGCAATTGCGAAAAGCTGCTGCAAATAAAGCTCGAGGTGGACGAACATCAAACCTCCTCTAGTACAATAGAGCAGAAGCCTACTGACAGCTTCGTGGAAAAAATCGAAAAGGAGTTCCGTCACCCGTTGCAGTATCAACTTGTCAAAAAGAAGTCCATTCCCGGCGCGCTCAAGGTCCTGCGAGACTTTGACGCTTCAAAGCTTTATTTCGGAGCCCCCGAGAGTGTGCTTAAGCCCCGTTTCTTGCGGGCTTCGTCTAGCGAAGCAGCGAGTCTACAACCTTTCGAGTCTTTCACCACGCATTTGAAGCAAGCGATTGAGGACGGGACCCGCGCAACGGCGCTGTTCGAGTGGCAAGACGGGCCTTTACCGCAGGCCATGAAGGAGGGCGGGTTTTTCCTGATCGACGAGATATCCCTGGCGGACGACGCGGTGATTGAACGGTTGAACTCCGTTTTCGAGCAAGACCGCTCGCTCGTGCTCGCCGAGAAGCCCACCGGTGGGAATGACGCGAAGGATCTGATCTCAGTCTTCGCTAAACAAGACTTCCGCATCTTCGCTACCATGAACCCGGGTGGCGATTTCGGAAAGAAGGAACTCTCCCCGGCGTTGTATCCTGAGTAAAAACGTCCCCACACCAGAGTTGTCATGCAGATTTGCAATGACAGGAACATTTGTTTTTGTAATGCGCATCGCCAGGAGAGGCATTTTTAGTCGTGTTTTGGAATTTGTAATGCTGTAAACAGGACGAGCAGATGGATTTCTGATGCAGCTGGCCTTGCGAACCTGCACTACGCTACGGACTGCAACTTGTGATGCGTGACCCCCAAAAGCTCTAGGCTTGTGTTGCAAAATCCCCATCTTGACTCTGGTGTGGGGATGTTTTTACTCAGGATACGTTGCGCAACCGGTTTACGGAGCTCTGGCTCCCCGCGGTAGACTTTTCATCGTCGGATACGGAATTTCTCATCCGGGCGAGGCTGACGGACCGCCTCGGCTCGGTGTGCTTCCCGCTGTTGAACTGTATCCGCTGGTTCAACGCGAAGGCGCAGTTCCCGCTGTCCATGCGTGAAGTGCTCGCGTGGATGGACTTTGTCAAGACGAACGCGCTGAAAAATGATGATGCTGGTCGTGAAGAAGCGAACAACGCCGAGGAGGCTGGAGACAGCACGATGGAAAAAAGTTCCATCAGCGACGAGACCCTCGCGATCATCTACCTGCACGGCGCCTTTCTGGTTTTGTTCGATGGGCTGGGACTGGGAAACGCGATCGGATCGGGCGGCAGTACGAATGCCGTAGAGCAGAAAAAAATCGTGATGGACTATTTGATGCAGCAGATGGACAGTTTTGGCAGTCTTTCCGCGGAACAAGCCGAGAAGGTGAAAGCGAAGTTTGGAGCGGACGGGTTCGCCTGGGTCCGGGAGAGTTTGTGTCTGGGAGGAGCCAACGGTGCGTCGCCTGGTGCAGCTCTCGGCGGCAGCATGTTCAACGGAAGTAGCATCTTCTCTATTGGCAGCAGCGACAAAGCTGCAGTGCCTGTTAATATGGAAGAGGAGAGAGCCTGTGATGTTGAGAAAGACGATCCGATGGCCGTTGATGGTGAAGAAGGTCTTGTTCCTGGGCTAGAGCAGTCTCCATTATCGTCAACCACGTCGGCTTCCGATGAGCACGACGGAACAGAAGCAGAGCAGAAAGCACTCAAAAGCCAAGAAGTTGTTGCTATGCAAGAACATAACAGCAAGACGAGCACTATCACGACCGACACAGCCAACTTTTCCTTTCAAGCCCCGTCCACGGCGTGCAACGTCGGCCGGATTCTCCGCGGGTTGCAGTTGAAACGCGCGATCCTATTGGAAGGCCCTCCGGGCGTCGGGAAGACCACCGTTGTGCAGGCTTTGGCGTCGAAGACCGGGAACCAACTGGTCAGGATCAATTTGTCGGAGCAAACTGACATGGTAGATTTGCTCGGGTCCGACTTGCCAGTAGCGGCGGACAGCGCAGAAGCTCCAGCTCAGGAGCAAGAGGAACAAACAAGAGCACCGACTGGTGATGCAGTTGTGAAGACTACTTCTACTCCACCAGAAGGTGGAAGCACCACATCGGAATCCACCTCTCCGAAAGCCACTGAGATGTTGAACAAAACGAGAACCGCTGACGGTAACCAGGACGTTGACCAACAGGCTCTTCGTTTCCAGTGGTGCGACGGAGTGTTGCTGAAAGCCATGAAAGCCGGCGACTGGGTGTTGTTGGACGAAATCAACTTGGCGAACCAGTCCGCGCTGGAGGGCTTAAACGCACTATTGGATCACCGCTCCGAAGTCTACCTTCCCGAAATCGACCAGGTGGTGAAAACGCATCCCAATTTCCGCCTCTTCGCCGCCCAGAACCCGGTGCAGGAGGGGGGCGGGCGGAAGGGTCTGCCGAGGTCGTTTCTGAACCGGTTCACGAAGATTGTGTTGGCGGAGTTGGATGCCGCGGATTTGGAGCACATTTGCATGCACCAGTTCGGAGGTGGAACAACAGCAACTACCAGCACTAGTTCCTCGATTGGTATTTTGGATGCAACCCTGATCAAGAAAGCCACGGCATTCGTCTCGGAGATTGGCCGGGTCGCCAGGGAAAAGCACTTCGACGGCGCGAGTGACTGGGACTGGAACTTAAGGGACGCGCTCCGGTTTTGCGAACTTCTGGTCAACAAAGTGCCGACGGAGGAACCTGGGAGTTCCGCGGAGTTGCTCTTTGTGTCCCGGTTGAGGCGCAGCAGTGATCGAATCATTGCGATGCAGCTGGTCAGAAAGCATTTCGGAAGTTGTACTAGCTCCCTTGCAGATCAAGATGTTGACGCGCTGGCCCTTCATCGGGAGGCTCTCGTCACGGTCATTGGCAAGCCGGACTTGCTCTCTAAGAATAAAGTGCCTGCTGAGCAGGTCTGCGATGAAAAGAAAACTGGGCCAGAAGCAGTTTCCAAAACATGCCAAGAAGATTCTTCTTGGCTCCAGAGCAGCAGCGTCGCCATCGACGGCGATGCGTACGGCGGTATTGTTGTTGGCGAAGCAAAATTATTGCACCAGAACACTGGATCTTCCCAACGACAAAAGAATTTCTCCGCGTCTTCGCACTTTGCTCTCCTGTCCGACCAAACCGTCTATTTAAAAACCGCCATCCACGCGGTTAACCTGAAGTGGCCCTTACTGATTTCTGGCGGCCCGAACAGCGGTAAAACCGCCCTCGTGAAGACCCTGGGTGCCGCGGCGGGCCGAAAAGTGCGCGAAATCAGTTTGACGCCCAGTATGGACGCCAGTGAATTACTAGGTTGCTTCGAGAACTACGATGAAAAGCGGCATATTGCGGGTTTTTTCAGAAAAGTCCGGGAAATGTGCTTCGCTTTGCGCAAGGAGATGGTGGTAAAGATAAAGAGCAAGAAGAACCACGACCTGGAAGTGCTGCTCGGGAAAATTGAGAACACGATTGAAGACGATGAGTCCGGACAGATGAAAAGCCATCTCGACAAGCTCCAACAGCTGGATTCCGGTTTCCGCATGATCCTGAACGCCCCGGCGAGGAAAAACGACGAGCGGATCCAGAATACTTACGCCCAACTACAGAATCTGATCAATCGGCAAAACTCCGCTTCCGTCTTCGAATGGATCGACGGCTCTCTGGTGTCTGGGATTTTGGAAGGTGACTTTGTGTTGCTGTCCCATGCACAGTTTTGCGCGCCCGCGGTGCTCGACAGGTTGAACAGTCTTCTGGAGCCAAACGGGTTTTTGTTAGTATCCGAATCGGGCGCAGACCGGGTCGTCAAGCCGCATCCGGACTTCAGGATTTTCCTGACCTGCGACGTGACCCACGACACCAGCCGACAGATCTCCAAGGCGTTAAGGAATCGGTGTTTGGAAGTGTTTGTTTCGGGAGGGATAGCGTCTGCTTCAGCTACATCCGCTGTTCTTGCTGGTAGAAGTGTAGAGGACTCTAATAGTAATATCGTCTCGCCGCTGTGTCTTCCCACTGTTACGGAGCATTTCAGCCTTGCGCTAGAAGACGTTCTTACGAAAGGGGACTGCGAAGAACACCTGCAAGGCGGCATGCAAGAAACAGCAACCGGAACCGTTCTCCTCGAACAGAAACCTTCTGGACGGCAGCACGACGTTTTCTTCCGCTGGATGCAGACTTTGCGCAATCAAAACCTCTTCACCATCAGTCCGCCAGTTGCTATCGTGCTGGACTGCCTTCGCGTCGTGCAGATGAATGTCGACAGAACGACTGCCAAGAAGATGACTTCTGGAGGAGCTGAGCAACTGAATCGGAAAATTTCCCTCGCTCTTGCCCTGACCCACGCCACGGTGACGCATTGCTGGAGCTCTTTGCACGACTTTTCCGCGGGGACGCTAGACCCGGAGAGCACGCAGCGCAAGATTTCGGAAAACGAGGAGCTGCACAAGTGCTGGTCGCACGTCTTGAACCTGGGGAAAGCTCCTTTCAGCTACCGAACACTGACGAAGTTCGTTTCCTTGGTTGCGACGCTGGATAACGCTACTAGTACCGCTAGTACAACTTCTGCCGGTGCCGACGTTAACGAGTCCTTGTGGGAGGCGTTGTTCTTGCAAACGTACTTGTGCGAGATTCCCCGGGCGCCGGAGTTCGTCAAGAAATTTTTAATCGCGGGATTACAAGCCGGAATGCGTGCGGCGATGAACAACAACGATCAGAAGTCGGCTGAAGAGGACGAAAGAACAAGCAATAAATTCCTGGAAACCGCAATCGCCCTGACTTCTTGTTCCCAGTTAGACAGCTCCGCTGCAGCCGCTTTTTCGCCGGTCAACGTGTTGAACCGGAGGGCGCTGGCGCTGAGAACCGCCGCTTTAGCGAGCCAGGACGTCGTGCAGTGTTTGGTTATTTTCCTTGACCGAGCTTCCACTTCCACCAGCGACATTGAAAACTTGAGACACTTTGACTCCGCGCCCTGGCAGCCGGCTTTGAAAGACCATTTGGCCGACAGGGTGAAGATCCAATCAAAAGAAGTTCAGAGAGCCCTTGCAATGTTGGACTTGACGGTGAAGCTGGACGCGGCGACCGGAGCGGAGCTGAGTTCCTCGTTGGTGCAACAGGTGAAAACTGTGGGGTCCTGGTCGAAAACGTCTCTGCAGAAAAACTTGCACCTCTTACCCCACCCAGTCATCGCTTTTCTCCACCGACTGATTCAAGGTTTGCGGAAATTCGTTTTGACGAGCCAGAACGACCACCTGCCGGACAAAGTCTCCATTCTGTTCCTGACTGCCGCCGCCCGGATTTACGACCTGTTGGTGAAAAACGAAAAATGGACGCTGAAGGTGCAGCGAGCGGTATTGTACTGGGTCTCGATACTCTACTCTCACCCACTGTTTGCAGCGTACTCGTCGTTTGTTCCATGCGATGACGAGGATGAAAACTTGGGGAACGTGATGAAGCAACTTGCGGACGCTTGTGGGTTGAAGAAACCGCTGGAGCTTGTTCCGTCGTCGTCCTCGTCAGTTGGTCAAGGACAAGCGGAAAATAACCAGTTGGAGCTCCGTCCCGTGTACCACTCGGCGGCGGAATTCTGTGCCGAGAAATTCTTGCTGCACAACACGAGTTTGCCACTGACGGTTGTTTTGGAACTGCTGGCGCTGCTGCGGTTCTGCAGGCCGTTGAACGAGGGTGTTGACACTTGGTCTGGCAGCACGAAGGAGGGGCGCCGAAGTAGCATCAATAAAACGACCAACACGACGTCGACCCTCCTCAAGCAGGAAGACGTCACGCTCCTGCACTCCGCGATTGCGACCATTTGTCAAAACGAGGCGACCGCGCAGCGAAAGAAGCACGAAGCGGTGGCGAATGGGGAAAGTGATCTTGTCAACGTGGAAATGATGCAACATCAGGGTAACACCGACGTGGATGAGAGCTTCTTCCAGCAAAAGAAGGACAGGGTTGAGAAGGAGCGGAACGTCGAGAGCGAGAAGATGCGGGAAGCCCGGAAAAGGGCCTGGCGACGGTACCAACTCGTCGAATTGGTGGACAAGATGTGGCAAAGGTCGTCCAACTCCGACTCCGACAGTACTTGTGGCTCATCTACCTCTGTGGAAGCCGTCTTGCGGGAGATGAATTCCGATGCTATTTCAAGCAACATGCGGATGGCGGTGGTGGTTGCTGGCAGAGACCAAATATTAAAGACGACACCAGGGACCACATATTCGTCCTCGTCTGGCTCTTTTACCCTGAGCAAACAGACGATTGAGTTACTTCTCAAGAGCGGGGTGTCGAAAAAGGTGCTGGGAAATTTGAAATCGTTTTCAGGAATGACAACATCAGCAATTGGGAATAACAGCGAAACAGCGGACAGCGACTATTTCCAGCACGAGCTCCGCTACAACCTGTTGAAGGCTATCGAGGATGTGCTTGCGCCAATAAACGAAGAAACGGAAGAGGAGGCAAAGGAGCTTTTTGCCTACAACAACGATTCTATTTCCGGTGCAGGAACTACTGCAACCGCATGCACAGACGTTTTGTCGATTCCTGGCTCCGCACTTCTTCTCAACGGATACGCGCCGGCTTTTGCTTTGAACTATGTCAAGCGCCTGGACGCCAACGCAGCTATCCAAGATCGCGATGCCATCGTGGGTCATTTGACACATTTGTTTGGCGCGCAGGTAGAAACAACGAGATCATCATCTTCAGGATCGTCTTGCGGAGGTTCCGCTGTAGCAGTACCAGCAGCGGCAACTTCTACAACTTCTCCAATGAACCACATCCACAACACGGCTGACTGGCTGCTTTTGTTCAAGACTCTGGAACAGGAACTTGCAAAACAGCCTCTGCACGGGGAGAAAGTCGAACTCGTTTGCCTCTTTGCGGCATTGGAGGAAGTTATGCAAATACCGGTCGTGACAGCGGAAGTGGCAAACTCCGCTCTGGCAAGACTGATCGACGTACAGAACGATCTGTCACTCGTTTGCGAGTTGGAGATGAAGAACAACGCTGAGAAGAGCAAGAGGACGAACATCGCTAACGCCCACCTCCTACCGGTGTTGGATCTCCTGCACGAACTTTTGGTGGATAACTACTTCAGGAATCCGAACTGCTACACCGAGAAGCTGGAGTACACGCGTGGCCTCTGCTGGGTCCATTTGTCCCTCGCGAAGTTGCGTTTGAGTGCTGGAACGATTTTAGTCCCTGGCTCCGTGGATTTTCGGGAGGCGGTTGGCGAAGGGATTACCGAGCTAAAAGCGCAGCGGGATTTGACACGTAACAGCCAGCGGGTCACTTCCATTTGCGACCAGCTGATTGACGGCAGGGTCGTGACGAAGAAAAGTAAATGCGACGAGTCACAGATTCAGAAAATCGAGCGCGAGATCAAGGACTTGCAGCAGTGGAGCTGCGTCAGACCGCCGCTCGCGATTCTGTCTCACTGTGGTGGAAACGGAGAAACCGATGAGATGAAGTGCAGGGATTCAACATTTTCTGCTCTAGCAGCCTACGTCCGCGACTGTGTCCCCTCCGTAACCGCTTCTTCCTTCTACACTGCCGACAGCGAAGAGTCGACGGGGCTGGAAACACCTAGCTACCAACAACTGGTGCAGGAGGTGCGGCAATTTCTGGAGGCGTTTGTGCAGCTGACTGAGAAAAATGAACCTGGTACAACTGACAGTGCCGGACGAAGAAGCGAAACTGCAGAAGACAATAAAACAGCCGAGCATTTCATAGAGCAGCACTTGGTCCTCGATGGGAGGTTGCGGCTGCTGACCGACTCGGTCAAGCAGTTCGTGAAGAAGCTGGAAGCGGATTTCCCATTGTATTGTGAACTCGTCGAGCCTGTCGGCCTAGCGTGCCTCTCGCTCGTCCACGGACTTCACCTGGTGCGGCTGAACCGCAAGAACATCGGCAACCACACCATCGGACAGTCCTCTGGAAAGATGGGCTCTAGGTCTTTCCGGGCCAAGCACCTCGCTTCTCTGCCGCAGGTTGCGGCGCTGACAGACGGAAGTGCTGGAAGTCTTGACAAAAAGCAGTCTTCTGGCGTCGATATAGATGAGGACAACACAAGAACCTTATCGACCACGACTTACTCCACTTCCTCCCTTGCTGAGCAAGCACTTTACCATTTGCGTTGGCGCGCGGTCACGAAATTGCACTCCCGATCGGAGCCGAATCTGACCGCTGAGTTTGCCCGGAAGAAGCGCGAGGCGGTTTTTCTGGCGAAACGTAAGGTTTTGGAGCAGAAACGGAGGCTGAAGGAGGAAGCGCCGGTGAAAAAAGTGAAAGGCAAGCTGACGAGGGAGGTGAAGAAGATCCAGGTGAAAAAGCAAAGCACTGCTACAAAGAGGGCAGCTTCGAAGCAGAAGAAAGTGCACCAGAGTGGTGGACCTAGAAAGGGCGGTTCTACTACCTCCACATCAACATCATCTCTCCAACCGGTCGAGTCGATCGTCCCTGTGCCGGTGGTGAGGGTCTGGACTCTTCTCCAGCAAGTGGCGATCAAACACTGCGAGGAGATGTCGCGGATTGAGGAGGAAAAAATGGAGCAGGACAGGCAGTTTCAGTACAAAAAGACCGGGGTGATGAACGGAGTAGATGAGGAAGCCGATCCGGAGTCGGATTTGGAGGAAGACATCGCACGGCTGTTCCCGTCCAACGAAGACGAAATCCGGAGAATCGCGGAGGAAGAGGAGCGGAAGGAGCTGCAGGACGGCTTCTTCGACGCTGATGTCGCCAAAGGATTGGAACAGACTGCGGCTGACCAGCAAATGGGCGCAGTCGTGCAACAAAGTGGACATCAGCAACAGCAGCGCGAGAAGAACCTCGTGGATCAGAAGCAACTCGACCTGCTTTGCAAGTACGCACTTATCGCGTTCGAGGACGACAGTTCCAGCACCTTCACATCCTCGGAACAGTATCAGAAACAGCAAAGCAGCGCGGCAAACCAGGAGCAGTGCCGGCAGAGCGCCAAGGAAGCACTTGGGGAGGCTTTGTCGACTTCGCTCGAAATGTTTCTGACCGCGAACTTTTCGACCGAAGAACAAATTTCTGGTACTGGTTCAGACGGAGGCGCTGCTTCTCGAAATAAGCTTATCCCGATTGACATGAAGCATCTGATCCAGCCATTGGTGGCACTCAAGCTCGGGAAGTCCGTGAAGTTGCTCGCCGACCAGCCGTTGGCAATTCTGGACCAAGACGACGACGAGCTTGATCGGAAATTGTTCGCAAACAAAACTGCAGGAGCCCCGTCTACCGCCACATCGGGAGGTGCAGCACAGATGGAGAGTGGCAAGGAGCTGCAGGATTCTGACGGCAAGCCGGCAGCCAAAACTTCCGATGCTGTTCAGCTGCAGTCACAGCCAGCAACCGTTTCGACCAGCACCGGCTCACACCAGGAGCAAGAGTCCAACAAAACCATCGAGGACCTGTTGAAATCGAAATACGAAGATGAGTTTGCCTGTCGGAAGAACGTCACTCTTAAAGAATACGAGTCCGAGCTGGACCAGGAATCCGGCTGCAGTTTCTACTCCGCCTCTAGTCCGCAGGATTTGACCGCCGTGGCGCCGCATCTGGAAAAAATCCAAAACCGAGTCAGAGAGCTACTCCTCGAGTACGAAGCGCACCCTGCGCTGGTGAACATTCAAAAGCAGGTGAGCCGGATGTTCCGTTTGAGTCTGCTGCAAACCCCCGCGATCCATGTACTCACGCACTTGGAACTTCTGCGCGACAAGTGCCAATTCTGGGAGGAGGTCGCGGCGTCCTTTGTGTCGCTGAAGCCGTTGCTCGTCGGGGTCGAGAAGCTGATCGTGGAATTGCGAATGCGGCAGGTGAGAGACTGGCGACTCTTGCGCGAAAACCGCGAGAGCTACTGGCAACAGAAGGGCACGATATGGCTGTTACGATTGGTGAAGCTGGTCTCGGGGTATTTCTCCAGTGACAGAAATTCGTCGAAGCCGGGGTCGTGTTCGGAGTTGTCTTGCGAGGAAGATGCTGAAATGCCAGATCATGCTACAGCGGCTGGTGAAGAAGTACAACTAGATGGCCAGCACGCTGTTGGTGAAGGCTCCGACGAGGACCGAAGTCCTTCGTTCAAATCCGAAGAACTGATTGACGAGCTGCTCCGGTTTCTCCGCATGTGTCCCGTCGCGCAGTTCCATCTCCGGACCCGCATGCTCGGCGCGTTGTCTTCGCTTTTGGAAAAGCAACAACAGCATCAAGATAGAAATTTGTCTTGCGTCGAAATAAACGGAAGTACCACAACGGAAATAAAATCATCTTCCTTAACCTCATCTCCGTTGTCTAAAATCACGAACATTCTGCGTCACGTCCACCGGTTTTCCCGCCGTTGGGTCCCGGTTGTCGACAAGGCGCTCCGGGAGGCGCGGGAGCAGGCGGACCGGGAAATCAACGATTTGCGGAAGATCGTCCGGTGGGACCTGTCGAACTTCACCGCCATGCGAGACTCCGTGAAGCGATCCCACCGCCAGCTGGCCAAGATCGCGAAACGCTTCGACGTGGCTTTGCAAGAGCAGACCGACCAGGTCTTGAGTCGGCAGTTGCAAACGCACATCGAGAAAACGGATTTGGGCCCGGAAGATGTCATCGTGGATGACGGACTGGAGGATGTTGATGAACACGACTATGGTAGTACAGCAGGCATGACGACCGACACCGAAGAGCTGAGCGCGCTAACATCTTTTTCGACGAATTTCTCGTCTTCTATACTGCAACCGTACCTGCTGGTCGTCGAGGTTGATGGCAAGAACACAGGTACGAAGTCACCGTCTGGAAATAAACTTCGATTCTCCGACACGGACGCGTTCTGGCGCCACCCGGACGCGATCTTTTCCATCAGGGAGCGCATGACAAGTTTGGTGAAAACGAAAGTGCTTCCCGAACTCTGGGCGTTCCGAAGTGCCGATGAGGGCAACTACGACATCAACGGGCTGTTTCTCGGCCAGGACTTCGCGCAGGGGGTCACGAACGTGCTCGAGAGCTTGAAAGACCAGAGTGTGAACATTCAGCTGAAGAAGCGGCAACTGCAGGGGATCAAGGACGAGCTGCAATCGTACGGGATCAAATACCGGTCCTGCAGCTCCGCGCAAATGCTGAACGCCGGGATCGAACTCTTCACGACACCCTTCCCGGAAATTGCGACCCACATGCAGCCATCCTGCTTGCTCGGAGGTGGAGGAGGGTTTGCTTCTTTTACTGATGTTGAACATCTTCAGCTGACCTTGATGACCACAGAGAGGACCACGAGCTCCGGCATGACAAACTTATCCTTCGAGTCCAACCTGACGCGTCAGCGGAACCAGCTCTGGCCGGTGATTGAGCACAACCTGTACACGGCGATGCACTCCTTCCTGCGGATCCGCAGCCGCAAGGAGCCGCCCCAGGATCTGACCAACGTCGAGTACTTGAAGTACGTCGGGATCGCGACTGAGGCGGTCCGACTGGTCAGCTTGCACCGCCAGCGATGCGTGGCTGCTGCGAGGGAAATGCAGGCGTTTGGCAGCTTGATGGCAATTTTGCGGTCCTCTAGCTTTGAAGATGGGAGTGATGTAGATGTTGTCCAAGAAGAACAAATTAGCGGAAGTTCTTGCAGCAAAAAATCAACAGCCGAACAACAAACGGGAAAAAATCAACCGCTTCTTGTGCTGTGCGACCTGACATCTCTCACGCACCTCTTTCGACAGATCGACATTGCGGCCGAGTCGGTCCGGCAGTACGAGTTCTTCGTGGAGTCCTGTATCGAGATATGCAATACAAATTTCCCGTACATGTACAAGATGCATCACAAACTTCGCCAATTTGGAGCGTAAAACTTGTCATGCTAAACTAGAATCGAAGCCAAGTTTTGTCATGCAGAGACCGCATTTGTACGTGTACGGGAAATTTACTGTGGATACGAGATCGTCGGTGCGAGCTCGCAGTTGATCGCGCAGCTCGCATTGGTTCGGGAGTTGCTGCACTCGGCGAAGCTGTACCTGCAGGCCACCCCGGAGTACCAGTGCTACGTGCTGAATAGTGCGGAGTTTGGCTCTTTGACAGAGACAGCAGGAGGGACAACATCATCACAAAAGAACGCAGTTTTCGTCCGCGCCTCGTTCCTGGATAATTTGAGAAGTTATTGCGGCGAAGCTCTATCGAAGCAGGTGCAGCTGATGCGTGACACAACTCCAAAATCGGTGCCAACATCGCTTCACGAGAACTGTGTGGCCGCGTTTGCCGTGGTCGTCGGAGAGTTCCAGAAAATCTACGGTGGCGCAGCGTCGAGCGGCGCATCAACGACGAGCCAAAAAATCATCGCAGGAGCAGCAGGTTCATCTAATATTCTCAAAGAGGAACAACAAGCATCTCCCGCCCCCGGCGATGACTCTTCAAGCTCAACAACTCAAGAGCCCTTCCGTGTCATCCTTCTCCGCACCGCGATGCAGGTTCTCCAGGACACCATCCAGACCACATTGACGAGAGATCCCTCTGTTTCCCACAAAGCAGCGAAACTGCAGCTGGAAACTGAAGAAGCGAATCGGACCGGGAAGCTCGTTTCTTGTTCCACCGCGGCGGAAAAGGCCGATCTGGAGGAGGAAAACACAACCACCCCGCAGCCGACTTTCGCACTCCCAAGATCTTGTACGGGTGCTGTTGACACCAGTACGGATCGCGCGGTAGAGCCCAACGCTCCAGCTCTTCCACACCAACGGCACTCCCTCTTCTCCCCGCATTTCGCAAAACTGTCCCGCTACGTGTTGGACAACCCCGCAAATAGGGAAATCCAGGAGACAGCAGGTATTTTGACGCAGGTCGCATTGATGCACGAGGCGATGCTGACGACCAGCCTGCAGACGCTCGCCGGTTTGTCGATCTGTTGTGCGAAAACGCTCGAGTTGATCAATTTTCTCTTCGACAACGGTTACAATAGGGGAAGCAACGAAGACGGAGAGGGAGATGAGGTAAGGAAAATTCGGCCTCTTGTTGATGTTCCTTTCAGATTTAAGATTTGTTGCTGTGTCTCTGTTGACATTTTTTGTAGTTGATTCTGCAAATGCGAATGCAATCTTAATGTCTGTGATCAGTCCGTGTCTAGACCTGGAGCAACTCATCCATTTTCTCGTGTTCAAATGAAATTCCCACACACACACTCTGGCTGGGGTGAGGATCACCATCTTCACGTACTATATTTTTTTTTGCATTAACTCAACAGGGCGAGGGCAACCACGCCGACGAGTGGCAGGACGGTACTGGTTTGGGCGCAGGGGAGGGTGCCCGCGACATCACGGATCAAATTGAGGACGAAGCGCAGCTGGAGGGCCTGAAAGGCGACGAAAACCCAGACGACTGCCCGCCGCCCGAGGATGAAAAGGATACCGCGAAAGAGGTACGATTTGCGGTTGTGGTTTTTGCTTTGCAAATGGCACCCTCACGTGTCGAGGACGTACTTTGTCCGCATTAGATGATGCCGAGCGTCTTCATGTTGTAGTTGATAGAGATGGTTGAAATAACAACTACAAAGAGGACCACAACACGTTCTTGCACATTGCAACTCGTTCGTCTAACCCTAGGAAAATGAAAGTAAAGTACGTCGATTCATCTCTAAAACGAAACAGGTCGGCTTCGATCTGGACGGGGAAGCCCAGAAGGCGCCTGATAACGCAGAGGAGAAGGAGAACGAGGACGAGAACCCAGAAGACCAAGAAGAGCCGGAGCACGACCGTGAAATGGGGGACGTGGATCTTGATGATGGCGGGAAGCTCGACGACAAACTCTGGAACGGGGACGAAGAAGAGGAAGATGAAACCAACACTGATTCGAAAGAGGACAAAAAGGAGCAAAAAGAGGATATTCAGGCCGACGGGGGACAGGAGCAAGAGGGTGAGAAGGAACTGAAGGGCAAGGAGGATGAGGAAAACAAAGACTCAGCTGCGGGGAAGGAGGAAAAAGACAAAAACCAGGAAAAGCCGGGCGAAGAGGAGGAAAATGTAGAAGACTGTGAGGAGGAGCAGAACAAAAATGACGAGCCTGCTGACAAAGGTGACGAAAACGACCCTGACGCCGCTGCTGACGAGGATGAAACCCCCGACGAGCCGAACCGCTACGACGTGAATATGAAGGGAAACGAGATCGAGGAGGAAGATGATGCTGGAGAAAATGAGGAGCAGGACAAAGATGGGCGAGAAGATCAAAACGAAGAACAAAACCTTCCAGAACAGGAAAATGCAGACATGAGCGACGAAGGCGCGGAAAACGCGGACAAAAAGGACATTGACGAGAACGACGGACTGTTGCAAGAGGACGATGCTGATGTTAACGACAAAGAGGGCGAAGATGAGACGAAGGAGCTGGATAACAACAGTCCGGACGACGAACAAGCTGCAGACGAAGAGAAGAACGAGGAAAATGTTGACCCCGAAGAGGACAAAGATCCTGAACCAGATGAAACGAAAGATGACCCAGCAGTTGTCCCCGAGAACTTCTCCGGCGAGGACGCGCTGAACAAGGGCGAGGACCAGGCGCCGGAAGAGGAGGAAAAGGAAAACAACCCCGAAAGCGACAACGAGCCGGAAAAGAAGGATCCGAACCTGCAGAAGTCCGAGCACTGCGGGGAGTCGGGTGACCAGGGGGAGGCCGCTGCGATTGATGCAGACCAGATGGACGAAGCCCCCGATGGGGATGACACCAACGACGCGCAGCAAGCCAACCCGCAGTCGGAGCAGCAGCAGGGGAAGTCGAGAAATAACCAGCAGCAAACAGCGAACCAGCAAAAAAACGAACAACAGAAGAAGCAACAGAGGCCGGAGAAAAATGACCAAAGCCAGACAGCGGAGGACAAAAAGAACGACTTGAGCTTGGAAGAGCGAAAGCTGCAGAAGATGGACATCGTGCAAAATAACGAAGAAAAGGAGCCCGATGCGGATGAAAAACTGGGTTTGAAAGACGAGAAAGAGCAGCATGATATGGAAGAGGAACAACTGCAAGACGGTTTACACGAAACGGACCCGAACGCGGATCTCGAAGCGATCGGCGAGGCGAAAGACATCGACGAGCACCAGGACATCGCGAATCGCATGAAAAAAGACGAGGAAAAGAATAGCGAAAATACAAACATTCTTGAGGAAGACGAACCGGAAGAAGTCAATCCCGATGATGAGGGTGACGAAAATAAGCAGAAAAAGCAGAAGCAAAAAGAGGCTAAAGCGGTCGGAAAGGAAAATAGCGATGATTTGGACGAAGACGAGTCACCTGACCGAAACAGGAAAAATAACGCACGCATTCTTCCCGACGCGGCGGACCTCCAAGAGGAGCGACTCCAGAACGAAACCGATCTGCTCAAGGCGTTGGAAGAGGCAGATGAAAAGAAAGATTTGATGCTAAACAACGCCGACAAGGATAATTCCTCTCAGCTGCAAGTGGATTTGAAGAACCTGTCTGGCAATAATACAACAGACGCTTTTGAAGATCAAAGTCTTTCGACAAACCAGGACCAAGAAAGCGACGACTTCCTGAACCAGCACCTGTCCGTGGACCAGGCCTTGAAACTGCTGGACCAAGACCGGCAGTTGAGGCTGGAGCGCATGCAGAAGGGAACCTCCTCCGACATCTTTCTCCAGAAACTGTACCAAACACTCGAGCAGGCGACCAGCAACCAGGCCGCCAACCTGGCAGAGCAGCTAAGAATTCTGCTCGAGCCGACGAAGCGAGGGAAATTGCAGGGCGATTACAAGACGGGGAAGCGGTTGTCGATGCGCAAAGTCATTTCCTTCCTAGCGTCCAACTACCGGCGCGACAAAATCTGGCTTCGCCGGACAAAGCCCAGCAAGCGGGAGTACCAGGTTTTGCTTGCCCTGGACAACAGTCAGAGCATGAAAGACTGCGGGGTCGCTCCCCTGGCGTTGCAGGCCCTGGTGCTGATTTGCTCGGCGCTGAGCAAGGCGGAAGTGGGTGACGTCGGGGTCCTGTCCTTTGGCGGCGACGCGCCGAGGCTGTTGTGCGGCTTCGAGCAGGAAAGACTCGGCGTCGCGGCGGCGAGGGCATCAAATGGAGGTGGAAGTAGCGCTGCTTCAAGCTCAGCTCCATGTCTGCATCAGTGTTCCTCGACAGCAGCACATGGCGGCTCGACAAGTAGCGACATCAGAAATGAAGACAACTCGAACTACGCCGGCCACCCGCATGACAGCAACAGCAACAGTCCTCTAGCAGTTGAGCAATTATCTCCCACGACGACCCCCTCCTCCCACAACATTGGTGCCGCTTCGTTCACTTTCGAACAGGCCAAACCGCTGCTCCAGCACCTCACTTTCGACGAAGAAGCGATCCGGTCGCACGATAAGGGGTTGCCGGACCTGCTGAAATACAGCATGGAACTCTTCGAGCAAACTGGGGGGTCTTCCTGTAGTTCCAGTTGCAAGCAGATCCTGTTGATCGTTACCGACGGCCGGTTCAACAAGCACATGGTACGGGCCCAGGTGCACCAGGCACTGTCCAGGCAAATTCTGCCGCTGTTGATCATTGTGGACCCGAAAGACGAACAGCCGGCTGCAAGAAGGGATGGCGAAGGTTTAGGCTCCTCAGCAGCAAAAGCGACACCAAGACCAGCAGCTCCTCCTGCTAAGCGCTCTACGTCCGTCTTCGACCTGAAAGGGGCCGACTACTCCACCGGGCAGTGCGTGATCACGCCGTATCTGCAGGACTTTCCGTTCCCCTTCTACGCCGTGGTTCGGGACCGGGACAGTTTGCCAGGGTTACTGGCAGATGCACTCAGGCAGTGGATTGAAGTGAGTAGTTGAGGCCGTGAGGACCGTGTAGGAGTTGTGTACTAGTAAAGCGATCTGCGACTTTGACTCTGAATCTGTGTAGCGTGATTTCTTATGTAATGTTGTGTCGAGGAACATGTACATGAACGAGTCAGTGATACTCGAACTCGCTTCGAGAAAAAATGCAACATGATATTTTTTAAACCGCGCATGAAGTACTGCATACAATTTCAGTAAAAGCATGACTACAGGCAGCTCTACATCATTCTACGAAGGACCAGATATCTTCAGTTGTGATCATTCTACATGGTTTGATTGTCTTGGCGTGCGATGTATGCCGATATGCGCTTTGTTGTTCTGGACGATCACTCGAGGGTATCTTTTCAAGTTTTTGGAGCGACGAGAGAGCAGAATTGATGTTGACACCGCATCTTCAATCACAAACACAATGTATCTATTCCGGGACATATACCCATTGTCTCAAGCTACTGGCTGCATGCCCATGAAATAGTGAGAGTCCGGCGTGTAGTTTAGCTCCTTTCTTTTAAAGCAAGAGCATCGACGTCAACAGTTCTTGCACATAAAATATCACCCTGCGTTCTTCTTCCTCCCCTCTCAATCGATAGGAAACTGGCAACTTGCTTGGCGCTTCAATAGCCACTTTTGCTGTTGAAAACTATGAAGCCTTAGAATTGCATCTGGCACTCAGAATTACTGTCTTGTTCTTCGTTGAAGAAGTTACTTGTACGTCCAATCTATTTCAGAAGAAAGAGAAACAAGACAAAATGGCAGCCGAAAAGCGCAACAATGGCCTATCGTGCGTGCAAATCCTCCCCCGCGTGCAAAACTACGGGTGGGGAAAGAAAGGGAGTGCCAGTATGGTCGCGAAGATGGCAGTAAACCCGAATGAGGTTGACGAGTCCAAGCGGTACGCGGAGATGTGGATGGGTACGCACGAGAAAGCGCCATGTTTGCTGGTGGCAGGAGCGGGCGAGGGGGGGAACAATTATGACATGGTGAACAAATTGAACAAGGATCACGAAACCAAAAAAGTATCAAAAGACGGCACGGCCTCCAGAAGTCCACAAGCAGAACCAGTTTCCCTTCTCGACTTTATCCGGCGTGACCCGGTTTATTGGCTCGGCGCGAACCCCACCCCGGCCGTGGCGGAAAACGACCTTCCGTACCTGTTCAAGGTGCTTTCGTTCAACCAAGCCAGCAGCATCCAAGTGCACCCAGACCGCACGTTGGCGAAGAAATTGCACGCCGAGCAGCCGAGTGTGTACGATGCGAACCACAAACCGGAAATTGGGATCCCGATTTCCGAGGAGTTCGAGTGTCTGTGCGGATTCCGTCCGAGGAAGGAGATCTTGGGTTTCATCGAGTCGATTCCGGAGTTGCTGACCGTGATGAAGTCGAACGGGTATAAAAACTGTAATCACGACGTCGACACTTGTTCTGGTGCGGACGATCGGGCAAAGGAAAAAACTTCTACTGTCGAAAGCCTCTACAAGATTCTGATGACAGCGGACCCCGACCTCGTGAATGAGGAGGTCGAAAAACTTGTCGCCAGTGTACTAGTGCTAGAAGAAGACCACAATAGCAGCCAGGGAAAGACAAAGATTCCAGAAGAGCTACAACCCGTGGTGAAAAATCTCGCGGAATTTTATCCGGGGGACGTGGGCATTTTCTCGGTTTTTTTCCTCAACTACGTGAAAATCACGAACAATGCCGTGGGGAAAAACTTTGTGTTCTGTGCCGCGAACGTACCGCACACGTACCTTTCCGGGGATGTCATCGAGTGCATGAGCTTATCAGACAACGTGGTGCGGGCGGGGCTAACGCCGAAGTTCAAAGATGTGCCGTTGCTGTTATCCATGTGCGACTTCAGGGATGACATACTACCGGAACTGATCAAACCGGCGGAAAAAGTGGCGGAAAACCTGTATCTCTACAGCCCGCCAGAAGAAATCCGAGACTTCAAAGTATTTTTGTCGTAAACGGAAGTTTTTTTATTTTTTCTTGATTGCGTTTTGGTGGATCTGGATCTGGATCTGGATGCATTTGCATTTTTTTCTCGTTCTTTATTTTCACAGCAGCTTTATGTCGACCAAGTCTAACTCACTGTAACTTCTGCAACAGGTGTTTGAAGTGACCGGAAATGCCAGGCAGACGTTGCCGCAAGCCTCTATCGTGTTAATTCTCTCCGACGTCTGCTGTTTGCAAATCGACGGCTCTGCCCCCTTTGTCGCCAAGAAGAATACAATTTGGTTTGTGAAAGCGGGTGCGGATATTGTTTACTCTGTGCCGGAAGATGTTGAAGGTGGGAGTACGGCTAAACATGATATCCGGTGTTTTGTAGCAACGTCTTGAAGCTGCAGAAGTTCGTGCTTCACAAAAATTTGTATTTGTACTGAGGAGCAAGAGCAGCAATTATGAGCAGGATAATGTCAAGATGAACTACGTTTGCGTAATGGTTTATTGTCGCATTTTCAATCATGAAAGCAAAGCGAAAAGGAAAACGCAAGCGCGGCAAGCGCACTGCGGTAGGAGGATTTGTAGTAGCCACTGTACTGAGAGCGCAATCGCAAGAATAAGTTCCACTTGTGTTTGGTTTGATGGCTGTATGCCGTGTCTGTGTCGTCATGAAAGACTTGATTACTTAAACAAGAACATACGGAATGGCATTTGCATTACGCTATCGAGTGGAGGTTGCCTTTCACTTTGTAGATTTTCGCTTTTTATTGAGTCATCCACGACCTTTTTTACCAGGCATACCAAAATTTTTCAAGAACAGTCGGGCACAAAAAGCATGATGAATGAACAGGAAAACAGAAAAGCAATTACAGACAAAGGCAGGAGTTGTAGAAAGAACCTGCGACCACCAGTGATAGACGCTCTTAGTTTTGCTCCTGCGTTCTTTTTTGCAACGAAGATCAGTAGGTAGGACCGCTGCGTGCTACGTATTTTGCTTACTGTTGCACTTACAGTGTGACCAGATCGTGAAGGAAACATGTAAAGATCTCGTCGTGCTATTTCTGTTGTGCCCATCTCGAAAAGTTGAAGTTCTGACCATTTTATGGGATGATGGCACGCATTTTGGTATTGGTTGTTGTGCTTCAATTTTTGGGAAATGAAAGCACAGCAGCTCAATGAAGTTGAAGGCAAGATCCACTTTTTTTACCAGCATTGTGTTACAGTATTTGATCGGACAGTGTGAAGAAGTGCGCGTGTTTTCTTTTTCCACCGGTTCTGACTTTTCTTTGTCTTTTCTAAAGACTTCGGCACATTTTATGTGGCCAGAAAGGGCCCCCTGTACGACCTGATTAACCTAGCAAGTTCAGAACCTGCACCTGGTGGAATGACAATATTTTTAGCGATGCAACGATAGACAGGTCGGAAGTAGTACGAAGGACCTGACCAACGTTGCATCGTGTCCATCTCCATGCGAATACATTTTTTCATTTCCAGCATGATGATGTTTCCGCTTTGCTACAAAGGTTGACCTCCTGTCTGCGCAAAAATAGGTTTTCCAATTCTGCATTTCTTCATCTACCGAGACTACGTACTTACATATTTCGAAGCTACTAGTTCTTTATTCAAATTTTACAATCCGATATCATTTTTTTCTTTTTATTTGCGGGTTTCTGCATCCGTTGATTGGTCGTGGTCGTGTATGCAACCTTGCTCTGAAAAAGAAGATGGTCGTGTTAATTTCTGGGACGACAGCCACGTCATCGACTTATTCAAGAGCGACAATATTAAAGCCTGGAGCTGGACCACGAAAGCCACATCGCTTTTCCAAGAACCAGCTGGCCCCGGCAAGCCGCCTGTACTACTGCTTCCTCCTCATCACTTGCGCCACCGTCCGTCACACCTGCTCAGCGTTTCGCCCTGGATTTGACAGTACTAATAGTGCACGACCTGGCACTAGAAACAGTGGTGAAGAAAGAGACGAGGTGGACACAAAAAAACTTGATGTTGAACCATCAGCATCAACACCACAAGTGCCAGGAGCAGCAGTAGCAGAAGACAAAAATAATACAGAAACAGAAAGACGAGGAAGGCGAAGCAAGGTCATATCCTTATCCAGCGAGGATGTTTTGGCGGAGGACTACAGGATTGGCGTTGAGAAAGACAGCCAGGCCGAAGGTCGGATCTCTGCTGTGGCCGAGGTCGAAAATACTGACCTCCTGCACCCCGTCAAGTTCCAACAAGTGCTGGCCCAAAAGGCCGCAGTAGTAGAGTCGGCGCGTGAACAAGACCAGAGGCAGGATCAGGAACAGGACCAAAAGGTCCGGAATTTTTCTAGCGCCAGCCAGCAAGTAGAAGAACCACAACGCCCGAGACTGGTGGATGAAGAAGCGGACCAGGACCACCAGGACCACTCGAAGCTCTTCTACTTATCTCAGCAGCCTCAAGGGCTTCTTCACCAGCGCGGCGGGGGCTCTTCATCGTCCTCGTGGCAGTATACGAACCAAGTCCAACAGCCTAGTACAGGAGGTCTTTTACTAGCAGATAGTACAACTAGTCGAGCTTTTCCTGGCGGAGCAGCGCCACGAACAAAGCTCGTGCTGGGCGAAAGAGGAGGTATGTCCAAATGGTGAAGAAAGTGGCACATAATTCACAGCTGCTAGTAATGTTAGTGTTACCATACCAAAATGATAAACGCTCTTGCTAAAAAGATATACGAAGATTGGATTTGCTGCGTAGTATTTGATTGAAAGTTTTTTTTCCTCAAAAAATAGAGGTCTTGTTCAATACTATGATTTCGACGTTTACAACGTCTCAAATACAACAGACCAACCTCGTCCCGCTGGAGCCTCTGATTATTCACAGAGCTGCAGCGACTTTTTGCAGCAATCATGTCAGCAACCTGGTCTCCTTTTCTGCCCCCGTGTAGGAGTTGGGGAACGAGCTCCTGCAGAGCGGGTGCTTTCTTCTGTAGATTCCGGGTCGATGAGCGTCGGATCCATTGGACATCCGCACTCTTGCAAGTCCGCTTGTCGCTACGTCAAGCGCAAGGGGGGCTGCCGCTACGGAAACCAGTGCCCGAACTGCCACTTGTGCTTCTGGCGCCGGGAAAAAGTCGTTGCGGGAGAGGATCAGGTGCGTGATCTGCATGATCGATAGAAGTGTGCTTTGTTTTTCTCATCTATCTCTATGAATTTTCCTTGTGCCGCCGCGGTCTCCGTGCAGGAAGAGGAGCAGACTAAGCAAGCAGGCTATCATCGTGTCGTGTGCTGCTCTTTGCCACTTCACAAGAAATATGGCGCAATCTCAGTTCATCATCTTTTTTGTACATTAGTTACTTACTAAAGTCCTCCACTAAAAACCTCACACAGTTTGACGACGCCGCGTCCGTTTCCTCGGGGATGAGTAGTGGAACAACTTCCAGCTATGTTTCCAGTATTTGCGGTGTCGAGCAGACCTACCCGTGGCAGATGTCCATCGGGAGTTGCGGACACCCCAACACCTGCGGTGCCCCGTGCAAGTACGTTCGCCGAAAGACCGGCTGTCGAGAGGGCGAAAACTGCCCTAGTTGTCACCTCTGCCAGTGGTCTCGACCGAGCAGCAGCGAGATGAGCGGCAGCCATAGCCATGCGAAGACGAAGACCAAGACGAAGATCGCCATCGCCAGCCGTCTGTTCCCCGGTATTCCGGAGAACGAGGAAGAGGCTGGTTGTTTATTCCAAGAGTCGTCGTCGACTCATACGGGAACACGAGGAAAAACTACTCGCGTGGAGGACAACTTACAACGGAGCCAGCGGGAGATGGACGAACTGTGCCTATTGGTGGCGCAAGGGTGCAGGAGCGTACCAGACGAAGGCCGCTCATCTGGAGAACGATTGACATCCTCTGTGGGCACGACGCAGCTGCGCAGACCAATGGTTCCGGCAGAGCTCAGCAGCTCGCTCTTGGAGATGAACGAGTTTTCTGTTGCTGCAGAACAAGAATCGGATCACTACGATTTTTCCTTCAGCGGGCCGCAAGAGGACACGGATGAAATTGCGACTGGAGCTGCCGCGAGTAGACATCATAATTCGCAGAGAACAACCAGTGGTGCCGGCGCTGCACTCTCTTCGTTCATACCATCGGGCACCAGGAGAACACCTGGCGCTGCAGTTGCAGGGGGTAGTAGTAGGGCGAGCGGCGCCTCACAGTCTACTTTTACCGGGTCTGGAGGAATGGGGACTTCCCACAGACTTTTGCGGCAGGGGAAAAATCCCTCGTCGGCGGAGGCGTCGGTAGATCCACACGAAGAATCCTTGATAGCAGGAGGGGAGTCATCTGCTAGTAGAAGAACTTCTATCGCAGGGGCGGGGCAGCGTGAGCCGCAGGTATTTATTAATTTCGCTCAAAGTCTATAGTTTAGATGTAGAAGCACGCACGTTTTTTACATAACTCTTGTCGTGGGGGACATATTAGCATGGAAAGTACAATTTTGGAACCTCAAGAGGGGCAGAGTCTGCCTCCAGCCTGAGCCGCTTTGCCACAAACAAGTTCCGCTAAAGTCACTGTAGCCGTACCTAATATTCGAAACTCAGCAACAAGATGGCACTGTACGACCGCAAAGAACCGCCGGAGGATCATCCACTGTACGACCTGCGGCGAAAAACGTGTCCGGCAAAGACCTTTCGCTTTCCTCGCGTGGTCCGCTACCGAAAAAAAAACTGGCGTGTACGACGAGTCGAGATGCTATTGCATGCAGGAAAAAATCAGCCGATGGTCTCGAAAATAAGGCTACGGAAGATGGCGAAAAGACTTCCGCATGTCGACCAGAAGAAAGACACGCCTCCGCTCCGAAGGCGCAGGAAATCTGGAAAAAAGCTGTGACGACCACAGGCATTTCTACCACTAGTAGTTGGAACCTAGCTGCGCCCGAGTTCCTCCCCGCTTCATCTTCAGGTCACCAGACCACCTTTTCTGCTGCAGGAGCTGCTGATGATGTAGTAGGTGGTGCTGGAGGCTCGTCCGCGTCGAAGATCATAGCCTCATACTCCACGGAACAAGATCACGAACAGTGGGCAGACCAGCAGCAATCGCCAGATTACAGCAGAAGGAGCTCCTGTATTAACGCCGCCGGGTCCTCTCCCGTGATCACCACCAGGTCAAATGAAACAAGTCCAACTGGTGAAACAGCACCAAGCGTCCTTCCAAACGGGGCACTCTGCATTCCCGCGGGCAACATGTTTATGGGTTGGACCATCGTGCAGATGCCTGTGTTTGTGATGAATTCGCCTGTGGGTGCTGCTGCAGGAGGAGGAGCCCCGGCGGCCAGTGGAATAACTCCTGCCTCTGCGCCGGGTGGAGCAACCGGGGGCCCTTGCGCCATCGGAGGTGGCTGCGCAGTGTCCTCCTCGTCGTGTTCTTCCCACCCGACGAGAGACGACCAGCAGCACCGCATCGGCATCGTACAGAAGTCTTACAACCCAGCAATTCTTGTATCACCACCGCAGTCAGAGGACTCAGCGCAGCTGCACCATAGTACAGCCAGCCTGGGTGTTGAGGAAATATGTGAAGAGTTCGGCTTCATTGCACCAGCCACGACTACTGCTCCATCGTCTTCTTCTTGTGAAGTTGCTGTAACTGACTCCGATGTTCTCGCGTGTAGAAGAAGTCTTTCACCAGCCTCGAGCCCACGACTCTCGTTCTCTCGGTGTGTCACGGAGGACAACAGCTCGAACGTCCACGAGGGTCTGTCGGATTTCCTCCGCACGGCAGCCACGGCGATTGGAGGCACAACTACAAGCGGTGTTGATTCGGCGAGGGGAGATGACAGGAGGAGGTCCTCGCAGGATCAGGAACAGAAGCACTGAACCGACTACGTAGAAGTCGCGGTAGACCTCGACGAAGCGGAAGCAGTGTGCTCGGGCCACGGAGAAATACAGAATGCGGAGAGCAGTGATGAAAAGACGGAGCCTTGGCAGATGTGAAGGAATATCGGCGATGCTCTTGGTCAAGAGGAAAGAAGTGAGAAAGACTGTAGCTCTAAGATGCTGTGGCTGTTTTTTGGATTTATCATGATTTGCCAAGAATTGTAAGGATTTTGTGATTTTTAAGATTGGAAGATGTTGGCTTACTTCTTTGTGGCGATTCGAATTATTGCAATTGCCATTTTCGCCTTCGTTGGCCTTCTGAAGAGCAACAACGCTGCAACATGACGCATGCAACTATGACTATCACACGACGACGACCACGTGTAGGAATAACTTCTATCCAAATCCGCGAGTCGGCCTTCTCCATGGCGACATGATTTTCTGGTCTTGTCGTAAGTCGCCTGGACACGACGACCGAGCGGATAATGGTGCGTCAACTAAAGTTGTGTATTCTTGGTGATGGTGGTGCAGTAGGCTCTCGTACATAATATGCGAGCGAGCGTCGTTGTTGTTGTGTTACGTCGCTTACAGGGATAATAGACGCTCTCTATCTACTTCTCTACTTCTTTACTCGTCCGATAGCAAACTTCACTGTCTGTAGGGCAAGGGGGCGAAAGGCTTTGTTGCGCATGGAGCTGCGCACACCAGCAGAAGTTCTTTATTTGAATGTAGTACCGTAACCGTACTAGTCTTATGCTAATACATCTTCGACTCGCTTTTCTAGCCCGTATTTGTTTCATAAATGAAACTACTCCTATCGTCCTTTGATTCTCTTGATGCGAAAATGATTTTGGAGATAATGACAAAATGACCTAAACCTTGTCGTAAAAAACACTTCCAGTTGCTCCGTCCGCCCGGATTGTTTTCCCCTGACCACGCGAGCCGCAAAAGGAATACTTACACGCGGAGGCTTCAGGACTACAGAGAAAACGAAAACGTCGACCAACGCTGGATAAGCTTACGCGGTGGAGGAAAGGGTACCAGCAGCGGTTCTTCATTTATTCCAAACGCTCTAAATTCGTCGTCAAGTACAACTCCCGGCGTTAGACATGCCCGCACCTCCGGGGGCGCGAACAAGAAGGGCCAGGGCCATGGGTCGACGCGAACAAGAGTGCTGGAGGAACTGCAGCGGGGCGGCAAGGGCGGGGCGATCTCCAAGGGCAATAAAGGTCCCAGCAGCACAAGATTTTCGCGCCAAGAACAACAACAGTTGCAACACTTTGCTCCCACCGGCTCGACCCCGCCACCAACACCACTACCAGGTTCCGGCTTGTTTCCATTTCCATTCCAACATCAATCGCAGCCTGGAGCCGCACAGTTTGCGCAAAATTCTCTGGATATCTTTCCCCCAGGGTTACCGCTGCCGCCATTCTTTCAACAACCCGGACTGCTACAGCAGGGAGTTGTCCTGGCAGGAGGTGGAGCTGCTCCCACGTCAGCAGGAACTGCATCTCCTCCTTGTCCAGCACCACCGCAGCTGCTTGTTGATGCCTCCTCACCAATCAATGTGCCGGTTCCGCCGACACCCGCCAGGGAAAGCTTCTTACCGTTCTATGATTTCGGTGTTGATTATGATCTTCAACAACACAAATCATCAACCGGGACTACTTACAGCGACCCGTGGTTTCCCGTGCCGACACCGCAAGGAACGGCAGCAGGGGTCGCCGACGGGGACGCGAGAACGGTGCCTCGTCCAGCTGGTTCTACCTGCGCCGCAAGTTCAAATGCCGACGAAGGCGGGCCACCCAAAGTGGAGGCTGAAACCGCGAACACGGCGCCAAGCACTAGACGGAATACTACACAAGAGCAAGAGGAAGAAGACACAACTCCATCTACCTCTTTGTTCGATTGCTTCTTGTTCAGCACGAGCAGCTCGAAGGACGATCATGGAGCGGCAGGTGGACATCAACACGATAAAAATCAAAATGAAAACCAAGAGCCAGACTCTGAACCTGCCCGACCAGGTGGATCAGTTGGCACTGATGAAAACGCCGGGGGCGCTCAGCAAAAACGTAGCACGACCCGTGAAGGAGCAGGTCATCTTCATGATGGAACACCAAGCATAGCCGTCGAGCGCCAGCAAACAACTGCTACTACCCGGACGACAGAACCAAATGCAATCGGAGCTGACGAGGACGAGCGCGCGTTCGCACTCGCGCATGCTATCCGAGATATTATAACGCAAAAACCGAGCAGCGCCACGGCAAGCAACTCTGTGCGCGCCAGCACTACAACAGGTCCTCATCCAACTGGGACGACGACATCCCCAGTAGACCACGCAGCTCGCCCCCCACCTGCAGGGCAACAGGCTGAGACGACCACTGCTCATAGGCCAAATAACGAACCGCTTTTCGGCAGAAGACAGCAAAAAGCACAACCGGTCGCTTACTATTTGGACGAGGTGGAGCGAGCATTTGTTGAGTCCTATTCATTGCAAAAGCACCGTGATCCCTACTGCTAGGTGTGAATAAACGCGTGAGAAATAATGATCAGTTGCAGTTCAAAAGGAAAATAAACTGATGAATGTGTGGTCATGCAGACTTCAGGTAGCAAATGCAAACTTCCACATCTGCTGACATGACGCGTTATGAGCGCAATTAGTACGAGGACTGCGATGCTTTTGCACGGGATAAGTCCTCCTCACCAGCAACAGCGGGCGGAGCAGGTGTGTCCCCGTCGGCGTCGCCATATTACAACTCATATTCGCCACCAGCAACGCCTGCAACACATCTTCCATTTGGAGGAGCAACAGCAAGTTCACCATATGCTAATGTACTCCCATTATACAACCAGTCACCTTCTTCCCCACCAGTACCACATCCACCCTCCAGCTTCCCACAAGACGCATCATTACAGCACGTCCACCTCATGCACCACATCCCTCCAGCACCGCCACTTTCCCCACATATCTACCAGACTGTGACTGGTCCTGACAGCGGAACGCTCGGACACCAGTCGCAAAATTATCAGTTTCAACACGACGCCGCTCCGCCGCAAAGTCCGCACGTTTGGACCCCCAACCCGTGGTGCAGTAGTTCGGTACTCCCCGCTGCAGCCGCTGCCGCAAGTACTACATCTACGGCAGCCGCTGCGTATGCCCAGGCGTACCAGCAATCGTGGCAGCAGTCGGCCTTGCAGTTGCAGCGCATGAACTACCAGATGTACGCGCAAGCGCAGTGCATGGACCCCTACTCGCAGTGGTGGATGCAACATGTAGAGATTTTTGCGAATTTTTCATCGCCCTAGTTTCTACTTTTACTTGTTTTTGCGTTGCAGCATGCTTGCCTACTTCTCTGTCGTAGTAGTGCACTTGTTCTTGTTGTATGTTGGTCACCAAGAAAGATAAAACCAAAAACATCAGTGCTCCCGCACGTGGAACCCTGGCAGTCCAGCCGTGCTCCATCGCAAACAACTACTCCTAACGACTCCAAAAGGCGCGAAACGGACCAAGCAGCGATTTTTTCGCGATGGAGCAAATTATGCTTTCACAACGACTGGGGCTCCTGCGGCCACCGAACGTGGAGGAGGGACATCTTCGTCTTCTTCAGGGTTAGTACAGTCTGCAAACCATGTCCACCACCAGCAAGCGAATGTTACAGCGACCCCGCTGACCCTATCCTCTTCCTCGCTTTCGTTACACAATCAACAGTACCAGGAACACCCTACTCCTTTCTCGTCCATGGGACTGGCATCCTCCGCGTTGCATTTTGTTCCGCCGACAGCTACCCAGGCACAGGAGCTGCTGCAGCAGCATCAGCAATTACCACAAGATGCAGCTCATCATGGAGAAGCACACCGCAGTGGCTTTTCTTACGTCCATGATTTTCTGCACAGGAGCTCGGATTGGAATGATTTGAGCCCGCCGCCGAGCAACTACTACATTGGAACACCCCCGGCATCGGCGGCGATACCGAGGTCGCAGTGGTGGCCACCAGGAGCGGCAGTGGAGCAGACGAATAATGGGAACCATAACCCTGCGAGCCCTGTTGATCTCACGGCCACAACGGGAACAAGAAGGACCACTGCAGAACTTCTTGCAGCTGCACCGCCGCAAGCACAACAAGGTACGCCTTATGGTGTGGATAGTGCTGAAGCAGTAGCTGGTCCAGCAGCTCCTACAACTTCTACTACGAGCGGTACACAAGCGCAGCTATTTTCCTCCGACGCAGCTTCGCCTCAGTTTCTAGCGCACTACGGGCCTCGACCAGCTGCACAACTAGTACAGCCGGGAATATTGTCCGAACAATCGCGAGACGGGCCAGCTCCTGCACCTCCCCGTCATGAGCCGACCACTTCTCTAGGTACTACAGCGTCTGTGGCGGCGGTTGTCTCCGGTGCGGCTCAGGAGAACAACATGGTAGCAGAGAGTAACGGTGAAGAGGCCGCCGGAGCCGGACATGCAGTAGGTACTGGACCTGGTGACGGAGCTGCCGTCTCCGATTTAGAAGTTGTCACTGACAGTGCTGAAGATGATGATCCGTTTCGTATGCGGCTCTGAGGAGATCATGTCATGCTCACTTTAACTTTTTATTGACGTAAGTATTTTTTAACCTGTTACAGGTGCTCGAATTAAAATGGGCCTCTATGTTGATCAGCGTATGTTGTTTTCTATTCTACTCGGTCATTTAATACACGTAGCACGAACAGACTGGCGCTGGTCCCACTTTCTTGAGAATAGAGCTTCCTCCAATGAAAATTGCGCCGGTGGATTTTTTCGTCCAGCCGCGTGGTGCTGGAGTGTTTGCGCAGGCCATAGCAGAGTTCTACTTCTAGACGCAGACGCAAGATACGAGATATGTAAGACAAAAAATAAAGTTGGTCATCTTCAACGGGCCAAAGGAGCCTCTAGTAAGCGACAATGACAAAAAAAAAGTGCAATTATATCAACTAGCTAGAAGAAATAGTGTCTATCATCGACGCTTTTCTTTTATCAAACGTGCGGCTCGTGCACAACAAGAGATCTTCAATATTGCACAACACGAAAGCTTCAATATCACATTTTAGGAACACCACTAGGAAGAGAAATAGCAGGCTCGCAGAAACCAATAAAAAAATGAATGTCTTCAGAAATATGTTTTCCTTATCAAATGTACCCCACTTGATGGTTCGATGCCTGCAAAACCGCAATCTCAATGCGCACGCAGCCCTTTCGCTTACGCTTTCGCTCCTCTGTAGTTATGTACATCATTGTTTCGCTCGGTTTCTTTTTTCGACTTTTGTTCTTTGAGTCTCTTACCTACTCTTTCCAAAAGCGAGTGTTGTTGCAGAAGCGCTTTCAGATTTGCCACAACTCGAGATTTATTGCTTGCACCCTCGGAAGTCGTTCTTTCTACACTATGGTCTCTTACTCATCAGAGTTTAAGTTTTCCGAATTGAGTGGCCCGCGTGCCTTTATCTGCAAAAGTAGAAGTACCGATTTGAGAACAAAGTAGTTCATCCACACGATCATTAAAGGAAAACAAAAAACCAAAACGCAAAGTAAATTTTTTCACCATGTTGAGCTTCATCTTGATGACGTTGACGGTTTATGCAAATGAACTTTGTTTTTGTGTTTCTTGTAATTGCCAATTGCAAATCTAAATTGGTGCTATGTGTTGTTTTCATGTTCTTGATGGGTGGCGACATTGACAGTACACCAGTAGAGTATGTCTCGTGCTGTTCACTTGTGTGAAAGGCCGACGAGATCCGACAACTAAGTAATAAAGACGATCACACAGTGATGCAAAAATTGCAAGACCGACTCAAGGTGGTCACGCTTGCGTGTATTATACCTCTTGCTCTTCCTCTTTCCAGATCCTATAGACTGACATCGACAGTAGAGCAATTGCAATCGCAATGTGAAAGCTTTTATTTCAGCGTTGATGCTGCGCGCTACGGCTACGGGACGAGATTCAAGACCGAGCAACGGCGTCATGCTTCTCTGTTTGGGTAGAAGGCTGATCCATGCTCGTCTATTCTTCATCCACTGCGTTTGCGTTGCAGTCCTATCGTTCTCAGGTCTCACCAATCGGTCGTCCTTGGCGATAGGGCGAAAGCTGCACCACCAGCAGAAAACCATCGCGCCTCCGGCATCGCTCTCGTCCGCGCAACAAGCCACGACAATTGACTATGGATTGCAAAAATGTCTGGGTCTGGAAGAATGCAACTTGTGATGCTATTTTTGGAATCTGAAAAAATCTGTATTGCGTGAGCAGCAAGAGGCGTCCAGTTTTTGCTCCGCGGAGAGAGCATTTGTCATGCGGGATAGGCATCAAGATACCCGCAAAAAATCTGTCATGCTAGGTCATGCATTACAGGCATCATAGCTCATTCGAAATATATATGCATGACAAACCTGGAAATCTTCCAGGCCCAGACATTTTTACAGTTGATATTGACCACAGCAAGCCTAAACTTTGCGCCGCTGGTCTGTACGTGGTCTCCGACCATGAATTCGACACCTGGTATCATGGAACCAGCACCCCGGAGCCCAAGACAAGCTCTTCTTGGTCGTCCCATCCTCTTTTGGATGATCCACATGACCTGCAGCCGCGACGACCTGCTGGGCGCAGCGCAGGTGGAGCAGGTGCAACAAGTGCATCAATCATACCGAGACCACAGCAGAGCAGTCTGTTACCACTTCCGAACAATGCAGCTGGAAATTATGGCGCCGTCGGGCACGAGGATGGGCGAGGTAATCGTAATGTGAATGCGAACGACAGCAGGAGTTCCTCCCTCGCACCCACGCCACCTACTTCTTCCTTGAGGGAAAAGATCGAGAACTGGAAATTCCCCACGGACGAGGAAGACGCACAGGCCCGCGGCGCCGAGCGCAAGTGGCCGTCGTCCGCCGAAGACCTGAAGTTTCGCAAATTGAAAAGAATTACCGTTCTTCTCCTGCACGACATCCGCGAGAGGGACGGACTCGGCGAGGTGGTCGAGCTTGCCACCGGCGCCGTCGTGTCGGACAAGTTTCGCTGCAGAGGCCCGAGCTCCTGGCTGCCCTTCGGCGCGGGGTCGCACTACTACTTGGAACGGGAACCGCCGAAGAACTGGGAGGTGAAACTGACCGCGCATAACAGTGCGAGGAGGGAGTTGGTTGCGGAAAAGTGCTACCCGCCGGGGAGTTTGTGGACGTCGACCTCCACGAACCTCAGAACGAAGCACGCTGCAGACGAATTCGCGTCGTGTTCGGACGAGGATCCGGACGATGAACTATGCATTGCAAATGTGTCTGGGTCGTCTGGAAGATTGCCAGATATGTCATGCTTGTCTGACATGCACATGACTCGAAGCTCTGTCATGCGTAGGTGCAAAAGGATCGTTTTGATGTCTGTGACGCAAAAGCGCAGCCGCAGTCTGCCATGCGGAATAAGCTACACATAGCAGCTCAAAAGCTTCTTGTCATGCTTGGCCACGTATGACAGTGCGCCCAGTACTATTCCCTGGCTTGCATCACAAGTTTCCTGTTTCCAGATCCAGACATATTTGCATTTGATACGAAGAACGAACGCAGGATAATTACCTGACTTGCTCTTCCGGTTCCGCCTCCGAGATCCCTCTGGGAGGTGGGGGTGGTGGCTCTTCTACAGAAACGGCCGCGGCGGCGCCAGGATTGCATTGTGAGATCGGTGGTAACAGATTGCAGCTCAAGAACGCTCAAGGTGCTAGAAACGAAACTGCGAACACAACCGCGTCGATTGCAGCGTACAAGGAAAACGAGAGTCCACACTACCCACCTTGGCTCCCCAAGCGATTACCGCCCTGGAATCCGCGGGGTTGTGTCGACAAGTTTCAGAAGCAGGTTCCTACAGGGACAGGTTTGGCAGGCTTGTGGAAAAGTTCGAACGAAAAGACTGGCAATGCGATGACACCAACTACGCAGCTGGCTGCGCCCGCGGGAGTAGGACCATCTGCTACAAATTTTTGTCCGCAGGACGAATCGTTTACTGACTCGGGTGGAAGACACCTAGATCGGCAAAGTTCAGCGCTTGACGCTCGACGAAACGTCGACCCGACGAGCAGCACTGAGGATCTGCTGCAGACTCGTGGCCCATGCGAGGACCACATGATCAACAAGCAGGCCGCACTCGAGGACTACGCGAGAAAGGATGCATTGCAGGAAGAACAGGACGAGGTTTTTTTCTGGAAACAGATCATCAAGGGCCGACTCGAGTCGGCGGTGCGGAAAAACCACCGGAAATTTCTGGAGTTCCAAGACCGCGTGTTGCAGCAGGCGGCCGAGATCGAGGGCAAGAACGCCAACGCGCACGCAGCGGCTCAGAACAGTGGACAAGCAAAAAACGATCGCGGCATGGGTCCACCTCAGGCCCCGACGCCCGCGGCTCCTACCTCCACTACGACCAGCAGCGGCTCCAATTGGCTGAACAAGATGCAGCGGGCCAGGAGGGCCGCGGTTCCGCTGCGGCCGCCGACCTATTTGGACGAGAGCGATTTGGAAATCCCGTTGCGGTTTTCTCGCTTAGCGAAGGCCAGCTCCTTCGCGCCGGAATGGAAAAGCGGCTTGGCGAGTGGCGTGTACGACCGAGTGGAGGGTGCGGTGGATAACGATCATGAAAGCGATCGGACCTCCGAGCGTGTAGAAGTACAACAGAACATGCCAGATATTCGAGAAGTGGACCCGGACTCGACGAGCATTGGTGAGCCAACTAGACCCGTCACGACGCCCCCTCCGCTTCATCAACATTCCGAAGCCGCGAAACCTCCGGAATTCCTTCACCTCCCAGCCAATGCGAAATTTCAGCTCCGCCACCCCATTTCGACGACGGAGCCGGGCAACTTGGTGCCGGAAGTTTCGCAGGAATTTTTGGACTTCGCGGCAATTGTGCCGGACGCTTTTGCAGGGTCTTCATGTTGTGGTGTTGCTGGCGGTGGTGCCGACTTGAACCTGTTGCAGGGCGGCGGCTGCACCACAGGAGCAAATAGGCCCGCGACGTCTGTTTCCTCCCGCCGGCAGTCGGGCTTGGTGAGACCACACCAGGCCGGGTCCGCGGACCATCTGCAAGCGTCCGCTGGGTCCTGCATATCCACTTCATCTTCGCACCGCACAACCGCGTCAGGGCGGTCCCGCAGGCTCAGCATTGGCGGTAATGCCGTGAATCAGGCCTCGAGCCGTGACCGTGGGCGGCCTAGGCCCTCCGCACTGCTGCTGGAGGAGGATCGGGAAGAAGCTATCAAATGTAAAAATGTCTGGGTCTGGAAGAATGCGCGATTTGTCATGCAGGTTCTCCATGACCCATGAGGTCTGGCATGAAGGACATAGCATGACAGACTCTGTGAGAGTTCTATCATGCCTATCGTGCATGAGAAACTGCCTCTCGATTAGGTCAAAAGTGGACAGCTTTTGGTAATCATGCAACACACATGATTCTTACATGATTCCGATTTAGCATGACAAGTTGCATTGTTCCAGACCCAGACATTTTTACATTTGATATAAGCTAGGAGAGAGCAACTTTCGACGTTTGGTTCCTCCGGCGAAGCGGCTATGAATCTTGTCGAAGATGCAACTACATCGGCAGGCGACGGAAATAGAATTGCGAGCACCTCTGAACCACAGCGAGGAGCTCGAGCTGCTGGAGACGCGAGGGGGGCGACAAGAAAGCTACAAGATCAAACACCATCTGCAGGTGGTGCCCTGACAAACACCTGCCCACGACCAAACGTGCCTTTTTTCAAAGACGGCGCGACTCCTGCGGACGACACGACTCAAGTAGAACAACGCACTTCTTCCGCCCTCTCGCCCTTCCGCACAACCGCGGAGTTTTTCTTTTGGCGGCCTGAGAAGAGCAAAGCAAACGTTCTGCTCGAAGTGCAGCGCAGTGTCGAGGAGATACTGGTAAAGGAAGGGTATACACTGCCGCCGAAAGTAGGCCTTCTCGGAAATGGAACGGGCACGAACAAGGAACAGTCGGACCTTCGCAACTGTTCTGAAGGCGACGTGACGGATTTCTCATTGTCCGTGCCTAATTTTCAAAAGCAACAACATCTGCAGATGACCCTGGAAGACTTGGACGAGGCCTGTACGCTCTCTCCACCCACAAACAGCTCCTCGGAGCAACACGCAAGAAAGAATCGCAATTTTCATCTTGCAGGCCCACCAGCAGTCGGTAGCTCAAGAATGGATTCACAAGAACCTTCTCCCGAGGAGGTGAAAAATGCAACCTTCCGCACCTCGGTGCACCACCGCCGACAGCAGGGGGACGACCACATCCCCACGAGTGGCGTGGAAGATGAAATCGATTTGCGCAACGCGGCACTGAAACGTTTTCAGGAAGACCAGGTTTCTCTCCGATTGGCGGAGAGAAAGCGGATGGAGCGCCTGGCCGCGGGGGCGAGTTCTTCCGGGTCTTCTGAAGGAACAAGGAGGGCTGGAGTTTCTACTACAGTTGACGAGACCTCCTCCGCAACACAAACAAGAAACCAGCAACTACCCATGACGTGGCTTGTGTACGTGATCCCCTGGCGCTGGGGCCAGAAGGGGAACGTACTACACAAGTACTGGTGGCCCGAGGAAACAGGGATCCTGATGGTGCCTGTAGTGACATCAACCTTGCTGGGCGATAGGAGGTCATCGTCGCCCGCTGTGTCTTCTCAACATGTTGGGACGGCGGCGGTTCCTAGTATCCGACGGCGCGCGGTTTTTTTCGTTCGCAATAAATCTTCAGGGGTAGCTCTGTCTCCACCAAACTCCGGAACTTCTGCAACGGACGAGATGCAAAATAACCGACAAGGAGCAGGAATAATGACGTCAAGTAACAAGCTGTCCACCGCGTTTACCATCACCAATTTTTTCGAACTCAAGCGGCGCATGATGGACGCCGACTTGCGGCTCGAGGCGGTGCTCTACCGCCAGAAACTGCTCACTGCTTGCCAGCAGCAATTGACGAAGGATCTGCAGGTTCGCAGGTCGACCATTCGGGACTTGCAGGTGCGCCGGCGCACTTTGCGGCCGGAGCTGGCCTCGTGGGCAAAGCCGCCACCCCACTCGCCCGGGGGAACAACCGGAAGTATGGGCGGGGGAGGAGGAGGAGGTGGTGCTGGTACTAGTGGACGAGACGAGAGTAGAGGACTTCTAGGACAACTTCCAACGCCCGGAGCTGCTGGCTCTTCTGCTGATGTTCCGGCTTCCCTAGAAGTAAGTCATGACGACCAGCATCCAGGTGGAGATCCAGCATCAGCAGGCACGGGGGCTGAGGCGGAGCAGCTAGCGAAGTCCATCGCGGAGCAAACGCGGCTGCTCCGGGAAGGCGAGCGGCAGCGGGAAATGATCGCGCAAGACCTCTTGGACGTGAAGTTTGCGGCGAATCTGGCGAAGCACGAGAACACCGATTTGCAGCAGGAGCTGATGCGGAAGCAAATTGTGCAGTTGCGGGAGGAGCACGAGCAGCGGCTGGCGGAGGAGCAGAAAAAGTTCTACGACCTGCTCCTCTTCTATCCACAGAAAAAAACCCATCCACATCCATTTTTTGCATGACAAATTGGATGTGGATGGGTTTTTTTCTGTGGATATCTTCGGCTTGGTTTGCATGTTTTGCTGTCTCATCATCGCTTTTGGCTTGGCGGTCTGCTTTACACGGCTCTGTGCGAAGAAACGGAAAAGTATCAAAACAAAAATAAGAAGCTAGCTGCTTCTAGTTCTACCCTTGAACGTCGTGCGCCCGACTTCAAATACGTTTACAGGAGCACGTTCATCGATTTATTCGATGTACTGAGATAGAATTTGAGTCATGCAGGTGTGATCTTCTTGTTGTTGTGCACACGGGGACAGGATGGACATGGAGGCTACTATTCTTTTGTTTGATAAGAAATTCGATAGTTCATAGACGGTCGACGCTCGCGAGCAGGGGTGGAAGGACGAGCACGAGCAGCTCGTCGTCCGGAGTGGCGCGGGTGTCGGATTCTAGCTCAGAAGAAGACGAATGACAGTGAGAACTAATAGTGGACGAAGAACAGAGAGAGACTCACAAACAAAATTGAAATTCTGTTTCAACATAAATCTTCGGTGTAGCTCCAGCTGCGGTGGTCTAAACGCAGAAGTAAAAAGAAAAATACCCTACGTAAGAAGATAATGTTATTTCCCCACTTGATTGATATTCTTTATCTTTTTCTTATCCTTGAGAACACAAGTCATCAGCCTACTCGTGTAGGCATAAGTCAATGTTATCGCACAGTGTTGAGAAACGCAGCCTGTTCTGATTGACGCCCCGTTTTGAAGTTTCGTCTTGTTTTGGAAAAATGAAAAGGCTCTGCCGGCTTCCGCGTCTGCCGTTGAAAATGAAAACAAATGGAAAACCAAACCAGAGCAGAAGTTGTTATTCAAAAGCTCATAAAGTAAAGAAAAAGTAGCTCCTTGTCCCCAACGATACACGAAGACGACGAGCGCGAAAAGCACCGCTGCAATGCCACGGTTGGCTGCGATTGCTGTTTCGTTGTTTACAAATTTCCACAGTAAGAATTTGCGGTCATGCGGTTGCGTATCTCAGGGAACGAAGGCTCAGTTGTCACTTGCTTCTGACGTACAAAAATTTGCGTCGGTTTTGTGGCGAGCTGAGAGTAGATCGGTCCCCGTCGTTTTCATCTGCCATCGTAGGTGGGCCCTTATTTGTTCGGTCATGTCGTGGTGCAATCTGAATTTTTCCTGTTGCGATGCTCGTGCTCAATTACCAAACCTTTGTTTTCGAAAAGAACGTCGGTACTGGTTTCGTGCGTACACGTTCGTGGTCGTCGTAAATCGCTAAATCTCGTCCGCCGGCCGTAATTTATTGAAGAACTTGAACTTCTCTTCCCGATAACGGAAGACAGCAGACTACTGATGCTCCTCCCTTTATTTTTTACGTTCTAGAAAAACATCAGCATCAAAAGTCTATGTGTAACAGGAACAGAACTCTTGAAGTTGAAGCTATGCAATTTTGAGACGGTATCCCCCGACGCCTATAGAAGATTGGAGTTCTTCAACACGTGTTTTCCCCTTGTCTGCATGCTAGTGTTGTTGTACTTACCCGCAGCTTCCCTTCTATCTACTAAGATTACAACTCCGGTCAACTAGTACTCACGATGAAAAAAAAAATCCGAATCTGCGTAAATCCTATCAACTTCTAGTTTAGCGCAACGCGATAACAAGCATCACCATGACGGCACTCACGACTAGTGTCAGTCCAGCGGAGGAGAAGGAAGCTTCTCCCTCAGCAAGAAGCTCTGTGTCGCACAGCCATGTTGGTGTTGAGCAGCCAACCACAACGGAATCAACCATCCCGGTACTTGATTCTCGCGCCAAAAGACATAGGACAGCGTCCACATCTTCTTCCTCGAAAAGCGCAAGAAAAAACGGCACCGTTGTGCCTTCAACCGCTAGACCCGAGGGCAACCGCTTTTTGTCTCTGTTTTTCTCGATATTCGCCCTGCTGCTGCTAAGCTGCACACTTTCCGACGTTCCGGTTCTTGAAGAGAGCCGTGGTGAGGTAGTCCTGCATTCGCGGCGACCAAAAAGCTCCGTCGAAGCGAAGTCTTCAAGCCCGAGCAAATCACCAGTGTACGCCGGAGCCCAGGTGGACAACGACCCGGAGGAGTCGGTGAAGCAGTTGCGCAGCCGAGAAGCGGACCGCGCGGGGCCTATTTCTGCCTTTGCGAAGGAGCTCTGAAGTGGAACGGCTCTGGCAAATGAAGATGAATAGACCTGCCGTACTTCTTAAACATATGTATTACATCGCAGAGGACCGCACAAGCGCAGGGCAGAGGACAACCAGTAGACTAAGCACGGTCCTCCAGTATGGCATAAAGACTCACAGACACATGCTTTGCTGGAGGCGATGTCTCGCGCTGTTGCTCTACTACAGAAGATGAACGCTTTCACTTTACCAGACAACCTAGAGACAGACCCTTTGTAGTTTATTTAGTAAGTACATCTCCACCTAAGATAGCAAGCGGACGACAAATTTACGAAGAAATCTACTTATAGCAAATCAACCTCCCAGACGAGTCATCGTGTGCATCAAACTCGAAAGAACTTTTTCGCTGCTTGCAGCTACACTGTAGAAAGCTGGTTTTCATATGTACTATCTATCGTGTATCATGGTTGTGCATCAAACGACGTCTCTGAGTCATGTTGTATTTTAGTAGCCCTGTCCAGGGTTACGGTCACTAGTTTACTCCAATCAGAGATCGCAGAATTTAAGAACTAGCTAAAAATCTAGTTTATCCATACTTTGCTAATATGCTTCGAATACTTACGCTTCGCCTTCGTTGTTTCTACTTCGTCAGCAAGAACGGCACAGCGCACGCACTCCCATATGTAGGAAAGAAAAAATGCTGTAGCTGTTGTAGGACCGCACTGGTCCTCGTGCCATTGCTTGGCGTAAATTGAATCGACGAGGACGACACAGGACAATTTTGCCGCAGATGCTGAGAAAACCGTCGTGTCGGAAGGTGAAGTAGGAGGTATCGGGCTCAAGATTACGAAAAAATCATACTCAGAACTTTTGGCAGCCACATGCACCGTATGACGGCGCGGCGCTGGGACTATTCTTCTCAGTGACAGTGTTCCACCAGCACTCCTGATGTTAAGCTTAATGTCTACTCTTGCTTTTGCTTTTCCTTATCCTTATTTTGCTCGTGGAAAATAGTAGATGAAGCATCTGCATCAGCTGCACTCATCGTGCTCTACTGGTGCAACGTAGTCACAGTGCGTCAAATTAGACAGAGCCGAAGGGTGCGTCGTAAATTTCTATTTCAAAAAATTAAGGCACTGAAAGCAAAATTCACCGTACCAGTGTTGGCAAATGCAAATGGCTGCAATGCCTTCGTGCGGTTCATTACTTCGTGATTACCACTACGGCTTAGTCGCTTTCGTGGCAACAGAAAAAACTCCAATCGTTCAGGAACACAGCTCTAAGGCTGAAATGTCGTAGCATTTCCGATCCTACGTCCTTCGTTCCCTTGCGATCTAAACATGTCTCCGATGTTTCGTACTGCTACTAGTTCGTCGTCGTACTACGTGTTGGAAAAATTCGTCTTATGGTAATTCTACTTGTACGGTCCTCCTATTCGTTCTCAAGGGCGGCCATGGTCGTCTGCTTCGTCATTTATTCCTGTGAAATCAAGAATTGAATATCAACAAGCTTGTACAAGTACTAGCTCTTCTTCCTCCATTCAGGCAGATATATGAGTTGTTTCTTCACTACTTTCTGAAGATAATTTTCTGTTTCCCTCCTGTGGTGGGATCTTTTTTCCCCAAGCTCATAAACTCATCGCGACTTCTCATCTCGTGTCCTTTTTCTATCGTCGCTACAGAATGATGACCATGTGATTTTCCTCTGCCTTCATTCTGCTTTCATTTTAAGTATTTCGACGCGAAAATCATCACTCAATGCAACTGCAGGCATGACCTTAAGCAAGACAGGGCCCACTACTCCAGTTAATCCCTCTTCGTAGTGGTGAACAAAAAGTATCCCGATGCCGGACGCGGACCAGCACCACGAGCGAGTTGATACTGGGCACCAGGAGCCTACGCCTAGGAGAAGCTGTGTGGTGGAGGAACAAATGATAGGTGTCTCGGCCCCGCCCACCTCGGCCTCGTCCGCACAACTACCGGATTACAATAGCAGAAAGCTGCATCAGGCTGCGCTAGGAGAGCGAGGAGACCTCGTCCTAGTACCAGGCAAACAGCAGCAGAATACAGAACCAAGTACTACTAACGACTGCTCTACTGCAAATATTAAACCGGTAACTTCCACTACTATCGCGGCATCCTGGCTAGGTCACGGTTTTTTCGGTCGGTTGACTTACGCGCCGAAGAACCAGGTTCTTCGTGACTCAGATTCAGAACCACCTGCAAAAAGTAGAAGTTCTGAGAGGCCGACGATGGATGAACAAGGAAGCTTGTTGCGCGGAACTACGAATACTAGTTGTGGTGCGGGTCTTGTTCTTCGCCCCGTTTGTCCTCCTTCAAATCAGAGCCTTTTGACGAGAAGCCATCTGGCCGTGCTGCCAAAGGACGTCGAAACAAGCGCAGGACTAGGAATTTCACGACCCTTGTTGCCACGACCTCCTGTACATCATGATGTAGTTGAAGAAGTTACAGATTTGTCTTCTAGCAGAGGGACAAGAAGGGGAAGAACACCAGTTGCGATAGAAGAGCAAGAAGTTGTTCCCGGTCACGACGCTTGTGCTCTCTCAAAACGGTCCTCCTCGTCTTCTTCCTCTAGCAGCGCCTCGTTCTCGTCCGACGGCGGTACTCACGAAGACATTGAGGAGAAGGCGCAAAGTACTTCTAGGGCTCTTCTTCCTGACCACGACCGTTACGTTCCTCGACGGCCACAAGTAAATTCGTTGCAGATGAGTGGAGAAGCAGAGAACAATGCGGCGTCTTCTACCGTTGTCCTTCCATTCATTTCACCTAGTACAGCAACAGCATTCAAGAAGTATGACTTGCAGACTGGTGGTGCACGAGAAATTGTGCCAGATGATCTAAAGCAACATGATCGTCTGCACGCGCAAGGAGCAGAAGTGCAGCTTCTTGAGGTGGAGCAGCAGAGTTACCTGGTATCGCAGAACGAAGAAGCAGAGCATAACTGTTTGGCAGAAAGGGTAACAGATAAAACCTTGAGGAGCTCGTCAGCACTGTCAGTTGCACCACGCGCTGGTGTCCTCGAAGACCTCGTGCATGTGGAGATGAAAACTACCCGGAAGATGATGGAAAGTCACGCCACATCAAGCACCCCACGACCTGCTGCTTTGAAGATAACCAGAGACTTTGGGACGCAGACGGAACACACACAAGGACTACTTTCGGGGTCCTCCTCTGCACTTGCGCACTGGTTTTTCACCTGGCACGAGCGAAAGCGGCTCTTTTGGCTACTGTTGCACCAGAAGTACTGGTTGATCCTGTGGAAAGATAAGTGCCACAGCGAAAACACGAAAACGGGGACTCCGCTGATCGACTTGCTCCTTATGGGTGTCGCGTATCTGTTCAAATATTACCCGAGACAGATGATTGCCTGTTGCCTGCCGCGTGCCCGGTGCCGGCGGCGGCGGCGGAAGTGCAGAGCGGCGCGGCAGGCGTTCGCCGACAATTGGCGGCCGGCGCTGATCCGGTTTCTGGCCGAGCTGGACTTGCCCGTGCACGACTTTCCGGAAGACTTTTTCGACTTCTCCGGGTGGCGCACCTGCTTTGCGAGGCACCAGCGGGCGATTTTGCTCGAGTCCTTTGTGTACTTCGTGTCGATCTTCGGGGGCGGCTCTTGCGCGGCGATGTTCTTTTACATGTACGGGCCAAGGGGGGCCTTAGGAGTCGGCTTCGCGGTCACGGTCGGGCTTCTGGTGGGCTTTGTGCTGGCGTACTTCCTCGTGGTGTTTCTCTACCGCTTCTGGGTCCTCTGCATCCTCCACTGCCTCGGCCGGGACATCGTCCCGCCGCAGCTCAGCACACCCGCGTTCCTACTGCACTTCTTCGGCTGCTCGTGAGGACGCTGCGGGGGTCGTGAAGATTACTTGTCTCCTCGAGAGGGAGCAGGCAGGAGCAGGACCAAACGGTTTCCATCGATTTCTTGATCTCAGTACTCTGGGTGAAATTCTGGTACTTTTTTCCACTATGATATGGAAAAAGTTCCTCACATAATTATTCAGTACACTCTTTCCCGGGATGCTCCTGTTGTCATTTTTCATGTTCATATCATATTTGGGAATCAATAAGTTGTACCATCGCCATCACGGCATAGTAGCAGAGGCAGTATCTTCTATTTCAGTACTTACTCGCATAGGAAAGTCGTGTCATCTAGTGCAGCAGCACTTTTTGGTAATAAGTAGTCTCCACCTTGTAGTACTATCATCACCTTGTAGTAATAACAGCGAGATCTTCCACCTCATCTTGCGCTTGATATTCATTTTCATCCTTTTCCTGTTGCACCAGCCCGCTTGAAGTTTTCAAACCGCGCTTTCACATGACTCCAACATGTTTCTTCATGAAGAAGTGTTTGCAAGGAATCATGCCTGTGGACGATGTTGCTCTCAGCGTTTGCGTCGATGCGAGATGAAGGAGTACAAAAATGCATCTGAAGATGATTGCGCCATCGATCTCTGTTCTGTTTGCGGCTCCTTGCTTCGATTTTCTGGTTAGTGAACTTTCTGTGGTCAGTGGTGGCAATCGTACAACTACATAAATAAAGTGGTGGACAAGATGCAGTCATGTGCAGCAACCCGAACCAGCCACGCCTTTGGTTTTTTCGTGTCAGTGTGCAGGAGAAAAAGAAAATCTGGATCTCAGAACAAGACCTGCAGCTTATCAACAACAAATCGTTCAAAAAAACGCTCGAAATGTGGTTCAACATGGTGCTCCATAAATCTGAATTTTCCATCAAATAACATTGTATGTTGGTCAAGTCGATGGTTGCACATGCACTCAGAAGTGTTGGCTCTATATTGTATGTTGTTAAACCGGCACATTTCGGAGAAATGATAGATCCGGCAGGGAGCACAAGGTTCATAACGAGGAACTTTCGAGAAAAGCTCCGGGTTGATCAGGCGAGTTTTCCGGTGCTGCAGTGGCTCGTCCTGAATCAATTCTTCGATCGCACTTATATTCAATGTTGCGATGTATCTACTGCGCTCCCAAATAAATGAAAATTGAGCTAATTTTTGTACAGAATCTGTGCCCCTTTTTCTATCGATACCAGGAAGACAGTCTTGTATACTGATAAAAATTAAAAATCTACTCTATCGACGGCAGCATTACCCATCATATGATATTGCTTTGTTGATTTGATGATAAGAGCCACCGCGTTGTAAATTGAGTAAGATTAGGCCGTTGCACATGCATGATGCGCGTCAACTCCTTCTACCACCTTGTGAGGATCTTATTCCTCTGTGTGACCGTGCCCAGCATCGGTCTCTCGCTGCAAGAAGTGGACCGCAACAGAACGGCGCGAAAACGAGTCCTGGACATCGAGGAGCTTGGAAACGCGTACAATCTCCTGCACCCCCCCGGTGCGCGAAAACCCAGTTTGTGCAGTGCGGACAAGCTGCTTTTGAAAGAGCAGGAGTGCAACGACCAGCCTGAAATAATTTCCAACCCGGATTTGTTAGTCTTCGATCCGACCGGCTTGCAACGCATTCACGACTTGAATCTGCAGAAAAAAGTGAAGCTGAAAGATCTCACTTTCGTTGGCACCCACGACAGTGGCAGTATCAGGGGCACGTTTGATATTTCCCGTGCTGGGAGAGCCGGCGCACGGCTGCTCCACAGTGCGGCTGCGGCCGCCTCTCGTTTTGCAAATCTAGGCAATATTAAAGCAGGTTCCACCGAAGGTCATCAAGAACAGCCACTGCACAACTCGTTCCGCGCAGAAGAAAACTGGGAGACCCAGGATTTGTCTATCCTGGATCAGCTCCGCGCGGGCGCGCGATGGTTCGACTTGAGATTCGTCCTGGACACGACCAGCGGGAAGGAAATCCGCGCTTACCATGGGGATTTCGGTTTCGGCGTGCGTCAACTTGCTGTTTCGGCTGATACGGTTTTTGCGGACCTTGCCGCTTTCTGCTTCGACCAGCAGTTCGCGGAGGAAAGCCGAGACCAGGTGATCTTTGTGAACCTGCGAAGCGACGTCGAGACCGCGGAGACGCTGCTGAAGCGGTTTTTTCTGTCGTCCGATGGCGGAAAGAGATCGAAGGGTCGAAATGCGGAGGAATCATGTTCGTCCGCTGGCAGACTTGTTGGTAAGCAGGGCGTTGGGACCCAAAATTAATGAGGACGAGTGCGACCAAGTTCCAAGCGCGCCAGTAGCGGTGAAGCCACGCAAGCCTGGTGTTCAGCGTTCGTCTACGCAGTCGTGTGAATCTCGCGCCCAATCTCCGTCGACTTCCACCGCTTCTACAGCTTCATCTCCCGCGACTGCTACAACAGCCTCGCGAACATCCAGCGGCAGCTTTCAGACGATACCCGCGCCAAGAACCACGCCTGTCCTAGAAAAAGATACTGTCATGATTCAGGGACACCAGGGGCCCGATTATATTTATACCTCCGATCCAGAGGATCCGCTATCCGACGACTGGATGTTTTTGTACCTGGACGACAGGCGCGGGGGCCCCAACACTTTTCAGGACAATCTTCGGGAGCAGCCCGTGCATAGAACTACATCAAGCGTGAAAGCCCACGAGGACGTGCTGGACGTCGAGGGCAGCACTGCGCCAGATGACTGGCACCTGGTCGAACGTACAAACCCCGTGCAGTTGACCGAGGAAAGAACACCGCTACTCTCCGAGTGGACGTTCGCCGAAGTCCACAAAGCCGCGCCAATCTATGATTCTAAACCTGTACGACCTAATCTACTTGAAAAGTTCGATGCGCCGTTAATATCGTCAAACAGCGACAATCGAGACGACGACCGGCGTCGGCGCCCGAGAATCGTCCTGACCTACTACGAGGGTTCCCATGACAAAACTCGAAAAGCAAATCGAGAGCTACGAAGGCGGCTACTAGGAGAAACCACGCCGAGAGCAGAAGCTATTGCCTCAAAGCACGTCAAGCCGGAGGGGCATGAGCTGCGACAAGGTCGCGGTCCTCTTGCTGCGTCGCCGAAGATTATTACCCTAGGACCTCGAGAAGCACGACCAAGCAGCCACGGCACTTCAGTTGCGAGTACTGTAGTCTCGGAGAGAACTTCTCCGAGATCAGTGCCAGCACCCACGCCGGCGCAGCAGCTAGCAAACAGTTTTTTTTTTTTTTCAAGAAGAGTTTGTGGGCGGATATTCGAATTCGACGGATGTCTCACAAGTGATCGGCGACCAAACCCGGAAGTTTGAGAAATACCTCGAGGGGGGAGCTGCTACTTCTACGAAAGTGTCAGAGGGTCATCGGCGCAAGAAGAATAGGACCAGAAGTGCCGACACAGAAAGTAGTGACGCGTCACTGTCCAAGCCGTTTTTCCGGTCATCTTTCACTTTCACCGGTTTTCCGAAAAATGAAGTGTACACGATTCTGAAACAAAGCTGCAATCTCTGGGAAGCAAGAGTCAAGCGCGCGACTGCTGGGCCTGCTGAAGCTTGGTGGGAGAAGCTGTGGCGCCTGCTCATGCTTGCCTCGTCTACAAAGCAAAGACTCCAACAGAAAAGACGAAACGTCAATCTTGTGACCGTGGATTTTCTTGGTAACGTGTTGTGGCGGTCGAGGTATGGAAAGCAGCAGTCCCTTGTCGAGATGATAAAAGCCTCGAACTTCGCGATAATTGAGAAAAGTCTACTTCCGGATGAAGCGAAGCGAAGGTCTGATGGCCCGTCCATGCCTGGTCGTGAGCAAGAGCGTCAAGATGAGCCGCAACATCAAGAACATGACGCAGGGAGCGCTACTAAGATGTTGGACCACGCCCACGACCACCATTACGTGGCGCGCCACTTTCTCAGGCCCGAACAGTTGTTTCCGTTCGGCCGAAGGGCTTTCCACTTGGACCCCGCGCGCATGTATTTCCCCGGCACAAACCATCTCCCGCCACCACCGCCGTTTACACATCTAAATTAAAACTGATCTCCTAGGGAGTAGAAAATCAAAATGACATCAAGAGTGGAGTACGAGTAGACATACATAGTTCATCATGCAAGTTGAAGTACACAGTTGGCACAGACCACACAGCGTACTACCAATATCAAGAACGTCATATTTCTGGCTGGACTGCCATCATAATCATAGCAGAATTCGAGTATTTTTGCAAATGCAGAAACACATAACATCATGAGCATGAAATTAACACGACTTCTCTCGCAGCAGATTGCAGGAATTACATTCCTCGTACAGATCATACATACAGACTACCGCAGCCCGGGCCTTGGTGGCTGAGTAGGGGATGAAAGTAGAAACATGTACGTAGTACTTATGCACAGATTCGCTTCGACTTCACCACACGACGCGTCAGGAAAAAATGCGCAAACCTGGACCTGCTGATCAACAAACTCAGGTCATTGAAGCACAGAAAGTGAGTAAACTCTCAACATCGATTGCCAACTGTAAGATTGGAGAACAATGTCAATGCTTTGTTCTGTAGTTTTTTTCCATAGAGGTCGACAACATTAGCACGTCGAAGGACAACATGAACATGATGATGGTGTGAATGAATACTCATGGATCGAGAACCCTTCCTGTTCATCTTCCGGCACGACGGCGTTGCTCCAACTAGAAGTTTTAGTCACTGATGCACATGCAACGTAGTGGACGTATGTTCTTGTCGTGTACTACCTAGTGACTACTTGATTTGATCTGCTCGTCGTCAACGAGATTCTGTGCTGTTCTGGAAGAAGTTCAAGTTCTGCTAGTGTTCTTCTACTACATCTACAAAGATTCACAAGAACTTGAACTGTTATGGGCCACGACCACGGCAAAATGTTCGGAAAAAAAGGCAACACGTCGCACGTCATCTGTACATCTAACAACGGACTCCTTCCTAGGACTTCACCATAACGATCGGTCGAAAAACAGCCTGGTTGTCATATGATAATTACGTAAAAGAGGAGAGCAACAGCTTGAAGTAGTACTAGTAGCGTTTTTGCTCCTACGCGACCTCTTGCACTTGCTGTCCGTCGGTCCTCGTGATCATGAATTGCTTTTCGGTTCTTGAATATTCTGAAGATTTTTTCTCGGTGTTGTCGTGGCTCAAGGCTCATCGAAAGCGACCCTCTATTCCTACGTTCTTCCAGAAAGAGGTGGAATTCGGTCGCAAAAATTCTGTGGCTGAAGTTGCAAAGTTGTCGGTTGTAGTAGGTTGGTTCTCGTCTATAGTCAGTGCAGACGGAAGCAAGATGGCGATACAATGAAATCTTCAAAATCACAAGAGTTGTATACTTACTGCACCTTCCAGCCTGCACTGCACAACTTTTGGTTTCTATCCCACTTTTGATTTTCCTAAGATGTAAGTAGCCGTGTAGCCCTCGTTCTCGTTGTATTCTATCTTGCCCAGACTATCTAAGAAGCTGCTTGTCCTGCCGTGTATTCTTGCGCAAGGGTTACATTACTGTGACTTCTTCGATGATACCGCGTCATCTCTAGCAGAGGAAGAGGAAGCTAGCACGCAATCTTTGAAACTTCTGCAGGTTCTTGCTAGTTTGTTACCCGCAACGGGGCGGCGCTGACAGAGCAACTCGGAAATGGTCTCAAGAAAGTTACCACGGGGAGCGGGCATGAGTACCGCGACGAGCTTTCGCCTCGCACCGCTTCAACTTGCCTTTGCCCTTCTGTTTTCATCTGGAACGAACCACACGTGGGTTTTCTGCCAGCAAATCGCGAACAACGATCCTGCTGCTGCTCGTCAAGACGAAGCACGAGTGGCGTTCTTAGCGTCGACGCCGTCAGCAAGAAATGATACCGTCCTTGACAAGAGCAGTTTTCCGTTTGCGTTTCTGGAGGAGTTGCAGCACAGCAGCAGCGAACCACTAATACGACCGGCACCGGCAGCACCTTCCTCATCCCCTGTCAATCCCGCCGAATACGACCGCGTCGTCGTGGACCCCATGATGCTGCAAGAAATACGAAAAAAGCAGCTGGAAAACACGATCAGGCTGCAAGATTTGACCATCATCGGCAGTCACGACTCTGGCTCGGTGCAGAAAAAGTTCACGCTGTCCAAACTTGCAGTTTTCGGGGCGCAGACTGTCGTGTCAATTTTTCACCACGGAGCTGGCGAGAACAAGGGTTTTTTAGCCCGGAGAAAAATTGCTGCGGCCGAAAACTGGGAGACCCAAAAGCTTTCTATATTGGGCCAAATCCAAGCGGGTGCACGGTGGTTTGACTTACGGTTTGATGAATTTGAAGGAGCGGATGAAAATCAGGGCGGTGGAAATGGAAAAGAAATCCGCGCGTACCACGGAGACAGCCTATGGAGAATGCCGGGCGTGCCGGCGGAGGAGGTGTTCAAGGAAATCTGGACGTTCTGCTTTGACAAGTTGTATACTGAAGAGTCGCAGGACCAGCTTCTCATCCTGAATTTGAAAAGTACCCCTGAAGTCGCTGTGAAACTGTTGAAAAAGTACTTTTCCCCCGGCAGTGGAGAAACTGAAATCCGCCGCCTCGGTAATCTACTAGTGTCCAACGACAACTGGAACGCAGTAGAAGGCGCAGAGTGGTCAACATCTTCTGACCGAGACAAAAACACTCCTTTTCTGGCGAGCTTAACGATCGCCGATGTGAAACGCTCGACTGATGAAAGCGCCGGGAGCCTTGCTACAACAAGTTCATCGCAACACTCCTCGCCGCCGCGCATCATCCTCTATCAAGCAGAAAAGTGCAACACCCATACTTTAATGGACTATAATGGGCGCCGTGCTGTTTTTTACCGCTGGCTCTTCAGATTCAGCATGACACTTCTTTTCTGCTGCACCTTTCTCATTCTCGTTCGCATTACCTTCTGTCTTGTTTCTCATGGTAGAGCTAGAGATTTGCCCTAATTCTTGTGGCTCGGTATGACGAAGCTTCCTGTGACAGAAAACAAACCGCGCCATCTTATCTTTCCTTGTATGGGTCGTTTATTTTTCCGTAGGATATCCGCACCTACAAGAATGACAAGGACAAGACGAAAAGAGGCTTTGAGAAGCTGAAAGACATGTTGAAAGCGGAGAGAGAAGCGGGACACTACTTCGCGAACAGAGTGTTTGACGTCTCGAAAGAGTTCCAGGGCAGCTACAGTGCGTCCGCACAGATTTCAAAAGTGATGGAGGACCAAACAAAAAAGTTTCAAACGTTTCTGCACGAGAACGAGCGCAACATCAAGGATCGGTGGGACTTATTTGTTGGGATGATGCGGACTCATCATCGCCCGGGCAAGGCACGACCCAATCCAAAAATGCGCCAGCGGAATCGTAAACGAGACGAGCGGCTGCGTAGCATTCAGCAGCCGTTTTTCAAAACTTACTTCACTTTCACTGGCAAGATGGGGAACAATCCGGTGTCTACGATGCTCAAGGAGAACACAGAGTGGTATGAGAAGCAGAATGGCTATCACAGGAAAACCCCTTCCTATATGAGTATGACATGGCTGAAAACCTGGTGTGATTTTGTACTGTTTAATGGTGCACGATTACGATTTGGGACACGGTTTCGTCATTCACATGCCCCAGGAGCCCCATACTAGAGTATTGTGTATGAATGCCATGGCTCAGGGTCAGGTGGGACTGTTCACGTTTCGGCTCTTGTTCAGGACTGTTGACGTTTTGTCAAGTTTTTGTGTTGGCCAGCACGCATGTGAGAAAGCTGAAATCAAAATTACACCAGTTGAGGCCAGGTCAGCGTCTTATTCCTTGGATGATCCTGGAAAAGCTTGGTGGTTCGTGCTATGGGGGAACATGAAGACCATGTCGAGCAAAACCTTCGGACAATCCCCCAGCGCCACCCACGAGAACCGACAAGCAGATCAACCACCCTTCATGCCCAACATCCTCGTCATCGACTTCATCGGCAACGAACACTTCTGGCGCTCGAAAATTGTCCCCAACCTATCCATTGTCCAGGTCGCGCAGTTGCGGAACAGGAAAATTATCGAGAAATTTTCATCGGCTGGAAAAGGACAGGCAGTACCGGACGATGAGGATGATCAGTATTCTGACAGCACGGAGAACGCCGAGGAGGAAACCGGTCCTGCATCTGCACCTACCACAGATGAAACTGCCAAATTAGGACAGAAGCAGCACTTTTTTTCACAGGCCTGGAACGCCATGGCGACAATTTTTTGGGCGGGGGGTTTGGGAATACATCTTTAAGCCGGTTTTTTTTCCCCAGAGCCTGGTGAGCCAGAGCCACTGCCGCTAGGTATAATAATTCCACCGTGATTTCTTCTGTTGATGCGCTGAACAAAATCAAAAAAGCTGCGCAATAATTTATTTTCTCAGTGTATTTTATCCACATCATGACCATATTGCATTTGCAATAAACATATTTTTACAGTACTAACAAACCTGCACTCAATTTTTTTACTCACATCAAGCTCTAGTAGGACATACAAAAGTTAAGTTTCTCGGCAAAGGTAATTTGCTTTTCGTCGTTTTAGTTTGTTGAAAAAATGATCAAAAATTACCATGGCGCGATCGTGAGCTGCACTTGTTTGTTTTGACGCAGGATGATGTCGTGTGTTGGATCGATGAAAATCCTCACGACAAAAGTTGGGAGTTGTAGTTTATTCCGACGTTTTATTCATGCACCTATCGTGGTCACGGAGCAGAAGCAGAAAACGTTTTGTTTATGTATCACGATTTACATACATAGATTGTTACTCTGCTCTTACTGGTGCTGCGAGACTGCCACATGTAAACATCCTTATTTTTCGATGAAAATAAACAAAAAGTACATAAATCTGATGATCGAAATAAATGGAGCAGAACGTTCTAGGAATCGTCCATTTGACGAAAACCGAAAAAGTTTGTGTTTGCTAAAACGCCTGCTTCTCTGAGAGATTGAAACTCCTTGCAGAGCAGATGGCCGTCTGTGGCAAGAATTTGTTGCCCTCCGAAAGAATCAAATCGTGATGCGAATAAATCGATCAGAGCCAAATAAAGATTTTATCTTCAACTTCCTAGATCATAGAATCCACAAGTTGTTCATGATCAGCTGTGGTCGTATTGCGAGATCAAATCGAGAAAGAAGAAATTGGGATTGCAACGGAACTTTTAGGGCCTTGAATATTTGAAGCCATGCCCGGGCATGGAAAGAAAGAAAGAAAGAAAGAAAGAAAGATCTAAATCATCGATCCAAAAAGATCATTTCGAAAAAGTGTCAGAAGCCTTTTTTTTATGGAATGTTACTCATTTGCTTCATTTATTGGTCAAAAGATCCAGAAGTTCTGTTTTTGGAAACATCTTTTAGATACCGTCTTCGCCACGATTAATTTCATTCTCGAGCGGCTCCGGCCCCCGAATCCCTGTTCTTGAAAAAAGTATACAAATTGAGTATTGATGAGAAAGCAAGAAGGGAATCTGTGACAATCGTAATCGAACTCAAACTGACTTAGTAGATACGAGCCCCGTAGAGTTTTGAATCATATTTTGTGCCACTTTTTTCAAAATAATTATAGAACTAACCACAAAAACATAAGCACCTACGCCGTTGTAGCGACCGACGTACATTCGCAGGATTTTTACGTCATTTCTCTTCTCACTATTTTGTAAACGCACAACGCTGAATAAAGAAAGAATATGGAGGCTCACCGAATGAAGGCAAGTTTTCTGATGTATCCCAAGCCGAGGCGGGCTGCACCGCCGGTCGTGACTCTCGTGTCGACTCTGGCGATTGTTTTCCTGTCTGCGCACGAGCCCGGTATTACCGGCGTTTCCGCGATGTGGCTCAGTACCCTCTTTGGTGGAGCGGCCCCAACACCAGCGCCACAACAATCTCCAACGGAGGAACAAGGAGAGCAGAAGCCTGGAGGGCGGGAAGGGGACCTTGCTCATGTTGGAGCTGTGTTATCGTCCTCGACGCCGTCCGATTCCAGTGGCAGTACGACTACGAGGACAACTGTGTCACAGGGCAGCGGGAGTGGCACTTCTACTCCTCCTGAAGATCTACTTCTACCTGCAGAGCAACAAGAGCAGATAGATGGGCACGACCAGCTGCCGGGTGAAGATGGGTCCTCGTCTCCAGATGATGTTGAAGGAGAAGTAGAAGATGCTTTCGATGTTATCCTCGACGAGACGGAGACGAGCGAAATTGAGGCCGCACTGAAGCAAGAAATTGCCGAATATAAACAAAAGCTCCTCTCTGGGGGAAAGCTCCGCAGTGGCTTCACGGATAGCGAGGTGAAACCGGGTTTCCTCGAGCTGGCGCTTGCTTCCGCCGGGTTGCAGCCAAAGCTCCATTTTCTTTTGGCAAAAAAGTACGGGGTCTTGAACGAAAATATGATCGTTAGTAGTCCTCCCATGATCTTCCCAGCCGTTGACGAGGACCCAACAGAAGAACAACAACGACAGCAACTCCACCTCCTATCCGGCGCTAGTAATTATACACCAAGAACTGGTACTATCGGCGGGAACAAGATTTCTCGCGAATTGAAGGCTTTGAAAAAGGCACTCCTAGACTTCCACCACTGGTTTTTCAAGGCCACACTGTCCGAGGAGATTCCGCACGTGCGGTGGGAGACGAGCGCACGTAGCGGCGCAGCCGGGCTCAAGGAACATCTGAAAGCCCAACTGGGAAAAATCGAGAAGGAGCTCCGACACTGTACGATCCAAGAATTGAAAGAGCATCTCACGGCGGGGAAGAACTTTGTCGCCCTGTATCTGCCGGTCCAGCTTCCGTGGGGTGTTTACTTGAAGCAAAACTTGCCGACCGAAACGGCGCAGGGCAAGCTGGAAAAACTGACGCGCAACGCGGGTCATTGGGTGGTCTTTCGGATCCAGATCCGGTTTTCCGGAACCTCCGATTCGGACGGTTTATTTCCCCACGCTCTGCACTACTCCGTTGAATATCACAACAGCCACGGCAGCGACAACGTTGAGGACGGCATGAAGTCCTCGCGTCTCGCGCTAAAGGGAACCGATGCGGGTAGCATGGACCGAAAGACGAACCCTTTTCTACGCGAGACGACCGAAGCAGAAGCTGAGCTGGAGCAACTGCTCGACTCGAAAGCCCTCACAAAAAAGTACAATGAGGAGGGAGCTTGGTGGTCTACCGGGCGGAAAGTCTTCCAGCATGCGTTCCAGAGTACGAAGTTTGACAGGTCGGGGGGTGGAAGCAGATCTTATTTGCTGCCCGATAACAGTTTCTTCGGCCCGACAGAGTTCGGGGACGCGCTCCTGCAGGAAACGACCAAAGGAGCGGCCCCTTTCGACGGCCCGAGGACCGCGGATACTCATCTCGTGAAAAATGGATTTCCTTTTCAGCAAGACGACTGGAGCTGTGGGTGGTGGGTGTTGCTGTATGCGAAATATCGGGACAACTACGACTCTTTGACGGAGTACCAAACCGCGACAAACCAAAAGCTGATTGCCGCGAGAAAGGTCGGAGTGGAGAACTTTCGAAATGCACTTCTTGATCGTCAAGCTGAAAATGAAATCGTAAATGCGGAAGAAGCCGTGCTGTTTCTGCGGAACGACTTGGGTTCGCGGTTCATTCTGGAATTCCGCAATGGGCTCACGGAGGAAATCGGGGAGGACAAATCCGTGGCAGATTATTCCAATGAGCCTCGTCCGTTGGAGGAGCAGAAGGTCGACACTGGAACTGGTACAACTACGGAAGGTGTATTTCTAGCGCCAAGATGAAACAGAAAAAGAAAAAGCCTGCATATACATTCTTCATCCCGACCGCAGAGCGTTAACAACGTACGACATTCATAGAAGACCGTCTTCGCTGAAGGTGAAGATCCGCAACAAGACGAAAGAGCGCAGGCGGAGCCGGCGCGTGGTTCTTGCGGTTGGCGGGGACACCGACACGGACAGTGGCAGACGAAGTTATTAAGCAAAAAAACCCAGCTGCTCGACGGCCCGGGTGTTGTGTTTTCGTTTTGAGGATGAAGAGGGGGAGAATTATACAAACAAGCAAACATACTTCCGCTGGTGCATTTTTTTCAACCTTAACATTTTTATGTTACCCGCAAGAGCACGCATTGGCATTTGAACTTGAAGTTAAGTACTTATTTCGGTGATGCCCTTGTTATTGCCTCTGCACGTTCGTCGCGACGTTTTCCCACTTTTGTTTTCGCGAGGAACCAGGCTTATCCACTTAATCTAGTACGTAGATTAATACGACCTCTCAGTTGTACATCTACAAGTTAGCACATGCAGTGCGAGGCCTCCTCAACGAGTGCCCTCCCGTGTACAATTTCCGACTTGAGTTACACAGTTTAGCTATTTTTGTGTATCCTCTACAAAAAGTAGCGCGGCAGCGGCTAGTTGTCTGCGCTTCCGCATAAAAAGTAGTTCTTCATACAATCGCACTCGCGATCATGAACCCCGAAAGAGCACAGCCCAAGAATTGCCCCCCGACAGAGGACTGCTGAAGTGGCCCAATTTTGTATATCTAAATCTACTAAATTAAAGACTAGAAACATTTTTCCTTCCAAGAACGAAGAACACTGAAGGTATAAAAAAAGTAAAAGACGTTTGGTTTGGGTTGTATGATGTTGCACTCCCTCTTACTCTTTGACTTTTTTGTGGCGTAACCCGCCCTGCCATTGAAGATTCCCCTGTGTATGATCTTTTGAGAGACACATCAAGAATCGCCTCTCCGACCCCGTTGACAGGCAACACGAACACCGTCGAAAGTGGTGCACAGTATTCGAGGTGCTGGTGAAGTTCCTGTTCCTGGTGCGTTGCTGTTGTTCACGTTGCATGTTGTTCAGGCAAGTTCTTGCATGTTGTTCAGGTTGCATGTTGTTCAGGTTCTCGCATGTTCTTCAGGTTGCATGTTGTTGAAGGTTGCGTTTGCATTTTCTTGATACATTGCATTCTTTGGCTGTTGCAAGAGTCGCGGAACTTTTCTAGTTTTTCATGTGCGTGACGAGAGAAAAGGCCGAGGGGACTTGGTGGTAGCATTGGCGTTGGCAATGAGAGCATCAAACGGAGTCAGACACTGGTAGACGGTCTTTCTTCAATGGAAGCCAGTTTTGCTGTGTTTTTTTTTCTCCATTGCCACGAGATATTGGTAGAGAGCGCCACACACAGGAAGAACACGACAAAACAGGCCTTTGAAGTGGTTGACAGAATGCAAAAACGCGATGAAAAAGTGCATACTACTAGACGAGAGATGTTGGAGCTGGGAGCGAGCGGCGATAAATAAAGTAAGGAGCTGGTGAAATTTCCAATCACAGTGCTGAAGTTTCTTCCTTCAATTATTTGTCGCTCCGCAGATTCATTTTTTTTTCCGCTTGTTCGTACTTTGAACTTTACATCAAAAGGAGAGATAATATAACGTCAAAAATAAAAGTCATGGGACCAGGAGAGGAGCAGCCCTCTCCGTCGTGTCCTAGTAGTGCAGCAGCTCCTTCTCCTGTGTCACTACTTCTACAACCGGCTACAACTACAACATCTTCTTCCTCGCACAGAGGACGGCAGTACACGCGCGCGCAACCTGGCAGCTATAGCCAAGACTTGAATGTCTTAGCGGATAATAAAACATCAAATCCTCCATACAGTTCCACTTCGCCGTCTCTCGGCAGCGAAGCCGAAGGAGCTTCGCCAAATATCAAACAACAGGTGAGTTATGGTCGTGTTAACAAGGACGACGGCACAGCATCGCCTGAAGCTCAAACGAACTCAGTATCTTCAACGGTGGCACTAGTGGAACAACGTTTTCTGCAGTCAGATGTCGGTGCGGGTGGCGAAGAGACTTCTAAGATAGGGGTGGCCGCGGGACGAGAAACAACAGCTGGAGCAGGGATATTTGCTCATGAGGCGACCGGCGAGGATAGTATTTTTGCAGGGGGCGTTGCCCTTTCTACAACTTCTACCGGAAAAATCCGTTCTCCTCCAGCCTTGTCCTCGTCCGCCGCCTCTACTAGCATGGCAACGATAGGAGTTCCAGCTCCCAGGACGGGTAGTTCAATTACAACAAGTACGAACACAGGCCCAACGCAGCCGCATTTCGCCGTCCTCTCGCCGATTCACTTTCCTGGCGTGGCGGTTCCTCGTAGCTCCGGGCGGTTGCAGCAAGTCCAACTTCCGGCGTCCTCTGCTGGCCCGGTAGTTGGGACCACTACAGCCGGTAGAAATTCAAACACTTCTACAACGGGTCAAAATAAACTTATTCCGCAGCGTTCGCCCCCTTCTGGCCGGTCCTCCACTTCCAGCACCAGCACTGTGGCCGCACGACTGCCGAAGCTGAAGAAGCTACAATCGTCTCCCTTGACAAGGATCGACTTTGCAACTACTCCTGGAGGTGGAGCTGCATCAAGTTTGCTGCAGCCGCAGAGTACTAAAACTAATGTTGGGAGCGGTCCTAGTGATGTCGATGGCCCGATGTTGTTGAACGGGCTTAGTCTACAACAATGTGCAGGTACTTCGAATCAAGACGTGCGCGGCCATCATGTTGATCCTGCAATCAGACCTCCGGACGGCCGCGGGCCTGGAACAACTACAGAGGACATTAACTCTCACAGCGCCAGCACGGCAGGCAGCACAGCACCACCTGTGGTCGTCGTTTCTCTTTCTGCGTCCAGCCAGTGGACTCGAGTGGTGCCCGGAGAGCATCAAACCAATCTTCTTGCAAGGACGGATCACGAAAGGGTGGAAGGAGCAGCGGGAGGGATGATTCCTTTACCGTCGTCGGCGGATTCGGATACAGAAGACCTTTCTTCACGACCAATTCACGGCGAGCGGGATGGCAGAGGACAGCAGGAGGGCGATGTGGTCGTCATTACTCCGCAGCGAGGAACGAAAGGCAGCACAACCACTCTCCTGCTGAAAAAGCGGCCCAGCGCCATTGACGAGGACGACATGGAGCAGGAAGTAGATGTTGGTACCAGAGAAGTTAAAGGGAATCCGTTGGTGGCCCAGAGAAGCCATCTCGACCACGTCTCTGGAGGTCGCGGCAGTAGCGAAAAAAAGCGGAAGGTGAGCGGGGGGAGTAATAGAGAAAGACTGAGAACAAGTCCCAGATCAGCAGGAGATGAAAAGGAAACAACAAGTGAGCAGCGTGGGCCCCCCTGGCAGCAGCAAGACGAAGACCATGACCAGCAATTGCCAAAAGTAGAAAATAAAGTGACGCAGTACACGCAAAGTGCAATCATGGGCCGCGGCGGGGCGGGAGGTTCGTCGAGCTCTAGTGCGTCTTCTCGTCCATTTCTTTTCTCGACCCATGACCAGCCTGTAGCGATTGGAGGAGGTACAACACGGACCACCTCCATCGGAGGTGCTACTACCACGACAGGACACGACGACCCTCCAGCGACCACAGCATCTTCTACATCAACAAGCGCACCTCCACAACAGCAACCTTCTGACGGCGGGGTCGGATCATCTACAGGCGGTCCGCCTGGTGCAGCTCCGCAGAAGCAGCAGCAAAGGCCGAACAGCCGGGGTAGAACCCGGAAGATGACCTGGTACGAACAACTAGTGCAGAGCCGGCAGCAGCAGGACAGTCGCACGAGCGAAACCTCTGCGGACGCAAACAACGGGAGCGGGGTGGGGGGCGGGTCAGGAGCGGCGTCAGCCTCCACGAGCAAGCGACAGGCGTCCTTAACCACGCCGTCGAAGCAGGCCGCGCCGTTGATCACGCCGCCCGGAATAAGTGCCAATTTTTACGGAGGACAGCAAATCAACTTCCTGGGAGGGAACAACAGCACATCATCCACCTCGTCGCTACAGCCACCCTGGGCCACTGCAGGCGGAGGTGGAGGTCCGGCGAGTAATAGCGGGATTCTCGGAGGCTACTACAACAAGCCTCCCTCTCCGAACAAAACGAACTTCAATAGCCCCGGGAAGCTCTTTGTTGACCAGCAGAACATCATCAACCGGAGCAATCCTAATAGAGGACATCAAACATCTGCCACGGTGCATCCACCTGGTGTTTCAAATCTTGACGGCAGACAAGTAGAAAATAGTGGCGCTGGCGCGGTAGCTACAAGTGCCACCAAGACCACAAGCAGTACTGCAGCACCGATGTCCAGGAAAAAGCTCAGTTCTTGGCAGAAAGCACTGATGTACGGGTGCTACATGCTGATGGCGACCGGGAACACGATTTACTTCAAGAAGATGACCACTTCCCTTGCGAATTACAGTTGGTTCACCACGAACGTGACCACGATAGTGTTCATTCCGTTTTTCTACTTTGCGACCGAGCTGGAGAAGATGTGGGAGCAGAAAGCGGGAGGCGACATTCCTAAGCGGAAGACGGCGGTCATGGGCTTGCTCGATGCCTGCGCCGGGATGACCATGGTACTAGAACTAGAACTAGTACTGTTATTGAGCAGACTGGCACAGGCACTGCAGGCGGAGCTAAGTACATGTCGTTGTCGTTGGCGGATTCAAAGATTCAGGAGGAGTACCTCCCGTACTGTGTCTACTTCAGGTTCACCCACCCTTGAAGAAGAAGATGCTTGCTTCAACTTAATATATGTAATGTTGACGTCTATCTGTATCTTCGTCTTCAAATAACCCGCTCAGGTTCTCGGCGGTGCCTACACCGCCGGTGGCACCCAGGTGTTGCTCACACAAGGAGCCATCCCCGTGACGATTCTTTTGTCGGTCCTGCTGCTGCGACGCCGCTTCCATCTTTACCAGTACCTCGGCGCAGCAGTCATAGTCGGAGGCGTTGGTAAAGAGATTGCTTGGTGCAGTTGATCATGATACAACTAGCGAATTGGTAATATCATATCATAGTCATTTACATTTTTAGGCACCACTAGAACTAGTTACTGCATCATAATACGTAAACCAGCCGTCTCGAAGATCGGGCCCCAAGCCGCTACCACGGACTCCGGTGACAATGTTACTTTCAACATGATTTTCGCGTCGAGCAATTTTCCCACTGCACTGTCCACAATATACAAGGAAGTCGCGTTCCAGGATGTCCCAAACCTCTCGGTCAACCTGATCCAGATGTGGGTTGCCGTTTTCCAGGGGCTTTTCAACTTCGTTCTCTGTCCGCTGTACACTCTGCCGATTTTGGGGCCGAGGTACTTTTTCTTTTTATTCACCGCTGCGCGTGGTCCTCTGTGAATGTATTGTACTAAATCTTGAGAATTGCTCGTTGTACTTTGCTGAATCCCTGACGCACAGCAAGACCAATAAGAGCACGGAGCGGGATCAGTTTGCAGTGCATGTTGGAAGTAGATGCGAACACAAGAACTTGTAAATGGACACGTACATCAACACAAATATCAGCCAAATCCCATTGAACGACATGATTCCGTCTTTCATCGACGGCGCGAAGTGTTTCATCGGCATCAACATATCAAGTGTAAAAATGTCTGGGTCTGGAACATTTCTAGATTTGTCATGCATATTTTCCATGACCCATGATGTCTGTGATGCATGCCGTAGCATCACAGATTTTTAGAGCGCTTCCTCATACCTATTCCGCATGACAAATGCCATCTCCGTGGAGCACAAAATCTACTCCTCTTACTGGTCATGCAATACAAATGTTTTTCGAATCCAGAGACAGCATCACAAGTTTAGATTCTTCCAGACCCAGACATTTTTACATTTGATACAACACCGTGAAAGACGACTGCGACGACGGCACCTTCCCCCGGATGCAGGGGCTGCGGCCGTGCGACAAGTGCGACGCCGCTGGCTTTGCGACCACGATGTACATCTCCTTCAACATCGCCTACAACATCCTCTGTATGCTGCTCGTCAAGTACGGCACGGCCAGCTTTTACTTCGTTATCAACGCCGCTCGGTTGCCAATCACCAGCGTGCTCTTCGCGTCGCCGGTCATCATGGGAAGCTCCGCGGTGCCGATGCGAATGGTGGACTGGTACCTAGAAGTAGTTGTATACAGGTCCAGCAGGTGTAGTCGCTTTTAGAGATATATGGATGGGGCCAGCGCGTGACTGAGGACCATCAGACACATCAGTTCTATAACAACTTTTTGTCGTCCTGGCAGGTCGAAGATGAACAAGACAAAACATCCGCCGGAAGAACATACATTCTTTCAAACATCCCAGGTTCGCCCTTTTCACCGTTCTCATCGGCCTGGTCGTGTACAAGGGTGGCGCCAAGATGCTGAAGAGGCAAGAAAAACAGGCGAAGACTTCCCAAGAGAAAATGCTTCGGGAAAAGCTGCTCCAGCAGCCAGACACATCACACCCCGATGCAGTTTCCACTACAACCATTCCCGTGCCGAGCACGACAGCATCGGGGTCTGTCTCCCCATCCACTTCGATCGCGTCCCCCTCTGACGAGGACAAACTTCCCTACCGTGCGTTCGGTGCCTTCCTGGGGCCACACATTCAGGTTTTTGACCCGATAGTCGAGGTGGTAGACGTGTCCGAAGACACGAACTGGATGAAAACGCCGGTGCAGATACGAGCGGGCTACATTCAGAAGCTGGGGCTCTTGCCACCCGGGACCGTAAGTCCCGGGGCGTCGCCACGTCCGAGCGATGGTGCTGGCGCTGCGAAGTCGCCCAATAAGCAACTGCTGCCGGGATGGGTCGCGATAAAATAATAGGACGATTTCTTGATTTAATTAATTTTAATGTGCTCGGACAGCTGTTGGCCAACTGAAACTTACAACCATAGAAATGTCAATGCCTAGGCTAGGCAGTAGCACTTAATGCTGTACAAGAACAATATCCTGCCTTTGGAGCTGCGCTTTATCAATTCGAAAAAGTTCTTCTTCATCTTCTTCTTCTTCCAACTTCTATAGATTTTTTCAAACATCTTCAACTACAAGTGCCGGAAAGCAAGAACCTTCTGTACTTTAACTTGCTCAACATCTGAACAAACTCTGCTGCATCTACGTACTTTCTTATTTCACGCGGCATCGTCGCACTTTGTAGTAAAGTAAATCAGCTGGTGCAGGTGCAGCAAGGCCGTTTGTGTAGGCTACATGTTGGAAAAATTATAATTTATCTTCACGGCCTGGTACAACATTCAGCCTGCTTTTGCGTACGAGAATGCGCAACATATTATTCATGCGTCCGACAATCCAGGCCGCGCATCGTTCTTCTACAGCACCTTGCATCTTCAGCAGAAGCAAGAGCAAGACACCGAGCTGCAGCTTCAAGTTGCGCTCTGCGTTAGTTGTAGGGGGTGCGGGTGCGGCTCGAGCTATGGTTCGCGTGGCACATAATAATTGTCGACATGATACTTAGTCGGTTGAATATGAATGCTCAGTCTTCATGAGCGCATCAACCAAAGGAAAGCTAAGGGCCAGAAAAAATGCAACGACCTTGCGTTTTTGTCTTCGGGAGCTGTAATCTAAGTAAACCTTCACCCTCACTAGAGTTGTCAGTGCTTGGCTCTATTCTGCGCGATAACGAATAACAGCAAGCTCTTGCTGTTGGATTATGATTTTTTTGTGAACAAAAAACAGCTCATTCGCTGAGGCCTCCAAACTCTTGCAAATACTTACATCAACAACATCAAGTCGGCACAATTTTGCAGTTTTTTTCTGATTTTTTCTCTGCGTAAGGAGGGCAGAAGCAGATGCAGAAGCAGAATCTTCAATATTGGGAACAGAGCCATAAGCGGGGCTTCATCTGGTATGAAAGTTAAGGAAAGAGAGAAACGATCGAAATGAAATGAATTCTCAGAAAAAAATAAACAAACGCACACGATATGGATACCATCTTCTCGCTTATTATCTTTAGCGGCTTTGGCCGGGGTCTGGCAAGCGTTTTTTGGAAACAAGTTTCGCCAGGTTGTGGTTTGTCCGTTGTTCTTGCGTTTGCGTCCGTGTCGGTTCGTCCTGGCCCTGAGTGAAGATGAAAAGAGGATGATGGAGGTGGCTCGCAGCTACTTGTTGCGAACCAAAAATCAACAGTTGCAGCCAGCGATTCTGCAGCAATGGCTTCCGTGTGTGTCGTCCGCCTCTCCCGGGGGTCAACGAACTGTCAACGCCACCTACTAGCTTTGATGTTGATCCGCCATTTATATTAGTGCCCCGGCATAGGTTTGCGAGCGGGAGGGTTGAACCTATAAGTAGAAGAAGCGAGGACGAGGAGCTTCGATCTATCGCAGCTGCAGGAGCAGTTTGCTGTAGCTTCAAGAAGAAGCGCAAAATCTCAAATACGTGTTTCACCTCTGATTGATTCTGAATCCCAACAAGCCATTTGCCATGGCCTCTTCGGAAGACGATGAGGAACAACAGATCGAGTACACGATTCTGAACCGGCGCGACGTCAACGCCTTCCAGGTGCCGCCCCGCGCGACCGCCGCCGGACACCGGGCGGAGGAGTGGAAAAACTGCATTTGGCAGGGCAAGGTCTGGGTGGTTGCGAAGGGGCCGCACGTGGTGCTCCGCCTGGTCAAACCGGCCACGGAGGAGATGTTCCTGCAATCGGTCATCGAACACGGGGACCACGAGAAATTTATTGAACGAACGGTCGACTCCAGCCGGTATTTCGTCTTGCGAGTAGTGCTATGGATTGCAAACATGTCTGGGTCTGGAAGAGCCAAACTTGTGATGCTGCATTTGGATGCTAAAAAAATCTGCATTGCATGAGCAGATAGAGGACTCAAATTTGGCTACGCGGAGAGGGCATTTGTCATGCTGGACGCGCATCGATAGGCGCTCGCGCTCGATAAATCTGTGATGCTATTTCATACATCAGAGACATCATGGATCATGTAAAATGTGCATGACAAACTTCTCCTCTTCCAGACCCAGACACTTTTACATTTTATAAGTGCACCCGGGAACGAAGAAAACGGCGTACATCGGCTTGGGCTTCGAAGTATGCATTGCAAAAGTATCGTACACGTACTCGTATAAATGCATTACAAGTTTCCTCAGCATGAGAATGAGAAATTAAATTTGTAATGCGGATTTACCTTGAGAAAAAAATTTGTAATGCATGATTGTAATACGAGTACGATACTTTTGCACAGGATACGAAGACCGGAACGACGCGTTCGATTTCAACTGCTGTTTAACGGATTTCAGAGGTACGAGTTCAGGTGGATCAGCAGCCTCCTCAACAGCTGCTTCCAGTGGACCGGCGGGCGGATCATCTGCAGAAGCATCATCCTCCATCAATTTTGAGAAGAAAGACTACAGTTTGAAAGCCGGGGAGAAGATAAGCATCAGAAGTTTGAAGACCCCCGGAGGGGGTGGGAATAAAGCGAACAACACAGTAAACAAGCTGGTCGGAACTACTACGAGCAGTGGCGCAAGTCCGAATCGGGGAGGAGGATTCGCGATGCCGCCACCACCTAGCGGAGGGGGAGGGATCGCGGCGCCGCCTGGTGCGCCGATGGGGTACAACACGGCTGATAAAGATCCATTTGAAGACGATGATGGTTTTTTTGGTGACTTCCAATCTGGCTGAGATGATAGATGATGGGGGTCAGCTCCAGCACTCAGAACGCGAGGCAGTTTGTGTAAAGAAAGACAAAAACCGAAACCGGGCACGCAGAGTAAAGTTTTTCAACAGGGTCGCGCATCATGATAGCAAACGCAGTTATCAAGGCAGTAGCGCAACATCAATTGGCAACCGCTTGGTTGTCTTGAGACAAATGGTGCGACAACAATATGATTGCAAAATAAAACTCGCAACCTCATGGAGCTGCACAGTCACGGTGTCATTGTAGTTCCTTCAGACCAGTAGAAAAAGTTTCTTGTACAGAAAAATAAAGTCGTAGAGTATCATTCGGACCACGTTGTAGTTTCTCCACTAGTATGCAAGTCGTGAGTTCTCTTTATGGCATCGCTATCGCTCCTATCTATGTCCGTCGTCGATTTATTACGTGAATTTTCGTTCTTCATCGTAGGTGTGAGCCAGTTTCGCTCGCAAGCACTGCACCACTGACGAGAGAGTTTAGGTATTGGCTTTCTGCGGTCGATTCACTTGTCGCTTTTGCTACTCGAGATCGTCGTTTCTTTTCAACTAGAGCTGCGTAGATCATGATGATGATGAACACAAAGACGAATCTCAATCTCCTGTTGGAACAATGAATGTAGTTCTACAACTCCCGCTTGTTTTTTCATGTTAAGTAAAGAAAGTTACTGATTCATTGTCAAAGCATCGACATCACTCACACACAACTACAATTCGCCATCGATTAAAGACCCTGGAAATGACCTTTACCAGCGCCAGCGGTGCAGTTGAAATGATGCTGGTGTCAGCCTCCTTTTACTTCTTACCACCTGCATTGCTGTAGCTAGTTCTCGGACCACTACTTCCTGTTTCGACTACGCAAAAGATGCAGGTGAATTCGTTTTCCCAAAAAGGCCCACCAAGGGGCCACCAGCCCAAGCCGGTCGTTTGCCCAGAGGTGAAAGTGGTCGAGAACCAGCTCCTCGCTCAACTGGATTCTTGCCGAATTTGTTTCGAAGAAATCGCGGATCCGGTTTTCACCTCCTGCTGTGGCACCGAGTTTTGCGAGGACTGCCTCAAATCGGTGAAGACCGCCCACGGCAACGACGCGAAATGCCCGAACTGCCGGGCGGAGAACCTAGCCTGGCACCGGATTCGCTTCATGCAGGCGCTTTTGTCTACCGCCAAAGTGAAATGCGAGGGGTGCAAGGAGGTTTTCAACCGCGCGGAGACGGATAATCACATGAAGCAGTGCGGGAAAGTGCAGCTCTCCTGTCCGAACCACGTGAAAGGTTGCTCGTGGTACGGAGACCGAGAGGCATTGTCAAGCCACATCGAGGACTCGTGCGAGTTTTCGGAGCACGGTGCGGCCTTGCAAGCACTGAAGTTCGCGAACGAGGACAAAGACCGAGCGAAAAAACTTGCAAAAGTGAAGGCGAAGATCTGCGCAAGGGGGAAGGACTACGGCAAACACCTTATGACGGATCAGTCTGCCTACCCCTTGCGGTGGTTGTACGAAGAAGTGAAAAAGCAGAAACTCGCGCTTCTCCGCTACGAGGCCAAGGAGCTTGCGGAGTTGGCGGTCAGCATCCAGATGCAGTTCTACGCGAAGAAACCAGCGTCAAGTTTAGCCGAAATTTATAAGCAGCCCCAAGCAAAAGCTAGCTCGAGTACTGCTGTAGTGCTGGTGAAGACGAGTGCCACCTCTTCATGTTCCTCTTCTTCCTCTTTTTTCGGGGTGCGCAGTACAGACACGAAGACATCAAAGAATGACAAAGCGCCAGCGACATCTCCTGCAGCGGTCGATCACAATGAGGTCGATAAAGTAGTGGAACACGAACCCGAGCAGCACGACACAGGTGACGCACCGACCTGTTCTTCCATTTCCTCGAGCCCGATGGAGCTGCAGCAGCAGGGTATCAGCGCTCTGTTTGGTACGCCGAATCTCTTCGCACCGAGCGTTACGGAGCTGGAGCAGCATATCGCGAAGATCCTGCTGAAAAAAGTCCGCGAGCACGCGAAGTTTCATGCGTTCACTAATGTCGGCTCCGGCGCGGTTCTGCACCCATGGGAGATCGCGCATTGGGTGCCGCGGTTTCTGCACGAGGCTACAGCGCTCCTGTTCCCGACGGAGAAGGTGCAGATGTATACTGGCAAATCAGATAAGGAATTTTACACGACTCTGTATTTGACAAGCCTGGAGTCTTGGATCCTGGACAAGCACCCGCCGGTCTTCCCCGTGAAGAGGATTTCGTTCGAGGAGGACGGCGGGTTTTTTAATATCGATCCCACGTATCATAACGTTCTGGAGGCGGAGAAACGGTACAAGGAACATCAAGCCTTGCTGAAGGAAGCGATGTTGAGATTCTGCAGGAGAGCCTTCACCAAAGAGCTTGCTCACGTCCGAGGAATCACGCCAGTGCCTAAACTGAGATTCGATGACAGGACTGACAATCTTTCCATCACGGGCCCTGACCTCGACGCTAGAACGACCTTGATCAGGTTGGGCCATGCGGACAGCACGCAGAAGCTGGGGAAAATGTTGGAATCTGCCACACCGACATTCCAAGACGCGGTAGCGCAGTACGTCTTCTGTTTGTCCAGTAGGGCAGTGTTCTTGCCGAATGTGGATATTAGGGATTCAATTGCCGCGAGCAGTTCCGCTTCCGCATCTGCTTCCTTCTCCAGAACAAACAATCTAAGTATCTAGTTTCCGCACCGTCGCCGAAGGTAGCCAGAAGGACCAGCAGACAACCACCATCTTCATGCCCTTGAGAGACTTCCTAGAAAAACTTCTCAAACTCATCCCCACCTGGGTTGAGAAGCGGTTGGAGCTGTTCGGTTGTGACGATGCCGGAAACAGCCTTAGAACCGCGGTGACCAGCGGGGAAGATAAAGAAGCGGCATCCTTCACAACTACCCGCCTAGAGCACTGGTTTCACAAGACCAACACGCCGATTCAAGTCTCGAAATCGCCGGACGGCAGTCGACCGGCGGTCGTCGGGTTCAGGTACTTTGCGCAGGAATACAGCCATCCGAAGCCGAATGTTACAACCTCTACGGCAGAAGGTCCTAGCATTCAGAAAAGCGGCGCCAGCAGTAGCAAGTCCCTATTTGACCCACCGGCGAGGCGGGGTAGTGTTGCTGCATCGCCGTCGCCACGCAACACGAAGAGGAAGTCGAAAGCGACTCCTTCGGGAACGCAACCGGCGTCAGGAGCAGTTCCCGTTGCGCCGCCGAGTCCACCACAGAGCCGGGCGTCGGTTGCACCGCCACCGTCCCGTGCCCAGCGTCAGATCCGGAAGCGGAGCGACGCAGGTCCGTTCGCTAGTGGAACGAGAGGGCGCAGGAGCTGCTCGGTTGGTCTGGGTATGGACGCCGGGCGGGAACAAGTACAAGCACAAGATCAAGCGCAAGTAGCCGCTAGTGCAGCTGCAGTGTCTGCCTCTTCCTCCACGACCGCACATCAGAAGCAGAAGCGGCAACGACTCAGCCAGGACGCGGGTTCCGGCGGAGATGACAACTCGCCGAAGAAACCCAAGAAGAGCGTGTCTTGAGCGAGCTGTGACAATCTCCATATCGCGGATGCTGCTGTTAGTTTGGTGAAAGGCAGGAGAGTATGATTTCTCGCTAGTTCTTGACTATGATTTCTGCAGTCGTTATTTCGTTTCGAGTTTATGACAGGTTTCAGCTTTCTTTGCCTTAACAGGATTCTCTTTCTCTTGTACGACGTTGTTTATTTGAACATCTTGTTTACTATTTTCACAGATATTTGTTTCTCACCTAGCGATAGGTCGTCATTCGCGTCGTGATGTCACTAATGTACACTTTCAACTTTCGCTGTTTCTTCTTTTGAAAAAATTCGTATGAAATTGTGTTTCGAAGTTCTCCAACTTCCAGTATCGAGTCGCAGCTACAGCGCCTAGTCTCGGCGTGCTCCGCCTCCGGCACAAGTTTTGTTTTCAATCCTAACTTAGTCACAGATGGATAGTGGATTTCCTCAAACATTTATTATTTTCATCACTCTGTCGTGCAACATTTTCATTTTCTTTATCCTGTATAACTTAGAGACTTCTTGTTCAGAGTTTCTTTTTCTCCAACAGGTTTCAACTGTACACACTTTTGAGGTTGATGCGAAAAGTTAAAGATCACAATGGTTCGAGGTAGGCCTGCCGCATAGTCCTGGATGGGCTCCCGAAATAAAAGTGTTTGCTTTCTATACCCTTTCTCGGCTGCTGAGGAGTTCCAAATGAGAACTCGCTTCTTCGCCCTCCGTCGTCGTGTCGTCCTTTCGATTCGTTTTTCGCTCTCAAAATGTTGATGTGGTCCGTGACCGCAGGAGCGACAGTTTCAGTCCGTCGTGTATATTCTTGCATAAAGGTTTAGGTTGACCACTCGCAGTCGACATCGAATATGAGAACAAGAGCGCTAGAGAAGAAATCGTCGTCGATCGCCTTCTTCGTCCTCGTAAAGAGACTCGTCGTATCAAGGTCGACATAAGCGGTCGTATTATTCGCACCAGCAAGCATCGTCTGATCTGCATCAGATCCGCCCTCCGTAGCGGGCAACAAGCTTCGTCAAATCATACGAATCGTTTTGATCGGTGTTGTGGTCGTTGATGGTTGAGCTCGTTGTAGTCGTATGGGTCTCATTCTCACCTCTTCTACTTTGATACCCGCCACATCAATAGGTTGGACTAATCGTCGATATTTGTTTTTCGTAGTTATCGTCGTTGTTTTTTTCAAAATGCCGGGCTTGCCTGGAAATTCGGCCGGTTCCGTCGGTGCTCTTCCTCCAAGACCGATGATTTGCCCGGAGGTGAAAGTGGAGGAGACGGACCAGGTACTGCACAAGTTGGACAGTTGTCGCATCTGCTTCGAACCGATCGAGGATCCGGTCTTTACCTCCTGTTGCGGCACCGAGTTTTGCGAGGATTGCTTGCAGGCCGTGCGGGAGGCGCAGGGCGAGGATTCCGCGAAGTGCCCGAATTGCCGGAGAGGACCGCCGTTCGAATGGCACCGGATTCGATTTATGCAGTCCCTGCTTTCGACGTCCAAAGTTCGCTGCACCGGCTGCGATTTGACGTTCAACAAATCACAAACGGAGAACCACATGAAGCAGTGCGGAGCGGTGCAGCTTCCGTGCCCGAACCACGGAAAAGGCTGCGGTTGGTTCGGGAGACGAAACGAGCTGGAGAACCATGTGAGTGACCATTGCGAGTTTTCGCTGGAGAGGGTGGCGTTGCAGGCGTTGAAGATTGCGAATGAAGACAAGGACCGTCGGAAGAAATTGGACTCGTTGAAAAGCCATCTGATTTTGAAATCGGATTGGTTCGCGAGTCAATTGATGGCCCAAATGAGTACCCATCCACTGAAGTGGTTGTGCGAGGAGGTGAAAAGCAAGCAACTCGCTTTGCTGCGGAAGGAAGCACAGGAGCTTGCCGAGATGGCAGTCATGTCCCAGCTGAGTGCCTACCAGAGCTTGAGGAGCAGAAAAGTAGCGCCAGCTGGGTCTGGCGGACTTTCATCTTCTTCGTCGTCTTTCTCCTCATCTGCGGCACCTGTGAACAACGAAAACCATGCACGTGCAAAAGATGTTTCAGCAGCATCGACGGACTGCAGCATTCTAGTAACCACCACCCCGATGGAAAAACAAATCTGCAAAGCACTTGTCAAAGACATCCGCACATCCTGGCACTTTCAGCCCTACACGAACGGCGACTTCCAACCCTGGGAACGGAAGCACTGGGTGCCGCGGATTTTGAACGCGGTACTAGAAACCCTGTATCCACGGGTGAGTATGCCGATGATCGCGGCGAGGCGAGAGGAGTACACTGGGCTCTACATGAAAGCGCTGGAGCCGTGGATTTTGGAGAAGACGCCGCCGGTTTGCCCCGTGAAAAGGATCTCGTTCACGGATGACGCACTAGCAGGCTACGAGATAGTCCACGAAATGAAGAAAACATTTCGGGACGGGGAAGAACAAGACGAGAGGAAAACGGCGACCGTGAATTTCTTCTACCAAAACCTGTACCCGCGTTGGAACCCCCTGTATTCGCTTTCCGCCATCGAAAAGCAGCTCGATCAGCTCCACCGCGATTTTTCCACCGGAGCAGACCACGCGCTCCTCGGGCTCGCCGGCACCGGCCCCATGCAGCGTATGCCCTTGGAGCACAAACTGGAGTTTTTACCCGCCGGCGAGTTCTTGCTGCCGCTGATGCAGTACGTATTCGCTTTGGCCGTGCGATCGATATTCCTGCCAAAAGTCGTGGACTGCGTGACGAGAGAATTCTTCGCGAGCGTCGAGTTCAAGTACCCCGACGCACCCGTCACTTCCGTCTACATGCCGGTCGCGGAGTTCATGCAGGAATTGCAGACCTACCTGCCCGACTGGTCCTGCGAGCACCTGGATCTCCTCTTCGGCGAAAAAAATGGCTTTCCTGGCTCCATAGCGGGCCAAGACCCAGTAGATGAAAATAACGCGAGCTGCGCTGGCGTTACGGCTCGCACTGCCGCCGATCTGGAGTACCTTTTCAAAGCGACTAACAGTCCGGCAGCAATTTGCTCCAGATTGCTGGACGAGGGCCGCAAGTCGATCGTGAAGTTCACATACATCAAAGAAGACTATTGCCCGCTCGTGAAGATGGCGCCAAAACAAGCGAAACCACCACCATCACCGGTAGTTTCTACCATTCCTCCAACGGCGAATGCTTCTATGATTGCAAACTCTAACTCCACGCTGCGTAGAAGTAACAGTGCAGTGGGGGCTATCAACAATCCGGAGCCGCAGTTGCCATCTTCATCCTCGTCGGTGCCCAAGAACAACTACCCAGAACCACCGAGCGCGCTGGTAGCAGCAGCACCACCAGCACAACCACAGGTTGCACGTCAACCTCCGGCTCCGGATCGGCCCTCTACCCCAAACGCGCGGCAACGAATTCCAGCTGCGAACAGCCATCAAAATCCAGCCCCGGCTCCACCGGCTCAGGCTCAGCCTCGCTCTCCGAGCGACCGTTGGCGGCATCTGATGAGAAAGAAGAACAACGACGACATGTCCCGCGCCGCACAGACTGCAGCGGGTAAAAGTCTGGGTCAGAGCAGCTCCCTGAAGTCTTTCAGGTTCGCCCCGAAGAAGCGAGGCAACGTTGAGGCGACTGGTGGTAATGGTAATGCAGGGACGATGAATGCCGAAATTGAATCACCTAAGAAACCGCGGTGGAACAGGTGAGAGGTGTGCAAAAATGCAAAGGGAATGAGTCACGTTTCTTGTTGTAGTCCAGGCTGCTTGATTTTTGTTTTGCAACTACGACAACCGGATTAAGCCGTTTGTGCTGTCAGTAATGACAATAGGTCATCAGCAGCAGCAAGATACAATACCCGATTTGTTTCTTACATTTGTTCGCAAGTTGTGTCTGTCTGCCCTAACTCTTGATGTTATTTTATCCGTTTGCTAATTTTACATTCGTTGCAGATTTAGTTGCTCTACTTCTTGTCTACACATTTCAATTTAATTGCTAGCATTCTCTACAACAATAAAGACACCAGATTGAGAAAATTAAACATGCAACCTTCCATATATTATTGTGTATACTACGAATAAACTCTGCGACGTAATAAAAATTTCAACCGTAAGTGTAGGGAAGGATCAGAATACGACCTACATTGTAGATCTAAGAGCAAAGCTAGAGATCCAAATGACAAGAAAGATGATCACGAAATGACACGAATGACCTCCGGGGAGTAGAACCCCGAGCCATGACTCTCTCAAATCCACTCAGGTGAGTGAAGCGGGTGCGTATGCTCTTAGTCTATCACGGCTATAGTATTCTGAGTATCTGCGTTCTATCATTCTCGCCTTGAGCTTTTAGAGCTTAGTGGACTCAGTAGTAGTATACTTTTACTATTGCTTGCGATTTTCTTTTATCGAGTAGGTTTCTAGAGTTTCTCTACCAGTTTCCGAAGAATACCAAAAACATGCCCACCCAAGACAAGTCCAAGGAGCTGGATCTGGAGAAGTTCTCCGGTGATGGCGGTCAGAGCTATTCTGACTGGTGGTATAAGGTCGCCAGTGCTTTTGCGGAGCATGATCTAGATGGTGTCCTGGATGATATCTGCAAGGGTACGAAGGCCGTGAATGAGGCGAAAGCCTTGCAGAGTGTTGTAGACGCTGCGAAAGCCGTCAAGACTTTGAAGACGAAGGTCGTCAATAGTCTTTCTGCGGGTTCGTCGGCGCTGCAATCTGCGAAGCAAGCTGATGACCAACACTTGTTCGGCATCATGCTTAGCATCTTTAAGAAGTTCAACTCTCAGGAAGCTTCTAGCCGTTTGGCAGCCTACAAGAAACTCTTGATGCCCCAGGGTTCCACGCCTGTTGAGGAGTTCGTGGAGTCTCGTCAGCGGATTGATTGCGCGGGAGGACCTTCAGGGAAAGATCTCGCTTGATGAACTCCTCGCGGCTAGTGTGTTGATTGGACTCGATTCCAAGTTTAACACTGTCGCTGGTACTCTGTTGGCTCAGAACCAGACTGACATCCCTACGATCAAACGCACTCTGAAGGAGTTTGAAGGGTTGCAGAATCTGAAAGGGAACAAGGAAGAGGACCCCCGTGCTCTGATTGCGCAGGTCAAGTCTCTTCGTCAAGAGTTGCAGTCGGTTAAGGACAAGCAAAAGCATGCCAACGCTAGTGCTGTTCTGAAGCCTCCGGGAGGAGACAAGAACAAAAAGAAGCGCAAAATCTGCAGCAAGATCCATCCGCCTGGCAGTTGCTGGGTGCTGCATCCCAACAAGGCTCCGAAGAATCTGCGTGCTCGCTTCGAGAAGTTGAACAAAGAACACAAGGCCAAGAAGGGAGGCAAGCAGCAGGATGATGATGATGAAGGTGCTCAGGGTGCGATGGCTGTGGTATTTCCCGCGCCTGCCTCTCATGCTCCGAGGGCTGTTGATGATGAAGATGATGAACTTTCCACCTCTATGGAACGTGACAGCTCTGGTGTGTTGGTAGGATCTTTTCATGCTCGCAGTAAGCGAACTGGTCAGGTGGTCGAACGTGTGTCCTCCCTTTCTCCCATTTTGGAGGCCGAGCCAGATGAGAAGAGCGAGTTGGTTTGTTCTGAGGTAGAGGATGAGAGCCGTCACGTGTATGGTTTTCGTTCTGGATCGTTCGCCCGCGCCTGTTTCTCGTCTAACGTACAGGCGCAGAGCAATCTTGCAAAGTCGTACACAGCAACGACGACCCTTTCTAGTGCGCAGGTGTTTTCAGGTGAAAATGCTAGGAGTCAGAATGGGAAGTCGGGTAGCGTGTGTGGGATGATTCTTGACACAGGTGCTAGCCACCATATGTCGGGCGTTGGTTCGTAGTCGTTTCGAGTGGATTGGCCCAGCTGATCAATCTCTTAGCACTGCGGATGGAGCATCCAATGTGAAAGGTGCTATTGGTAAATTTAAACCGAACAGCAAGGGCATGTGGTTTGGTCTTTTCCATCCGATGTTGTCTCGGGAATTGTTCTCAATGGAAGTCGCTGCGAGTGAGGGGGCTCAGCTTCACTATTGTGGACCTCAAGGGGATCCCAATGGTTGGCGCGAGTTCATCGACCCCAGTGGTCAGTCTCACAAGTTTGAAGTCAAAGGCGGCGCATCTGTGTTTGGTGTTTCGTTCGAGGATGAGGCACGGGCTCAGTTCGCTACCATTGGCGCAGCAGCTGGGGCCACCTACGGTTCCAAATTGACTATCCACAGGCGTCCTGCGCATTTCAAAGTCGAAGGCTTTGACTGCTCTTGCCGAGATTGTGCGAAAAGTAAGTCCTACGGACAGGCATCGCACAAGCCTACTAGGCCGCCGGAACATATTGCCAAGAAGTTCCTGGAGCAAGTCGATTCTGACTTTATGGGTCCGCTTCCTGCGGCGCTCAAAGGTGCTCACTATCTTCGCAGTTTTGTGGACTCTTGTACCAAGTGGGTCGAGGTCTATGCTATTGAAAAGAAGTCTGACTGTGGGGACATCCTGCGGAAGTTCGTTCAAGAAGTCGGCAAACCCGAACGGGTTAGGACAGACAATGAGCCTACTTTCAAAGGAGCTGAGTCGTCTTGGAAAAAGGCTTGCAAAGATTTCGGAATTCTCCCGATCCATTCTTCTCCTTATGAGCCGCAACAGAGTGGAGTGGTGGAGAGATGGAGTAGGACACTTGCCGATGGCATCAGGTCCAACATGCAGGGCGTTGATCCATGCCTATGGGAGTACTGTGCTCGCTTCGTCGCCTATGTCTATAACAGACGGCAGCGCAAGAAGTCGCAGTCTAGTCCTTTCCAGCGGCGTTGGAATCGTCCAGCATCCATAAAGCATTTGCGTCGTTTTGGATGTGAGTGCTATGCCAAAGTGCATACCCAACAGCAAAAGCTGGATGATCGCTATGAGCGTGGAGTCTTTCTCGGTTACTCTCGTACTTCCTCAAGCTTCCTGGTTGGTCTTTGGCGCTTCAGCGACAAGACGAACGCATGGCGCTTTGTGGTTGAGGAGAATAGCTCAATGAAATTCTTCGAAGACGCAGTCATTAGTGACATTCAGGAGCTTAAGCAGGATCCGAAACAGCTGCCGGAGGGGGGACAGACTAGTCTCACACCTGCTGCCTTGATTGAGAGGAGGCGCCGTGGCCTCTGCTTGATTCTTGGAGGTGGGGCGGGAGATAGTTTGCGTCGTCCTACGGGGGTTGAAGTAAGTCCTTCGGCTAAGCGACAGAAACTCGATGAGGAGTTTCCTTCTTTGGAGATTTCGAATCAGGGTGACAGGGTTGACCAAGACAAGGCCAGTGGTCCTGTTAAGGTTTCTCCTGAGTCGGGTCTACCTGAGTCGGTGCCACTTGAGCAACCTGACAAGGAGACTGGCGACCAAAACTCCGACAAGCCTTCAGATGGTAGTATCCAGCTGGAAATAGGCGAGCGGAAGGAACTTCCCAACCTTTCGGAGGGGGCTGGTAAGTTTCATGACTGGCCCAAAGAGATCAACGAAAGCAATCCTTCCGGTGATCGGCGCGATTGTTCAGACTTGATCGACGACGACTTGAATCCTTTCAAATGGGTCAAGCGTGGCGGTTCAATGGTCAAAGTTCGTCTACGTCGTGGTCGGCCGACGGGTCTCACGCGTGAACTTTGTCCGCACTGGTCTACCCGCAAGGGCAGGAAGACTAGGCGTCAGAACAATGCGGCAGCGAATCAGGCAGGTGCGCAAAAGATTGAGCTAGATGTGGAAGTAGCTGCCGCGTTCTCGGGCTCAGTATTTTCTGATGACTTGGAGGAAGGTGAGCAAGCTCTTGCGTGGACGGTTCAAGTTACACGGAAGCATGCCCTTACTGCGCCGGACTCTGCTAAGTACATGGAGGCTGACAACCTTGAAAAGTTGCAGTTGGAAGCTTTGCAGTCCTGGAGGCCAGTATCGGACGAGGATAAGCTATCCGATGATGATGAGACCATACCACGCGTGGTGATTTACACCAAGAAGCGCTGCGGTCGATACAAGGCCAGATGCGTGGCGTTGGGGAATCGTCAGACGAAGGTCAGCAAGGCTGAGATCTTTAGTCCGACTATCTCACATGCTGCAAATCGGGTTCTCTTGGTCGATGCTGCTGCGAACAAGAAACGCATTGGGCAGTTTGACATCAGTAATGCATTCCTTCGCAGTGACCTTGGTCAGGACGAGCGACCGAGTGCTCATCCGTCTGCCTAAGCATTGGAGCAAGGATAGTCGTGGTGATGTCATGCGTCTTCTTCGGTCTCTCTATGGCTTGAAGATTGCGCCGCGTAAGTGGTTTGACTGCTATGATGCATACTTGCGTAAGCATGGTTGGGATCGCCATCCTAGTGAGCCTGGTCTCTTCCGTCGCGGTTCTGTGACGCTGGCCATCTATGTTGATGACAGCTTGATCAGTGCACCTACACAGAAAGAAGTAGATGACATTATCAAGGAAATCCTTGGTGAATTTGATGGCAAAATCATCAAAGCGGAACTTGCTGCCGATGGTGTTACTGAAATCAGGGACATCCTAGGCGTTCGGCTTTTGTATAATGCTGAGAAGCAGCGTATGAAGTTGGACATGGAGCAAGCAGTTCGCAAGTTGGCTGAAAAGTTTCAGATCAATGCGGGAAAACCAATGTCCACTCCGTGCGTCTACTCTGATCTTTCAGAGGGGGCCACGCAGCCAGATTTCCCTATTAGGAGTTTGGTTGGGGGTTTGCAATACATTGCTACGCAATCGCGTCCGGATTGTCTCTTCGCAGTCAATCGGGTGGCTAGGCTGATGACCAATCCCACTGGGGCTCTGATCACTGCGGCTAAGCGGGTTGCGCGGTATCTGTTGCATACTCTGACAGAGGGGGTTGAGTATTCTCCGGCAATTGAGTCTAAGTTCAAAGAAACTTGCCAACAGGTGCTGGATCAGCACAACAAAGAGAGAGGCGAACTCCGTGAGTGGGTTGCGTTCTCGGATGCTGACTATGCTGGGTGTACTGTTACACTTAGGAGTAGTAGCGGCTCCATTCTCTTTTATCGGGGATGCCCGGTAGCCTGGTCGAGTCGTCGCCAGTCGATTAGGGCGCATAGTACTTGTGAGAGCGAGTGTATTGCTCTCTATGACACTTTGCAGCTCGTTCAGTCTCAGGGTTATGCTGATTGGCTTCAGACCAATAAGCAGCTGCCTCAGATCTTTTGCGACAATCAGAGCAGTCTGACCGTGGCGGGGTCTACCCTTCCAACTAAGAAGACCAAGCACTTCCAAGTGCGCTGGCATTCGGTCAAGGATCACGCTGGTGATCTCTGCTACTGTCCAACTGGTTTGAATCGTGCAGATCCTCTGACAAAACCAATGATGAAACCCCTGTTGGTGTTTCGCACACCGCCCCAGGATTCACTTCCCGACAAGAAGAAAGGTCTTCTAGCCTTGTATTGCGCTATCTAGTTGCAATCGAGGGGGAATGGGGTAGATAGGGTCGCAAGGGACTGCGGGAACTTGTGTTGTAGGTTGTGATGGTCTCTTCCTCCCACGCTCGTGATGCTTCATCTGGAGTCACTTGGCGGGTAGCAGGGTATCTGCGGGGGTTTTTGGCGCATCAGACCGGTACTCCGTAGCCATTTGGTTATGAGAGTTCGAATCTGTTGAGTTGGTGGATGTACTCTTCAGACCCTGACACGATCCAGCCGCTGCTCGGGTCCTTTCTCGTTTGCTCTAGGATTGAAGTCGCAAGTAGCAATCAGGCAATTCTTGGAGTCACTTGACACCTAGCAGGCCGTCTTGCTTCTGGACTTGGTTCAATCAGAGGGGGAATGTAGGGAAGGATCAGAATACGACCTACATTGTAGAGCTAAGAGCAAAGCTAGAGATCCAAACGATAAGAAAGATGATCATGAAATGACATGAATGACCTCCGGGGAGTAGAACCTCGAACCATGATTCTTTCAAATCCACTCAGGTGAGTGAAGCGGGTGCATATGCTCTTAGTCTATCACGGCTATAGTATTCTGAGTGTCTGTGTTCTATCAGTAAGTCTAAGCGTCGTTTTATTCAAGGATGTTATTGGTTATTTTTGACAAAGAAAATACGAATATACAAGTGCACTCCGGTACAGTTTCGGAGGCTTTACAGAATTATTTAGCACATCAGATTCTTTACTGTACACGGATTTGCTTGGAAACGGAAAGTTTAGAAAAGCTACAAGGTAATTAATATGTGAAACCGACGGCCGTGAAGTTATCAAGAGGTCGGCGGCCAAACATCAAGGCCAACATAAAAGCTTCGCGTCTATTTCGTTGCGATGAGTAGAAAGCGAGCAAGGGATCGGGATCGGTAGCAGTCGTGGTGAATCGATATAATCGCTATGGATTGATGGTCGTGCTCGTGCACTCATGTTGTCTAGGTCTTTCGATCGGACCGTGAGTCTCGTGAGAGTCGGAGTGGTCCGTCGTTTATTTTCGCCGTAACTAGATGAAAATGCGTCTTGCTCTTGTTGCCGTTGCGTCAATGTCGTCTTTCGTCGCAAGGAAAAACTCGTCGTTTCCGTCGTGACCGGGAACCGCTCCAAAGACTTGGAACATCTCAAATTTCTTATTCTTCGCGTACCCACCAGATGTTCGGGATATTTTTTGAACAAATGTTCTGGAATTGATTCAACAATCTCCAATTGGGGAAACAAAGATGGGCGACTCGGGTACAAGGTCGAGGCAGCTTTTCGTCCCGCCAGCGTTGGAGTATGATGATCCGTTGTTAAACGATCTGGAGTGCAGTATCTGTTACGATAAGCCCCGGGATCCAGTGTGTGTGACATGCTGCGGCTGCGATTTCTGCGAGGACTGCCTCGTGGGAATCAAACAAGCACACGAAAAAGCAAAGCAGCAGTATGACGGCACAGGTACAACTGTGAGCGACGAGCTTTCCTGCCCGCACTGCCGGCAGCCGAAATTGCAATGGGTGCCCGCGCGCGGGTTGAGGTCGATTATCGCGAAGGCGAACGCGATTTGCACTGGCTGCAAGGCCACATTCAACTTTTCCGACGCAGCGATCCATTGGGAGACCTGCCCTGCGATCCGGTTCCCCTGCCCGATGCGCGACCGTGGCTGTACCTGGTTCGGCGAAAGAAGCGCTGAGGAAGCGCACCTGCGCGACTCGTGCCACTACACGGACGCGGCCGCCGCCGCCGAAGCCCGAAAGATTGTCTACAGTGATTCTCTACACCAGGAGAAGATCGCGGAGCTGCATCGCAAAATAGAAGCCCGGGAAATCGCTTCCACCGGGACGATCGTGACGCTAGGTCTCACCGGAGCAGTACTAGGTCAGCTGGGTTGCAAATCTGCGTGGAGTTCGCGCCGTTGGCTACACGAGCAAGTCAAGGAGCAGAAGGTCTTGCTTCTGCGCAGTGAAGCCGAGGCATTGGCGGCTGCCTTGATCGCGGCCACCCAAGGCAAGAAGAAGCCGAATGTGCTGGGCTGTGGTCCTGAAGAGCGTGATGCTTTTGATGATGTCGTCGTAGAATCGCGAGAAGAACTTCCAGAAGAAGATCATGTTCATGCGAAAAAAATCTGCAGTGTCTCCAAGGGCGCAGCATCGTCAGGTGGAGCTGCAACAGCTGTAAGCAAATCGACGGACACGAGTGACGATTCTTGCGCTTCAGTGGTGCAATGCGATGAAGCTGCAACGTCCAGTTGTGGTTCTTTTTCCGACGCTGGTGGTACAAATAGAAAAACACCGAGTAAAACAGAGGGATCCGGGTCTCGTCCATCGGCAGTAGGCGAGTTTCAAACTGAAGGTGTTGAACAGAAGGTTGACGAACCCAAGAGCCCCCCGATCAAACAAGCAGAAGATGAAACGTCTACCGCTAGTATCTCTTGCTCGAGTGGGCACATCAGCCACAGCTTCGGCCAGAACCAGGAGGAAAATTATGCTCCGTCCGACAGTGTGCTGACGGATTGGGCGCCCGTGAACTACCTGGAAGAGCAGTTGTTCATGTTGGTTTTGCGACCCGTGCGAGAACATCGTAAGATGCAGCGGCACGACTCTCTTCATGCCGCCGCCCTCTCCCACCCCGAAGAGGGTCTCCAGCCGTGGGAGAGACAACACATTCCGCGCATCTTCTTCGAGCTTGCGAAAGTTTTGTGCCCCCAAGCTGCCGCTGCCGGGGGTAGTTCTTGTGGGGAAGAAGACGAGAGCAGCCGTGTCGATCACTACATCCCCTTATTCCTCGAACCGTTCATCGTTGACAAGCCGAATCTGGTGTTTCCGATTCAGGCGCCGACGCTTCCGGGGGAGCAAGATCCGCTGGAGTTGATGCGGATGGAAAGGGGCATGCAGGACGCGGACGCAAAGTACAGGCGGCACAAGCTGCGGTACCGGATCGAACTGATGAATTTTCTCGAGCGGGAGTTTCGCGACGAGTTGAAGGCGTTCTGCGCCGCCCACGATTTCGATTTCTGGGAGCTGATGGTGAACTTGAGCCGCGCCGGCGGAGACCGCGTCGATCCCGCAGAACTGGAGAGACACGACATTGTCGGGTTGCTGACGTTCGCGGATCTCGTCGCCGAGTCGAAAAAGATGATGCCGCCTGCTGGTGCTGCAAAACCCGCTGCGGATGTCCGGTACGCGAAGAAAAAGCAACAGACCTTCGTCGATCAGGGCGAGATCTACGATCCATTTTCCACCGGGGCGTTTTCGAAATTCCCCGGGGCGGTCCTGGAGCCCCTCATGATCTACACTCTGGCGATGGCGGTGCGAAACATGTTGTGCCCGGTGGTGAAGCTCGGCAAGAAGAACCACTACACGGGGAGGTCTTTCGCTGCAGCACCAGGGGTGAAAGAAGTCGACTCATCGACCTCCACACAGCTAGTGGGAGCTTTCGTCGTGGACGCCACCCCCAACACGATCTGGGTTCCGTTAGCGGTGGTTTTGGATCGCCTCCAAAAGCACTACCTGCCAAAGAGTGTGTTCCAATACTTTTTCGGGTCGACCGACTGGCGTGAGTTCTTCTACGGCCCCCGAGCTGCTTCCGCCACGTCTTGTTCCGACAAAATCAGATCGCATGCAAAAGTAAGCACCTCGACCTCGACGACGTCCAAAAGGTGCGGAAGAATCACTGCGGAAGCGGTACAACATAAAGTCGACGAGCTCCGACGGATCATGACGCTCGCAAGACTGCCAGTGCAAATCACATCGACCAGTATTTGCCGAGAAGTTCTTGGCAGCTCGCCAGATGGCCCCGAAACTCAACAGTTGGTGTTCGGCTTTTGGCACTTTGCAGCGGAATATCGCGAACCCGTGCAGAAGGCCGATGTCGTGGTGGAAGGTGTTGGCACCTTATAGGTGGGCCAGGGGGTGCGGGTGGTCGGGGTGGAGGAGTCATCGGAGGGTACGAGGATGATCCGACTTTGCGGGCAGAGCCTCACTTTCAAGGTTCTTGCTGAAGTAAACCCGTAGCTGCGACGAAGAAGCGCCCTGCCATCAAGATCCCTTACCTGTCGACGAGTAAAATGAAATGATATTTATGAATGTGTTTTGTTCAAAATTTAATTTAATAAATGCCGTTTGATATTAGTAATTTCTAGTATCTTAGAGAATCAATAATAATAAAGACAATGTTAGTGATGTTTTATGAAGATCCTTCAGTCGAAATGTATGATTCTCTATCGTGACTGATATCTGTATGTTGTCCAGCGCAAGAATAACGAATTTCAAGCTCCCAACTTGTATCTCGATATATTTGTGATATGGAGGTGATGGATAGCGAAGCAGAAGCTGAAGTTATCATTGCCGATCTTTATTCTATTTCGATTGCAACTTACTGTACACCTTGAAGCGAAAATAAAAGATTACTTGCAGAGAGAAAGAAGCAAGAAGAAGAATTGATCTAGAAAAATTTTGTCCTCGGAAACAAGAGCCATTGGAAGAGAAGTTGATGGTGAGAGTCAGAAGAAGATGATGGAGATGATGAGGATGTGGTGATGGAATGAAATAGTGGAGAAAAAGGTGGAAGTGAAAATATTAGACGCAGGAGCGGATCATGGCATGCTACACAGCAGATTGTTTTTTTTTCAGTACAGCCGTAGTTGTTCGCCTTCCTGCTTCGCAACCTTTCATCATGCCTGGAAGGAAAGGATCTCACAATTGTTTCTTTCTTCAGGACGGCGCCACACCATGATATGAAGAAACTTTAGAAACTGATCGCTATCCGGATGTGTACTCCGAGTTGAGTAGTTATTACTCTCGTTATTTCCGGCGAGCAAAAGCCACGATTACGTTTTGCGTACCCATAATTCGTTTCAAGTCCATTTTTCAAGTTTTACGCATTTGATTTCGCAATATTGATTGATACTCAAGAAGAATGGCCGTCGACATCCTCGTTTGCCAAGCGGGTTCCTGCCGCAAGGCCGGGTCCGAAGCCACGCTGATCGAGATCGAAGAGCTTGTCAGTGGTTCTGACGCGAAAAACACCTGCGCCGTCCATCAATCCGGGTGTCTGGGGCTCTGCAGCCAGGCGCCGGGCGTCGTGGTGGTGAAGAACCGGAGAAACGAAACCCCCTTTACGAGACTCTCCACCTCCGACGCCATTGCAAGGATGATCGAATTTGCCGCCGGGATTGCGGCGAGCGTTTTACTCCAGTCCTGCTTCCTGGACGAAAACGCGAAGAGGAGGCTAGAGGACATCAGACTGAGCCGCAGCCGGCAGTACGCGGCGTCGGTTTTCAAGTGGAACACGGCGCTCAAGGGGTTGTCCGCGCAAGTAAAGCTGACCGGGGAGGTGGAACAAATCGACTCCTTCGACGCGAAGAAATTTGTGGAACTCGCAATCGCACAGGCAAATTTACTCGAGATGGCCGGCTTTTGGAAGGACGGCTGCAAGGTGCTGCAGAACGCGGAAAAGCGTTTTTTTTCCCTCGGGAAAGGAGCAAATCAGCAGCTGCAGCAGAGTTTAATGCAAACAGGCGGCGCCTCTTCAGGTCTAGCTCTCGGGGCAAATAACGCAAGGCAGGCGATGAGCAACAAGGCTTTTTTGCAGGAGCAATTGGAAAATTTAACCAGGAAGAAGATCTCCTTGCTTTCCAAACACGCGGACGAACAAGCGGTGGGGGCTATTGAGAAGAAGCTGGAGCAATTGATGGATAGTTCGACTGAGGTCAGTTCGGCGATGAATCCGAACGAAAAAATGATGATGCCGGTGATGAATTTGAAGCGGCTGCTACTCTTCATCGACACATGTAAAGCGAAAATGCTGGCGGAAGCGACGAACGTCGGCGGGGGTGGGGAGAAAGAGAAGTGGAAAACATTCGACGGCACGACGACAACGCAGCAAATGCTGACGGATTTGGCGAAGGCGAAAAGAGCAGGCGAAAACGACGCGAGTGCTGCAACATCTCCAGATTCTGATGTCGGCGCAGCATCACAAGATCCAAGCAACGCAATTCCAGCAACCGCATCGGCATCTTCGTCTTCCTCCGCTGTAAATAAAACTTCGGAGCGAAACAGGAATTTTGTCTTCCCAGAAGCCATTGACAACTACACCAAGTGGACGTTGGAGAAAGTGACCCCGGTTTCTTATCATTCCGCTGTCTTCCACTTTTCCTCGCAAGACAAAAAACGCGCCACACCACACCCCCGCGGCCGCGGGAAGATGCCGATTCCCAAAACGTGGCACACAACATTGCTTGCGCCGCGGAATCTGGACTTGGTTTTACAATCGAAGTCACAAGACGAAATCGAAGACGAAGGGCCACTACCCTGGGTCGAGCGTGACTACACACCCATCAGCAGTGCCAAGGAGTGGGAGCTGGGGACTTGTGACATTCTGATCAAAATTTACCCCGATGGCCAGGCGACAAGCTGGCTACATACGATCTCGAAGAGGCTGCATAGTACTTCTGATCAGGTTGATGAACCAAGTGGACGAGGTGGAGAGGACGAATTTAGGTCGAGTAGTCGGGTCGTGGCGGGGACGGAAGTGGTAGTTGATGAGAATGATTACCATGCGGACATCAACCAAAGTGCAGTTGCGCCCAGCTCAGCAGGGGGCTCAGGCGACGTCGTGATGAACAGCCAAGAACAAGCCAAAACTACAACCCCCAGCAAAGATGTCGAGATCAGCAGCAACAAGATTCAAATCTACCTTTCCCAGCCGGTTATCACCCTTACCCTCCCTCACCTTATCCCGGAAGACGCGCAGATGCCGAAACAGATCCAGAAGTCCATCCTCCTCGTCCTCGGCGGAACCGGCGTCGTTGCGCTCCCCCAGGTCTTGGCGCACCGCGATCCGTATAGCAAGTTGAACATCGCGACGAGAAAGACGGACCAGTTGAAGATCGCAATCGATTTGGTCCTCTCCTGTCGGAAGGACGATATTTTGATGCTCTATCAAAATGAAAAATCCCCCCTCCCCATATCAAAACGGAAATTTGTGATGCTGATTTGTGGCCACAAATCAGCTTTGTATTGCAGAGAGGCATGGCGGCCAGATCCCCAGGCTAGGTAGGGGCGTATGGGTCTAGTTGTTCAGCATGGCAAACGGTTCCCCTTTATGCCCAACAGCATGACAAACAGCTTCCGTAATGTGGCGGAAACTTCTGCCCTTGTCTTCTTGCAAGACAGAGGTGATTTGTGACCTCAAATCCGCAACACAAATTTTTGGAAGCATATCTTTGCAATATGGGGAGGGGGGATTTTTCCTTTTGATATGCTTCCCGAAATCCTTCAATGGTGCAAGGAGGGGTCCGGAGCAGGCCCCGCCGGAGCGGAGGAGGAGAGCGAATACCAAAAGAAACGACGCCTCGCAAACGGACCGCAGGGCTTGAGGAATTGCGTCTTGCACTTGACAGGGGAAACGAGTAGTGTTGCATCAGACTACGAGGAGAACAATGGAGATGTAACTGGCGCAAGAACTATGCCGTTTTCGTCCCGGGGGTTCGACGAAATGAAGCAACACGACCAGCTGGCTGAGTTCGAAGGTCTGCCGAATTGCGAACTGGTCAGGAACAGGATATCTGTGGAGTCGTTGAAAAAAGCGGTTTCGAGAATGGTGAAGGATTGTCGAGTAATCGTCTCCGGCCCATCCGGGTTCAACGCTGTGGTACGGACGATGCTGAAGGAAAACAACGTCACAGACGACATGATAACAATTTTGACGGCCTGATTCTATTTTTTACGAGTGGTTTCATCTTCTAGGATGTTTATTTCGAGCGGTACTTTCTTCATTTACCGTTCGGCTTTACTTTCTACGATAACAGTTCTTGCTGTCTTTAGTACACGCTCTCCTAGTATGAGTTTTAGTTGCGTGAATCAAAACATTATCCAGTGGTTTCGATTTTGCGTTTGCGAAATCAAGATTTTTTGCTTTGTACAGACGACAGCAAGCGACAAAGAGTTTTCCCGACACATCGACAGGATAACGTGAAAGTATTGCACTTGCCTGCAAAAAAAAAAATCGAGCCCCAGCAGTGTTCTTTCTCTGCGGCAGCGAGTTTGATTAACACTTCTTGCAGCACCAGATCTAGTACCGCGCACGCTGCTCTCTGAGAGTACTACTACTTTCCATGTGTTTTTACATGGTGGACCACGACTTTGATATGAACAAAAGCACTACAGTGACCACGACCTCTTCGTTCTCCTACTAGCCGCAGCAGCATCGCGATGAAGAGCTCTTGTCCACCACGTAGGATCTAGCTGTCGCTTCTAGTAGAGCGACAACTCATTTGGCACGACGGGAGGAGCTTCTCAACTTCGAACCGGTTTAACATCGAGTTCAGGTTTTTTTTTTTGCCGCGTTTTTTGTGCCACACGCCCAGGACCTCCTCACATGTAGTTTCATCTGTAGAAAATGTGCTTATGAATCCTTTGACCTACTTGAATGTTATGATAGATTGTGGTGTGTGATCAGCGACGAGCTTGTGAAACTCACATAGCTCCTACTTCGTTTAGTCTGTCCCGTGGCTGCTCGTAGTTGAGACAAAAGCTATGGTCGGATTTCGGCTACTAGGACCCGGGTTACTCGCTCGAAGTCCACCGACGCTTCACCCCGACAACAGGCTCACTAGAGCAAATTACAATTACGGCACTGTCTATGCGTACTTGTTCCTATAATATTTTCTTTTTTCCTGCTTACCTGGTGCACCTACCCTATGTATTGTACAACTGTTCAGGAAAATTAAAACGAAATAAAAAAACCAGAAACAAAGATGACGGCTTCCTCGCATTACGAGCAGGCGATCGATGCGCAGTTCGAGAAGCTCGTCGATCAGAAGTACGACAAGAACCACCAGAAGACGAAAGAGCAAATAGATGAGCTCAACAAAAACCTCGCCCGCGGGAACAACAGTTTTCCGGACACTGGGTACACGAACGGCACCGCGGAAGACTCAGATTTGGAGGACAAGTGCCACAACGCGGCCCCGATTGTTGGATTCGACGAAAATTGTGGCGACGCGGACCTAGACAGAGGGTTACTGCACACCGTCGAGCAGAAGGTGCAAGATGCGAAATTGGTTGATGCGTTGAGAAAAGATAATGTGGGTGAAAATGCTGGAACCACGACTGACACTGTGGATAAAGAGACGAGCCTGTTGAACAAGTGCCAATTTTTGGAGGATGAGCTAGCTTTGCATTTGAGGAACAAAAACGCAGAGGAGAAAAAGAGTTTACTCGAAGTCGACCCGGCACTGAAGGGAGATTGGCATCTTGGGCCGACGCCGGTCAGGAAAAACTTCGATGCTGGTGCAGCTCCTCAGGGAGGTCCTGATGTTGCTGAGGACCCGAAGACGATCACTGTAGAGCCTGCGCAAACAGGAGGTCCCCAGAGCAGTATTAAAGCTGCGCCTACTACTGATGCCTCCTGTTCCACGTTGTCCAGTGCAGGCACTGCAGCTGGTGCAAAAGCAGCCGCTTCTGCTTCCACGGGGGAAGGAGCCGCTCCAGCAGCCAAGAAGCCGAAGGCCGCCGAGGACCAGAGCAAGCAGAGTAGCGCGACGTCGAAGTCACAGGATGTTAACGATTTCGAGAAAACGATCCAGGAAACGCTTGGGGACGCAGATCTGATGTCAGATTTCTCGAATTGGATGAAGCAGGTGCAAGGTGGGGAAATGAATGAGATGGAAGGCATGCAGGAAATGACAGAAATCATGCAGGTATAAATACGTAAAACTAAAAACTTACTTCTGTGAATCGTCATATTAAGATGAATGCGGAACTTGTCTTGCGTCGGGGCATATTGGCATTTGTGAAGCAAAAAGTACACAAGAACTTTAACCACATCATGTGCGATCTATTTTTTTCTATCAGGACCCGCTTTTCAAGGAAATGATGGAGCAATTCGACAGTGTGTTGAACCTTAATGGAGGCGGGGGAAACAACAACAAATCCTCAAGTAGTTCGTCAAAAAGTGCAAAAGCTGCCAAGCCCGCCGCCCAGCAAGCGAAGCCGAAGCCAAAAGTGAAAAAGGAAGACGTCGGAAAGATGAACACTGAGGACATTCTCGGAGTGGTGGAGCAGAGCTTACAACCGAAGACGTCATCGAACGTGCTGCCACCAGGTGGTGTTTCCCCAAGTGGTTCAGCAGCTGCGGGTGCTACTGCTACTGGAGACAAGTTGCAAGAGCAGAAGCCACAATCATCGCAGCCCGCTGTGAAAAAGGGCTTCTTCAACACGTCGGCGAAGAAGGACCCCGCCGTCAAAAAGGGATTTCTGAACAACGCGGCTGGTGGTGGGAACAAGGCAAGGAAACTGAGCGCGGAGAAAATTGCAACTTCTGCGCCACGAGGAGAAGCAGGAGTAGGAGCAGAAGGAGGGACAGCATCAGCCGCACCTCCAGCTTCAGTGACGGCTTCTGCTGGCTCCTCATCCTCTTCTTCTTCAAAGCCTGCTGCTGTGGCTGTCGCTTCACTTCCACCTGCTTCCGGCACTACGCCACCTGCTGCAACTGGTGAATCAGGAGAAGCCTTAAGCGCGCCTAGCAATGCTGTCGGTACAGAAGATGTTGACGTCGAGATGAAAGACGCAGCCAGCGCCGCACGACCTTCTGAAGCTGTAGATCCCGAGCCTCGCCCTGCAAAACCAGCTTTCGACGCTTTGCTCGAGGAATACGCACGTCCTCCACCACCAACCCACGAGGAGCTGCTACTGATGAAAGGTAGTTGTAAAAAAGCAAAAGGAAAGAAAGGCAAGGACTTGTTCTTTGGAAATAAATCAGGTAAGGACTTCTTTTTAGGCCCTGGAAAAGGTGGGCCCAAGGGAAAAGACTTCGCTGATTCTTTCGAAAAAGGCTCATCTGGGAGAGGTCCCATGGACTCCGAGTCGGAAGACGAAGAGGAAGACGCAATGTTTGATGTAAAGGGCATCAAAGGCAAAGGTGTGTTTCATCCCGGCGAGGACGATGGCGTCCTTTTTGACAAAGGGAACGGCAAGAAGGGCGAGAAGAAGGGAAAGCCGCGACTGTCCGAAGAAGAGCAAAAGGCCTTGCTCTCCCCGGAGGAGCTGGCTGCGTTGAAGGCACAAGCGCTCGAGAGGCTGGAAAGAGACAAAGATCCGGAGAACGAACTCGCCAATTGGAAAATCAAGCAGAACATGCAGAAAGCGGTCCAGCGACTGGCCACCGTTCCTGGTCCCCTGTCGAAGGGAAAAGGGAAAGCTTCGGCTGAAAAAGTAGGGGCTACTGCAAAAGGTTACACAGCAGCGCAAAATGGTACAACAGTGCTGCAGCAGCAGGAGCAGGACAACAAGCAAGATGGCTTGATGGTCGACTACGACTCTGCAGAGAACGACAACTCGCCAGCTGTTAATAAAACCGGACAAGCAGGAACAAGCAGCAGCACATCTTCAGCATCCAAAGTAGGCACTGTTGGTTCCGGTAAGGGAAATAAAGACCACGGGAAGAAGAAGGGCCCACTCGGTACAGCTAGTGGAGCAAAAGGAAAACAGCCTAGGGGCGGGCCGCTCTCGAAGGTTCATTTGGAAGATCCGAGAAGGCACGGGAAAGACAGACTCGGCATCACCGCGGCACAAAAGGCCTTCAACAAAAATGTCTACGACAAAACCCTGGATGACCTGCAGGAGTACTATAAAATTTGTTTTGCTAGTTGTACGAGTTGGAGGTTCCTCTTGGGAGCCGCATGCAATGAAATTCGAAAATGAGTACGAATCTATCATGCATCGATAACTTTCTCCATCATCAGTTTCAGTTTATTCAAGTTCAAAAATTTTCTGATCGTGATGCGCAGGAGCACTTCTTCGTAGATGATGAAATTCAAACTTATTCATTCGTCAACGACATACAGAATGGTTGCCGATGATCCCGCGCTTGCCCACGATTTCGAGAAGCTACTTACCTCCATGTTAGGAACGGACGTGATTCAGGAGGCCTGCACGAACTGCGCGATTTGCCTGGAGCCGTGGTTGAACGAGTTTTACGAGAACCGGAAGACGAATCCCACCTACACAGACGCGGACTACAACCGCTACCAGAAGATGCTGAAGTGCTACAAGGAGGTCACGGTGATTCTGTCGCAACCGCGGCACAAAATCACGCCGGAGCAACATGCCGCGTATCGGAAGTGGGTCGAGGAGGAGTACGTGTGGAAGGACATCGACCGGTACTGCAGACAGAGGTATCAAGAGGAACAGATGTACTTCACGGAAAATTTGCGGAATAAATCGTATCGAATTCTGAAAAACGGGAAGCTGAAAGAGATCAACGTGCGGAAAAAAGTCGCGTTAAAACACGGTCTGGACTACGATTCGGACTACGTGTCCGGGGACAGTATTCTCGACGAAGACTCGGAGGATCGAGAAGATTTTGGCTCTACTAGTAGTAGCAGCTCGGACGACGATTCGATGTCCTCGTCTTCGGAGTCAGATTCTGACTCCCCCCTGGGTGGCAGGAGTGTAGTTCGTAGAAATAACGACAACGATGAGGATGACCAGGTCTCTGTTGTGGATGACGAAGGAAACATCGTGAGAAAGAACCGCAAGGACTTGACCGAAAAACAACGGGCCGCAATAGCAAAAATAGAAGACCCGGAGCTTTTGAAGGTGGTCCAACTTCAATACGAGAAGCTTCCGCCCGCGCCTTTGGAGGGCTCCAAACCCGCACGCGATTACGAGGGCAGGAAGGAAGATGTTAAACTGTATTCGTGCAAGGAAGAGAAGTGGTTGGACCGACGGGAGGGCTACAGCAGACCCGATCCGGATGATACAGATTTATCAGACGAGGGATCCTTGTACGACCACGATAGCCAGGATAGCCGCGAGCAGGAGGACTATTCTTCAGACGACAGCAGTGGATCAGATTCAGAAGATTTTTCCGACAGCTGCTCTAGTGCTTCTTCAGACGAGCGTTCCGACGCCGATCCTGACAAGAAGACTGGAACAAGAGACGAAAAGAAAAAGGAGAAGGCCAGCGATGAAAATAAAAATGATCCTGGACGACGAGAACGACAACCAAAACCCAGCAAGTACATGTACTACACGCTCTCCGAAAACGATCTGACCGCATCTGATTCCGAAGATGCCGATGAGTTCGAATACGACCGAAAATTCCCGAAAATTGAATCCGACCCCGACGACGAAAACTACCCGAATATCCACACGAGCAACTGGTACCGCAACAAGTTCAAGCGCGCGATGAGATTAAGGGACCTGCGGCAGAGGGCGGACTTCAAAAAAATTCGCGAGGAGAAAAACGTGAAAATCGTGAAGTGGGTGGAGGTGGAGGACTATTTGCAGAAAAAAGAGAAAATCAAGCAGCAGAAGAAGAACCCCAAAGTCCCGAAACACGACATGTGGTGGCGGGAGTGGTGGCAAAGTGAGCTGCCGGTCGACGAATTGCTGGACTACCGGGAGCAGCTGCAGAAAGAGAAGAAGCACCCGCTGAAGCAGGAGGAGCAGAAAAGGGTCGACCTGCTGATGGCGAAGCTGGAGCAACTGGGGCAACTACCGAGCGAAGTGATGAACATGATACACGAAAGAGGGTTCGCAGCGCAGCGGGCATTTGTGGCGAACGAGAAGAGCGAGTTCGTAGATGTGAAAAGACATCAATCGGAGGAAGGGAAAAAGACGGAAGCAGAGAGGGACAAGCTACTAGCGGAGGAGTTGTTAGATAAGTACACGGAGAAGCGCATCCAGAATAACCCGGTTTTGCAGCACAAAAACAACGTTCTGGCGGATTTGGAACAGAAAAGGGAAAGAAGGGAACAAGTAGAGTTTGAAAAGACGATGAGTACTACTACAACAGGGACGATGAAAGGACGAGATAAGGACGGCGACATAGTGATGGTGGACGAGGAAGACATCGAAGAAGAGGACGAAGCAGACGGCACGAAAATCGGGTTCAACAAAACGACGATTAATCGCAGCTGCGACAGTACAACAACGAAGCCGAACATCAGTTTTGAGGACCTGCTGCCGAAACCGGGGAACAGTGAATTCGACCACTTTCTAAGAATGTACAAGCAGTCGTGCGGCGATTTGGGGCAGCAGTTTCTGACCAAGGAAGATCGGGAGCAATTTCAGCAGATCTTTTCTGGCGGGTTATTTGGAGAAGACTTAAATGAGAAGGATAAAGACGGAACTAACACGAACACAAGCGGAAAGAATGACGACCAAGAAGACAGCTTCGGCAAGCAGCTTGGGCAGTGGTTTGATTTCTTGAGCAAAGATTTGGACAAGCAACTGCACCCGGAAGTTGTAGGGCTGAATAGTAAAGCACCTGACAGCGCTAAAAATCAAGATAAAATCGAGCCATCAGATCCCGCGCCTGCCGAAACAAATCCGTCTGAAAATAAGGAGAAAGAAATGGCGGAAAAGGGGCTCGGGGCGATCTTCAAGCGCTTTGAAGAAGAGTACGGCAAGAGTGATAGCTTATCCAGCGGAGGTGCGGGGATATCCGCTGCGGAAGCGGAGAAAAAACTTCTTGCTGAGATGCAAGCCGCGACGGCCGGTGGAGCAACAGGCGATGAGAACATCAACCCTGGAAACATTAACAACCTGGAAGACTTCCTTTTCGGTGCCAAGGGTTTGTTTGAGAACGTAAAGCCGAATTTCAACGAGATTTTGCGGGGCGGGAGCGACCCGAAATCGTCTTCGAGCGGGTCTGGAGGAGGTGCCGTAGCGCCTTCGAGCTCAGCTGGTGGTCGTGCGACCTCCAGTGCAAGTGCTTCTTCTGGAGCGGCCCCAGCTCCTGCTGCTGACAAGACGGGCACAATTGCTCAGGCCGCTGCAGGAGATGCTGCAGTCGCGAATACGAAACCAGAAGCTGGCAGAAGTTCTATTCACGCTATGGAAGTAGATGAGATAGCGGGTCAATCAAATAATCTCTCAGTGGCACCACAGCAAGCTGCAGAAGCACAGCAAGAGCCCGGCGATGCGAATGCGGCTTATTCCGACAACATGAAACCGCACCGTTGCTCCCCTCCAAGATTGACGAAAGAGCAACGAGCAAAATTGGTCAAGAACTTTCTGGACAATACCGACGACCACGAGATCGCGGAGCAAATGATTGAGCGGCTGCAACAAAGACGCGAGGAGGCGCTGCTGAAGCGCGCGGCAGTGTGGCACAAACTGCAAGACAAATTCCGGCGGCCGCCGACGTACCAAGAGGAACAAGAGGCAATCGCGAGGAAACGCCGGGAAAGGAGGAAAAGAAGGAAAGAGGAGTTCGAGAAGATCCGCTTCAAATCGAAAAAACGACCAGCAGCCACGGGGGAGGAGGGAAAGGACAATGGTTCTCAAGAACATCAGCAGCTTGATGGTCCGCACAATGAGAATGACTCCACCACCTCTTCGAAGAAGACTATCAATCTCCTTGGGGGCTTCACAAGCGTCACAGTCGAAAACGAGCAGCACAAAAAGGACGCTGCGGTAGCGAAAGAAGCGAAACGGGCGAAGAAGTCCAAATGGGCCTCGAAAAACAGAATTTCTGCCGAGGATAAAGCCAGAAGCTCTACTAAGAAGAATAAACGCAGCATCACTGCCAGAAGTCGGGGCAATTATGTTGACGACGGTGCGCAAGAGATTGATGTACAAATAAATGCCAGCAATGTCAAGAAGCAGAAGCAGAACCGCAGCGCTTCCCAGGAGGAGAAATCGAAGCAAGGCCTGGAGGAACAATCCGAGCAAGTGATTATCCAGGGCTCGGTTTGGTGCTTCCCAAAGGTGGTGACGTCACACCGGAACTACAACCTGGATAAAGACAACAAGCGGACGAGAAGGAGAAACATGCGACCTGTGAAGAAGGTTGTGTACGCGGAGTGTACGGAACAGGAGAGAGAAAATCTGAAGAAGAACGATCCCGACGCGTTTCGAAGGGTGAAATCCGGTGTTGGGGCAACGGTTCCGAATTCGGCGCTGGGAGAAGAGGTTGTACAGGGAATAGATGAACAAACTTCATCCCCGCGGCCGGTAAGGGATCTCAGTGACAAAACATTCATAATCATGAAGCCAAAAAACAAAAACCCCGTGGCGACGACATCCTCGACGAGCCCCTTAAAGACACATGGTGAGCAGCAAGACAAAGACTGCAAGGTGCAGTGATGAAACTTCGTCTGATCTTCCTCGTTTGCCAGGAGAATTTCGTTTATAACAACGGTCCGCCTCCGCTTGCTTTTCCTTTTTCTTCCGCTCAAGCGTGCGGCGCGTAGTAGCCTTACGCTCTTCATCCTCGTCGCGATGTTGAACACCGTCTTTGATTCATATCGGGACATCAAGAAGCTCCAACTACGAAGAGACAAAAATGTGTGTTGAACCACACACAGCGCTGCAAGTAGTCCGCAGTCGCAGTTCGTTGCTGTAGTTTTTAGCTGCTGCTCAACTTGAAAGAGTGTTCACTGAAGTACACGAGGCAGAGTTTTTCTATGGTTTTTCGAGTGATATTGGGTACTGACAGAGTTGGACTGGCGACACCCTTTCCTTACTCTAGACGAAAGACCAAGTGCGCCTGGTGCAGTTCTGCGTGCGACACAGATACTGAGAGATGTCGTTCTTTGTCTTCTTGTGCGCTAGTAGTTGTTTTGTTCCTGCGCTGTGCCTGTGGCCGCATCGGATTTCACAAATATGCTTTTTCTTGGGCCTTCACAATTATCCTGTGAGTCGTGTACTTAGCTCGATTAACAAACCCGTTTCACGATTATTTCTCCACTGCGTATACAGAACCGCGCCGCACCAATCTCCTCAGAGCCTACAAAATGTTTCGTTGTTGCCGTCCCTCTGTGACCCAGAACGTGGTCACCCCGGTGGCACTGAACAAGGCCGGAGCTGCTACGTCAGCAAAAGAAGGTAGTTATGTCTAGTTTTCATTTCTTGCACAACTTGGGTGCCGCGCCGCGCGTACTATTCTTGTTTTCTTCCACGACGTGGTGAGATTCTATATTTATACGAAGCAGGAGCATAGCGCTGCTATCGGCACCTGAAAGGAGAATCGAATGAAAAAAATCGAAATCACATCTTCATGTATAAATAATCCAGGCTGCAAGAACTCCGGAGCGCAGACAACGTCGAGAAGAAATAACCAGCAGAAAACTAGCGGGCAACCAGATAGAGACGAGGAGCTGCCAACCGCACTTCTAGCCGGTGATGGTGGAGCATCAACAGAAATAGAAGATGCCACGAAAAATAAAACCGAGGGCACTTCAGCAAGAGAACAACAAGCCGACGAGGTGACAACGAGCGAGAAGGCCTCGGAGAAGAAGAAAAATATCAAATGCAAATATGTCTGGGTCTGGAAACTTGTGATGCTTGGTGGCGTATCGTGAGGAGGCCACAAGTGCTGGATCAGCATGACAAGTTTCTGAGCTTCTAGGTGTTGCCTATTCTGCGTGACAAACTGCTTTTCTGCATGACAGAAAAATGGGGCTCTTGGGTGACGTGCATGACAAAATTAAGGGTCATGCCAGACAAGCATGACAAACATTCATTCTTCCAGACCCAGACATTTTAGCATTTGATAAAAAACACGCAGAAGCAAGTGTCTTTCAGCGAAGACGAGGTCGTGGTCACCGCGTCTGGTACTAGTGCTTTAATATGCAATCCAGAAGTATACATAGATTCTCGTATTAATGAATTGGTTGAATATTTATAGCAACATGTGCATGACACCAATGCCATTACTTTTACTCAAACTTCTTGCGTCAGCAGCACTACAAATTTCATTGCTCTTTTTGAAAACTTTCCTGCAGTGAACATTGCAGCCAGTTGCAAACTGTCGGATGAGTGGAACTCGCAGAACCCGGGGCTAGAAGTGCCAGCCTGGCTCAAGTATGGATTGGAAACGACGGAAAAGGAGTCCTCGGGTTTCGGATCGGATTCGGAGTAAGTAGTTGTAAGTACTACCTTCATGATGGTAGAAAAATCATATGGAAAAAGAACTTGTATACATACGGCCACTTTCATCTAGTATGAAGCGAGCCTTCTTCGCTGCAAAAGCATGATTAACGCACTTACCAGAGCTGAGCGCAAATGCAAAAGCAAAGTGCAAAAAATTTTGGAAAAATTCAGCTTCCGCTGTGGGTGTTGTAATCGATATGATCGGTTGTAGAAGTTCTTTAATAGCCCCTTGTACAATGTTGAACTTGAATCATGGAGACAGGCACGAAAGTATTCCCGAAACAAGTGTATCCTAGTTTGAAGAGTCATGATTAACAACTCTTGGACGGTACATCTAAGCACATGTTGTGAGTGATCAGTTGTTTAGATAGACCACTTTGACAGCCGGCTGCTGCTTAGCGGCGAGGAGCCAGCGCCTCCTGCAGATCGCACTCATGTTGCGCTTGGAGAGGAATCTTTGTTCTCGTCGTGGCCAGGCATTCAGGTTTCACCTCTTCCGCTTGATGCCTGATGTTGCTTGCAAGTGCATTTCTTTGCAGAAAGGAAAAGGAATGCGAATTTCGGTTGTAATAGCCCGCTTAGGAAGTCGGAGGAAAAAAGACGAATTGTGCTTGTCTGTCTGTGTTGCCCCTCTACTTGTTCGGTTGTACTTTTGTAGTGTCTGTGCATGCAATTATAAACTCAAACATCTTTGTTCCCATGGCTTTTTTGATTCGCGGTCGTGATGTTTTATTTTAGGGTGAACCAAAAGAAACACCCTTGGAACAAAGTTTATACGGATTCCTTGTACAAAGAGAAAACTCATCTTCCCAAAGTTGTTTGTTACAGCATTTCTGCCCACAAGGTCGTTCTCACCAGGAGTCCAAGATGCGGCAATTGCTTTCCGTCCGTCTTGCCCAGCGGCCATTCTCCTGGGGTCGGAAAGTTAAAACCAAAGGCGTGCGCATTTTCAAGGCCTCTACCTCGGATCATCCGATACCCCATGCAGAAGGTGGAGTTGCGCCCTTCGCAATCGCCCCGTCGACGTCCACTGGTAAAAGGTCGGGCACTAGCAAAGATACAAAAAAGCTTGTAGAAGGTACGGCACACGATGTGGCTCTCCCGAGCACAACTGCAACTGGAGATGAAGACGCGACCAGCCTGGCGCCGACGCAGCAGGATGGGCGCAGGGCAAGTTGTAAAATCGGTGCTAGGACTGGGGACATCACTATCACAGAGGCGGCTCCTGGAATGATGAAAATAATCAAACCTACAGCAAAACGACCTCCCACCTCCGCGGCCTCAAACGCTCAGATCCGGGAAGTTTCCCGCATGTCGCCGACCCAGGTGAGGAATGTGTTACTGGCTGCCGCGTCGAACGAATGTGTGGACGCCCGACTGTGGAATGCCGCTCTGAGCAGGCTCTCCTCCATGGATAACATTTTGTACTTTGACGCAATCGGAATTCTCAAGGCCTACACGGTTTTCTTGCAGCTGCTGCAGGAGCATGATCAAGCGCGGGAGGGTAGTTCTGGCGCTGTGTCGTCAACGACGAGGAGCTGCACCTCAGCAGCAGGAGCAGTAGGAGCATCATCGTCAACAACAACTTCGGGACGAGATTTTCTTGATACAGCAGCAGATGATCACCAACAAGATCTTCAGTGTCTTCCAAAAATCCAACCAGCGGAGCACGATCTGTTTCAGAAGCTTTTCGACGACATTTGCTCCCAAGCGAGCCGGTTGGCCGTCCCGCACATCTTGCAGACGTTGGAAGTCTGCGAGCGGCTCGAGCTGCGGCCGCGGGTTTTGTACGTGGAACTGTTTCACCACTTGATTCGCCTGATGCCGGCCATGTATGCGGAGGAGCTGGTGCAAGCGGTGCAGGTGTTGGCGAGGCTGAATCTCCAGAACGATCAGCTCCAGTCGGAAATCATGACGTACGTACTTCACCACGAGCGGGAGTTTCGGTTTTTGCACCTCTGCAGTTTGCAATGCTGCTTGACGATTTTGAATCGCACAACTACCACCAGTGCGTCGCGGATGAGTTGGGGACAAAACGTTGCAAGAACTTCCACACCTCCGGCGTCGACGCAACAATCGGAAGACGACCGTTCAGCACAGCCGGCCAGAAGTGGTACTTCGAGTTCTAGAGCAGGAGCCGAAAAGATGTTCCTACAATCTTCCAAAGTTCCGGAAATTTTGGAAAAACGGGCTCTCTACGAGGCTTCCTGTCTCACTTTGGAAGAGATCTACGAGTGTCTCTGTAAGTTTCCGGAGATGGCGTTCAGCTCGAAGAAGTTTGAAGAGTTACTCTGGACGGAATTCGAAGCCCGTTTAGGCACCGAAGTCCGCGATACGGAGGACGTGGACTGTTTCGCCCACCCCATGGCGGTGCTGCGTATGTTGTATGCACAAGGCAGAGGAGGGCTACTTTATACGGCAGCTGACAGGACGAGTTCTTACACGATGAACCCAAACGACAAAAACGATGAGAAAACCACGACCTGTAGTCACGTTCTCAGAGCCTTCAGTATCCCACAGAAAAAAGCTGGCAGATCACATTTGTAATGCAAAAATAAATACACAAAAAAATCAAAATCTGCATTGCGTATCCTAAACAGCATGCTATGAGGCCGCCCGTGACAGATTTTTCTGTGTATTTATTTCTGCATTGCCCCGTTGCTCTGTGTATTTGCCCCGTTGCTCGCTCTTGGTGGGAGGTGGTTGAGCTTGCTTCGGGATGAGTAGCCGGAGTTGAATTGGCTCATTGCCTTTTCATTTGTGAATTCGAGGGCAGTGGTTGGCAGAGGTTGTGCGGGATATTCAGTTTTTGTTATCCCGGGACATTTGTGCTCCTTACCCACTTCCTCATTTCCTGGTTGACCAGTTGGTATGGTCGACTATAGGTGCCACCCTCGTTTCTCACCTCCAGGGGCCCTGGGCTCACCTCACCAGTGATGTTTCACTTGGTGGAAGTTGACAGGGTTCTACGAGCTATTTTGGGTGTCTATTGTCTATTTATTTCTGCATTACAAACATGCCCTGCCAGCTTTTTTCTGTGGGATATTCAGCCAGTGGGCACACGACGCCTCGTACCGGCCGGACATATCAAGTGCAAAAATGTCTGGGTCTGGAAGGATGTAACTTGTGATGCGCATTTCAGAACACACAAAAATCTCTGATGCATAGGCAGCAAAAGCTGCTCGCTTTCTGTCCCCAAAATGGGGGACTTGTCATGCGGATTCGGTATTTCGAAAGCTTCTCGAAACCTGTGATGCTAGAGCTTCCATGCAAGACCTTCTGTGTCATGCAGAAACAGCATGACTCTTCCAGACCCAGACATTTTTACATTTGATAGGACACCTTGTCAAACAAAAACAGACGACCAACCAGTCGGGATCTTATTTTTTTGCAAAGGATCGCGCAGGAAGCCGAGGCACAGCTTGTCGTGACGGCGCGAACGACATGTGTGTCTCTGCATCTTCATGCTGAAGAAGATCATGATCATCAGCAGGCGCGGCATCAAGTGGGTACACCTACACGTACACCTCAGGCTGCGGAGCAAATGAAAATAAATTCAACACAGCAGTCCACACCGGACCCGCTGACGGCGAAACCAATGCAGACCATGGGCAGAACCCCGAACCCCGCAAAGAAATTCGTGAACAAGTGTAAAAGTTTTGTTTGGCACAATTGTTCAACAGTTGTTGCACAAGAACCTGATGACCCACAGCAAGTGTCAAATGATGTTGGCGAAAGGTTAACAGACACCATCCGTGCTTCGTTTTCTTCTGCCGCGGCCAATCTCGGTCTTGCTGGTGGAGGTTTGACAAGGAATACACCAACTCCTGCTAGTACTATTAGGACCACCAGCAACCACAGTACTCGTTCCGCCACCCAGCTGTGCGCGCTGGCGATCCGAAACTTTTTGGCGAGCAAGGGCGGCAGACAGCAGACGCACCTGAAGAAGCGGCCTATTGACTACAGAAAGGGGCGGAACTACTGGAAACAGGACGACCCGCTGGTGGATTCGGCGACGGGTGAGAGGGTGAAGAAATTGAAAAAACTAGTAGAAGCAGCTCCTGCCAAAGTACAACTAGATCCTGCTGGCGGCGCTCTTTATCCTGGTGTAGAAGTAGTACGGGGGCCGCGAGTTCCTTCGCCAGAACAAACCCTCGCAGCTTCATCCGTCCGCAGCATTGACCGCAATGGGCAGAGTCGGCCTGAATTAAGTCACTTCGTGGCCTCTTCTGACTGGAACCACTTGGCGCGCAACGATCAGGAGAAGTACTCAAAGAACTACACGACCGGGTGCGGGCGTCGCCATCTTCGTCAGGAGAGGTGGTCCACGAGTAGGAAACTTTTATCGAGTGTTGCTGCAGGAAAGAATACGAATGCCTGCGAGATGAAGATAACCAACAGGGATAATTCTCGTAATATGTCATTCGATGACGGGAATCCCATTCCAGTACTGTCAAGAGATGGGGATCTTAACGAGGAACAACACGCGGCAGCTGTGCAAGGAAATCGCGATGAGAACAAGAAGTCTTCTACTACGTTCCCACCATCTTCTGGCGGATCATTGCTTCACCAAGGGATGAGCCAGAGCGAGAGCCTCGAGCAGTTATTGGACCGTGTAGCAGCATCGACCGCGTCGAATAGCGCAGCGGCCACTGTCGTAACTCCGCTCACAAGAACCACAACCGCCACAGGCTCGTCGCCCGCTGCTGCTCATAAGAACCAGAACGAAATTCCGACCAGGCAAGAACTTCGGCTGGATGATTTGTTGGCCTCTTCATCTACTTCCCAGGAGACCCGCGACCGAGTTGCAGGACGAGAAAGGGACCTGGATGTTGCAGTAGAGCGACAGGAGAAAAAATCGCATCTGCATACGACAGGCGAGAACCGCTACCGGCGGACCGGTGATTATTATGACAGTAAGGGAGATGTAGTTGATGAACAAGATGAACAAGACCAGCAGACTTCTTATTTCGACGACCTCGACGCACAACTGAGCGCTTTTCTCAACAACGACCCTGACGGAGTTCATGATCTCTCTCGGGAGAATGGCTCAACGCGATCATTGCGCACCACTACACCCTTTCGCCTCACCTCTGCCGTCCGCGAGCGTATCCGAAATGACAGAGAGCATCACTTAACATCCACCTCAAGTTGTCATGCCTTTTTTGCATGAGTTAGAGTTTGCGTTTGTTGACCTTGAGCATTATTTTACCTGTTCCACGAGACGTTCTTACATTTTTCCTTTTTGAGGGCGATGTAGTTGGTGCAGCACCAGATTTTCCCTACCATAGAGAGCACCCCGTATCTGAGCACCCAAATGCTCGACTACATTCGCAAGACGGACAGTCACCCCGCGATCCGCTACCGGAGCGGCCAGTATATTCTGCGTCGCGGTCCTATCCACAGAAAAAAACCCATCTCTATCCAATTTGTCACGCAAAACATGCTTGAAGTCCTGCGTTTGTCATGTAAAAAATGGATGGGGAAAGATGGGTTTTTTTCTTTGGATAGGTCCGGAGCCGCGGCGAGACGAGCGGAACCCGCTGCACTACTTGACCCGAGCGACTGGCCAGGACCACACCGCCAGCGAGGACGCGCTAATGTGGGATTTCGCGCAGCAGAAATTTACCTATCAGGTGGTCGAGGACACGGACCGCCAGCGGCGGCGGAAGAAGTACAAAAAGCGCCCCTACCCGGCGTACTTGATGGGCGGCGAAGTGGATCCGAAGTTGCACCCGCACCTGCTCGTGCGCCCCTTCTGCAACGGGGCCATGACCACGTACTATACCAAACTGAAGGGCCCGAAAAAGAACAACATTCAGGCGAAGTGACGCAATTAATCATATTAACATGATGATGTGCAGCGGACTTTTTTCATTCTGATCGCGATACACTTTTTGATGCAGTTGCGGCTGAATTACAATTTACTTTTACTAACTGTGCCAATAAAAACAGGACTAGAAAGCAAAGCAGTCGTTTTCGCAAAATAATGATGCTGGGTCTGATAGTGTTCCAGAAAGTACTAGGTGGGTGGCACGTCGAATGCATTTGTGACGAGATAAAGATCTATGACTATAGACCGCCACTAAACTCGTCATCAATACACAATGCTTACATTTCCGAACAACATCTATCAAATAGCACAAGCTTCGCATGCGCAGGAACGGGTTGTAATACCGAAAATCTAGCGTTTCGCAGGAACGAACGGGATTTTTTTTGGCCTTAACACTGAAGATCTCGCATGCTATCAGGAAGAAGTAAAAGATCTTGCTTCTGCCCAAAGCGGCACTACTCACAGTCGCACTTTTCGCAGCGTTTGACTTCGATCTTATACTCTGGATTTTGACGCCAATGTAGCCAGGCGACGTGGATCTTTTTCTAGAGTAAGAGTTCATTGTGGTGATGGTAATCGACTTTATAGCATCTATTAGAAGTAGAAGTTGTAAGAGTAACGCTAAGGATAAGTAACCATCGGCGACAGGTGCTTTTGTCAAAATGATGTTGAAGCAAAGGCCTTTTTTTTGAGCAGTTTCAATTTCTAATTTTCGTGGCAGTTATAGTTTGTTGTGCGTCGCTCGCTTCTGAATCCGCATTCAAACCAAATATCAATCCTCACAGTGCAAATTTGGTATTCTTCGCAAGTAGTTTCTCTGTGCTCCCGTTTCGCAGGAAATAGTGCGGAGAGACATGAAAAGGTGAATGAAGATACTGGTTTGCAACAAAAAGAAGACTTCGGAAAAGCTTGTTGAAAAGTATTTTGATGAAGATTTGTTTACATTTTTTTTTTTAGAACAGCTATAAAATTTGAAGAGGCACCAGTTATAGACGTTGAAGATTCACAAAAGAAATAAAGCACTGACGTCGCTTCAACTTCTAGACGTTGTTTCACACTAGAAGTGGTGCGTAGGTATTGTTCATTATACTATTTTGTCGAACAAGCTAGCTGTAGAGACAACAATAAACACCTAGTTAGTTGCAATGCGATATCGCCTGATATCTTCACAAAGACCTGACGCATTTTAGCCTTCCAATCAAGGTGCGCGTGAGATCTCCTATTTCCTGGTGTTGTTGCCTCGCACGGCTCCTGTGCTGCTACTGATTTTTTTTTTAATAGTTCGCTTTCACTTTCATCTCCATCTCTGATTTTTGATATTTGCAAAGACTCCTGCAAGTAGCACGGCAAAGCAACGCAGGTCCAAGGCCGGCACAGCAGGAGCGTTAGAACTGGAGACTATCGGGATCGTGTCTCCGGCCAAGGCCGTCTTCCTTCGGTCGGAGCCGCGTCTTGATCTTGTGACATGATTCGTAGTAGAACGAGAAGCTTGTCCAACACCTTTACGTGACAGGAGGGACGGGCCTACTCGTACTGAGCTTCACAACATTATTGTAACCACTGACTTTAAGGCAGACAAACTGACGCGACAAGCATAGATAGCCTCGCTGGAAGTGGAGCAGTCTATCTGTGGTCGTCGAGTTCCGCATTCATTACATTGATGGTACCATCAAGAACAGCACACAGATCGACCAGGAAACCACAACAAGCAGTAATACATACCGCATTCTAAAAGAAAGAGACTCTGACAGTGACAGTAGAGTTACTATGATCATACATCTGAAGAGCAGAAAACCCTTATAGAAGTACTCGAGTGGTTCGGCAGTGAGGCGAGTTGTGGTCACATGACTCCTTACTGTATTTTGTAGAAACAGCTCGTACGTGATGGTTTAAGTTTTGACAGCCATATCAAATTTTCTTGGCGTGAGAATTATTTTTCTAGACTTTTTTCTAAACGCTTTTACTTCAATATTTTGGACGGAAATCTTCCGACTTGCCGACACGCATCGAATATTGGCTCACTTGATTTTTTTTTGGATAGACTTAGATTTGGATTTGGTGTCGGTTACGCTATTTGTGTATTGCTTTTCATTTCCATCTTTTGCCGGCATCGACGACGCTCTTCAGTTGAAGAGCAAACTCAAATACAACGTGGCTCTTAATTTCACATTTTTTCCTCTTCTGGAAAGATATTTTTTAGCTTACAAACAGTGCAACGCTTTCCGACGGTTGCATTGACGTGACTAAGTGATGTTGTAGTGGTGCTTTCATTTTGCGTCTTAGTAGGACTAGGGGGCGAGCTAGTCTGAATAGTTTTCTTCATCTTAATTTGGCCGCACAACTGAAAGATCGCGAGGACATTGAATTTAGATAGCATAGTGGAAAGATTCCTTTTCCTTTCATAATTTTTTTGATTTTTTTTCGTGTTAGTCTTCATTTATGATAAATAAATAAATGAGCCGCAAGCAAGAACCGCGACCGATCTGTGATGACAAACGACCTGGATCAACGCCATTTCCGATCTGATGTCATTGCCGAACTCTATCGCTGTTTTAGTTTTGTGATTTGTATAGCTATATGAAGAAAAAAAAAATAGTTTTAAAATTTTCCGTACACTTCATTTCGTCGACTTTAGCAAAGAGAAGATTGATAAGAAAGCCTCCAAATAAAGCACTAGACTTACTGAAGAAAATACTCCAAGCGCACTAAATAAGCGACAGTATAATTTCCAATGTGATCTTCTTCTTCGTGACAACTTGACAAAGATGGCATCAATGAACAACGCTGTGTCAACATCGTTGTGTGGTCCGTATTTTCATTCCAGGGAAGACGCAGATTTTATTGGGCCACCTGGAGCAGTTCGACACGACATTATTCCAGATCAGAACAGCAAGTGCGGAGATATTCGCGCCACATTTGACGGCGACAACATGATCCAAAAAACCTCCGCCGGTACTGAAAAAGCAAAACAGAAATTCAACTTCTCAATGGTAGCGATGAACCGAATTTTTTCATCAGCCGCTAGAACACACGTTTTTACCATGGCCGGTCGTCTCATGTTCTACTTGGCCACCCTTTCTCTTCTTTTCCCAACGGAGTTCTCGAGCTACTCTTTCGCGGACGGAACTCGAATGGGCCGGCGCGGCATGTTGATGGGCCGTACTAGCAACGCGAACGCAGCTGCTATGGACAGCGAGAACAATATCCCGACGCCAAAAGTCAGTGCTGGCGGCGGGCCTTCAGTTCATCTTGACGAAGATGAAGACCACGTGCCAATCCGTGGCCCGCATATGCAGCTACTTACGCAGCCCCCTCGGGTGGGAGGGCAATTAGTACAGCAGGATCAGCACCAGGCACCGCAGCACCAGCTGGCCGACCTGTACAGCGAAATTCCCCCGTCACCACCCACGCCGACGCACAACAGCTTTGATTTTCGTAGTAACGCGTCGAGCGAAGAGCGTTTTCATGATGACCACCATCAGGAGCTTAGACCCACTCCTCGTGAGACCGACGATCTGCTTGTTGGACGTCCAGCACGCTATGAGACTTACTCCGGCGGCGCACCAACTCGACGACGTTTTGAGATGCGAAACGCCGATCGCAGAAGCGGGCGCCCCCGGGGAGCTGCGGCAGTTGCCGCGTCATCTCCTGCTGTTGTAGTTGATGACAACCAGCATTTTGATATCTCCAATCAACGGTCTAGTACTTCTTCCACCTGGGCAGCTGCTGCAACCGCTCGACACGGTGGAATCACCCGCCCGCTACAAGCGGCAACAAGTAGAGCCCAGCAAATTTTTGAGAGCAGCAACAGCGCGTCTGCGTCATCCTCATCACACCCGGCTGCCACGTCCAGCGATGCGTGTCCATCGGTGGCCGTTGTTATTTCAACAACTACGCCGTCATCAACGACTTCGCCGTCGACGCGGAGACGGTTTAAAAGTGATATTACTGTGCGAGTAGATACACATACAATTCCTCGTGAGCCGCCCCTATCTACTTCGATGTTGGAAGCCAGAACCACTACCACACACCGATCGCCCCGAGCTTCCGATGAACAAGATGATTTTGCTGCGCCAGCTTTTTTACCGAGAAATTCGTTGTCTGCTAGCCGTTCGTCCTCCTTGTCCCCCACAGGACGAGCAGGGGATATCACGACGAGGCCTTCTACTAGTACTATCACCAACTACGAACAGACGCCTCTGCTGTACCATCATCCTGCAGAGGTGTTCATACCATCTCCTTCTCCTCTGTTCGACGACGGAGCTGCATGGAACGAGGACCATTACGAGGACCTAATGCCCGGACTGTCTCCGCCCACGGCCGCTGTGCTGGTCCATCGTCTCGGAAAGCATCATCCACGGGGAGGGACAAGCTCTGGCGCAGGCGGTGTTGAGGCAGAAGAGGTTGGTGTTCCAGTCTTCAACACAGTAGAACCGCCCGAAAGTAGAACTTTTACTACTGACCTTGATGCTGCGACGCGCTCCCACGTTGTTGACGACCCTGCTCGAAGCCGGACGCCGAGTCCGGGCCTCCGGCAGCCGTTCTCTCGCGGTAGAGAGAGCAGCTGGATCAACGATTTCCCTTCCCGCGGTGTTGAAGCGTCGTCCGCCGGAGTGTCCTCGTTCGCCCCGCGCGGCTTTCGTGTTGGGATGAGGCAAAAAGACGACCAGGAAAGTCCCCTGGTGAGAAGTTCGTAGGAATGAGTTGTTGTTTGGTGAGGTTCACCAGCCTATGATGAATTGTTGTTTGCTATTTCATCTGAGCAAAAAATCTTGTCAGCAGAAGGAAATGACCGCTCATAGACCTCTACTTGTTGAACAAAAAAAATCTTCGTAAAACCTCAGGTTCCTAGCACTTCCATCGCCTCTGAGCAGGAAGCATTTGAAAAGGATCATGGGGAACAACAACGGCGCGAGACAGAGCGCCCTGGAGGAGGTGTAGTTCATCATCCTCCTGTGCCTCGCTCGCTCGGCGTGGAGCATCTCTCGATGCCTCTCCAGGGCGCCTACGCATCGATTCGCTTCGGGGCCTCCTCTGGTCAGAAAGACGACGCACTTCATCTAGATGAACGCCAGTTCTTCTATACGACGGGAGCAGCAGGAGCATACGAGGAAGAAGTCTTCATGAACAGCGAGCACCCACACAACCAGCCGGTTGCTCATCTACCTGGAGGGAAGAACATGTTCAAGGTCCATCACCAACCCGAACCCGAGCAGGAAATAAATGGAGACATTTACGGCAAGGTCGCCAGTGCGAAGCGGAAATGCCGGTCTTGGGGAACCAGCGCGACGAGCGGCGAGGAAGTCTTTTCGCCGGCGGTGGAAAGTAGAGACAGTCCCACGACCGGTGACGTGAGCAGTAGCAGTACCTCCGCCTCTCCGAGTGCGGGACCGCCTGCTCCAGTGATCGTGTCGGAAGAGGACCACTTCGACGGTTCTTCAGAAATCACTCCCACAATCGATTCGGACTTGGACACAAGACCCATCCTGAACGCAATGATCGTGCCGTCGTTTCCGGACGGGGGTGGAGAAGCTGACTGTGCAGCAGGGTATGCAGCAAAAAAGTATCGACGTTCTTCTACTCCTGGATTTCGCATGCCAATTTTTTTCTTCAAGAACTAGAACAGAAAGTAAATCTGTCATGCATATCTGAAGAAGCAGCTCTTCTGTTCGGTCATGCAAAAAGTGAAGCGCCGCAATTAGGACGCCAGGCGAACGATACTTTTGCAATGCATACAACTACAGCCTCATCGGGACGAGAAACAACTGGCGCAAGAACAAGTAGACCTTCCTGCGATGCGCACAAGACGATGTTGAAGAAGAAAAGAGAGCCCCTTATGTTCAACAAGAAAAATGTTGTTTGCGACCGCAGACATCAGAGTCAGGAGCTGTTAATACAAACGCCTATTACGCCGCTGACTCGCACGCCTTCCACCATGCCGAAGACTTCGCCCTCTTTGCTGGCGGGGGACGAAGGCGGCATCAGCTGGGATGACATGCAGTCGCTGCAATCTTTTCGCTTAGACAGTGCAGCGGACACGACCAGCAGTCGCGAGCACACGCCGCTGAGCAGACTGGGACCACGGCAGTGGTCACGCACCAGCCTCGGGGCCGCGTCTTCTTCCTCCTCCAATTGTCCCAGAGTCGTACCTATCACAAAAGACCACCAGCTCACGAGTCCTCGTCCTCGGCACCGACTGAGCCGCCAGTTGAGCCCTCCGACATTCGGAACGCCTCTACTGCCGCCACAGCTGGATGAAGAAGGTTGTGAGCCGCGACATCTAGAAGCTGTACCTGCAGGGGGAGCGGCTTTTCACAGAGGGGCAGGTCGGGGGGGCGGCTGCGGCAACTCGAGAACAACAACTTTTTCATCCTCTTCTCTATCTCTGGCTACTGATGATCTGGTACGTATGAAGAACGTGTTGACAAGTAGGAACACGAGGAAAAGCAAAACGAAATACATGAGTGGCACAAACTTGAGTACCATCGCAAGCGAGGCAGCGGAGGAGCATTTCAGCTGTGATGGATCGCCACCTGCCAGCAGGCAGATCACGGCCGAGGGCGCGAAGGCGAACAAGACCTGCTTTGCGGCACAGGAAGAACAAGAAGCAACTTTTACCACGACTCTGAACAACGAAGTAGTAGGTCATCATCCGTTATTTGCATTCCAGCAAAAAAGTGACGCCGGGATAAATGCGGCGCCTACTATTTCTGGATCGCCGGGGGCGCAACATCAAGATCTTAGATCCGACGCCGCCGAGATGTCGTCGAGCCCACTCCTGCTTCACAACTCCGAGCGTGGTCTCAGCCGGGGGCGCGCGTCCCGAAGGTCCTCGATTTCTAGATCCGACAGTGCTACTCTGGGCGGCACGACCACCCAGCGGTGGACACTGACGAAGGGAGAAGGGTCAAATGCGAATACCGCTACCGACATGTCGGCTGATGTCGCATCGAGGAAAGCAAATACATTCATACCTTCGACATCAAATTCAAAGCAGCAGCAGCAGCAGCAGCGCAGTCAAGGAAGCGACGAGTGCTCCACCTCTAGCATCACGCCAGCACTAGTTCTTTCGTTGTCCGGCGGAGTATCACATGCGCAAAAGCGACCGGAAAGGGTAAGGGAAACGAAACAGCAACAGCAGCCACAATGCCCAGAAGTCATTGCGCCTCGTCCACCTCCTCTGTGCGCGCAACTACTGGAGGAGCACGTGGAAAGGGAGGAAAGAGAGAGGACTTGGAAGATCATGAGTGGTGAAAGTGCTGACAAACTGCACGATGACGGCACCGATGGACCACAGACACTGTCGCGCGCGTTTGTTCATACATTCGCAACATCGGCATCGGCGTCCCACCCGTTCCAATTTTCCTCCGATTCCCTGCCACTGAAAATGATTATGTCGCCACCAGCGCCAGCAGCACCGAGAGAAAATAAACAAAGGCACGAGCCTACCAAGGATCTCGGCTCAGCTGGTGCATCTCGTCCCGTCGACCCCCAGTCCTCACATGGGGCCTCGAATGAGGGGGCGAACAGGATGGTTGCCGAGCCCGAGGCAATGACGCTCGTGCATGATGATTGTCACAATGCAGGAGAGGAAGTTGCACGTACTGGTGGCGTCGACCTCGAGCAATGCCAATGCGAAAGCGTGCTAGAAGTTGGGCGGAACGAACTTTCGTCTTTTTGTTCTTCATCACCTGCGGCAGCACATGAACCGGGGGCACTCGACGTACCAGATACTAGAAGTTGCGGTGCATCGAATAACATTACCGTTGACATCAAAACGAGGCCGCTGTTATCCGCCGCCATGGCTGTCCAGGAGCAGTTGTGCGACGAGTGCGAGGGTAACATACTTGTTCGTGATGAAGACGACAACGAATTTTCGAGGCAAGGAAGCGGAAATACGACGGGTAGCACGTGGTCGCAGCACTGCACTTCATCCCTCGGGACGAGCGAAGCTGAGGTCGAGAGGCATTACGGTCGCTGTGTTGTAGGGCGATATAAAAATCCTGCAGTTGATGTCTCGGGACCTTTGCAGGAGCCCATCTGCGATGATATTACGAGAAAACTGCAAGATCTGCAGTTGGAAGAACCTCAGCGCGACAATGAGCAAGACGACCATGCTGCAGGAAGCGCCACGAAAGGAGTGCTGAGTTGTAGACGAGAGCGAGACGAACGAGAGGCAAAGCTGCACACGATTAAGGTCCTCGAACAGGAGTCATACCAGTTGCCGAGTGGTTTAGGAGGTCCTGTTCCTGCACGCCGCGATGAAACTGCTGAACCGTTGGTGCAAGAAGAAGAACATCAGCGGCGACACGAAATAAATCCAAACCAGCAGCAGGAGCCTAGATCATGTTGTGGTCAACAGGAAGATAGAGGTAGAGAAGAACAAAAAATAGCAAGTACTGCAACAATTTATCCGTCATCTCCGACCGGCAAGACGCTGTTGGACCACGTGATTGAACAAAAGCCCTGTGCTCAGACGTCGTCGCAACATCAAGAAACTTCCTGTGCCACAAAGCTGAAAGACGCTGCCGCGTGTCTGTCCGTCAATTGCCTGCCCGGGGATTGCGGGAAAGACGTAATCATCGCGGCCCACAATGGAACGGTAAGCGCGTGTCTGAATGAAAATTGCATTCGCGTGCCCCTCGATACCATCCTGACCGCGTGCTTCCAGCCGACGGCAAAAACGTGGGCTGACTGCAGGAAAGCGGTTCGGAGGGTAAAGGGAAAGCTGTTGGATAGAGCGCAGGGATTCTCGGAAAGGATGGGGTTTGGCAAGTATCACTGGGAGAATCAAGGCGACTTTGTCCGGCAGTGCAGCAGCGGGGGAAGCAGTATTTGCAGCGGTGCTGAAAGCGGTTGCTCACCATCACCAGCTCCTTCGAGGTCGAGGAGTGCATCGCCGACTAGGCCGCGTGCTGCTTCTAGTGACGATGCGACCTTGCAGGAGGTTGAAGGTTCACCTAAAATGAATAACGCCTGCGACGCCCGACGAACTGCCGCTGCTCCCGCCAAAAAAGACGACTCATCTGGGTTGCGAACAAAAGAACGTCCTCCGCAGCGTTCGTGCAAGAAGAAGAACATGAAAATTGCCTCCTGGGCCTTCCAAGAAGGACACTTTCTCGGGTGTTTTCCGTTTTTGCAGTGTCGTACGGAACTACCGGAAATGGAGCCTGATCGGTCGCCAAATCAGAGCGAGACGGCAAGGGCTCGGTCGCTGAGTCCAGGCCGCAGAAAAGCACTAGTGCCGAAAAAAGCTGCAGGGGCGGGACCGGCGAGGGCCAGGGGCACGGGCAGAGCAGCTCCTGCGCCTATGGAAAATGTTGCTCCGTAAGGTCCTCTCTGGCGAGCGGGGAGTTGGCGGGGACTGCGAGTGGTGCTATAATTAACCTGAGAAACACCTCAGATTGGATTTCGCGGCCTGAAGTCTATTATCGTGTGGACAAGTGTAGTTTTGCATTCGTTTTCTTCAACTATGAGGACAAGATTTTGCAATGGGCGTTTATATCATCGTTTCATCTTATTTTGCCATCGGGGCTGCAGCATAAGTTTTTTTCCTAGTTTGAACGGCGGAAAAAGTTTTTGTTACCGCGCAGCGGCATCTACGAGTGGTTGATGGCATAGTTGTCTGCTACCATGTAGTCACGCTATGCAGGAGAGTAGATTCTGCACATGATCCAATAGTTTCTTTTGGTTACTGTGCAACGTTTCCAGCGCACACTTTTATTTCGCGAGGGGCCCAGAGATACCTCTGCGGAATCACGATGCTCGCAAGCGCAACCGAATAAAGAAGGAGTATGAACGTAAGTACTTTTTTCAGAGAGCAAAGTTTTGAAGGCAGCAAGCAAAAGCATTTAGGTCGTTCTCAGACAACCTACAGCAGTTTGGTCTGACCCTAAAGAATATTTAGCACTACTAGACGAGCGTAGATGGGGCCCGCTCGTCTTCCCATGATCGTTTCTCTGAGAAATACTCCGATAGCCCGATTATACTGCTCAGCCATCAGCAGTTTGTCACTTTCATTTTCCAGCAGCGTCGCATACAACGCATTGCGACTTGAATTAGATCCCATTTAGACGAGTCGATTTCATTTCACTAGTTGGACCGGTGGCAAAAAGTGTTGGCAGATGACAAGAATTCTTCGTCTGCTAACTGTAACTTGTGAAAAAGCAGCTGGATGAAAATAAGAAAGAGCTCGTACCAGTAAAATTCCAGGCGTAATACTACGAAGGCGAAATAAAGAGTAATTTATGAAAGTACAAGTAGTTATATTCCTTCGTTCTTCTTGATGTCTACTCATTATCGCGTCTTCAGTATTGGCAACCACGAGCGAGCGACAAGATAGAATAAATTTGGCAGGATTTCTTTTTTTTGATGTGCGATACTAGGTCGTCGTAGTAGAAGATTTATGAAGTATATGCCTGGTCGTCCGAGTAATCCGACTTCTCAACAACATTGATTCAGATCGGCCGCTTTGTTTTAGGGGTGCTGGTCACAGCTATCACGAAGCGTCCCGAACCCTATCCACTAGCACAGGAAAAACACGACAAAAACTATGTATGCCGATAAAAATGTGATCTTTTCTTTGGAAATCTACTTGGCAGAGCATCTATTACGCTCTTTCTCTTTATCTGTTGATACAAACGAAATTCAATCCTGACTCTCCACCGGCGCATGTTGAGTTCGTTGTATCGAATAGCATAAGAGTAGAAAAAATATTTCGCAAAAATTTGTTCTGGAAACCCCCAAAGAATCAAGATTTTCACTTTTCGTATTTTTCCTACATGTAAGTATGAAATGTAGATAAAGATGAGGCATGGTACAACCGAATTTATCATTATCGTCAAGGAGGTCCGCGTCCGCAAGCAGTACCAGTAGCAAACTAACCTCAAAGAATTTGAATTGAAAATTTCTGAGGGTTGTTGGATTTTGATTTTTTCTTTTTCGTAGTGAAAATACAAATAGCTGCAAAAGAATGAAAAAAAGAAAAATCTCTGTCATGTCGCATTCATCGAAGTTGAATTTGAAGTGGGCGAGCAAGCTTGTGGAACAGGCAGCAAGAACCAGGAAAGAAACATATCCTCCCCCTTCGCAATCGCGATGCGGTAGAAAATGTGTGTGGAGGTTAGTTTTAGTTTTTTCGGTATTTTCATATCCTCATGGTCTATTGGCTTAGTTAATCATAATCTCTGTGGCTGAGTAATTCACTTTTTTGCACAGCTAGAGCTACAGCTTCGTCATCGTCAAAAACAAAAAGAATAGAAGATGGATGGAAAAATCAAGTAGAGTAGAACTGCCCTCGGTATTTTTCAAATGATTCTGTTTTGTATCGGTTTAGGTCCTCACCGAACGCGAACGGCATTTTTTATCGATTCCGTATGTTTGGTTAGTAAAAAATCGGTGAGATTCTCTCATTTCTTTTATTTTTTCATTGCCGAGAAAACAGAAAAACGCATTGAAGTCTGAGTATTTCCCGTTACCGATCGGTCGCCCCGGCCCTTTTCCTCGTGAGGTAGACGTTGAAAGAAGTTGTCGGTAACTCCGTTGTAATTGTTCCCTCCGTTTCGACGAGGTGTACAACTGGTCGGTGTTGTTCCCTATTGTTTGACATTATCTTCCAAGCTCATCTTGTACATAGGTTGATGCTGATTCGAAATCACAGGCTCTAGTTCTACCCCGACCTGTATCGTAAAACTGGTGCTTTTCCCCCGTAGAAGTATTTTCTTGACAGTTGAAGTCCATTTTTACATTCACACATTGAAGATTAGAAGTCACCAGTGGCAGTGATATCCCTTTCTCTCGCTATGGATTGCTTTACAACTTTTTCACCTCCTCCAGTAGAGCAACAAAAGCCCCTCTTGCTCTTCTCTCTTTCACTCCTTCCAAATCCGTGCAGCGCAGACTGAATAGTCATGGCGCTCCATCCCGACCCAGATCTTGTCCGCTTTGTCGTTCGGGCGGTCGAGCAGGTGCTCCAGGAGGCAAACCGGACGAAAACCCTTTCCCTTTCGTTGACCTCCCAAACGACCGACGACTGCACGATTGACCCGTCGCTGCCCAGACTCGCCCAATGCCACGTGAACGCAGCCGAGGTGCTGCAGGTCGCCATGAACCCGGAACAGGTGATCAGTATTTCCTCGGAAGTGGATTTAGCACAAAGTAACCGCACGGGCGAGCAGCTGCTCTTCATCGGAGATTTGATTATCGGGCTCCTCGATGCGCTGACCCATTTCGGAAAGAGAGAAAGATACCGGGAGGCGCACGACCGGGGCCTGAGATACGCGCTGGAGGCGGTGCAAGCAGTGTTCTGCTTGAAGATAGGCGCACCTCCTTCTTCAAATGTTGTTGCGCAGCAAGAACATGATATTAGTCCAAATGGTGCACCAGCTGCAACTACAAGCAAACCTTCCAAACGACCCTCCATCGGGTCCTGCGCGTTGCAGTTTTTTCTGAAACCGGAGGAGTTTCTCGCGATAGCCGGCGCCGGGCCGGAGTTAGTGGGAGTGCAAGTGGACGAGGCGACCTCGCTGGCGGAGTACTTTCTGCTCCAGATGGGTAGCAAGTTTGACGACTTACTCCGTATTTTCGTGTTCGGCCACGCAAGGGAACTGGAGAAGTGCCGGAAGCTGGAGCGAGAGCAACTTTTTGACGACGAGGGGGAGCAGTGGATGGTGAGTGCCAGCATAAAGCGTATGGCCGAGAAGAAGCGCCTGGCGCAGCTGCTTTGGCGGTGTTTTTCCAACTTAGTTTCTCTAGCGCAGGTCGCACAACAAGCAGTGGAACTACAGGGGGAAGGAAACATTGAAAATGGTGAGGAGAACACGACTTCTAGCACCTCTTTCCCCTCCGTCGAGATCTTCCTGGAGCTGTGTAATAACGACGTGGAGTTGGCCGTGAAACTCGCAGTCCTCCTTCTGGACGTAGAGCCTCTGATTGCCGTCCCCTTGTGTCAGATGTGGGACAGCTCGCAAGCGCACAAGGCCGTCCGGGAGACGATGCGGCAGGTGAAGGAAATGGTAACTGGGGTTTTTCAGGAACAACCGCACGTAGACGGAGTACTAGACGTTGGAGGCGTCAATGCCGCAACACAAGAATTATCCGTGTTGGACGTGTTCGAGTACCGGAAACGGCTCGCGTTTTGCTTCATCGACAATGACGTTCTCACCCTGTTGCTGCGGCGCTGCGAAAAGCTGCTGCTCGGCGGCGGATCGGGCGGGCAAAACCACGGGGCGGTCGTCATTGGAGCTGCCAGTAGTAGTGCTGCAGCAACAGCTGCTACTAGTACCGCTGCTGCACCAACTGCTGACGGCGGTGGAAATTATATGAACGCCAATGAGAACAATCTATCCCCTAGTACTGTTCGTGCCGGTGATGCGAATGCGAACTTTCTGCAGCAGCTAGACCAGGAGGGGCAGACCCGGGTGGTGCTGGGTCTCTCGAATAGCCCGGGCACCGCGTCCGCGCACGACCCCTATCAGGCGAGGCACAACGAACAGCTGCAACTGGCCCGACTGGAGGAGATGGTGAGCCAACTCTCCATTTCCCCAACCGCGGGCGGCGGTTCATCAGGGACAACTAGTAGCGGTGGAAAAAGGAACATGATAGAGCAGTCCCTGCTAAACGAGCAGAGTATTTCCGATTCGCAACTCCATGTCGGCGAGCGGACGCTGTCGGGGAATTTTAACAATTCTGATGATGTAGTGGCGATGCAAAACTACAATTCTTATACCGATCCTAACTACCCGCTCGACCCGCAGCAGCAAATCACGAAAAGCAGGATGCAGCTGACTAGTCGCGCAACTTTATTGGTGATCGCCCTTACCCGAATCGTGTCCGAGATGGCTACAGTGTGCTTCGACGACAAACACTACAGCTCCAACGACGTCGATTTGATATCCAGGAAAGTCGCGAACGTCGTCATGCGCTTAGTCCGCCACTTGGCCCTGCGGCGGCAAGAAATCGAGCGCTTCGTGCGGAAGTGCGTGTTACCCCCGACCGACGCACTGCTCTTTTTCGAGAACCACCCGGTGCCCGATATGGTGGACGAGGCGGCCGTCGCCGTCGGGGGCGTGCTGTACAGCAGCCGCGCGAGGCCGCTGTGCCTGGAGTGGCGGGAATACTTGACCGCGATTGGCGACACCGCGGGGACGCTGCAGGCCTCGCTCTGCCAGGCGGTGTTGGACATGCTGTTGCAGCTGAAATGCCTGTCCCAGTTCTCCTTCGACGAGAACCTGCCCTGGGCGGTCCCGCGGGATTACATGTTGTACGGTGCGGTTGCCGCGAAGGTGTTTTTGGTAAATCTACCGGACTATCAAAAGGAAAAATCCCCCCTCCCCATATCGAAAAGGTATGTTTCCGAAAATTTGCGTTGCTGATTTGAGGTCACAAATCGCATTTGTCTTGCAGGAAGACAAGGGCAGAAGCTTCCGCCCCATTATGGCAGCGATTTGTCATGCTGTTGGGCCTAAAGGGGAGCGGTTTGCCATGCTGAGCAACTAGACCCATACGCCCCTGCCCAGTCTGCGGATCTGGTCGCAGTGCCTTTCTGCAATACAAAGCTGATTGGTGTACACAAATCCAGCATAAGAAATCCCGTTTTGATATGGGGAGGGGGGATTTTTCCTTACGATACGGACGAACCGGACTTCAACCTGCCAACCCGGTGCAATTGCTTCGAACAAGCGGCGACTTTCGCCGCGCAAGAGCTGCAGGCGCCGCGCGAGGAACTTTCGGAGGCGCACTTGCAGGAATTGCCGTTTCACCTGCAGCGGTTCTGGCGGGTATGGAAGCGTCAGAATCGAAATTGACAAAGTCGAAAAATTTGTGATGCATGAAATCGAGGATACCATTGGGAGCCTCAGTTCCCAAGTGGCACATGACAAATTTCGGGAGCACCCAAATCCAGTCTGTCATGCTGTTTGGACAAAGAAAACTGCTCCTGTCATGCTACTCTGGCAGCACATTGCATACCCCTAAACAGGCTTGCAATCGGTCTCATTTGCCTGCTCCCCAACACAGGCCTTACTTGGCCTACATTTTATGCATTACAAGTTTTTCGATTTTGTCGATTTCGATCCTGACACATCCATAGCGGGCGATTCGCACGTATTTCGTTTGGTGCGATGGAGAATCGGTCCACGACCCCTTTTGGCAGGACGTGCGGCTGAGCAACGAGGCCTTTCGAGACGAGAATGCGGAGTTCGGGAAGTTTTTCCCGATAGAAATAGGCTCCAGTGGGCTGATTGTCCAGAAAAGTAGCATACTGCTGCTGCAACAGATGTTTTACTACTCCGAGATTCAGGAAGGCTACTACAGGCGGGAGAAGATGAAAATGAAGGAAATGACAGCTGCAAATTATAAACAAGACCAGGAACTACAAATGGGGAACGCCGCCGAACAAGAAGACCAACAGAGCCTGCTCCTGAACGGCCCTTTGCCGCGAATTTACACGATCAATGAGGACCCGCTAGCACCACTTCCGCAGGAAATACAGATAGAGCCGGACGTGCCTTTGACTCCGACCCCATCGCAACTCGCTGACGCGCGCTGGGAGAGGTTTGACGAGGAGAGAAGCTTCTCGGGCGGGGAGAATATCAACGATCCGAACAAGGCGCGGAGCATAGACATGTTTGGGGGGATGGACCCTATGGGACAACATAATCAAGGGTCCGTCAATGGCATCACCTTCATCAACGGCATCCCGCAACCGACGAGGATACCGGAGGAGTACCGCTGTGGGATCGACGGGACGTTGATGCAAACTCCGGTGCGGTTTATGTGCAGCGGAGGCTATTTTGTGAATTACGAGTTATTGAACCTACAGCAGTGGAGTGCCATTAAGGGGGACGTTTGCCCAGTGACAGGGGAGACGTTCACGGCGGACTCCCTACAGATCGACGAGAGTCTAAAGAGCGAAATCGCGGAATTTCGAAATAGAACCGGCTGGCACTGAGTTTCATCTAATGTTGCGGACGCACCATTTTTGGTTCTGTAGATCCTTATTTCCCTCAAGAACATCTTCCAGAAGGTGCCGGCGCCTTCTCCTGTTCCCAAACTTCTACCCCGTAGAACGACAAAGGCTGACGTAGGTATCTTCACGCAGCCTGAATTTTTGTGTACGATAAGAGCTGTGATATTTTTGTCATCACGTCTTCACAAGTACAAGGACAAGCAGTGTGTTTGTACTGGTTCTTTATCACGCATCATGCGCATCGTCTGAGAACTCTATGGATTAGAAGTAACCAACAATTTCTGCCTGAAACCTAAAAAAATCAACTTCTTACCTGCTGTTATCTTCTCTCCGAATGAAACATGATCAAATGTCAAACCGGTCGCGCCACCACTACAATCATGTACAAGCGCTGCAACATCCGAAGAGATGGTCCCACGAGAGCGTTTCTTGCAACGCGATGAAAATGCTGAAGCGCAAAAGATTGTTCCTAGCCTTTACGTATTCCCATGAAAATCGGCCTCGCCTCTGGCACTGGCAGTGGCCGCACAAATTATTTTATGTACGATCGACGTTTCTTGTTGATGAGCATGAGGTGCCGCGTTTTTGCTTTCTGATGTTGCTTTTCCTTTTGCGCAACCTTCTCAAATGGCCATTTGCCAAAGCGGTGTTGCTGCTGGTGCCGTAATCGTAAATAACAGTAGAATGTGCCCGATGTTGAGTCACATTTATGATGTAGAATCAGTGCCATCAAGAAATAAAAGCAAAAGCCACCGAGCCTTGTTGCCCCAGGTCGTTGGTCGTGTCAATTCATTGCATGATACTTGGCTTCGAAAGGCAAACTGAAACTCGAGCAAGACCATGCTGTAAATTTCTGATTTAATTTTAATCCTTTTGGAGCAGAAAACAAAGAACGGTCACGTCAACATTAGCATAACTCTGATAGAGCAGGAGCCGGGAGTCGCAAATCAAGCGATTTTTGTGATTGCGAATAAACAGCAGATGGCTGCCAGACGATCTTTTGCAAATGGTGAAAATTCGAAAATGAAGAGGATCCAAAGTAGACGTAAATGAACAACACAGTCGTAGAGCGAGCGCGAATCCAAATATGGTTCCAACATGTTGCTCTTGATGAAAATCCAAATGGTTGATGAGATTGAGACGCTGTTGATGACACCGAATTTTTTTTTTCCAACAAATTTATTGACGAAGGTACCCACTACTGCTTCCTCTTTGCAGTTGTGAGAAAAGCCAAATTTTTTAGATCCGCGAGCGCCGAGCATCAAGTTTTGCCTCCCTGCCACCGCGGAGCCGCCAGGAGTTCCAGCTTGATTCCGGATCCGGCGAGGGCGAGTTCCTGACGATTATCAACGCGAGCAGCAGCAGGCAACATAGGTGGCGGACCTGCAACTGATCACGCAGCTTCTAGGTAAATGTGAGATAGACATAGAGATCCATGACCAAACCGTGGAAATAAAGTTGAAAACGAAACGAGCAACGAGCGTTGATGTGATTGATTTTGTATTCCTCCTTGTCCTTCTGCTTCTACTTCTACATCATGCACGATGCATTCGCTCAACAAGTTGGTACGAAGTAGTCAACGCTGAGCCAATGCGAATTAGAGCTCTGCTTCTTTTTCCCAACTCTGATTACCTCAGCACAAATCTTCGCCCTGTTGGGAAGAGACAAGAAACCTGTCATGCCTGTGGCCCAGCAAGAATGAAAAAGTAGCTGCTGTGCAAAGTGCTGAGGTGTGCCACGCGATCCCGACTTGACTGCTTGGCAGCAGGATGAACCCAAGAAGCTTTTTGGGCGAGATAGAAGAGCAAAGATTGATCGCCGGCCGACAACTCTTCTGCCCCTACAGCGTCTGCGTCACCACCACCAGCGTCAGAATCCGCCGTCCTGCGGCGCATCGCCGATTTTACAGCGTCCGTTTTTTGTTCCTTTGAAATTATCACACAAATTTTGAACGTGGTTGTAAGAACACGCCAAGTTACTAGTACTGGAAGTGTCCTCAACATCATCCTGCTATCGGACGATTAAGAGCAAGATGAAGCGCAAAACTACCATCCTGCGATATCTGCTGCGACTACAGAAACAAAAAACACTCATGCTTTATTCGCAGTTTCATGAAGAAAGTAGGAGATCAATTTTCGACATAGACATTTTTAGCGAAGATAAGTAGAAGTTCACAGTGAACGGTTTAGGATTTAGTGAAGATCAAGATTTTGTTTCCCCACTACTCATCAATTTAAGATGTCAGCAACCAACTCCATCTTCGTGCGGAACCTGAGCAATGAGGCGACGGAGTCAAATTTGCGGCAGCACTTCTCGGAGTGCGACACCGTGGAGGCGATCAAGTTCAACGTCTTCCCGGGGACCAATAACGTGTACGTGGAAGTGCAGTTCGCGAGCAGCAAGGGCGTCACCAGCGCGATCAATAACCTGAACGGGAAACTCTTTCTGGGCGTGCCGATCATGTATGTCTACTTTTTTTTTCGCATTTTGTTGACATGATTTTCATTCTGGGTGAAGGTTTAGTATGCTTCATATGCAACAGTACGTAGAGCGCCCTTGAGTGATAATATGTAGATGATGCCTGTCACGCTCAAACAAGGGAGGTCAACATACGTCGTGGTTGTTCTTACTGCCTGCTGTTTGCACCTTGAGATGATTTTTCTCGATGTTGAAATATGGCAAACAAAATGCTACATCAGGGTCGACATTCTGGATCCGGTGAAGGGGAGCGTGCAGTCGAGCGGGCTGCAGCCGCCTGGACAAATGGACCTAAACGCGAAGTTACCAATTGGAACCACCGGCGTTCCTGCACCTGGAACGGCTTCTACCGTAGGAGCTGCGCAGATGGTACTATCATGGGTTGTGTAGTTTGCCTTCATCATCTTCACGATGTTTTATGCAGTTTTTTTGCAGAGCAAAAACTTAAGCTTTCATTCGCTCCTTTTAGATTCACTTTAGTGATATTGACTATGTGATGACGATCTTCATCTTCACGCTTTGACTTGACATGAAAAATAAACAGGCCAATGTGAACAACCCCACCGTGGCCGGGCAGATTTCCCTGGCGCAGTTGCAGGAACAGCTGCAGGAATTAGGGTCAGAACGGGAACGGAAACTGGAGAAAACCGTCTGTCTCCGCCCGCTCCCCGACTCGATTGATTTGGGTCACTTGCTGATTTTCTGCCAGGCCTTTGGCGTCGTGAAGGACCAGCGGATTGACACGGACCTGGAGCAAATCAAGTTTGGTCTCGTGGAATTTGCCACGGCCGAAGCGGCGGAGACTCTGCTGGAGACCAAAAAGCAGGTCATCGGGGGCCTGGAAGTCGGGGTGGAAAAGGCCAAGGATGTGGTGGGAAAGGTGAACGACCAAATCGTGATTCCCAAAATGGACCCAGGCAGTCTGAAGGATAACCGGAAAGTGGACCAGGTACTACAGTTGTTAGTTTTATTTCAAGTAGAAGTTTATTCTTCATCATCATGACTATCATGAACTGTTCTTCCGCCATGTTGAAGATTCTGCCTATTTGTGGCGCAGCAATCGTAAGCCGGAAATATTGAATTTGAAATCTCAATCCCCCATCAGGTCCGCGCCGCTTTCGGCAAGCTGAGTTTCGGTGCGTCATTTGCCGCGGCGAATGCAGGAGAGGACGGAAAATCCACCGACGCGGCCAGCAAGGGGGGCGACAAAGACAATGAAAACGTCAATACTACGACCGGGATCTCTTCTGTCGGAAACAACGACACCAGTAAACCTGCGAAGATGTTGGCCACGAGTAATCAGCAGCAGGCCATAGACGACAAGAACATCAAGTCGCCCACCAGTGTGCTTTTGAAAGACGTCGCACACGACACAGAGGAAATGTTGAAAACGGCGAAAAACGGCAACCCGGACAAGGATTTGCAGTTGACCGGGCGGCACAACGATTTGAAGAAACGGTCCCACTCAAACAGCAAGAGCGGATCCAAGTCCCGGAGTGGGAGTAGCAGTCGCAGCAGAAGCAGCGGGAGCTCCAGTCGCAGCCGGTCGAGATCGGCGGGAAAAAGCCCGCGGAGGCGGGGTCCTGCCAGAAGACGCGGCGGCAGTGCCGGCAGGAGATCGAGTATTTCTATTTTTGCTATTTTGAACAAGATGGTTTCCTTCACATCAAAAATTTGTTTGATGTCTGAGGTTGGTTGTATATCGGCATGTTGCGCACGTGCAGCAGGACTGACGAGTTGTACTGGCCTACGGTAAAAAGACAATATTGACCAAATTACACATAACTGCGCCATATTCATCATCACAGCCCCTCGCGGCGCGAACCGACGGAGCCGTAGCCGTAATCGTGGCGCGCGCAATTATAACAACCGCAGTGGCGGTCGCCGGCGGAGCACGCGGCGGCGCAGCCACAGTCGGCGGGGACGCGGCGGCTTGCGCGGCCGTGGTAATCATGATCGGCGAGGAGGCGGCAACGGAGGGAATTATACCAGGGGCACCAGGAACGACAGCCGAGACCGGCGGGGCGGCGCCGGTGGTAGAAGAGGCGATCGCCGTAGTGCAGACCGAGGTCGAGCAGGCGGCTACGGTGCACGGAGAGATGGACGGCTTGCCCCGCGAACTACAAGACCTGGCGGAGGACGCGGAGGTATCCTATGATTTTTTGCTTGAGGTGGCAAAAGTGCTGCTTATTCGCTTTTTTCAATTTTTATTTTTTGGCTGGGTTGATGTGTACGTTTAGTTTCGTCCTCGATTTTTACAACTTTCACTAGACCGATTGACGCAGAAATCAGTGATAGAACTCTCACGAGGAAGACGGCAAAACAAAACTACAACATCAGGTGGAGGTGGCACCCGGCGCAGAAGCAGCACTCCCAGGGACCGCCGCGACCGTAACACGCGCCGATCGCGCGAGCGGCAGCCCCCGGCCCGTCGCGCCGGCGGCGGCAACCGTAGGACTTTCTCGCTCGACGAAGACGACGGCGGTCGACGTGGGGATACTAGGAAGAGGTCGAAGTCCGGCAGTAGGAAAAGATCCAGATCACGATCGGGAAGTCGGAACAGGAAAGCGTCCAAGATGTCCAACAGTAGGTCGAAGTCGCACGAAAAGTTTCGGAGCCGAAGCAGAAAGAAAGACAAACACTCCGACTCGCCGGAGCGGGATGTTGACAACAAGAAAAAGATTGCTTCTCATCTTCGCGGTAGAATCAACAGCGGTGTCAGCGCGGTTGACGAGGAGATGGTAGAGAAAGTCAAGAAGGAAGACAACAGGCCCGCGGGCACGCTGACGCCTGAAGATTTAAGTTCGGACGGCGAAAACAAGAAGAGGAAAAAGAGTCAAGAAAATAAGCGACCAGCCGCAGCTTCACCCGCTGCGAAGGACACCGACAAAAAGAAGCGCGCCCGACAGAGCCGGAGCAGCAGTCGCAGCCGCTCTTTGTCCTCTCCGAGAAGATCTCGAGGAGGCAAAAAGTCAAGTTCTCTCTCAAGAGGCAACGACACCGGGAACAAAAACGTCGAAGATGCACCCGACGGACGAAAGGATCCCTACAGTCGAAATAAACCAGCTTCCCGCGCTTTTCACAAGACCGTAAAAGTGGAATCATCCAGCGACCCGGCAGAAAGTAAAGGTCATCCCGACAAAGAAAAGAACACCGATTCAAAGAAAAACCAAGAAGAAGAGCAAAGCCACGACCAGCCGAGGAATACTGCTTCGTCTCTTCGCGTGAACATCCCACAGAGCGGGAGACCACAAGGTCAAGTACCTCCCGGCAGCGCCAGTGTAACCACGACCAATCGGAATCAGAAGCCGGCGCCAAGGACGATCCAGATTAAGTTGAAGACGGAGGAACGCGAGCAGCGACGGGGACGGTCTGCGAGTGAAGTGGAACTGGACAAAATCAGGAAGGAGCAGGAAGTAGAACGGCTAAACAGCAAGAAGATGAAGAAAAACAAGCCGGATCATGATAATACCGATTCATCAGAAGACAGCAAGTCAGATTTTTCCTCGGCAGCTTCGGAGAAGAATGCCATGCTTAGAAACAAGAAAGACTACGCGACTGGTGCGACTACTAAATCTTCGAATAAACTTCTAGACGGGCCGAGCAGTAAAAATAAGCCAGGCTCTCCGGCGAAAAAGGAAGAGCAGACTACACGCGATCAACGGAACAGGACCACTACAGGCGACACGAAGAAGGCAGGAGCTGCTGGCGCAGCGAAGAGAAGAAGGAAGTCGAGCTCCTCTGTAGACCAACGCCAGCAGGAAAAGAAGCGGAGGAATGATCAGCATGTCGCTGCCGCAGGTGGTACAACTTCTAGAAATAAAAATGAAGAACGAAAACCCAAACCAGCAGTCAAGCCGGTTGTGCTAAAAACGTCGAGCAATTATAGAAAAAGACACGCTTCGGCTTCTGATTCCTCTTCCGAGTCTTCAAAGTCTATTCCGAGCCGGCCTGCGTCTAAAGATTCCTCTCGCTCGCGGTCGAAGTCGCCAGCTGCTGGGACGAGGGAGGATAAAAAAGCGAAGAGGGGGGCAAGTCCTCTGCCAGCTCGCGGTGGCGGCTCAAGAAAGGGAACGACAACTGCTGCTGCTGAAAGGGAACAAAACAAGGATGCTTCTAAACCCTCCAACAAGAAACAGATCATCGAACAGAAGAAAGAGCAGCCACGAAGTAGAGTAGAAAATCGTCGCGGCCGTCGAAGGTCGCGCAGCCGATCTTCATCGTCTTCCAGCGAGGAGGACCACAAGGAGCAGAATAGAAATAGGAAGCCCGCTGTAGTTCTTGCGGAGAAGAAAGCAGAGCGAGTAGCAGGTCGGGATCATACAACTAAAGACAAAGCTGGCGGCGCGACGTCATCGACCAAGCATGTTGACAAGAAAGACGTCAGGAGCAAAGACGATGCCAACAATAAAAACAGAAATCGTGTCGATTCCCGCAGGAGGAAAACGAAGAGCGACAAGAAACGGAGGAGAAGCTTGTCCAGCAAATCTTCCGGGTCCTCTCGGTCGAGGTCTGCGTCAAATAAACGACCCGCAGAAAAAATAGCAGTCCCGCCCCCGCCACCTCCAGCAGAAGTGAGCAACGCGCCTGCGGAGATGAAAACGAATATCAACCAGGACGTCAACGAAGATTCTGCGTCCCTTGATTACATCGAGGACGCTGCTAAGAAGGACAAGAAAAAGAGAAAGAAAACACGAACCGATCGAGATCGCAGTAGGAGTCGTGGTGCGAGAAGGCATAACAAAGAGGACAAGAAGGAAGTCGTCGTGGACAAGAAAGATAGAGATACAGCAGCGCGTCGTGGCGGAGAGGAGAAAGGCAAAGTCAAAGACGCCACGACCTCTAGGCAACAAGATAAAGACAATAAAGATCGTGCCGGTAAGAAGATAAAGGCAGACCGCAAAGGCGTGGACGACACGGAGAGCAGCGACGAAGACGAAAAGAAAATCGCGTTGAAAGAAAAGAAGAACTCGGCGAAGGCGAAAACCCCCACGGCGGCGTCAAAAGACCAAGAACAGAAGGCGAACGACAAGAAAGCTGCTGACAAAGACATCAAAACCACTACCAAAGACGGCGCGGAGAAAAAGAAGCCAGAGCTGTCAGGAGTCGCGAAGAACAAGAAGGAGCATCCCAACGAGAAAATCCAGGTGATCCTGAAGGAGCGGCGGCAGAATCGATCGCAGGAGCGGCGACAGGACCGAAGAGACAATTTCAAGAGAAACGCGTCGCCCGCCCACCGTAGAGACAGTCGAGTGGAAATGTTCCGGCCGGAAGAAAAGCGCCGGGATCGGCGACGTGGCAGGAATAAGGATGTGGGCGAAGAGGAGCAGGAAAAAGTAGAAAAAGGAACGACTGCGCAAAGAAAGAAGAAAAACAAGATGCGCGGCTTCAGCTCCTCCTCGGGCTCGGATGAATCTCAGTCTTCGTGAATCTGGAGCAAAAACAAGAACTCCTGGCTCAACTTTAATGCTGGTCCAGCAATCACGTCTTTTCGCATGGTGGAGTTGAAGTCACGACGAGCATTTTCAAATACACTAGACTTTTGTTTTTGAATGTTGGTCAAAGAAGCATTTTTTTCTGAGACACAAAATCAAAAACCAAACGGGCTTTTTTGGCTAAGAGTAAACCGAACAGTCTTATTGTATTCACGACATTAATCAGAATCAGATTCAGAAACGACATAGAGAATTTCCAGAAGTAGTTGGCAGGTCCGAGGTAATAAAATTCGGACATCTACTCTGTGCGCCATGATCTTCCCACTTCATGTTCATTATGGAGCACGAGCAGAAGGATTAGGAGACGATGAAAACACATGGGCATGGCATGTTCCTGAGTGAAGCTGTAAAAGGAGGTGCTGCTGTTTCATGAGATGCCGCACGAGAGCGAACTGTTGTAATTTCCTTGAATCACAGCAACCACGCTACTACGAAGGAAATTGTGGCCCTTGTTGATGTGTTTTCCGATAATCTACGAAGTAGCAATTGTACACAAAAGCAGGCCAAATTAGGCTAGATCGAAGAGGCGGAAATGGTGTATGAGGCTAATGATACGATACTCAATGCCAAACAGAACCACATGACATTGACTCATGGAAATTTCTTCTTCAGCGACCACAACTCGTGAAGAGACAGTGTCTTTTTAGCAAGTATACCGCAGCACGCCTCGAGCATTTTTTTCCATCTTTTCCAGAAAAACGTCGTGCCTAAACGTGTCATGTTAAACATACCTAGGCACTTCTTACAATTGATTCAGACAAAAAATGTTTTTTTTCAGAACTAGTATGTCAATGGTGGGAACTACTTGAGGGCCGCGCAAGTAAGTAGCATGGTCCGTTTCTGATGTGTTCTGGTGGAAATAAACAAATAGCGAAAATATTCCGGCGTCCAGACAGGTGAAACATCACACTTTGTTGATCTCTGTCTCTCATCTACTACTTTGGCATTCCTCCCAAGCAGATCATAAACCATGGCTTCCGATTATTTCGGGTGGATGCGAGAGCCGGGGTCCGTCGGCTCCACCTACGAGGACGAGGAGACTGGGCTGATGGCGAGCATATCAGGACGGTTGAATTCAGCGAGCCAATTTTACGACGACTTTACCATCCCCACCTCCACCTGGATCCAGTTCGCGGTCTTTCTCGGTTTGGGATTGCTTTTTCTGTTCCTCTCCAGTCTGGCGCTCCCGTTTCTGGTCGTGGCGCCGACCAAGTTCGCGTCGCTCTTCACACTCGGGAGCTTTTTCTGCCTGCTCAGCTTCATCAGTTTGCGCGGCTGGGACCGGTTCAGGACACACGCGTTTGGGACCGCCAAAAAGACGACGGTGTGCTACCTGGTAACGCTGGCCGCAACCTTGTATTACACGATGATCGCACCCAGCTACTTGTTTGCGTTAGTCGCGATAATCACCCAGTTCATCTCCTTACTCTACTTCCTCTTCTCCTACATCCCCGGCGGGCAGAGGATACTCGACAACATATTCGGCAGCTGCGGGCGCTGCTGCTGTCCCAGCCTGTGCGGCAGCAAGCCGGCGCCAAAACCCAGGGGCGCGCTCGGGAATCCGTTTTACTGATATTGAAGCACGCGCTCGTTTTGGAGTGTCACAAGTACTTAGAAAATTTCGATTTGGATTTCATCTACCCCTACAGCTACTTTCAAAACGCATATTAATTTCCTTGGCGACAATTCTATCCTGTCTCTGCCCCTTTCGCAATACTGTAAAAACGTTCCCGCCGACGACAAAGACACGATGAGAATGAGGTTTAAATTTCAGTATCAACGTTGATACTGTCTCTAGTAGTTCGATACGAGAAGAATAAGCACACTTCCGATAAAGGAAGCTTGGGGCGTATATTGTGTCCATGATCAACATGAGGAAGTATTTGAAGCACTTATGTTGTTCCTCTTGTTGCCTCACACAGATTCAGATACTAGTACGAAATAATTCGTAAAATACATTGTTCCTCCTGTTGAACTGATCTATTCGCACGGGTGTAGAAATTTCGTTCTTGGAAAGGCCTCGCCTGCTGGTTCAAATTGAAAAGTTGGATCCGGGCAAATTTTGTCCGAGAGACGGAGAACGTGAACGATCCGAATTCAGGTTGGTCTACCCTGGACAACAGATCGATCCTGATCGATCTCCAGCACTATGATCAAGATCATCACTTACTATGCAAGTACAGAAATTCAAGTTCAACAGATGACCGACAACATGAAAATATCGCAAGCAAACTCAGTGCGACAGCACCTCCCTCGCCCGGATCCGATTCCTGATCGATTTGCCGCCTCTTCCTGGTCCACCGTCTGTAGGTCCAGTGCCAGTTCCTCTGACGAATGCAATAAACTCGGCTTTTTATTCCGACTGCTCAACACAGGCGAAGGAACTCAGCGATTGTTAGATGGTTGTAATATTTTTCTAACACCTCCATCATTTTCATTTTTCATCTAGTACGGCGGACCACAACTCTTTATCGAAGCAACACGTGTAGAAGTTCTCCCGTCGAAAATAAACCGCCTTCGTCGGCAAACATCGACACAGAATGGCCACCTTCGACGAGCGGAAAGCGAAAACGCTTTTGGCGATCGACAAGTCGCCAAAGGGAAGTTTTGATGCCCCAATTCTGGACCTGTTGAGCTACATCAACTCTTTACCAAACTATTGCACGACCAGCAGCTGCTCCGGTCGTATCGCGGTGTTTCAGCACAACAGAAAGGAACCAACGAGGAGTGGTGGAAAAAGCGTGTTTAGTAGTAAAAGTACCAGAAGAGTCGAGAAAAAGAAAAGCTCCGCTGCGGCAGCGGGAGAAGATGAAATGAGAACTGCGAGAACATCTTCAGCCGAAAGAACACCTGCAACTTGCTCTTCACCGCCAGCTGACGCAGAACAAAATGCCCGTTCGGCAGGAGAGAACGCTCTTACCACCACTACAGTCCCGTCTTCAGACGACCCCGTGGCCGACCTGGTCACGCAGCACCGTACCACGGCGAACAACGCGGATAAGGGGGGAAGTTGGGTGTTCGTAGATCACGAGCCGAACCAGACGGACCTGTTTACGCTCTCCTCCGTAATCCGGCGAAAACTGCGGCAGCTGGACGAGGACACCCACATCGATTTTCTCTTCGAAAGCTTCGTGCTGCACGTCGAGGCGCGGGACATTGCCTCCGCGCAGAAATTCCTCACCCTCGCGCTGCAGTGCGGGTACCGGGAGAGCGGGATGTGCGTTTCGGGGAAGAGCCGCTGCATGGTGCAGGTCCGCACAAACGCGTTCGGAATGACGGTCCCGTGCCGCGTGTCGGATCTGGCGTTTTCCGCCGGCTGGGCGGGCGGCCGCGTCAACAATGTGCTGCGCGGGAAAATGGAGGAGGAGGAAAACGCGAAGGACTTGATGTCCTTCTGGCTCTCCTCCGCGATGGAGCGCTTCGCGAAGAACAAAGCGCGAACGGAAAAGTTCTTTGACATGCTAAAACACGCCGGGTTTGAACGCGATCAGGGTCAGGAAACTTCTTGTAGAGCGTCTCGAATCGCAGAAGAAGATCTGCACGGAACAAGTACAAGACTAAGCAGCCCATCTTCATTTGGAGCAGCTGCTCCAGCGGCGCCTGCGTCTGCTCCTGTGAAGGCAACAACTGGCGCTGCAAAATCGTTGAACACAAAATCATCATCAAGACTCCCACCCGCAGTCCTCGACCTCATCAGCCGGTCCGGGGGTGCGTTGGTGTGCGAAAAGTCCCGCGCAAAATATTGGAAGGATACCGTGCAGGAAAAAGGGCTTTTTGACAAGAAATTCGGTGTCAAGTGCGTCGAGCTCGATGTAGTTCATCAAAATCTGCAAGATTATACAACAACCGGCGAAAACAAGATGCTCGTGGGGCTCACACCGGAGGGTGTGGAGCAGATGAAGAAGTTTCTTAGCGCGGCACGAAGTAGTCGAAGAGCAGAGATTGCGGAAGCACACAGAGTTGGTGGCGAAGCACATCACGCTCTAGTTTATTTCGACGAAGCAGAGAAAGAAATCGACTTCTACGTCATGGATGCGACCGAACTACGAGCTGCGGTCAAGGAGGTCGACAGCGGGTTAGTAAAGGCAAGAAATCATACTAGTGGTGCCACTGCCAGCATCTGTAAGAATGCGGGGTCGACGACGGTAAATGATGTCGTTGAAGACGAAGGAGCTCCTGCACACACCCAGAAGGTCGACGCTTTACAGAGCGCGGTAACGCACGACAGTAACCAGCAACTCTGGTGCCGGGCGAGTTCTTCACGACGCGCCGCCCCCGACCGGTACGAGTGGACGGACGAAAGTTGGGAGAAGCTCAGCGAGATATCAAATGTAAAAATGTCTGGGTCTGGAAGAATGCAACTTGTCATGCTAAATCTGAATCAGGCAAAAAACTGTATTGCATGATTGGCAAAAGTTCTTGTGCACTTTTGACCTAATCGCGAGGCAGTTTCTTATGCAGGATAGGCATTGGAAAGGTTTCGCAGAATCTGTCATGCTATGTCCTACATACCAGACCTCATTGGTTATCGAAAACCTGCATGACAAATCTGGCAATCTTCCAGACCCAGACACTTTTGCAATCCATACGAGAGTTCCGGCGACAAGTTTTGCCCGGTCGAATTTCTGGACTACCTGCTGTCCGCGAGAATCACCTTTCAGCCGGCTACGCAGACAATCTGCCAGTTTCTCTGGTGCGTTTTACAGCAAAGGGTAAGTAGAGCCAAACTCTATTCATTATCCCCAGATGAACTACATCAAGACAGGGACAGACGAGAAGAACTACAACCATCGACGTCCCCACCTGCGGTCTTCGTGCCCGAACTGCCTGCTTGGTACTCCGAGCTGTCCCCGCCATCTTCATACGAAGATGAACATATTACGACGACCTCTACTGCGCGGCGGTCTACTCCACCACCGCAGTTAACCTACCAGGTGCAGGGGAAATTTGCGTTCATCGAGAACATTCCCCTGGACCTGCTCCAGCGGGTTCTCGCCCCCAGCAAGACGTTCTGGCTCACTTGGTATGCGTTTCTGGTGCGCAGACACCCACAGGTGGAGGTGATCGGGGTGCTGGGCGAAGTGGCGGATGACGATTTTCGTAGCCCGAAGGGAATCCAGCTGTTTTGTGCCGTGAGTTCTACAGTTCACCACGACCCTCGTGGGGCCGGGCTAGGGTACAACTTGAACACGTTGGAAGTCTGCTTCAACCCGGCGGGCAGGAAAGTTCTACTACAGAATAAAGGTGGTACAACATCATCAGCGATATCATCAACCGAAAGAAAACCAGAACTCTGTCGTCCGCACGTCTGGAACAGAGTCAGCGAAAACGGCGTCCACTACACCTGGAATGTGCTGAAGACCATGTTCTGCAAGGGAAATATCTCGGAGAAAATCCGAGTTAGGAGCAAACAAAGAAGCGTATCTTCGAGGGATGAAAATGTTATTTTTGCTTGTTCGAACGGAGTAGATCAACAACATGCTCATGGGTACAGCATCCATCCAGACGAGACCGTCGTGGACCTGTTCGCTGGGATCGGGTACTGGACCCTGCCGATCCTGAAAGAGTTAGGCGAGAAGGGGAAGGTCTACGCCTGCGAGTGGAACCCAGCATCAGTGGAGGGGCTGAGACGCGGGTATGCGATGAATTTCCCGGCGGAACAAGCGAAGAGCAGCTCCTCGTCCTCGACGAATAGGAATATTAAACAGAGGCTAACGATTCTCCAGGGCGACTGCACGGTCGTCGCGCCGAAAACCGTCGCAGACCGGGTCATCCTCGGTCTGTTGCCCGACACGGAGAAGTTTCGACGAACCGCGGCCGAGTGTTTGAACTGGGAGGAGAAAACCAGAGTCAAGAAACTGCACATCCACCAAAACTTACGGGAAGACACAGATTTTGCTGCTTATTCTTCGAAAATCTGCCAGGACTTCTTGGTCTTGCAGAAGGAAACTCGCGAGAACGAGTATGGTTCTGACGAAAGTTACTGCGACTTCGAGGTGAAGGTAGAGCATATTCAGCGAGTGAAGTCGTACGCGCCGCGGGTGAGCCACTACGTCTTTGACGTGGCGTTCCTGCCGAGGGGCATGGATGCGCAGTTGTAGAGGTCTCGATGATGTCCTCGCACAGTCGATGTCACGGCAAAACTACGGATAAAGAGGAACAAGATGGCTCCCGCAACTACAGCCTTTCACTTCCCTGGACGACATTGTCTTTATTCGGCAGAACCACGAGTAGAACCGAAACCGATTGACATTGTCATTGAAAACCACGTGCACGCGGTTGTTGTCCTCTGACTTTAGGATTGGCAACAACTGTGGATGGTAGTACCGCGACCGGAAAAACCAAAACGGTGTTCATTCGGGATCTCGAAATCAGTCAGCTTTTGAGTGTACACCTGTCCACTGAGTTGTATCGTCCGCTCGTACTAGTTGCGATTGTGAGCGAGGAATCGTGTTTGCGTGTTAATACGTTGGCCTAGTATGAGATGTCCAAGTAGTGATTGCAACAAAATAAACTACAAAATCAAAAAGGACCGTGAGCGAACAATCGAAAATGGGCGGAGTCAGAATTTCATTTGCTCGGCTTCAACACAGCTGTAGTTTGGGAGCCAGAACCCCAAGAACAACTATTTTGAGTCGTACTACTCAGTATATCATCATTCAAAAAAAAGCGCAACTAAAAATGGCCAACGAGACGGACACAGAGAACGGGGCGCCCGCCGCCGAGGAGCCTGTACACCCGCGACCTTTGTTACAGGGAAATGAAGCACCGTCCGACGCATTTTCAGTCGCTGAGAAGAACCAGTCTTCTACAGACAACTCAAATCTAGAATTTTCTCGCGCTCGCGAACTCGCACGGCTTCTGAAAGAACGCTCTGAAGACGCAGCTAAAGTAGTCATGAAAAACGCAAAACCGCTTAAGGGACATTACATTATCGCTGGAGAAGTGGTCAAGCCGCAGCCACCACCTGGTTTGCTCGAGCATCTCGACGACTTCGAGCAGGACCTTGCCAGGAAGGACGCCGAGAGGAGTGTTGTTGTCCTCCGCGAGAACTACCTCCGAACTTTTTATACCTCTGTTAGAAAGGAAAGAAGATTAGAAAGGAAAGAAGACGAAGATAACCGAAGACAACCCGCTCGGGGCCGGGTAGGTGTACTCGGAGCCATCGCTATCTCGTTGATTACAGGTTAAGAAACCTGGCCCGGCCTGCAGCTGCCAACTGCAGGCCGTAACTGTAGGCGTAATTGTGTTTTTTCACGAAGAACAACCCTTGCAAACATCAAGTCGCATTTTGTGGCGAGATTCTAATTCGCAGAAGTAAAAAACCAGCAGTCGGAAAACAAGAAACGAAGATAGTAGCTAGCGGCGTCACCAATATAAGTTTTTTGGCTCAAGAAAGAACAAACATAGGGAGCAGCACCATGAACCCACCCTCAGCACAGCGCACCCAGAGGCCGGAGCCCCCTGGCGTTGGAAGAAGGCCGGCGGCAGGCGGCAGCAGTAATACTGCCGGGTGGAAGGAGTCCGCCCGCGACCGGCGAACGGCGACCTCGGGCAAACCACTACGCATCGGCACGTTCAATGTCTTGACACTCGGGTCAAGAGACACGGGCTCAGGAGAACGAACTGCGCAGATGGAATGTTTGATACGGGATGCAAAAGAGCGGAGGCTGGATGTGCTGGCAACGCAGGAGAGCAGGGTGGTTGAGTGGATACATGGCGAGAAAGCAGATGGATACAAGCTTTACGGCGGCGGGGCGTGGAAAAACAGCAGTGGGACACCAGTCGGTGGGGTGCTATTTCTAGTCCGCGATGGAATAGAGGTGCAAGATGTAGACGCGGAACAGTGGGGCCGGCACGCCCGGATAACCCTTGCTACGCGCTGCGGGCGCAAGATGCATCTTCACGGAATCTACGCACCCACCGACGCTGCGGACGGAGACGAAAAAGACAAATTCTGGACGAAGACAGCTAAGAAAATTTCCGACCACCCCGCGCGAGACATAGTAATGGTGGTGGGCGACTACAACGCGGAGATGGGAGAACCGCAGTGGGAGCTCATGCGCGCGAGCCTACCGTACGCGGTAGGCCCGTGCGGCCTTACGCCGGATTTCGTGCACCGGTCCGACAACGGCCGGAGACTCCAGCAGTTCGCCGCCACGGCGGAACTGCTGGATGTGTCATCACTCTACCAGAGGAAGTGGTCCAAGCGGTTCACTTTCACAGGAAACTGGTCTTCGACAACATCTAGAGCGCGGCGCGAGTACGACAGGGCACTAATATCGTGGAAGCACCGCGGGCTACTGCGGGGCTTCCGGGTCTATGCAGACACGTATCTTGCAAGCGACCACAGGCTGGTCGTGGTTGAAGTGGACGTCAAGGTGCCGAGGAAGAAAAAGAAGAACGCGGTAGCGAATAGATGGGTACGGACGAAGGAGGCTGCTGAAGCCTTAGATAAGGAGCTGCAGGCAAAATACGATCCGGCAACAGTCGAGGAGCGCATGACAAATAGCGGAAAAAATGGAAGCGAGTGGTGGGACGATTTTGAGGCTGGGTTACGAATGGCAATAGAGAAATTGAGCAAGGGCGCCGTGAAGGCGGGGCCCCGGAAGCCATGGATAAGCCAGGAAACTTGGGAGCGGATCGAGACGAGGAAGAAGTGGGCAGCAAAGGGTGTGAACAAAATGAAGCTGAACCAGATTGGGAGAAAAATACGCGCGTGCATCAAGGAGGACAAGCGGGCATGGGTGGCAGGCAAGATAGAGGAGCTGCGGAAAGCAGACAATGCAGGAAGGACGCCGAGAGGAGTGTTGTTGTCCTCCACGAGAACTACCTCCGAACTTTTTATAGGCATTGTTACGATAATCGATGAGTATCTGAAAACGGGTAAGGAACAGTTAAGCCTATTCTTTTGCGCTCTCTATCTAGAGCGCATTGCTTGGCTTTTCTGTGAGGAGAATGGCATCTGCCACCGACTCCACCCTCCTGAGGCTCTGTTTCTGTGGACTTCTATCAGCCACTCTTCCTTCCTACTTTCTCTTTCTTCTTCTTTCCTTTCTTGCTACTTCTTGCAAGCTGGGGGAATGGTGAGGGAGGAAATGGATGTTTTTCTTGCACTAACTACAGTACGCGCCTATTGGTGCTGGAAGAGTTTGTGCTTCTGGTTCTTATCGCGCTTTTATCTTGCGATAAGATTCCATCACTCTGTCTTTCAACAGGCGCAGTTCTTGCGCCGGTTGGTTTTCGGGCATTGGGATGTTCTTTAACTACCTGCTTTTGGCCTCGAACCTGGAGGTGCGAAGTTTGTTAAAGAAGCGCCCGTGTTTCTCACCGTGATACTTTGAACATCAGCGCGCTCAGTTCTTGAGCTGAATTTGTTCCAGTTCCGGTTTTTTCTCCTAACGCTCGGGCCTTTCCCTTTCGGCCTAGGTCCATGAGGTTGAGGCCCGTTTACGGTCTATATCCATTGATTTGGGTTTGGCCACTTACCTTGATGTGCTTGTTTTTGTGGACTTTTTCCGATTTTTGACGGCCTCGACAGTTGCTTGCCGTTTACGGTCTATATCTGTTGAGTCGGATTTATTCGCACTGGATAGCTCCCTCTCACTGCTGTTTTCGGGCTCTTTGGCCCGTCATGGTGGGCTTGACTTCAGTACGCGCACTGTTGGTGTGTTGGAAGGGTCGAGGGTCCTGACCCGCTTCTCCGCTCTGTCGCCCGTTTTATTGGTCTTTCCCAGCCCATGGGTAACGGAGTAAGCTATGCCCCTCGGGTCGATGTGGTGGACTATCTGAAGCGGACGCCAGATGCTGAGATTCTGCGGAAGAATCAGCAAGTGGTCAACACCCTCCTCCAGATGGCTATTGAGACCGAGGCGGAGGAGTTTGAGCTCCACAAGAAACTGAAGCCGCACCTGCGGCGGCTCTACGCGGGAAAACGGTTGGTCTTGCTTGTGTCCTCGATGAGAACTACCTCCGAACTTTTTATACCTCTGTCGAGATCGGCGAGAACTTTCAACTCTGCAATCCGAAGGCCCTAGCAGGGTCGGAACCTGACGTCCTCTGCAAGCACGTCGTACCGCCTGGAAGTACGCATTTTTGGCGACGTCAATGGATTTGTCCGAGAAAAGGGACGCATTGGGCCGACCGTATGTCTGTTATGCAGTACGCCAAAGCCAACCGGAAGCTCTTCGAGTTCTTTAATCCAACCGCGCCTGCGATGAGTTTTAAAGTGCTGACGTTGTACAACGATTTCTGTTGGACATGCGAACGAGAATATCGCGTAATCAACCCACCGCTTCCGCTCCTGAAGTTGCCTGTGGAGCTTATCAACAAAGTCAGTAGCTATCTTCCGCTCTCGGGCCATCACAAGCTTTCCATGGTGTGCAAAGCTCTGCGAGCAGACTTACGTGCGCCGTGGAAGCTGATTTGTGACAAGCAGAAAAAGGAGGACGATGAGGCAGCTGAAATGCAAATTTGGAAAAAGAATTAGTGTAGGACTGAGAACGAGCAAAAAAACTCAGCAAGAAATAAGCCGCTAGGTGAGCGGGGCCTCGCGCCTCGTGTCGAATTTCCAATGTGAAAAGAAGTCGCCTGCGTCGATTCTTCATCTTCGCAGTTAGTGCCTCGCGTCGCGTTCTGCCACGGCACCTCTGCCACGGCACATACACATGAAATAAAGCGTTGCTGTCTTTTCACTGACTGTCCCTAGAAACCGTCTCTTGTCTATTTCTTGAGTGGCTTGTTTTCAAAGTGTAAAAAGACTGCAATCCGGAAGCAGAAAGGTAGGAACTGAGGCGGTTCGTTTGATCGCCACACTAGAATTCAAGCCATTCAAAATTTGAATTTCGAAAAAGTAAAAAAGCCAAAGTTTGACGAACAACATCCCATAAAATCCGAAAGTACACGGCATCAAATATTTTGAACAAGAACCTCATCCACAAGTACAAAATGCCCTCTATCGAGCCCACCCACCCGCCCCGCAGACTCGCGACCTCACGCCTCTGTTCGTGGCCCAATAGACCGCCTTCGCAGAATGTCCAGCACGAGTTCAGCGATGCCTGTGACCGTTTGAAGTCCAAGATTTTGCTCTACTTGGGGGAAGATGAATCATCGGGGGATAATTGTGTTCCTGGTGAGGGACCAGGACCGCGTGGCGCTGCAGCTGCTGTTCCACCTCTAGAAGTCGGAGGCTCCACCTCTTCCTCCTCGTCTTCTTCGATCCCCTCAAGGTCCTCCGAGCTGAGAAATGCCTTTTTGAATCCGCGCCAAATATCATGCAACGCTCTTCAAGCGGCGCAAGAGGCATTTAATAGCCGCGGAGATAATTATCCAACTTCTACTTACCGTTACCAGTCCGAAGATAAACATTTGCAGACGGCCATCAAGGAGAGGAGTTTTGTTCCCACGGCCTTTCCCAGCAGGAGCTCCACGTGGGTGACGTCGACTACAGCAGCCTCGAACTCGTCCCGCAAAACTCCTCTGAAAATCGACCTGGTATCTGGAACTGATGCGGTCACCTACGCGGGAGCGAACATCAGCAAAAATCACCAGAACGTGGAGCGGTACCGGATTTACAGTGAGAGCGGGAGCGAACCCATGTCCTACAAATCTTCCACCGCGCGAAAGAATTCCAATTATCGTCGGGAAGAGCAGCTGCGGCAGCAGCAGCAGCAGCCGCTAGACATCATCAAGAACGTGGAATTGCGAAGCGAGAGGACGAGTCCGCAGCTTCAAGTTGGTGAAGCGAAGGAGAAGTCTTTAGGGCCTTCGGTGAAGCAGTGTGGAGCAGCAGCAGGTGCTGTTAGCTACTCGGCACAGTACGAGTCACCGACGGTCGTGTACGACGAGAAAAGGTACGTCACTCTTGTGCTGATGTCTGAGAGAAGCAAAATTTGACGGGGAAAAGTGAATAAAGAATCAGATGCACCTTATTCGGAAGAGAACAATGCTAATGCAGCATTTTTGGTGATTCCAATGCAGTTATCATGAACCGAAAGATTTTTTTTTCTTTCAGGTGTGGCGATAATGCAAGCGCGAATTGGTACGACGAGATCGACTTTGGTGAAGAGGAGAGTGAAACCTGTCAACGACGTCCGGAGGCGGACCCACACGACGCAAAAAGCTGCAGCGTCGAGCACCAGAACAACAACGGTCATATTGAGCGAGGACACCTGGAAGCAGAAAAGAACGCAAATAGAAACCCCGCCGTCGCCAGCTGTGTAGCATCTCGTCCCCAAGAGCAGTCCGCACGGCAGTGCTCCACCTCCCCCCCGCAACAACAACTTCTGCTGATTGACGACGATCTGTTGCCGCCGAGTGCGCTGTCGCTCTCTATTTCCCCGGCGATTGCAAATGACTTGCTAGACCACGACGACCAAAATGATTTAGATTTTGCTGTTCGTCGTCCCGACAGGCTACAAAGAACGGACGGTGGTGGCCTTGAACAAAAGGAGCAGGTCCTAGAAGGTCAACATCAGGAAGTAGATCCTCAACCCGAAATCACCCCGACCGCTGCCAACGTGGCGACCGATGTGCGGGATTTGTTGCGCGAAATCGATGCGGTTAGAGAAGAGTTGCAGACGAAGCAGGCTGGTTCTGTTGCTAGAGGACGCACACCAGTAGGAGGAGGAGACAAGCAACAGCAAAGCTCCGCTCCACAAGCTGGCCACTCCAGTCTCTCCCTGTCGTCAATTTTTTGAACACCGTGCACTGGCACTGCTTGATAATTGCAGGCAGCGACACAACACAACTTTCTGTTCCCTGCGGCAGGAGGCTGTTGTGCTCATGATAATTCTGACTTCGAAGTCGGAATGAACAGGGACAGGGCCGCACGGACGTGAAATCTATCGTGAATGCTTGAAAAGCATGTACTAACGTCATAAGGTGTACGAGGAGCGTGCTCTAGACTTAGGTATGAAGCTGCAAGCTTAAGATGTTGATGTGTTCAAACACAATCGCTCGAAACACGAAGGGAAGATCTCGATTCAAATTTTTGTGCAACTTTCTTTCCGGGTCGTGCTATCGCAAAGGTGAGCAATCAAAAGGTCGAATGGTGTCGCCAATTTTTTTTTGTCGGATGCAGTGAAGATAAAGTAATTGCGTCGACGGCGCGCCAAACAGAAACATGAGATTCATATTAGCAAGTACTTCCTTCCTGCTTGAGAAGAGAAAGTTAGAAGTTGAAGTTTAAATTAGTAGCTAAACAGTTCGTGAAACGGATTAAGTTAGTGCAACCCGCCGTTTTGGTGCAGACTGAATAATCTCTGATCGGCGCTGGTTAAAAAGAAAAAATTGTCATGATAGCAGCTACAACATCTACTCCAACTCCGGCGAGAGAGGATGAAGTCTCGCCTTGGCCATTGTCGCGAGGTTCGTGCAGAAGTAGTCCATCGCAAGAGACGAGTGCATCCTCCATTTTTTCGGACGATGAAAGTGACGACTTCGCCCGACCCCGAGACCTCTCTTCCTTACTGCGCGAGCGGTCCGAAGCTGCGAGGCTGGTGAGGCAAAAGGCCTTTGCTGCGCGCGGGATCACTCCGCCACCCTTTCAAATCGACGGCAGCAACGGGAGGATTTTGTCCGCAGAGGGGATAAATCCAACTTTTCGGCCAGAAAACCTACGCGGCGAGAATCAACGGCGGCAAAAACTCAAACAGTATGTGATATTGAATGCTGATTACCTTTGCAGCCTTTGCGGCCCGGCGGACAGCATCGGCGACTACCTGCAGGCCCGAAGCCACGGCCTCGCCACGCCGGACGTGCACTGCAAGTGCTACGAGAGGGAAAAGGCTGAGTTTGCCGCGAACAAAGCCCCGGGGGGGTTCCGGGGAAAAATTTGCTCCGAGAAGGCGTCGCACTTGATCGAGCGCAGCACGTTTCTCCGGTACGTCCGTGCGGAGGCCAGTTTGCTGAAATTCTTCAAGCCGAAATTGTGCGAGCAATACCGGACCTTCATCGTGCTCACGCTCGCGAACGACTTTTGCATGAAGTGCCACAGCGAGAAGTTGAAGCGTGCGGAGCTCGCGGCGAGAGAGGAAAAGTCTGGGTTGGAGCAGCTGCCGTTCGAAGTGGTCAACAAAGTCAGCACTTTTCTAACCGTGGCAGAATTGTTGACACTGTCGCAGACCTGCAAAAGCCTCCGGTCTGATCTTTACTCACCCTTGCAGACGCTTTTTGAGGAAGAGCAGTCTTGTGGCGCTCCTTCAACTTGTCAGGACGATGCTGTACAGACTGCTGTTTCATCCGGCAGAGGCAGAGCAGTTTTCGTGGAGCCAAAACATACAGGAAATTATCCGGCTAGAAATACTGCACGACGAAAACCTCCTACCTCTAGACGAAAAGCTGCGCAAGTTTTGGATTGCGTTAGCAGTGAAAAAATCTCTTCATCTACCCCTTCCGTCACAACTACATCTTCCAGCACAACGAGAGCAGGGAGTTGCCATTCAACCGTTCGCGGGGCCTGCAGCTCGAGCAACCACCAAACAAAATCGGAACTTTCATGTACTTCAAACGTCGAACACATTAAGACGATGAAGGTCTGTATGCGACCTCGGAGGCTGTTCGGGTATTATGGCTGCCCGATTCGTCGACAAACAAGACGGACAACAACTCAGCAACATCTTGGACGTCGCATAGTATCGGTTTTACCACGAGGAAGATCTTCATCCCACCTTTTCAAAGAGAGCGTCGACCTACTCTCAGAGGTGGAAGCAGACGACAACTATGCTGGTAAATAGTAGCAGAACCAGAATTATTGAGGAAAAATAATTTTTTTGCACCTGCCGCCGTGGTTTAAAACTAGACTTGCAGGAGATGCTGTAGTTCTACCTAGACGAGATGACGCAAACTACTGTGTACAAAAACGAAAGAATCTTCCAAAAGCGACAAGAAAAGAATAGGGCTGCGGGCGACGTGTGTTAGGCGTTGCATTCATATGCCTACAGACATGGGACCTTTCGCTTTCCCTCTGCCCTTTGATTAGCAGTGTTCCAAAATAAACAAAGACAAACGAAGAAAACAAGGTTCTGAGGACGGCCATCTTCTACATTAAATTGTTCGAGCACTGTTTAAATAAAAAAAAAATTATCACCATCAACCCTTGCAATTTCACATGTTCTTTCAGCCGCGTTGAGATCACGAATTGAGTAGGATAACGCTGAAGATGTTGCGCTTCCTCGCTCTTCCTCTCGTAGCCTTCAGCGGCTTTTTATTCCTCTCTAGCATTGCCTTTCCCGTTGCTGCAGGAGAGGTTGTCCCCGCCGCGCAGGCCCACGACGCGGAGCAGCATTCAGAAGGACGACATGCTCATAAGTGTTCCGTTGGAGGAGGACACCACGATGATGTTCCTCCCAACCTATTGAACTCTCACTACGACAAAGACACCGGGTGGACCACCGCGCTGGACTCGTACACGACCCGGCAACTCAAGCTGCGCATGTGGACGCACTTGCACTTCCGACCGGGGGTGCCGAACTCTCTGGAAAAGCGGTGGACCCAGTACGACGCTTATCCTGAGTAAAAACGTACCCACACCAGAGTCAGGATGGGGATTTTGCAACACAAACCTAGGAGTTTTGCGAGTCACGCATGACAAGTCGCACTATGCAGTGTAGTGCAGGTTAGCAAGTGCAGCCGCATCACAGATTCATCTGCTCATCCTGTTCACAGCATCACAAATTCCAAAACACGATTGGAAATGGTTGTCATGGGGATGCGCATTACAAGTCTTCCTGTTTTTGCAAATCTGCATTACAACTCTGGTGTGGGTACGTTTTTACTCAGGATAACGCTCCGGCGTGGGTCAACAACCTGATGGGACTGCTGGTTTCCGTCTCACCGGCCTGGTTTTTTGGCGAGGAGAGAACTAAAAAGCCTGCTGGGTTGTCGTGTAGTAGTACACCAGCAACGAAGAAGAAGATTGGGGAGCACCATCCAGATCTTGTCGACCGCCAGAAACTGAAGGCAAGTAACTTACGTTTTTTTTTCTTTCACAATCAAACTACAGAAGAATTCTTTTCCATGCCTGATTAGACGCACGTAGATTGATGAAAAATCAAAGGAAAAAAATATAATATCAACAGGCCTCGTGACCCGGACACTTGACCGCGTTCTGCAGCACGAAATCGCGTTCCGGTACAACGTCGAGCTGCCGCCGGGATTCGACGAAGATGCGGACTACCGGGAGAAAAATCTACCTACTGTGGACTTCGTCGTGCAACAAAGACAGGCTGGTCAGGAAGCAGATCGCGAAGTACAGCATTTGCTTCACGACGATATTGACCAAGCACAAAAAGGTCCGAATGACTCCGCGAGCACCGCAGGGCAAGAAACAAGCACTACAACAAGCACCGCGAACAAGATCGAGCTGCTCGCGAGTTTCGTTTGGAATGACGCGGGTGGGGATGGACATCGAGAATGGAAGGAAAATAGTGTGCCGGAGACACCGAATTTTCCCCTGGAACTCCTTAGTTACTACTTTCTCGCAGTGAACAGCGGCCGAGGCTTGACGAAGGGGTTTTCGTTGGAGGAGGTAGAGAATTGGAAAAATAATCCGCCGGACTGGCTGAACGATATGTTTCTCGAGATGGATCGGCGGGCGGAGAGGTTTTTGGAAAGCGTGTTTCACAACTTCAAGACCGCTAGTACAGAAGAAACAAGTAGTAGAGGCGCCCCAGCAGCTGCACCGGGACCAGCCGCAAGCGCAGTGAGCCATCCCACAATGGATGCAGCCAACAAGATTACTGTGCTGATTCAGTCTCTGATGGAGAGCTTCTGGCCAGTTTTCGGGGTTTTGAACTTCGCTCCCTGGAACGCGGCCTCGCTTTCGAAAACCGCAAACGCACACTGGTTACGGAAATTCTGCGCGTCAACTTGCGTCAAAGCACTCTCCCCATTGCAACACGAGGTGGATGCTCTCGAGGCGCAGCCCTGGGCGCGAGTTCTGGACCCCGGGTATCGGCTCCCGGAGAAAATTATGCGTGCGATTAAGAAAACGGTGGATAATTTGCGGAAACTGTCCCACGATCTCAAGGAACAAGAGCAACCTGCTCGCTGGTCGCCGTTTTCTTCTGACAAAAACCCTTTTGAATTTTTCAGCTGGTTCACCCCCTCAGGAGGTCGTGCTTCTGTGTCCTCAGTTGGTGAAGACCATGCTACTCCTGATGCGCACAGACACGGCCCTCCATCAGCAGTCGTTACCGCGAACAAGATGACAAAGTTGCACCTCCTCCACCTGCTTGCCAGAATCGAATTTCTGCTCTTCTTCAAGGGGCCCTGCCCGACATATGGGCATTTGGTGCCGGCAGAGGGCTTTATCCACCCGTCCAAGTCCGCAGACCCCAACGCCGAGTTTCTGCTATGCATCCCGCAGATCGACGCGAGTCCGTCCATGGTGGGGCACCACTGGGTTCATCTAGCGTCGTGGCCGGACAACAGAGCATTGTATGCGCTCGCGGAAAAACACCGGTTTCAAGAATACGGTGAAAATAACAGCAGCTGGATCGGAGAGCAAAAACAAAAAACCTTACCTGACCTAGACAAGTTTCTCGAGCAGAGCATGCACAGACACCAGAGGCAACGAGCATTGCGGATGACTACAAACTCTCGCTCTCGAGCAGCAGGTGAGACCACGAGTCCTCTTCTGCAGAAATGCAGCGCAGCCGCTCCGGCAGGATCAGAATCACAAGAATTACGCACGTCAGATGAAGCGGACGAACTGATTGACTACATCATCGACGTCGGCGCCAACATCGGGTCTGTCGCCCTCTATTTCGCTGCCCGGGGCTACCACGTGATCGCCGTTGAGCCGCTTCCCTCAAACGTGGCTTATCTAAAGGCCAGCCTGGCGGCAAACCGACTGGAGGACCGCGTGAAAGTCGTGCAGGCGGCGTTGTCATCTTCGAATGCTTCAGGTGGAGCTGTAACAAGACAAGGCGGCACAACTAGAGAAAAAATGTCTTCCAAGGAAGATGAAGATGATCCACCTTTTGTTTTCCTCGAAGACCCCAAGGACCCGGGTATCGGCGTACTGGTGGACAAAGCCTTGCACGAAAAATTCCTTACCAACGTCACTTACGACGCGCAGCAGGATGTTTACCGCAGGGTCAAGCGGTGGACGGTTGAGGACTTGGATCAAGCAGTGTTCGGTGGGAAGCCTCTGTCGCGGGAAGAAGCCGAAAAGGTGGTGGCCGAGTTTGACAGCGGTGAGCGAGAATCACTGAACCCGTTTCAACGACCCCTCAAGGTGCATAGCTTGTTGCTCGCAGGAGAAGCAGATGAAAGGGGGACCTCCGCCGTCTCTGAGGGCAACCACACCGCTGGAGAAGCACCCTCTGGTGCAGCAGCTTCGAGCCGTAATCGAACTACCTCATCTCTAGCCGTGCGTCGTCTGGACGAGGTGGTAGAAACGGTGCTGGCTGAAGATGAGAGGACCAGAAAAGCCGAGAAATTGTGCGCAACAGCTGCAGCTCCAGCTGATGGTCATGGTGATAATTCAACAGCAGCAGAAGGAGCAGGAGCACATAGTGGAGTTGCACATGATCGTGTAGATCAAGGTTTAATACGACAGCCTGCTGACCGTCACAGGCCGCCGATCTTCCGCCTGCTAAAAATCGACACAGAAGGCCACGACACCGAGGTCCTGGAAGGGGCGAGAAAGTTTCTTGCGAAAAACAAGCCGGTCCTTTTCGTCGAGCACAATGTTCTGAATGCGCAAGTGAAGCGCCAGCGGGACCCGGGAGTCCAGACAGATCGCTTTTTTCAAGCGCTCAGTGCGGTCTCAGGAAGATCCGCTGAAGATGATGATGGTGCCTTACGGCGCGAGGCGGTGAGGGAGGAAGGGAAAGTTGGTGTCGAAGTTGCCATGCAAAAGCAAGATCATGTTGCGAATGCGATAGAAGACTTCGGAATTTACGAGGAGATGTTTGACAACACGGTGGGACAGAATTCTGAACACGTCGTCATGAGTCCAGATGGACAATCCTTCACACGGATTTCCACGTTTGACAAGCTCATGCTAGAGACGCCTCAGAAGTTGCCGTCCAGAAGTTTGAGCATTGCAACCGCAGCTGATACAGAAGAACCGGCACAGACAGGAGGGGCAAATCCGCAGCACAACAAACATCAAGCTCTTGGTCTTGCTATACAAACCGACGAAATTACCCAAAAGCTGGAACTGGACACGGTGCTGGCCACGGACTGTGTTTGGAAAAATGCACAAAACGACCCACGCGCACAGGTCAGGAAAATCGACGTTGCTGAAACCACGACCACGCCCACTGCTGCAAGAACTACGTCCTCAACGAAGGGCAAAAGGAATCCACTGCAGCAAGCAGTGGTCGCTTGTGCAAACCAGTGCGTCCGAAAAGTCCACGATGGGTTCCACTGCTGGCAGGTCACGACGATAAACGAAAATCGCGACAGCACTGACAAGAAATCGTTCTCCTGCACCCTGCTGCCTCGCTCTGCCTGCGCCGGCGGGCTCGTCAGGAAAGAGGAGGTGGTCATAGCGGATCGGGATCGCAAGTCATCCGAAGATTCCGGCACGACAACGTCCGGTGAAAACGCGCCAGCACAGCGAAAAGATGATGATCATCATCAACATCTCCACACCTCACACGAAGACCCGGCAGCACCCGCCTTTAAGGTCGTGAAGTACCCGGGCGGCACCTGGCGGTACATGCGTAGTGAGGAGGAAACGAAGAAGCTCGACAAGCTCCACAGACTGTGGGACCCGGTCATGCCGGTCTTAGACTGTCCCCTGACGGCGCTGCAAGCCAGAACAGACTTTGACCTGTTGGACGACGTGGGAGTTGTACTCGATAATGTCGCTGTCGCAGGCACCATTGGTGGCGACCTAGTTGTGTGGCCTTAGTGGTCCTCGTCGAGGACCTCAAAAGGTAGAAAGAAAGCATGCCTGCCGGGACAAGAAAACTCTTTGCAACGTTTGAGTTCTTGCAGTGAGTCGCTTCAAAAAGTTTGTTCGTCTCAACCTTCCAGGAGTTGATTCTCTCTGACGCTTTTGGTTTGACACAATTAACGTTAAGTACTGAGCGAGAGGGAGCGCCAACGGCGTGATGTGTCTTTGGTCACACTCGTCACGTCTTGTGTGTCATCTTGCGCCTCCGTGTGTTTTTCTTCCAATCTCGAAATAAAGTATCGGTCTTTAGTACGCCTGAGCATGACAAAAAAACACTTCATTCTCCGCGGTTGACGTGTGCCTCGAAGTTGAAGAACTTGAGCACAACTTTCTGTACAAATAGAAATACATCTTCTGCTATTGTAGAATCTAGTTCTTGTCCCGCTACCGCTCTTGTAGTTTAGCTTGAAACTACTCTTCTTGTCTCTATACGCATTTGTTTCTGGAAGGTTTTTGATCTTTTTCTTTTCTTCGAGCACAACTCAGGCCCCAGTCACAAAGCAAGAGATCACGACCATGTACGCCCGAACTAAGGCTGGCAACAGCAGCACCACCGCCGGCATGTCTTTGCCGCACCACGACCTTCCCCTCATCGCTTCCGCCACCGTCTCCGATTTTGGCAGCAGCGCCGAATTGGACCCGGATCGAACGGGCACTAGCAAGCGACGCACCACCTCCCAGTTCTGCGGCTGCGGGCGGAGCCGACCCAAGTCGGAGCTACCCGCGAAGATGGATTTAAAAGAGAAGCAGGAACTTGCCTCCACCTCGAATCTCTCGGAGCAGGAAGTTGAGGCCTTGTACGCCCGGTTCCGGCGTGTCGCCTGCCCGAACAAAACCATGACCATCCAGCAGTTCCGGGGAACGTTGGGGATACTGGGGATGAGCCAGAACAATTACTTGCCCGACGCGCTCTACCGGGTGTTCACCGGCGGAACGGGGGAGGAGTTGACGTACGTCCAGTTCATCCAGCACTTAGCGATAATGCTGCGGGGCACGACGGAGGAAAAGTTGATTTTGTCATTTTCTCTTTCCTTAACGTCCGACGGAATTGACGTAGGGGACCACGTGGTCGGGGAAGAACATAATTTGGTGTCGCAATTCTTGGAAACAAACCAGCAGGAACCGATTACGACGATCGCCACCGGAAATATTAGCAGAACAGACGCTACTAGCAGTTCTAGCATGAAGAAAACCGGCGTACCAGGTGGGCCGACTGTATCATCTTTGGCGAAGCAAGTCAGCTTCAAGACGACAACGTCGGCGGGATTGTCGCCTGACACAGCCAGTGGTGGGGCTGCTGGAATTGTATTTGGCTCCCCCGATAGAAATGCTGGTGCGCAGCAGGATAGTTGTACTACCGCCCTGGATCAGAGAACCAATACCTCGGATAGTGGGCAACCTGCCCTACAGCAAGCAGGAGCTGTACAACAAGCTTCGCAGCCTCCCCCACCGAGCCAGAGCGACTCTTCTCCGCCGACATCAGGCCCGACAACATCTGCCCATTATGGAGGTGATTCACAAATAAACTCGAGACCGCCGCAGTTACCAGCCTCGTCCTCCTCTACTCTCCCCACAGGGTCGAAGCCCATGCGCAGTGCCGCTTCGCGCTTGCAAAAAAAGATGCGGCTGGGGGCGCGGCAGGGGCAAAACTACGGGATTCGGTTGGCGCAGTTTCGCGAGCTAATCCGCGCGATTGACCAGACGACAAACTCCTTGCTCCCGGCGGCGTTCCAGAAACAGATTTCCGAAGAAACGATTGAGGAACTGTTCTACAGAATCGCGGCAAACGACTTCCCCGCGAGGAATGCGGCGCGCTTACGAGGGCGGTACTCCGCCGCACCGTACGGCAGGACGGCGAGGTCGACATCCATGGTGCAGGCGGGTGGAGACGGCGGGGGTTTGCTCGCTTTGGTAGATGATTTTTTCACGATGAAGATTATTTGTCCTCACTCCTGTAGTCACAATGTCGCTGTCGTGATGTCGGTGCTCATATTCTAGCTCTATAATACAATAAGTAGTAAAAGAACACATGACCGCCTCCCTGAATGCCTCCAACTTCCGTAACCAAACGCATGATCAGGCCGCCGACCCGCGCCGCCCGGGAACTCCTACCTACCCTGCGGTTTACTACTCCAAACGTTCTTCGCCAACCTCTACTGACGGCTCCAACATCTATTTCCGAAGCAAGGACACGGCGATCTCCGCGCTGCTCGGGACGACCTCTAGTGCTGGTGGCGCCCCGCCACGGAAAGAAAACGAACCGCAAGCTCGCATAAGCTACGATCCGGGCGGAGGACTTGCAGAGCAACAGCAGCCGATACCGGGTACAACTACAGCAGCAGGAGTAAATAATCCAAACACGACGGCGATGATGCTTGCGACGTCCTCTGGGGAAGAGACGGATGAAAATTTCTTCGGAACCATGGCAAATAATCACACTTCTTTGTCCCGACCCGATTTTCGCGCTAAACCCGCGATGATCTCCCTCGAGGCGTACAAAAACGCCGTCAAGCACTGTCCCGAATTCCTGGAGTTGATCGGGCTACTCCCCTCCACGGCTGCGCTGAACGCGAACGAGCCTCTGCCACCCCAGCAATTCCAGCACAACGAACAGGTGTGGAAAATCCACCAGCCGACCGAATTCTGGTCTTTGTTGTTGGAGCTCCGGGAGCAAGTGCAACGGTTGCAGGCCCTACAGGAAGTAGAGGGAGAGGGCGAGCACGACTATAATTTCGCCGGTGGGGGGAGCGGAAGCAAAATGGCGATTGAAACAGACACTGACGCTGAGCTGGAACCGCATTCAACACAAGCACTGGAAATAAATCACGACCGTTCATCATCGGATCTAGTTGTTGGCGCAAACCACCAGATGAAGTCAATCTCAGTGGACAACAACAAGAAATCTTCACAGAGTGATCTGGTTGCCCCGAACCCGAATCCGCGCGACACGGTGGGCGATCCCGATTCTGAGGCTCGCGAATCCTCGGACAGCAAAACCTCAGCAGCTCCTGTAGAGGCAGGTCCTCTCGCGGCCGGCGGTAATATGTTTTCCTTCTACTTCAACCGTCTCTTCAGCCGGCGCAGCGAGGCAAATCCAGGGGACAAGGGAGTTACCGGAGGAGAAAGTGCGGCCAACAGCGATGAGGACCACGATGGAACAAGTTGGTGGTCGCCGCCAACCGACACTGTTCCATCCGAGCCGGGGCAACATGCGAATAAAAATGTACGACCTAATATACCCGGCGGTGGTGCTGGCAACAGCAGTACTTCCCCATCAAAGCAACCTACCCACGAGGGTGAACAAGCACCATATTACAAGAATCACTCCAATTTGATTTATTCCCGGTCGCCACCACCGCAGCTGAGCCTCCCAAACCCAGACGGCGGCGGCCGTCTTGAAGATGCTGGCGCAGCTTCTTCGAGCCATTACTTTGGCAGCTTAGTCAAGACAGCAGGGGCTCCACCTGGGGGAAGTAAAACTCCAGCTGGTTCTTTGTTCACTTCTAGACGGCATCTTCTGCAACAAAAGCTCGAAAGGCTTTTTGACCTCGTTTCGTGTGTCCAGGACTATGCTTCGTCGCCTCTCGCTAGTGGTTCTTTCGCAGCTGGTGGACATTTGCAAGGCATGCACGTCGGAGCATCGCCCGTCTCTCCCATCTCTCCGTCGTCGCTGGTGCGGTCCCCCGGCGGCGCGAATGTCAACCATCACCACGCGCAGCAGTTTTATTACCTGCGACATGGAGCTGCAGGCGGACCAGCTAGAAGTGGACTTCAAACGGGTGGGGATAGTGCTTTTTTGTTCCCCCCGCCGCTAGACAGCCCTGCCAGTTCAAGGGGGAATGAAATTCACATGCTCGAAAATCATGATGCGCAAGACCACAATCTGAATCTCGGCCACCATCATGAAAATAACGAAAGCCCGAATTCTTTGATCACACAGCAGACTCTCCAGTCCAATTCCCGCTCAGGAGTTTTACTTCCAGACCCAGCGTATCCGCGCCGGCCCACGACCGACGTCTCCGTGGCCACGACGGCTCGTTTTGGCACGTCGCTGGCATCTGTCGCGACGATGCAAGGAGGTGCACAGCACCAGCAGCTACAACTTCCTGGCTCTACTACATCCAACGCGCGCCGCTACTCACGGCTCCGCCCAACCGGCGCCACCGCAGTCAATCTGACCCACCCGGCCGCAGCTCTGTCACGGGTGCACAAGCAGCAACACAAGATCCTCGGACCGAAGAAGGGGTTGGCGGTGCATTTCGGGCACGAAAATTGGAACATGGTGTTGAACATGATGATTGGCATCCGACTGGCCGTCGGACGGAGCAGCACCGAGGGTGACCGGGGGTTGCAATCGTTGGATTTCAAAATGCGGGACAAATTCGCGATCCTGCCCAACCTCGCGAACATCATGGACAGTGTGGCCGCGGCGAACCAAAACTACACGATTTTCGTCGATTATCTGCCCTTTGTCTTCCGCAAGATCCGACAACTGCGAGGCATCAAACCGGAGCAGTATCTCCGGTCCGTCGGCCCGGAACAGCTTCTGGGAAACATGATTCTCGGCAACCTCAGCAGTCTCTCCGAGCTGTCCTCCGAGGGGAAATCCGGGGCTTTTTTCTACTACACCGCCGACGGATCCTTCATGATCAAGACGATTAGCAAGGAGGAGAAGGAGTGGCTGCAGACGATCATGCTGCCGTATTGGCTGCATTTGAAGAAGTACCCGGACTCGCTGCTGATCAAGTTTTTTGGGCTGCACGCGCTGCGGGTGCGGAAACAGAGCAACAACATCGGGTCCTTCCGTGCGTCGAGCAAGATCCGGGAAAAGAAGATCTACTTTGTGGTCATGGGAAACATGTTTAACACGCCGTACGAGATCCATACGAGGTACGACTTGAAGGGCAGCACGTTCGGCCGGACGACAAACGCGTCCCTGTTGGAAGACAAAACAGTCGCGAGGAAAGACATGGACTTCTTGCACGAAGTGACCGCGAGTGCAACCAGTACGGCTGCGACGAGGGGTAGCGGCGGCACGGCAGGAACATCGAGCAGTGCGACGGCCGCGTCGTCTAGTACGGCGCTGGCCCTCAAGAGAACGGGTGCTACACCTGATGGCGGTGCCACATCTAGTTCAAGTGCACCACATAATCAACGTTCGAAGAGAAATCAGAACCAACCACTGAGTGCAGCGGGTCAAAACGAGCACAGTGAGGAACAACATCATGACGAGCCTGCTGTGTCTACTCATGTGCCTGTCGTCCTGTCCCAGCAAGCTTACCAAATCATCACCGACCAGCTGCGTGCGGACAGCGAATTCTTGGCGAAAAACAGCATCATCGACTACAGTCTTCTACTTGGTGTTCACACCGTCGCGCCGGAGGACAGGTTCGATTTCTGGCAGGCAATTTCGGACCTGGATACGCACAACCAACAGATTTGTTCGCAGCAACTGATGTTGAACAACACGAGCAGGCCCCATAGCCCAGCAGCACAGTACTTGACGAATTCCAATTATCAGCAGCCTCGGACGCCAACACTGCAGTTGACAGCAAACGGAGTGACTGAGATGAGTACCTCCCTGCTAGCCGCAACGTCATCGGGACAAGCAGGGGGAGGTCCAGCTCCTTTTACTAGTGGGCCACAACAAGCACGAGGGTTCAGCAATGGCACCACCACCAACAGCATGCAACGAAAGTCCTTTCCGTTGCGGAACCACACTGCGGCCGCACAACTCCCCCCTTCCATCGCCTACCACGAGCAGCACTTCGGCGGGCTCGCGGGCGCAGATCGGGAAAACCCGAAACTGTACTACATCGGGGTTATCGACATTTTGACGCATTACGGTGTCCGGAAGAACATCGAGCACCGGGTGAAGTCCTGTCTCCATCCGACCAACTGGAAGGGCGTCAGCTGTTGCCCGCCGGATATGTACGCGGAAAGATTTCTGAAGTTCATGAAGGACATTGTGTTCCGACCAACGAATTATACTGGGGACGTTGGTGCTCTCGCGGAAGAAAATCAAAGTGGCGCAGACAAGTTTAGTCCGACCGCGGTTTTCCATCACGAAATTGTACCGGTTTCATCTTCGTCAGGAACTACTCGCCAAGGTGGTGGAACGCTGGGACCACCGCCGGCAGCAAGTGGCGCAAGTGGGAGTGAGTAGGAGTTGCGGGACAGGAGCATCAGCATAGATGTGAAGGACTGCGCGTACGGCATTCCCATCGGGAACCGGATGAGTGTGGTGGTGAGGAGCACGCTGTGCATGCGGACGTCCACCAGCGCATACTCTTCTCGGAATTTTTGTCTTCGTCAGTATAATTCCCTGGTGAAAGTAAAGGTTATCGGGCACCACAAAAGCATGCCGGTTCGGATCTGCGGGAGTTGTCTCGGTGTTGCTTGTTGTTTTTGCTACGGATTCCAAGCCGCGGGGGCCACGAACTACGGGGAGACTACGGCTGAGTCTTGGGGAAAGGAGCACATGACTTCGTGGCCCGCCAGTCTTGAGTCGTGAAACTCGCGTGGGTTCGGAGGGGGAGGAAACTGTTCTTGGTGCGCGAGCCTGCTCCAAGCGTATAGCTTGGTTCACGTCCTCCTCCGAGTGGCAACAAGTGTTGCCAAGGATAAGATGATCACATTTTCCTTTCCTTTTCTACGTACTTAGTTCTTTTTCATCACACGATGCACAAGCGCAGGCGTTCTTTCTACATCATGATTACTCTGTACAGGCCTGGCTCTAAGCCGTTCTTTGGGCAGTACTTAAAAGTGAAGATCTTCACGATGACATTGAAGACGCAAAAGCTCAACATACTATTAAATAAGGAAATCCTTCATGCCGGGAAAATCCGCTGGGGGACTTAGTGACGCAAGAAAGACTTCCTTGACAAAAAAGGCGGTTTTGTCATCGAGCTGCATTTGCTTTCAAGCATCTAGGCGGGTCCTGCATGACTATACGGAACTAGTGCTGGTTAAAGAATTCAGTGATGCTGCCAGTACACAAAATCAAGGATGTTCTACCTTCGTTTTTTTTTCTAGGTTCTCTCTCTTTATTGGTTTAGGTCAGAGATTCTCGCTGAGAGATTGAGTCTAGAATCGAGAAGACTTCTTTGCCCCAGCAACATACGGTGCTGTGCTATGTATGATGTCAAACAACTAGTATGGCAACAAGAATGCGAAAACGTGGGGTTAGTACCTATGCTCAGCACCAAGATTCACCGTCTGCCTACCAAATCGCTCGACATGACAGGTCCTCGATACAGAATTTCTTCGCGTGTATTAAAAATAGCCTGCTCCATACATTTAAGTCATTCTCATTCTCATCCCCCATTCGCAGGATAAACCACCAGTACTATCATGACGCCTGATTTCTGGGAGAAGTTTATCACCGATGACGGCTGGGCCCGCTCCGCGCTCCTCATCCTCTGTACGATTCTTGTCGGCCATTTCCTCGCGAGGGACTGTTTCCGGCGGTGGTATGTGGTGACGCCGAAAGTCCGGAACAAGAGGCCCGTAGATGGCTTTGCAGTCGCAGACGACCTCGCAGCTGCCGTGGCTGCAGCCGCACGGCCACCGCAAGCAGCCGACCCCCAAGACGAGCAAAAATCGACCACCGCTGATGTATCCCAACACAACCCCGCTCGTCTCGCGATGTTAGTGTCCGCGAAGCCGATTGACCACCGGGGCCACGTCCAGCTCCTGCCGGATCCGGAGTTTGACTTGAACAAAACCATTTTCGTCAGCATCAAGGGCGCCATTCCCCGCGCGGGCCTGCAGTCCTACCTGGCCCAGCACGTCTACTGGCACGAGGACAGAGTGTCGAAAATCCACCAGGCGTGGAGCGGGACTCTGTCCCCCTCGCGCCCGCTGAAGGATGCGACGGCGCGGATTTTACCGCTGATGGACTTCATGACGAACAACTGCAACTTCAAAATGGAGCACGCGGACGGGTCCTTTCTCGACCATTTGTATTTCGTCCGCGACTACAGCGCGGTGCATTACCCACAGCAATCCTGTCGAATCCTATTTCTCCACAGCATCATGGGCGTCGCGACGAATTTGTGGCCGATGGAGGTGGGGAAAGTACCGGAATTGCAGAAGTTGTTGGATGACAACGAATTCAAACACGTCGAAGCTTTTCCGACGGTGGTTAGGCTGTTGAAGGGAACGAACTTCCTGCAGGACTTGTGGGACAGAACAGCTTTTGAAATTATGCACACCCAGGGTGCAAATAGTGATGACGACCCACGTCAAAAAGTACCAAATGCGGTCCGGTTCCAGCGGATGCTGGATGGGAAGAAGATCGAGATGTCGCTGGCCGATTTGTGGACGCATCTGAACTTCCACCTCATCCACCTACTGGATTTCCTCCCTGTCTGCGGCTGGAAGGCAAATTGGGGCCGGCCGTTTCTGCACGATTTTTTGCAAATGTACGTGGTTCTGAAAACGCGGAACAAGTTGTTTGCGAACGTGCAGTTACCACCGGAGTTGAAGTTGAACGTCTCCTCTAGGGCCGGGAAACTTGCTTTGGCCGACTCCTACGAGTACTGCAGCGAGGACCCGGGGTGGCATTTGGAGGGGCAGGTCGTGACGCCACTGAACGTGATTATGCGGTCCATGCCGCGGAGGTTTCTGGCGAGGCTGCAGAAGAAACAAATCTTGCGGCTAACGAAGGATTTGGGCAGGGATTTGGAATACGAGTGGGTCTTTGAGGACGGGGCGACGGTGAAGAGCTCTTGATGATAACGTGTCAGCTGTCCTCGAAAGTATAACGAACCTGCGGGATCATCTTGTTGCAGTTTGCGTCGAGTACATGATTCTAACCCCTTTCTGCATCTGCGTCTGCAGTTGCTATGACTCCTACTTCCGTCTGTTAGTACGCGCCCGGCTGCGAATATCTCTTGTTTCAGTTTCTTGCCCTGCGGGTTCTCATGCCAGCACCAAGATGCTCTCATTGTCAACAGACTTCGACTTGACCGGCAGTTCAGGCAAGGCGTATTGTCGTCGTGTATAATAATATCACACCTATTGTACCAGAACGAGAACCAGATGAAAAATTATAAGACTTCGCACTTCTTTATTGGGGCTTAAGTTTATTTTTCAACATCTCAAGGCCTCAAGGCAAAGGCTTCTAGTTCATTTTGTGCTCATTCAAGATGAATGCAATGAAGTGGCACCATCGCCCATCCGTCCGTGCTGTGGCTGCCGAAAAGTTTGATCCCTCAGCTGTGTGTGTTCAGCATGAGCTCGGCCATTGCCGCTGCTGCTGCCAGGAGTTCTTGAAATTCCTGTCCCCGAGGACTCGGCCACTTTTGATTCTGTAAAAATAATCCATCTGTTGTACCTTTAACAGACCCAAAAAGGAAATGAAATAGCGATAGTGTGTCTTGTAGTTTCGTTCTGGGCAGGCGTCGACTTGTAGTCAGTTGCGCAACCTTCGCGAACTCCTGCCCCTCTAACCCCTCATGGCGCACCGTAGGTATGATGACCAGCCGGCGTTGGCCGCTTTGGCCAAGGACAAGTACTTGCTTCACCGTCTGGCCCGTGCAAAGAATCTCGATGTGACCCGGGGGCTCGGAAAGGGGCGCTGCCGCCACGATGACAGCGACGGTGAGTACTACACTATGCTCCACGGCGGCTCTTCGGAGGACGATGACGACGAACCACTCCGTGTGCCCAAGCGTCACTACAAATGCCGTCGCCTTTACGGCTGCACGGACATTCGGAAATACAAGCGGAGGGTCGACATCGAACATGTCTGGAACAACCGGCATCTCGAGGGTGTGTCACGCTGGGACGGTCTGCCACAGCCGAAGGCAGTTGAATGTGATGAAGCCCAGCCGCCAGATGGTGTCTCCGCCTCCGATGAGGGAACAACCGTCCTCGAAAGTTGCACGGGCAACAGCAACACGACACGCAACAGCGCTGATTCGGACCATGGTCTGCCAGCATTCGCCCCGTGCAAAAACCGCTTGCAATTTTTGAGCAAGCGTTCTGAGGCACTATTGGTTGCCATTTAAGAGCAGACGCACGACTCGACGCCAGAAAAAGCGTTCACTCGATTGTTTCCTTCACGAAATTCATCAGCAGCAGCTAAAAGCGCGGACATCGACTTTGCGCTTTCTGTGCAGGGGAGATTCTACTGCGGAAAAGTAGACAGAAACGACCCGAAGCCAGTTCCGGAAGATCTCCATACCGGTAACAAGAAACCTGTGGTTGTCGGCCTGGACGAGTATGAGGACGAGCATTTTACGGACGGCTGCGAGTATTCGACGCTTGGGAACAGCACTTTTGTCGTCACTGACGAGGAGCAGTTCGATCTGGTGGACGAGGAATTGGCGTTCTCGCACACGTTTTCCTTTGACGACGGAGCCACGACGTTTGAGACAGAGGAAGAGAAAGTCAGCGACGGTCTCGAGAATCTACGAAAACCGTGGGAAGCGGTTCCGTCGACCACCGGCCCGCTGGCAGCAACTGCAACTACAGGGATCACGAGTGACGGTCCTGGCCGTGCCACGTCCTCTGCTTTCGAAGCAGCGCGAGAACAAGTTCAAGCGCATCGGTCGCCTTTTTCGAAGAAGATACTTGAAATCGTGGTTGGTGATAAGACCTACTGTGCCCCAGTTCGCGTGCTGACAAAGCACAGCCACTTCTTCGAAGCAAGAGCGGACTTCCTCGAGAGAACGGCGGAACGGGCAGAAAGCGATTTGTTTCAGCACCGCAGCGAAACGGAAACGTCGGCGGTGGCGGGACAATATGACCAGAACCTTCGATCATGTTCCAGCACTCCACCGTGGTCCATCGCTCTGGACGACTTGCTGCCAGCCGAAACGCACCCGTACTTCGAAACGATATTAAAGTTTATGTATGAAATGGAATTTGCGGAATCCGGGAAGGGCGACCTAGCGAAATGGTTCCGGACAAACATCATCGGCGACATGTCGCGGGAAGAAGCAATCGCGGAAGTGCAAAAAAAGAAGGACGCGGCGAAGACGGTGAACATCTTTCAGGAAGCACGCAGTGTAGTGCCCCTGGCTGGTGGTCTCTTCGGCGCATCGAATACCAAATCGACCGCAGCGTCAGTGAGTCCCGCAGACTCCGATGGTGCGGCTGCTTCACCACAAGACGATCCAAATGCTCCAAAGGCAACAGACGCAGCTATCTTCGACGAAATCCGCTCGGACCGGTTGAAGTCCGTCATTCCTTTACTGAAAATCGCGGAGGTGCTGCAGATAACAATCTTCTCGCGGATGGCCATTGCGGTGGTACTGGCAAACTACTACGACCTTCTCTTCATGAAGGAACTGCTTCTAAAGTTCTCTCCCGAGGTGCGGGCAACGGCTGAGGAAATTTGCTTGTTTTTTCTGGCGCGCAACTTTCAGGCGGCGCTCGACTGTCCGGCTTTCTGCAAACATCTAAAGAACCCGTGGCGGTTTCCACCCATCTACATGTGCCGACTGTTGCTCAGTGACGTATTGGTGGTGAACGTCGAAGAAGATGTCTTGTCGCTTGTTTTCACTTACATCGAGAACGCGGGAGCTACTGTTGAGAGCAACGGCAAGCAACCTTTTGCACATTGTCAAGATGCGATGCCATTCGACGCTGCCGTGTTGGATCGTTTTGCAGCTTCTAAGCTACACGTCGAACGCGTGATCGTCCAGGCACTCATGTCACCGTTGTGGCCCTTGCTACTCCTTGTTCGAATGCCCTACCAGGACACTCATTCGCGCGGAGACGTCGTTTCGCTGTTGTCTCAAGATGCGAATGCGATGCGGTACCTTTACGCGAATTGTGTGGCTTCCTTGGCGGAGGGAAAGAGGCTGAATCAAGCGGATCCACCCAAACGCAGGCACATGATCGACTGCTGGCTCCACTTGAACCCCATCGACGTCGACCCGTTTATTGCGGGTGTGGTCGCTCGCCGCCTGCATGGAGATCGCGAGGTGTCGTTGCCGGCTTTTCTAAGCAGCGACGCTGACCCTGACTCCCTGGCCCTCGGCGGTGCTTCAAACAATGCTTTTTTCGCGTGCGCGTCTCGCCACGACAGTTACAGCAGTGCACTTCTCGCAGAAGAACAACGACAGGCTGCGCCACCAGAAGTTGAAATTTTGACCCTTAAGTTAGCAGACCTGCTGGCGCAGCAGTTTCGGCAGCGGAATTATCTGCGTGGTACGACTAATAAAGAATGGCGTCGCAAAGTACACTGGGGAACACATTCGATTGGCCAGAAGAGCGCACTGAACTGTGTACCGGCGAAAAATTTTAACGATGTGTGCGACATCGACACGTGGGAGGCCCGGCAAAAACGCAATCACATTGGCCACCGCATCGGCGACATTACCTTTCCTTTGGAACTTTTTGTATGCACTCATATTCTTGCAAAAGCGTCTTTACTTCCACGTACAAATTGAATTTTTCGTTCACTAATCTTACCGTTCCCACAAGTGAAAAACTAAAAAGGTCATGCGAGTGCATCGATTGGTACGTAGTATAGTAGGTACACCAGCAGTTTTGCGAGAGGATATTTTCCCTGGGGCAACGACTGGGCCGACGAGCAGCAGGATTTCGAACCGGGACGGCTGGCCGCGATGCTCGGCCATGACAACATTGACGAAGCCGAGTTTTCCTGGAGCGACTTGGTGTCGCGAGGAGCCATTCACCATACGCACTTCGTGAAACTTCTCGCCGGGCCGTTTTCACTTTTCTCGCAAACGGTCGCTTCGGCATTGAATACGAGGTCAGATTCGCTGGATGTCGCCAACATGACTCGCATAACAGCTCGCAATCGGGCACGGGCCCCCGCGCCCGGGGAGCAGTTTCGTCCGAAACGGGACATCAGCCATTGGTCGGAAGACCTTGAGGCCTCGCACCGGTATGCCCGGCTGTATCCGGAAACTAGCCTCCGACAGGCCGGACGACGACGCAAATGCGGCGCAACACCAACCGCTGAACAATCCAAGAAAGAGCAGCAGTTTGCACGTCGCGAAATGGACGCTGCCCGTAGATTTGCTCGCAGTGCGCTGGCGGCCCATGAGAATAACCTGGACATCCGCCACGACGACATGATACAGATGCCAATCAGCGATGAAGAAATCGATTACTGGCGTAATCGGCCGGACTCCTACGCAAAACGACTGGACTACTTCCGGGCGCATGGCTACAAGAGGGACTCGGTGCTGCATTCCGTCCGCTACGGCAGCCAGCCACTCCACACGGATGAGCTGAACGGTGAGCTAAACAACGAATTTCCCTTTACAGACGTCGAACGCTGCATGGACGCGCAGGGATACGTGACCTTTGTCTATGGAGTCCGAGACATTGCGCATCCCAACTTTTTCTGCCCGTTGAGTGTGAAACTTCGTTCCTTGTTTCTCCACGGCGACGACAACTCGATCTCGCAGTGCATGAAGGGCGTCAATTCGGGATACGTAAATCACTACGAGAAGCGGTGCACCGTTCGCGGTCACGACGCATGGCGTGGGCCCTGTTTTGTCGACGATTATCCGTACTCTTCTAGCGTCACGGAGGAAATGCAATACCAGCTAACACTGCTGACCACAGCGAGTTTGCCGCTGCGTCGGCGGTTTCGTCGTCCGTGTAACGATCTGGGCGGCAAAGCGATCAATATTTTGGACGAATTCGAAAAGTTCTGCAAAGACCGGGACGAGGAAGAGAAAGTCGTGGAAGAAGTCGCATTCTTCAAAAACAAAAAAACAACGAAAGAGGACCAAGCTGTCAACACAAAACAGTGCAAGGCAAACCCAAACAAGTTGCTCCTCGAGAAACTCACATTGAAAGGCGAAACCCTCACCGACGAGGACGCTGCAGTGCGGAGACGAGAGGTCGCGCGGCGCCGACGCGCGCGTCTCTCCACAGAGCACTTGACCAAGAAGCACGACGACCTGGTGCAAGAGAGCACGTTCTTTGGGGACCTGCACCAGCACATGAACTTCAAGTTGCAGGAGTTGTTCCGAAACATGAAAGCGCCACCCAATGCGTTCATTCCCGAGATCAAGAAGCACACGTCGCTGGACGCCTACTCTTCGCCGCACACGCTTTTCGCAAACACCGTCGCGGTCACGCCGAACTGTCCGCGAGGAATGAATTCTCCCGCCGCAGTTGTACCACCAGGGACGGCCGCACTGAAAAAGCGCAAATCAGCCTGGACACCGACGTCCGCACCGAGTAGGGCAGGGTCCCCCGCCTCCTCCAACCCGGCTCTGTTTCTCCCCCCGGGAACGCTGGTTTTTGTAGACAACTTGTCCGCGCGGCCGGAACTCAACGGGCAGATCGGTATTGTAGGCAATCTACACTACCAGGGCAACCCCGTGGAGAGCACGAAGCGGATGGTGGAGGCCGGGCACATGGACATGGCGAAAGTGTTCAAAGAGGCGACTGCGGGGGGCCACCTGATGAGTATCTACTGCAGTAGCGCACCCATAAGCGATTTCCGCGAGCACAAGGACCTGCGCTACGCGGTGCGGATTTTTCGCGACTGCAACTTGGGGAAAGAGGAGCCCGGTTCAAGGGTGTCCGCTGAAGTAGAGGAGAAGGATAAAAAAGCCGTAGAATCTTCAATATCTTCATCAAGCGACAAGCACAAAATGGATCCTACCGCTGAGGATATCACGAAAAGCGGTCTCACTGTTTCGGACGTTCTGCTCCGGCCGCAAAATCTCTTCCGCGCGGTACCGACACTAGCGGAAAAAGCAATGCGACTGCTACGGCCGAAAAGTGGGATTTTTCCCCTGACTGACAGCGAAAAACGACGCCGAGCTGGAGGGAGAGAAAATCTTAAAGCTGTTGCGTCGTCTGGTGCATCATCTTCAACTTCTTCCGTGGCCAAAGGTAAAGAAAATCAAAATGCGTCGAAGGCTCCACTAATAGACACGTTTTGGTCGCGCATCAAAGCTCCGAAGTTTTCGCACGTGATTGAGCCGGGAACGGATTTCTACCCTGCGCAAATCGACAACGCAGCAAGCTTTGTGTTCGACAAGTCGTTCGAAGCTTACCGGCTTTACGGCCGGCTGAAAGTGGCGATTGCTTCGACGTGCAGTAGAGATGATCTGCAGTGGGAGCCGACTGGGTTCATCTCGGGGACAATAGAAGGGGAACCGCCCATGACGTGCAAAAACCCCGAAACCACATACCTTGATTTGGACAAACCTCATGGAAATGCAAATGGAAATCCGAGGAGCGCGTCGTCGAAAAATAAATCAGAAACGTGCAGTCCCTCCACCATCGGAGAACCTGCAAAAACCTCCTTTCGGGGCAGCCTCGCGCTGCATCCTTGGCAGGCTGCGGACAACAGTATCTGGAAAACGGCGAGCGGAGGCACACCCACTCTCGACTTCGCCGCGGACGTGCGGGAAGGTTTCGAACAGAAATGGGCCCTCCGGGATCCGGACTACGAAGCCGCGGAGTGGGAAAAAGCCGGGACAATTTCGAAGGAAGACGCGAAAGAGAGTTTTCGCGAGTATTGTAAGTTTGCGAAGGATTTTGCTAGGCTGCCGGACACGCAGATCGATGAGAAGATTTTGGGACACGTGGACGGCGAAATTCTACGGATTCCACAACTGTACAAATGACGCTCCTACGTCGCTTTTTTCTATTGTTTTTGGATAAATCTTCGATACGTAGCATTTTTGCATCGTGATTTAGATGATTTTTGCAGGATTGTGGTTATATTTCCTTTTCTCGACCGTCGTCATGCCTTAAAAAATCACAGCTTCGACGTCGCCCGGGACAAGATTTTCTTTGATCGCGCGGACGGTGTGACGCCCTCCGCGGACGGTCCCGGAGGGAACGGGGGTCACCAGGAGAATCCTGATGCTGGAGCGGAACTGGAAGAGGAGGAAGAAGATGAGGAGGGAAATTCGTCTGCTGATGAAGAAGTGGAAGATGTTGAGGTAGATTAGAAAGCAGCTACTGCGCACACAAAAGTGACCTTGTTGGGATTGACATGAAGCCGGCTGGTTGGGAAATAGTGGTCCTAGTGGTCAAACAAAAGTTGATGTCGTGCCTGCGGTCTTCAAAAGTATCTCGGTACTTTCACAAGCGTATTTACGCTTTTCATGCTACTTATAAAATAACGCATACTAGGGAAAGCAGTCCGGCCCCTGGCCAGTATAGTTAAAGCAAAAAGTTACAGACTGAAGGCCGCGCAATTCGTGCGGCTAGGCACAAAAAGCCCGCGCGTTGTCGTTCGTTCGAAAAATCAGAAACTGCGCGCCAAGATTTTCGTCCAAAGAACGCGAAACCAAAATAAAAGTGCCGTCGGTGTCGTCCAACCGCGCTTCGGCGCGCAGCCCCCGAGGGGCCCATCGGTAACGGGCCCCCATCGGGTCGAGGCGCCCTCGCCTGTCCCCGCGTGGTGCTGTGCACTGGCCGCAGGGGAGGGCATTTGCCCGTCTCGCTTGCCCGCGAAGCACGTGCGCGCCGGCTAATCGGGCGGCCCGCTTGCCTGCGGTCGCCTGTTCCCGCCCCCCGGCCGCCGGGCGGGAAGCCTTGGTGCTACCACAGCACGTTGCCGTCCCCGCCCCCGCCCGCAGCCGCGCCCGACCGCCGCCCGCTCGCACATGTTTCCCTACGGCCGACCCCGGCCGCCTGCCTGCTGCGGCGGGCGATTCGTCGCCGCCTGCCCGCCCCAAGCCCGCCGCGGCCGGCGGGGGAGGGGGCGCGGCCCCCCTCCGGCCCCCGCCTGCAGCCGCCCCCCGCCGTCCGGCCCGCGCCCGCCTGCGGGCGGCCGCCGCGCGCCTGCTTGCCCGCCCCCCCCGGCCCGGCCCCGGGCCGCGCGCGGCCGCCGGGGGGGCGCGGCCCCCGCCATTCCCCGCCCCCGCGCGCCGCCGACCCCTTCCGCCCGCCCGACCCGCGGCCGGCCCCCGCCCCCCGCGCGCCCCCACCTGTTGCCGGCTCGCCCGCTCCGCCTGCCCGCCCGGCCCGAGGCCGCCGGGGGAGGGGCGCGCCCGTCCCCCATTCCCCGCCCCCGCCCAGGGCCGCCTGCCCGCCCGGCCCCCGCGCGCCCCGCGCCGCCGCCCATTTGCGGGGGAATTTTGCCGGCCCCGGCCGCCTGCGTGCCCGCCACCCACCCAGTCTGCCAGATTCCGGCCCCTGGCTGCCGCCCGCCCGCGGCGCCCGGCGGGCCCGCGGCCGCCGGGGGGAGCGCGGCCCCCCCCATTCCCCGCCCCCGCCAGCTGCCGCTCCCGGCCGCCTGCGTGCCCGCCGGATGCCGGCCCCTGCCGCCCGCCCGCGGCGCCCGGCCCGCGGCCGCCGGGGCGGGGGCGCGGCCCCCCCCATTCCCCGCCCCCGCCAGCTGCCGCTCCCGGCCGCCTGCCCGCGGGGCGGATGCCGGCCCCCGCCCGCCAGCTGCCGCTCCCGGCCGCCTGCGTGCCCGCCAGATGCCGGCCCCTGCCGCCCGCCCGCGGCCCCCCTAACCCCCCGCCCCCGCCAGCTGCCGCCCCCGGCCGCCTGCATGCCCGCCAGCTGCCGCTCCCTGCCGCCTGCGTGCCCGCCAGCTGCCGCTCCCTGCCGCCCGCCCGCGGCGCCCGGCCCGCGGCCGCCGGGGAGGGGGCGCGGCCCCCCCCATTCCCCGCCCCCGCCAGCTGCCGGCCCCTGCCGCCTGCCCGCGGCGCCCGCCCGGCCCGCGGCCGCCGGGGGGGGGCGCGGCCCCCCCCATCCCCCGCCCCCGCCTGCTGCCGGCTGCCCCCCCGGCCCCCGCCCGGCCCCCGCCCGGCCCCCCCGCGTGCCTCGCGCGTTACGCGTGTGCGCGTTACGCGACGCGCAGCGCGTTACGCGCCCGCCTGTACGCGTTACGCGTGTGCGCGCATTACGCGCGCCCGCGCTCGCGCACGCGTTACCCGCGCGCGCGTAACGCGCGCGCGCGCGTGTCTTGAAACTTTTTGCCGTTTTTTTGTGGCCAGGGGTTTTTGTTTGTATTAATATGAGTTATTCTTTCATCGTGCTTGTGGACAGAAAGAATCCGAATCCAGAACAAAGCACGAAAGGAAATTCATGATTATCAGTTAATGGATTGACTAGTCCGGTACCGGTCATCGTGAAAATGGATGTCCGTCCACGAAAATCGCCGGTCGAAGTTTCTATTTCTCTATCGAGTGTCTTGTTCCATCGATGATCTTCTCACGCTTCGAGAGGGCTATGTTGACAAGCTCTTCATGTTCATGATTTAACTTCAACTTCATTCCGCTTGGCCACAAGCAAACCTCTTATACGAACAAGTAGTGGAACCGAAGTCGTCCGAGAGCAAGAGCGACACCGGTCTTCGCTCTTTAATTGAGTGACAATATTTTTGCCGGAAGCTACCAGTAGTGTGGCTTCAGTTTCGAGTGCGTGGCTTCAGTTTCGAGTCCGAGTCGGGGGGCAGATAGACGCCCACCGCTCGACCACCCGAAGTCCGAAGAAGCATTTTTAGCATCGCGCTCCAGAAGCAAAACGCCGGCTGCTCCCCAATAACATATTAGCAATTCGCTTTTAAGCCTTGCCTGTATAACGAAGCGCCGACGACTGTATAACGAAACGCCTGTTTAAGCCTTTCCTGAATTTTCCAACATGAGTTTCGCCGTCCTCAAAACGAAGAGCAATTGCTCCCAAACCTCGCGCGCGATTGATCGAAGAGCAGACGCGATTTTGGGCGAATTACCGCCCGCATTGCGCGAGCATATCGTGGAGAAATACATGAGTCATGTGGAGAAGTACGTGAAAGATTATAATGCCGCCATCGCAGAAGCAGTTCTGAGAAAGTACGGAATGCATCTGCCAGACCAGGTTTTGCCCCCGGACGACATGAAGACCTGGCACTGGCGAACGACTCTGTTGAAGCTGAGCATAGACAGCGTCCAGGATCCGGAGCGGGCTTGCATTTTTCACCTTCTGGAGTGGATTGCAGCGGCTGGTTGGACTTTGACGCACCACAGCACGAGCACTGCGACGCCGCCAGCGAAGGGGCACGATTGCAGTTCGGTGGTCACCGTCGATACGTATGTTTTCAAAAAGGGTTAAAAAGTTAGCACTGCTCGGGGGTACCTGCATGCGCATGGGATCTGCTTGAAACCCGCCGGTAAGTTCTTATAAATATTTACTTATATCATCTTCATTGTTGTTGACTATGGATATCCCTGTCGCTCGTTACTACCTATCCATACACCCGCGGCACACCATTTGGCTTTAGAAGTAGCCCAGATAACGATGAGATGTTCTAGCTTAACTTTTGGCCACGCGGCGGCCGTTGCGACCCCTAAAATTAAAAAAACACTTGCATTGCAAAAAGACGATGGAAAAGAGCATCGATTACCGAAAGACAAAAGCAGCATGAAGGCCAAGCCACGTTTGCGATCAACATATTTTATGTGATAATATTGAAAAAATTAGAATTGAAATTGAAATTCATAATTTGGCAGGCCGCGTCGACGAGGGTCGACGCTATCGTCATCTGTGGACTAGGTGAAGCCAGATTTGCTACCTCTTCACCCGGTATTTCTTAGCCATACGAGAAACGGATCGAGCTGAAGTTGTCGCCTCCAAGTATAAGTATTGCCGGAACAAGTACTATAACACCACCACTCATTGTTCGAGTTCGATCTAGAAAATGATCTAAAAAAACGCCCGACGTCGTCGTTGTGAAGAGGATCAGCATTATCGTAGTGCCCAAGTTTTTGAAAAAAAACTCGCCGTCGACTATTTCCTATTTCCATTTCTCTGTCGCTCAAGATTTTACATGCAGCCAGTGTGTGAACTTCAGCCTTTCTAGCTTTGATTTTGGCCTCTGCTGTACAGCTTGTTCCTTTTTTTTGCTACACTTTTTTGACCTCCTCTACTAGCTAGCATCCAGCTCTCCCGACTCGACCTATTTCTGTTCGCGTCGGCGTCCTTTTTCTTTTTTACAATTTCGTTTTGACTTTTCCCGGATCGCTATTTTATTTCTGACCTACCATTCACTGGGCTACTAACTTGTTCAAGACGAAAATCGACCACGCCGAAAGCAGGTGGAGACAGAGTGATCACAATGGCACAGCATCACAAATCGTCCTGCCCTCCACCGCTGCCCAACCAGCAGCCGCAGCAGTCTCGGATCGGGATTATCGGTGGAATGTCGTATGCCTCGGCCAAGACCTACTACATGGAGCTCAACCGGTTGACGCAGGAAACCGCGGCGAAGCGGGGACTGAACCCGCTGACGTCCTGTGATTTGATCCTCCGCTCGGTGAACTTCGCGGAAATCGAGGAATTGCAGAAGCAGGGCGACTGGGCGAGAGCGGGCGAAATTCTGGCGGATTGTGCCGCGGAGTTAAGGTGAGCTTGCACCTTGTTTCCGACTTTTGTATACATCATTGAGTTTCATAGATTGCATTGCACATAGACACTGAGCAATGTTGGCATTGACAGTGCCCCGAGATAATAATGCGTTACCTCTTGTTGATGCGTCTCGTTGCACGTAGGAGCAACACATTCGTTGTAATTTTTGCGTGTCCTCTTTTGTGACATGCTGATATCAGACCTCGAATCGAAGAAATGGAATTCTACAGGGCCGGCGGCGCCGAGTTTGTGATTCTCGCGACCAACACGATGCACAAGGACAAGTGTGCGGAAGCGATTGAGCGCAAACTTGGAGAGTGTGAGAGCTTCCTGCCTGCCACCGGGGCGAAGCTGAATCAGGACAAAGGATCTCGTAACAGCGACCATCAGCTGAAATCCTCTCTCTCCTCTCCAGGGTCGTCCGATGCCGCCTCGGACGCAGGAGCAGGCGGCGACGCGGCATCGATTGACGAACAACACGAGTCCTCCGACACTCATACTTACGCCATCGAATCGCAAAACCATCGATCAGATGAAAATAAGGGCAAAGCCCGCTTCCTGCATCTCGCGGACGCGACCGCTTCCGCTATCAAAAAAGCTGGGTTCCAAAAACCTGGCTTGATGGCTACGGCCTACACGATGGAGCAAGACTTCTACAAGAGCAGGCTGCAAAACCAAGGCTTGGAAGTGCTCATTCCGGGAGAGGAGGATCGCAAGGAGTGCCACCGGATCATCTTCGAGGAGCTGTGCAAAAACATCATCAAAGACAACAGTAGAACTGCATACGAGGAGATCGCCGGACGCCTGAAGGAAAACGGCGCGGACTGCTTGATTCTGGGTTGCACGGAGGTGGGGTTGCTGTTGAGCCTGGAGAACAGCCCCTTGCCACCGTTCGACACGGCGTTGATTCATTGTGAAGCCGCCGTGGCCCGAGCGTTTGCTGGGGAGGAACAGGCGTGAAGGTGAATGATTTTGGAGAACGTAAGAACGGGCGGAGCGCGTCGAAGATGCTAGAAGAGTGGTGACCAACTATTCACGACGTAAATAGTTGATCATAATATGATCATCGAGAAGGTCAATTGGTAGGGACAGTGCGAAAAAGAGGACTCAGAAGTAGCCTGATCCACTAGAACAAGTGACTCTCGGCTTCGTCTATCACGATGTTGATATACATGCTGTACTTCTACCTCCTGTCTTGTGATCGCTGCTGCGCCAGGGCCAGATGCTGTATGAGGACCTGCAGGCGTTGGGTCAGATTCTGTCGCGCGTCGCGGTTGACGCGCGACAGGATCTGACACATTTTGGACAGCAGTAGACACGAAGATCTTCTACTCAGCAAGAAACCTGCGTTTGGTTTTGTGCATAACAAAAGCAACTGATATGATAGATGCTCACCCCAATGGTAATGGAATTGAAGCAGCACTATAATATGTAGTTTACGTCCACTTGATGATTTGGAACGAGATTATGTGTATGATCTTGTGAAACATGTTTTCTGTACGAACTAGTTGATGATATTTGTTAGATTAATACCAACTTTCTTACAGTCTGATGATCATAGAACACGATCAGGTACAACTAGCAGCACGAGGACCACTCACCTGCTGGCTTCACCTTGAAAGACCGAACGACCGTAGACTCGCGAGCATTCCTAGATTCTGTAACAATACAGGGCTGTATCGTGGAGCGTCACCTTGACGGCCGATTTTGCCTGCTGCAGCCGGCGAACAACGAAATCGGATCACCATGCTTGTTCTTTATCGCCCGAGTTCTTCCGCAAAAGTAGGACAGAACTAGGACAGCGAGGGGCAAGATCATAGCCAATAATTCTCGGTTCTTTTATAAGTTCGAATTCAGTCCTTGTCCTCTTCCTCAAGTGAGTACGTATCTTTAGGACGGCTTATCCAAGGATGAGAAAGATCCTGTGTCTTTATCGTGAACACTTGGTGAAAAGCGGAAATAATGAACCGCATGAACTGCGACACAGTGCATGATCTTCGGGGAGCACGACCTAAAGCGTTGTGAGGCCTAAACGCAATAAAAAGCAATCATTCGTCTTCGGTATTGATATCGTGAATGGAACGGGGACGGGGAAAAGAAGCACCGTATAAAAAATCGGTAATGCCCACCAGGCGCAGGCTTCTGTCCATGTTGTGGTTGCCAAAAAGAAAGTCTGCTTCCATTCTGATCGTCTTCCTGAGCCTAGAAGAAGTCCGAGGCCCAGCCACTCTTGTCAGTACAACTAGTACCACGAGATTCGTTTTTACTAGGTCGCGGACCAATTGAGGTAGGTTAGTAGTAGTGCTACCTTGCGATAAGATAGACGAGGAGTCCGAATTAGAAAGACGAGGAGTCCGCAATAAAGATGTTAAAACGCAACGCGTCCGGCTCGGGTTCGCGGGAGCGGCTTTCCCGAGAACTCTCCATCGACACCTACCCCGAGCAGATTAACCGGCCCGCCCGATCTATCGCAAGAAAAAAAGACTGCGTGCTGTACCTGTAGCGTAAGGCTGCATGGCAAATAAGCATGCTACAGCACAGTTACATTTGTCATGTTGGCCAGCGGCCACGGTTTCCTCTTTATTTCGTCCGTGTTTTCACGTGCTAGGTGCCGCCCCCCACGACAGGATTTCTCTGTCATGCAGAACTACAAATTTGATAAGCCGTCTCTGTCCCCCCACGACAGCTACAGCTACAGCCGTTTTTTTCTTGTATACGATCCTTTTCCTTCGACCGTTCGGAGCCTCTAGGTCGATCGTTATCCTGGGCCAGGTCCGCGAGTAGGGAGTCTCTCGATTCCGCCCGAGAGACAAACATCACGCCCATCACCCCCTCCGCGCACTTCCTTTTCGGGACGAAAAACATCGGGTGGTGGGGCGGCATCGCCATCATCGTGAACACCACGGTCGGGGCGGGTTTGGCCCAAATCCCGCTTGTGTTCGTCCAGGGCGGCTGGCTGATCCCCGGGTTTCTCGTGCTGGCCTTCTCGTTGTTATCCGGGCTAGCGTCCGTGTGGCTCTGCGAGTGCATTCGGTTTGTCCCCGGGAACGAGTACTTCAACAGCCGCGTGGAGTTCATCTCCTGCACGCAGAACTTCATTCCCTATCCAAATTGGTTCGTCAAAGTGACCGCGATAACGCTGTTCGGCGCGTTGCAGACATTGAACGTAGTCTCGATTGTGACAACCGCGCAGGGGATCGACGGTCTGATCTTGGAGTTGACGGGCCGGAATTGCGGCTTCTCCCTGGACTTCGCATCACTAACGGATATTGATTCGAGTAGAGTGGCGACGGGCTTAAGCAACGGGTTCGGCTTGCACTGCATCCAAAAGGACACGGACTCCTTGTCCGGAAAAATTCAGGAGCCGGTCAACACCCCCTTTGTTTCCCCCGCAATCACGGAAGGGTATTTGGTTTGCTGTCTGCTCGCCGTGCCCCTGGCCATCGTGAATATGGAGGACAATGTGCCGGTGCAGGTAGTCACGTTCATCTTCTGCTTCTGCACCTTCGCGTTGTGGGTCTACGACTTACTTTGTGGCGGAACAGACGGGAGTGGGATCGGAGAAAATTCCTCATCAACATCAGCTGTGATGGTCGGTACTAGCGCTGCAGCGGGTACAGCAACGACGTCCACCACCAGTAGCATGAACGCCGCCAGAGCTGCTGCGGCAACAGCCGCTACAACCGCATTGAGGGCAACGGCAAGCAGCCTAGCGACAGCAGCTACAGAAAAATCGCAGCAATTAGTTGGCACCACACATGACGCCGTGAAAGCCGCGGGCACAGCAGCGGTGGTGACTGTGATGTCGATGCTGAATGAGACCAGGAAAATAACCACGCATCCAGACATTTTTGAAGCACCTTTAGCCTCATCTCCCTCAAGAACGGGCAGCGATATGAGGCATGCAGAAGATGACGACCCCAGAAGTAGAACTCTTCCTGAGCATCCGCTCTCGTTACTGCAGACGAGATCAGAAGACTCAGGCGCAGTAAGTGAAATGAGGTTTACTTCCGAAGCTGCTTCTGGAATAACAGCAGCAGCTGGGCCAGCGGGAGAGTTGGAGCTAGTGGAACAGGCTACAGGAGGGAAACCGGAGAACATCGTATCACCAGTGGGGGATCTACCTCCCTCTCCAAAGGTAAAGGTGGACAATGCTTCAAGTAGTAACGCGGGAAAAAAGGAGCAGCAAGCACAAGCAGAGTTGACGCAGGTGGCCGGCGATTCCTCAGAGATGACTAGTCGAGCAGCAAAGAAGTCAGATGAAGACACAAAGACAAGCAAATCGGCACCTTCAGGTCCTACAACAGATGCAAGCCCAACATCTTCCCCATCGTCAAAAAGCTCGGCCGAGACAGGAAAGCCAAGTATAGGTACGAAAGACACAACCAAGACAGGCAGCGATAGCGCCAGCAGCACGTCAAGTGACGCACACGCAACGGTAAGAACGGGAAGTGATAATAGAGGTCGGGAACAACAAGATAGACATGGTAGTACTAGCACAGAAACGACCCACACCGCGCACGAGAATAAAGACGAGACGACGCAGAAAGCCTCCTCCACCTCGTCTTCAGCTCCGCCTTCGGCCGAGGAACCACAAAACAAGGGCCGCACGGCTGCACCATCTTCAAGTAGTGAAGATAGTAAGCCGAAACCAAAGCCACCGCCGGTCGGGACCAACGACGTGCACGAGGTAGAGACGTACTTCAAAACGGATCCGTTTGGCGACGGCAAATACTCGCAGCTAATGGGCACGGTCTTGTCCAACTTCGCTGTGTGCATGATCATCCCCTCCTGGCTCAACGAGAAAAGCCCCGAAGTGTCTGTCAGCAGGAGTGTGTGGGTATGATTTGTGGGAGATTCTTTACTTTTTTGATGAAGGAAAGAAACAGAAACAGAAAGCTTGTTCAGGGTTGCATGCGATGAGTTACTAGCACGAACAAAAGTAACAGAGGCTTTGCTGTAGCCTTTTTTGCTGCGTCGCTCCTTCGGTGGAGTGTTTCTCTTTCTGTTTCTCTTGCCCAAATAAAGAAGCAAATATTATTGAAATCAGTTCTCCATGTCGCTCTGTACTATCCTGAGTAAAAACATCCCCACACCGGAGTCAAGATGGGGACTTTGCAACACAAACCTAGAACTTTTGGGGGTCACGCATCAGAAGTTGCAGTCCGTAGTGTAGTGCAGGTTCGCAAGGCCAGCTGCATCAGAAATCCATCTGCTCATCCTGTTTACAGCATTACAAATTCCAAAACACGACTAAAAATGCCTCTCCTGGCGATGCGCATTACAAATGTTCCTGTCATTGCAAATCTGCATGACAACTCTGGCGTGGGGACGTTTTTACTCCGGATATGTACGGTGATCTACCTCACGGTCGGCATCCTCGGCGCCGCTTTCTTCGGTCACCTACTTTCGGAGCAAGCGAACTTCCTGACTGTGATGATTCACAGAACAAACTCGTTTCTCGTTCGCTTCACCTGCTACACCTTTCCCCTGGTCGCGGCGCTCACCGGGGTGCCGCTCTGCAGCATCGTGTGTCGCTACAACCTGCTGGAGCAAGAGGTATAGTAGTATGTTGCTGCGGACTCACTACATGGGATTGTGTTTGTTCTGCTTCTGGCATCAAGTAACTTGCCTCATCAACAGGTCGAAGTTGAATTCACCTCTACTCAAAGCGCAAAATCAAACCGCACAATCAGCTTTGCGAGACCGCGTTCGTCGCGAATATTTGGGCCATCGCCCTCCCCTGGACGCTGGCCATTCCCCTGCAAACCTGGAACCACGGCGAGGGCACGCAGGATTTTTTGAATTATGGGTCTCTCCTGTTCTGCACGTTTGTGAACTTTGTCGTGCCGTTCATCGTGTTTCTCAAGTACAATGAGGTCTACTTGACGAACGAGGCAGAGGGGTACTTGGAGATGCGGTCCAGTCTCCACGATCGGAGCAGCAAGGCGCACTGGGGGCTGCCGCACAAGTGGATCTCCCGGGAGCGGATGCAGCAGGTGGCGCAGTTCTGTCTGGCGTTTACGACCGTCGCGTTTGTCGTCTCGTTTTTCGACGTCATAACGCAGGGGCTGGGGTAGAAGGGGCGATTTGTGTTGATGTGTCCTGAAGAAGAACCCTGCACGCAGATGGATCGCGATCAAAATTTTACTAAATACCAATATAAATTCAAGAAAGCTACCTTAGGGGTAGCCGAAACGTAACTGTAATCCTAAACGTGTTGCAAAATTTTACTTTTCTACAGAAGATAACGAGGAAGCCTGTAGTTCATATTTTTTGTAAAATCAGTTAGCTATGTTGGATTTTTCTCTTTTGTCGTCACCGTAAGCTTTCGATGACTCGTCGTACTACCGGCCGACAACGCGTCTGCATGCGATGGCAGAATGCACAGAAAAACGGTGTAGTTATAGCTTGGTCAATAATTATTTGAATTGAACTTGAAGCCAAACACAACTGTACGATAAAGAAGGGCGATGCTTCTTCATTTCTGGCCTCCACGGTGCGCAGGTGGGTTGTAGTAACTACAGGCAAAAAACGTCAGTGTCGTTCCACTACTACTCAATAGTAGGAAACTCGTCTTTCGAGATGGCCTTGATTCTCAGGAAGGTCGTGGTGTTCTGTTTTTTCTTCCATTTCGTTTAATAGTTTTTGAGGAGGTGCGGTAAGCAGCAGGCAGCGAGACGGAAATGACGCGGCGGTGCCAAAAAACGTCGAGGCAAATAGAAATAGCGCACGAGCCACAAAATCGACACGTGTGCTGCTAATGCTATCTTTATGGGGTCAACGATGAATTCGTTTTTTCTTTTTTAGTTGTCGCGTATCATATTGCCATACCGAATGTGAATTTCACTATCGCGGAGGACTGATGGCTGTAGTAGATGTGCTGGAAGTTGGTGCAACTGTAGTCGTGTTGTAATCGTAGTGTGAAATGTTAATGCTAATGCAGGTAGACGAGCAGTTGTAAATCCTTACCGGGAAGAGAGCTTCTGGCTTTTCACCGCAAAAACCTAGGACGGTAGGTGTGGCTCTTGTTGCGTAAGGATAAGCTTGCGCCACCCTTGCCCTGGTACGCTGTCCTTCGCCTGTGCGAACAAAGTCTATTGCAGCGGTCGTGAGTGATAGTGAAAAGTAAAGTATTATACGTAGTTCATCTAAACAATAACCGCCTCACAAGCAGACAGAAAAAAATAAAAATCTAAATATGATTTGTCCTACAGATGCTTCTGAAAAGAAAATGTATCGACACGTGTTGTACCTGACCAGGACGACGGCACGTCACGAAATGAAATTGCAGCTGACGTGTAGTTGACTCATTGCTTTAGAAGTGCAGTCACCGACCTGACACTTCCAGTAGCGACGTCGAAGCTTCCACACAAGAAGGACATCAGCCTTCAGGAGACTACACGAAGAGGACCACACGTCGACCAAGTTACCACCAAAATGGCCCACCTGATCCGCAGCCGGGACGACGAAATCCAGGCCGTCATTCTGAAATCGATAACGACGTCGGCGAACGGCACGGCGCAGCTGAATCCCGAGGAAACCGCCTTTCTCGACCAGCGGGAGCAATTTCTGTTGCGGCGGCTGCAACAGGAGAAGCAGGCCCGAGAAAAGTACAAGAAATCGATCGTCGAATATGAGGCGAAAGAGCGGGACTTCGTTAGCAGCATGGAGGCGCAGATGGACCAGTGGGAGGCCACGGAGAAGGCAATAGGGGAGCGGAATTTTGAGTCAGCGAAGTCGAGGACTTGTTGTCATGCTGGGATCATATCATTTTCATAAGTAGTCAGCGTCATGCGTTAATCTACAACTTCTTCCAAAAATGCACAGCGCCTTTATCGAACTCAAGTATTTTTATGATACCTCTATCCAAGAACTTTAACCGGAAATAAGGGAGGTAAAAATTTACCGTTTTCGTGCACGACCCCGCAATGAATCCGTTGCCGCTCGCTCCGCATGACGAACTCGGCGGCCTGACTCTGAAATTTCTGACTTTGATTTGCCATGACTGAGAAGCTCAAGACGTTCGAATCGGAAAACGTATTATTGTGATTTCATGATTTCAAGCACGTGATCATGGGCGACTATTTTTAGTTTACTTATTTCATCTAAGTCTGCCACAGTACATTCCATTTATCTGTCACACTACATTCCACTACAACGCTTGCAAGAACCGCTCTTCACACTACTTTTCTCTCTAAAAATACGACTTCTTAGTACAGGCCAAGCTCCAGCGTTTTTGCGATAGTTTGCAGGAAGACGAAAAGGAAACGAAGCAGGAGCTGCAAACCCTGAGACAGACGAACGCAGAGACGGAGAAGCGAGTGCAGTTTTTGATGGACCGATTAGTCTCGTTGCTGTCGACCGAGAAGAGCAACGACGTTGAAAAGGAACTACTCACTGCCATGACAGATCGGGAAACGAAGTTGAATGGTACATAGATGAAGATTTATTGTCATTTTGATTCAGTCCCCTCATTCAAGTAAGTTGTTACGCAGGTGCAGATGCAAGAACTGTCTTCGTGACTTCATGTGGATGACTCGCTATGTTGATTCTACCTCTGCATACACTTCAGGTCAAATGGAAAAGTTGAAAAGCGAGCTTGACCAGGTGCGGCAACAAAATCGAGACTTTGCCGTCCGATTAACGGAGGAGCAGAAGCTGTCGGCCAAATTACATACGTCGTTTTGCGATTTACAGCTGGAAAATTTTGCGCTACGAGGGAAGCAAGAGGAGCAACTGCAGCACACCAGCAAGGGCGGCGCTGCTGCAGAAACTGGTACTGCTCAACAAACACAAAATAGACAAGACACCTCGAACGGCGATGACACAAACGCTCCTGCATCTGTTTCTGTCTCGACCACCAGTGGCGCAGTGATATTACAACAAGAGCCCCCACGCGTAACTGGTACGAGCGCCGCAGCAGCAGACGCCCCCCTGGACGGCGCCATGTCCGATTTGTCGTCGATTCGCGAGGGGGTCAGCAAGCGAAACAGTTTCGACAACACGCTGGATACCTCCACAAGGGCGGACGGGTCGGTGAATGGCGGAGCGGGCGGGACTACAACTCTTGCAACTACATCTAACGCAGAACAAACAAGAGGACTAGGTACCGCATCCGTTTCGGTGGTGACCCACGCGACCATCGCGACGCAAGCACAGTCGCAGAATACGAGTCTGATAGGCGAACAAGGTGGAGCTGCGCTCGATGCCATGGCTGGTTCTGGACCACAACCGCAATCAGCAACCTCCACCAATGTGCTCCCAGCTCCACCTGTTCTAGAGCAACACAATCCGCAAACAAACCCCGCAATCAGTAGCACAGGTGGAGTGCCTTCTACTTTTTCCCGCGCGCGAGGAGCCGCTTCTTCGCCACAACAGGATCACCACAACTACCAGCAGGGAGTGAAAACGAATGCAACTACCTCTTCTCCTTCCCGCATGGCTGCAGCAAAAGTGACCTCACCCAATACGAACAGACAGCCCGGACAGGCAAATCCCTATTTGATCCTGGCGCAGAGCAACAAATTGCCGCCCTTTGTCAACAACACCGCTATCGCAGGGGGCGGAGGAGCAGCCGCAGCGACTTCTGCGGCGGCGCCCTCCGCGTCTGCAGCATCAATCGGACAAATGCCTCCCCCTCCGCTACTAAACGCCAGCAGCGCTGCAGGGCCAGCCTCCTTCGACGCGCCAGCTCCGAAAAGCTACGGCCACCAGCCGGTTCTGCAGATGCACACACCGGGTCCTCCAGGGGGGCTGCACACGGCAGCACTGCAAACGCCGTCGCCGCAGTATTATCAGGAGTACATCTCCCCTCCGCCGCAAATCAGCAGCGCCCAACAAGCACCTCCACAGATGGGGGGATCAGGTGCGACAATACCGCCTTCTGCGAGTGCGACATCCAGCACAAGTTCCACAGCGGCATCCGTGATCCAGCAACAGCAAAATCAGAATTTGCGGGTTTTGCGGCCCAACGCGCTGTCGCCGATCTTCGGCGCAACCTCGACCAGTCCTCCATCGGCTCACCTTCTTCCCGCAGGGTCTCCTGGGCAAATTCAGCAGAGCGCTGGCGTCCACCTCGACGCAGCAGCTCAGGCAGCCGCGTCGCAGTATCAGCTGCCTCAGCACCAGCACCAGCGCGACAATTCTTACCCAGCAAGAAGGACCATGCCTTCGCAAGTTTTGACACAACGACAACAGCAGCTGGCGCAGCATCAGTCTCAGGCTCAAGGAGTGCCAGTGACAGCACCAGTTGCAGTTCCAGCAGGGGGCGTTGGCGCGGTAAGTGCAGCGGTCGTAGTACAAGCGGCCGTGGGCCCAGTGACAGCTGCATCGCCCGCTAATTATCCGATGAGGGCCGGGATAGGAACAATAGGAAGCGCCACTGGCGGCGGGTCGGCGTCTTCCACAGCGCCGCCTCTAGTTCAACCTAATCGCGTCATTGACCCGATTTCTAGCACAACGTCGGAGCTCGTCCCAGGGGAGCGTCGCCCACCTCATCATCCTGTTGTAGAAGGAAAGAACGCCACAAGAGTTGTTACTAGTTCCAGCACAAATCAGAATCACGCCCACCAACAACTACAACCTCAGCCCTCGACAGCAACAGCTGCGCCCAATCCCCCGAGCAGACAAGCGTCCGCCCCGTCGCAGCCTTCGCAGCAGTCGAGTAAGCACAAAAGTACCTCTGGTGGATTGTCGTCGAAGCAGAAAGTGATTGAGATGGAGAAACAGCTGAAGGAAGTTTTAGACTCGATCGCATTCGACCGGGCAGTGATTCGCGTCGGCAACGGGTTGTACAATTTTGGCGATTCAAGGTGCTTGCTGAAACTGGACGAGAGTAATAGGGTGGTCGCGAGCAGTGATGGTAAAGAATTAAGTAGTTCAAGGTGGGCGATTTAGTTTGTCGATCTTGAGAAGAACAACTTGTTGAACATGACTACAGCAATGCCAAGGAGTGACTGTCTCACTCCAGGTCTTGCATTAGAAACTCTGGCATTAATCACCCTCTCAGGTGGCACGAGCTTCTTGCCGATTGCGGAGTATTTAAAGGCCCTGCAAAAGCCAAAGCAAAAGAACGGGGTTCTAAATTTCCAGCAACCGAAACTGGCATGTACTGATTTAAATTTGGATATTTTCAATTTTGTGATCTTCATCAGGTGGTGCAATCTGCAATTCTGCTTCTGTAGCAAGCTCGTCGAAGTCCGAACATTATTTAAATTTCGTAAAATTTCTTCTCTTCGATTTCGACAGGTATGTCCATCGCGAGCCCGCAACTGAGCGCCACCCGAATGGTTTCCGCGGACAACTCTGCCGTCGTGCAGCCGCAGCGCGCAACCTCGGCTGGGCCAACGATGAAGGCGGGGTTCGGGATATCGCCGCGACTACAATTTAGCACGGCGGGTGGCGTTGCCTCCGGCCCTGGATCTGCTGTCGCGAGAGAATGGAGCCCAGCGCAGGGAGGTTCGGAAATTTTTCACCACCTAATAGCAAGAGAGAAAAATTTCGTGAGCTGATGCGACACGTGGACTTGTTCTTTTTGTTTTTCAACGTGACGCTCCATTACATTTTTAGATACTTATTTAGAGGTAGGTATACCTACAAGAACTTCTTGCATCAACTCAAAAAAATTAGGTCTGAGACTAACAATGAGCGCCAGCCAGTCTACTGCAGCGGGCCAAACAACAAGCAGTAACTCCGGCACTGCACCAGCCGCGAGACAACAGGGTCCTCCGGTCTCACAGCCACGCATGCTGCTGAATTTAGGCTCCGGGGGCGGGGGGATGCCCAGCCGCGCCTTCAGCTCATCTCCGCTGCGAACAGGCTTTTACCCTCAAACGCGCATGAGTAGTAACGGACAGCAGGTTGCGAACGTGGGGCCGCAGGTGCCTGCTTACACGGCTGTTGGAGTCTCGAGATAGCAGATGAAGTCAAAAATTACACGCCGATCGGGATACAAGATTTATCCTGTCGAGGAGGCCGGAAAAAAGAAGCGGATATTTTTTAGAATTTCGTAACGAACTAACCAGTACAAGACTTGTAGAAGAATAAAACAATAATGACGAAGAAGTGGAACGATGCCCGTGCTCGAAACTTCACAGCAGAGGACGCGGACCTCATGTCAGCAACGATAGAAAGACGGCTTTCGCAAATGCTTGGACCATCAAACTAGTACAGTACAACCAATCTCCAAAATCATAAGCAACGCAAATTTAAAGACACGAAATGAATCCTGGAAGTAGGACAAGGTGTGAGGATGAGTACTACCCAAAGACTTCGCCGACACCGAGAAAACAAGTATACAAAACCTAATGAAACCTAGCCCAAAACCTTTTAGTTTCATCGTTTCATGGTGCGTTTTATAGTTTTTACAATTTCAGACGCAGTTTCTTTGCGTCGCACTTGAAAGAAACGCTTGAGGAATCTTTTTCTGACAGAAACTCTTTCGCTTTTTGTTGTTCGGCGTTTTCGGATCTTCCGTTGTTCTGTCGACCTGACATCCAGGAGTGAGTTCCAAAAGCATGAGCACAAGCGTGGTCAAATCATAAAGTTGTTCACTTTGGCTTTATAGTAAGGCGGACGGGGATCGCGACCAGCAGCACTTTTAAAGCAGAGAGTGTCGAGAGGATCATCTAAACTTGCGGTACTAGAGGGAAACAACAATTAAAATGCGGCTGTTGCTTGTTGCTGCGACGTCGTTTGCTTCATGTGCGGTGGCGCAAATGTTCCAGCCGGCAGCTCCAGTGCTCCCGGCTTGCGAGGGAATCACGTGTGGCTCTATCTCCTGCCCGGCCCCCTTCGAGTTTAAATCCGCCCAAGACGCCGGAACCTGCTGCCCGGTCTGCTTTTCGGAATCGGTATGTGGTCCATGTTTGTTGAACTTGAAACCACTGTATAAATGCTTTAAACCGTGATGGCGTTCTTGCCCTAATAGCGTGTTGAGGTTCGGAATGCGCATGGAGCAAGAGAATCTCTGCGATAAAACCCAACCCAATTCTACAATCTTTTTCAAAAAAAAAAATTGTACTCGTTACCGAAATATTCAAATTCAGGTCGTAATCCCCGGCAAGACCCCGGAGCTCGCCAAGGGCGCCGAGACGCACCCGAATGCCCCGTCCAGCTGCTTTGATCCGGTCCCGATTTTCTGCCCACCGCTCAGCTGCCCCATGGGTACCAAGGAAACCTACGAGGAGGGGGACTGCTGCAAGATGTGCAGCGTCGCCTAAATGATCGCTGAAGGTGGAAACAGTAGATAGACGACATCTCGAGGGAAATCGACTGAGACAGTTGATTTAGATACTAGTGCGGCGGGTTCTTTAGTCTTCTTTTCACACGTCACTCACACGTTTCACCCTGAGCTTTTAGGAGTAAGTATATATAAAGTAGATGAGCCCTTATTTGAACGTTTTTGTTTCAGTTTCTTTTCCAACTCGTGTAATTCTAGTTCAATCTCCCCTTCACTACATGAATCCCTGTGTCGCTTTTTCACTCGGTGACGAGAATACTTTCTACATGAAAACTAAATGAAAGTAATACTTGTTTTGTCAATTCTAAAAAAACGTTCTTGCGGCGGAGTGCAAATGTCCCTCTAGAAGGAGAAGAGCGTTGGAGCCAATTGCTTGAGACTTTTGACGTATGACACGATGGCCAGACGACAGGAATGGTCACAGAGTGGCGGTTTTGAGGCAGGGTGCTTGTAGTTCTTTTGGGGAGAAGCAAATGTGGTGAGAGATCTTTCCTAAACATAGCGAATTTTCCAAAGCAGGAAAGCAATCATACTGCCAAGCACCAGCGCGTGATTTTGGCTGTTGAATTGAGGACGCAATTTAGATAGTGTTCAGCCACGCGTTGAGGGAGGAATTCTGTCACATGCGAAGTTGCTACTTGCTGTGCGTTTCTGTGTTACTGATCGACGTTCACAGAGCAGGTCCAGGTCTTTCACAGGACGCCCTTCTCCTGACGGCAATAGAAAAACGAGAAGGAGAATCTTCTATTCATGGTGCCCGGGAAACGAAGCAGTTCTAGCGTGCACCGAGAAATTGAAGGCAATGAAGTTCTTCGAGAGTAAATGATGATTCGTTAAATGGCCATTTGTGAATTTGAATTGCCCGTTGCATGTGCGCGTGCAGGTGACACGACACGACAGGAAGTAAGGTTCTGGTCCCTGAACTTGCGCATTTCATCCAACCGAGCGTGTCTTGCGCAGCATACAGATCCATGAGAGAAACCGACTGAAGATGCAGCTGAGTCAAAATTGCAACGAGCACAAGAAAGGAAAGAACTCCCTCCATCATCTCACAGCGGCCGCGGTTCCATAGCGAATTTGTGTTGACGTGCGCTCAAGGGACGCGATATTAGTGTACGTGTATACAAGTGTGTGACGCTGTGCTATCTGTGGTAGAGTGAGTATAGAAGCGTGCATGTTCTTGAGCCTCGTCTCGCGAGTCAAGCTGCGCATTGACGAGGACATGATACTAGTCAAGCGGTCGTGTGGTTGTGAGTAGTGTTTTTGCAGCGCTCCACAAGGACTGAGTACAGACGTCAAAAAAATGAGCGACCAATCGCAGCGTCCGGCCTTCGACTGGGGCTCCGTGTATCTGGCGAAACGCGCACGTCCAGTCGCCGACCATGACATCGACCACGAGCTGGCTTCAAAAATGCGAAAAATGGATCCGAATGTCGCAACTTCAACTCTCGTTGGTGGCTCCTCCAGTAGCTCGTCGAGAAATCTTTCATCAGCCCAGCCATTTGGCAGCGCAGCAGCAAGTACAGGACTAGCAGCAGCTCCAGGGATCGCATCTTCGTCCAGCTCCGCCTCCGCCTCATCGTCCGCTTACCAACAGCAGCCTCCAATGACGCCAACATTTGGCACGACTTCGAGCCACCACCTGGCGTTACACACAGGCGGGCTCGCGGGAGCTACTGGAGACCAGAGTCACAGTCATTCATCTTCTTCTCTACTTGGTCAGTCTCTCTGGTCACCGCGGACGTTGGGCGGGAGCACGATGTCTGACCATTACAGACCTGGACCGTATGGCGTAGCGTCTTCAGCACAGGCAGTAGTTCCCCGGCCTGAGCAAACCGACGACCTGGCCTGCAGCGCGCTCAGCCCCGTGACGGACGGAGACAGAGAGTTGCTCGCAAACGCAATTGGAGGCGGTGGACACATGCACGGGCTGTTGACGGAGAACACGCTTGCTGCATCGTCGTCGTCTTCAGCAATGAACCACCAGGGAAGAAGTGGTAGAACAACAACAGCAGGGACGGCGGGCCGTCAGTTTCTACAGAGTAACCGCCAAACGCCATCGTTCGACGGAACAAGCATGGTGGGCCCACCCGATTCCTCGGCAACGAACATGGCAATCTTCCCTAAGCATCCGCTCTCAACAACATCGAAGACGCCACACTCCAGTCCGAATGTCAGTATGGTAGATAGTAAGATGAACTACGCCGAACGGAGAAGTAGCAGAACAGCAAACGACCTTCTGCAGAAAACCACCTCACTCTCCTCAGACGATGCGGATGAAAACGAGGAAAAGAAGGAGCGGATTCCGCGGCCACTGGAAATTGCGGGTGTGACCAATCTGAGTTCCGCACCGACGCCACCGTATCACCCCTACGCCATTATCCCATACCAGTCCCCCGAGGAACAAATTGCGCAGATCCAGCAGAGGGGACAAACGGGCACCAGCATCCCACGTACAATTGTTTGCTTTCTTCCTGCTTCTCGTGGTCTTTGCCTTTGGGTAACGTTGCTCTTGCTGCCTTGCACAGGAGTAAAGAATTCCCTTGATGAGCAGCTTGCTTCTACCGCTTCTCGCTAGCAAGACGATATGATGAAGAAGCTTCTGGTTCTGGTTAAGCACTCTTTAGTATACTTACAGTTCGAAAAAAAACTCAGGTTCCGTGCAGTTCGAGCCTTCGATTTCCCATATCCACCTGCAGCAAAACCAGTTTCTTGGCCTGCCGCAGGTGTTCGCCCAGCAGCACCAACAGGCCGCGCGAAGCAGTTTGGTCGGGACGAATCGACACGACAATCACAGCGGAACAACAGCCGCTAGTGCATCACATCAGCAACAAAACACAAATTCCGCCACACTGCTGCGGCCAAACGGAGCGCAGAATCAGGGCCTGGCGATCATGGTGTACGAGGAGCCGACCGTGTATCCAACTGCGTCGAGTAGTAGTGTGACGGGAATCGCTGGTCAGATGGAGCGGGACAACAGCGTGGAAAGCGGTTTTATGGAAGACCGGGACAGCAGCGGTAGTATGATGGATATTGGTTAGAAGAAGTAGAATAGCTGTGATTCTCTTCATCTCGTACTTAACTTCTTCATTTCCTGTCAGTCTGTTGTGCAGATTCTCAAGAACTCGACGCTTGTGTGAGTGTACTTCGTATCTATTGCTCCTGTAGTACCTATTCTTGTCGAGGATCAAACACACAGGATTAGGACGAAGCGACTAGCGACTCGTATCTTTGACGGCTCCGCTCTATGACAAGGGCAGCATGCTGCGCACTTGTCAGAATTGACGCCGTATATTTGAAGGCATAAAATACGGAAAAAATCCGAATGTACATATGTTTTGCGCTCGAAAATGTTGTTAGAGTTACGACCTGGTGGAGCACATCCATGCACAAAAATGCAAAGAATGCCCTGGTAGAAAATTAAGTGCCACTAAAAGTACTACCAGCGACTCTCGTTTTGTTGTACAAAATGAAAAGTTTCTTTGGAGTCCGGAGTTTCTCATCCGAAAGAACGATTGCATCAGAAGATACGACATAGGAAATCAATCCTTCTGCTGCGCCGCAAGAAAGGAACAAGCGCAGCACGAGTAGCAACATTTCGTGTTATGGGGTCGAAGTCGATGTCTGCAGCTGCTGCAGCACATTTCGTGTCTGCAAGTACTACGAGGAACCGGCAACTGAAACCAGACAGGATCACGAACTCGAACACGATCACCTCTTTATCGAAACCTTCACGCCAAGGTGAAAGCGAATGAGAACAGATCCATATCTTCCACTAGCGCACCAAGATACTAGTCGGGGCCGTCGGTCAGAAGATTCTACATTCTGTCATTACGAAGTACAAGCACAAAGGTCTGTAAGTAACACCAACAACTTCTACAGGTTTGCTACCATGAGCATCATAAATACTTGAATACCGTCAGCCTTTCCCGTAGCACAGCGTGAGCTTGCGGAGTAATTGTGATATTTGAAACTCGAGGGCTTGAGGAAAAACTGCTGGAGAAGCACATGCTAGTAAGTAGACGAAGTCGTGTATCCGCAAATTATATTTCACGAATCGCACCGGCAACACGAAGATGCCTTTACCTCATGCTAGCGTAGGAGTAACATTACCATAACGCAAACGCAATTACCTGACCTTGATCCGCTATTAAGTGATGTTGTTCCTTCCATTCGTTTCATCAATATGTCCTCGTGGCTGGGGTTGCATTGAAGGTAAGTCAGTGTAAAGTAGCATATTTCCGTCTAGTACATCACTACATGGCCGTCCAGTCGTCCCCTTTGTCTGCTCTACGAGCAAGCAAGAAGTTTGCCTGCCCCAAAACGGTTCAGATCATCGTGTGTCTTCTAGTTTGGTGGGGCCTGGGCGTCTATGTTATTTCGCAGAGCAAGCTCTTGCTCGGGAAGGAGGGCGGTGCGCCGGTGCTTGCCAGCAACGCCGGTTCTGGTTCTGTGTCTGCCTCCGAGACGAAAAATGCTGGATCTTCTGGGATTGACTTTGCACCTCCAGCAGGAGAGCATGATGATAAGCAGGATGGCACCACACCATCAACTCCTGCTGGTTCATCAGCTTCATCAAATGCGAACAAAAAATCGGAATCCACCTCGCAGCAAAACGGTACTTCTACCGGAGAGTTCCCCTACCCACTTTTCCTATCCGCGTGGTCGAATATTGTTATGAGTTTCCTTTGCTGTGCCTGGCACTGGAATATCAAGCAGAAAAGGAGTAGTACCGGAGCAGCAATATCTTCGTTGGGCGAAACAAGCGGAGCAGCGAAATCCTGCCTGGATTTTCTTTTCCCCGACGGTGAGGACGATGTGGATCATGATGGCATGCACAATGGCCGGCTACATGAGAAAGGCAACAGCAGCTCCAGCGGTAGAAAGACAACCGACTATCATGATGATATCTCCACCGCTGCCACGGGAGAAGCCGAAGCCAGCACTAGCGCCTCTACCATTGGCTCAGTATCTGCGCACGGCACGAGTGAGCAGGACCGAGAAATGTTTGACGTGGCTGGTGCCAGTAGCGGAATCAATATGGCATCACCGCCCCGACCTGGTGGACTGTCAACCTCAACCCTCGTCAAAGATGACGGCGGAGGAACCGGGGGAAGTCCGAACCTCCGGAAGCCTGGTGGTAGTCCGAGCTTTGCAACTGGTGAAAGTAGTACAGTAGCGAGTAGTCCACCTCAGAGACGTTCTCCGAATTATACTACTAGCAGTGCGACAGCGACACAACTATCCCATCAAGCGGACATCGTCCATGCAAGGAGAAACACGGTTCTGATTGTCGGCTTCATTGGTGGACTGGAAATCGGCGCGGCGAACTCCTCCCTCTACTACCTCCCTTTGGTCGTTCGAACCACCATGCACAGCCTGCAGCCGCTCTGCATGTACGTCGTGTGTCGGCTGATGGGGCTGGAATTTCACAGCAGCCGCACCGTGCTAATTGCGATCTTGTGTTGCAGCATCGGCGGGATATTTCTGTGCCAGGATCCTGGAAGTGGCGGGGTGGTACTAACACCAGCAAATGCAGCAGAACTTAGTACAGGAGACGCAACGTCGGCCTTGGCGGTGTCCTCCACCCCTTCAGTTGTAGTGCCATCTCCTCCACCCAATCATGGGGTTCTGGATGTTGTGGTAGACTTGCCAACAACGGCAGCAATCTCGTCCACGACGAACGCCTCCGCCTCCGCCGGTATCGCACCTAAAACTGCCTGGACAAACGTCTCCCACCTTGGCCTGTTTTTCGGTGTGATGGCGCCTTTGTGCGGGTGCACGCGCTGGGCGCTGATGCAGCGACTGGTGCACGAGTTTTCCGGGCCCTGCGAGCTGCTGCTCCATACCGCACCAATTACGGGTGTGGTCCTGGCGGTTGGCAGTTTTCTTTTCGAGCCGAACGCGTTTCTGACCTTTGTCACCCCCATGTTCGCGCACTTCCTCACCTACGAGGGGATTCACTTGCTAATCCGCTTGACCAGCATCGGGCTTGCGGTCATGAGCCTGCTCTTAGCGGAGCTCCGGGTGTTGCAGCTCACCAGCGCACTGACTCTGTGCATCTTCGGCGTTTGTCACAATCTGTTGCTGATTGTCGCGGGGATGGTGGTTTTCCGCGAAAAGCTGAATTACTGGCAGTTGGTCGGCGTCGCGTCCGGCCAGGTAGGAGTCTTGCTGTACGGAATCGCAAAAACATCGTCCTCGTCGGGTCAACATGCTGGCTCCTCATCTTCGTCGTCAAATAAATCACACGGGCGAAAAAGTGGCAGGGCGATCATTGCGGAATACGACCTGGAGGATGGTGGAGATGGACAGGAGCACTATTACGACGAGGAAAAGCAAAGCTTCGTGCGGAACAGAACCGCACTGGAGATGCAAGCGAGTCCCAGCACTTCAACAGCGTCGAAAACTCAATACCCATCGAATGGACCGCTTTCTCTTTCATCTGCGCGATACAACAATTTTGGAAACCACGACGAGCTAAGTGCGGACTCACCGCAACTCATGCGCATCACTGCCCACGAATTGACATATGACGACGAGGGCGGCGGTAGTTTTGGGAACCCTCGCAAAGGGATTGGCTCTCCCGGGATGATTCACATTCCTTTTGCAGCGTCTTTGTCGTCGTTGCAAAACATGGCGTCGAGGTTGTTTTCTGTTGGCGGGTCTTGGAGTGTTGCCAGTAGTCCCACCAGCAGCGCTACGAATCGTGGGCAGTACGCGCCCGTGCGACAGGTCGATCCCCGGGAGGACAGTTTTGGTTTGTGAAAAAAATTAAAATCTATGCTAAGTACTGCAGCGCTGCGGAAAGTGCACTGATTTGATTAAGTAGAAGGAAAAGCTAAAGCACTATAGAAATAAGAACTTGAGACTCCCTTGACAAAACGAAAAACGCACGACGCCAAATTCAAACTAGTGCCGTGGCTGCGAATTGGCGTTCGCGCTACTTTGACCTGATCAGTCGCTGCATCAAATACATGAAGGGCCGCAACCGCAGCGTAGCATACGCTGGCTCTTACCCCTCAGGCTGGCTTGGTTTTGAGGTGAGAGACAGCAACTATCTGCCGCCACATCGGTCGTTGATGAGAGAGCATTGTGTAGTTGTGCAAGCTATCACCGGACCGACTGCGCGTGCTGCTGAGATAGGAAAATAAGTGTCATATGTTTATTGCGAGTGCGTGAGTGCTTGCGGCCGTTTAGGTGTGTGAACTAGAGGTCCCAGCACCCAAGAGCTGGCACCGGAAAGGTTGGAGGAAAAGAAAAAGTCAAGGTGCTTCACATTGTTCTTTCAGTCGATCGTTAGCACCAAGTTTGTGTCGAAATAAACAGATAACCGACAAAGAAAATGGCGTGTTGTGGCGGCGGGAAACCTCCGGACACGGTAAGATCTACTTTCAGTCTTCGCATTTGGCTTCTCGTTCTCATTGCACCTGCTGCAGCTCCTCCACTTTGCATTGTTATGGCGCCGCCTCTAAGCAGCACTGTCGAAAATTTACACCATTACAAAAAACTTCCAACAGAGCAAGCTCGATGCAGAGCTTGCGGCTGCGAAGCGGGACAAGGAGCAGGCGGACCTTGACAAGGAGAAAATGCGGAAGGAAAAGGAGCAGAAAGAGCGGGAGCTTGAGGAGGAGCGCAAAAAGAAGATGAAACCCATCAAAAACGAGGGCGAGGGGGTGCCACCACCGATGCCAATGCCACCAGATGATGGGTCGAAAAGGAAAATGTATCTATACCGTTTTTCGTAGGTCGATTTGCAGGAGCAGAGGAAAGAGCAGAGCTTTTCGTATATGTGATGCTTGAAGTACTACAACTCAACGTATCATCAAAAAATGTAACTCCAGACGCGACCTCCAAGATAAGAAAGAAGAAATACTCGGCCTGGCGCAACGAATGCTGGACCTATGGCCGTGTAGAAAGTTTGATCGAGTTCGGAGCTCCTGTTGACACACAACTACAACTACATCCTCCGACTTCTAGTATGCATCTTCAGTTGAAATTTGAAAACTTGCATTCCGTTTCCAATTCCAATGCTATGATAAAGGCAAATTCAAATTTTGAGCGTCGTCGTGCATGTTCCTGCTCTTGAAGATGTACTTCTAGTACGTCGCGCCAAAAAAACTTGGCCCATCGACAAGATGAACTCGGCATCAGATACTTTCACCTCCATCAAGAAGCGAAAAGGACCTCCCGATGATTATGAAACTCGAGCCCGGCGAGATTAGCACGCTCTATCAGAAGTACATCTGCTGGTTCTCGAGCTTTCAGCTGCCCTACTTCTGCTTCGCGTGCCTCGAGCTGACGGCGTGCCTGACCTACACCAACATGCGGAAGTGCGACCACGTGGCCATGCTGTGGCTCAACATCGATAGCAGCATCAGTGTCGCGGGAGCGATACTGTTCGCGCTCTTCGTATTTAATATCGACTCATCGTGATTTTATAATTTTGTCAACATGCACTGATGAACGAGAGTGCAGCAGGCGCAGGGATTTAAAGATAAAATCTTTTTGAAGATGCGAAAATCAGTCACCTGCAACAGGACAAGAAAAGCTCATGCTCGTGACAACTATCAGGTGCTAATCTGCCTTTCGCCCGTTTACTCCGCACTGGATGTGGATCCGAAAGGCTATGGCAGAAGATTAGCCCAGTTTTACGATGGAGACGGAGTTGAGATGAGCCGGTCAATGGACGCGGCGAAGCGAAAAGCAGCGTTAGGAAAATCTTCCAAACTTGCGGTCATATTCGCGGACATAGCAGGGACTCCGAAAGGGTGTGAAAGTGGCGGATTTTTTGATGTAGTTGTGACGGATTTTTTGTCTGATAAGTAGTGCAATTGGCAAGAATGAGAAAAAACGTGCCAGAACAAGTACGTTGAAATAATAAACAAATATACTACACGCACAGGTCCTACATGCTCGCTGGCGCGTTGACCGGTGGCGTCGCGCTCGCGATAGTCTTCATCTGGGTCCCGGTGATGACGACCCTAGCCCTGATGGCGGAGATACCTGAAGTTTTGACATTGTTCATGGGCAGCTGTGACCCCAGTTTGGACTTCACGATCCTGATCTTCGTCGTTCTCAGGGCACGTATATTCATCTTGATGCAAGTTTTATTCCAGATTCAGACGAGGTGGATTTTGAATGGGTTCCTCAGTAGATGCAAGTTGTCATGTGCAAGCTATTGCTTTTGGTTTTGTCATGCAAGGTATGCAAGAAACCATAAACAGTTTTCATCCTCGACATTTGCTACCGGCTGTTCCTCTTTTTTCTCGGGTCGGACAGGGGCTACATTCGCGAGCATGTGGTAGAGAGCAGCATGAACAACTACGTGGATAGAATGGGTATTTTCTATAGTTTTTTCTTTGGACATGGGCATCTAAATTTCTGTGATGCAAAACCAAAACGAAGACGAAGTGCAAATGTATGCACTCAGGCTATGATGTTGACCTTTTACCTTAACCCAGAAAAATAAATACACATCAATGAAAATGATACAACAAAAATACAGAGGCGGGCATCGGCATGCGACCCGCGCGGGAAGACTTGCGGTACCAGTGGTACCCGGAAAGTCTGAAGCCGGATAGCTACAAGGAGATCGAGCGAATCGACATCGAACTGCGATCGCTGCAGGACGCGGCTGAGGCGAAGAAGCCCCTGATAAAGAAGTGAGCGGGTCGTGGAAGTCGTAAAGCGTTCCCAGCATCTCCATGGGAGGACGATGGTTCTTGGGAGCCAGATCGTTGCCATGGGAAGATTTCTGTCGGGAGCCAAGGCGGAGACGGGATCCGGATCGGGTTTGTGGACCACGAGATGACATTGAACAGCACGGAAATTTTTGAACTGCAAGATGAAAACCCGCCAAAATAATTGAAAAATCACTTTGCGCGTTTCAAATTTTCCTGCGGAATCGGCCCTATTTTTGGGTAGCTCTGCATAGCGTAGCCCGCATTTCGCTGGGGGCACGTACGTAAAAGTGGATGCAAAAATTGATGATCGTGTCACACCTTTTTCAGTACGTAGATCAATTTGTTCACCGTCTTCGGGATGCTCGTGGAGATGAACCAAGATGGATGACTCCATGTTCAATACTTAGCGTTCTGCAAAAAATGCACAAGCGTATTATAGTCGAAAGCATCATGCTTTACAATTACAGCAACGAGCAAGTATTCGTGCCACGAACATCGGTGTCATGTGTATGTGCGAGTGAGGCTTCGTTTGATTTGTAAGTACAGCTACAGACCAGGAGGACGAGTAGAAGGATGGCTCCTGACAGAATCGACTGAAACCAGCACCACAAGTAGTACTTCGGATGACTTCTACATGTTGAGCAAGAAGCAGCGTATCAATTTAGAAAACGCGCCGTCGAGTGAGTTGGTTCGTTGAAAGGATCGTCATCTCGTTGCTTGGTCGTGCACCAAAGACGCGGAGACAGAGTCGTTTTGGCTGAATGTACCAAGGAAGCGGAGATGGAATCAATGCAAATTTTGGAGGTTTTACTGTGTTGAAAACAGACATACACAGGAAGTGCAGTAGGAACAACTTGTCCTAGAGAAACAAAGTCAAGGTTGAAAAATGGGCAGTCTCATCTGTTGTGCCGGTGGAGGCGACACGGAGGAGGTGGACACCGGTGAGGAAGAGGAAGAAATGGTTGACGTGAATCCCACCACCTTCAACCCACCCTCGGTGCATCCCGACGTGCCAGCGGGCGTGAAGGTCCCCGCGATGGAAAAGGCCACAGAGTTGGATGATGATGAGCCGGAACCTGTGAAAAGTATGGTACAGTATCCGGTGATCAAGGTGATTTGAGGATCGTTCGACGTCCCAAGAAGGTCGTGGAGGGAGGTGGTCAACAACAAGAAGCAAAGACAAAAATTAGTTTTCACCGCAGCTCGAAAATAAGTACTATCTCTGGCACGACCAGCTGGCACCAAGAGAACGTCGAGAAGTCGAAGAACTTCTACATCATGCGCACCAGCAGCAGCAGCACCAGCGTCCATCAAAACGACCTATCCTCCCTCGACCGACAGCTCGATGCTTTTGTTGCGAGTCATCACGCAGAAGTCAGCCACGACCTGATTCCAATCCAACCACGGTCGCAGAACGCCATTCCAGCCTACGTGTGGGAGCCAGTCTCTGGCTCGTCTGCACACCAGCGAACGAGCAGTAGTGGCACCGGAAGACGCGCGGTGGCGTCAGTTGAGACGGATTGGAACGGCGTGGGTCTTGAAGCTGCGCTGCAGTCGAGTGGTGTTGCGAGGAGGCACGCTAATTTGAACAAGCGGCTAGATCAAGAGCTTGCTGGTGATGCTGCTTCGCATGATGTTTTAGGAAGTTTCTCAGCACAATCACAAGCTGGTCCTCCGCCAAGGCCACCTTTACCACCCCACTCGACGGCCGCTACACGAACAGTACAACTGCCTCCTGTTCATTATGCAAAGACAAAGAGTCCTGCTAGTGCTACATCAGGAATTGCGACGTCCTCTCGTGCTCGTCCTGTCCGTCTTGCGGTGGACACAGATCCGGATCGAGATCGGTATCTAGAAGATCGCCGACAAGAGCAACACGCAAGCTCTGGGGTGAGTAACCTGTTTCACGGTCATGACGACTTTGCTCCGTCGCCGTTGGCGATCGCGAGGGGGAGTAACATCCTCCGAAATAAGCGGGGGTTTGAACAAGCCAGTGAGCGGACAGCAGCACCGGGTCGAGGTAGTTCCTCTTCGTGGCCGCAACACCAACAGAATAGCGGCGCAAGTAGCGATGTCCCTGCACTGGTGGAGTTTGCAGCTGCAGCTTCGTCGCACGGTGGTCCCCTAGGCAGTAACGACCCGAGCCACCCTGACTTCAATCCGTACTTGGCTGGAGTTGCCGTGCCGCCCAGCGGTACTGCAAGGAGGAGCGGAACATCAAAAGCTGCATCAAATTCAAATGCTCTTGTCCAGCACAATCCCTTCTATCTGGACAATGCTGCAGACTTTGACTTGTCTGTCTCTACGTCCGCGGGCACCGGCCTGGATCCACCACAAGACCAAGCAGGTCCTATTGGCGCAACGCCTTCGGACCGTCACCGTCCTTCAGTTCTTGGTACTACAGAGGATGAATACGTCAATCCCTACCTTCGTTCATCGCCTCTTGCAACCAATTCGCAGCAGCACCAAGCGCGAGTAGGACCGAGCAGACACAACACGCGACCGCCCTACGCCAACACACCGAATCTGCCTAGAGAAACAAGCCACTCTAGTACTTCCGCAGGAGAATCTGCACGGGCGGAAAGAGGCGAGATGAACTCACGCACCACTCCAGCAGCAGGCTCTGTACGTCCAGATGAATCTACACGTCATCATCCTGCACCACCAGTGGCAGATGACGACCGCAATAATGCTGGTGCCTACTACTGTTTCGAGGTCCCAGAAGACTACAATCCGTACGCTAGCAACCCACTATCGCGAAACACCAACCAGCAGACTCGTGCTGCGCGGGGCTACCGCGAGCGGGCGACGGTGGAAGATTTTGGTGGTGGGCTGGACGATATACTCGTTCCCCGGCTGGGCCGACTTGCGGAGGACCGGCGGCGGGCGATAGAAGAGAGCAGCAATCTAGGCCTCACCAACCAAACAAATTATGGCGGTGGAGGGCAACAGGCTGCGAGAGCAAGGGCTGACCGCGCGGCCACAAATGACGACTTCGGGGGCGATCTGTCGGCGATACTACCGCAACGGGCGAAAAGACAGAGAAGCAAGTCGATGGACGGAGCAGGAGGTACGTATCAAAGCAAAATCAAGAAGCGGATCCGGAATGTGACACTGAACAAGACAAACACGAACATCGGGGAGGATTGCGCGTTCTGTCTGATGGAGTTCGAACCACGGCAGAATGTGCAGATGCTACCGTGCAAACACCTGTTTCATTCCGGTTGCTGGCGGAAGCATTGCGTGCACTCCTTGAAACAGCGGGAGCCGGTGGTCAAGTGCCCGCTGTGCCGAACAGACGTGACGGAGTTGGTGAATGGGAGTGGCGGAGGCGGGGGTAAGTAGATTTTTGTAGATCAGAAGGAGGCGGGGCGTTGAGAGGAGCAGCCTGCTGCTGATAGATCCCTCGAATCTGTTACTGTTGCTTTGATTTGTGCACGAGTAAAACTTTCATTTTGCCTCTAACTCGTGAGATCTATGATGTGTACTTACTGTGTTTGGTTTCGAACCTGTTTCTGTAGCTGAGCTTGAAATGTAAAATCAAAAGGCCACCGTCTGCTAGTAACGCTTTTGCGGTTGCGTTTGCGAAGATATTGGAAGGGTGTTTTGTATCAGATTTGTTCTTTGGAGGTTTGACACTGTACCTGCTGTTCGTACGAAACACAAGACGATTTTTTTCGGTCCCTGTGCAGGAGCAGTAAAGGCGCAAGTTCTTGCGCTTCAGTATCTTGAGTAGGGAACAACAGCTCTTCGAAAGTTACAGGGCGCCATAATACAAATACTTGTGTGGCTGTTTTGCGTTCGAAACAAAGTCAATCTTCGCGATATTCGTGCTCATGCAACGAGGATTCAGAAGCACCGCATGAAGCACTACGGCCAAAATAGAATCGTGCAAATTTCTCGTACAATTTAGAACTTTTCGTTGAGAGAAGCAGTATCTGTAGATAGTATCCTTGTCGTCCAACAGGAACGCGATGCTATTTTTTCGAGTGAAGAGGACGTTGTGGGGAATCGACTCTAAACGCCACGCACGAGGTTCATGTACGATTTTCAATCCAGACTCCCAATACTATAGTGACATTGAGCTAGTCTTAGTCAAACCCCGTAGAGAACCACTCGTATAAGAATTGCTATTGGCGTTCACAGTCGCAGTGCGACGCTCACAACAACTACCACCTAAGAGAGTTCTTTCCAGCAGTGTACAATACAGGGAAGTGTTTTTTCTGGGATACCAGGGGGAAATAAATAAAGCCTGATCAAAATGGCGCGACCTATGACGAAGGAGGAGATCCAGGAGGCCTGCCTGAAGGGCGACCTCAGCCGACAGTGGGAGTGGCACACCGAGTTCCGGGACGCGGCAAAGAACATGTACCGAACAACCGCCTTCGATACCATGCACAATCGGGAAGTCTCGGTACGATATGTTGCAGCGTGGATGCTAGTTAATAGAAATAGCGAGTGTTCAGCTACTACTTGTTGTACTTCATCCGGGCGTTCGCGCTGCTTGACGCTTGTCGGTCGCGGCGTTGCTCGGCGGTGGCGCTGCCCGGCGGTGGCGCTGCTCGGCGATCGGCGGTGGCGCTGCTCGGCGATCGGCGGTGGCGCTGCTCGGCGGTGGCGCTGCTCGGCGATCGGCGGTGGCGCTGGTCGGCGGTTGGCGCTGCTCGGCGGTCGGAGGTCGGCGGTGGCGCTGCTCGGCGGTCGGCGGTGGCGCTGCTCGGCGGCCGGCGGTGGCGCTGCTCGGCGGCCGGCGGTGGCGCTGCTCGGCGGCCGGCGGTGGCGCTGCTCGGCGGTGGCGCTGCTCGGCGGTCGGCGGTCGGCGGTCGGCGGTCGGCGCTGCTCGGCGGTCGGTGGTCGGTGGTCGGCGGTGGCGCTGCTCGGCGGTCGGCGGTGGCGCTGCTCGGCGGTCGGCGGTCGGCGGTCGGCGGTGGCGCTGCTCGGCGGTCGCGCTGCTCGGCGGTCGGCGCTGCTTGGCGGTGGCGCTGGTCGTCGCTGTTCGGCGGTCGGCGGTGGCGCTGCTCGCTCGGTCGGCGGTACCAGCGCTGCTTCGCGTACGCTCGACTGCGGCGGTCGCAGCTTCTGCTATGATTTCATGTACTTATAATCTTCCATGTCAGGATGCTTTGCGATTTCGTAGTGCATGAAAATAAAATTTTGAAATTTCGCGGATTTGGTTTTTCAATAAAAATAAAATCTTAAAATTTCGCGGATTGAAAATTCCTTACATTTTCTACGTTGCACATCTAAATGGACCGGCTATTCACACGTAATATCCGCTGTTCCGTGAACCTGAACACAAATAAAGCTTTAAACTTTCGCAAGTTTTTAGCTTAATAAAAATAAAATTTTGAATTTTCGCGGTTGTTGGAAGTCGAGAGACATTGCAGTGTTCTTGTAGCACCAGAAGCAGAGTCACAGCTATCTTCCGAGAGTGAACTTCTTGTGTCCGCTTTTCGTCGTCAATAGAAATAAAATTTTAAAAATCCGCGGCCATGGGAAACCAAAACTAAAGCACTCACCATGTATACACTTGCAACTAACATCCGGGATGTAGCGTCGCTGTCTATTAGGGGCAACTTCTTCAGGTGTTGTGTATTTTTTAGGTCAATTTGTGATGTAGCCAAGTCAGTATTCATGTTTATCTAAACTATCCAGGTCAAGACCGGTCTTCCAAGCGGATATGGTGGTCACGATCCCGTCAGGAACCACGATGTTCTGCACCACAACACCGGTGTCTACGAGAAGATGAAGGGAGAAAGCTTAGCTCCAAGCCGGTATGTTATTTTCCCGTTATCGAAGATTTACAGGGCGTTGTTTTCGTTCCGGCTCTGCATGACAAGTGTAGTCCATGTAGCGCTGTGTGAACATCTTCACGCCGCGTGAGATCACGAACACACAGATGAAGATCACATTTTAGTACAATGAAAAACCACATACAATCAAACAGTGACACCTTCCCGTGCTTCGCCCAGCAGAAGGACGGTCAGATGACCTTCAAACAGCTGACCCAGGCAGAAACCCCGACCTTCGGCAGCTTGCCAGACGTGCGCGTGCAGCCACCGTGGGCTATCACCCCGCCGGTCAGGACAAACCCAAGCTACTTCGTGGTACAGTAGAGATGTTGTGCTTCTGGTTTCTGTCATGCAAAAGCATAAACTCGAACTCGATTTGTGATTCTGTTCGGCCACCAAATATGATTGTCGTGTACTAGGTTCCTGCTCTCAACAAGAATTCATAATATGCGAAAAAAAACTGTATACAACAGAAACCGGTCATGGATGTGGGCGTCAAGAAGTAAATGCGGGGTCTTTCTTCGCTGGATCGTGTCAGAGTTTCCGTCGCAGAGATTCGTTCCGTAAAATCGCCTAACCGTCCAAAAGTTACACTGCAAGTAGAACCAAAATCCTAAAACCGTTTCCTCTAGAAGTTACACTTACAACCGTTATAATTGTTACACTCAAGTTACAACAGAACAAGTTACAATCGTTTCAGAGTTACAACTGTTTCTCTCGCTTATGATCATAAAATGCACAATGCTTACGAGCAGGAAATGGGAGGTTGAACACTCTCTCAACTAGACAACTCTCAGTATATCAGACAATTCTCAGTGTGTATTGCTAATGCCTTAAAACGTCAAATCGCAACAATTTCGTGCTTGTCTATATTAGTTTGCGGCATCATGCATCGTCCAACTTTACACCCGGCTTCAGTTGCTCCAGGTTTGTGACACGCGATCACCGTGCTATGAGAAGGTTTGTTACAAGTAGATCCATGATTTCGATTTGATGTGTCTCTTGTCCTACCTTCTGCTCTAGTGTCGAGCAAAGTAAGAAGCGCCCTATGTTGTGCCGAAATGAACTTCAACTGCTCGTCGGACGCCGCCTTGTGGGAAAACGAAAAGATTTCAAACTGTAAATGCAATAAATACAACAAAGCTGATGCAGCTGCCTTTGCTTCTGTCGCAGCTGGATGGAACGTACGTGTTCAGGAATCTGACATTTTGATTCACTGGATTGTCGTGATTGAACTGATAAAGCCATTGCAGCGGATGATTTCTGGTCATGGTCGAAGAAGCCGAACATGGAATATCTTGTTCAGTATCTGTGAAAAACAAAAATAAAAATTTCTGTGAAGATTTTTCCATACCTGCTTTCGTTCATGATCAAACAATCTGTATTGCACATTGGTGAAACTTCTGCAGTGCTGCCGGGCTTTTTGACGTTTTCTGGCGACGATCGTTTCCTTTCGTAAGTACAGTTATAACGCTGGACAGGTCGCGGTTGTATTGCTGTTTTAATACCCTTCTTTTTTGTACAACCAGAAACAGACCAGTACGTTGTTGAGCAGCTCCTTCAAACAAGGTATTAATTTCCGCTCTTCTTCATCCACCTTTTCATTTCGTATTCGTCCCTGCTGAATAAGTAAATACGTACATGAACAACAAGTATTGAGATCAAAATGCGTGCCCGCGTGGCGATCAAGCAGCAGCTGCGCGAGCGCAGGGCCGCGGAAGCCGCAGAACGGGAAAGGTTGGCGAAAGATCTAGCAGCGGGAGGTGATCCTGTTGCTGAGTTGTCCTCGTCCAGTGCCGCTGCAGGTCACCAAATATTAAACGCAAGCGAGGACAAGTTTGAAAGCGTGAATGCGTATTTCGGGGCGAAGCAGCGCAACGAGGTTGTGAGGAACCATCCCGACGGAGAGCAGGACAATCACCAACACCTCTCCACGCCGGGAAGGGAGCAAATCGAGGAGCGGAAGCGCAGAGGAGCATTGCTCGGCGCGAAGTCGACGGGCAGACGAGGGAGAGGAAACCGCGACCACTTTCTAGAGCAGCATAATATCCTGCTTCGGTCCATCCAGAAGTCGAAGAGAAAACGGTCGAAGCACTGGTCTAGTTCGCCGAATATTCTCGGAAATAATTACAAGAATAGTGAGTACAACAAACACGGGAATAAGCTACTCGCGCGGGACGAAACCGCAGTGTTTCAGAAACTCCATTTCGCCGCCGATGACTGGAGTTTCAAGTGGCTGACCGCGCCGGGTCTAGGGTCGTTTCGACCCGAAGATTTCAACCAGGTGAGACGGTTACTGGAGCGACACCCGATCTCGGAGCATATCGACGTGGAGGAAAATTTGGAGCAAATCGCTATGTGCATGGCCCACACGAACGCAGCTTTGGAATATTACGAATTCAATGCGGTCAGCGTCGCTGCAATAGAGCAGGGTCAGGTTCTTTCTCAGAACGCCATAGGAGGTGGAGGACATCAACAAAACAGACTTATCCCGCCACACCAGCACGAAGTCCAGAAGATTGCAAAAAGCTGGTCGCACGCGTTTCTGGACCTGGTCAGACTTGCCCGCGACCACGGGGACGCAGTGCGAGAACGGGAAAGAAAGATGGAACTGCGAAGAAAGAACAGGATGCCGAAAAGCAGGAGAAAAGTCGCGTTTAGCGAGGACGAGGAGGAGGTGGATGATGATAATGACAAAAAGAACCTTCCCAACGGTCGTGAAAAGAACAAAATGTCAAAGCTCCAACTCCAAACGCCTGCAAGAGGCGCGGCGAGCGGGGGCGGAAATAAGAAAAACATTAGGAAACCACCATCGAACAAAATCATCAGCGACTCATCTGCCTCCGACGACGATGATTTTGATTCTTCGGACGAGCTTGCGTTGGACGAGATGAACGCGAATCACAACAGTATGTTCGTCGCAGACCACGGGCAGTCCATGGTGGTGATGTTCCGGTCAGACACGGAGATCCACGCGTCCCCGACGAAGCCAGAGTTTCGCGATTTATTGAAGAAGCACCAGGTGCCCTTCGACTGCCCCGCCGAGAGCTTCGATTTGAAAAAGCAAACGGCCGCGACCGCGGCTGCGGGCGGCGAGAGAGCGGGGGTTCTTGACAGCAATCAGTTCGAAAACAGGCAAGTGCTAGAGAATTTCCTGAACATAGACCGTGGGGTAAGGGCAAATGTGGCCGTCGGGAAAAGAAAATCCTCGGACACGTCGGTTTTTGTCAAAGGGGTTGGTGCGGTTGCGGCATTCGCCGACGTGTACCGCATGGAACAGGTTCGCAGCTACTTGCAACACCCGACCAAAAACCCGGTGCCGAGACTAGTGGCGCAAAGACCCTTCTTAAACGCCAGCTACAAGCGGTGTAGTGCCAAAACCATGGTGGAAACGGTGAAGGGGGTCGCGATGAGCAATAGTACTGGCAGCAACAACACTGGTGCCGCGGGAGCAGGCGCTGGAACATCTTCAAGCAAGCAGGGTAACTCGAGCAAAAAAGATGAAAACGCGACGAGTAAGAGCACGACACGGCCGAAGTTAAACAGCGACGACAAGGTTGCGCCTATGAAGTTGAACATGGATGAGGATGACCCTATGGAAGACATAATCGCGGAAGCAGACGCTAAAGATAACCAAGAGAAGGACCAGAACAAAGAACAGCACGCGAAGCAAGCGACTGACATTCCTCTAGAGGAAAACGAAAGCGAAGAAGCTGACATCGAGCGGCACCATGTGACGATCACTGGCATTCTCTTTCCCCACCAGGTCCAGGCTTTTCTGATCAAAGCCACGGCATATCATCTGCAAAAGTATCGCGCTCATACTACTTCTACTTCAACATGCCGGTCGTGTTTTTACAAAAAGGAATATGAATCAAAATGTATGACTTTGTAGTAAGCACGGAGTCAGTGACAGTGACTTCGTTTTTACCATGTTTATTGTTGTTTGCAGTTCGCACGTGATAAAGAAAAAGATGTTGAGATACTCAATTTGCAGTGCATATTGCAGCGCAGGAATACAGTGCGTCGCTGGTGCCACTGTGCGTGTCTGGAGCAGAGGAGGAAAGGAAGTTTCTGAGGGAGGTTTCGTACACATGTGATGGGGAAATGGAAGAAGATGTGTTTCACATGAAATACGAAAAGATTCAGGTAGAGACAACTGGGTAAAAATGTCATAGGTATCACAAGCACAAAGTATGCAGCGCGGAAATCAGAATCGCATCAAGTTTTACGGCTCCAAAGCGAAAACATAGACAAGCGAAAAGCTCGTAGAAAGCATGTCATTTGGATGTGTTCGGGAATGGCGACGTTGACGTATGAAAGATTCAGGCGAACAAAGTGCGGCTGCTCTGGTGTGAGACCACGACGTCGACGCGACGTGACCCGCCGGTCTGCGTTTTTTCCCTCTCAAGCATTTTTGCTCGTGAAACAAATTTTTTGTTTTTGAAGATGGTTGCATCTCCTGCTTGTTCAATTTTAGAGAAAAAGAGTGCAAATATGGCCGGCCTTTCCGAGTCGCTGCTCGTTGGAGATGGAGCTGCAAAGCTTGTGGTTTCAAAGAGGCTGGCGCATCAATCATGTTTCCGTATAATTTGCGGCGAGATTATTGCTGAAAAAATTTAAACACAAAATCAAATGCATCTGAGTTGGCCCCCTAACGAACGGTGACAAGTGACTACGGTTCTCGACAACAAGCGCAAGTTAGAACGTGATCGCTTATCCTGATAGACACGTGAAGGTGAAAACAAAAATAAGTACAAACCACTTCTGCTCCTGCACAACAATTTTCTACCATGACAAACTGTTATTGCTGCGCTACTCAGTCCGCCCAACCGCAAAAATCGTAGCATCTTCATCGACGACGCGTGCCTTTCCTGCCACCACTACTTTCTGGTGGCTCGAGGGTCCACCTCCACCACGACCACGTTTATTTGTGCGAAAGTGAATTGACCGGGGAGCAGCACGCAGTGCAAATAATCCAAATCGCGAGTAAAAAAAACCTGTCTAAAGCCATTCGACTACCGCGGGCATCAAGAGACATGGCTGCTCGCGGAGGCATTGGGCGCGGCCATCCCAGTAACGTGGGTATGATGGACGCTGCATTTTTCGTGGGGAGGTCAGAGCTCCTGCACTGGGCAAACGAACGATTACTGACGAGCCTGTCGAAGGTACAGAAGTAGAAGGTGCACTAATGTGTGTGTGTGTCGCTGGTGCGTGTGCGGTTTGTGAATGGCAAACTGCGTCATGCTGTGCTTGTGTGGTAAAAAATGTGAATGACATAGTAGAACTTGCCTTTTTGTTGTTCGACAGGTCGAGCAATGCGCCTCCGGTGCCATCTACTGCCAGCTGCTGGACGCCTGCCACCCCGGCGGCGTGGTGCAGATGAAGCGGGTAAATTGGACGGCAAAAGTGGATCACGAGTACATTCCCAACTACAAAATCCTGCAAGCAGCGTTTGATAAGATGAAGATCGACCGAAATATCGATGTGGACAAGTTGATAAAAGGGAAATACCAAGACAACCTGGAGTTTCTGCAGTGGATGAAGTGCTACTACGACCACACATTCGCGGTATAAAAATGATATGTAGCACTAGTTGCATTATTATTTTTTCAGAGCTTTCATCTTTTTGTTCGTTTCATCGGCATGAAGAACACGAACCACGTAAAAATTCCAGGGTCTCCCCTACGACCCCATCGAGAGGCGCGACGGCAAGGCCTTGTTCGATTGGGCGCGACCCGGCGGTATGACGACCGGGCAATCGATGGTCAGCGAACCCAGCAACAGCCGCCGACCTGCACAGCGAGCGGTTTCTCGCTCAGAGGGCGGGCAGAAGAGTGCGAGTAGCTCATCAAGCTCCAGCCGAGGTGTGATTGTTGACTTTATAAAGCTTTGTTCATTTTTGACTTTTGTTTGCCAAGTCAGCACATTTGGTGACTCTGACTTCCTCGGAATGCTGGGACTGCAAAAAACACAATCCCAGCCGCGCTCCCGAGCACAGCCCCAAGTGGCGCTGGTGGCGCAGGGAAAGCGAGAATACCAGCCTCACAGCGCGGAGACCCGCGAGAAGTCGAATCACTGCGGGAGGAGTTGCGGAATATGCAAGTAATATTGCTTGGATTTCATCTTCTTGTCACGCCCTTACGTCAACAAAAAACTGAAACCGTGTTCCTATTTATGCATCCTCAGACCAAGTTGATCTTCTAACATGTGTTGAGATTCTTGCAATCCACCCACGCTCGAAGGTGACCGTGGACGGGCTTGAAACCGAGCGCGACTACTACTTCCACAAACTCCGCGAAATCGAGATTCTCAGCCAGACCCTGGATCCAGAAGATCCCACGGCAAGTCACACGATAGCACAGATGACGGTGCCGAAGCTGGTAAAAGAGGTACAGCAGATTCTGTACAAGGAGGAAGGACCCGCGGAGGGGGCCGGAGGATGACGAGGGTGCGAAGAGTGGACGGTCTCCTGGAGTAGGCTTATTTCATATGATAACCATAGAGATTCTGTTTAACGCGGCGGGGCGGTGCTGACACCGATAACTGCTGCTCAACATGGCATCCAATGATGAGTTGTACGTCCAGCAAGTTTTTGTGCCTTTTCTTCCGCACCAACATGGACCACGAAAATGCACTTTTTCGAGAGCGTGGACCTGGGTAGGAGAAAGTTTGGTGAATCTTCAAAAAGACACTGCAGGAATGATCTGGTCGCAATCTTTCAACAACATCTCGTTCATCTTCTCCGACCAATTATATAAAAAAAGCCAAATTATAGGGCGGTAAACGCAAACGGCAAGTCTTTGCAAATGTCAATGTCTCATGGTAATATGCGGTCCCCTTGATGTTCTCAAGAAACAAAGCGCTGCTATTTCTAAGCGGAAACATCAATTCAACTACAGCGAGCGTAACTAATCGAGCGCGCTTGAGTTCGAGATCGAGATAGAGGACCGCGAGTGGAAGTAGACATCGAAGTGAATGAGTGTAATGAGTGTGAGTTTTTAGAGGAGAGTTGATTGACGAGGGAGCAGCGCGCCACTATGGTTCTGCAGAGTGAAGAACAATGATTCCCTTCGTTATTTTGTTGGAGTTCATATCGCTAGAGGTGGAGACTAATTTTGCTTTTCCAGCTGCGTCGTGTGGTATTGTGCAAACGCAAATCGTCGTACGTGTCGGAGTGAGCTGCAATTCAAATTATATGATATTCGTGAAGGAGAGGGCACACATGATCACGACATTTCACAGCTCTTTTCTCTCCTTCGTCCCTGGGAGTACCCCTCCATATGTTGCAAAGCGCACCCTCACGTACCCGCATGATGAATTCAACAAAATTAAAATTTTGCATGCTAGAAAATCATAGGTGGAGGAACTCAGAGGTCCCATCTTGAAGTGAATTCTTCAGGATGGGCCTTTTCTCCTCAGGTGGCTCCTCGCCCTCCAGTACAGGAGGACAAACTTGTTCTGGAGGGCCGCAGGAGCAAACGTCAAGATGTAGCCCGACTGGTGGAGGAGGTCAAGAAACAAAATCCTTTTTTGCGGATAAACCGGGCTGCACGAGCACTGCTGGCGAGGTCGGCAGGCCTTCTTTTTTGGCTAGGATAGGTGCGCCCCCGACGCAAGATGCTGATGCACCAGGAAGAGAAAGCAAACCCAGCAGTGGAGATAGCTTTGACGTTAGTTTCACCAGCGCGAGTTGCAGAACATCGAGAGTTGCAGAGCCCCCGTCACCAAGGTGCATTCCAGAAGCAGCTTCTGCAAGTTTCATACGCGCACATCCCTCATTGCACGTCTTTGATCAAATTCAAAAGGTTGACCGCATGAACAGGCTGCCAAGAATACGGATGACCAGTGCTGCGCCACTGCTTGGCAACTTCGACATGGTTCCGAAGGAAGACGAAGAGGAGCAAGGTAGTAGACCGAGGGAACAATATGTTGCTGCAAACTTAATGACGAAAACAACGCCAAGAGAACAAACATTTCCGTCATCTCCACCTTCACCGAGCAGTTCTTCTTCCAGCAATTGCTTCTCGGGACAGCACAAAGAAAATGATCCTGCTATGACCATAAAACCGAAAAGAAAAACACCCCCAACAAGTCCAAGGCAGCACCAGTTTGTGAATATCAAGGGCAAGAATTTGAATTCGTTCCGGTGCAACAAACGACATGACGGACCACACAGCACAGCATCAGCGTCGTCGAGGAGCACCAAATTTGGGCTTTTCGCCTCCACCATAGCTGCATTTAGCAACTTCGCTTCGGTCGGTGTTACAGCTTCCCTATCCACCACCTCGTCCTCTCAGCAAACCGCTACGCATCTAGCCGAGAAGCAGTACCAGCAGAAGAAGCGGCAGAAGAAACGGAAACTGGAGCAGGAACTGCAGGATGAGTTTGCCTACCACAGCGACGGGGTCGTGTCTGTAGGGACAACATCGGACTCCACGAATTTAGACAGAAATTACGACACAGACAACCCGCCAACGTTTGACATCGTAACGAAAAGCAGCACAGAAGAGGAAGAGCGGGAAAAGCTCTTACCCGTGTTCTGGCAAGAAAAGTTGAAACAAATCAAGGACGACGTGAAATTAGACGGGTTGGAGGGCCGAGAATTAGCAGAAGCACACGCGGAGCGGCAATTGCAAGTGGCTGCGGTGTGGCAGGTATGAATATTCGTGTATGCCTCGATTTCGCTAGAGGAATTTGTTATTTCGTGTCATGCTCATGCTTGAGAAACAGAAATGCTTTGCTTTCTCTCCGTAGAATCCTACATGACAATTAACAAGGGACAACAAAAACATCATAACACCAGAACGTCTGCACGGAAGACGCTTACCAGCAATTCCGTAAAGAGCTTTGTCCCCCAACCTTCCCCGTCTCCGTTCTCGCGTACAACCCGTCCGGACCTGGTGTCACCGCGAAGTTGACAATCATCCTCCGACCCTCGATCACGTTGAAGCAAGTCGCGAACTCCGTGGAACTCGTGGCCCTCACCTTCGCCCTCCCGGGCTTTGGCCTGCCCTCAAACCTGAAACCCCACCCGACGGACCCGAACAAGAGGCAAATTGAGGTGACGGGCACGAACCAGCCGGCGGTGGGGGAGAACCCCACGACGGCGTACAACACGGACCAAAACGGGTTGTTTGAAACGCCGGCGTATTTCGATTTTGTGCAGTACAGTTTGCAATTGAAAGTGAAAGACAAGTACGAAATTCTGCACTCGGCGAACGCGAATCTGGAGCTGTGTTGCTTCGTCCTGCCGGACCAGCTATCGGAAAACCCGCTGGATTTCACGTTGATAGCCAGTCAGCTCTCCTACGTGCCCAACGAGCTCGGGACCGAGCCGACCAACAGTTACACCCTACCCGAAAACGGGACGCCGCAACCCATCAAAGCCGTGCCGCAGATCATCCGGGTGAATTACTTCACGCACGTAGAAGTCAGGTTCGATCCCGCATTGTCGAACGCGGAATCGGTTGTGTCCATTAAGGTACAGGTCAACAGCGAGTTGAGGAACGGAGCAAGGATCGTGGCGTATCTGCCCGATTTAACCCGGAACATCCAGTCGGAAAGCTGGCAAAACTTCCTGTCGTCGAGCTGTATTTTTTTTTGTTTCGTGGTGGTGGTGCTTGTTATCATAATCATGGTAGTTTGTCATTCAGGTTTTGCAAAAAAAAGGAGATGAAAAGAAATTTTGCGTCGTGCTCAGTGTGCAGCATGCATGTGCAACGAAAACATTTCTACAGCCGCCACCAGCACTTCCGACATGACGGGAAACGTCGGCTTCCAGACCGAGGGGAGTGACTGGGTGCTCTTCGAGTACTTCGCAATGTACAACGACACCTCAAAAGCGCTGACCTTCTTCCTGCGCACGGACTCCGTGCTGCCGCCGTCGAAGATGATCACCTTTAAGACGATCAAGGACGATTTCATTCTGCCGAACTCGTTGCCTTCGAATTCAAACCGGCTTAAAGTAGCAGCATTCAGTTACGACGGGGTAGACGAAGTGATCCAGCCAACCCCGGTCTTCCAGAGTGACAGGGTAGAGAGATGATTTAGATTTTTGATAGTGGATCTTCTTGTTTCTTGTTTTGCTGCTCTTTTTAGCATGACAAAGAAGTTTGCTTCAACGTTGAAGCCATGCATCGTATCAAACTTTTTCCCAAAAAAACTCGAAACCCAGATCCAAGAGATGCGCATGTTCCTCCAGTCACGGCTACAGTACAGCTCGGCGAGACAGAATGCAGAGATGACGAAGACCTACGTAGATGTGACGCTCACCTTCCAGACAAACACACCACTCTGGAAAGACAGCTTGGTATATTACATGCTTGCTGTGATTATTCTGCATTTATTACGTACCAAATCGTTCTTCGATGCCTGATTCTGCATCGCGTTCGCAAATTCCATGCTGAGGATCGATGAGCATTACATCAACAAAAAGATGATAGAACTCACCTAACCTGCGAACAAAACAAAATTATCCAGATTTACCTGCGTCTTCCGGGTTTCAGTGCGGAGATTATTGAAGTGCCGTTAGTAGGCAGCTACATCCAGTACTTCCGCAACCAGGAGGCCGTGTTCGACCTGGCCAGGAACGAACTCACTGTGAAAGTCATCCGGACGCTGTATTCCCAAGCGCCAAATCTGATTTCCGTCACTTTCGTCGACCTCCAAATCCCTCCGGCGATGTACGAGAACGACCCGTCGTTGCTGATTTGGAACCGCGACTGGGACGGGGTGGAGTCCCCGAAGCGATCTATCATGGCCTCCACTGCGATCAACAACGGACAAAAGGAGTTCACGCGGTCGGAAATCCGGTTTTCGCCCAACGAGCCGGACGTGGTGAGTAACGTCACCTTCACGATCCAGCCGTCGATTGTCTTTTACCAGGGAGACGAGGTGTTGCTGTACCTGTACGGATTCCGGTGTAGCAGTCGGGAAATTGTTCTGACCGGGGCGGATGCTTTTAGGTAAAAATACTGTTCTACTTAAGGTGTAAGTCGTGGGGCGAAATTTTTCTGTTGCGGACTTGGTACCTATCTGCACAAGAAGAGGTTTGTCTTGTGAAACAACGCATGACATCACCAGAGATGGTCCATTTTTCTGCCCACTTTCGATGATCCAAACTTCTCAAAAATAAAACAGGTTCTACGCCTACGGCTCGCATTCCCGTGGCGACTGGACGCAATCGACCTATACTTTGACTCTCCGCGTGCGCGAGGGCCACATCCTCCACCGAACCCAAGCAACGGTGTTCCGCATCGAGATAAACCAGGGCTTCCGGTTACCAGACAAACTGTCCGAGAACGACGGGATCTTGAACATAGAGGGCCGCGGCGCGTACATCGCGAAGGAGATGTTGAAAAAAACGCCCGCACTCGGTGGGAAAAAGTACATCACGAACAGCGAGATGGTGTTTGAATCCGCCGCGGGGCCGCAGGGGACGCTGTCGAATTCCATCGCAAGGGTGATGTTCAACTTCAAGGCGAACTCCGATATTCGGCCGAACTCGACCATCATCATCACCATGGGTGGGCTGACACGAGATGTGGGAACGGGTAATCTAGAATCCGGGATCATCACTTTATCCGGGAAAAACGCACCCATGTTTGCGTACACCAACATCACTTCCGGCGCGATCACCTACAGTTCCGGGTACTGGGACTCGGTTTCGTCCGAGTTGCGGGCGCAGATCATCCCAAATTTGGCGCCGGTGCCAGCGGGGGTCGAGACCATCTTCTTCATTGAGTACGATCAGAGGTTCAAACTTCCCTTCGCGATGTACTTGAACGACCCGTCTTTGAAGATAGCCGTCCCCGCGGCGGGGATTCCGCAGCAACTGTTCAATTTCACGACTCGGGTAAACGACATGGGGAAGCAGTTCACGGAGTCGCAGCTGTCCTACGGTGCCGTCGGGTCGGTGGCGCATCCGAACTCACCCATGGATCTGACGATAGAATTCGCAACCAACGTCGCGTTGCCAAGTGGAACGACAATACGGCTGACTTTGCCGGGTAAAGAAACGGATGATCCGTTTGTTGTTTTGTGGTTTCTTCGTGTAGTTTTTTGGTCTATAGCGTAAGAATGCGTTGTCGTCCCACCGCGCATCATGTTCTCCTTCACGCTCTCCTGCGCAATTGTTATCGCTACGCATCATACCATCGTGCGTAAGGTTACACTGCATGCTATGCTGCAGCGCTTTCTGGCTGATTGAGCGAATCCATTGTAGCAAAAGTTTGCACATCACGACAACCAATTTTTTTTTCTAGGTTTCATCTGCGCGGTCGCCCAACCAAAACTCGAGCCACCTCCTGGTGAGTCGCTCCTGCACTATTCCTATTTCTCCCGGAGGACGGTGCAGGTCACAACTACCGCAGCCAACGGCGCCACGCAGGTTCTGGACGTGATCGAGTACTTTGGGGAGTGGAACCAGGAAGCTTCCACCCTGGATCTAACGCTCCGCGCCGGGGAGGAGATCCCGCCGAACCAGGTGCACAAGATGACGATAAAGTCGAACCAGGCCAACGTCGTGTTCCGCCTGCCCAGCAGGCTAGACCCCAACGACCCGCGGTTGACGATTCAAACCACGACGAAGCAGATCATCAAGTCCCAGCCGATTCGCTCCTCTCCGCAGGTGGTCGACCGGTCGTTTGACATTTCCACTTTCTCCTACGACCCCCGGAACGCTCGGTCCACGTTCATGTTCAGCATGATGTTCAAGCCGACCGTGGATATCGGTCCGAACGACGACATCGTCTTGCGGCTCTACGGCTTCACCAATGCGTTGGGGAACACGAAGATCCACATGACGGGGCCGGACGCGGCCATGATCGAGGGCTACGAGGCGACCTGGAATCCGACCACCCAGGATTTGACGATTTCCATCGCGCAGGGCCAGGTGCTCCGGGGAAACCAGACGCTGTCCTTGACCATTCAGGAATCGCAGGGATTTCAGCTGCCGGCAACGTTAGAACAGGACGACCCGGAGTTGAAGGTACATATTTGATATTTCTGCATGGCACCACGCATGACAACTCTAGTCTTCCAAGTTCTGGCTTTCGTTAAAGAGCATGAGAAGTACACCACGACCAAAATCAAAAACCATTTTCACAGATCAAGTCCGGTGTGAACAACATCAAGCAAGCCAAAGTGAAAAACTCGCCAATGGTCGGCGACGGTCCGCACTTGAACCAGAGGTTCTGTATGTACCAATACGAAACGGGTACGCGCACGATCGAGCCCCGGATGTCCATGTGCACGATCAACCAAAATGTCGTCACCAACCCCTGCAGCACGCAGGAACTGCAGGAGGGCGGGTGCTTCGCGGATTTGGCTCCGGATGGTACGTCAATGAGTTAGATTCGTTTTATCGTTTTTGTGCTTTGAAGATTGAACTTACACGGGCTTACACACATGATGAAGAAATGAAATCTACGCCAGTTTGTGCAGAAGTTCTTTGGCATCAATAATCCTGGCAATTTTTTAGTAAACCAACTTTTCGAGGACAAAAAAGAAAAACTGCAATCCCCCCTCCCACGCCCTCAGGTGCCCCGGTCCCCCTGAAAATCCGGGGTTTCCAGCTCGAAGAGGCCGACCGCGTGGGTTTCGTGCCTTTGGATGAGCAGTGCCCGCCCGTCCCGGACAACTTCCGGGTGTTCGCCAACCTGTACGGCACGGCGCCGGATAGCAACGGGAATGGGGCGACGGTGGTGTCAGCCCGGCGGCTACGACGGGAAGAAAGGAGGCGGGAGTTGGAAGAATTGTTGAAGGAAAACCCGGCGGCCTTCTCGCCCGACGGGAAAGTCCCGGAAGCGGCGCTGGAGCACAGCAGCGAATGGCTGGAGGCGGAGGTGAAGAAGCACGACCGGATTATGGAGCGCCTAGAAATCCACGCGGCCAACGCGCGGCAAGACCGGGCGTTGCGGAGAAGACAGGAATTCATGCGGACGATGAAGCGGGAGCTGAGACAAAGACTAGAGGAAAGAAGAACCGCGAAGATGAACGAGGTCGGGTGGGCAAAGTGCGGAAGCAGCGAAATGCTGTGCACAGCTGCAAGTAACGCAGCTGCGTTGCCCGGAGGTAGTGCCAGTAGCAAGGACAAAGAGCTAGACAAGAGGACGTCGAAGTCATCTAAATCCGGTAGAAAACTGCAGGAGGTCGACTACTGGGGCGGGATCAGACATTGGTCGGATATTGTCGAAAGCCGGGAGCTGGATGAGATGATTTTTGCGGCGCAAAACGAGGTTTTGAACCCGGCATTCAAATTCGCTTCCTACCGGGAGTTCCAGACCCCAGGGGAACCGGTGCAGAGAAGAGAATTGATCGAAGAGCAAATACTAGCAGGATCATCTTCACCCAGTACATCTTCCAGCAAAAGTAGAGGCACAGCATCTAAAAAGACTCAAGCCGATAGGGAAATCGACGAAATCCTGGACCAACTCGACGCGGAAATTCTTCGCAGAATCCACTATCCTGTGCAAAAGTATCGTACTCGTACTAATTAATATATTTATATATGGAAGAAAACGGGGCCGGAGAGGTTCCGGTAGAGGGTGGGGAGAGGTTCCATAGAGGTAAAATAGAGGTTGGGAGAGGTAAAGTAGAGGGTCGGGGAAAGATAGAGGGTCGGGGAGAGGTAAAGCGAGAGGTAAAGGAGAGGGTAGGGAGAGGGTGGGTAGTATGTCGGCCCTTATAGCGGCGCTATACGCCCGAAGAGGGTAGGTAGAGGGTGGACAGAGGTCAAATAGAGGGTAGGGGGAGAGGGTCGGGAGGGTCCGAGAGGGTGCGTAGTATAGGGCGACCCTCTATGTGACCCTCTACCGCGACCCTCTCCGGGAACCTCTATTTTAACTCTCCGCGGACCCTCTCGGGACCTCTCCGACCCTCTCCCGGACCCTCTCCGGGACCCTCTCCGAACCTCTCCCGGACCCTCTCCCGGACCCTCTCCCGGACCCTCTCCCGGACCCTCTCCCGGACCCTCTCGCGGACCCTCTCGCGGACCACCTCCAGGAGCACAGCCTGCCCACTTGTCTGCGCGCGGCGCCCCCTAAAGAAGCTCGCTAGGGCGCAGCGACCGGCCGGCATTGTTTTATTTCGCTTTCAGATCAGAGCGGGCGTTCAAAGTGCGTGCGCCGCTCTGCGTCCCCCAGAGGGGGCGCGGCGCCACGCCTTAACCTGGTCGGCCACCTAGGGTGGCCGCAACTTCTTTCCCACAGCGACCGCGCGCGCTGGCAGCAGGTGCGTCGCCCTTGTGGCGTCTTGAACGTTGGCGCCCGGAAATAGTTTCCTGTGCGCATTTTCCCACGGCGCGCAGCTACTAAGGCCGGGCATGGTGCCGATCATAGCCGAAACATGGGCCGGGTTCTTTTTATTTGGTTGTGTAGCGGCGCGCGGTCATTGCTGGCGCCACCTTCCCCACCGGAACACCTCCACCGAACAGCCCCCTCCCCGGCGGCCTCCGCCGGGGGGTGGCTGGTTGCAATTATGCATGACAAATCTTATTTCTTACCGAAATCAGCATTACAAATTCCATTTTTCCTTCTGAAAAAATTTGTATTGCGATTTATAGGATACTAGTACGATACTTTTGCAATGCATATCCACGTAGAACAGGCGAACTTCGGGAAAGCGCGGACGCTAGCTGCGCTGGAATCGGAACAGACAAAGTTGGAGTTTTCGGTCGAGACGGAGCGGGCCTTGGAAAACGCGGCGTTCGAAATCGAAAACGCCTACTGGGCCGCGAAAGGAGAAGACGAGGGAAGGAATCTGGAAGGTATACTGCAACTAAGAGACTCACTTGTCGCGTGTTACTTTTGTGATGGAAGCATGTTGAAACAGGCGAATATTGTTACGTCTGCGAAGAAAAGCATAAATTACTTAAAAGAGAGGCTGAACCCAGTTTCCCCACCTCAAATACATGACTCTTCATCATCTTATTTACACGACAATTATCTACAGGCATCGACATCGATGTGGATCCCGAAGAAGATGTCCCCTCATCCGCCGAGCCCCGCGTCCTTACGACCGCGACGGCGACGACCACGATCGACGCGTTGACCCTGTACCTATCCTGTGCAAAAGTATCGTACTCGTATAAATGCATAGCATTTTCTCAGCATGAGAAACAAAATCTGTGATGCTGATTTACCTTGAGAAAAAGACTTGCAATGCATGATTGCAATACGAGTGCGATACTTTTGCACAGGATAGCGCCAGGCGTTTTACAACTACGACCCCTTCGCGGAGCTGCGGTTTTTCAGCAACTACACCTCCAGGGAGCTCTCGCAGGGTGCGGACGAGCTGACGTTTCACGGGGTCACTGGTTTAGAAGCCGGGTTTTTTCGGATCTGCGTCTTGCATCGCGATATCATCTACGACGTCGGGATGGTGATCGTCCGGCCCAGCTGCCCACCCGGCAAGGTGGCGGTGGACGGGACTGTTTGCGTGACCCACTGTCCGCCGGATACCATCCCGGTCGCCGGGAGGTGCGAGAATGAGGAGACTTACGGGTACAAGGATATACGAGTTTGATGGTTTTTTCTTTCCAAACTACTACGACCGCTCTTCGTGCGCGTTCTCTATATTATGACTACATGTACAACATTGAATTCGAAAATACGAACAAACCACAGCTATTCCGACCCCGCTTTCTTCATTGACGCAACCGCGTCGCAGCTGAAGCCTGGGCGAACGAGCCCGATCTTCATCGAGCCGGGCACCAACCTTTCCACCACCCAGTCCACGGTCGCAACGAGCGAAGCCGAGGCCTTGGCGCAGAACGTGGTGCAGCTCGTGTCCACCGACGCGTCCGCTTCGTCCACCTCATCCTCCGGTGCCATGGACGCGTCGAGCGCCGCGGCGACGAGCCCAGACGTGGACCCCAACATGCAGCTGCACATGGTCGGCCACCGCGTGAACCCGTATTTGAACGGAACAACCTACACGCTGACCACGACGAAGGGCGGGGTGGAAGACATCTACAGCCGAACGCTGATGGTCCCGATCAAGATGTCCAGTCCCGAGGCGGTAAATAACATGATCTGGAACCGCTCGGACGAGCACCCGGAGCGGAAATACTACGTCTACCGCTTCACGTACGAGCTGGGACAGCTGCTGGGCGTGAGTTCCGAAACCTTTGTCGTCGCGTCCATTTCCGAGGCCCGAACGGGCACGGGCGCCGCAGCGACGACCGAGGGGGTGATCGTGAACACGATCTTCCGGCCGAGCAGCGACGGCAGCACGCGGTCGGCGGACGAGCTGCTGCAACTGCTGGACGGGCTGAAGGTGGACATCCAGTCCGCGTTGCACGAAGAGGACGGGTTTTTCAAGAACATATTCCGTGACTTCCCGTTACGGAGCATATTCGTGTCGCTGTGTCCGGACAACATATATCGGTCGATCTGTCCTTACATGGACAGCATCATGGACCCAGACATCGGGTTCATCATCTACACGGCGTCCGTTTTCGGGATAGCGCTGATGCTCGCGCTGTTTCTCTTCGGCGCGTGGCGGTGCGACCACGACCCCTCCGACTCCAAAAAGGACGACAAAAAGTTCTTCGAAAAGGCCAGCAAGGGCGACCCGAAACTGCTGGACCCGGGGCTGCAAAACGAGTACGCTCGAAGCTGGCTCGAAGACCGGTACATGGGAGATGAGGTGTGAGGAGTGGTGGAAGAGGGCGAGTAGCAGAGGAGAGGAACAACCAGGAATATCAACATCTGCTACCGCTTTTTTATCTTCCTGTGATTCTGTTTTTCCTTGTTACTGTTAGACGGTAAGGAGAGCAGCCTGAACTTGTTCGCCTCCAGAAATGGTAAATTAGAATTTCTCCCTCATGTAACAAGAACAACAAACCAAAGCTAGTGTTGTAGTACAAGACCCTTCAGTTTTTTCCTCGAATTACATATAGATTGCAACCTCTTTTAATAAGACCTTATTTATCTGTAGCGTTCAAAGACCCGAGAAGAGATCAGCGAATCGTGGAGCAGCAACCGCCAGGAAGGGCTGCTGCCTCCGTGGTATTCGACTGAGAAAGTAAAGTCTTCTTGATTTTGATTTTCTAAAATGTCACGCCAAAATTCGTTCTTGAATATAGCAAACTCAGAGCTCTTTTCAGAACTTTCAGTTGTGTCGAAGTACCTCAACGTCGCGGCTATGCGCTGCCGGCGAACCTAAGAACAATCGTTTTCTTCACGCTCCTTGAAATTTACTTCTCGTTCTACTTCCCATATTGTCTTGTTATTTTGTAATTCGATGATAGCTAGAGGTGCAGCTTTTCGCTCGCACTTCTAAAAGAGGCTTTTGCCAAATTGCGTTTGCAAAGTGTACCAAGACGGTGCTTCATCAAAGGGTATCCAAATATGATGAACGAAGACGAACAGGAACAAGTCAAAGCTAATTCACGAAGATAAAGCAACAGCCAGGTGGCGGTGATTGCCAGACAGAAACAGCACATGATTTTTGATAGAGTTGTTGTGCAAAAGATCCGGGACCGGGAGCAAAGTCGCTGAAGTTGATTCGTAGAGTTGTTCAACGCTCCATGCTCCTTCGGATCGACATCGATGTGAGTATTGTAGCACTTCTGATGCCATGCCGGACGGGATCACCTTATTAGCCTTTTCTTTCTCTACATTGTCCAGTGGATACAGCCAGATTCAGACTGTTTTCGGTCTTCTGCTGCGTAGCAGTTATTAGCAGCAGCAGAAACAGAATCAGTACCATACACTAACATTTTTCTCCACCAGAAGGGATCAGTTGAGGCTAAACTCCGATCATGATAATGTCATGAAAAAAGAGGGACCGTATACCGTATTTGAAAAGCATAGGTACGCAACCATTCTAAGTCTTTGGAATTGATGACAGGCTTGAGTCTTTAGCAAGTGTGTCCGTGTCGCAAAAGCAAGATGGAAATAAAGTGCGAGACCATGAAGGCCAACGACCCCAACCAGGAAGCCGCTGCCCCGCAGCTACCAAAACAGCCACGACGTGTGAAGGTGCGTTTTACGACAGCAGCTGATGAGCTGCTGTTTGAGTACGATCCCTCGGCAGCGACGAAAAACGCCAAGCGCGCGACCGCAGCGCACAGTGCGAGCGAACGTGGTGCTGACGGTTCTACTAGCGGTGGCGGAGGTGGCGCAAGCAGCGTCTTCACGTCGGAGAATGAGGTCGACGATCCAAGCTGGACCTTTGCCGCTGCCAAGCTCGCGTTTGAAACTTACCTGGCGGAGACGGCGGCGCAGTACAATGTCTACATCAAACGACCGGCAGCTTACGAAATTCCTTACGACCTCTGCTACAGCAACTGCGGCGACGAGTTCGGGCGAATGAGGCTCCGCAGCATACGCTGCAGCGGTCAGACACCAGAGTTCAACGATGCCATTCAGAAGCGGGTCGAGCTAGCTCTGGACTGTCGACTGTACGTAGGGTTTACTCGTCAAACTGAAGAGCACATGTGTGAATGGGGCACATGCAAGGTACATGATGAGGCCGGCGCCGGCAATTATGATATTAGTACCATCCGAGACCGAGCGGACTGGAACTGGTCCTTTCTCGTTTTTTACACGCCCGGTTCGCGGAGACAGTGGCCCGTGCTCAACCATCCTGGCGTTTTGAGTCGGCGGGAATTAGAAGAGCTACAGATTCAGCCTAACGGCGAAACGTCTGTGTCGATCAAGTGCTCATCTCAGGCCGTCGAAATGTTATCGCAAGGGTTTGAGAAGGATTTGCGGGTTTCTTTGGTCGGTGGAATCGGTCCCGAAAATATGGACGCCATGACGTTCGATCGGACTTATGGCAGGGCGCTGAGGAAGTACACTCGGACTCGCTGTCGCGATGGCCAACATCCGCGTGGACCAGACATGGGTTCAAAGAGGGCAGACATCAAAGCTGACCTCCTTGATGAAGCCGTCATTTACGAGTTTGGTAGCGTTTTGGAACAGAGCAAGTTTATTGCGTACGTCCGCGCGTGGGAGTCAGTGTCGTGGAATAACGGCGGCGTCAAACCTGCCGCAGACGAGGAGGAAGATCCAATGGTTGATCAGGATGACGATGCATATCTTGCACGCCTCGAGGTGAATTTGTCCGCGCCTGGGCGTAGCTGGAGCGAAGAGCTTCGGCAGAAAGTTTCCTGTGAGTATTTCCGTCGGTTTTTTTACGGAGACCCGCAGGAGTTGCGACAAAAGATTCCCGAGGGGCCCCTGCGGGAAAAGTTCGACTTGCTAGATAAGTACTTCATGCGAACACAGATCGTGGCGAAGCCCAAACATGCCCACAACAAGCTACGGCCCCCCAGAAGCATGGGTGAAATCGTGTACGGAAAAAGCGGCCCCGGCGGCGCGGTGGGGCTGCGGTATATTCTCAACAGTGCGACAGACGGGACGGCGGACGACCAGAAGGAGCTTGGACTGGATTCTGACGCAAATGCGGAAAAGCTAACCGACCTGCTCTCCACGTCTACGGAAGAAGAGCAGAAACATCCTACTGGTACGCCGGATGATGTTCTTGATAGCAACAACTTCGAAGATTATGCAAGTGAGAACTACAACGAGGACGATAGCGGTTCCGGGTTCATGGACCACGACCAACAAGAGAAGGGTATTGACGCGGATGTACCCAAAGCTAGCAGCGAGTCGGGAGGTTCTGAAGATCACCACACACAGACGATCCAAGTGTTAGTCGTCATGCCAGCTCTGGAAGGCCTGTGGGCGAGGTTAGAGACGGAGGATCTGGAAGAGAAAAGTGCCATTTTAGAGAGCGAAAAAGCACAAAGACGCACGAAGATGATCGGGGAGAACTAAATTGGAACATTTCAAGCGGCCTAAAAGACTTCTGCACTTTGAAGGAAAAGAAGCCATGATATGCCTGTCGGATGTAGTAAAATGAAAACTCTGGTGCGCGTAGTAGTTCATCTTCCGAGGATAATAATTTCGCACAACATGAATAGAATCGGACAAATAACTCGTGTGCCATCCCATAAATGAAGATGACTGGCATCCGCTGGACGACTGCGCAGCAGAGGCGTCTTTTTGTTTGTCTCTTTCCTATGTTGTTCTCGTTGTCAGTCACAAGTTGTAGAAATTCCGGCAATGGCAAACTTCGAGTTGCATCATTTGATGTGTCAGAAGTCGCAGTCGGTTTTTTGTGTTAATTGTCGTCTCGCGTATTGAACGTGGACTTGCGGAGCGGGCTATGACGACGACCCAAGGTACTACACATGGGGCTCTCCTTACTGAGAAGTGGTGGTCGGGCCAGACTCAAAGCCCGAGCATGGGCGTAACAAGAGAGCAAAAGAGAATAAACGCTTTCATGCTGCGACAAGATGAGCCTGAGCTTGATCACCAAAATCGTACCGATTTGCAGAATGAAAATAAAAAGCACAAGTTTGTCCCACACAACTATCCAGTAGCGACCTTGCGTGGCGCGAGCGGAAAAACTACTGCTGCAGAAGCCAAATTTTACTACAGGAGCTTCAAGAGCTCGTTCTTTTCCACTTCAATTTGGCCTTCTACTTCTTGATTTCAACAGATAAAAAAAGATGCCACAGTATTCGGGTCCTTTCGCGTCCCACCAGCTTCAAGGTGGCGGGTCTATGCCATCGACATCTTCGTCAACCTCAGCCAGCAGATTGCGTCAACCCGCTCCTGTCTCAGCAGCCGGAACGACTACAGCCTACACAACTAGTACCGCCTCCTCCACCACCCGCGGCGTTCTCCTCTCTGCGTGTGCGAATCTCGAAGAGGAATTCATCGTCTTCACACGGGAACTCGACGCCTTGCTGAACCGGAGATCCACGATCTCGAAGCAAATTCTGATCCGGGTGCGGGCCTGGCGAGAAAGGCTGATGTACGTAAACGCCAATTCCGCGTTTGAGCGGTTACGGAACCTCTACCTCGGGCTACTTTTTTACTGCCTATCCGCCGACGACTGGAAGCACCCGCCCGTGAACAAAATGCCCAAAGAGCAGGCGGGCCCGGTGCCGGGGCTCCCGCCCGATGTGGTGTGCATGCTGCGCCACCGAATCGGGCCGGCGCTGTTGCGGGAGACGTGTGCCGTTTTGGACACGGAAGAGAGGACTTACCGGGCAAAAGTCGTGAACGGGAATGTAAAAAGCATGCAGCGGATGAATCATTCGGCGATGATGGTGCATCAGGGGCATTTTGGAGGTGGGGGTGTAGTTGTTGATGGGGTTATACAGAATTTGTTTGAAGATGATCCTGCTGCTGTTCAAGCCGCAACTATATCGGGTACTAGCTGCGCTTCAAATAAAGCCGCTGCGAAAAAAGACGGGTTCTCTGTACATCAGCTGCGAGATGTGGTCGCTGCAGCGGCAGAAGGCGGGCAAGGAATTCTGGAGCAAAGCGGTGATGTGCTGGCACAACAGTATCATGAACATCAACGACCAAATGCGACCCTTCCGCTTTCCCGCAAACAATCCATCTCGCCGCCACGACGGGGCGGCGGCACTGATAGGGATGTTGGCGTAGGCATGACCGCGATTTCCATCATTCCAGACCAAAGTGCCCTCGTGGAGCCGAGCGCAGAGTTCGAGAACACACTGGTGGACCAAGATCGGGCCTTGGAAACTGCTGCAGCTGCGGAACAAGGAGGTCCCGAACAAACGAAATCGCCTGCTGGGCGAGCAGAACCTTCCGCCGGACAGCACCCGCGATGCAGAGAGAATAACTCAGTTTCGCCAATGCCGAGAAGGGCATCTTCGGAAGTTGTTGGGCAGTCTGGCCCTGTGAGGCCAGATTCTACTGAGGATCTTGTTTCATCAGATCCGGGTCAACAAGTCCAGCCAGGAAACGACCAAGAACAGCAGAAGAATGCTGCACAGGCCTCTTCGCAGCCCGGCGTTCTCGTCTTTTACCCGGACGATCACCAGCATCAACTGATCCCCGACACGGTGACCAACCGGCTTCGGCAGAAACAGGTGCACCAGCAGCCTCCGTTCAGAACCGGCCCGTTCACCCCCACGTCGCGCCGGGTCAGCATTTCCACGGTGCCAGCGGTGAACGAAGTGTTTGTTTCGCCGGGAAGAACTACGAGTCGACCGAGAACTGGTTCAGGGGGCATAAACCTTCAGATACGATCAAGAAACGCGTCGAATTCGCCAACATTGGAAGAGCACCAGCGGCAGAGGCTGATCCGGCAAGATTCCCTACAGTACACAGGTGTTGGTGCACCAGCCGCGCGACTGCCAATAAATGCCACGACGGCTTCGATTGGAGGTAGCGCAGCTGTGATTTACAGGGGTCGGTCGGGAAGTCGACCAGCGGTTCTGGTCTCGTCAGGAAACGCAGTAAGAAATAACAACAGCCAGCTGAACAGCCAGGGCCGCGTGCGGGGAAGTCCGAAGGAAAAGGAACACGTGATCTTGCACCACTACCACCACCACGACAACATGCGCATTCAAAACTTGGAGAAGCAGGTCCGCATCCTGACGGCAGAAAACAAACGGCTGCGGACGCAGGTACTTATCATGGATATCAACAAGAGAATATTGTTTTTATCTTCATCATGCCCGGATGAACTTGTTTAGCGGTGCTTGTGTTGATCATGTTGTTCATGCTGTATTTCAAGAAAGAGATGAACTTGGGCATGTGAAGATGACTCCTGCTGTGCATTTACATCCTGTAAGGTCCGCCAAGGCCAAGTGCGGGAGGAGCGGTTGCGCAACGCGATGAGTCTCCGGGAGAAGGCTTACGTTGACGCCCCGGACGGGGAACCGTTACGGGACAACTCGGCGGTTCTAGCCTACGTGATGCAGTCGCCGCGGAGGGACGATCTGGAGTTGCTGGACGATAATAACTTCCACAACTACTCAGCGAGCAGACCGGTAGGCGCCAACAGGACGAACAGCAGTCGAAGCCCGCTGGAGGCTCAGCCCCTACCCGCTTCGCAGCAAGAGCGGAAACAGCTCATCCAAAACCCGCCGGTCGCGTCTCTGAGCAAAAGCATGCTGTTGGATGGTATAGAAAGTTTGTGATGGTGGTGTTCTAGTACGGTTTTTATGGCTAATATGGGTATCTATAGTATGCATCATGTAGGTTCATCTTCATCTGCGCGTTACATGTAGGAAAGACGAACGTCTTGATCTTCTTTTCCAAAAAACCAGATCAAGCCTTCCTTGCGGAACTAGACAGGAAGCTCCAGGCCGACGTTCCCTACAACGCTTTTTCGTCGACGACGCACTCGAAATCCACGGCATCAAACGGGGCGCCGGCTGAGGAGTTTTTGCACTATTTGGACGAATTTCAGTTCCAAACCAAGAGTCTGCTGGACCGGAAAGACAGTAGTAAACGAATAAACAGCGCTTCTCCGCCAAAGTCAAGTTTGGTGGGGAAGTTTACCGGGGGGAGCAGTCCGCCGGGACACTTGCAGGTATGTGCATGATGTGTTAAAAGGAACCCAATCCTGCTTCTGTAATTATTCAGGGTTGCAAAATTATGCTGGGCATCAATGGCTATGGGCAGTGGTTCACTTCTTGAGAAGTAGAAGGCAGGAGAAATTGTAAATCAATCTATCGCACAGCTTAAGGACGGCACGGTGGTTGGGGTTGCAGGGAGCGGTGCCGCGAGTGGTGACGTAGACAATTTTTCTTCGCGAGAGCTGGTGGATTTGATTGACCGGAGCTTGACGAGCTGATGCTGATTCCAATGTAGAGGAGCTTCGTGAACGTGGTGATCTTTTCAGTTTCAGTTTGACAAAATTGTGAAAATTTCGCGTGGCGCCGTCAGCCTGGGCAAACTGACACACTAGGCAAAGCCAATAAATCTGGAAAAATCATCTTCCAGTGCTGATGTTGAAATGTTCTGCTCGTGTAAGTTGATGGTCCATGATGTTCGTGGTCACCGCCTTGCTTTCGTATCGTCGGCGTCCGGATGAAATCATTTCAGTTGGAAGTAGAGTGCGACCGAGAAGGGTGCCGATGCCCCATGAGAGCAGGAGCCAATACAAAGAAAAATTGATGGAGATACAAGTCTTGTCGTCCTTCACTGTTAAGTGCATCGTTCTTGCCCGATTGTCTTTGTTGCTGTCGTTGTTCATCTCGAAGTCGCGTTCGTGCCGCGGCGATTGACTTTTGTACTCCTCGCTGTCGTTATTCTGTTCGATGTCGTCGGATGAAGATGCTCGATGATGAATTTACGTGTAGCCATACCTCCCCTTTGTGCGAAAAGAAAAACATCCGACTCTCCTCGAGCCCATCAATTACAGCTACGGCGATCTTCCGAGTAAATTGCTGTGTGATGTGCAGCTCTTGCTATTAGTGCCGCTCACGCAGCTATACCATAGCATAAAAGCGGAAAACTTTGTCATTGTGGAAGTTGCTGCCAAATCGCGCGAGTGTGGCCGCTGCTCATCATCTGCGTCTTTAATCGGCCTTTGCAGAAGTCGTGACTTGCCGATGCCACGGTGAAGTAGAAAAGCAATCCAACACTGACTGCTCGTTCGTTGCCCGCGTCGGTGGAGGCGGTCCGAGGAGCCAAAGGCGAAGGCTTGCCTACTTGCGTCGGAGTGGCGAGCATTCAGCGGTCGAAGAGCACAAAGCGACAGCTCCATCAAGACCAAATCGGAAGACACATCCGGCGTTAATAGAACGAGAACTCCACTGCAACTACGACACAGCTCGCAGGAACTCAACGTCATCGGCCATAAAACCGCAGGACGATTATCAAATGTAAAAATGTCTGGGTCTGGAAAAATGCAGACTTTTGTCATGCTGTTTCTGCATGACACAAAATGTCTGTCATGGAAGCCCTAGCATCACAGATTTCGAGAAGCTTCCGCATTGCTTAATCCGCATGACAAATCCCGCATTTTGGTGACAGGAAATGGGCGCCTTTTGCTGCCTATGCATGAGAGATTTGTCTGTGTTGTGAAATGCGCATCACAAGTTCGCATCCTTCCAGACCCAGACATTTTTACAGTTGATAACGATTATGGCAACCCCAAACAAGCAAGGCGTTCCCGGGAAGCAGGCCTTCTTGACGGGCCTAGAGCTGGAAGAGCCAACCTATCATACGACGTCATCCAGCTCCGAATTTCGGGAACTAGCAGCATTAGACCAGCCACAGGCCGCAGCGTTTCGGGTGGAGGATGCCAGGCTGCCACTGCAGGAACAAAGTCTCGTGGTTAGCCTGGAACAAACGCAGAATGGTATCATAATTTGATGCAGTTTATTATTATTTCTTGTTCTCACTCATAGACAGAAGCAGCGTCGAACAGGAGCTCGTCATGTTTGTCATGCATCTCAATCATCGGTGCAAGAATACGGCATGGTCCACTGAATTTCGCACATTGATATATCAGGTGCGAACGTCCAACCCGTGTTTCCCCTCCCGGAGTCGCTTCCACTCGAAAAAGTGAAAAAGAATTGCGCGATAAATATCGAGTTCTCAGGGACCGAGCAAAACCGCGCGAGGGCTGTTTGGGCGGGCTGTTTTGCGAGTCCGGCGGCGGATAGCATCGTGGCGGATTTGTTTTGGTGGACGATATGTTACTACTTCAAATCCGGGGAACAGGTCGAAGAAGAAGATTTGCTGTTTGACAGAATATCCATGAATTACGTCGCCATGTTTGCCGCCGTGCCACCGTCAAAGCGCGACTTCTTCTTTCCGCACTTTCCCGACGCGATTGCGCAAGCGGTATTTTGTTGTTCTCTTTACGCCTGATGTCGGATTCGATTTGCAGGTACACGGTTATTTCATGCAAGCACTACGGATGGGAATGCATATGCAATAGGTCTTCAGAGACGGACACCCCTGAAGACTGCAGTCACACTTCGCTGGCGCCGTTTCAGCTTATCATGGTGCTGTGCTTGCTATAAGAACACATGATACAACAAAATAAACATCGATCCTCACAACTCAGGTCCTCTATTGCCTTTTCCTCGCCTACCCAAAATCAAGAACGCACTTCTCGGATACTTTTCGACGAGACTTGGTGTCCCGCGTCAGCTACTGGTTTACCGGTTTCAGGCCGCAGTTTCTGTCCATAAGTCACTGGAAACTGAATCTGGGCGGCGGCGATGTCTTGCAGAGTGCAGGAGGCGGGAGGGGGGCCATTCCGTATTTATGTCATAGAAAATACATGAAAAGGTTTTTTGTGCTAGCTCCGCAAGTTTGTCAACACACATGGCAAGGCTGTTCACCTCGGAGGTTTTGTGCCGGCTGATATTGAAACTGCAAAAAATTCAGTGCCCTCACTGCCGGCAGTTCGTCGAACGAGGCGACGCGGGCGCTCCTAGACCAGGCGAAGCTCGACGATTCGCCCATAAAGCAGCGGCCGCCGAGGGTGTTACGCACGTTGCGCCATTCGCCTCTGCTTGAGCACTTCGTGAAACAGCAGAAGTTCGGGTCGGCAAACCTAGTGAAGGGACTGAAAATGCAGCTCACCGAGTCCGAGGAGCACGTGCTTCAACTGGACAGAAAACACTCAAAACTGCCTGGACAGGCCGCCGCAGCGACGAAAGTCAGCGAGGTAAGTACGAAGATTCGCACTTCTATGTATATAATATTGCACTTACTGGTGTGTGATTCTTCATCTTCACCTGTGCTGTCGGGCCTGTAGTTACGGTACAAGGGTTGTCATGCGTTAGTTCAACAAGTTCGTTTTCAAATTTCAATGCAAGACCGAAAGAAAGAATCCAACCAAAACCAAAACGACAGGATCTCCTCCTCGAGTATGAGAAGATGAGTCAGGAGCTTCGTAAGGAGGAGAACGCATTTGCGGCGAAAACAAGATCTGCGGAGCACGCGGTTGACGCGAAGAAGAAGGAGGTTTTGCGAAAGTCGCCACACGACTTCGCGAACTACCTCGTTTCGCTGAAGCTGCTGCAGAGTGAGTAGAGATCATCTGCCGGAAGGCGCAGTCGCGTTGGCCGACGACATGGAATCGAACCTGAGTCCTCTCATGAACAGTTGCACATCTTTACAGCAGCACGCCACCTGATTTACTTTCCATTTAACCTGAAGAAGCCAAACAAGAACGCACCGTTCTTTCCTACAGAGGTGCTGGAGCTAGCAGCTTTCTTTTGTATGATTTGTGATTGCGCTTTAGACAGAGGACAGCCTCGACGTAGAAGAAGTGCTGGACGAGGACGACAAGAAAAAGCGCAATACAACTAGCGGAGGTATCTACGCGGCAAAACTTCTGACCTACAAGTACAAAGGCTCGGAAGAAAGTGGTGTCAGACCACCTCCCACTAGTTGATTGCCGTCCTTATTTTCGCACATAGCGAGACGGAGACGTGTTGTGCTATCTTCTGAGCGGGCTTCAATCAGACAGTTTGTAACTGAACCGAAACTCAATAAACGGTCTGGCTTTAGTATCCCTGTTCGTAAAAGAATTTTGGTTTTCAAGTCCCTCCTTGTACAATATGCTGGCTTTTAGGGTGGGGCTACTGACATCAAAGATAGAAGAGGCGAGATGTTGCACTCTAGTCGATGTTATCTGGTCGACCTGTGAAGATGTCGCTCCACATCTGCCACCTGTTCGTCTTCGTTCTCGTTGATGCCGAGAAGATTTTTAAGTAATACGAGGGAGTGTATGTATAAACTAACAGCTGCGATTAATAAGACGAGTCGTGGGACGAGAGAAACAAGAGGTCAAAGATCAACAAGGAAAAATCTCCTTTGTCCTCCTCGTTTGCCGCAAGGAGAGGCTCGTGCGGATCGTATTCACCTGTACTGTTTGATCCCTCGTTGAAAAAGGTGAGTCGCACAAGCGATAAATAAACAATCACCTCCGTTCTTGTTCTGATTGTAGCTAGCTTGTTCTCTTACTCTTTTCTTTTCGAATCTATTGTGTTTTGTTTCAAATTTGATTCCGTACTATTTACATCTGTCATTTTGCTAAAATATTAAAAGGTTTAAAGACCCCGTCCTATGGCCACTCCCGCCTCGACGCCTGCAGATGCGGCCGCTACAGAGAATAGCACCACGACCCCCGAAGGTGGCGGCGGGCTCGGCGATACCACCGTCATTGCGACCGCAAATTGGGCGAACTCGTTTTTCTTCACCGTCATGGCTACTTGTGCGCTGTTTTTGCTGATGGAAATCGGAGTTTTCTACGCGATGAAATCCACCTTCACTGGGGAGGACTCTGGAGCGGGGAAGGACAAGCCCGCGAAGCCAAAGGCCCCGACCGCGGGGACAGGCGAGTTAGGTGAGCAGGACAACGACGGAGACTCGAGCAGCAGCGGGTCCAGTACTGAATAGAAGTTTATTTTTCATCCGGACTTGTTACAACGAGAACGACGGAGAAGAAACTGCAACCGGAAGTAGATACAACGCGCCTCAGGAGAATCGAAGCGGCATCAGGACCTCGAGGTGACGAGATGAACGACTTGTCAACTGCGTCTTGTCAACATCATCTTCCGCAGTAGCTACAAAGCGCACAGGAAAAAAGCAAACAAGAATACTAAACAAACAATCCAGTAAAAACGACCATGCAAGTAGCCCTCGTGGAGCGTCTCGCCTGCTTCGGCAGGCAGCAGGTCGTTCTGTACCAGAAGAATCTCTTTCTCGGGTGGGAGCGGAAACGGATTCGGACCCTCCTCGTGTCCATCGTTTTTTCCTGCCTGCCGATTGTTGCGATTTACAAAATGACGAATGCCATGGTTTTGGACCAGCTCAGCGTTTTGCTCCCGGTCTACCTCGTTTTTGCGATGTTCTCCATGGTGCAGTGCATCGTCGTGGACATTGTCGGGGAGAAGGAGACGAAAATGAAGGAAGTCATGCACATCTACGGCATCATATCCTTTGCAAAAGAAAAAGTCTCGTACTCGGATAAATCGCCGTCATGCAGCATGTTGACAGATATCTGCGTCTACCTTTTCCAGCATGGCAAATTCGGATTCCATTTTTGCTCTTGGCAATAAAATTTGTCATGCGATTCATACGTACGTACGACGCTTTTACTTTTGCAATGCATACAACACACCCCAGAACTACTGGCTCGGGTGGCTGCTGTGCTACGGTTCCTACGCGGCCCTGTGCGTCCTGGTCCTCATGGCCGTGCTCGCGTACTGCACCAGTTTGTTTCAGGCCTCGAATCTGCTTCTGGTCTTCTTCGTCTTCACGGGGCAGTACGCCGCGTTGATCGGCTTCGCCTGCGTGTTGTCCGTGGTGTTCGACCGGGCGCGATCCGCATCTATCGCAGCTTCCGCGAGCCTGATGCTGGCCCAGGGGATTTCGACCACGGTAACGCTGAACCAAAAGGACATCGTCGACGCCTTGGGCTTCGAGCAGATGGGTTTCGTTTTCGCTGTTTTCAACTGCGTCTTCCTCCCGAACTTCTGCTTCTCGCACATCTTGTCGAGGTTGTGCAGCCCCACGGCGGGCGCCGCGTTTCTCCCGGTGGTCGACACCGTGCAGGAACAGCTTTGGTCTTTGAACGAACAGATGGCGGCGTCCGGGAGATTCCCAACCCCGCAGGACCTCATCGACCGGTGGAACAGCCAGCCGGTGCAGAACACGGTGAAGCACGTATCCGACTTCCTGAGAGAGGGAAAAATCGCCGCCGAATCCGCGATTGCGCGGGCGCACGGTAGAAAAAGTAATGCAACGTCGTGGTCAACATCAACTGAAGGAAGCGGAACTCCTGCAAGAACTCCATTGCCAACTACAGATTCTTCAAAGAACGAGATCATCACCGCCGGCGTCCCGCTGGCCTTTGGCAACGACGGATTTTGGGAGGTGTTGGACTCCGAGCCACCCGGGACGCTGCCCTATTCCTGGTTGCTCTTTTCCCTCACCTTGTCTGTCTTCTTCTACTACCGGATGGCGATTTTCGTGGACAATCGCTGGCAAGGAGAGTACGGCGCAAGGAAAAAAAACTTTTTCGACGTGTTGCGGTTCGGCAGTATGTACGCGAGCTGCGTAAATTTTTTGTGCCGAAGGTTAAGTTGGGGTGGAGGATCTGAACGTGTTGGTGACGCTAACGGGGTTGGTGTACAACAAAATTTGTTACAACCTGCTCCGATGGTAACAGGCACAACTGCAACGAGTACTGCCGCAACAGGCGCTGCAGGTTCATCCGTGTCGGGTAGAAGTTCTGGTTCCGGTCTGTCCTCCAGCGCAACGACAACCTCGGCGCCCGCGATTCTGGAGATTATCAAATGCAAAAATGTCTGGGTCTGGAAGATTTCTAGATTTGTCATGCATATTTTCCATGAGCCATGACGTCTGTGATGCATGCCGTAGCATCACTGATTTTTAGAGGGCATTGCGATACCTCTACCGCATGAGAAATGCCCTCTCCGCGTAGCACAAACTGGAGTCCTCTTGCTGGTCATGCAATACAAATGTTTTTAGAATCCAGCGACAGCATCACAAGTTTAGAATGTTCCAGTCCCAGTAGACATTTTTGCATTCGATAGAGATCAAGAACCTGCAAAAGTCCTTCGATTCCATGGCAGCGCCCGCTTTGGACAAGGTTATGGGAGTGTCAGGATCGAAATTGACAAAATCGAAAAATTTGTAATGCATAAAATGTAGGGCACATATGGCCTGTATTGGGGAGCAGGCAAATGAGACCGATTGCAAGCCTGTTTAGGGAAGGCGATGCGCTGCCGGAGTAGCATGACAGGAGCAGTCTTCTTTTCCGAAACAGCATGACAGGCTGGATTTTGTTGCTCCCGAAATTTGTCATGCACCACTTGGAAACTAGGCTCCAACTGGTATCCATTTTATGCATCACAAATTATTTCGATTTTGTTGATTTCGATCCTGACACATCCATAAAGGTTTCTTTCACCGTACACAAGGGTGAGATTTTTGCCTTACTGGGACACAACGGCGCGGGGAAAACGACATTGGTGAATTGCTTGATCGGGCTACTTATGGATTGTAAAAATGTCTGGGTCTAGAAATTTGTCATGCTGGGCGGCGTATCATAAAGAGGCCTCAAGTGCTGGCTCAGCATGACAAGCTTTTGAGCTTCTAGGTGTTGCCTATTCTGCATGACAAACTGCGTTTTTGCATGACAGCAAAGTGGAGCTCTTGGGTAACGTGTGTGACAGGTTTAAGAGTCATGCCAGACAAGCATGACAAACTTGCACTCTTCCAGACCCAGACATTTTTGCATTTCATACTACTCCGGGCGGACTCCGGGGATGCGACCGTCGCGGGGTACAGTGTTGCGGACGACTTGGAAGGTGTGAGGAGGCACTGTTCCATCTGCCCGCAAGACAACCCCACGTGGCCGGAATTCACGGTGAGGCAGCACTTGACCTTCTTCGGCGCCGCGCAGGGCCAGAGAAACGTCGGACAGCTGGTATACAGTGTGTTTTTTGTTGATGATAGCTTATTTCGCGTTACGAGGTACTAACCGCAACGAACCGAGGTCGGGTTGCAGCTGAATGCGCTTTCGATGCAGAATGCTCGCGCTAATCCTTCACATTTTTATCGTGCAAAAAGAAAACAAAAAGTACTAAAACTACACTATGACATCAACACAACCAGGTGAAGAAATACGCGAAGGCCCTGGGTCTCCTGCCCAAGATGGACGCGCGTTGTTGCGAGCTGTCCGGCGGACAGAAGCGGCGGCTCTGGGTCGCTACGGCACTGATTGGCACCGCGGATTTGTGTATTCTCGACGAGCCCACCAGCGGTATGGACCCGCAGTCCAGACGGGAATTGTGGGTGTTGCTGAAGGAGATGGCGAATGAAGAGAAGAGAAGCATCGTCTTTTCCACCCACTATCTCGAGGAGGCGGACTGCCTCGCAGACCGAAAAGTGGTCCTAGCAAAGGGGCAAGTGAAGGCGATCGGGACCAGCCATGACTTGAAAAGGAGGTTTGGCTGTGGCTACTGGCTCACTGTAGAGGTGCTTTTGGCAGACGAAGGACGGCTTAATATTCTGCAAGACGATGTTGAAACGACACCAAAATCCGAGTACTCCTTTGGAGGTACCTCCACGCAGGCTTCAGCGTCTGTGTCGTTCACGAATCATGTGGCTGGGGTCGCTGTCGGCTCGTCGCCGTCATCCTCTTCAAGCTCGAAAACCGCCGGAACAGCGAACAGCGCAGATGCCAGCAAGACCTCAAGACAGCCTTCCAAATCAAAATCCAACCCGCTGAAGCACATCGAGCAGAGTCTTTCCCGCGTGCAGGCCGTTTTGTGCGACTTTTTGAATTTGCAACCAGCGGAACTGGTTTCCCGAGGGATGCGCGCGATTGGCGCCGGGGATATTGTCAGAGACGCGTATTTGATTCCCTGGGACCAGGTGGACAAACTGCCACCATTGCTGGATTTTCTGGAGCAGTATCGGAAAACCTTGCGGTTACAAGACTTCGCTGTAGAAATGACCAGCTTGGAAGAAGTTTTTGTCAGGCTCGGCGAGGACGAGCACGCAGTGGCGGCTGCCGTTGACGTTGACCAAGCTGCTCAACCTGGTCCCGGGGCTAGCGGCACTGCAGCGCAAGTTACGTCACAGTCGTCCCACGACGGTGGAGTTGCAGAAGTCCCCTTGAATGCTGATGTTGATCCGAGCTTACTACCACCACAAGTCGCTGCAGAAGGAGACCTGCAAACCAGCCACGCGCCCACGAGACCATCCCACTCCCACACAACCAGGAATCCGAATCTCGCTCAACAACACCGCACAAGTAATACACGACCATTACCGCATTTGAAACGCTCTTTCCGCTGGAGACAACAGGTTCTCGCCGTCTGGACCATGCGGATGCGATTGTTTGTGAACAACCGGCGCGGGTCGCTGGGGCAGTTCGTTTACCCCCTGGTGATTCAGATCATTTTCATGGTTTTCAGACTCGGCGTCGCCACGGACAGCAATAACCCCATCGCGAAAATCCTGGTGTTGGTTCTGGCGCTGGGCCCCTTGTCCGCGCAGCTCCTCGTTTCTTTCGTGGCGCAGATCGTGCAGGACCGGGCGAAACGCGTGAAGCACCTCGTCGTCGCCCACGGCTTATCCCCGTCCGCCTTTTGGACCGGGACCTTTCTGAGCCATTATTTGATTCTCCTCGCCGGGGTTCTCTGCATTCCGATCTTCATCCAAGTCACACACCTGCAGCCCTTCGTCGATAGTTCCGGTGGGGACGGAACATCAACAGGAACAGCGAATTTATCCCTTTATCAAACCCTTCTCCAAGGTCCAAGTCGCTTGGTGGGGGCCGCCCGGTCGCAACTCCGAGATTGGAAGAACAGGATAAAGGACCCAGAGAGTCTTCTGTTAACCACGACGACTACAACCTCCACGACGACAACGACGACGTCCATCGTGGAAGCGAGTTTGAGCAGTTTCCAAAACATGTTGAACTCCCTGGAGGGCCAAGATTTTCACGACACAGCGAGTCAGGTCTTCGGTTCCGTGCTGGGCTCCGCAAGCGGCGCCTCGGAGTACAGCAGTACGAAGGCGGAGGAGATGAAAATTCCCTTGGTTTTCGACTGCATCCCCGTAACGCTGTTTCTCCTCTACGGCATCGCCTTCACCGCAACCGCAGCGATGCTGCTCTGGGCCTACTCGGTTTCCGCCTTCTTTCGCCGCCAGGAGACGGCGCTGAAGGTGATCCCGCTGTTGCTTTCCCTGACCAACCTCGTCCCCGTTTCCATCGTCGCGTTACTTCTCCTCGTTGGCGTCTTGCCGGGGAACGAGCAAAAGGTGGTCATCGCCAAGGGGCTCCACGTCGCGTGCTCCTTCTTTCTCCCGGTCTACGCCATGTCGGGGACGATGCTGCAGATGTCCTGGTTCACGGCGACGCACCTGATGAAGTCGGGACTCGCGAACGTTGTGGACGACTACGGGGTGCCGAAGCAGATCGACCCGGAAAAGTTGAACGCGATCAACCTGAAGGAAGGCGTGTACGATCCGCTCAGTTCGGAGTTCATTTCCTTGAAAGAAGACTTGAAGCACAACTTGAAACCGGTGTTCGGGCAGTATTGGAGCGAAACCCTTGTCGGCGCGGGGGAGTGGTTCTCCTCTACTACTGCGTCCGCCTCGGGTTCGAGCCAGACAGTACAAGACGAAGATGAACAAGACGAGGAACACTTCTATTTCCAAACGGGAGAAGTAGGAGACCTAGTTCGAGATCAAGAGCCGGATAGTCGATTTGATGTGGAGGAGGACGGTCCACCAGCCGAAGATGCGGAAGCCGTCAGCTCCTTTATGGCCCTTCAGAAAGCGCTGGAAGAACAAAGGGACGAAGATGTCGAAGCTAGTTTGACAGCGGGGAAGATCGAAGGAGATAGCGCATCAACTTCAGATCTTGATGCGCAGCAAATGCGAACCGGAGGACAGCCGGAACAACTTGCGCAAGAACAATCTTCAGGCGATCATGTAGATTCGAACTTTCCACAACAAGGCCAAGGGCCTGAAAGGAACGACTTCGACGACGAGCAAAGTGTAACTAACAACGATGTTCAGGAGCAAGAATCTGGCTACCGCATGGTGGTGAAGAGAAAAGACAAGGCTGTGAAAACCCGGTATCAGAAAAAGCACAAAGTCTGGAGCAAAAGACCAGAAAGCAAGGACAGCAAGAATAAATCTCAATCGGCGGAGAAGCTTCTCCCCGGGTCGCACCAGAAGAAAGCGCGAAGTAGAAAAGAACAAAACTATGCGGACAACAAGAATAAGCCCAAGCCCTCGCTCTTTTCGGTCCCGGGCGTGAAGCGGCTTTTGAACGTGAAGGCTGTGAAGGATTGGGGCGATGACGTTATGCAGTCCCGTTGGCTCGAGAACGTCCGGGAGACGTCCCCCTTCGCGGCGCGAATGGTCCGGAGGTTCGTAACCGCCGCGCCGGTGGTGACCCGGCACGCGAAGCGGGTCTTGACGACGCAAATTCCGGCGTATGTGAGATCCTTCACGGACACTTTGGTCCAGAAAAAAGTGGAAAACACCGTGGAAGAGTGGCTGAATCCGGTGAACATGGTCGCGATCGGCCTGTACGGTGCGATTTTTCAGATCTTTTTCTACGGGGGCTTGTTGCTCTACTTCGAATCGCGCGAGTCGGTGACGAAGTCCTCCGACCCGAACGCGGGCGTTGGCGGGAGCGGAAGTTTGTTCTGGATGTGCAGTTGCTGTCTGCTCTCTGTCGTCTACGGCTGCAGCTGCTGCCTGTTTGCCATCTGCAAACGCTGCTGCGAGCGGATTTGCTGCCCGTCAGCTTCAACAGGAGCTGCGCCTGGATCTACTTCAGGAGGGACTTCTACAGACAGTCCTCGCCCTAGTTCAGCAGCACAAGACCGGCGGGACGAACACACTGCGGAGCAACTGGCACGACGCATGCGCTATGAGCAGCGGCGGCAAGCTCGCGAAGCTCGGCAGGCCCACATCGCCTCCGCGTATCAACTTAGGAACAGATGCTCGCTCGTCTTCGAGCCGGTGCGTGCGGTTGTGCCGGATGGTAATGCTGAGGCGGACCAATCTCACTCAGAAACGGCTGGCGGACGAGGAAGCGCAAAGAACATTTTAGCGGAGCCCGACGACGATGTCATCTATGATGCGGCGAATCCAGATTATGCATTGCAAAAGCTGTATTTATTAGCTTCCCTGCTCGGCGCTACCGCTAGTAGCGGTAGTTTAACAAGCTCTTGCGACGTCACATAATTTTCTATGCAGGGAGGTGAACGCGAAAACAGGGCGAATTTTTTGCTGGACCTTTGACGTTCTTCTGATAATTCTCATGCTGTTTTAGCGAACAAAAAGAAGAAAAGACAAAAATCTATTTCAATTTCTATGTATGATTTTCGCACTTCACTGCGTTGCAGAGTCAGAGTTGTTCGAGTGCGAAGGTACAACTTTTGCACGGAATACAGATCCGACAGCGGCAATCCGGATAGAAGGGGTCCGGCACAGGTTCCCCCGCGCGGACAGAAACAGCGTCTTGAAGCGCATGCTGAACAATTTGACGACCATTACCCCTTCCGCCATTCGTAGCGTGCGGGAGTCCGAAGAAGCCAACTGGCTCTACGCAGTGGACGGAATTAGTTTGAACATCAAGCAGGGCGAGTGTTTTGGGCTTCTCGGCCCAAACGGCGCCGGGAAAACCACTCTGCTGTCCTTGCTCACTGGGGAACTGCGACCGCCCACGGACGGGACTGCCTTTGTGAAGGTAAGGAGGTCGGACGGACCAGGAAACGCCGCCTCTGATGAACAGGCCGCTGTTCTTGCTGGTGAGCACCTTCACAGGGTGGTAAGTGAGAACCAGCGGGCACGAGAACAACCTGAAACTGAAACTTCTCACTTTCCCACAGCTGAGAACAACTCCTCCTCGTCCCCCTACGAACGTGTTGACATTCGCAAGGACCTGCCGAAAATCTACCAAAAAATGGGCCTGGTCCCCCAGTTTGACGCACTTTGGGACCACTTGACCGGTCGAGAGCATCTACGTTTTTTTGCGAAAGCGTGTGGGACGTACTGGCACAATGAGGACCAAGCTCATGCAGCAACTGTGACTTCTGGCACCGGTGTGAATGAAGACCCAACAACATCAACGAGCACAGCTTCTGAAGAAGAAGAGCTCGACAAGACCCCGGGCGAGCGTCTTATCAGCCAAGCACTTTGCCAGGTCGGTCTGCAGCCCGAAGACGCGGATAAAAACGTTTTTGGGTACAGTGGCGGAATGAAGCGGAAGCTCTCCCTTGCATGCACCCTCCTCTCTGGCGCGGAGTTGCTGTATTTGGACGAGCCCTCCTGCGGTGTGGACGCGATGGCGAAGAGATTACTGTGGAACCGGATTCACGCCAGGAGCAGTGAGCAGACCATGATTTTGACCACCCACAGCATGGAGGAAGCCGACGCGCTGTGCAGCAAGGTCGGGATCCTGGTCAACGGGAAGTTGCGGTGCCTAGGGTCCACGTTGCACATCAAAAACAAGTACGGGAGTGGGTACCACTTGGAATTGCTGCTGGACTTGACGAATTGCGTCGGAAAACCGGCGGAAGAGTGCGGATTCCTGTTCACATCCTTAGAAGGAGGGTTTATGGAAGATCAGGAGTTGGCGAAAGCTGATGCAGACAACGTCTTCGCACCGGCGGACAGTAGTACTACACAAGCGCACCATGGACGACACATAGAAGGCGATGAAAAAGATCAAGATTCCACTCCGGCAGCAGCTGCGTCGTCAACAGCAGTGGACTTTATGAACAGCGCAGACAGCCCGGTTAGGTTAGACTTCAGTCCAGATAAACATAAAAGTTCTTCGCAAATAAACCAGGAACCGAAAATCAATTTGCTGCCATCAACTTCTACAACTTCTAGGGCCATCAACACAACAAGCGAAAGTCTGATGAATAAAACACAGAGCAGGACGAGTACAGGAAGAGGCACGATTGTCACAGCTGCGAATATCGGCGCACTGGTTCAGCAGTCGTTGACGCAAGCCACGAGGAATCTTGAACAGGGTAAGGAAGTAGGCGATCAAACGGTTCTCTTTGGTGATGAATCGCAGGAACAAAAGCCTGCTGCTTCCTCTGATGGATTCATCAACATAGAAAGTAGCTCTAGTGTTCGCCCAGCAGGTTCTGCAGCAGAGCAACTAGATCATCAAGAGACATCAGCCCCACGCGACGCACAAATAATGTTGAAGAAGAAACAACCGCAGCAGCAGCAACAGGACCACCAGCAAAACAGGATCAAGATTCTGGAGGAGCACGCGTTTTCCGAGTCCCGCGCCAAAGTGATCCTCTCCCTGCCCCCGAAAATCCGCATTGGGTCCGTGTTCCGGTGGTGCACCGAGAACCGGCATCGCGTCATCGAGGACTATAGCCTCGGGCAACCGACGCTGGAACAAGTTTTCCTTCGCTTCGCGCGGCACCAGGAGGCACTGAACGAGGAAAATGCAAAGGGTGGAGGGCAGAGAAACGCAGCAGTGGACGGGCATAGTTCCGCCGCAGAGGATTCGAGTGCGGCGGGATTGGGTGGGATTGTAGGAGGAGGTTTGGGCGCTAGTCCTACTACAACACCGGTCGGGGGAGACACTCTCGCCGCTGCGCAGAGTCGTGGTCATCTGATGGAGGAAGGTGAGAGGGGCAGTGTCAATCCTTCGGCAAGTACTATGGCGTAGAGCAATAGTATTAACAGAGGCACTGCTGCCACTGCTCCTGTTTAGATGAACATCACAAGGCTTGTGGTTTAGTTCACTAAATAATGGCGCTTAATTTTTTAACTTTGTATCGTGGAAAACGTAAAGGTAAGCGTTAACGTCGGCAACTCGACAAACTACAGCCAAAAAAAAAGAGCAAGTCTCGCCAGGTAGCAAACCAAAACCTACGAACATCATGAACACGCTTGATAGGTGGCTACGCCGTAGGCTACGGTGTAGGCTACGGTGTAGGCTACGGCCGTAGGCTACGCCCCGTCCGTAGGCTACGCTCCGTAGGCTACGCTCCGTAAGGCTACTCTCCGTAAGGCTACTCTCCGTAAGGCTACGCTCCGTAGGCTACGGTGTAGGCTACGGTGTAGGCTACGGCCGTAGGCTACACCCCGTCCGTAGGCTACGCACCGTAGGCTACGGTGTAGACTACGGCCGTAGGCTACGGCCGTAGGCTACTGTCGTAGGCTACGGCCGTAGGCTACGCCCCGTCCGTAGGCTACGCTCCGTAGGCTACGGCGTAGGCTACGGCCGTAGGCTACGCCCCGTCCGTAGGTTACATACGCTCCGTACGGTGTAGGCTACGGTGTAGGCTACGGCCGTAGGCTACGCCCCGTCCGTAGGCTACGCTCCGTAGGCTACGCCGTAGGCTACGGTGTAGGCTACGGCCGTAGGTTACGCCCCGTCCGTAGGCTACGGCCGTAGGCTACGCCCCGTCCGTAGGCTACGCTCCGTAGGCTACGCCGTAGGCTACGGCCGTAGGCTACGCCCCGTCCGTAGGCTACGCTCCGTCGGCTACGGCCGTAGGCTACGGCCGTAGGCTACGGCCGTAGGCTACGCCGTAGGCTACGCCGTAGGCTACGCCGTAGGCTACGCCGTAGGCTACGCCGTAGGCTACGGTGTAGGCTACGGCCGTAGGCTACGCCCCGTCCGTAGGTTACGCTCCGTAGGCTACGCCCCGTCCGTAGGCTACGCTCCGTAGGCTACGGTGTAGGCTACGGCCGTAGGCTACGCCCTGTCCGTAGGCTACGCTCCGTAGGCTACGCTCCGTAGGCTACGCTCCGTAGGCTACGCTCCGTAGGCTACGCTCCGTAGGCTACGCTCCGTAGGCTACGGCCGTACGTAGGCTACGGCGTGGGCTACGGTGTAGGCTACGGCCGTAGGCTACGCCCCGCCCGTAGGCTACGCTCCGTAGGCTACGGCCGTAGGCTACGCCCCGTCCGTAGGCTACGCCGTAGGCTACCGTGTAGGCTACGGCCGTAGGCTACGCCCCGTCCGTAGGCTACGCTCCGTAGGCTACGGCCGTAGGCTACGGTGTAGGCTACGGCCGTAGGCTACGCCCCGCCCGTAGGCTACGCTCCGTAGGCTACGGCCGTAGGCTACGCCCCGTCCGTAGGCTATGCTCCGTAGGCTACGCCGTAGGCTACGGCCGTAGGCTACGCCCCCTCCGTAGGCTACGCCCCGTAGGCTACGGTCCGTAGGCTACCCTACGGCCGTAGGCTACGGCCCGTCCGTAGGCTACGCTCCGTAGGCTACGGCCCGTCCGTAGGCTACGGCCCGCGCGCCCTTTCTTAGGCTACGCTCCCTAGGCTACGCCTACGCCGTAGGCTACGGTCGGCTCCGTGACGCGTGCGGGCTGGTCGCCTGCGTCAAAAATCAGGCTGGTGTCGCCCACATTACCTAGAATCTGGTGTCGCCCACAGCACCTAAAATTAGGCGTCGCCTTTGCCTAAGTTTGCGCGTTGCCGACGCCTAAATTAGGTGTCGCCTGCGCCTAATCTGCAGGCGCAGCTGGTGCTGATGTAGTTTTACACCGTGCATGTCACTTCGTTCCGCGCGCCCAAAAGTGCTTGAGTTCTTCTGTTGTTGAAGTGATGCTCGTTTAAATTGACGCCAGAATGATCGTGATCATCGTCATCCAACAGGATCAGGTTTGATGAATGGGTGTAGAGTACTTCTGGTGCCATTTATTCATTGATTTCTTCTGGAGGTTCTGGCTCTGCTGAGTAGAAGGAGGATGATCACGATCAGATCCCACTGCAAATGAAGAAGAAAGAGATTAAGATCTTGATCTACTCGTCGACGAAAAGGAAAAAATTGTCAGATGTTGATCTGGATCGTCATTGTCGTGCTGAAAAACAGCATCAAGCGTCATGATGGAGTGCAGCATCTGCATCAAGTGTCATCACGAATGACATCACAAAAAATGATGTGATCCCGAACGTCCTGATGATCCTTGTGAAAAACACGACAACTTTTGTCCCGACAAAAAGTTTAGATGCAAATTGCAATTTCCCGTTTCCTGTGCGTTATTACCATCATTTCTACGCTCAACCAACTTTGCAGGAACAGAAAAAGAGGAAAGTGCATCGAATGGAATGTTGACTTCTCAAGAATTCTTGTGCTTGTATCTATTAGCCAGTAATCATCTTTCTCAATTTCACGCTTGGACCTTGCTACTTTTGTTTTCGCAGTGGCACCAGATTACGATTAGTCGAGAAGACCAGATTTGAGATTATCCTCAACTGAAACACAATCAAAATGACGTCCTCCAAAAGCGAGCTGTTCGACTACCTCCGCATGGCGGAGCAGCAGCTCCGCGTGATGGACAGCGACACGCGGATTCCCTTCCTCCGCACGGTGGTGCAGGAATTGAAAAATCACGAGCTGGATTGCGTGACCCAGCAGCGTTGTTCCCGGATTATCGAGTACTTACTGAAGCAGATCACCGAACTGGACACGTTTCGCCCCCTGTTCCTCTGCCTGCTCGGAAAAAGTGCTAGTAGCATCGGGACTAGTGGTAGCACGTCGACCGCCGCGCGGGCGGGAACGGCTGGTGCAACGGGGGCGGGGGAAGTAGAGCATGCGGATGGCGAAGAACGCCAGGTAATATTTTTGCTATGATTTTTGTTGTACCTCGGAATTTGAACTACAATTTCTTTCAGGCTGCAACAAGAATATGCGCCCTAAGCTTGTTAATACTTTTACTTGATGGTCGTAGATCACGTGAACGCGCATGATGGTGATCTTCGCATATCAATGAACGACCTAATAATTTCACCTATCTGTGGAATTATTTCAATTCCCTCTATCTCCCTCCTCCAGGCCGGCCGCGTATTCCAGATTCTGGCCCAGAACCAGTACGGCAGTCACGTTTTGGAGACGCTGTTCGCCGTTGCAGCCGAGAAAGGGTTTCTGTTCGACCGGGCTATCATGGCCGCGGTGGACACGCTGGTGGCGGAGTTGCTGGAAAGCGGGGAAGATGCTGAAGCGGAGCAGGAGGAGATCTTGCAACAAGACCAAGAAACGGCCTTACAATCGCAGCAACCACCAGGACAAGAGACCGACGTGCCCAAGATGTTGCAACCAGCGACGAAAACTACAAAGAAGAACAGCGTTTTTCTCCAGATCGCAGCTGACCGATCGGGGACGCACGTGATCCGGTCCCTGTTGCTGATGCTCAGCGGTTTCGTCGTTCCTGTGGAGAAAAACAAAAAGGGGAAGAAGGCGGGCACTGGTTATGGTTCTTACGAGAATTATAGCAACAAAAACGGCACAAGTACAAGTACAACATCAAGTGGAAGTGGGGGCGGGGATCATATCAATGGGTTCAACTCAAATTCCAATCCTTACCTCCCCCTCAAGCGCGTCGACGTGGAGAAATTGTTGCAACGCTTCACGGACTCTGCGCTCACTTTCGTTGCGGCGGGTGATCAACAGAACGCCGAAGATACTGGTGCAGATGAACTGAGGACAAGCGGAATAAATCAAAGGCGAAAAGACGAAGAAGGAGAAACTGCTTTATCTGCGACGCCGATAACAACAAGTTTCCCTCCCCTCCTCACGCAGTCCCCGTTCTACTTTGGTCTTTTTTTCAAACTACTGCAGCAGCTGGTCGCAGAATTGAGACACAAGAACAGTACCAGTAGTTCATCTAGCGCAACCTTCAGCAAAGCTTCGTATTCTTCGTCTCCTCTCAGCGACGCCCGGCTTGGCCCGGTAATCGGCACAGCGGTTTCCATCGCCGCCGACGCGGCTAGTTGTGTGGACGAAGATAATTTCTTTTGCGAGGCGTTGAGGAAGAACCAGCAGCACAAAAAGCTGCGGCAACTCTTGCAGCAGCTCTGCCAGGTCATCATCGCGGAAAAGGGTGAAGAATTGCTAAACTGCCCGGTCGGATCCAGGATTCTGGAGGCGTGCTTCTCGGCGCATAAAGCCGGGGTGCGAGTGGTGCAGACCTTTGTCAAGGAGGTCCTGTTGAAAGAAAGCAAAGGCGAAAAAGACGAACCTGATCATGCGGAGGAGGGAGCATCAGAAAAAGACAGAACGACCTTTTTCGAGCAGCTTGTCCGCGACGGGAAACGAAAAACAAGTGCGGGAATAAAATTTTCAAATTCCAACCCCTACGTTCTGCTCGTGATCCAAAGGCTCCTGGACGTCCTTGGACACAACAAGCAGACGAACAGCAAAGACGCACATTTACTGGAATTGCTGTTGCAGAAAACGAACTTTGCCGAGTGGCTCGCGGTGGGACGGGGACGAGAGAAGAACAACAGCAATCTGAACAACAATTCTGCAAAGTACCAAATGGTCGCGGCAAAATTGCTGCAGTGCTGCGTGCGGGTCAATGCGCATTTCAAAACCGCGGCGGGAAAATTCTGCAAGGCCTGCTTCGATATAGCGACAGATGTTGGACAAGAAATAGCAGGCACAACAAGAAGTGGCTCAGAACTTCCACGAGGTACAAGAAGTGCAACCGACATAATTAACGACGCAAATAAAACTACATCCTCTTGTTCGACGTCGTCTTCGTCAAAAATGAAGAGAACGACCAAGAAGCATGTCAGCAAAGAGCAAGCTGGTGGCCCTCCTCCTGATGGAGCTAATAATTCTTCTGTTTGGCTGCAAATCCTGTACCTCGGGGCCGTGCCGGCATTGAGCAAGAAAAACACCTGCAAAAAACAAGCGGCTTCATCAGCAGACAGTGCCGCAGCACCAGAAGCTGCAGAAAGGGCAGCTGTCGACGTTGCTGTTGTTGATGATCCTTATCAGCCACCGACGTACACTTCCGACCCTCCCGCCGCGGGTATTGTCGCGCTCACCGCGTTACCCTGTGCAAAAGTATCGTACTCGTATAAATCCACCACCATTTTCATGCATAAACTGTCGAAGAAGTTGGTGAGAAGTCGGTCGCGAAGTTGGTCGTGAAGTTGGTGCGGAAGTCGGTGAGAAGTGGCGCGGCGTGCTGGCGTCGTTCTCGCCTCGACCAAGCGACGCGTCACGCCACTCGCTCCGTCGCTGCGAGTTATGTCGTGCTCGTTGCTCCCAGTTGCCACTTCAGCTGCAAGAGCGGAGAACAGCGCTGCAGTTAAATGGAGAGAAGACCGCACTCACAGTCTTGCTCTGTCCATTTACTCGCAGCGCAATTTCATCTCTTCGCACGACGGCACCAGGCGCGAAGCTGTATGGAAGAGGCGGCCGACAGCGCGAGCGCGATATCTGCGCGCACCCGTCTGGTCTGCGTGCAGCCATCAAAGACGCAAGCGCCAGAAGCGGAGCGGAGGAAAGCTGCCGGCGACGATGTGGACTTGCGCAGCTCTTCGGCGCGCAAGCTCTGCGCCTAGTTCGTTAATTATCTAAGTAATTGAATATTTTATAATTAGGGCGCGGCGGTCTACGAAGACGCACTGGAACCCTTGGGCCAGTTCGTGTCTAAACACGCCAAGGCCGTGGACCCGGGGGGCCCCACCTGCTTCCGAGGAAAAAACCCACGCCGCATCGACATAGCCGCAGTGGGTTGCCGCGCGGCGCACATCAAGGACATCGACGTCCAGCGTGTCCAGATACCGACTGGCAACGCGTATGATTGTGCTATGCTTGAGAAGGGTGAGCCCCCTAGATGGCAAGAGGCGGACCATCTTGCCATCTTGCTGAAAGTCTGGTGGCGCCAGACAGGCCAGCCGCAGGCGCTTGACGAGGAAGAAGAGCGCAAGCGGCTCCCGAGGATTCAAGAGCGACAGCAAACCAGCGCGCGGCTTGGGTTCAACGCGAAGCGCGCCGACTTAGTTCCACGCACGGAAACGGCGGAAAGCAGGGCGAAGATCATCAAGGATCGCTCCGATTTCGCAGAAGATGTCCCGTTCCAAGCGATCACCTCGTGGAAAAGGAAGACAAATCCGAAAGAGCAGCTGGAGCCGATATTCCAGGCCGCTGAAATGCCGGACGTGGCGTCTGTCGGACTGGTAGGCGCGCAAAGTTGGGCCCAAGACACCCTACTAGATGCAAAAGCCATCTCAAAGCCGCCACAGAAGATGGGCGACAGCATGCGCGCGTTGTTCGAGCGGGCAAACCAAAGGCGAACGAACAAACGCGGTCGGAGCAAGTCCCAAGGCAAGGGCGCGAAGCGAAAGAGAGAGGGGGAGCCACAGCCCGGCACGCTGGCGGAGATAAGTGACGAGATGTATGCAAAGTGGGAGGCGTCCTTCCAAGCGGCCGGCAAGCGTGACTTAGTCGGCGACGTCTACTCCAACGCACGCCAAGCACGAGACGAAGTGCGTGGAAAGGGCCGAGGCGCCCCAGTTTCGCAAGTGACGGAACTAGACGTCGGTCTGCCTGATGAGCCGAACATCGTCCAAGGCTTGGAGCAGTGCATAAAGTATCTCGCTGCGTGGCACTTGCTGAAAGGCGAGGACGTGCGGATAAACAACGGCAAGGAGCACACATACTCGGGCGAGGAGTTTCGCAAGATGCTCGATGAGCTGACAGCCGCCTGCAAATGGGTTCCACCGATTACGGTGACTGGCAAGCAGCTGCGCCAGCACCTGCAGCGGGTAAGCCCGGAAGCCGCGGGCATTGACGGGGTGCGGCTGAAGGCTTTTCAGTCGCTGACTGACGCACAGCTCGACAACCTGGCCAACGGGTATACGAGCTTCCTCGCGCAGATCGCGACAAGCCCTTGGCTGCCGGGGATGGAAGATATCGACCTCCCGCCAGCGTTAGCAGCTACAGAGGTCGAAATCTTGCGAAAGTCTGGCGTCCCAACGAAAGATGTCAAGAAATTTCGCACCGTCATCCGCGGCACAGCTGTCATGCGTGTGTTGATGGGCTACCTGGCCTATTTTATGACGCGCGTAGCTGATCTCGGGGACAGCTTCACGAAGGCGGGAGCGGCAGGAAAGCCCGCGGCCTCGTGCGCCGTCACGGTCTGGCAGATCTTGGAAGCGTGTTTTGGCGAAGGCCTTATGCAGGGTGACGAAGACGTGGCGAATCAATCGGGCCAGGGATCGCAACCCGGGCAGCAGCCAGATACAAACCCACCCGCAGCGGCGGCGAGCTCCAGCGCGAGCAGCAGCAGCACCGCGAACACACACAGCGCAGCGGCCGCGGTAGAGGATATTTGGCGAAAGGTTTTGATCGGTCTGGATGCAAGCAACTACTACAACAGCATCGCACTACCCAGCGCAATTCGAGCGTACAGACGAGCCAGACTTCACCCAGTCTTTATCAAGCTAGTTGCGATGATGACTTGGAAAAAGGAGATCTACCTCCGCAACGGAGATGTCCACGGCAAAGTGCTCCACCATCGCGATATGGTTCAGGGCGCGGTGGAAACGATGCTCGCGGGGGTATTGTTGTATATGCCAGGCGTGGAAGCGATCCACGACTTCCCTCAGGAGTGTTTCGACACAGAGGGACGAGTTGCAAAGGAAAAAATCCAAGGCGCCAAGGATCGCCTAAGGTGGAAAATCCGCCAGAACTACAAGACAGCTGAACTGGACACGTCCTTCCCACCGTACAAAGTAGCAGAAGAAGTTGACGAGATTTTCCTGGATCCTCGGCTGCAGGGCGGCTTGTCGACCGGGTATCGCCGAAAAAAGGAACGAGAAAAGCGCGGCGCAAGAAAAGTGCGACTAGTCGTGTACGAAGGAAAGCTAGAAGAATCGGAAGCATCGCAGCAAAAGCGCCAGGTCTTGGCCGTGCAGTTTGTTGATGAATGATGGCACACTAGTCCTACGCTTTCACAAGAGTGATACAGACCTGGTGCTGTCCTTGCTGCGGGAGATCAGTAAAAGCTACGAACAGATCTACAGAGCTGAAAGCCAGTTCTTGGCTCCGAGTAAGTGCGAGATGCTCACATCAGCGCCGGAGCAGGAGGCCCGCGCTTTGGTAAACGCTTTTACGCCATTCGGCGTCCGCTTTCAGCGCAAGAAAATGACGAAAATCCTTGGCGTGCTGATAAAGCTGACGAGCGTGGAGGAGCAACGCTTGACCCTACGAAAGCAGCTGGCGTCGTCGATAGGCTTCGCGCAACACCTGACCGCGCGCGTGGTGTCAACTCAATGCGGGAGAAGATCTCGGGCGAGAAACTAAGATGGACAGTGATGACGTTCTACATAGCCCCGCTAGTGTACATCTTGCCGGCGCTGCGTCTAGTTCTGACCCCGGGCGACTGGGCGGAACTCTTGACAGAAATGTCAACATCCATAGCGCAAGCACTGGGCTTCCGAAGTGAGTGTTGGAAAAAGCTTAACGAAGTCGCGGGAACAACGCCGGAGACGTTCTACCGAGTCATTTTTTCAGCGAACGCCCTCGCACTAGTCGACCCCTTCCTCCTAGGAACAAAAATTTTGAGAGGACTCTCCCAAAAGAACATCCTTACGGACATGGATGGACTGGTTAGATGGGCGACTTTCCCGGTGCGCATCTTGGGCGAAGGTCTGGCGGGAGTCAACGAAGCTGACACAGCTGCAATCGAAAATCGACGACGGGCGGACCTAGCACTGGTCACAGCACTTGTCGACGGAGCAAGCACACGCCTGCCACGCTCTTCCGACCTGCGGGCGTGCGGAATAGTTCCGGACCGTTCCGAACTCGTCGACCCACAAGCGAAGGCACACACCACGAAGACGGTGTCCATAGTCGTCCACACAGACGTAGGCACGACAGTAGCCTGCGAAATGGAGAAAATGGGCAAAGGTATCCCGGTGCTGGCGGCAAAGACCAACGGCGCGCACCTCGAGACCGAGGAAAGAGAGGAAGAGCAGCGCTTCGCAGCCTACTGCAACAGCGCGATAGTGCTTATGGATTCCATAGCGTCCTGGCCTCAAACGACCAAGGTCTGCTTCCGGCTAGAAGACTGCCGCAGGCTCTGGATCAAAACACGGGGCCCACTGCGCAGGGGCCTAGGGATTGTGCTCGCGCTGGTAGAAAGAATCGAAGCGGTGCAAAAGCTCGGACGCGTGGTAATAAAGCAGCGTAAGTACGACGCGGACGAAGACAGATCATGGGTGACTGCCACAGCGCCCCCCGTGATCTCTACCGGTCTGACGGTAGTGAATGTAGCTGACCACGACTGCTACGCCGACTGGCCTGTTTTTGACTATGGTGAAGATGCCTTCAAGTTCGAACCGGTACAGCGTTGGCCGGAAATGAGCAGGCGCGAGCGCACGGAATTCCTCACAGCAGCACTGCTAGGCAACCAGGAGCAAGCGCAAAACCTGAGCGAGGCGGCCGCGCACGGCGCACAGGCAAGCAGCGGCATACTAGCACGGGCGCAGGAAAAACAGGCCAAAGGGGAAGACCAGCCATGGTGGGAAGAGAACGCCGAACAGATAAAAAACAAATTCCACCCGCAAGGCTGGGACCACCTTGACGAGGACGCGCTTGCAAAATCCCTTAGCAAGATGCTGGAGGTGGACGAACCACCCAGCGCGTCCAGCTCATCATCCTCGAGCTCGGGGCCCCCAGGCACGAAAGGGACAGGGAAAAACCGCAAACGGGCGCGGAGCAACTCGGGGGACTGGGGTGAGCTTCGAAGTCCGGAACCAGCGACGCCAGGAAACGACCCAGCACCCGAGAAGCAGGCGGCACAGGAAACGCAGGAGAGCCGGGAAGAGAGCCCCAAGATAGGGTCGTTTTTCCGCGACTCGCCGGGGTCCAAGTTCAGACGAGGACCATGGAAGTCGCTTTTCTGAGCAAGCAACTTCTTCTACTTCAAAAATTAAACCTCTTCCAAAAAGCTACATCTTCGAAAAAGACACTACTTCTACTGCAAAACAGACACTACTTCTTCCTCTTCATGAAACAGGGAAGCGATACTGTTTCACCAAGGAAAGCCAAAGAGCAAAAGAAAAACATAAGGCACCAGAAAGGGACCTACAAGCAGCCAGGCGCAGTTGTTCTGTTCGGCAAGAACGAGCGAAAAACTCAAAGGGCAAAGCCCAGGAGCGAAAACAAAAAACGCGTGTCAACGCACATGGCGCGCCCGTCCCTCCTGCTCGTGTCATCTTTCTCCCTGGCGCAAGGTGGGACCTTGTCGCCAGGATGTCTCCTTGTCTGCGCCGTCGCCAGGTCCTGCCGCGTGCTTACGGGTATCCTTGTGTGAGCGAATGGCCACAGTTTGCATGATGCACAGCTCCACGGCGTGGAGTTGTGCGTGGCAAGAAGCGAACTACAGTACATGCGTTTTTGTATGGAGCACTCGTCCTCCCTTTTGCTTTAGCCGAAAAGGCGAATGGCAGCGATTTGAGGGCCGCTCGTTAGCTCTATGCGCTAGTACGCTAGTAGGCAAGTGAGTCGCGCTGTCTCCGGGGGGCGTTCCCTGGTCTCACTTTACAACCAAAAACTTAGCAGGGAAAGGATCCATGTGCCGGCTTGGGAGGTCGGTGCGTGCTTCTTCTGGCCAAGCTCGTCCAGAAGTAATCACTGACTGTGGGACGTCGTTCATGTATGTGCTGCGTCATGGCATACGCAGCGGGTCCGGTGCTCGAGCTTTAGCGACCGAGCCGCTGTGGAGCTTAAGTGCTCCCCGCGCCGGACCTAAAAAACAAGGCTCATTGCCTCGGCTCGGTCGCTGACCAGACCCGCCCTACACTTATGCTCAGTGCTGCGGTGTGTGCGTTTTTGGTCCCCCCTGAACGACGTGTGTGAGAGTGTGGCCCACACCCAAGTCCGAAAAAGCCTAGCCTTATAACAGCCGCGCCCTTATGGTATAGATCAACTGTTCGCCATAGAGGATCGGCGTTCAGCTGCTCTCGGGCTGGAGGAGGGAGTAGCGCGCAGCAGTCCGCTAAAGGGCACACTGCCAGCATCGTCGTCGTCTTGTTTGTTTTTGCAAAAAATGCAATTGTGCGTGCTCCCTACATCAATTAATGCTATAACTCCTTTGGTACTTCTCAACAACCTCTCTACGCACTTCTCAGCAGCTTCTCGACGCACTTCGCGCCGAGCTTCAAGCTTTTGGAGGCGTCACGCAAGTTTTGCGTGATGCCTCCAAAAGTTTAAAGCTCGCCGCGAAATGCGTCGAGAGACTCAAACTGTTGACGAGTGCGTGGAGAGGTTGTGCTTTTCATGTGCAGGAGCTCGAATAAGGTTTCCTGCTGCAAGAGGTTTTCAAGCTATCTGCCACAAGATTAGCACTTCCGCGCGCGAGGCCGCGGCCGAAGTAGGATCACGGGGGCTGATTCGTGACTGCGCACGCGGCCACAAATCGGGGCCCGGGGTATTCGTCTTCAGACGGCTTGGTAGGGGCTTGGTGTGGATTTCAACTCCGCGCCAAGCTTCCCAAGCAACAACCGCGGCATGCGGAGGTCTACACCAACTTCTCAACGGTTCTTGAGAAGTTGGTGAAAAGGTCTGTCGGAAATTGGCGATAAGTTGGTGAGAGGTTGGTGATAAGTTATTTGCATGCCAGTAGCGGATTTATACGAGTGCGATACTTTTGCACAGGATACGCGTTGCTCAGCTTTCCGGATAAGTGCGTGCCGTTTTTAACCGCCGAGAAGGAGATCAAGCTGCTAGCAGCAGCTGTCTTCCCCCTCGCGATGAAGGCGCCACGCATGGTGGAGGAAATTTTGAAAACCCCCCTGCTCAATGGCAGCATGAAAACGAAGCTGATTGGCGGCTTGCTGGAGGAAGGAAATGGCACAACAAGCACAAGAGCATCCAGGGGCGCTGCCAGCAGTCATTCTCAGCCTCAGTCTTTTCCCACAAAAATAATTCCTCTCGTCCACCTCGCTTTGCAGCGGCGGACCGGCTGGGTAGCCACCGCCGCATGGAAGAACGCGCCTTCGGCGAAGCAGAAGGAACAAATTGCGACGATCCTCGTGAAGTTTGAAAAAGAGCTCCGCGAGCAGAACATCGCCGTGTGGAAGGGCTGCGAACTGCACGCATGGAAAACCCGACACGTGGAGTGGAAGACCAAACACGAAATGCAGGACAAGAAAAAACAGGTCTTCGCGGACATTTTGGACCGGGACATCGTGGTGGCGGGTTCATCAGCGCGAGGAGGACGGGGGGCGTCGGGTGCTGGGGAGAAATTGAAGAAGAAGATCATGGCCAAGGTGGACAAGAAGGGCAATCATGCTGACAGCAAAACTCCTGTTGCGAAAACCAGCGTTGGGGAAAAGAAAAAGACGATGAAAAAAAGCGGAAAGATAAAGACCCAGAAGGATCTTCTTGCCGGTGCAGAACATGCTGCGACAGAGCAAGCCGTGCCTGCTGCGGTGGTTGCTGCGCACGAGATTTCTGTGTCAAAAACAGATAGATCTTCTGCAACAGCAGGTACTGCGACGCCGGCCTCGGGTGAAACTGAAAACAAGAATTCATCAAACAAGCGCAGGAGTGCCGGGAACAGCAAAAATTCAGGACCGTCGGCGGGAGAGAGAAATAAAAGCGACGTCGAGCAGACGAAGGACAACAGTACCGCCGCATCTACTGGAGTTGCAACTGCAAGCGTGGATGACAGTCTGGCGAAAGTGCTTGCCTTTCTTCAGCCGGGAGGCACTGGGTCGTCGGGTGCCGCCTCCGGGAAAAACGGAAAAGCGAAAAAGCAGAGGAAGGAGCTATAATAGGGTGCAAATTCACGGAGGTCATGGTCAAGGATCGAAATAAAAAAACGCTACTACGAAGAAAAAGAAAAACCAAAACGACTCTACTTGCGTAGGGTATGGGATTGGTATTGGTTCATGGTTTGCTCTTGCTGACCGCGTAGTTCGCTGTTCATATAGTACGATGCACAATTGTTTTTAACCACGATCATCATGATCAGTTGCTCCAAACTCGCACCAACATCGAAGGAAAAATATGTGTTGGCACCACGATGATGTTCGCGCTTTCCGAGATCATGTTGTTCCCTTTGGTGGACATCAACATCCTGTGTGATCCTCTATTTTTTGACTTGAGATCAACGATCAAAACCAGGATAGGCACGTAGGATCGCCATGCTGTCCAGGCATTCCACCTGGCGCATGACCTCGTACTTAATTGTTCTTTCTCTGCCCTTGTCCTGGTTCAACATGGATGATGGTCGTTGCAACTTGGTCACGGTCCTCATTCTCGAAGATGTTTACTTTCAGAAAGAGCTTAGTACTCTGCCCAAAAATCTCGTCGAGATATTTTTTTTTCCGAAATTCTTTTTACTCCAGCGTTGACTCAGGTTCATGCTCACTTCAGCCAGCGACATTTCTTTGTGAAGACTAGAACGACTTGTGCTGTGAATTTGGTGCGCACGACCCTTCTTCCCCCACCTCGCGCTTTTTACCTGTTGTACCTCCAGCACATGTGCAATAATTGAGCCTGATGATCTCATCTGCAGTTACCACTGCTCTCGCAAATTGAAAGGCAAAGAAGTGGTCCTCAACCTCATACTACTTACGCGAAATAAAGCAAGAAAATGTCCGGCGTAGTGAAGAAGCGGCGCATTGAGGCGGAGATCATCGAGGATTCCTCTGACGATGAGGATGAGGGACCGGCGCTCGGGCAAGATGCAGCCGGTCTCAAGAGCGGCGGCGGCGTTCTCTTGGGATCTGGAAATAAAGCGACAATCTCCTCGGGTGCAGCAGCTGGGAAGATCAACAAGACGAATAGTATTAAACACCGTTCGGCGTCAGCTGGACAACAAGCCTCGAGTTCCAGCAGAGGAGGAGTGTTGTTGAAGGGAGATGGGACGAAAGCGAAACAAAGCTTCGCGGCGCATGCAGGAGAGGACGAAGAAGAGGAGGTATGCTTCTACCTGATCATGTATGAAGATCTTAATCTTGTTCCTGAATGCAAGAGAGTGAACAAGCCCGCTGTCGCTTGGTGATCATACTTACTATCTATTTGCATTCTCGGTACCCAATTCGACAACTCACCAGGTCGACGCTGACCCGAGCGCGAACTTCGCTGACGTACTAGCCCTGGACCCGGAGGACCCCGGTGCCTTCCAGCGGTACCGGGAGGATACAGCCAACAAAACCTCTGTAGCCCAGCGCAGGCGGATGTCGCAATTTGGCAAAATTCCAAACTTGACGAAGTTCAAGATGGATTTGCTGCAGACGCAGCTCGCGGCCTGGTGCTTGGACGACAGGAAGGAGGCGGGGGAAGATGAGTCCGGTGATGCTCACTATCAAATCAGACAACTCATCGCAGCGGAGGGAAAAACCAGAACGGAGAAGATTGCTAATTTGCAAGCAATTTTGGCAATCAATACGGGGGGTGATAAAAAGGTCGCACCATCGGCGGAGCACGAGCAGTCTTCTGTGAACAAGAAATCTGCGAAACAAGCAAAAGCTGGCACAGCAGTTGCAACGAGTGAAAGCAGTGGCAACAAGAAGGCGGGCACCGCAAAAGCTGCATCATCTTCGTCCAGAGCGACAGCAGATGTAAACATGGGCACCTCGGATGTTGACAACAAGGTTAGCGCCCGACAACGAACGCGAGTCGAAATTTTCAAAAAGCTGCAGAACTTTCTGGGAGGTAAGCCTTCTGGAACAAGTAGTGCTGGTAATGTAAACCCATCCGGGTCGACGTCCTCCTCCGCTTCTACAGCGAGAACACCTGCGGCAGAACAAGGAAATGAAACGACCCCCGAGCAAGCAAAACCCAAACCTGCCGGCTCCCCATCATCTTCAAACACCATCCGTCTCGCGGAGGCCCTCGGGAGAGGCCCGCAATTTGATCCAGAGCTGGACGGCCAACTTTTCATGTCCGAGGCCGCGAAGCGGCTGCAGCCCTGCTCGGAGAAGCAGCAGCACGCGCAGCAGGCGATTTTTTTCTTGAAGATGAAAATTTTGGCGGAAAATCTACGGGCAAAGCGGGTTCTTTCCTCTGCGGGCGGGTGGACTGCGGAACAGGCGGAAAGACATCTAAAGAGGGCGGTGGAGAAAAGTCTGCTCGGCGGGCGGGGTGGTAGTACTGTTGCGGAGGGTGAAGATTTTGAATCGGAAGATTTCTGTGCGGACACAACCGGCACAGGCGGAGCTGGGACGGCTGCTGGTCGTGTGTTGTCGTCTGCTGCATCAGGCGCAACTTTCTCCAGCAAGGACCTGGTGCAGCGTATCCAAGAAAAAAAAGCTGTAAAATGTAGTATGCTCTTTCGATGCTAGAGCTAAATCTGGCATGACAGCAAAATAAAACTGTCATGCGCACACCACATAGTACAACTTCAACATCAACTACAGAAATGAATAAACGCACGTGTTGAATGCAGATGCTCGACCTTACGGTTTTTACGGCACATGACCAGCATGACAGACGCAATCACATTGCGTGTTGCGCATTACAATCTTTTTTTTCTTGGATTCACCGATTGAGCGAGGCGGAGTACCGGGCCTTGTTTCGGCCCGCGCACCAGAACGCCGAGGACATGCTGTACTTGGCGAAAGTAGTCGCGAATTCCGGAGCTTCGCATCCGGAGGAGACCGCGAAATTTGTCCGCGCGGCTTTGAAAGACCACCCCGGCGTGGATTCGCAGGGACTGGATCGCAAGGCGCAGCCCCGCTTGGACATGTCCAGGTTCGAAAAGGAGAGAAGTGCGCAAGATGAACATCTTCGCTTTGCTGGTACTAAAGCTGGTTCATCAGCGGGTGGGGGCGTCGCTGCGGGCGACCACGTAGCTGCACAAGACATCAGGAACCATAAAACTGCAAGTGACCACTCCAGCAGCAGTCAAGAGCTCTACGGAGCGGATGAAAACCGAAGCTGGCACTTGTTCTACTCCGACGGTCAGCTCGCGGGGGTGAAATTTCCACCGACACCAGCAGCCGCGAACAAAACGAAAGCCGAGCAGCAAGGCGGAAATTCGGCCGCTCTGGGTGGTGCCGGTACACCGTCGTCGAGTACAACGGCGCAAGCAAGCACGGGCAGCACTCCATCCTCCAGCTGGATCACGAGAGTAGAACCTGCGCCGTCGGCCTTGGCAGTCTGCGCCAAATTCGCATTGCTGGTTTACGATGACAAATTTTGCCTCTTCGACACGGAAACCGGGGAGAGAATTATAGGGCAACATGGTAAAGGAACAACAGATACGGCCATACCAGGGCGAGAAGTACAACCACCAGCACTAGGTGCGGAAGATTTGTTCTACACGATACCCCACACGCAACCGCCGCACGCAGGTATCAGCACGACAGGCTCTTCATCATCTGCTGCTCGGACGATGACGAAGGTGAACAACATCAAGTCAGTCGCTGTCTGCTCCCGGCGGTTTATGATTCTTACGAAGGATCACTGGTTGTTTTGTTGGACGTTTTGTTCGAAGAGTCCTGACCTCGGAAATAAGAAGGAGGATCGGACGGACCCGACATCAAGGCCCCAACCGCAACCTGCGATGTCCTCGGCTTCTACAGTTGCAAATAATCCGCCACCGCAAAAATCCAATTCAGAGCTGCCAGTTGTGTCGTTTTTCTTCCAGCACCGAGTTTCCCACTTCCCGCCGATCACCGCTTTGGGATTTGGCAAGCAGCCCGACTACCTTCCGTACGTTCGCACAATAGGAAAGTGCGGCACGACGAAAGTTACGTCGCCGACAAGACAGACAAGAAGTGACGAGCACAGCGAGATAAAAGCAAGAAGGGGCGACAATTCATCCCGCGACGTCATTGCGGTAGGAAAGAAGGAGTCCGAGGTGGTGCACCACGTTGATGCGCTTGGCGAAGGACTGATTCCCGCCCTGTATATCTACTCCCCGTTTCTCAAGGGCTTCCACTGCATTCTCGAGAACGACCCCTCCCCTGCTACCTTTTTCGGGTACAGCCTCTTGCAAGACCGGTTTCGTGCGAACCAGATTTTGGACCGCTTTCTACTCGCGGCGTGCGCGCAAGACGAGTATGGCGCGCTGCGGAGGCGGGAACTGCAGCTGTTCATGCGGGAGGTGCGACTTTGCAGCAGCAATGCGGCACTGAGCGTGCAGGAGCTGCATGCGCAGCGGAGGAGAAACCTCGGAAATTTTTATGCCGCCGAACTCGACGATAAGGATAGCCTGCCTACACATAATGATCAGCAGACAAAGGACAACAACAGTTCTTCTCCACAGTTAAACGAGGATTTATTTCATCCGATGCAGGCACAGAAGAAGTTTTTCGTTCAGCGCATGGAGGAAATGTACCTGCAATCCGGGCACTCCTTTCTGACCCACTGGCTCCTACCGAAGCTCGCGCGCCTTCAGGGCCCGCTGGTCCGGCTGTATGAGGCGGAGGTCACCCACCCGGACACGATCCGCGGGGGGCGGCTGGTGCGGGATCTGGCGGAGCGAAAAGCAAAGTTCGGGATCGCGGAGACAGGACACTACCCAAGCCTATTTTGAGGAGCTAATTACGCGACAAGAAGACCAGGGCTGCACGAAATTGTTGTGCGCTTTACTTCAACATCTTTTGATTTCCAGCAGGACTTCGTCGTGCCGGCGGTCCGGCCGCTACTACATAGAAAAAAGTACAGTGATCAACTCGTCATCTCTGACTAGTATACAACAGATATAGCAAGCGTGATCAAAGGCAAGGGCAAGAAAGATGACGAGTCGTACCAGAAGCGAAATAGTACTTGAGCCACAACCTGTCGTTGTGTTGGAATCGGACATGATCAAGCGACAAAGGCAAAGAAGATTCTTCATCTTGTGTCAGAAGACCAGGAGGCGGTCACAGCATGGTGAGGGGTAAGCCTAAGCACCACTGCACCTTCCAGCTAACCTGAAGAAAACGCAATGTTGATGCTCTGTGCCGACATCCCATGATGATCATTTTGAAATCTGATCCTCAAGAACACCTCCTCTAGATCGTCATCAAACCTGGCCCGTTCTTCGCTTTGACTTCGTACAGTGGTTTTAATTTTAGAAGGATGCAAATGTTGTGTCGATGTTGTATGTTGGTGCCACGACCCCCGTGCCGTCAGTAGACGTAGGGCTAGCCCCTGCCGCGCTAGAAGCAGAAGAAGTTCTCAATCTCCTAATGTCGCTCTGGTTTATTGCCTGCTGGTGCGACACATCTTTCACGTTCTTTCAGTCGTATTTTTCGTTCTTATCGTTGTACTCCTACTCCTAGTTGTCGTACAGGTACAGACGAACTTCGTCTCCGTTTTCAGCTGCATTTCTTCCATCTTCCTATATGTGGTGTTTCTCGTCCCACCTGGTGATCTTCTTCCTGTCTACCGAGCACGTAGAGGTAAGTAGAGCTACTAGACCTCCCATTCATGCCGTCGATGTCGTTCATTTGAGTTTGAGTACTTTTAGATAAAGTAAATTACTTTTTCTTTCATCCGCTGCACGATGCGATGAGCACGAAATACCTTATGGATCATGTCCTTCATACTTTTTGTACCGAGAAATGATCTACAGGTACGTCATTCATTTTTCAATTGTACCCCAAACCCCATCCCACCCCAAACCCAAAAAGTAAAGGATAGCACGGATTAAGTACAAATTCGCACTCGCTTGATTGTGCTTACAAACTATGACAAAAGACAGCTGCGACTTTCTCGTGGAGAAGGGCGCGACCGTGCGTCAGAATGTGGAGGTTACGCAGCAGCTGCTACAGCGGTCCGGCGGAAACCTGCGGGAGTTTTCCCGCAGCCGGGGGCATTCTCCGGAAGCGGAGCGGGATTCCGAGCTGGGTGGGGAAAACCCGGGTAATAACCCTTATCTGTCCTCGCGGGCCGACAGTAGTACGGAGCGGAGACGGATGAAACAAGGGTCCGGCAACACGGAGATGACCAGCAACAGCCCCACGACCTCGCCATCCACAAGTCTCGCGAGTCCAACGAACGCCGGGGGCGGTTCGGCGGGTTCGCCAAAAGCCGCGAACAAAGCTACTATCAACGCCGAAGCAGCTGCTGGTGGCACTTCTGCAGCGGCGGCGGCAAGTATTAAACCAGCGGATGCTGGATCAACATCCTCGTCATTAAAAACCAGTAAAGTCGACGCGGAACCAAAGCAGGCAGATGGATCATCTGTAGTGAAGACAAGAACGCCCTCAACTGAAGTCGTCGTTGCTGGTGCAAAAGCAGCAACCGTCGGCGATTTCGGAGCATCATCTGCAAGTAGCGGCGGAGCAGCAGTAGGACCACCCGCGGCTTCCGAAGCCGCGAATTATCAGCAACAGCAATCCTCGCTGCTGCAAAAACCCAAAGCAGGCGGCCCTGGGATGAAACAAGCCGGGTTCGGCAACAAGCTGAAACGCAGCAAGACCTCCGCGCACGGTGGCTTTGCGGCCGACGGTGCGGCGCAGGACCTGACCAGCTCGTTCGCGAAGCATGTGGATCCGAAAGGCACCTGTGATCCGGGGTTCTACGCCCAGTTTCTGAGCAAGACCTTTCTGGAAGCGGAAGACAATGAGGAAACAAAAACAACAATTTCTCCTTTGGGCCGGATGCCGCCCGCACAAGCGGCGACGACTATCGGCGACGCATACTACCAAGAGGAGCTGAAGAAGCCGCAAATAACGGGCGACCAAAACAACGGCGCCTCTTCTCTGTTGAACTCCGCCGGGTCTCTCGGCGGACTCGCCGCCTTGACGGGCGGGTTCGGCAAGAAGCCCTCGGCCGCCACCGGGTTCGCGGCCGGCATGATGAAGAAGGAGCGCGCGAAACTCATGTCGTTTTCCGCGTTCGGCGGCGCGGCGGCGGACGACGGCAGTAATGCGCGCAAAAAACGCGAACCCCTCCCGCTCGGGTCGACCTACGGGAAGTTCACGGGCAAGGAAGTCAAATCCTACCTGCCCTCCGGCCAGGAAAACGACTGGCGAAAACTGTCCTCCCCGGATGGGGGCGTGCCCCGCGCGGCTTTGCCGAAACACTTTGCAAACGGCTACCCGGAGTTGCTGGAGGCAAAGATCAGCAGTGGTGGTCCGATTTCTGAAGATAGAGCAAACACTAACAGCAGAATTGCGCTAAGAACTGACAACTCGAGCAGCAGCAAGTTGCTTCTGCGGGATTTCGACGAGATTTCCGGCACGGTCCACGGTGTGCAGTCTAGCTACCCGCCGCAGTCGGAAGAGCTTCTGGAGTTGCAGAAGCAACCTCTGTCGAAGACGTTGATCGGACCACCCGGAAGTGCACTGATGTCCACGACCACCACTTCGGTTTTGCAGAAGACCACAACGTCAACGAGCGGGAACATCACGACCACAGGGTCGTCGTCGAAGCCGATCGCCCGGAGACCACAGCAGATGAACAAATTGACGCCGTTGAACCCGGCGCGTCAGACGACTGGGGCAGGATGGAATAACTACGTGCAGGGGACCTCCCGGAGTCACCTGACCGCGCCGATTCAGCCTCGAGCCTGGAACCGGACGGAAAAAATCGAGTCGCGAACGCTGCGGCGCAAGAGCGACACGGAGAAGAAGTTGGAGGCGTGGGTGACCTACGGGGAAAAACTGCTCTGTCTCGCGCTCTACCTGGCAAAGGAGGGGAACCCGAACAAAACCGGCAATTGCTCCTTCTTCACGAATCAGCAGCGGAGCGACCTGAAACTCCTGTTGCACCTGTACTGGCAGCCGGACCAACTGTCCGAGACCGCGGCTTCCACGCTGGAGGGGTCCGGCCGGGTGCCCGCCCAGGACTGCGAGTTTCTCCAGCAGCTGCTGACGAAGCACCGCGAGGCGCTGATGGAGCACCGGAAAAACCACCCGCGGGCGCTGCCGGAGGGACTGCGCAACACGATGGTGGTGCGAAAAAACGCCATGCTGCCGATGCACTTGGAAAAACTGCTCCAGCCGATGGAGAGCCGCACGAACGCCGAGAAGCTGGCTTTGCAGGGCACGACCACCGCCACGATGACCGGGTTTGCCGGAACCAGCACCAGCACGGGGAACATGCTGCAGAGCTCGCCCATCGCAAACTTCCTGTCCAGCACAACTTCTGGTGCGCATCATGGTGGTCAACATCATCTCCAATCGGCGACATTACTGTCCTCGGACAACGGTGGTGGTGCAGGGGGACCCTGGCTGGATAACGTCTCGGAAACCGTGACGTCGTTGACCTCGAGATCGGAGGACGAGCTGCAGCACATCGTGTCGATGCTGCCGCTATGCATTGCAAAAGTATCGTACTAGTGTAAATTGCATCACAAATTTTGGCAAGAAGAAAAGTGGAATTTGTAATGCTGTTTTACCTTAGGAAGGAGATTTGTCATGCATGTTTGCAATTAGTACGACTACGATACTTTTGCACAGGATAGCCGCTGCGCGACGTGGAGGTCTGCAACGTGTTGATCCGGGACATGCTGGCGCTCCGAGTCGACATGTTCCCCGCCAGCTCGCCGACCCTGCGCATGAACCGCGCCGGGACCAAAGTGAATGCCTTCCACAAGACCATCGCTAGCCGCTCGGAGATTCTGGACCGGCTGCCCAAACAGGAGAAGCAAACTCTGGTGAACGAGTTTCTGCAGGACTACATCCACAAACAGCAGGAACAGCAGCGGCTTTTGATCAACTTGTCCCGCACCCTGATCCACGCTCCGCGGTTGTCGAAGCAGATTCCAAAGCTCCCCTACCTGCTCGAGCCCGGGGGCCACGACGAGGGCAAGCTGAAGATCGGCGCGCCGAACGAAAGGTCGATCCGCGCGGCGGTCACCGGCGGCCGGGCCGCCCGGTTTGGCGTGAACCAGAAGCGGGTGCTGAAAAAGGTGAAGGACTGCAAGACCAGTTTCTTCGGCGTGCAAAGTTACAGTGACGGGGAACAAGTAGAGGAAAGCAACCGAAATAAAGACTTGTTATTCCGTACTAGTAGTACTAGTCCCCATCATGATGGTCTTGATCTCGCCTCCCCAGCGCACAGCGACCGGCGGGTGAATTTGGAGGCGAGTTTGACGATGCCCTTTCTGAACCAGACGTCGACGGCCGATCTGGGGTTGGCCGCCATCCAGGCGTACCAGGATACCCAGGCGCTCGCGGGGCAGCACCTCGCCGGCCGGTCGTACCACATGGTACCGACGAAGGTGGATCTAAAACTCCGGTACGGGGAAGATGATGAGGCCGCGGACGAAAATACGGAGGAAAACGCAAACCGTTTAAAGATGTCCGCGCAGCCGACGCTGCAACTCCTCCAGCCGCTGCTTCCGCGGGCGAACGTGCGGCCGGAGCCGAGCAAATTCTCGAAACTGAACCGCGCCATCGTGTCGGAACCGGTGTTGGAGTACTTGCGCAAGAGGCTCCACCAGAAAATCGAGCAGGCCAACCTGGAGCGCAGCCGGAGAATCGCGAGGAGCAAGTCCTCCCGCGTCACGAACCGGAACAACACCGACCCTCTGTACTTTCACTTTGATGACCACAGAGATTTGCTGCACCCCGCACCGTATGAGGTGGAGAATTTCGGGGATTTTCTCCATTCCGCCTTCCAGGACTCCACCAAGCAGTTCTTCCACGAGCAGACCGGCGCGCCGCTGGAGAGACCGCACCCGAGCGTGAAGCAGGAGCTGCAAGACTTGCTGGAGAAGAAGCAGCAGTCCGTGGCCAGCAGCTTTGTGGTCGCGTACGACGCGAAAAATTTCATCAAGGCGGAGCAGACGAAGCGCCTCTTCACCGGCCCGCAGCCGGGCGGACTGGCGGCGATGAAGTACGAGCAGGAGGAGCAGGCGAAGCGGTTGGCTTTGCAGAACGAGAAAGCAGGAGCTACTGCCGGGGCGACGAGCAGACCACAGAAGAAGCAGCAGCTTTTCTCCTTCATGCAGCCAAAGAAGCAGAAGCTGTCGAAGGAGGAGCGGGAGGCCGAGGCGGAGGCCGAGCGGGTCGCGCAGCTGAACCGGGAGCAGGAAAAATCCTTACTCCACACCGAACAGTTCAACTGGAACGCCATCAAAGACACGCCGGGCTTGATCCACAGCTTAACTTTCTCCGACACCTTCGTGTCGAAGGAGCTTCAGTACCAGGGCACGGTATCCAAAGAAAATATTTTTTTTCCCGCGGCACACGTTGTACATATGGAAATGCGGTTTATTCTGCATGACAAAACTATACCCTCGATCCTAACCAGCTGCACAACAAGTGTTTACACTTCTCTATATAAATTTGCGAAATCTGTGATGCATTTTGTACGTGTGCTGCAGCGGGCAGGAAATTTGTGTTGCATACGCGTTGGAGCCGGACACGAAAGTGTTGAACTACCGGATCAGCAAGATTCTGCTGCAAATTGACACGGCGGAGGAGCGCCTGGAGTTGCAGCGGCTCCAGGGCAACAAGGGCAACAAGTCCGGTGGCGTGGACCTGAACAATTTCTCCGCCGAAGTGCAGGAAAACGAGAACCTGCTGCGGCAGTGCAAGGACTTGCTGGACGACCTGCTGCCGAGAATCATGAGCGTGATTTACCGGAGGGACTCGGATGACGAGGACGTCGACTTTCTGCAGGTCGCGAAAAAGGAGGAAAAACAAAAAGTCACAGACGAGGTGAAGTTAGTGGACGTGGCGCTCGCCGTGTGGACCAAGCCGCCGACCTTCATCATCGCCAGGAACCGCATGAACTTGCGCGCAAAGTGGCACCCGGAGTCGCGGACCGTGTACCTGGAAACGCACCTGAAGTCGCTGAAGCAGCACCGCCAGGAGGTGTTCGAGCGATACCTGACCCAGGTGGAAGACTGGCGCAACGCGATTCTGGTGAACTACGAGAAGAAAATGGCACGGGCGTGGGCGATCGAGAACGCGAAGCCGATGAACCCGGTCGACGACAACGCGAAGGCGCGCATGAAGGCCCTGCAGCGCGCCTGGCCGGTCTTCATCCAGCTGGCGCTCTCCGCACGGTATTTCGAGGAAATCGCGCTTCCGTCCGAGAAGGAAAAGGAGTTCATCCAGCAGGTGACGCTATTGAGAGGAAAAATCCCCCCTCCTCATATTGAAAACTTACACATCAAGAACATTCGGAATGAATTTGTGTTGTTGGTGATTTGTGGCCACAAAAAAAACGCACATGATGTCTTGCAAGGAGACAAGTGTGCCAGCAGATGCTTCCGCCTGATTATGGAAGCGATTTGGCATGCTTTTGTGCATAGCGGGAGGCAGTGGCCGTTTGCAGTGCTATACTCTATTAGACACAAACGACAAACGCACCCACCTAGGTGAAGGTGGTGGATCTGGCCGCAATACCTTACTTCTAGTAGACGGAGCGCGTTTATTGTGTATGCAAATCCAGCATCAGAAACTTGAACTTCGTTTTGAAATATAATGGGGAGGGGGGATCATTTTTCCTTTTGATGGGCGAAGGTGGAAAACAGCAATGAGGAGGACCAGAGCTCGCTGTTCCAAATCCTGCAGAAGAACGAGGAGCTGAAGGTCCACGATATGCAGACGGACGACATCAAGTCTCTACCCGCCTTGAAAGCGCAACGGCAGGTGGAGGCCCACCCATTGGAGACGAAGATCGCGCTCCAAAAATACTTCACGGAGAACACGAAGAGGAAAACGTTCTGGCTCTTCTTCCTCGCCAAAGCGAAGCTGAAGGTGGAGCTCGGTCGGCGGCGGCTGCGCGCGCGGATCATGCTGCAGTTTCTGGAGAAGACCTGTCGCCCCGAGCAGCGGTTCTTCTTTCGCGCGATGAACTTTTCCTACCACGCCCGCACGGTGCAGCGGTCCTTCCGCTTCTTCAAGTTCAACCGCGGGTGCTACATTCGCGTTCTGATGAAGCGGTGGGTGAAAGTGGAACGGAAGGTCTGCGGGGAAGAGCTGCTGAAGTCCGACATGATGCAAACCAGGGTCGCGGAGCTCGATAACTCGTTGGACCAGGCGGAGCAAGCGTCTAACATGGGACTGACCATGACCCAGTGGATCAACAAGACGCAAAAAACGTCCCGCCGCCACGGTCCCAGCGCGCCGACGCCGTCGCTGCCCAAGCTACAGGACAAGAAGAACAAGCAGCTATGAAATGTTGCAAATATGTCTGGGAGGTCTGGAAACTTGTGATGTCGCTGGCTGGACAGTCTTGAGGACGTCCCAATTGGTGGCCACGCATTACATCAATTTTCTGAGCTGCTAGGTGTTGCCTGTTCTGCATGGCGAACTGCGTTTCCGCATGACAAAAATCTGGGATGCTTGCCTGGCGCGCATGACAGACTTGAGAGTCATGCACATGCTGGCCGAGCATGATAAACTCTGCAGTCTTCCAGACCCAGACATATTTGCAATGCATAACAGCCACAGAAATATAAATCGGCGGCAGACATCAAGAAGCAGTGGTACGATCTATCCTTGGTAAAAACGTCGCCACCTCCCCAGAGTTGTAATGCAAATCTGCATGCTGACTAGCTAAAGACGACTACACTGCGAGCCAAGATTTGTCATGCGCAACAGCCTGTTTATGTCATGCGCAAAAGGAGCTAAAACTGGTTGACCTTTCTTCTATGTAGATTTCGCATTTTGACTTAATGTATAAGGTGGGGACGTTTTTACACAGGATACGATCGAGTGACCGCAAATTTGATGTCCGAGAGGGACATCAACAAGTTCATCATCCCGGAGCTCCGGTACCGAAGGTACATCCACATGTGCCGGCTGGAAGCGTACAAGGAGGAGACCCGGCTGTACATGCGGAATTACAGCAAGTGGGCCCTGAAGAAAACGGCGTACGACGAGGCCATGGAAGCCGGGGTGCCACCGCCGGAACTGCCGCCCGAGCCGCTGCCGCCGCTCCGACCCGACATGACGCCCACCTACGCGGAGTTGGTCGACATGGTCACCCGCGCCAGATTTTCCTCAGACAACTACTTGGTGCTGAATTTCGACACGGACGAGGACCCGGCGGAGGTGGTGGAGGCCCGGGAACGGGAAAACCAGTTGAAGGAGACAAATCGGTACCGGTTTTCCACCAAGGTCTACTGGCGTCTGATGATGGAAAGGGAGGACAAACGGCAGGAAAGGCTGTTTGAGGAGTCGCTGCAGTACACGACGGCCTTAGCCTTGGACGACGACGGATTTGAGTCGACCCGGGAAAAGCAGCTCGGAGACATGTACAGCGTCGCGTTCGAGGTGTACAAGACCTTGAACCCGCGACAGCTGAAAACCGCCTCGCCTCCGCCCTCCGCGCGCTTGGTCGCGAGGATGCAACCGAAGAGGTCCGGAACATTCAAGCTGGATCGACTGAAGCTATCCACTGCAAATTTATGGTATTTGGGTCTGGAAATATATAAACATCATGATCATGATCAATTGAACTTGTAGCATCGCTCGGCCGACAGCACGACTATCAAGACGAGAGCAGTTGCATTTGTCATACAAGGACGCAGTTTGTAGTGCGCGTTCACCGTAGTTTCGCATCATGAAAAAGTGTCGCAAATAAATCTTGCCATACTACTAGTACTAGGATCCACTTAGATATTAAAGTGCTCCTCAGAGAAAATAGATTCCGCATGATGATTGACAAGTTGTCTCCAGACCCAAACTACAGATTTGCATTGGACAGATGCAGGGGCGCAGCAAAAACGTGTTGTATTCCGAGGGGAAGCCGGTGAAGCCGCTGAACTGGGAATTGGTGGAGCCGGAGCTGGACTTTAACAAGGAACGGCTCGAAAACCAGGACGCGCTGCGGTTCGAGCTCTTCAAAACGGAGGTGCCCGTTTTGTCGCTGGTATCCCGTGCAAATGTAATGTCTGGGTCAGGAACTGTGAGAGTCGTGAGGTTGTTCGTCATGCATCTTTCTGAACATGATATTGATAATTGTATGTAGCTGGCTCGGATGAATTTTCATGCACGCCAAGCATTTTTACGGGTTATCGTTTGACGGCGAAGGCTTCTTCATGCCTGCCCTGCATGATGAGATGATGAAGCTCGGTCTTTAATACGTACGTTTGCATGAGATGTGAAACAGTTTGTAATTTTAACGCTCACGTTGCACACGACACGACACGCAATACAGATTTTTGTAGTCCGCTCCAGAATTCTTGTTCGCGTCACAACTTCCAGACCCAGACACTTTTGCAGTGCATAGCTGGAACACCATGACAAGTGGTGGCCAACCGAGGAAATGATGTTCAGCACATAGAGCTGCCGTAGTAGCAATTGATTTCGCAAGAACACGGCTTGAGGTGCTGCTCTGCTGCTCAAAAATTCTTTGATTCCAGCACGGGAGTAAAGGAAGGAAGAGTAGACACTGTGACTATCAAGAACCAGGCAGCTTAACATACGAATATTAGCAGTAGCTAGTATTTAGATTTACACCTCTGCATCTGCTCGGCGCAAATTTTGATTTGAGTTTCATTTACAGGAAGTAGCACGAATGTTGTGCTTACGTTTGTTTTGCTGTTTTAGTTTTCATCTGTTATAAAGTTCGCGTCGTGCGTTCGCGCGTTTCACCGAAAGCCTAAGACCCGCGGCCGCGTCGATATTACTCACGTACTTATATTACTCCGAAGAGTTGTCGTTTCCCTTTCCTTACACTACAACCAAAATTTAAATAATTCAATTTCAATGTCAATCAACACTTGTCTTATTCCTATTCGAAAGCAAGCATTACACATGTGTACGCGCAGCGTACCCCGCTACAGACTAAGTATATCTGTTTCTCCTGTAGTACAATTCTTCACCATGTGCACGTTTTTTTTTTTTCATGATACATAGTCAACATAGGCGTATGAACCAAATGTTTTCCGTTTACGTTTAGTATCAATTGCAAATGATTTGATTTTTGTTATCACCATTCCAGTGCGAGTACCCGTTTCCTTCCAGCTACAGTCTTCTAAAGTTTTTCCATGACTGCGTCAGACGTCGAATTTGTTTAGATTTCGAATGTGGTAACCCCGCCCGGAGCGTCGCTACAGATATTATCTTTACGATGATTTTTTACATGAAACACATTCCATAGTTCGAGCCGCTGCCAGCCGCTTCTTGTGCGCAAGTGTAAGTCCTGTTCTTGCTTCTGTTCAGAAGATGCCTATGCTGGAGGTGCGGAAGTCGCAGTTTCTGTTTCCGCTTCTGTCCCCAGAACTACGAGCAAAAGCAAAGTGTAGTACTACATCGCTCATACGTAGTTGCTTTCATCGTGGTTTGCATGGAGAAAGAAAGAAAGTACGACGTGTAGTAGATGCACCGTCGGTTTCATCAGACGAGCTGCGAAAAGAGGACCGTAAAGCGTCTCCTCTTTTGGTAGATATCGTTATCGTGCAGATCTTCCTCCGATAATTTCGGTGTGTCATGGACGTTTCTTCCATTAATTGATGTGTGGCGTCCTCGGTTGAAAGGTTATTTGTTGTCATCGTTTTTTAGTTGTGCTAGTAATTCTTGTATTCGTGTTCGTCAATGCGACCACGCTTGCGCTTCGTCAATTTGTGGTCACTCTTCCACCACGTGTTTCCTCGAGGAAAATATAGTAGAAACCGGTAGTTCAATCGTACCTTCGAGGCTCCACGCCGCGCTGTGAACCGCTTGGAAAAAGTATGCAAGTTCGTGCGCCGTCTCTTCTTCCTGAAGAGGTGGTTTGATATTTTGTGCAGTAGCAATCATAACAGCAAAGGCAAACTACTCGTGCAAACCAATTGTGATTGCTGCCAGATTTTCGTATTCCGTCGTCCTAGTAGTCGTCCGGAAAAACATAAAGGAAGTGAACAGATGAATTCGCTCTCGCGGCCTTTTGTCGTACAGGCCTACCACTTCGTGTAAGTATGTAAGCACTCTCTCACACGGAAAGTCTGTAATCACGACCTCTGATTGTTGTCGTTTCTGCAATGAAGCTGCCGCTCGTACAATTTCGCAAGTCCACATCAATCGGTTATTTTAGTCGTTGCCCAAGACAGCAGGGAGAAATGGGTCGGTATCGTTCGCAGCTATGTTGCTCTTCGTTCGTGTGAAAATTCCAGAATTTGCGATGAAAGAAAAAGAAATACGCTTCCTCCTCCACTGTGGTGTGGCACGCAGCAGCAGACTGCGAGGCACGACCCAGCCCTGAGGACCCCGCCCATCTCTCTGGCGCACCGAGTAGACGCTGAGTTTTTGTCGCTGCGGCACGCGGCGTCTGCTCTGATTGGGTACGAGAATAACAGAAAATGTGCGTCGTGCCCAAGGCTTAATTCGTTCAAAATAGGGCTTTTTTTATTCATCTCATCAAAAATGAGACCAGTAGGGGCGCTTCTCCGCGCCGGCTCAACTTCCCACAACGCCCGCAGACCTCAACCTGCTACGCAGCTGCCGTTAGTGCGCGCGTTCGGGAGCTCTAGAGGCGAGAAAGCGAACGGGCTGTCTTGTTCGACAGGCAGGAAGGCACCTCGCCCTGCTTTCGTAATTATCTTGAATTTTATATTAGCTAGGCTAAATGTAATAGGGAAAATAAAAAAAATTAACATTAAGAATAACGATAAGAAGAAAGGGGATAACAATCATTGCCGTTGGCACTCACACACACGGGTGAATGTCAATGTGAGTGCCACAAAAACCAAGGAACCCGGGGTCTGGAACAGTATGTCGCATTGAGTGTCATCTTTTTGAATAAAGGATTCTTGTTGTTTGAACAGATAACGTTGACTAAAATTGATAATCTTAAATAAAAGACAGAGAATGCAGCCCGTTGCTTTCCCTTTTCACAAAATCTTTCTCCCCGTTTATCAACTTTTGTTGTTTTCCATTTGACCACTTTAAGACAAGTTGCAACTTCGTAAAGTGCGTGTCTGTTCAGTTGTAACTCTTCGCAAACCCAGCGTGTCTGTGTTTACTACTTACAAAAACTATACGTCTCATTGGAGCGAATCCGAAGCGGTCGTACAACCGGGCAGTGAGGACTCAACTTCTGTTTACTCCAGCGAGGGAGCAGATTTATGCCGTGTATAACAGTCCCGATCCCATAGTCAAGTTGGGAACTCTGCAGCAAGGAGGCAGGCTGCAAGCCAAATTTCTAGTATGGGAGTGTAGTGTAGTGCAGCATGACAAACACACCCGCGTCACAAAGTCCTCTGCTTGTCTGGTTTAAAGCAGCGCAAGTGCCAACACACCATTAGACATGCATGAAACCAGTACCAGCTCATGGGGATGCGCATTACGAATGTTGACGGAGTTGTAAATCTGCATGTTGACACTGACAACTCTGGGGTTTGGGACGTGTTTACTCCGGATAACACTGTTCTGAGCGACTTTTTGCTCCGACGAACTTGGTTGTTTGCTAAATAGCAGGAACAAGGCGAAGGCGGCCAAGAACTAGGACACCATATCGCACACAAAAATGCTTGCAAAGGGTAAAAAATGTCATGCAGTCAAGACGTGCCGTGAATGTGAATGTGATCTTCTTGTTCTTTCACATACTTTCGTGTGACCAACACCTTGAGTTGTGTATATTGACAGCGCTTGTAGAAGCAGCGCGGTGTTGAAAGATGCTTTTACTTTTACGACGTCCTGTTGTAGGACCACAACAACAGGTGCACCAAAAACAAAGCACACCGCGCGGCTCTTTCTTCGCATTCGGTATCTGCGCTGGGTACTGGAAATCACTGATGTATCTTCCCAGATATTATGTTGAACGCTTGCTAAAGCATTTTTCTGTGTCATATCCAGAGAAGACCACTAGTTCGTCGACTGCTCCAGAAGCAAGCGATGCTTTTCACCCTAGATTGATCGCAACGGAAAAACCTGCCGTATTTGCTGCTCGGCGTACTGGCACAACAGTCGGAAAAATCCAGCAGGCGGACACGAAATGCGAGCTGCAGAGGCAATTTTGGTGGCATTGATGGTGCCAGGGGCAAGTGGGCTCCTTCAAATCGCTGCAGACCATCCCTGTGAACACACTTTCGCAATCAAACCAAGTAACCACGCTTGCGGCAAACAGACGACTGCCGTTTCTCAACAACTGTGGCCCATACTTGACGCGGCAACGTGTGAGTACGCTGCGAAGGTGTGCAGCGATCTGAAGCTCACTGTTCCTCTATGCAGGGGGACTGCATTGCGATAGTCAAGTGAAAGTACTAGGAGCGGCATTTTATATTTATTCATGCTCGTCCGCCGACATTAATAAATTAATTGGCCCAGAAGAGGACGAAGAAGACCAGTAAATCTGACCGCGTGTTTTTTTCACGACCTACTTGCATGAAAAGCCAGTATTTTTTTTCTGGGCGGATGATGTTGATGGGCAAAAAAAAACATCATCTAGTCTGCGTCGCTCCTACTTCCATGTTGACTACAGACATGCAGATTTGTACCTGATAGAAATCCGCGATTGAGAATCTTCATTTGCCGTTCACGACAGAAACTCTTTCTCCTAACGAGAATTACAATGCGTGTTTCTTGTCACTATGCACTGCATGCACGTCTGGATCGACATGAAACAAAATTGCTAGAGGATCAATTATTAAGACAAAATAGATCATCTTCAAGAATGGTGGAGCTGGAGGTCTGATTGATCAATTAATAGGACCTCCGTTCCTCTTGTTGAAATTGCGTCAGAGTGCCAGCGCGGAAAGGACAAATGGCAAAGAAAGTTCGGCAAGCATGGACTACCGTGGCTTGTCAAGTTATCCGCCAAGTTATCTATTATTACCTCGAAATAGGAACATAAAACCGAAAGCGATGTCAATGACATATATAGATACGACCTCGAAGCTGGCCATAGATGGCCTGGCCGTTTGGAAAGACAAGGACCCGCAGACCCGGGACCTTTTGTGACTACGAGCCTTCGGGGCTGAGCCAGGAGCTTTTCTTTGGGACCCGCCTGGGTTTTCCCCGAAGGCCCCGGACATCCCCGACGGCGGTCCTTGCGACCCAGAAAATTTAGGGCTTCGCGAGCCAATGAGGGTCGAGAAAGTTTGCGAGCCGATGGTTCCACTCGGGGGTCGAGAAAGTTCCTGGGAGCAACTTCGAGAGGTTTTATTACGGAAACAACTTATCGGGTTCGGCTTCGGGGGCAGGCGCAGACGTCCGTGCGTGAGGGCGTGGCGCAAAGTCGAGATCATCTTACAAATATTTATGAACTCCGAGATTCAGCAGAGCCGAGGCCTTGCCAGTCATCGGTCTTTTCCTCCGGCGCTAGCGCTCTTGCGTCCACGGTCGAGGCGGACCCGAATTCGTCGGGGGCCCCGGCATCCCTCTTGGAACGCGAAAGGACACCGGAAGTGCTCCAGCGTATGGGTATGGCCGTTTGGGTGTCCAATCGACGAATTGTCGTTGCCTTCAGACAGTAGGACTTGATGGATGCGAAAGCCCAGGGGCGCGTAGCCTTCGACGACCGGGCCGTGGTTCGGTGTGCTCACAAATTGCACTCGTGTCGAGGGCTGGCACTGGGCGAGTAGATGCAAGTTTCAGTTTTTCTTCTGGGGCCTGCTGCTGGTCTGCAGGATTTTCGCCTCGCTCGCCCGAAAGATACGACAGCGACAGGAGTGTCGATTTCGGTTGCGATAACGTTTTTTCCCGCGGACCGGCTTACAAAACAAAGTCTTGACTACAGAAGCGGTGCCGACCGTTGTTTCTGAAGTCAAGCGGTGCTTGTGAGCCCTTCTGCTTAGTGCAGCACTCTTCTCGGGCTAAATCCTTCGGCCCGAACGCGTCTTAGCTTATTCATCTTTCGCGGGCAGGGCCACTCTGGGCCAGCCACCTTTGCAGGGTCACATCAGAATCAGAGCAATGCGCGCACCACCAGAATAAAAATAATGCAAGAGCACGAAGGCGGACGCGGACCCAGTCCCAGACGCCCGTTGCAGTGTTTCTGTCTCAGAAGATCCAGAGAGCTCGCATTTCATAGGCCTCGGTCGATTACAAGGTCCGATTCGGCCCTTCTGGTATTGCAGCGTCAATTGCTTCCGAGGGATCTTTGACGCAGGCGTCCACGACCCACACCCTTTGCCTGCGGGAACCTCTGTCCGACGACGGTCGAGTTTCGCTTCTTCCTTACACGGCAAGGACTTCTGGTGGTGATGCTCTTGAAGGGGCATACCAAGTCCCGCAGTGCCAGGTCGGCTTTCATGTTCAGGACAAGGAGTGCACAGCCAATAACTTTGTCTCCGCGGGTGGCACGATGCGGGTTTTCGGCGCATCCACTGTGGCGGGTCTTGGGGCGTATCGACGTGAAAACGCGTATGTGCCCACCTTTGTCAAGCTGGGCCAAGATATGAGTAGGTCAAAATCAAACAACATAGATTTAGATAAGTTGTACATTTATTCGCCCCGTCGATTCTCATCCATCGACTCGGGCTGCTCGGCTCGTAGTTTGTATTTGTTATCTCTTTGGGCGGCACGGTGAAGTAATTCATATTTATATACTATATAAATATGAATTACTTCACCCCCATAGTAGCCGCTTTGTGGTCCTTCTATCTCTTTCAATAAATCAAATTGTGGGGTTCTCTTAGACCTTAGAAGCACTTGTTGCCCCAATCAATTTGAGAGGCTTGTTTTTGACAGCAAATCCATTTTGCAGACTCAGGCACAAAACCTAGGAGGATGCCCATTTGGGACTGCGTCGGTCCGCTCCGATGAATTTATAATGCCTATTCGCATGCCTTGCAATGTCTATGTCGTGCATTGCTGGCTCTAGTAGTTTGACTTGGAGGATGTGCGCTATGAATGAAGCAGTGTCAGCACAGTCCTTGAAAACTAGAAAGCAAGTGTGTACCAGCCGCCTGTCGAGCGGCCGTTTGCCTGACCATACTTGTATGGCTAGGTGGGGAAGGGTGCACCGTCGCGTTTTCGTCGTCATATTGGCCTAACTAGTGGCTTTACGTACAAAGGCTGTTATCAAAAGCAGGCCTCGTCATTGGTCGCACTGCAGTCTACTGGGAGTGCGTGGCGGATCGGATCAACGGAGATAATCGCTGACCAATCGGGTAATACTGATTTTCCCCTAGCTGCTGCAGAAACATACAGACCGCTGTGCCGAGCGGCTGTTGCAGAGGGTCCAACGTTTGAAATTCTGCACCACGAGTCCGCGTGCGCTACCGGATTCCACATTGCACAAAGTGCGTGCGCGACCACCGCGACCGGCGGTGGGACGAGCGAGTTTGTGGTCGATGGCCTAGCGCCGCAAAACGGTCCGCTTTACGGAATCGACATCCCGGCCTCGTCCGCTGAAACTCTCTTCGGATTGCGACTCGGGCAAACAGCCAGCACACTTGAGTACCGTACTACTGGTACTTCTACTACCACTGCCACGACCGAAAAGCAACGGGGATGCACGACTGACCTAGCTGGAATACGAATATCAATGAGGTGGAGGACGTGGATGTGCATTTTTCATCGGTGGATTCATCGTTGTTCTACTTGGCACGCAGATGCAAGCACTGGCTACGTCCACCTATATTCTTTTTTCATGAGTCTGATTAGTTGAACAAAGCGCTCGCCTAGGGGGAAAGACAAGAAAAAGGTCGTGAGGAAAAAACCAACCCTATGTACAATGCGGGGGGTACTTCAACACACAAAACCGAAACCCATCAAGCGCGCATACAGAAGCACAGCAGATATGTACTAGTCGAGGTGCTTAGAGTGCTGTAGACGGTGCCTCGCCGGCACCGGCTTTGGCTTGCTTCGATGTGTGTTTTGTTCTCGCGCTCCGCAGAGTTCCCATGGTCACTCGGTTTTTCGTGATCTGGCTAGCCGCCATTCAGAGGGAAGTAGTCGAATTCGATCCCAAGAGGGTGGTCGCTACATGGCCAAACCTGCTCCTTCAGCGTTTTCTCTTAGTTCGTAGCATGCGAGGCATGCATGGAAGTAGACTAGGAAACGACGGCGCCAGGTGCTAGAAGTATAACGCCTGCAAGGGCGAGAAACAAGAGGCAGGAGGCGAGAGGCAGAGCGCACTGACATACTCCAGGGCGCCTGCGTGGCGGGCGCCCTGGAACAGCAGCTCGGAGCAGTACAACGAAAGCCCGGGGCCACGGCCACCCCAACCCTGGGGGGCGAGGCTTCCGGGCAGTTTGCAATTTGCGAGCAGCTCCCAAGGCAGACGCGCGGCTACTTCGATTCTTTTGGGACGCCCGCGACCAGGAAAGTGACCGCGGCCGCCCAAAGCCAAAACTGCTAACTGTGCAATCAAGTCCTCCGGCAAAGTTGGGCAAATTCAATTATATATTTATAGAAACGCCAAAGAGAAAGAAAGTGCCAAAAACGGTGGCGCTAGCGGTTCGCTTGCCGTGTCTCGGCGTGGCCGCAGGCTTCTTGTTTTATTTGGTAAACCCGAAACAGGTCCCGGCGGGCCCCGGCCCCAGTTTCCTTGGGGTGGGTTTGCGCGCCCTCCCTTTCTTTTTCTTTTTGGCCCCCCCGCGCCCACGCCCACTTCCCGTGTGCCCCCGGTTTCCTTTCCCAATGTGGCGGCCGCTTTGCTGCCTGCCCACCCAATTATAGCAAGGCGCATGGGCATGGTGGCCTTGTTCCTTCCCAGGAAGGATCGATAGGCGCCACCCTTGTGGGTTGCTTGTATTTCTTGGCGTTCGGCTGGTGCGCCTTTGAGCAAATTGCCTATCACTCATCTGGCATTTTCTTGGTGGGTGCCAGCATGTGATTTCACAAAAATCACGCCCGCGCACGCCAGCTCGCGGCACTGGCATGATGGCGATTTAGTTTGAGGGCACTACCAAACAGGGCAGGAGTTTGAACATGGCCCTTTGGTCTACCTAGCATAGATGTTTCTTCCTAGACCTGTGGACATCCAGGGCGCCCGCGCTTAAGGTCTAGCATGCCTGCTGTACTTAGTTAGTAAAAGAGCGATCGATTCACCGTTGTCGCTATGCAGCTAAAGCAGCAGCCACGCGTCCTGCAGTTTTCAGGTTTACTATTGTTAAGCCCTGTAGCGCCAGCGACCAAGGAACGGGAGTTCCGGTACTCCATTTCCAAGCGCGCCGATCCGTTGGCGGGGGAATTTTCTGTCTGCTTGCGGTCTCAGGTGTGTGAGGGTGGTGCCTACGAAATCCTTCCTCCTGGGCGGCCTTGTGCCAACAAGTTTGAAGTGGAAGTTGCGGGGAGCGCGACGGTGCTTGCGCGACAGCACTTGGATTTGCAGAAGGTACTGAGCAGCTGCTCTACGGCACTGTACGACGAAGTTTCCGGAACCACCAGCGTACTCCGCGGAATCGAGCCACATGCTGAGGACACGTTAACTGTGCCCGCAACTTTTTCGGTGCGTATCGACGCCCGCACGAGCAAAATTGTGCTCGTAAATGCAGCGTCGGCGGCGACGATGCAGCTGTATCAGCACGCCGTCTGTCACCGCAGTCGCACGTGCAGCTCTCCAAGCACTGTTTCACTGAGTGTTCCGTTGGAGGTTCTCCCCTACGGCAGCGATTGCGAAACCGGCCTGGAGGTTTCCCGCGTTCCTGCTATTGACGGCGCTGCTTTGCTTCAGAGTGCGGCAACAGCCGACTGCTTTGGATTTCTTGCCCAGGCGAATTTTCTCTCGACCTTGGTCGTGGGCGACCAGGCCACGAGCAAAAACATCTTCGCCCGGTACAACCCGACTTCCGGGGAGACGCAGTTTCGCGCAGGTGCATCATTCAGCCAGAACGATGAATACGACTACGCAATCTGCTATCAATACGCGACACAACAAGTCGGGTCCCCCACTGTGGGTTATCGCAAGCTTCCAGGTCCGAAGAGATGTGATCCGGCTAAGCAGGTCTTTGACGCGGCCACTTGCGGTACTTTTGTCGGCGGGGCCGCCGCTGCTGCGCTCGTTCATTCGGATATTCTGCCGCTCGGGTGTTCGTACTTGGGAACTGCGGCGATTCTGAATATGGGGGGGCCGGCCTACCAGTACGACTACGTTCTTCCGCGCATCGCTTCTCAGCGAAGCCAGCGCACCCAGGTTTGTCGGGAAGATGCGCTGACGGTGATGGATGTTGCGACTTGCCATCACCACGCTGCCGAAGTGATCAACTTCCTTGCCCCGATAGAAGAGCAGCGCCTGACGATGGAGCAGGATATTGCAGTCACGGTTTTAGGGAGCGGTTACTTCGACAGCGCGAAGGGCGAGTTGTTGCTGAACGAAAAACTCGCCGAGGACGACCGCTGTATGCAGATTCATTCCTTCGTGAACGCGGTAGACAATAACCATTTTATGCCAGAGTTGAAGGCCAAGCTCCGAGGGATGTCTACACCGCAGACGCTGGCGGATGGTCTAAATTCGGCTATGATTTCAGATTATAGTACCCTAAACATCGTAGCGGCAACAGGCGCCGCTTCAGTCACAGCTTCGTATTCTGCGGCGGCCGCGTTCGATGAGACCGCTCTCCTCGTGTATGACAAAATTTATCTGGCAGGCGTGGCGGCAGCGCAGGACGAGGCAGTGACGCTGAACTTCGGTATGGCTACGACAATTCGCAATAAAAAGTCGCAGTACGAGGATGCGCTGATCAAGGATCTTCAGCGGATCTCAGCTGTGCCACACTGCATCGCGTGGAACGACATCGCGATCCATTTGTGTCTCGAAACCACCGACGTCTCGGTGACGGATGCTGGGTGTGATCCGACGAACACGTGGATAACGTTCGTTTTGAAAGATAAGTACTTCCAGGTTGTTGAAAATGGCGGAGCGTACACGCAGGGCGCCACGGTCACCGATGCCGGGCTGGATCTCGTGGCACACTTCTACGACGACGAAGATTGCTCGACACCTTTTGCTTACCCCGCTTCACCTAAGTCGACCTTTGATTTCACTACTTCTGGAACGGATATTGCCGGGACCGCTTACGCAGCCAATAATCCATATCTTATGGGCGGCTATGTAAAGGCTGCTGCGTTCCCCCGTACGATTGTCGCTGATTTTAGCGTCAGCATGAAACGAAAGCCTGCTAACGACGTGGCAGCCCGAGGCCTTTTTGGGTACCAGCTGTTTGCCGGCGCCAACTGCGAAAATTCTCGGTCTCGGAGCTCCCCGACCCTCCCCACGATTGGCTTGGGTGATTCGTTTCGGGTGAAGGTGCCGAACAATAAAATCCCGGAACCGCTGCAGCTGCAAGAGTCGGCACCGCTCGGAGCGAAGAGCTATCCTGGGTTTTCCGATGTGTACAATGGCGCCACCCTTGGCACCAGCGCCTGCTTGGACGAGGGCCGGTTCGATTGCGTTGCGGGTAACGAGTGCTACGACAAAGTGATACGCATCGGAAAAGTATCGCGCTGGTAGATATTGCGTTGCAATATTTTTCAGAAGAGATGAGAGCGGACATTAGATTTCCGTTTGTGATGCTGAACTGGATCGTAGCAAACCAGATCTGTAATGCATGACTGCAATTGGAATTGATAAGAGCGCGATATTTTTGCAGCGGATAGGGGAAGGAGTACATCGATTCCGGCTGTACGGATATCCCGAGCAACAACGTCTCCCCCAAAAAATGTGGCCTTTTCGAGAACAAAAACATTCCATGATAGTCAAGGTTGCAGTTTTGCTAGAGGAAGTAGAGGGCAAGCCAAGATAGAAGTTTGTGCATGAGAACTACTTCTTCGGGTACAATCCAGTGTAGTGAGGGTTGCCTAGGGCAGTCGCTTCAGAACACGGATCGAGTTTCTTGCCGATCTTGATTGGAGCGCGACAAATTTCTCCATATTTTTTGTCTCGAGAAAGCGCTGGTGCTAGTGGGTCTGCGCATAGGAGACATTGATTTTTTGAAGGTACATCATTGGCATCACAAGCATGGGGGGGAGACGTTTTTACACATGATAACGGGCGTGCAGCACCCGACGCTGGAGGCTTTGATCGCGAAGTTTCGACGGTGTGGGTTGAAGGAGGATATTGACAACGCTAAAACGACTTTGCAGAATGAGATCAGTAACGTTGTCCAAGCGTGCGCCACCGGCAAGAAGATGCTGGCCGGGAAGTGCTACACGTGCCCGACGGATGCGACCAACTGCATGTGCGACCCGGGTGACGTGGGGGTTCTGAAAACAACGACAACGAGCTTTGCGTATTGAGAGGAAATGTCCTCCCTCCCCATATCGAAAAGGCATGCTTCCGAAAATTTGTCTTGCTGATTTGAGACCACAAATTACGTCTGTCTTGCAAGAAGACAAACGCAGAGGCTTCCCTGCCATTATGGGAGCGGTTTGGCATGCTGTTGGGCCTATAGGACAGCCGTTTGTAATGCTAAGCAACTAGTAGACCAAAATGCCCCGCCCTAGGCTGCGGATCTGGCTGCCATGCCGTATTGCAACACAGCGCGCATTTGTGTACGCAAATCCTGCATCACAGACTTCCCATTTGATATGGGGCGGGGGGATTTTTCCTTTTGATATTGCGTGCGAACGTTGCCCGGTTGGACACTACCAGCCGTACCGTGGAGTGTTCAGTACCAGCGTATCAAATGCAAAAATGTCTGGGTCTGGAAAAATTCAAGTTTGTCATGCTTGTCTGGCATGACTCTTAAATCTGTCATGCACGTTACCCAAGAGCTCCGTTTTTCAGTGATGCAGAAGCGCAGTTTGTCATGCAGAATAGGCAAGACCTAGGAGCTCAGAAACTTTTCATGCTGAGCCAGTATTTGTAGCCTCATCATGAGACGCCACCCAGCATCACAAGTTTCCAGACCCAGACATTTTTACAATCCATACGGCGCGGACTCGGACAATACCGGGTGCATCCCCTGTCCCGACGGAACCTACCAAGACACGGTGGGCCAGGCGAGCTGCAAAATGTGTCCGGTCGGGAGGTCGTCGTCCTTAAAACGGGATGGAGACGACGGTGCTGCGACGAGCGCCACGGAGGAAAGCGACTGCGTTCCTGGGCCCGCCGACGTGACCGAAGTGCACAACCACGACGACGATTACGACCACGACCACGCTGTGTTAATCGTGGTCATCGTGGTCTTGGGCATCATCACCGTTGGACTGCTTTTGTTTGTGGCGAAGGTCTCGTCGGGATCGGGCGGCGGCGGGTACCACGGAGGACCTGCGTTTGGTGGGCCTCCGCCCTTCAAGGGAGGAAAGGGCGGAAAGATGATGTCGATGGGCAAGGGCAAGGCCTCCGGCGGCATGATGAAGGGTGGAAAAGGTGGGTCGAAGGGAGGTTTGAAGGGATCGAAAGGCAAGGGCAAGGGAAAGGGCAAGATGATGAAGTGGTGAACAGGTGGGGACGATGGGGAATGACTTTTCCTTGCACGACGCCGATCCAGAACTGTTTTTTAAGCGAAAAAGTCAGTACACACAAAGAACTCACGAACGTCACTTATCACAAATTCGAATTCGCTTATAATCTTTTTTTTGCCGTATTGCACACTCATGATTTATTATGATCTACCTTGTTCAAAACGTTCACAACAACATACGATACATTTCTCAACTCTTTCAGATTTTTTCCAGTACTTATCACAAACAAAACCAATTATTGCGTCACACCACTAATTCTCTACTTTTACGAAACATGGCCGGTAGTTGCATTTTCTAGAGGCAAGAAGATATTGACGGAAGATAATTGTCCGGCCGCGCTCTTTCGGTGCTACGAGATGTGGTACTTAGCGGAGCTGCAGGCAGCAGGAGTTTCTGATAGATGGAGCAGCGTTCGATCAGTTGCGTCTGGACAGGAGCTTGCTCTTCGATGTAGACGCACTTCTCTTGCTCGCGGCTCTTCGATCTAGACGCACCACTTCTCCTGCTCGCCTATTTACGATGCCGCGCTGCCGGTCCTCATCACGATACAGTAGAACAGCACTCCTGTACGAAAGGGCAAGGGGGCAATATTAATCATCAAAACACAAAACTCTACCGAATAGGAAGCCGCAAGAACTTCGACTCGACGACTTACTATAGTAAACAGACGACTTGACTCTTCTTTTCTTCTGTAAGGTTAGGGCTACGCAGGAATCAAGAACAAGAATTCCAGACCAAGGGACGGATCAAGTTTCGTCATAGTATCTACGGCCATTCTACAACTTTTACTTTCTCAAGTATTTCATTTTAAGCCAAGAAAGCCTCAGTATAAATCATTTTGTTTTTTTGCTTTTCATTCTATTTCTAACCATGTACGCATAATCACAAACCATCAAAAGTATTACTGCATTCATATCACACGTCGATTTTTTTTCCGCTTTCATTTTTTTGATTTTTTTACACAACTAAATCGTGCACGTTGAAGAGTTAAGAAACCTACAGCAATATCAGTAGAGCATTACATCATCATATGAAATTTCGCAAAGGAACCACAAAACTAAAAGTAAAAAAACAAAAAAAAGCAAAACAGTTACAGTAGGAAAAAAATAGCAACTTTAATTTTACATGACATCCACCAGAATTTTCAGGTCAATCATTTTTAGCACTACAAATGCTTACCCCCTAGAACTATACTGTAAGAGCGTCAGACTTTAAAAGTACGAATAGTCCCCAAATGGAAAAGAACGGTACCCCCGAGCGTAGTTGTATCTATTCTACCCTGTGCTTGATGTCCACCTCTTGAGAAAATTTATTACTACTAGCACAGGAACCCTCAGCACCCAGGCGCCAGCTCCTTACAACTTGGGAGGATTTGTCCTTGCAAGACAAACGGGAGCATCGTGGGGGATGCGGGAGTAGTAGTAGTTGTGGTACTAGTGCTCGCATGAAGTGGGCAGACCTGCCACAAGTAGTTCTACGTATTCTATTTGAGGACATCGAGCTGGGTAGCAGATGGTTGACGTAGCAGTTCCACGGCGAAGTCTTCTCTCGATCGAGCTGCAGTACCCAACGCAAGAGTATCTTCGTACTCGTGCTAATTTTTGCAGTTTTTACTTGCATACACAAATCTAGTGGGCCACTACTCGTACTAAAATTTTTTGCACCGATGAGTAGTGGCTTGAGGTTTAGGTAAATCCGGCGCACAAATTCAATTTGTAATGCTCACCCAATTTGTATTGCAAATTGTACTAGTGCGATGCTCTTACTTTTGCAATTCATAGGCCGACGCGCCAAACTTCCGCTCAGGGACGAGGAGCACGGCAAGAAGAAGAATGATTCTAAGAATCACGATGGAGCAAGAGCTATCCTGCGTAAAATCGTCCGCAGCCCAGAGTCAGTTCTTCTCACGTAGATTTGGAGTGACAGGAAAACTTATGATACTTATGATGCGCACCCTCCTCCATGAGAGGCATTTATTTCCAGTCGTGTCTCGGCATTTGTAATGCTGTAAACAGGATATCAGAGTGATGGGGATGGCTTTGTGATGCGGCTGCACTTGCTAACCTGCATTGCAATATTTGTATTACAGAGCGAAACTACTTACTTGTCATATGTGACTGCCAAAGCCAAAACTTGTGAATTTGTGTGGCGAGATCCCCATCTTCCTTTCTTGACTCTGGGGCGGGGGCGTCGCTTTTACACGGGATATTCACTACAGGAACTGTTTTTATCCACGGGAAGGAGTTGCTGAAAGTTGAACCAGATCGCCACGACCACGACCTCCGACGGAGTTGTACAGCTCTGCGGTGTCTACACGACCCGCGGAGGGCGACCCAGTTCCTCTTCCTGGGGATGAAAAATAATGTCAACTGTTTGGGTAGTATCGACACGCTACTAAATCCGACGAGAGTCGCAGGTTTGATAATATACTTGCGATCGAACAAAAATTTGCACAAGGAGAAGCACGATGAGCGAGCAGAGCCACCCCTTTTGTGGTAGAAGACTCGAGCAGCAAAAAGAGGGCGACCGGTCAAACTGTGTGTTTTTTCTATCTCTAGCTGCGCAATGAGTACTGTTGAATTATGCAGCCAAAAAATCTTTACTTTCTGCCCTATCTCCTGATCTTTGGGACGACCCCGAGCCTTTACTTTCTGAAGTATGTTTGTTTCTTTTTGTTATGGGTTTTCTTTTTACGTTTGATATCGATAGCGGAGAGATGGACACGTCATGTTGGTGCCACGGACACGGACAAATGCATCCGACAACCTAGCTACGTCGAAGTTATTACAGGTAAACAAAACTCACGTAGTTTTTTTTTTTTATTTTTTCAACGTGCGCAATGTTTCCAGACCCAGAGCTGCCACTTCAATGGCCCACGTAAACAGAGAAAACGCATTTCGAATGAAGATCAGACCACCCAGTGTCTTTTGGTGGAAATAGGTTGATAGATTGATGGCGCGCACCGATAACGATAAGTCACGTAGTCGTAGAAGTTTGAGCATAAGATATTTTCTACTAGCGTCTCACAATCATCTCGTGCGACGCTTGCGACGCACGACTCTTCGAAAGTAATTTTCGCAGCTGCGCAGAAGATTAGAAGACGCGGTTTTACCAGGAAGCCCCACGACGCCAGATCGCATTGCTGAAGAATCTTAATTTACTAGCAGCGCAAGATAAAAAACGAAGTAAAAACTAAGTCTAGCACCGGCCTCACCTGCTCAGTCACTACTCTGCGTTCAGAAACGGCGCTGCACGGCGAATCTTTCGAACGACTCGCCGTGTTGTACGAAAACTTGACGCAGGGTCGGGGAGAAAAAAATAAATCGCTATGATGTGACTGCAGATTTTTGCTATTTTGTAGTGGTTGGGTTGCTAAACATGTTTTTCGTTTTTTTACATCAAGAACGTGCTGCACGTGTCATCTACTGCCGGGGCGACCCCCCATACTCGCCCGGCTTTCGCTCGCTCTATCGTGTTTCGTCCCGACCTTGACATTGGCTCAGCCGTAGAAGTACCCCTCCAGATTTCAGAAAAAGCAAATAAAATCACTCCGGAGCAGTAGTAGAGCTCTAGGTCGTGCAGCTGCAGGGCGTCAAAGGAGATGCCCAAAGCTGCATTTGTTCCCTTTGGTGTGTCTGTGTTCGTCCTCGCCGATGACGAAAGATGGAAGCTGGGATCATGGATGTTGTTGCGCCTGAAGGTCCCTTCTTGATCTCGTTCCGAGCTGCAAGAACACCACGGCGGAAGGAGCTGTGGATGCTTCGATAAAAGGGTTTGATTTTATCAGAAAATGAAAAACGATCGTTGGTTCGTGCTGTGTGTACTAGCAGAAGTAACAACATAGGAGAATGTTGTTGACGATCGCAAAAAGTAGTAAGTACCTATCGAAGATCCCGCCTTCATGATGATCATGTTCATGGCGCGACGTTCTGCTTCTCCTCCAACATGATCCCGAATATTTTTTGAGTACTTATACATCACAGCAGCACGGACTATTCTGTGCCACTTCTTTTTCTGTTGCTGCATCGCAGCAGGGCAGCGCTGTTTGTTAAAAACTTTCAGTCGCTGTCGCCAGCAGGCCTGCTTATCAAGTAGTTCTAGATAGACTCAGACTCTAAGGTGGGAGCCAAAGCAGCTCCACCAAGTTGTCCCTTTTTATTGAAGTAGCGCTAGACACATGAGATGAAAGAACGCCTTTCATCAAGCGGCTCCATGTGACCAACCTCAACAAAATTCAGACCCTATTTTTTCTTTTTGGAAACTACATCACAAACTCAAACACAAAGACAAAGACCTTACTCTCATTGCGAACAGCACCCTTGCTTCTACGACTCGTGGAAAGTACTTACTTTGAACAAGAGCAGGACCAGGTGTTGTATCATAGTTAAAAAAATAAAGAACGCGAGCACCTCCCATGCGCCTCGTAATCCAGCGCGTTCGGTCTGCCGCGGTGACAACCAGCACTGGTGTATCACGGGGAAAAGTGTTTCACGTTCTTAACCAACGGAATTTCTAACGCAAGAATGCATGAATTTTAGATCAGAATTAAGTAGCAAGTTGCTCATGAATTTGTATTGTATAGATACCAGCATGCATTATACCGTCCAAGATTTCGATTTGTCATGCATGACTGCAACCTGTAAAAAGAAAACCGTCCACGTTACAGCGCTTTTTTGATTGATACGGCGTCGCCGGCGAAATCCGAAATGGCCTGTTGGTCCTCGTCGGCATTTGCCAGACCGACACGAATATGAAATGCAAAAGTATCGTACTCGTATAAATGCATTACAAATTTCCTCAGCATGAGAAATAAAATTTGTAATGCTGATTGGCCTTGGGAACAAGATTTGTGATGCAAGACTTGCATTTATACGAGTGCGATACTTTTGCACAGGATAACGAAGGAGCACTTGGATTTTTGCGTCCGCCGGCTGCTCCGCATGAAGCTTTTCCCCAAAAACGTATGGGAGTGTCAGACTTGAAATTGGTGACAAATAAGTTAAACAAAACAATTCGCGATGCACAAAATCGATGCCAGTTGTGGTCGTGTGAGGACCTCCATCAATTTCTTCTAGAAGCCGCGTGACGAATCTAGGAAACACGGAGATCCAAGCTTTCGTGCTGTTTGGGCAAGGAAGACGGCATCTGTCGTGCTAGTACTGTAGCAGCTCTAGGACCAAGACCAACCCCAAACAGACTTACCAGCGGCTTTTGACTTGAGTGCTCTGCAAGACAGGCACTATAATACTGCGCCTTGCGTTTCATTGAGCGTGACGGAAAATACAAGAAATATGAAATCGAATTTAACAATTTCAAGCTTCTCGTCGTCGATTTCAAATCTGACGCTCCTTCCATAGAACGCCGGGCCGGAGAATACCGACTGGGAAACGCTCGAGCCGCAGTGGGCGCAGTCGTGTACCGAATCGAAGTACGACATCCTGATCGTGTCCCAGTTCTATCCTGCGCAAAAATAAAAGTATCGTCGTTGCCGTCGTAGTACCAGTGATGGCAATTTATGCATGAATGAAATAGATGAGGCTCCTTTATTTGATTTGAATCAGCATTGCAAAATGCAAGCAATACTCCCTCTGGGAAAAAAATGATTTATGATTCGTTAAATAGGAAAAGGACAACGAGCAAAACGTAAATCATAAGCATAACGAAAGCAAATATAGATGCAATTTTCAGTACGGACGACGGTGCTATTTCATCTGCAGTGCATACGCTCACTTTGCACGCAAAGTTCAAGAAGCCCAAGCCAGATTTTCACAGTAGTATGAGCCCGAAGCCGGCGAGAGAGATGTATGACCATTTTGTGGAGGAAGTGAGAAAGGGGCACAAGAACGGGGGGAAACTTGCGACGGGCGAGTTCGTATTCCAATGCAAACATGTCTGGATGTCAATGTGGTGGAAGATTAAATGTCACTGTGATCGAATTCGAATTTGGAAAAGTTTATAGCCTATTATCACAATGCAATACGCAGTCAAGCGTGACCCGTGAGAAATTCATTTGGTCCGCTTAGTATCCATTAATTGCGATATTTCATCATCTGCATGGCAAACGGCATTTTCGCACGACAGACAACACCTGGATTTGCTCGGCGCCAGGCGGCACAGAGCTTGGAGACATCGGCATGTCAACAGGAGGCGTTGGTACATAGTACAAGTCTTGCAATCTTCTAGATGACCCAAACATATTTGCGATGCATAGCTTGGGGCCATGATGCGAGTCCAGTTAGAAAATGACGGCCCAGTGACCATGATTGTCGATTCTGATTTGGTATGCAATGCAAAAGTATCGTACTTGTGTAGTAAATTGCATCTATAAGTTCGGCAAATGGACATTGCAACAGTGTCGTGGCTTAGGAAGGAGCATATCTGCAGCAATTGGTTGTATGTATTAGTACTTACGAGTGCGATACTTTCGCACAGGATACTTGGAAATGGGAACTAACCAACCACCCGGAACTATCATGTGCAAAACGTCACCACCACGACCCAAATCGACCCTCTTGTCCTGATTGTAGCATGACAAAGATGACAAACTCCCTCAGAGCATTGATTTGAAAACGTTGCTACGTGCTGGGCTGCGCATGAGAAACATTCTAGGCTTGCAGATCCGTTTGATGCGACTGGAGACAACTCTGGGGTCGGGAGGACGTTTTTGCAAGGGATAAGGGCCACCGGAGCTACTGCTAAAGTCGTACAGGAGTCAGCAGCACAAACTGTATCAAACAAAAAAAAGTCCGTCACGGTGAGTTATCATGTTTTTTTGCGGATTTCGTACCATGATCATGCATGCATCATTTTACACAGCACAGAATGTGATGATAAATAATTTCGTCGTATCCTTTGGTTCCCGATGCAAGTTGTAGCTGACCAATGATGCTGTTGTTTGCTGCCCGCTGCTGATGCTTGGGCCAGGAGTGCAGAGACCCTTAAGCTCCTGATGGTGCTGAGTTTGTTCTTTTCTTCCGCCCTCCCGCCCTGTGCGCGACACTGTGTTTTCATGCTGTTTTGCATAACAAATTAGGATGCACCGCTGCAGATGCTGATCATGCATAGTTGGATGTGACGCTGATCATGCTCACTGGTTGCATATTAGGTTGCACGGCATCCCTTGCGGGTGTCATGCGTTGCTTTGGCTTTGCTGGGATTTGGTGCTGTGGTACTCCCCTCTGAGTGCCACCCACGGACGAAACATGGGGGCAAGTGTGCGGCCTCCAAGCGGCGCCCCTGGGGTCCGGCCACCTCTGTGTGTATGGGTGGTTCATGCTGACGCATCGGGAAACGGTAGGTAGGACAAGGAGGAGAGCGAAATTATTTAAGTACAACAAATGCGTCATCCTCATCTGTTATGCATGAAAATGAACTTTCTAAAATGCATGGCAGGCATGCTGCTGTGTGCAACACGACTCCTTCTGCGTTTGCGCTTCTGCAATAGATACAAGAAAAAGCTGCGATGGCAAAAAAGTTTGTGATGCAGAACGAACCGGCAAAAAGAATTTTGTATGTTGTGACGGTGACAAACTTCATCTTTCTCTCCATAAACTACTGCGAATGGACAACATAATTCCCACACTTCTACAACGAGTTGCACCGCCGCGGCTGGTGATGCAGCTACACCAGCACCTCTTCGTCCGGAACAAGAGACGAGACCAGCAGCAGCTGCCCCGGCGCCTACCGCTTCATCCTCTGACGAGCAAACTGCAGTACTATCAGTGCCAAATTGAGAACAAGCTGCAGGCACCAGCATCTAGTGCAGGAGATTGTTTTTTAGGCAAATAAACGAAGACCTCCTTACTTTAACTTGGCTTCCGAAGGTTGCATCAGATATTACCTTCTGTAGGTTGAAGGAACAAGAGGTCCAATGCTCCTCGTCCTGCGGGGACTCTTCTTGAAGCATTTTTGCCGCACTTCGATATGCTATTTCGAAGTTCAAAATAGAACTTAGTAAATCCCAAAAAGCTGCGACAAGGAGGGCGAGCAGTCCCAGTTGCAGTGCTGACTCTTTCAAGTTGGTTAGGTGAGTGTTTCATCTTCTTTCGCCGCTGCAGGAGAACTTCCACTAAAAATGACCAGTCCTCAAGAACATCCTGGAATGACGCAGACGGACGGACGCTTCAAGTTGAAGCGCGAAAAAAAAACACACGCCCACAGTGGTGCTGAGGAGCGGCGCGACTTCAGTGAATTTTTACAGCACGACCAGAACAAAGTCGCACTTAATGCCACACCAGCGGCGCGCCTCATGGTACTGGAAAAGAGGAAATCTGAATCTGTTCGATAGCGTTGTTCTTCTTCTTGTACACGATGTTGTCTTTTGTTGCATGTTCCTCGTCAGCCTATTTCGGTCTTCTCTCGGTCGCAACTAGTATGTACGTGCAGGAGCTGGAGCTCCTCTCTCGTCTCTACTCGTCCCCACGACTTGTCGGCAGTTGCGACGTAGTACGAAGAAGAACATCTACCTACTATGCACAGCGTTTGTTTATTTTCTTTCTTGATAAGCATTGTGATAAACGTGCAACGGAAACTATAGAAACATCAAGTGGAAACGAAAGCTCAATACTATTTTTCCCAAAGAAGAAGTTTCCTCTTCGAGGCTTGCAGGAGAGCAAGGGCACGTCGAAAACAACTTTATCTACAAGTGCTCGAACTTGTATCTCCTTTGTTTTTTCATCTGCAATCATGTCTGCGGCGTCGTCTTCTGGTGCAACTTCTACAGGCGCGTTGCCACGGCCGACGACCACGTCATCTTCGAAAGGACAACGAAAAGGACCATCAGCCAGCGAGCTATCTCTGGTTTTTCAAAAATTGCGCGAGCAACTTGCTCAACAGCCGAGCTCGTCGAGTTCCTCTTCCAAAGGTAAAGGAAAAGGCGAGAAACAATCTTCGGCAAAATGGACGAATACAAGCGGGGTAAAAAATATCAACACAAAAGCAATAGACATCATCGACTCGGGCAGTAGTTCTTACGGGAAGATCGGCGTGCAGCAGGTTTACAAATTTTTGCAGACGTTGGATCCCAAGATTTCCCCCCTAGCCGTGCGCGAACTAACGCGTCAAGCGATTGAAGAACATTGCGCCGCACTACGGTTGGGCCCACACGAAAAGGGCAGACTGTTACGGGAAATGAAAGTGACGGACAAGATGTTGGCGAATGCAATTCTGCGATGGACGGACAATTTGTTGGGATCGGAGTGGTCTATCGCAAAACCACCGGGGAAAAAGGTGAAATAATGTGGAGGATTTGAAATAGGGAAGGGCTTTGCGGGTAAATGGCAGTCGGGCCCGGTAACGCTGCGAAGCAGATTGAAATGCTCCAGCGCTCACGGGGTGACGTCTTCAAGCCCAATCGCAAAGCTGCCCTGCCCGCAGGAAAGAAACCGCGGCAGAAGGATAGCAATAGGCGGAGGCCAGGCGCTATCCAGTGCGGAGCTCTTGCATCTGTCCCGGGGGTCCAGCCAAGCGGTATCGCTTCAAGGGCTTTCTTTCACATGTGAAAGAATGGATTTTGTTTCTGGCGGCCATTCTTTCACATGTGAAAAAGTGGGGCTTGTTCCTGGAGGCCATTCTTTCACACGAAAAACGAGACGTGGGGCCTGTCGCTATTGGCAGCTATTTTGCCGGATGCGAATGGGCGCGCTCTCTTTCTGGCGACTATTTCTCCACATGTGAAAAAATGAGCGCGCTTTCTGGAGGGCGTGTTCAGTGAGTGAACAGCTGCGCCGTCTTGCCAGCTCCCGCCTTTTCAGATTTTTTTAAGTCGTGCGCCTTTTTTCTGTCGTCGATTTCTCCACGGACACCCATACACGGAAATGGGCACTCTCTCTGAGGCGCACTCTTTCACATGCGGGGACGTGCAGCCTCCTCCTGCCGCTGATTTTTTGACACTCCTGTGGGCGGCCCTTCTACTTATTCTGAGCGTCTGGCCCGATCATTGCCGGCGCCGACTTTGAGGCGCCGCAGTTCTTGCCGCGCATGTGTCTCATCGTCATAAACGGCGGGCGGGAAAATCGCGCCACATTATTTCACCTTTTTCCCCCTCAGGTAGCAATAGACCCACTCCCCTTCCAAAATTTGGACGTGCGGCCACTGTGGAGTGCGTATTCTGCATTTTTTCTTTTTCTCGTAAAGGTAAAGCTAAAGCATCTGGATTATCATGTTACGGGATATGAAAGTGACGGACAAGATGTTTGCGAATGCAATTCTGCAGTGGACGGAAAATTTATCACAAGAAAAAGTGTTTACGTTTACGGTTTTCAGTTTTTTGGAAAAAAAATTTTTTGCGGCCACTCAGCGCCACAAATTTTGATCTTTTTTTTCTTGCAGCCGCGCAGGCATCCCCTTTGCCCTTTCGGGGCTCTGAAGTAGTAAAACTGTTGGGAAGCAGCTAACGCGCGGGATGCGAAAACTATGCAGCGCCGCCATAACATTGCGCCCGCCCCTTCAAACTTTGGAAGAGCTGCCCAAGCCCTGCCCGGGCTCCCGGGCAATGATGGCCGTAGGCCGGTGGCCCAGGGCCCCAGGCATTGGTGATGAGATCCGCCCCCGAAGGTGTCGCAACCATCGACCCCGGAGGGGGACCTGTTTGGGTGAGGGAAAATGGATCATAGCATGCTGTCTAGAGATGACGTTTACGGTTTTTGAGGGTAGACTACCCCCAAAAACCGTAAACGTCATCTCTAGTTGCTGGGTAGTGGAGAAATCCGAGGAAAAAAACATCACTTTGGCACCATTTCGAGGCCAAAAAGGAGCATTCCGTTTCGCCATACCGTGCGCACTAGTTAGACCCAACCCAGTGAGCTACTCCGCAGTCCCGCAATAGCTAACAGAGTCGAGGGGTCAGCTTCAAGTTGTAAAAAATGCCCCGAATGCACACCGAGAAAATTTTTAATCCAAAAAACGATAAACCGTAAACGTAAACACTTTTTCTTTCGATAAAGTTTGGACGTGCGGCCACTGTGGAGTGCGTATTTTGGAATTTTTCTTCTTCTCGTAAAAAAAGGTAAAGCTAAAGCTAAAGCATCTGGATGAAACACGAGCGATTTATGATTTTTCATATGAATGTAGATGTTATTTTATCAAATATTTGAAAAGTGATAGTCTCGTCGTTTTTCATGTGCGAAGGATCAAAAATCAACCTAATATTTTTTAGCGACAGGTCGTGATTACGTCAGAAAAGGATCGCATTTTGCAAGACATGTGCGGCTGTGAGCCTGGTGTCTCATGTCTCATGTCTTGGAGCCGTGTCATGACATGAGGACACGAGCATGGACATGACACGGCCGATTTGATGTCCATGCCTTCATGTCCCGACACGTGCCGGCCCTGGGTCAGAGGAAAATGCCCTGCTCATGTCCCATGTCTCATGTCTTGGTGGACCCGAAAGTCATGACATGAGACATGGGCATCCGCGACACTTTCTGGCTGAGGCTGTAGGACATGAGACATGAGACATGACATCGCCGTGTCCCATGTCCCATGTCTCGTGTCCCAGGACATGAGACACGGGACATGACATGTCTCAGGACATGAGACATGAGACATGACATCGCCGTGTTCGTGTCCCATGTCTCGTGTCTCGTGTCCCAGGACATGAGACATGAGACACGGGACATGGCATCTCCATGTCCCATGTCCCAAGACATGAGACATGGGGCATGACATCGCCGTGTGTCCGTGTCCCATGTCTCGTGTATAATGAAAAGTGACGGACAAGATGTTTGCGAATGTAATTCTGCGATGGACGGAAAATTTCGACGTGCGGCCAATGTGGAGTGCGTATTTTGCAATTTTTCTTCTTCTCGTAAAAGGTAAAACTAAAGCATAAGCATCTGGATGAAACACGAGCGATTTGCGATTTTTCATATGAATGTAGATTTTGTTTTATCAAATATTTGAAAAGTGATAGTCTCGTCGTTTTTCATGTGCGAAAGATCAAAAATCAATCGATTTTTTTTTCAGCAACAGGTCGTGATTACGTCAGAAACGTATCGTAGAGTATAGTTGGGGCTGAGTCCGTTACGGTTCATTACGGCTCGTTTGACCGTAACGAACGAATTTTCGTTCGTTCGTTACGGTTCGTTACGGTTCGTTTCACCGTAACGAACGAATTCCCGTTCGTTCGTTACGGTTCGTATATGGTTCGTTTCACCGTAACGAACGAGCTCGTCACGAGCCGTAACGCCGTAACGAACGAATCCGATTTTCGGAAAAAGACGTCCGTGCGTGAACACTGCAAAAGGTGAGAGCTCCCTCGTCGTCTTTCCGCGAGTTGGCGAAGAACGTCCGGCGCTGGCTTTGTGCTTTTCTCTTTAGCGAACAAGTCCGGCGAGATCTTCTGGTAGGCGGTTGCCCGTCAAAGAGAAATGCGGCGGAATGCTCGTCTCGGCGGTCCAAGCGGAGCGTCCGAGCGGAGCCCTGGACGTCCGTCCGATTACGGCAAGGTCGCGCGCTTGCTCGTGTTCTTCTAGGCGAAGCCCGAGGCATCCGAGCGAGCCGGCCCGGCTTGGTAGTGCGGGGGCCAAAAATCGTGCATGCGTGTCCTTCACGCGGGCGGCCCCTGGGTGCGTCACGTTCGCTGCCTTTTTTTGGCGCACGTTGCGCAGCTGACGGTCATGGTTAGTGGATGTCGAGCCTCTGGGGTGGCGACACATAAATACAGAATACCGCCCTGCGGAGTATTCCCCGCGATGGTATCCTTCATTTATGTATAAGCTTTACTTTAACGGGAGCCGCCACGAGCCGGAACGGGGGGGCGACCGAAAACCCGCGGTCCGGCTCGGTAGTGTGGGGGCCAAAAATCCTGCATGCGTGTCCTCCACGCGGGCGGCCCCTGGGTGCGTCGCGGTCGCTGCCTTTTCTTGGCGCACGTTGCGCAGCTGGCGGTCATTGTTAGTGGATGAATGTCGAGCCGCTGGGGTGGCGACACATAAATACAGAATACCGTCCTGCGGAATATTCCCCGCGATGGTATACTTCATTTATAAACTTTATTTTAACGGGAGCCGCCACGAGCCGGAACGGGCGACCGAAAGCCCGCGCGTTCGTTCGTTTGGTCGTTAACGGACCCCGCGAAGCACTTCGTTCGTTCGTTCGTTACGGGGAAACGAACCATAACGAACGAACGAATGAACGCAAATCCCTTCGTTCGTTCGTTCGTTCGTTTGTTCGTTTGGCTGCCAGAACCGGGCTCGTTCGTTCGTTCGTTACGGGGAAACGAACCATAACGAGCTCACGAAATTGCGTACGTTCGTTCGTTTGGTCGTTAGCGAACCTGCGAAGCCACTTCGTTCGTTCGTTCGTTACGGTGAAACGAACGAACGAACGAACGAACACACATTCGTTCGTTCGTTCGTTCGTTCGTTTGGATGGCAAAGCCAGTGCGTTCGTTCGTTCGTTCGTTTGTTCGTTCTGATGCCACAAACGAACTCGTTCGTTCGTTCGTTACGGTGAAACGAGCCGTAACGAACCGTAACGGACTCAGCCCCAACTATATTGTATCGCATCTTGCAGTTTTTGTAGCTGTCACGCACAGTTGTACTTTGAGACTAAATTATTTGTACTAGCATGCGAAAACACGGAAATAGTATTATCGATTAGTCTTGAAGATGCCCGCAGTATGGCTTTCATCGTATTGTAGATTTATGTAAACTATTCCACCATTGGCATTTACGATTTTACGATTACAGTATAAAACTTCGAGATCGATCACTTGATGAACGACAAAACTCAGTTTGGTGAAGGATCCCGCTGCGTATGCAATATAAATTTCCCGTGCCATGCACCGCAGATTTTTCCAACTTAGAGCATTGATTCCAGTTTCCCTGTTGAATAGGATTGAAGGAAAGTTTTGTCATGCAGCAACCGCCTTTGCAAAATTGTACGGGAAATTATACTGCGGATACTGCGGATAAACTCGACATTGAGAGTGTGCGCACCGCTTTCGGTGATATCCTCAGTAGAAACCACGTGTCCGCCCCAGAGCTGATGTCAGGCAGATTTGTATGTAGCAGAACGCGGTTTGCATTGTGCATCGTCACTAGAAGGGGTGGTTTGTTCTATTTTTAAGGAAGTCGTGTTTCGGCTTACTTATGCAACTATGCTGTAAGCAGGATATTATTAAAGGGTGTGCAATGCGGCGGTCCGTGTCCGTGCGGACCTGCACTACGCCACACCACGGTGAAAGGGCTATATCCTTCGTGACAACTCCCAAAATAACTTCTGCATGAATATTTGTGTTGCAAAGTCAAAGTCCCCACCTTAAGTTGACTATGGCGAGGTGACGTCGTTTTTGCACAGAATAGGCGAGCCGATATCGCTGCAGGAAGCGGAAAGTCTTCTCACCACCGAGTGGAATCACGGTCCGCCGGTGACGAGGGAAGAATTTCACAAGCTGTTGACGCAGGGGCAACCGCCGATCACGCTCGGGACGAAGGTGGTTGAGGTGGAAGAAGGAGAATAGACTGGTGTTGGTCCTCGTGGTGGTGGAGGAGAGAGACAAAGACTTCCAGTATGGACGCCATGATGTCGATAGGTGGTTGTTCAACTTCAACGCTTTGTTGTTTATTTCTTTGAGCTATTTCTGAACAGAAATTGAAATTCCACGCAGCCACAGAGAGTTGGATGGTTTATTCACGAATTTGTCTCGTTTCGTATGCCTTTCCAGACGCAGAACGAAGACGAAGAGGAGCAATCCCATTCATTTATCTGCCCGTGCAGTAAAGGTACATGGTGAAAATTTCATCGCCTGGCACAAAGAGTCGCTACATGAGTAACTGCTTATCGTGCGCGCCCCAGACTCCGTTCTGCCCGTTGCTGCGGTAGTCCACGGCCCGAACCGGCTTCGTCGTCACTCGTCCGATGACGATCAGAATTGCTTGAAGATCCATGATCAACACTTCTGCTCCTCCTGCCCCTGCGCGAGTATTTTTAAGGCCTTGATTTTTTCACGCCGTTGCTCCCGATGTTGAGCTTCTTGAGACCCTTTGCTCCAACCGAGAGATCAAGAAGACATCAAGGCAGATTTGCTTTATACGGTAGTGTGCCTCATTTACATTTTCATCATCATACATTTTTTACATTTGCTCGCGATCGTTTTTTTCTGGACAAAAAAATGCAACACCTACGAAAAAATATTGCATTGCTGTATTTGCATTTCCGACTTTCGGCGACCAGGCTTAGCGGACACGAGTGCTCTTCACCAGCGGGCAGTGGCTGTGACGCTTCTTGTGACAGAAGGGGAAAGAAGACGAGTTGGAATGAGTAATTCTAATTCCAGGTGTGAGGACGTCCTGAACCTGATGCAGGAGCAGGAAAAGCATGTGTACTCCTCCGGTGCCGGTGCTGTCGGCGATTCAGATTTTCTTTTCCGCGCAACAAATGGAACTGAAGAGCCGGGAAGACCGAGCCACGATCGAACTGATCTATCCTGTGCAAAAGCAAAATTTTCGCACTCGTAGTACTTGTAGTACTATCGCAGTCATACGTGACAGATGCACCGCCAAAGGTGAATCAGCACTACGAGTTGCACTATTTGTCCTCTCGTCGGCAAAGTTTGTATTGCAGTCTACACTAGTGCGCTGTTTTTGCAATGCACATGATCATCGAAGTTGTGCTGGCAATTCGAGCACCGGCAATCAAAAATATTCAAATCTTCAAGACATTTTTGATCCCATGACACCTTCGTCCAGCTATCCCGTTCTCTACTACCACGAAACCCTGGGCGACGTGAGACGCCGAGTCAACACGAGGCTCCCGCCTATCGTCTCTGGCCCCACTTCTTCTGATACGCAAGAGCGACAGGGTGAAAACAAGAACAACCTCGCTTGTCCCGTCGCCTCCTGCCTTCGTTTCGGCGACGTGGTCGGACTGTGGGGAAAGCACGGAAGCGGGAAGTCCATATTGGAAAAAAGAAAGGGCTACACAGTTACACACTGCGGTGGAACACAAGCACGAGAGTAGAGAACCTTTCTCATGCGGGAAGTGCTAACCAATTTCGTTCCCTGCACTTTTTGCCTGATACTCGGCGCCTTACTACAAGCTGTCATGCAGGGAAAGTTTGTGTTGCTGAAATAGAAACTCACATACAATTGCGTCACTGTAGCGCTTTAACTTTTTTTCTTGGATAGTCCATGGTGGTTCAACAATGGTTAGCCGCGTTGTACGGGAAAACAGCCTCCGGCTCCGATTCCCCGCGCAGCTCAAAAAGAACCACAGACCAATTACGCGGTAGGTGTACCACGTCCTCGGCCTCATTCGATCCCTCATTTTCGCTATGCATTGCACAGGAAATATGTCCGGATCTGGAATACAACAGGAACTTCCGATGCTTGTCTTGTGCATGTTGCCTGCGTGACCAGCAAAAGCGGGTCTTTTTTCTCACGCAGAGACGCCGGCTGTAAGTAATGCGTACTATGTACTAGAAAGTTGAAGTTCGGGAAAAAATATTGTCATGCTTGTTGGCAGCACTCGTCGGAATTGGTTGAGTCATCCCGGGTTCAGCATCGCAAGTTTGTTCCGGACCCCAACATTATTGCGGTTGATAAGCACGACAAATCGGCATCATGAACCGCGTCGAAGTTCACGTGCTGGACACGGACATCAAATTTGACCTGATTATGGGAGTGTTAGGTTTGAAATCGACCACAAAGTGGCAATAATTTGCGAAGATGCAGAAACTCGAAACTTGTTGGACCGACAATTTATAAGCGGCGCATGACAAAACTTTCCGGCAAAATCTGAAGCAAATCTGTCATGCTGCTCCTGTTGGTTTAGGGCAAGAGAGCTCTCTCCTGTCACGCCCGTTCGCAGCACTACACTCACTCTGCCTCGCCTGCGTCCTCTGCAATAGAGGCAGGCTCTACTGCGCCACAAGTAAGTTGTGCATAGTGAATACAAGCTCTACTTTCATCAACTTGAACTTCGTCGATTCCTCCAAATGCGACACTCTCATACTGACTACGTTCGCGCGGCACCTTGAAAAATCAACTGCGACTTGTTCAAGAGGACGACACCACGTCCAGGAACACTACGGCCTGCAGCATTTCTTTGTGCATCGCATTTTGCGGAGGCGGGATTTCGAGTCCTCACTGGACTGGATAATGGACAATTCGAGGAAAATATCACAGGGAAAAGTGTTAGTGTTAACGGAATTTGTGATGCAGTAATGCATCACAAATTCTGTGATAACCGTTAACGTTAACACTTTTTTGTTTGATGGAAAACGTCGAGGAGGTCATCGTCCGCAGCTAGCAGTACCAAGATTGTCGTTGTAGATTCCGTTGACGGCCTCCTGCACCTGGTGCCAGAAAAGACAGGCTCCTGCGCCGCAATGGGAACTGCTGCGCAAGAGCATGACGTGCCCACTGCTGGTATCGGGTCCGGCCAGCTAAACTGGAGTGACCTAGATACCATGTTCGTGAAGCTGCGAAGATGTTGTGAGCGGTCGCTACTGATTTTCACTGCGAAGAGCAATGGGTTTTTTGAAAAAACGCGATATCTGGACAAATTTTTCGCCGCAAGGCAGGACTTTCAGATATCGGTGAAATGAGCACGAAAGAAGCAAACGACGAATTTTATTCTTCTCATGATCTTGTAGTTTGATTTCGACTCAAAATTTGTTCTGCCGTGGAGCACAAAGCAAAAGGTCGCTCATCGTAGTTTTTGAACAAAACGCGAAATATTAAAACGAGTACGACTATGAAAGATTTCGCATTTTTTTGTATCGTTTGTGTTTGTCTATGTCTTCAAATGCCGTTAACGTGTTGTTGGCTGCAAAGTTGCGATCGACTGGCATTGAGATTCGAGCCGATTTTGTTTCAATCATCCTGCTTCTCTGGAGAGGTCGTGAGACGAGTGCATGGCGATTTCCAAATTGTATGGCTCATCCCTTTTTGGATGTGCTCCTCTAACGTATTTTTTTTTCGTGCAATTTTGCTATGTATCCACTGCAAGCACAATTAATCCGCAGCCTGTGATTCTGTGTACAGACAATACAAAATGTAATCATCTATAATGCATCATGATAGCCAATAAAGTCAAGTGCAGATGAGCAGCCAAGCAATTCTTGACGCGTTTGTATTTACGTTCAGATTTTTTATAAATGATTATCGCCTAGTATTTTTACGGGTTTTCCACCGAACTGTATAATTTTTTGCAAGCAGAATTGAAATATAGATCCGCAGCACCCGTCGTCTTCGGGAGTGATGTTGAGCAATTACGGTGGGTTTAAGCAGCCCCAGCAAGCCGCTGCCCCACCTGCTTTCAAGGTCGGCGACAAAGTGGTGCGAGCCTCGAATTTGGTGCAGCACGGAGGATGTGGAGGATCATCTTCGTGGTACCATCCACCGATCCCACCCACGGGAGCAGGACCGCATGTTGAGGCGTTGTGTGTGGTGTCTGAAGTGAAAATCCCCACCCGACCCGGTTGTGCCACTTACTTCAAAATTGAGCGAATGTTCCCGGCTAGCGACGCGATAAAGCCTATCCTGAGTAAAATAAACGCCCCCGCCGCCCCAGATTTAGCATGCAAGTCCGCGGCTTCCCTAGAATTTTTCTGATGCTGCGCAGCCCCATGTTGAAATGCATTATCTCATGGGTTTTTTTTGCAATTTGTCATGCTAGTAGAATCTTCAGAATATAATTAAAGGGGATGACCGATAATTGGTAATGTTGGGGCTCCAGTATCTAGATACGGCTTCGCAGCGATCTTGAACTTGTCGTGCGCAACAGCCTGCGAAAACCTGTCAAACGAATCTCATCTTGAGTTTGGGCGGGAGGTGGGGACGTTTTTACACAGGACAAAGCCAGAAGTCGGGGCCTTCGAAGCGAGGGAGCTGCGGCACGCCACCGCTGACGAGCTTGCGCGGGCCGGCGCGGCCAAGTGCGCCGCCTTCGGCGAACCGCGCCAGGAGCGGGAAGGCACGGTCGGTTTCCTGCGCCAGATCGCTTGCACGACGAAGCTGCTGATCCACGGCTATGGCGACTGGTGGCCCGCGCGCCCGATGCCAGCAGACAGTCAGACGTCAGCCTACTTTACCTGTTTCAGCCGCATAGAAGGAGGCGGGCAGCAGGAGCGTGAGAACCGGAATTCGCCTGACACTAGCGTGGTGCGCTTCATTCCGAACCACTGTATGTTTCCCTGTCCGGTGCTGAAGCTCCAGGCTGGCTGCGGCGTGTCCGACTTTCGCCGGTTTGTGCCACTACCGCCAGGACGCACCAGCAATCAGATCAAGCACGAAATAAAAAACGCCTCTTCATCTTCGAAGTCCACAGGAGCAACGGGGAGCAAGAAGGATAAAGAAGAAAGTAGCAAAAGTTCTTCCGGGGCAAAAAAAGGCGATGCTGGAAAGATAAACAAGGACGTGGACCTGATATTAAAGAAAATCATTCCGATCAACGACCAACGCAGCTACGATTTGCGGCAGGAAGTTGAGATCGACGCGAGCCATCTCTGTGTCGCGAGAGTGACTTACCCACATATGCGGCCGACGTTTCAGGTGGATGACCAGCGCACCTACGGACCGGCGCTGAAAACCGAAAAAGCAGATCTGAAAGCTTTCATGGCAGAACTGAAAGATGACTGCGGAAAGATACAGCAAGACCTCGCTCCGAACGCTTCTCCAGCTTTGACGTGCGGCATTCTGGCGTTTTCCAACTTCCTCTCGACCGGCAGCACCATAGCTTCTAAATCTTTATCTTCTACTTCATCTTCTAGCGCGGCTGGTGCAGATTTTCGGTCCGAAAAAAATGGTGTTGAGTTCACGACTTTGGAATGTGGAAGTGGGACGCAGAGCCCCAAGCTCGCAGATCTCGAACCGACGCTGCCACAGTACCGCTTTGCCGCTCCGGATCCCTATTCCGACTTGCAAGACTTGGAGGACGAGCGCTGGGCCGTGGCGCAAAACTTTCACACCTTCGACAATCGGTTGATGAAGAACTTCTCGACCACACTGAATTTGTGCCCTGCATCCGTGGTCGTTACCCTGGACAAAACGGAGCGCACGGAGGAACTACGTATTCACTGCAAAAGCATCGAAAACCTAGTATGATTAAACCGGTTCAACGACATGACTACGAAATTACTATGGTTTTAGTCAAGAAGAAAGATGTATTTGATTTCCAGATCTAGTCGCACAAGAACAACCTGAGGCATTACAGGATCGATAAGAACAAAAACTGTTGTCTCCATCAGTTTTTAGTATGGCAATGAGCTACGAGTTTTATGTCGGTGCTTCTGCATTTGATATCATGCCTGCTTGGAATCTGTGACCAGTTCAACCGGCTGATTGGCGACTGTTTTTCCGTTGCGGACGAACTGCGGCTACGCGTCCGCATTTTCCCGGACCACCATTCAAGCCGGCAAAACACGATCAAGGGAATTCCGCGCGTGTCGGAGAAGTTGATGGCAGATCGGTATTTTCACCCAGTGGAGCGAGCAACGGAAGATGCTGCAGCTACTGGTTCTTTTGGACATGATCTTCAGGGGGCACTGCTTCAAGACGACCAAAAGCAAATACAGAATAGCGACGACGCGAACGTGGACGACGATAATGAGGACATTCTCGAAGACGCCTCTTCCACCTCATCCGTACAGGAAAGCAAATTCGACACGAGTTTCGATTTGAAAAGCAACGACGAAGACGCGCTCCACGCGCAGCCGAAAAAGTGGACAAAAGCACCGGAGAAACAGCTGCGGGATTGTTATCCCACGTACGCAGGAGTTGATTTGCATTTGCGTCGAGAGGTGATCGAGTTTAATATTCTGAATAGTAGAAGTAGCACGCAGAAGAAAAAGTTAATAGCGCAAGAACATAGAATTCTCGTCTGCAGCAAGAAGAAGAACGTTCGGTGGACAATGCTGAATATGCTTTTATTGTAGGATGCATTTGCATGTAGTTGATGATGTCGCGGACGATCTATCATCATCTTCACAGCAATCTAATATTGCCCATTCTAGTACTTGCATTAAAAGGACTGGCCTCGACAGCACAGAGTAGGCCCCTCCTGCTTCAAGTTTGATAGCTCGCAACGCCGCGCACTGACGTGGATGGTGGACCAGGAGCGAAATCCCAAGTCGGTGAGCGTCCTGCAAAGAAAGATGATGGACTTGGGTGAGGCGATGCTGGGCATCAACAGCGACGCCAAGCTTCTGGAGAATGCTATCGGTGTGGAATTCGAAGTGGAATACAAGTACAACCTCCGGGGCGGTGTCTTGGCGGACAAGGTCGGTTTCGGGAAGACTGCCACCACGCTCGCGCTCATGGCGGCCCAGCACGACTTCTTTGCGGTGAAGAAAAACGCGAAAGCCAAGCCGAAGCTCCCCGAGCAGGACGCCGGTTCCTTTTACGACCTGAGCAGCACCACGCTTATTCTAGTTCCTAGCCAACTCGTACGCACTGCAAAAGTTGCATCGCGCTCGTGGAGGTAAGAATCTGTAATATGGGAGGACTTTTTTCTACATGCAGGGCCAGGGAACGAAGCACAACTTGTCTCGCAGAGTGATGATCAGGTAGAAGTAGATGCACTGTCATGCAAGGCTGCTATGGCTACGAGTACTACGAGTGCGATTCTTCTGCAGCAATGCATAAATCGTAGACCAGTGGGAAGCGGAGGTGAAAAAATTCGGGGAGGATTACGGGTGGAAAGTGCTGACGATTAAGACCATAACCAAGCTGGCCCAGAAGACCGCGCGGGAGTTGGCCGCGTTTGACTTGGTGGCCTGTACCTATCGGGTCCTGTACTCGAAGGACTACCTGCTCCGCGTGCAGGATTACCTGGACGCCGATCCCGAAAAGGAGGTGGGGAAAGAGGTGCAGAAGGTGTCGGCCAACAAGCCCTACCCGGTGCAGACGTTGAAGCGAGTGACGGCGAAACTCATCGAAGACTGGGACAGGAGCGACGCGGACTACAAAGCTGCCCGGGCCCCGTATTTCGACACGCGGATCTATCTGCGGCAGACTATTTTTCCTTGCAGAGCCGGCCTGTATCGGTCCGGAGGCCTTGTTGTTTCGCGCTAGTAACTAGGTTAGGAATATGAACATCAAGTCTGGCGGGAGCAGGGTGATTTTCATTTGTGACCTGTTGTTCCGACAGTTTCCATATGTACTGAATAGAGCAATGAGGTGGGCAGCAAGATGACATCGCGATTGTTGATGCTTTTTCTTGCAACTGCGCACGAAATGGTACAAATCCGAAGCTTTGACTCGAGCAGGATAATGGCTCTGCATTGCAGCTTTCATCTGGATACACACCTTAAGAACAGCCCAGCTCTGTACGCCGGGGACAAGCGCTGCAGCAAGACTACCATGAACAGCAAGTCAAAGACCTCGCTCGATCTACCATTCCCGCTGTTAGAGCAATGCCACTGGGGTAGATTGGTTTTGGACGAGTTCCATCTATGAAAGGCAAAGCAAGGCCCAGCGCTGGTTGTGTTTCCGCAGAAATATTTATTAAGTGCCTGACTCGCCGTTGCCGGCGCAATATGCATCCACGATCGGGGGGCGGCGCCGCTTCTAGGAGATTTCTGGCCGCTTGTATGATTTCAAAATAAACCCTACTGCTTCACTGCCCTTCCCTTGGCCAAAAAGCAGCACTGCTGCGCCTTTGCCTTTCATACCCGGAAGCCGAGGCGCTGAGCGGGCGGACCAACGTGCTGATGTTCCTGCGGAGCAGCTGCAGATGGGGGCTGACGGGGACGCCGTGCGTGCAGTCGGCGGAAAGCGTGCGGACCATGGGCGGCCTGTTCGGCATGGACCTGGCCACCACTGGAGCAGACGCGGAGTGGTTCGCCCCTACGGGCCCGCAGCCGCCGCCCGTGCGCTTCAAGGGAACCGAGAAAATCGACAACGATCACAAGCCGGGGAACCCAAATAAAATCCTGCGGGCGCCCTGCGTGTCGTCCGTTGTGGTCCAGAACTGCAAAAATTTTCTGTCCACGCTTTTCCGCCAAAACGCCAAGTGCGACGACGTGGAGAATATCAGAGTGGTACTTTCGACGAACAGCAGTAGTCTCGTTTGTTTGGAGGTCCTGGCTTCGCGTTGACTGGAAGTTGCTCTGAAAGTGGCTCCTGTCAGCAGATCTACCCTTGCATGCTACTTACTACCTACAAAGAAATTTGACTGACCAATAACCCTGAAGATATGCTCCTGGCGCAACAACACACAGAACGCCACGCAATTTCAGTGGAAATCAATAAACCTCAAAAACAGGTTTCGCGTGAGATAGCGGTCGCGCAGACGCACGCTGAGCGGCTCTTGTACGAAAAGGAGAAGCAGGACCTCGAGGACGAACACAGTTCCGGCCCAGATTTGTTTGACTTCGCCGCCAAGGACATTGACGAGGAGAAACTCGCGCGGGACGCTTTCACGCAGCTCATCAAGCTGTGCAGCCACCACGCGGCCGACGAAGCAGAAGGCACCGCAGCGGACGCGATGAAGACCCGCCTGAAGAAAGCGCTGGCGGAACTGAAATCCGAGGCACTACAAGTCCGGGACCACTTTGCGCGTGTGGAGGTATGCCGGCGCTTGCTCATCTTCTGCCAGCAGCGACGGGCGTTACGGATCGGCACGATCGGTGCGAGCAAAGCGGTGCAGACCACTTTTTCCAAGTGTGCTGCGCTTTCCTCATCATCTTCATCTTCCGCCATGGCAGCTGCAAGAACTGGTGTGTTGCCCACGAGACTGGTGTCAACAACTGCAGCGTCTTCTTTATTTACCTGCAGCGCCGATCCTCCGGCGAAAGTAGATGAAGTGGAAGGGCGAGGCGAGATGTTGATGTCATTGTTTCCTCTAACCGAGGAGCAGCTGCAAGCTTGTCGAGCCAGTGCGGCGCAATTAAAATCGCAGCTCACGGGTGCCTCTGCTGGTGTCCTCCTCTTGGATGGCAATGGGGTGGAAGATGTTGAGATGATGGAACACAACGAAGAATTCCTGCCGCATGGTAGTTCCCGAAGTTACAACATGGCGAAATCCGCTTCAACATTCGAAGATGGTGCTCAGGAGGACAGAGTGTCCGAAGATGATGATGCTCTCGGTGTTGGCGAGGAGCGACCACAACCGCACAACATGATTGCGGACGAGATTTTCCCCGCTGCTGTTAATGAAGCGGCAGATGAAAGAGATAGAGAAGTCATAGTCGAAGAAACAATCACGACGACGGATAACTACATCTCCGATCCAGTCAAGAAGGTCGATCTCATTCCAAGTTGTTACAAGCCCCGAGAAACTGCCACCGCTGGCACACAGACGACAGTGTGCACTTTGCCATCCTTTATTCCGAAAGTGAAAGCAAGCGCCGAAGCTTCTGCTGTGGCCAAAGCGAAGATGACTGCGGCTGCAGCAGGGTCCAATAGTATCTCCACCGCAATGAAGAAACCAGCTTCAACAGCGTCCGCCACAACTTCTGCGAAGGCAAAACAGCAGAACGGGAAAGCGAAAGCCGCGGCATCCGCATCTGCGAAGGCTAAAGCACAGGCGCAGCACCAGCTGCAGCCCATGAAGCGGGCGACTGCTAGTAATGCTGCTGCCGCACCTCCTGTGGAAATTCCGGGGGGCGTCGGAGAGACCGACGACGAGCCGGCCGCCAAGAAGGCGAAGGCTTCTAGCAGTAGTTCTCGGTCCGCACCAACATCTTCAGCAAGTACTGCAGCCTTCGCGAGGAATCCACCCCCAGCCGCCCCTGCTGGTGAACAACAAAAAGCTGAGCTCGCTGGTAACAAAATCGAAGAACGAGAGATCCCCGCAAACGAACTGTTCGACCAGATTTATCCCCCCTTCGGAACAGCAGTCCTGGACGCGTCCTATGCTGACATGACGCAGCAGATCCAAACTTTCTGCGAAGAAGCTTTCAAAATGGTGAACACGATGTCAGCCACGAGTAACTGCGGAAGTTCCGCGTCTTCACAAGTATCGCGCAGCAAATATGATGTCTGGTCTGTTCAATGAATATCGCTTTTCGTTTTTGTTTTTCACTACAGTCTACAACTACACTACACGCACTCGGCCCAGAACGGTGTCACAGAATTCGCAAAAAATTCTTGATATTGAAGAAGCATGACAACGGGAGCATCGCAATCGCTCTTTGCGCAACATAAAATGAAACCCAGTTGTTTTGATGTTTGGCGGTTTTGCTTTTCCAACTACAAAAGAAGATCCGGCTTTTCGGACTACATGTTATTTGCAATGCATATTGTGTCTACCAAAACCAGTTCAACGTGCTGTTGCACCTGCAGGAGAAAACTGCGCACACGGACCCCATGCAGCTCGTCGACACGGCTTTCGGGCGGAAACGTGGAGACGAAGGGTTTCAGAACACGGAGGTCGGAAAGTGGTACACGTTTTTCAGGGACAGTACGAAAACCGCGGTCGACGCGATCGAGCGGACGTTGAAAACGGAGCAGCTGGCGTTTCACAACAGAAAACAGGAATTCCTGGCGGAGCAGCGAAGAAAAAAGCGTGCGGAGGTGGACGAGCTGCTTCTGACCAAGCAAGAAAAAGACGAAATGAAGAATGCAAACGAAGGCAAAAAACTAGAACTAAATGAACACCAAACGCGGACGAGTTGTGATGTTGAACACGCGAAGGCAGGAGTGGAGCTTGACTCTCAAGAAGCGCCGGCAGCGAAAGCTGTAGCAGTATCGTCTGCCAACCTGATTCTGCGGGGACCGTCGCCTCAGAAGGCCAACGTGGGCGGCGCAGCTGCATGCTCACCACCTCTCTTTGATCTTGGGGACAAGAGCAGCCGCGACCTTGCGAACAAAGCACCGGCATTGTTGGCGCAAGAGAACCAACCAGAGTTCGTAGCCACAGCCGCTTCAAGTGGTGGAGCAGAGCAAACATTGCTGGGGGCGCACAGTCAAGAGAAGAGAAAAACGAATGCGAAGGCAAAGGACGAGGACGACGAGGACCAGCGCCCGAGCTTGTTTTTCAGTAGCGGAGGAATCGCGGTCACCGCAAAACCCGCCTGGGCGGCCAAGGTCGGATACTACTTCAACAAAATCTTACTTCCGGAAGTGTCGAACGCATTAGCGCGGTACCACGATAAGATCAAGGCTGCGAACTTCCTCCGCACCGCGTCATACCTCTTTTCTTACCACGCCAACGCGCCCGGCTGCGCGTGCTGCGGGAAACGCCAGAGCGAAGGCTTATCTGCCTTGGGAATCACACGTGGCGGCCACGTGCTTTGCGAGGACTGCGCCACTGGAAAGAAGTGCCCGGTCAGCAGGGCGAAAATTCCCGCCTGGGAACCGCCACACTTTTACCTCGTGCCCTCTCCGGAACAAGGAGGGGCGTCGAAGGTAGCTACTTAGTTCAATTCCTACTTTGCGGAAATAGGTGGGCTTTACCATATGCTCTTCGCTTTTTCGAAGAAGAAAAGAAGACTAGGAGTCTATAATATGACTTTCAAGAAGATAATAAGAAATATAGAAGTGCGTCGATCTCGATGAGCTTCATCTTTAACCGTTTGAGTTTGATAACTCGCGTTGCCAACCACTTCATATACAGGTTGGTGCTACTTCCTCCAGCTCGTCTTCTTTCAATTTGGTCGTACCGCCGAACAGCTACGACCATTTCGGTTCGAAAATCCAAAGGATTTGCGAAGTCCTGAAGCATATCCACGGCAAAAGTATCGTACAATTTCCACCAATCGCGACAATCTTCACGCATAACCACAGACATAGGGTTTTATTTTTCGACGTTTGAATCTGTATTTTCTTCTGGAGAAAAAAACCTGCCATACTGATGCGATTCTTTTGCACTTGCATAAAGCAGATCAAGAAGGACGATCCCGGGTCGAAAGCGATTGTGTTTTGTCAGTGGACGGACTTAATGAAGAAGATCGACGCGGCCTTCAAAGTCTACCAGTTTAAGTCGCGCATGCTGAACAAAGCCAATGCCAACACGCAGAACAAAGTGGTCCGCTGCTTCCAGAAGGACAAGGCGGACGAGTACGGGGAGAGTCCGTATCTCCGAGAAAAACAGCTAGAGTATGTATGTTTACTGTAAATGAAAAATCCAAATGGTGCAAAAGTCTACTTGCAGAGGACCCACGCGGCCAGCTATGCGGCACTCACGGTCGCCGATATCGCTGATGTTTTCTAGGTTCCGTTTTTCTACTGATGTGATCTTTTTGCAAAAATACAAATATTGCGCGTATGATATATACTAGCATTTTTCTCTGGGAGAATTCGGAGATTTTGTTGATGTCCTTGGAGAACAAAGCAAGCGGAACTACGCTCACGAGGGTACAGCTTGCTTCGACTTTTCTTTCTTCCGAACGCGACGTATTTAGTTTCGTATAGAGATGAGACTATTCTATGCGTCGCTTCGTTCTCAAAGCATCATTTGTCTGTGATGAATGTCGTTGGTCGTTTTTCGTACGGTTTCCTGGTCTGTTGCTGTTGCTGTTCGCCGAAGAACGAAGAGCGTTTTTTTCTGTAAGTATCCTACGAAAATCAAATTCGAATGTAAGTAAGTTCTCCACAGGCCCGGTACATTTTGTTCGTGCACCCGGTCCTTGCAAAGTCCGCCGCTGAGTCGATGGCGATCGAGCAGCAGGCGCTTGGGCGGGTGCGGCGACTCGGCCAGACCGCCAGCGCGGTCAGTGTCTATCGGTTCTACGCGTGCGGCACGGTGGAGGAGAAGCTGCACAAAAAACGATTGAAGCAGCTGCAGAAGCAAGTAGCGGAAGTGGGCGATGCAAAGCAGCAGGGTCGCCTCGCGAGTAGCGATGTGCAGCCAATGGACGTGGAAGGGTAGGAGAATGCAGATGAAGGAAATAGATACAATTCATGAAAGCAAGACGGTTTTTTTTTCTTACTCGTAGAAAGTGGAAGCGATCCTTGTCCTCTGTCTCGGTTAGGAACCAACATCCTACGAGAAGAGCGCGTACGCCTACGGAACTGTTGAAACAGGATGGACCAGAGCTGATTTTTCTCTATATTTTCCACTGAGGATGCGTTCGGCTTCCTACTTAGCCATGCTTGTTTGATGTGGTATTGACGTGAAATTGCTAAAGTTGACGTGAAAATGAAATCGCCAGTAACCGACGGAAGACGAAATCAATCTTGCGGATTCGGCATAAGGCAATGGCAAGATGCAATCTACTGCGATCCCAAAGCAACTGAGACGGCCACCTCAACTTGATCATTTTCCGCCTTTACATTGCTGTTTGGACGGTCAATTTTGTTCACAAGGAAAGACCGCTACCGCTAGCCCCGCTGGATTTTTATCAGAGAAAGCCTGGAGCTGGAGTGCTCCAGGCGAGAGCGCTTTCAAGTTGCCTTGCAGGTACTTACACAGGTCGAGCAATGAAGACACGTGATTGATATGGGGAGCGAAAGCTTGCCAACAGCTTGATACTGAGGGAAGCTACTGATTACTGAAAAAGGATTGTCGTGTGGGGTGTGTATCTCAGCAGGCAATATTTGAGTGCAAGATCATATAAACAAGGAGTGTTCAGCACATGGTGAGCTAGATTCCGATTCGAGACGAACAACACTCGGGCCGGCGGGCTTCTCTCCCAAAGTGGTAATGACTAAATGCGAGAAGATGTGGTGGTCATCAACCTCCTCGACCTCGGCCACGACGAACATGTTCTGGCGTTCTCCGTACTCGTCTGAAGCCGCGGCCGCGACGCGGCGTCTCTGAGTGCTCACGAATAGTAACAACACTCATGTATTGGTAATGGTATTGGAAAATGGTACCCCCGGCAGAGAGTCATGACGAGGTTTTTTAATCTGACAAAGCAGGAGGAGGAGGAGGAGCAACTTCGTTTTATAAGGCAAAAAAGAGAAAGACGGCAGACCTAAAGTAAATGACCCCTGTTCCTCCAGGTACAATTGTTCCTAAGTGTTGTACTCTCTATTCTCATAATCTAATCCGAGGCATTACCATGATAGGCACTACTATTACTATAGCAACGTCAGGGAGCCGCGATACCTTTTTCTCGCAGCTAGTCTGTAGTTGTGCACTTCTCGTTTTGCAGTCACACATTATTTCACAAAAGATCAGCACCGAAAATATCAGATCCGACCCTTGCTGGGATGAGTGCCAGAAGCGCGGCGCAAGCAGAAGAGTTAGCCCCCATCGGAACTTCCCTCACACAATCGCAAGCAGCGGCAACCGTTGCTGGTGAAGTCCACGCGATTCTGGGAGAGAATATCCAAAGCCCGAGCACGATTCAGTTATCTCAGCCGAGCAAGTTTCTACAGACCAACATCGTGGATCTGACAGAGGATATATCGCCTGACAGACCTTCTAGAGAACCAGAGCCATCGACACTCAGACACCAACATTCCGAAGGAGTAGGAGCAGGACCGTTTACAGCTACAGCAAACGACGGGACGACCACAGGAGCATCTGCCAGTAAGGAGGGATCAAAAAAAGCAGACACGGCGCAATATTTTTCCATCGGATCCCCGCGAAACAATAGTGCTGCCGCTCCTGGGGAAAACAGCTCTTCATCCAACCCAGTTTCTCGGAATCCCAGCAGTATCCCACGAGAAAATTGTTAGTTTCACTGTGACGTTTCTGCCGGATGACGCGCCGCGACGTCGCAATGTTGTTAAATTACTTTCACACACGAAGTCACCGAAACAAAGCTGCTATGCGTGTAAGTATGCCAAGATGGAAAGAACCAATTTCGTATATTCCTAGTAGGACGGACGCTTCTTGTGTGAGTGTGTGGCATGATCTTGTTCCTCTGCGCGATTTATATACGAAGCTCACGGTGATCAAACACGTTTTTCTGGCGATGAGCTGCGCTGCCAGTGTGCCCATGTCTCCCAGTAGTGGTAACGGAAGTTCTAATATCGCGTGAAAAACTGTTTCCCAACTCTCATTTTGTTAAATGCAAAACATCCTTTAGGCATGTTCCAAAATCGTGCTTCATATCTGTTTTTCATTGTTTCTGACGCATAGCAGATTTCCCGTGTCATGTAGTTGTGCAAGTAAATATGTATCGCTGAGTCGGAGTCCTCTGCAGTAAAGGTTTGATACCGATGAAAGAGTAGTTTTTTCTCGCAACACATTCGTCTGCGAAGCACGGCACCTCCGTGGTAGACATGTTCGCGGCGTTAGATCCGTCGCCGCAGCAGACGAAAGTAAGCAGCGGGTTTTCCTATGAAAGTGCACAACTTCCCCTCCCCCTCATTTGTGTTGCATGAACAGCAACTACGCAAGTAGGGCTGGCAAAGATGCAGTTTTTGCATGACAAAGCCCCAGAGGATTGTAGTGCTGTTTTGGCTTCCGGGATCTCTCATGCAAGCAGTGCTAACAGGTAAGGGGTGCGGGTGGACTTGGAATTTTATATGACAAATGAGGGGAAGGGGGAGTTGTGCGCCCTCATATTTCCACGAAGTCTTCGACAAAGTCGGGTGCGGGGAGCGGTTGTGATCATGGGCCTGCGCCAAGAACAGTTGAGGACACGAACCTAGACGACCTCCTGCAGCCGAAGAAACCCTCTCTGCTGTCCAACGACCCATTTGCCTCGGGCTCTTCACCGGAGGACGATATTTTTGCTGTGAAGAAACCAAATGAGCCTAAGGACCAGGGGGCGGTGGCGGCGGTCAGAAGTAGCGCACCAGGATCAACTCATGCGGCGGACGGTGGGACCGAGGTAGACGCAAAATCAGGGCCGGCCGCCGCTGTTGCAGGAGGAGCGCCAATATCATCATCAACACCTCCTGGTGGCGCGCCTGGTGTGGTGCCAGGAGCCTCAGCTCCAGCAGTGTTCACTCCAGCCGCCCCGCCAGTTCCTGTGGCTGCGACTGCGGCCGACTCTACATCGCCGAAGATGCAGCAAGCTGTGCACACGCCCGGGCCTCCAGTAGTCGCGGTTGCGCAAGAACCATCCAGGGAAGTGATTAATACCCCTGGAGCTCCACCTCCAGGCCCAACATCAATGCCCGCGGCGCCTCCGCTCGTTGACGAAACGAAAGCTCCCGAATCTCAAGGCGCGCCACCACCACCACCGCCGCCGCCCCCTGCGAACCCCAAGGGAACTGGCACACCAGTAGTACTACATCATATTGGCTTCACATATTAGAACTAAGAAGCATGATTATTGGGACCTTGTTGGGAGGTGGCGCGAAATCGAGACCACAGATTTTTTGCACTGTTGGATCATAAGTGGTGAGGGTTTCATCTGCTTTTGCGATCGCAGGGTCGGTGGCACTGTTGGGTAATAGTACTTTCAGCGCTTAATTTCTATGAGGATGAACCTTCTTCAAATACTTAAAACGATTCCAGCCTCCACGAGCAGCATCCGCCACTGCAACGCCAGCTCCCGTCGACCCCTGGCGGCGGGTGCACGAGGTGCAGGAAGAGAAACAAGTGGTCGTCGATTCGCTGCAGCAGGCGATACAGCAGCTCACCGCGGAGAACGAAACCCTGAGGCAATCCTTGAATCAACAATCCGGTGCTACGCCGCCGAGCGGAAATCAATCGGCGCTCTTGCCCAAATTCTTTGACAAAATCTCGGAGATTCTTGGTAAGGACGTTAATAAACATTTTACCTGCTCCTGGCCGCACATCAGTAGTTAGTAGAGGAAAATTATTTTTTTATCGTGAGACGACGGATTGACATATGATGCTGGTGGATATATTTTCAGGAAAGTACGACAGTGGTTGGAAATCTGTGCAAGTGCATGGAGGTGATCTTCCAAACATTCAGAGATGTGCATGTCCCACAAAGAACCCAAATGAGAAAGGAGATTTATGCACCACGACAGACGACGACCCGCTTCCAGCGATCCCTCCCGCCTCTGCGACGTCCAACGCGTCTGCTCCTCCACCTGAGCCGCCGGCTTTCATCGCTGCTTTTGTGAACTTCTACGGGAATCTATGCAAAAATACAAGTTTCCTATAGTACACGGACAAAATGCGTTACAAATTTCGCCAGCTCAACAAAGCATGTCACCTGTCATGCCGAAACCGATTGTGGGGAACGGAAGCTGTGTCATGCAGAAACCGTATTTGCACGTAACGCGCACAGGAAATTTACTTTGGATAGAACCTCCGCAGCGGCCTCGCGACCTCGGCAACGAACATCATGCAGGCGGCGACTTTACCCGATGCAGATGCTGTGGAGGAACCACCGCAGCTGATGACCTCGCCAGCCTCGACGACAACAAACTCCAACGCCCGTGGAGGTCCGGCGGTAGCAAGGCAACCAGGAGCAGCGTCACATGGTGGAGCGAGCACAGCTGCAACTTCTGCGACGAACATGAAACAGGGACTGAAGCAAGCGCCCCCCCCACCCTCCGAGTTCAAGAAGATGGAAGTTCCGGCACCGCCTGCGGAGTTCAAGCCGGCGCCGAGACCGCCCGCGCCCCCGCCGAGGGAGGAATTACAGCAAGCTGGTGTAGTGAAAATGTTGCCAGGTGGTCCTATTGCTGGAGGGGCGGAAGTAGGTGCTGTCGGGGTACTAGCAGAAGTACAAAATCATTCTCCGGAGGAGCGTATCGAGCTGCCTCCAGCAGCCCCCGCGTCATCTTCTACGGGATCCAAAGGGCCGGTGGTTTAGGCTAAGTGGAGGAGAAGTGATATGTGTTGTGTTTGCTTCTGTGGGGCGATTTATACTACAGCAGCCACTACAGAACCAAGTTGAAAACGCAACTGTTGCTGGAAAAAAATGAATGACGCGAAGATTTATCATGGCAGGGACACGACATTCGCAAACAGAAAGACGAATATTTGCTGGCGCAGGAGTGCTATACACCACTTCGTCCACGAAGCACGCAGCACGGTGAAGGAGCCTATTTTATTTCTGAAGAGAACCAGGGCTGGTCGCCACGACCTGACTGCGCCAACATGATAAATTGCAGCTCATCGGTTCTACAGTACAAGCCGAGGGGGGTCTTTAGTGCGACGTGATGACAGGAGGAATCTGGAGGTAAATTCCACTCCAATTTGTATGATTTAGATTTCCCGATTTGAGTGCTGTAAAGGAGTGAACGAAGTGTGGACCGCTCCAAGCGGCGCGTAGCCGACGCATCAAACAACGACGGACAGCAACCACAGCAGGCGCGGCTGTCCGGACGGAGGAAGTGTGCTTTCTCGAGTCAAAGTGAGGACCAAGAGTGAGTAATTCCGGTGTAGGGAAAATAAAGACACAGATCAACAATCCAGTATGAAAAATATCGAGGACGATTAGATTGCATATTGCACCATCTTTCGGTGATGCAGCTCCAGGACGAATTGAAGTAGACAACTCGGAAGAAGATACTCATTGGTTGACCGAATTATTTGTTCGCGCCCAAGAAACAGAAAGCCAAACTAACCGCAAACGCTGTTAAGAACCATGTTGCGTCCCGTGCACGAGGCGTTGCTGCTGGGAGTTTTCCTGCCCTCCCTGCTTTATTCCGCGATGATCTGCTTCTGGACGTATGTCTACGAATCCCGGCCGTTCCTGGTGTACGCCTTGACGACGTTTTTTCTCGTCTTCTGCATCTTCCTCCGGTCTTTCAAGGCAGAGGGTTTCATACGGAAAGAGATGCTGCTGGAGCAGCCGGAGGGCGGGCCAAGCCTGGCCCCGTTTCAGTCGGTCATGCGGAATCGCGTCTGGTAAGTATCAAGAAAGTCTTCTACTTTGGTACAAATAGAACCGCTACTCCAAAATTTGGAGTGGCGGTTCTCAATCTCCTGCAAAAATGCATTCTGTATCGCCAACATTTGCCGATCAGATTTGACGTTAAACGTCAAAGAAAAAACTTCTTCGGACTAAAATCAAATCCTCTCCGCAGGTCCTTCTGGTGCCTGATTTCCGTCTTTATCGGTGCGTGGGGCGGACGGGTGAATTTTCAAACGAACCGCTTACCGTATGTGCAAACGAAGGAAGGCGGGACATATTACAACATCGCGCCGTTTGACAAGACCGAAGACAAGACCGACGCGGGCATCATACATTTCAACTCCATGCTGACAACCATGGATGTGAACGTGTTCCGGGCTTATAGGTACATAAACATAGTTGCAGTCGTGTTGATGTAAGTAGTGAAGTCGAAGATCGTCCCGTATGTCATAAACTTCGTAAAAAGTGGTGACCGATGTTGACGAGAAACAATTGCATGTGCATGAGTTCGTGTAATATTGTGTTTGAGATCTAATGATTAAGTGGGTGCCGCAGCCACTTAGTACTACGTTCTGAAGAGAGGAGCCTGTCGCAAAGTAGATTCTAAATCCACATGAACATCAGGCACAAGGGCGTGAACTACTGCGTTGCACCGCTGACGTCACCCAAACAGCCAGGCGGCTCCGAGCACCTGCTTGCGCGGTATTTCGCCGTAGGGACGGATTGCTGCAGCGTCGACTTCGCGCCCTGTTTGCAAACCAACTCGGATAATTCGTTGACCGCAGCGAATGTGAATGAACCAACCGTCGCAAAAGCGGGGATTGTGTTGCAGAAACCGGATTTCTTCACCATGGCTGGAGGTATTTTGGATTTTTCAGTCTTCAGCTCGGGTACAACTTTGTTCATTTTTGCATCACTGGCAAGACCACGCACACATGAGGTGGCCACGACGTCTTCAAAATGAACATGGAAAGAAACTACATTAAAAGATACCTGGAATTTCATCACATCAGATTCCACCGCCAGCACCGTCCCTACCGCCACGACACCACTGTCTTACGCGTATTCCAAGCAGCCCGAAATATCTAGCTTCACAGCCGAGCTTTCCCTTCTCCTCGATGGGCAGAGCGCCGCGCAGACCGTGTTTTTCCAGAGCGCCGCAAAGTCCTGCGCCTCCTTTTTCGGGTTGCAAATCGCGGAGAAGCCGATTTTTGTGTTTTACACCTCGGACGCACAGAAATTCCAGAAAACGCGGGACGGCATGGTGTTCGGCATGTGCGTTTTGGGAATCGGGATTGGGTTGCCGGTAATTTTCCTTGGCGGGGTGGTGATAACAAATGTGTTGTCACGACGGGCGAGGTCCACCTCCGGGTGAGGAGACGGCGCAGGAGCAGGAGTTGGTAGAAGATTTGCAGTGCTGGAACAAGCCCACTCGCTGGCACGTCCGTCGTGGCTCAGCAGCTCCAGTTTCTTCGGATCAAATGTCTGAGGACTTGATCTTGCTTCTGGTTCATCTGGTTGAAACCGAGGCAGGGACGACGGCGAACGCGTTGCTGCAGGTGCACGTGCGTCGCGTTGGATTTTTTGGATTTGGATGACAACTTCAAACGGTCGTGCTGCGGACGTCTAAGTAGAACATCTCCGGTGCGCTACTAGAACTCGCGGCAAATGATCGTCCTGGTCGTGCGACGGTTCACATGATTCACTTCAGATTCAGTACTACACTCCCCGCGAAGAGCTCAGTGGCGGCTCCCACATCCCGTTACCACCTCGTCCACTTTCGCTTTCTGTTTTGACGTGCAAGGCCCTCTGTCATGCAGGCTGCCATTCTGATTGTATTTCTATCAAATCCTAATCCTTTGATGCTGCTCGACTGGAAAGAATCCCAGGACAAGTTAAAGCTGTAGAGAAACAACGACCACGTCGCTCGAATCGAAAATTTCGGTGATCCAGCGAGCTGTCTCACCGAGCTGCAAACAGATGTGTTCTGAACTACAAGTAGAGTGGGTTCGATCTTTCCCAGCCGGCGTTTTGTCCCACATTTATAAAAACTAGTTTTCCACCTGCTGCTCGAGCTCGTGCGTGTTAAGACGATGATGTCAAGTAGAAGACGATTTAGCGACGAAATAATTCTACGAAGCGGCCGTACAACCCACGCAAAGATCATCTCACAAGGCAACTTTGAGATCAGACTCAGTTCATCCATTTTGGCTCACTTTTTCACATCTCCCGATAGCTGTACACCTTAGTTTTTATTTTGAGGTCGACAGCTACAGGCCAAAAACCTACGTTCACAAGCTTTATCTATCAGTATAAACTACTTCATACAATTGATTCGACGAAAGCCCTCACCTCCACTGATGACAGAAAAAGATGAATGTGCGAGTTGTAGTATGCGTTTTACAGAATCCTCGCCGTAGAAATGTATTTAGCTATGCCCGTTCGTTTAGTTGAGGCTCTCGCTTCAGTATTAGGTTAATTTCCAAGAAAATAAAAGTAAATGAGTATAATTTATTTCAATTTCTTGAGCTGACACGGTATACCCGGACGACTCCACTACGTAAAGGTATAGGTTAGAAGATCATCAAGAAAGATGCTAAAGCGACAGCAGGGCACGGCCAGCGCTTCGAATGCGAAGAGGACGAAAGTTGATTGGCGGGCGGCGCAACAAGACGCCAATGACGAGTCCGACGAAGATCTTGGCGATGTCGAAGTTCCGCTAAGTAGTGACGACGAAGCAGAACAAGCGAAGGAGGACAAAAAAAACACAGCAGGAACAGCTTCGAAGGATAGTAATAGTGCCGGCAATGTTAAGCCTCAGAATGGATCCACCTCTGCTCCAACTAGTACCGGACCAAAAATAAACCAACAGGCCGGGGGATCATCTCCTTCTTCCAAAGTCGTAAATCTAACTACCGACGGCCCAGCACCACCAGCAGGCTCAGCATCGAATCCGAAGGCGGTTGGATCGAAGGAATCTGTAAAAGCAGCTGCCAACCCCCAGGATTTTCTTGTCGAGTCTTTCCTGCGTTTTTCCGTGCAATTTGGACCGACGATCAAGCACGACTTCGTGGTGGAGACGAAGGTCTTGTCGCGCGTTCCGAACAAGTTGAGAATCGTGAACATCACAAAAAAACTGGTCCAGCTAGAGGAGCTGAAGGACGAGACGCAGATAGAGAAGGAAAAACAGCGGGCGAAGCTGGCGGGGATGGATAATTTTGCGGGGCTCGGAATGACGGAAAAGCAGGTGCAGAAAGACCAGTCCATGTACGTGCCGAAAGCGGAAGAGTTTCCGGCACTGCAGGAGATCCTAGGTATTGAAATTGAAGATTCCCGTGTTGACGTCACTCTAAGTAGAATTGAATTCTAGCAACAGAATTTCTACTGTCGGTTGTGCATGTATGTGCAGCCGTAATTTTTGATTTTGTGCAATAGCACCAACAGCAGAACAAGAAGGTGGCTTTGCTCCGAAAAGACTTCTTGCGTCGAATTCATTTTTCTGTGTACAAAAGATATGCAAGAATTTATATATACTTCTACAGGCCACCCCGTCAGCGACGAACCTCCTGCCGCATCCTACCTCTTGACCGACGGAAAAGACAGCCTTTTCCTCTCCGTCGCCACTCCGATAACAGAACTCGTGCGCGACCATGAGGACAACCCTGTAAAGAACTCGAAGAACGACCCAGCAAAACTCTCCGTCCTCGGCCGCATCCTGGCTCCCTCCACCGACGCGAACCTAACAGAGGAGGAAGACCCGCGCGCGGCGCTGCAGAATTTGCTGCTTTTGAACACGCCGGAATGCTGCGCGGAGCCGTTTTCTATTGAAGTCACGTTGGACGTCGGGCGGATGCAGGAGAAGTCCGCGATCGTGTTGCATATCGAGGATCAGATCGCCATGGTCTTGTCAGATTTCGAAGCCCTGCTCGCAGGGGACAAAATAGCAACGTCTTCTGGTGGTCTTGCCGATGGTGGCAACAAACTAAATCAAAAACCAGCAGGGCAAGAGGCTGGACAAAGAGCGCAAGAAAGTGGAACAACGGGGAGAAAGCTCCACCGCAAGCCGCTGTTTATGCAGGAAAACAAATTTGCCGGCCAGCGCCCCGGCTTCGTCTTTAAGACGGGGCCATTAGGGCTGGGCTACTACGAGGATTTGGTCAGAAAACGGATCTACCACCCGGAAGAAGATGACGACGACGACGACGACGAGGTAGTTGATAGCAATGAGGATGACCACGACGGGATTTGTGGAAGCAGAAATGGCTTCCACACGCCGATGGAGCAAGAAGTTCCTGACCAGCAGACAAGCAGTGCAACTTCTGGTCATCATGTTAGCGCAAAGGCAAACGGAACTGCAAGTGCAACAACATCAAGCACAGTAAATAATAGTAATCGCCGCAGTTCTGTGTACTATTCGCCAAACACAGGAGGCGCGGATGAAGAGGAAGCTGCGGATGCTGAAATGAAAGCAAAAGAGAAGAAAGCCACGGCTCGCTACTTCAACGACCCGTCGCTGAAAGAGGTGAAGCTAGATTCCATGGACGCGGTCGATTTCTTTCTAGCGGCGAGGGAGGTACTTACTTGCAAAATCATGTTCTACAACTTGTTTTGTATGCGACCTGTGTTTTCAAGCAAAACTAGCGAAGGAAGACCTCCGCCATCTTTTCGTAGATAATTTCAGTAGGAATGAAATGGTGGGCGGAGCCAGATGAAGGATCCCCGAACGTGATGTCGGGAAGCCAAATCATCTTCTATCGGCAGCTGCCACTTGTCTTTATTTTTCCTTCTATGGTATAGGCTATCACTATCTGCAAGAACAACAAATTTGGGCATGCCCATGCATAGCAACAGCAATTCTCGCATGCACTCGATCGTTCTTCAAAGGCAACATCATAGATCGAATTCACCTGAAGATTGTAAAAACGATTCTCCTGTTCCAGGTCGAAGCGACGCTGTTGAAGCAGCAGGACTACACCCAGAACAGACATGATCGGGTTACCACATTGACGCAGCAGCTAACCCAGTTGAAGGCCGACCTCCGGCAGTTTTTGGAGGCAAAAGAAGGCAACAAGCAGGCGAACGGCACCACGACGGGTGGAGCGACTACGAGTAACGGAACTACAAAGAACACGGACACGGCGAATCTCCAGAACGGCGGCGGGTCGTCGGCGAATACTAAGTCATCGACAACAGGCAACAGACTGCTGAAACTCCAAGACGACGATGAGGACAAAGAGGACGAGGACCTTGCGTGGGAAGAGAAACCCAAGGAGGAGCGCGAAGCGATTCTGGGGGCCATTACCTGGAATTTAGAACGCATCCGATCCATGGAGCGGATCTTGTCGAAGCTGAATTAAGCAGCTGTTTAGTAGGTTGCGGGTTGTTCACTCTTGTGCCAGCGGGGGTTGGTATGCTGTCCGTCGAGGAAACTCTGGAACAAGAGGATTGCTTGCAAGCAGGACGATGGAAGTAGTACTAGAACTAGTAGAAAGATAGTTACGTCGTCGACGCACCTTGTATTTGATGAGCCAATCTTTAACGCCAGCTAGCACCACGAGTGCTGCCCCAATCAAGAACAACTTCCGCCTCCGAAGCTGCCTTTTTGAGCAGGCCCTCTCCCCACTTCTGGCGTCGTGATGAAGCTGCGCCAATCTACTTGTGTTCACCGGTGTATTTTATAGGAATATAAGCCACGGCAACCAGCAGTGCCAGCCAGTCAGGAGGAGCGGCGGAGCCATGTTGTGGATCTGACGTCTTTTTCTCAGTCAAGCAAACCGCGATTCTTCGTAGTTCATTGCTTTGTGGTGTTTTATGTGGCGGTGGCCAACATCACCTTACAACATCGAAATGAAGCAATTGCAAACGAATTGACGAGTGTAAGCTTCATGTGCTTTGTTTCGCTCTTGAAAAGTTGACAATGAACGCGTAGGTTTGTAGGTCATTTTGGATTGTGTTTCTTTACAGACGTTATTTCAGGTTGCGCAAAATGGATTCGTCATGCTAGGTAGTATATGTCTTTAGACTATAAGTTTAATTGTCAGGCTCGTTGTAGCTCTCTTATCAAAGCTAATGTCGTCTTTTTTTCAGTCACAGTCCCCACCGTCCCCCAGCGGTTCTAAGGACGCTTCTGACAACATCTGGCACGCGGGCGCCGGGGCGGGTGGTATTGACTTCGACAACGCGACTGCTTCGTCGTCCTCTGCAACAACAGCGGCCTCTCGCGGCTACCCCACACAATTCTCTTCTACTACTGGAAGTACAGGTGTTGCGCAGCAGGCAACAGGAGCAATAACTACAACAAACAGTTTCAACTACGACCAGCCCCGTAGAAGTGGTCCCTCTGAAGAAGATCTTCGTGCAGCTGGTGGCCCGACATGGTTCGACCTGCGCATCGTCGAGCACAACCGGCGCATGCTGATGCAAAACGGACAGTACCGAGACCCACAAACCAGCGAGTGGCTGCAGCTGTACCAGCGGCACCCTACGTATGGATGTGTCAGGTTTGAAATCGTCAAAGTTGAAATAGTTTGCCATGCATAAAACGGATACCAGTCAGACCTACAGTTTGTAGTCGGCGCATGACAAATTTTCCCGGTCCTGGAAGCGAGTCTGTCATGCGGTTTAGGGCAAAAGAGCTGCCTTCTGTCATGCTAGTTAGCAGTCCAACTTTTGACCCTTACCAGGACTATAATCTGCCTCCCGTGGGTCCTCTGCAATAGAGTCACTTTTCGTGTCGCATTTTATGCATGGCAAATCATTTCAACTCTGACGATTTCAAACCTGACGCTCCCATACCACGTTCGGGTCGGTGCTGCAGCCCAAATGGAGCGGAAGGAGCGACGGCGGGGGCCCCGGCCCCTTCCCGAAACCGCCCCAGGGGGACTTCGGATATCCGCACGAGCAGGCGAACCGGGAGATGCGCGCCCTGATTCCGGTGGAGCGCGTGCGGTTGCCACCGCCGGGGGAGCAGAATCCCGCAGCCTGTGTGGTCGGCGGGATTCTACCTGCCATTCTCGTCGGCGCGGTTGCCACCGCGCTGAGCCCCAATGTGAATTTCATGCCGGGGTCGGTGAGGCTAGAGCGGTTTCGCAACTTCGCCGGGCTATTTTACCTCTACACTTTGCTCCAGTGCCCGTTCCGGGTGGTGCGGGCGCACAACGTCGCCCGGATCGACTCGCTCACCGACCACATGATTGCCGGCGGGACCGTCGGCGCCCTGGCCGTGCACCACAAACGATTAGGCATGCCGATGATGATATCACATGCAGCAGAAGTAGCGGACTTGTAGACACTACGTAAAAAATTGCGATTGTGCAACATAATTGCAACTGACTTTTCTGACGAGCTAAATTGGCATGCCAAATCTCATTGGTCGCACTGAGCATCTAATGTTGCTATTTAAGTATAGCCATACTTCTGCAATTCATAGATAAAGGAAATCGACGTGGACCTGCTCTTGCAGCGCTACCCCAGGTTTTCCCGACCGCAGGTGGCGTTTTTTGTCTACGGCCACTGTGCAGCCTTTCTGCACGCCCTCGCTCTGTTTTTCTCGGGACAGTTTAAACACTGACACGACTGAAGGGGCAGGCTCCTGATGACGAGATGAATGGAATGCGGGAATGAAGATCATGAAGACTTGATGGCACGATTAGCAGCTGCAGGTGTTTCCTTTCATTGCCTAATTGATTGAATTACAGTCAGGCTAGACAGGGCAAAGAAGTTTCTGTTTCTAGAACAAATGTTTCAGGGCCGCGCAAGACTGACTTTCCAACAGGTTCGATCTTGTTTTACTTTTCACATCGAGTGACGTTTTTCAGTATGAATGTTGTGTGCTTTAGTACGTTAGTACTGTTCCTTCACAGATCGTTGAATTGCTCTTGCTATTTTGGTTTTGCGGAACGGAAAAGATCTCGATCAGGATGTTGGGTGGTACTGTAACTGTTGACAGACGCTCCTTTTTCTTGCCAGCAATCGTAATGCAATAAGATAACTACACAGGGCGAACAAGATGATCGGATGTTGGCGAAGACGAAGATCCTTTCTCTAACTACTTGTCCGCAAGATCCAGGTCACTTACCGCAGGTAAAGTTCCTCTAAGAGAGGCGAAGGCTCTGTCTAGTGCTGACTCTAGCAGCACAAGCAAACGCGCTGCGTGAAAGTCCAACTCCAAGTCCAACAGCAAGTACGTATATATCTTCGCGACGTTGTGCACCTGCTGCCGCTGCGACAGGTTTTTTTTCCGATGTGTGCCTGCCGTCTTACTTTGTTCTGTATGACTTTCATCTTGAATATGATTATGATTTCTAAACCCAAGGTCGACGTGGACGGTTTTGCTTCTAGTCGTTTTCTTACATCAATTGCCTGTGTGTGTGTCTGTATGTCGTTTTCAATATTTTTACATGATAATCACCTGCTTCAACGAGCCGAGTGCTCTCTAATGTTTAACTCTGGTCAAGAACACTACAGTGACACAATTAAGTAGTGTATACGTCAGTTGTGTGACTCGTCTGTCTACATGATCTGATCTTCCGATAATTCGTTGATGTCCACCAGTCCCGAGTACGCCTCCGCAGTGCGCGTACTAACCTCCAGCTCCAGCAGCTCAAGAAGCATGACAAGCCGCTCCGTTGCCGACCGCGTCGGCGACAGCGGACAGGGGCGGAGCTCGCCGAGCCAAGTCCGAATCGACCTCGGTATGCATTGCAAAACAAGTACTATCGCACTCATTAGTCGTTACAAACTGAATCTTGCGTGACAGATTTGCTCGCGGTCGCGGCTTACCTGAATCCGCATCACAAATTCCTTTTTTCCACCTTGCGGAGGACAAATTTGTACATACGTTTTTACTACAAACTACCAAGCGATTGCGCGATATTAAGTATTTTTGCAATGCACATCCGATGCACTCGACCGAGAAGGCGATGCAGCAGGAGGATCCACGGGTGCTGCCTCGACGACCACCAAAGGTGTGGGTGTCGGTGGGGACTGTCACTTCTCCCGTGCGTATGAGAACAGCAAACTGAGGAACCGGCTCGAAGTGATCGAAGGGATTCGGGGGGATCTGGAGTCCGAAGACGTGGAAGTGCCGGGCGTGATTGTGGTGGGAAACCAGTCCGCCGGGAAGAGCTCGGTGCTGGAGGCAATTTCGGGAATCAATTTTCCGAGGGGGGAAAACACCTGCACGCGGTGCGCCTCGATTGTGCGGCTGGAGTGCCATCCGGCGGAGGCGCAAGATGATAGGCCCTACGCACTGCTTTCCTGCAACGACGCGGAGCAGAAGCAGGCACAGAAAATCTACGATTTCGCGAAAATCGGACAACAAATCGACGCCTTGACAAAGAAGCTCGGCGAGGGCCGCGACAGCGGGACCATCCTCGGCGACGACGTGATCTACATCACAGTGCGCAATAAGTCTGGCCCCACCATGACCTTGATCGACCTCCCCGGGCTGACGTTTGTGCACAAGACACAGAAAAACATCCACGACGTGACGGTCGAACTCATTCGCAAATACATCAAGAACGAGCAGGCTGTGATTTTGGCCGTCATCCCGGCGACCGAGGATTTTGGAAATTGCGAGGCCTTGAACTTGGCCTCCGAAGTGGATCCCGAGGGGGAACGGACGCTGGGTGTGGCGACTAAGTGCGACATGATCAGCGAAGACTCAGATCTGGTGCAGAAGTTGACCATGAGTCGCAGCTCCGACATCAAACTCAAGCTTGGTTTCGTCGGGGTCCGGTGTCGCGGGCCGGCGGAGGTGAAAGATAATCTGCCCTTCGACCAGATGGCGGTCCGGGAAAGGGAGTTGTTCACAACGCACAGAGCCTTCACAAAGAACATTACTGGCACAACAAGCAAGAAGTTCCCGCGGCACTGTTGGGGCATGGACACCTTGGTGGCGAAAATCTGCCAAATCCAGGAACAGACCGTGGAAAAGTGGCTCCCGCGGGTGAAGCTGCAAATCTCCCAGATGATCCAGCAAAAGGAGAAAGATCTGGACCAGTGGCCGCTGCCCTGCCCGGATTTCTCCAGCAAACGCAGGCGTCTGCAGGAGATCATCTTCGAAATCGACCGGAAGTGGTACGACTTAGCCTCCGCCTTGGAGTTTCGTGAGGACGATCCCAGTATGAACCTCTCCGCGAGTATGGCCTGGAAATTTTATAACCATTTCATCCCCATCCAATTTTTTGCTATGGTGCAATAAAACTACATGCGTATTAAAGTGGTGTCCTTGATGTCATGCAAAAGATGGATGGGGATGGGTTTCGTTTGTTTCTCTCGATAGCGAGGGTCCGCGGGATCTTCGCGCGCATGCGCAATTCGGTGCGGAAAGGACTGCCGAAGTTTCTCGACCCGCAGGCGCAGAAGGACATCGCCAAGTTGCTCAAAGAGTGTAAAGCGCACGGGTTGCCGAATTTTGTTTCCGATAGCGTCTTCTCGCACATGAGCCGGAACCAAATCTTGCCCCACCTCAGCCAGAACGCCAAACACCTGATACAGGAGGTACTTCTAGGGGCCTTTTTTTTTGCAACTCATAGAAGTCCGGCACTTCTGTTCCTCGTGAATTGATGTTGATGCCATGTACTTCATGTAGTTGCAGCTGCGTAAATAGAAAAACTAAAGAAGGCACCAGGGGAACAGGATCGAGTGGAGATTATTTAGCACCTTTGAACAAAAATTCTACTTTCTTCGTGTAAAATGAACTTCATAAATATAAATTGCAAGAAACAGATCTCCAACTATATGACAATCGTTGTTGGTGTTTTGGCGTCGGAATCCACAAAGGAATACCCGAAGCTGGCATCCGAATTTCAACTGATCGCCGGCGAGGTGATCCAAAAACAAACCGAGAAAACGAAGGAGCATGTGTTGGAGCTTTGCGAGGCCGAGAATCTGGTCTATGTCTCCGAAGAAGACCGGTACATGGAGATCTTAAACGACATCAGCCAAACCGTGAAGGCGGTGGCGCCCCTGCTGATCAACACCGGGAGCACGAAGTATAACGGCCTGGGCGCAGTGACGAACGCCGCCAACAACGCAGCTGTCGGGGATCATTTACTTCTAGCGTCAGGGGCAGGAGGAGGTCCACCGACCACGGCGGCCGCAGCGAATTTGCGACTCGAGCAGAACCCGCAAATCACCATGTCGCCGAACGAGGTAACCCGGGTCATCCAGACGGAAGCCCGGAACTTGCAGAAGTACGGGATCACGACCGAAAACTTGATCCGCCTCGCAACCACGACCACCGCCGCGGGGGGAAGCACGTTTTCTATGTCAGGAGCAGCCGTCGATCAAGCACACCAGGAAGGGGGAGGTGGGATGTCACAGCTGCCCCCTGGAACATCAAGTGGCACTGGTACTACGAGTACGTACATCACCGCCCGTGATCTGAACATTGAGAAGGTGAAGGAAACGCAAGTTTCCCTGCTGGCCTACGCCCACATCATTCAGGGCCGGTTTGTCGACAGTGCCTGCATGCTATCAGAGTGCACAGCTCGTGGTCCCCTTGGTTTCTCGCGACCCCCCTCATTTGTCTTGCAAAATCGTATACATAGCGATGTAGTTCTGCTATGCAAATTATTTCGGAGGAGGTGGGGAAATTTATTGTGCGCTCTCATACATGCTCTGCTACAAGTTTCTGGTGCGGGACCTGCAGCAAAAGGTGCAAGCGGCGTTCCACGAGCTGTCCATGGACCAGGACCGGTTGGTATTCACAGGAAATTTCCGTACAAATAAAGCGTCTTCTGCATCACAGACAAGACAGCGTAAATTCCTTCAATCCTATTCAACATGACAGACACTTGCAGTTGGTATGCTCTACCTTCTTGGCGAAATTTGTACTATATATTTGTGGAGGAAATTTGCATTGCATAGTTGGAGATTGCCATGGCCAGCGACCCGGATGTCGTGCAAAGAAGGAAAGTGGTGGAAGAGTCTCTCTTCCGGCTGCAGACCTCCATTCAGAAATTGTCGAAATGTGAATGATAAGATAGATAATTGATAAAGCAACAACATTTTTGATTGACGATTGTGTTGTAGCTAATGCTAAAAAAATACTATTACAATACAACTAACTTCTCGTCAACGTCATCAACTGCTTGGCTACAACATCTTCAGGCCGGCGAGACTAGGAAAAATGAATTGGCGTGGACTCTTCTCCGTTTGCAACATACGAGGATCCTTCTGCAATGTATTTTTTGATCCCCAGCAAAAGCTTCTATATCTATCCGTTCCCGATTCGGTCGCGTTTCTAGACGAAGCTCTTGAGTGCTACACGACAGTAAAGTTCTTCTTTAGCCCGGGCTTTCGACTAGAAGTTCCGCCCCCTGAATTGTTCATATACACTGACTCTGACATTTTTGTTGAATTGCTTGTAGTTCCATCTTCTGCATTAGTCGAGGCACACCCGGACAGCCGTTTTTTTATCCTTTCAAAAGTACAGACCTCCTCTATTCGACGATGGCGACTATATGATTGTATTACTCGATCAAAGAGCATTGATTATTGACACCGTACTTGAAGATCCATCTAGATGTTTCTTCAGGTAAGAAAATCACAAACATTCATTTGATGCCGTGCCCGGGCACGGAAAGAAAGAAAGAAAATCATAAACTCATCACAATCACAGCGACAGTTTTTATCAAATGAAGATAGCAAAAATATATAGTGTTGTTGTAATGTTGGTCAAGGCAATGAAGTAGTATCGTTTCGATTATGGTTTTTTTAGGTTTGTGATGAATCAATTAGAATTTTAATTTCGCGGAAATACATCTACATTTTTGTTTCCCCAGGAGCAGAGCAAGCGACGAAAAGAAAAAATACCGTGGCGTTTACCCCTCCCGATAAAAATATCAGCCTTTCCACGCAACTCCCAAAACATGTTGCGTCCCGGCGTACTGAATTACGCCGCTGTGCGCAGTAGACAACAAGCCCACGGCCAGCAAAATCACCAGTCTGGTGGCTCGGTACCCGCGCAAGGGAACCGGGCGGGGGGAGTACAGCACGACCCCGAATTCCAGCGGTGGCAGGCGATCTACGAGCAGTGCCGCAGCAGCCTGCTAGCTGCAGTCCCGGTACTGCTGAAGGAAAGGGACAAAGTACTAGACGGGGAAAATAAGGGTGGCGCCGATCATGTTGGTGCAAACTATGCCACCTCGTCCGCACCTGGTGGCGGTGCGACTGCAAGTACTGGCAATGACCAAATATTGAACTCCAACCGAAAAAATATCCCCCTGGATAATTCAACAAAACTGCAGCAGCAAGCGCAAAGCATCCACGTGACGCTGGACAGGCTGGGGGACCTCCTAGCCGACCTTCTGGGTTGGATGGACCGCCAAGAGCAGAAAGCCCTGCAGCAAGGCACCGCTACGGCCGGCGGCGCCTCGCGGCAAAGCGAGCTCCACAAACACCAGACCGCACAGGGGTTAATCGTCGGGTGCCTGCTCAGTTGCGCCAGCGCCTACAAAGCGCTCGGGCACTTCAAGTTGGCGATTTTGTACTACAAGGAACTGCTGCTGCAGACGAGTAAAGGCCGGCACCATTATCAACAGCAGCTGCTGCGCCAGAGCAGTTCCTCCTCCTCTGTTCGCAACGTCGTGAAAACGAATTTGTACACCAGTCGCGAGTTCCAGGAGCAAATTTGCTGCGAAGCGGCGGAGTGCGCGTGGCGTCGCGGAGATTTTTTCACCGCGAAATTTTTCCTGGTCGAGGGGATGCGCGGGTTGAAGGCAGAACAACAGGCACTGACGAATCATGGACTTGCTGCTTCGGCGGGAGCTGGTGCCGCGGGCGGTGCGCCAAGAGCTGTTGGGCGAAAATTACTACACCAAGCTGGGGTCCTCGTCGGACCAAATAGCAACGAGGACCACGACGGCGAAGAGCTTCTGGATCCGCTCTCCGCTCATCTTGCGCAGGTGCAACAGGAGTGGGACCTGTGGAAGCAGCAAGAGCACTTCCGAATCTCCCCGCTGCTTCAAGAATTTGCGAAAATCAAGGAAATCGAATTTGACGTACTGGAGCGGGGCCTCTTCGCCGAGCCCGCGGCGCGGTTTCACGAACAGAAGCGGCAGGAGTTGCTGTTTCACTTGCGCGAGCGGCAGAAAATCGTGGTGAAGGGCCTGTCGTTACTGAACATGCTGGACGCAATTTGGGGTTTTGTGGCGCCGGCAGCTGACAACGGCAGTAAGAGAAACAAGTACCACAGTGGTACAACGGGCGGCGGCCACCAGGATGGGGACAACAGTACGGACGAGAGATTTCCAACGATGGCTCCTGGCACGACTGGACCTTCGCAAGCTTCACACCATCAGCAGGTGAAGCAAAGAATTTCCGACACGGAAGCTGTTGTTTTCCCGTTCACCCTGGTCAGTATCGATTTACAAGAGTTTGGCGCGGAGGATGAAAATGATCTGCCGAAGGACGTCAGTGCTGCTGGCGCCGCAGCCAGTAGTTCTATTGCAGTCAACGCTGGAGGTAGTAGTGGTGCAGGTACTGATGTCGCTGGGAGCAGGAACAAGACGAAGCACGGTGTGAATTTCGACGAGGTGGTAACGGAAGAAGTTGTGGACTTCGATGAGGACGTTGTCATGCAAGATCCGCAGCAGGAGGAACACGGACAAGTTGACAGCGACGCAAGGAATAACAAGAACCAACAGGGCCAACAGCCAGCGTCTCTTGTCGACATCTTCTACCATTCCTGCCTCGAGTTTGCGGAAGCTCGGCGGGACGTCTGCGCGAGCATCGCAGCGGGAGCAGGAGGTGGTAGCTCTAGCTTTGCGGGAGGTGCTAGCGCAGCTTCTGGTTCTGGCGGTAGCTCGTCTTCCTCCGCTGTTCACAACATGGCCGCTGCATCAAAGTCAACAAAAAACAACACGCGGCGGCTGCAGATCAGCCAGCTGCCGGCGTTTATCATGGGAGACTCCGGTGGTGAGGCGATTTCGGCCGCGGAAAAGGAACTCATGGACAAGGTTTGGAAACTGGTAAACACAACTACTTCCTCGACCACGTCGAACTATGAAGGGACAGCAGGAGGAGCAGGAATGTTAAATGCGGCAGCTTTAGGTTCGTCATCAAAATGTGGACGCGCAGGACCTCATTCGACTTCCGCTTCTACTGCCACATCAAGGAGACCTCTGCAGGTCTACCTTCGGGAAATCCTTGGCGAAATCTTCTCGACGACCAACGATCCAATAGCTGTGTGCACGAAACCCGCGAGAAAAGTACTCGCGAAGCTCGTGCGGTATTTTCTCAACCTGAATTTGAAGACATTTATTGCTCCTAGCACTGCACTTCTCTCGTCATCGGATTATCCAACTGCGCATGATGTTGCTGGTCACGATCATGCCGCGAACATGAACCTTTGGAGCAGCAAAGAAGAGTTGCTGGAAGTGCTTTTTTCCGAAACGAAGGCCGAATTGCAGATGCGCGACGAACAAGAAGGGAGCGATAGTATTAAAAGCAGGAGGCTCAAGAATGGCAATGAAAAAGAACAAACCGCAGGAACTGCCTCTAACGGAAAGCGCACTCCGGACCAGCGGTTACGAGAGCTGCAGGCCTTGCTGGCCACAGAAGATTTGGAGAGGCATTTTTCGGCGGACGAACTCGAGAAATTGAACTCCTTGGACTTTGACAAAGACCTAGCAAGGATTGACGCCATGCTGGACCAAGCCAGCGAGTTTCGGAAGCGTGGCCCTCTGCTTCCCAAGGGGCGGGGGAGAGAGGGAGATCCCCAAGTGACGACCGCTTTTGCGACCGTTGGCGCTCCATCGTCCTTGAAGCGAGGTCGAGAGGAACAGGACCTGATTGTCGAAGATACCTCGTCCAGCAAAGTGGTGCAATTAGCAGACATCAATCCTGGTCGTGTGCTGGCCTCCGGGGGTAGTATTAAGAACGCCGGCACCCACAACCGGACCGACGGTACCAGTAGCGGAGACGTGATCATGACGGACGTCGCAAGAACGACGGGAACGAAGACAACCTCCAACGTAGGCGGGCAAGACGACACGGTTCTCGTGGAGAGCGTAACTTTTCCCGCACACTGCGCAGCATTCGCGGAGGCTACCACTAGAAATGGTCGGTCTACTGTGCCATCAGCTGAGCAAGATGTTGGCAACACAGGCTCGTCCTCGGCGTCGCTCCCAGATTACGAGAAGGCTCCGCTTCGTTTCATGCCAAACAGGATCTCCGAAGATGATCATGATGGCCAAAAGAAAGTAGACCAGAAAACAAAGGAACACTCGTTCCCACTGTCCACTACAAGATCGATCGAGAGCTGTGACGCGTCGCAAGCCCGCACGAGATTGTTTGTCCAGCAGCACGGACTGGCGTGCGCGGAGCTGTTTGCGAGTCAGGACCTCTTCGCGGACGCGTTTGGGCTGCTGCACCTGCGGTTCAGCGTGCTGATAGAAGCCTACGAAACGGGCCGAGACCTGTTGCACAACCACGAGCAGGAAGCAGAAAATTATCCTGTGCGGGGAATGAAGATGCTGCGCCAGTCCGACTCTCCGGGTTCCCTTCTGTACCAGTTTTGTCTCCTGCTTCAGCCCCTGTGCGACGCGTACTTTGCGAAGGGGGTATTCTTTTTGGAGCACGATCGTGGTTTTCGGAGTTTGATTCACCTGGCGGAGAAGCACGACGCTCTGGTCGCGGAGAAGAAAATACGAGCACGAGGAGGGCAGCACCAGCAGCAACAGCACCCAGCTGCCGGCGATTCCTCTGCCGGGGGCCTTTTCGAGTCTACTTTTGCGATGTCTCTGCAAGACCAGCTTCTGCGTGTCTTCAGAATCCTGCAGAAATTCTGTCGCTTCTCGGAACATCTCGCGCCGAGCTTGTTCCGGACCAGTGTGTGGGATTTCGTTGCGAAGAAGCACAGCGAGAAGAATAGCGCGACGAAGCTGGAAATCAAGAATAGTGGCCTGATGGCACCGGCGGCGACAAATTTTGCCAGTGCCAGCAGCTCCAGCGGAATTTTCCTACCGAACAAACCAACACCAATTGTTCAGAAAATCACTATTGCCAGCCCATGCGCGACTCCTGGTTGGCTCCTGGAAGATCCGTTCGCGGCCGATGACTTTTTCACGCAGAAAATTCTGCCGGACTTTATGTCCAGAACAAACACGAAGACAAATACGCCTAGCAAGGGCGGCATCGTGTCCGCTATTGCCGCGAATTTTATTGGGAACAGTAGTAACAAAGACACACTAGTACACCCCGCCACCGCCGCTCCCGCACCAGGAGGCACAGGAGCTCAAGCGAGTGTGGGTGTAGTTGGCGGCGGTCCCACTTATCAAGCGAAAAACTTGTCGAAAATATGGGCCAAGGCGGCGGACGTACTCGGCACTTTTGCTGTGAAGCAGTATGAGAGCGTGGAGAGAGTTGCGCTGGACAATCTGAGCCGGCAGGAACGGGAAGACCCCTACCTGGTTGCGAACGCCGCCAGCTACCTGGAAGTCGCCAAGATTCTGCGCGTGCTCCTGCATGACGAGGCACCGCTGCCAGAGCAGGGGGGCAGGAACCTGATGGGTGGGGGAAGGGTCCTCGTAGGCGACGTCGTTCATCTTGGCGCTGGTTTAGCAACGTCGACGTCGAACGGCAGCTCCAGCGCGATTCTAGCCTCCTCTGCCGAAGACGGGATGCTGTCCAAGTTGAATTACGCACTGATCCTTCTCCTCGCCAGCTTCCTGAAGGCCCCGGACGAGCGCAGGTTTTTGGCGCCACTGTGCAGTGTCGCGCTGATGTGTCTGGTCAAGCACAGCGTGGATGTGACTGGGCTTGTTTCATCGACTCCCACAGGCGGGACGGGGGTGGCTGATGCTTCTACAACTCGGACGGCAGTTGGACCTGGCGCTCTTGGAGCTGCTGGTGGTGCGCCTTGGCGTGTCGGAGCGAATGTAGGAGCTCCGGCGTCTTCAGGTGGGAGTTCGAACTTACTATTTCCCACGGGTGCAACATCAGCACCAGCTGCACCTCCAGTCGACAGGGGGAAAAATGATTCGAACTTATTCACGCTTGTTGGAAATAAAGTCTCCCCGTGTGCGCCGTTGTTTGGCGGACTTCTGGCTGCAATCGTAGGAGCAGCACCTGGCAGCTCCCCGAGCAGGAGCGGAGTAGAGAAACAGAAAATCAATGTCGGAAATACTAGTGCAAAAACGTCGTCCTCGTCGGGGACCACTTCCGCGGGCACAACTGGTAGTGCTGCACATCCAAAGGACAAAGGTGAAAATCTCATTTCTGCGCACGCGCGTGCGTACCTGGCTAGCCTCTCCCACCTGCTCCAATCGTTGCATGCGATGCACCACGAGGTCTGTTTCCAGTTCAAGCGGAGCTCGCTGCAGGTCGAGTCCCTCAGGTGGCCCTTCAGCGTGTATGAGCTTTTGTTCAGTCTGGATGGCAGTACTTCTTATCCCGGAGCAGGGGCTGGTGCTGCAACAGGGACAGCTGTTTCTAAGTCCGGCAGTACATCATCAACAGTCGCAACCTCCGGCGCTGCAACAAGCTTACTGATCAGCACGACCTACGCCGGACTAAGCAACCAGCAGGTGCAGCAGCAACTGCGCAAGAAGTCGCAGCAGCACCGGGGCTTGCTCGCCGACAAGGCTTTCTTCGAGAAGCAGCTGTTTCCCGAGCTGTTTGACGTGGAGGACACCACGCTGGTGAACAAAACGGCGATAGAACACCTGGAAAAACAGGAGAATGACATGCTGTTGGATGAGGTTTTGCTGGACAGTGCTGGAGCAGCTCCTGCTGGCAATATTACGACTAACAAGCCTACTAGTGGTTCTTCTTCAACGGCCACCGCGAACAACCCGGCGACGGCGTCCTTTATGAGAGTGCACAGCTTGTCCCCCTTCCCCTCATTTATCATGTAAAATGAATGCGACCAAACCCACTCAACTGTTTTTGGAACCACATCTCTCGAAGCCCACACCGCACTACACTCCGTGCGTGGATTTGTCATGCGACGCCCACATTTGGATTTGATGTGCCACTGCTTGTGTTGCCGGTCGTGCCATACAGATAGATTAGGCGGGGAGGGGGAGGAGTTGTGCGCTTTCATGTCCTTGATGGGACCACCAACCGCCCAGAGGGTCCTTCCAGCAGGGGCAGGGGCGCACACAACAACGACACGGAAAGAAAAACTGAACAGCCTATCCTTTCTAAAAACGTCTCCAGCACCCCCCCGTCCATCAGAGTTGTCACACAAATTTGCATTCACATCAGAAACTGAAACATTTGGAATGTTGCTAAGTAATGCGCACTTTCCCTGACTTTGAGGCGAGGGCGACAGAAGCATTCCTCGTCGTGATGTTTTGATGGCATTCGTAATGATGTCGTATTAGCCAGGATCGTCGGTCAATAAGCACCAGATTGCTCGGTGTCATTGCTATCCTGCATTACCACACGATAGGTAGAACACCAGAACCAGATCTGTTTTTGTCATGTGTGGCTCCGAATAAACTTAAAGGTTGTGGAAGAAGTAGAAGATTTGTGTTGCAAAAAAAATACCCCTCTGGACAACTTCGGAATGGGAGCAACGACGTTTTTCCTCAGGATACAGCCTGAAGATAACGCAGAAAACGGTGTTCAACTACTGCTCGTTTACGCATTTGCTGCTCACGGCCGTTCTCCGCATCGAGTGCACCTTCACGCGGAAATTTCGGAGAGAGTACCAGCTGGAAAAAAGAACCGTTGGAGCAGTGGGAGGTGGTGCAGGAAATAATAACAGCTCGGACCCGCGCGACCCGGATGTTGTCAAATCTGCCTTGGACCAGGAAATTAGCACCCTCGTCGCGACGCTCGCGGCTCGGTGTCTGGCCGCGTGGTTTGGCGGCGAGAGTGAGCCACTCTCTTGGTACCGGGAATTGGTATCATCTACTTGTTCACCAGGAGAACCGGGGGTCATATCTTCTTCTTCATCGGCTATGGTTGTTCATCCCAACTACGAAGCCCCTACGACCACCTCTTCTTCTTTCTCCCCCACCGGCCGCCTGCTTTCGCTCGCGGATTGTCGCTTGTTTTCCTCGCCAGCCGCGCTTTGGAGTCTGGACTACAGTGGGCAGAAGGTCTGGAGCCAGCATTTGTACGAGGAGGCGGGCAAGGTGCCGAACCACATTTTAAGCTTGACCCTCTCCGCGCTTAAGCAGTTGAACGCGTTTGACCTTCGACGCGGACGCGCAGGAGGCCGCGATTCAGTAGTTGTACAACCATATGCGACCTCGAACAACAACACGACCGCCAAAACTGAATTCGCGCTGCTTCCTGGACATAAAAATCAGGAAGTTAGTAAAAGTAAAACTAATGAAAATGAAGATCAACATCAACCTTTTGTCAGCAGCACGTATTTTGCTTCCGTGCTCCCCATCTACAGCCTGAAGGTGTTCGGGCTGAGCTTTTTTTCCGCACCGAATGAGGAGGCATTCGTGCTGGACGCGACCAAGTCCTTCACCAAGGAGTCCAACCGCGCCAAGCCGCACAAGCAGTATGTCCGCTTGTTTCTGCCCCTGGCGTTCCCGAAGTTTCTGTTCAAGAAGTTTTTCCAGCACGGAGGCTTTGACCTGCACCGGGAACTGGTCAAAATAAAGGCCCTGGTCGGCGTAGACCTGCTCACGCCAATGGGGAAAATATTCCAGTGGGACAGTATGCATCGCAAATAAAGTATCGTTCTACGTACTTAGCAATAGCAACTCTTTTATTTTGCATGACTAAGTGTAGTTTCCTCAGCGTGAGAAATGGACAAATTTGTGACGGAAATTGTTCTCAGGATGAAAGCGATTTATTTGAATTTGTATATGCAGGCTTGCAAGAATTTGAATTGCGCATGGAAAAAATACGATACTTTTGAATAGGATACACAGCACCCACGTGCAAAAGGACTGGATTTGCCACACTATCAGTGCCGGCGCGGAACAAGACTACGTGCTGGGGCGGCTGCATCCGCTTGACAAAGACACGGTGGAACTGCACGCGAAGTTCGCCGACGCCATTCTGTCAGTGGAGAAAGAGTTGAAGCTGACGGAGGTCCTTGGTTCATCTTCTGGGACTTCTGCTAGTACCGGAGGCTTGACTGCTCCTAGTACACATGGTGGAAGTACTAGTGCAGCTACTGCTGCAGCTCCTGTTGCTAGTACTAGTTCTGCGTCGTTTGATGATCTGGAATTTTGCCGGCAGCTGGACAGCTTCGCGCGCAAGCAAGGGGAGCTCTTGGATCAGCTGATGCAGAAACTCCATCCGCAGGAACCAGTCATCAACATGATTCCTGAATTGCGGCAGCTGCTCCGTGCGGCTTTGGAAGGAGTCAACGACAACCTGCACTCTGCGACGTCGCTCCTCATGCAGCAGCGCAGCAACACGGGCGCGGTGCTGTTTGGAGGTGGGGGAATTTCTTTACGCCCTGAAAACTTTTTCACATTCATTCCATCCAATTTGCGACCACTTGTGTCTGATGTCATGCAAAAATCAGCAATGGGAATGGAGGAAAGAAAGCTAATATCAAAGTCGCGGTTATGTTAGTCATGCTCATGCAAAAAATAAAAAAAGTGGATGGAAATGCTTGCAAATTTTCGGGGAATATTCTTCATCGACCAGGGTGGTGGGACTACATTCATCTATGTGCACGACGGCGAACAACAACAATAAGGTAGCTCCTGCGGAGGATGAAGTCAGCGTGTTGCGCAACAGTGTGTACCACATTCTGTACAGTCTACCGGACATCTATCGCAAGAAAAAACTGTCTCAGTATCAAGCCAACTCTGCAGGGTCAGCAATAGAATGAATTTGCGAAGTATCAAACAATCTGTGAAAGATCATGCGTCAGACAATATAAAAGACGATTGCATGTCGAGCATGACAACGAACTGTCTCAAGGAAGTTGTGCATTACAATTGAAGACTGCGACAGTTTTTCTTTTTTCTCAGGATATTACTGTTCTGTCGGCGACCGCTGGGCAGGGGTTCCGGAGCTGGCAGGTGGTGTTCGAAAGCTTCGCCTGCCTGTACCTGCGAAGCGTAGAAAGGACTTCGACGCGCGTTGTTGATGACTTCGACTTCGCTCACCCTACTTACGTGGTGGAAGACACTAAATCTCCAGCGTCCACCTCCACCTCGCGAGGTACAACTAGTGGTACTTCCGAACGAAGAACTTGCAGCCTAGTCGAGGCGGCTTTCCGGAAACACTGTGGCGCGGAGTTCTGGGAACGATTCATTAGTAAATTGGAGCATCATGATGATGCTGACGACGTCCTTAATACTAGCGGCACCACAGGTGCAGCTGGACGAGGTGCATCGGCGGACGGAAGGAGCAAAAATGTGGCCGCGGCGGGGGAAAAAGAGATGTTGAAACAGCACAAAGACAAAGAAAAGGAAAATAAGCAAAACCCCAACCAAGGCCGCATGAAAAGTAGTAACAACGTCAAGCACGATGAAGAAGCGGCGGGGGTCAGTAATTTTCAGCAGCAGTGTCTCTTGCAGGCAGTCTCCCTGAGTCTGTGGTTGGTCCACGATGCGCAACAGCGGTGCCGCGCGGAAATGCGAAAATTGAGCAAGGCGCTGGCCCAGCAGCAGACGCAGGCGCCCGCCGCCGGGGGTAAAAAAGGAGGACCACCACATTATGGTGCGGCCGCGGGAGTAGTCGGAACCACGATCACAACGAACTCGACCACCGCTTTGCAACTCGGAGCATCGACGACCCTGTTGCCCAGTGTTGTTTCGAAATGGTTTCACGCGAGCCTCGACCTCTTGGGCCTGCTGCTCGTGGAGCATGAGCAGCGCGGGTGGAGGAAGTCAAAGACAACAAGTCTTTCATCTTCGCACAGGACCAGCTCATTGTCTGCGAGTGCAGTGCCGGCGAAAAGTGCGCCGTCCGCAGTGTCCGGTGTGGACGAGGTCGAGTCAGCTATTACTAAAGTTACGTCTTTGATTCACGTTTTGCTCTGCCGACTCACGCATTTTCTGGTGCACTGCGGGGGCAGTCAAATCGAGCCCATGACAACTAGTACGACGTCGAGTGCACAAGAAGTGGCGTCTTCAACGAATATTATGATCTCGTCATCCTCCTCCACCTCCAAGTCCACCAGCGGGCTCCTGCAGCAGGCATATAGTACTAAAGGCATGCGTAAGTTTCTGGCGTGCTGCGACCCGGAGAACACGTTTCGGGTTGGATTTCTCTCGGTCCTGAAAGACGACCAGTACGCTGCCCTGCCACTCCCGCTGCTTCCCCCCGCGACCGCGCGCTTTCTCTCCTACTGGCTCCCCTTTCAGACCGCGCGGTTTTTAGCTCGAGCCGCGGAGGGAACAACATCAAATAAAAATGCAGGAGCGCCTCCTCATCTTCGCTACGACAAGCAGGTGATTGTGGACCTGTATCGGGAAGCGGCGGAGAACGCGAAGCGTCTCCTTGAAGTCGCGGGTCAAGAATACAACTCATTGTACTTCCAGATTCTGTATCCTGTGCAAAAGTATCGTGTTCCTCGTTCTAATCGCAGCCATCCGCAGCTACAAATCTTGATCTTTTTATGCGGCAAATTATCCGCATTCCAAATTTTATTTTTCAATATGCTGAGCAAAATCATTTTTCGATCCAACGCGCCAGTATACGATGCTTTTGCAATGCATATGCTGTACGAGCAGCAGCGATTCGTGCTGGAAAAGAGCTCCGTAACCAACCTGCAGGCACGGTACGCCAGAGTGTATCCCCAAGAATTCTACGCCCCCTTCCTGAACAGCAGTCATTCACTACCCGTACTAGGTGAAGACAACCAGACGACATCCTCGTCGAAAATAAACACGTCGTCGCAAATAGCTGCACAACGAGAACATAAAAAACCTTCCTCTGCCGTGCCCCGCCCTCCGAGTCCTTCTGCGACCTGGTGGAAAGAGGTGTACTGTAGCCGGGCGTGTTTTGCTGTAGTCCGAGACTACTTGCGAACGATGGGAGGAGGCAGTTCATCATCGGGAGCAGCTGGTGGAGGTGCTGGTGCCAGTACTGTAAATCCGCCGACAAAAAATTTTCCCGAGAAAGAGCAGCAGGAGTGTTACGAGTGGTGCCGGAAGGGGTTGCAACACTTCGAGAAGGCAGTTGGTGTTGGTCAACATCTCCGGATGATCGCAGGGGTTGATGATCTTGCACGAGCGCGGCAAGATGTTGAAGTGAGTACTTCCTTCAGAACTACGTCTTTACCACCATGGGCTGCTAGGAATTCTTCTCCTGGCAATTATCGTCGTGGTGGTGTTGGTCGTGGTCCCTACAAGACAGACGTGGACCGTTTTACGGTCCTTTTCGGCTCGTGTTTGGATTTGACAGCGGGGGCCGGACGAGCCGCCGCAGTGCGGTACGATAGTGCGCAAGAGCAGGTCGAGGACGAGGTGAAGCAACAGCAGCAAGAAGAGCCCCAACATCTATCTCTATCTCCGCAGGAGCCGGAGGGCCAGCACGTGGTGGGCCTTCAAATCGAAATGCTGACCACACTCGTCGCCTGTTTGCACCGCGCGGTCGCTGCGCTGCCACAGGTAGCTGGGGGTAGTAGTGCTGGCCATCAACACACGAGTACCGAGCAGCCGCGCAAATCTTTTCCAACAGGAAAGAATTCGTCGAAGTATATGCTTGAGTACGAAGCTCTCCCCGGCGGGAGGCAGTTTGGCCACGACGTGCCGGACACCGAGCTTCAGAGAGTCATGCTCGAGCAGCCCTTCCGCGCGGTTTGCCGGCTGACACAAGCCACGGTATTCGGGCTGCAACAGGTCGTTAACCAAATCCAGGAGCTGTCCCCTTTCTCCTCAACGTCTAACGCTGAGTTAAATGATGAGGACATGATGCTGGCCATGGCCATTTACGCAATTTCCAGCCTCGAAGCGGCAGAGAGGGTTGCGAGCTTTCTGCAAAGCATTGTCGTGCCGCGCATCCACGACCATTTCGTTGGCTCCTTGCACGGAATGTGGTACACGTGCCATACCCTCTACGTGTTACAGTCACAGCTCCGAAAATTCGAGGATCTTTTGAAGGATCCCGCGACAAAACAGATTTTCGCCAGGCTTCGGCGAATGAGTTCCAAAACGGCAGCTACGCACGTTGTAGCATTTGGTGGCAAGAATAAAAACCAGCAGCAGTGGTCTACTACCACCATCGGCGGCCACCAGCTGTACCACGACGACACGGGTGGACCACGAGCAGTAGAGCGAACGGTAAATTCTTTGGAGCTGTTTTCCAGCAAGCGAGCGACGGACGTGTACAAATCTGCGCTTTGTCACTTTCTACTCGGGGAGTTCTGCGATACCAGGCCGAGTAAGGGAAAGAAATTTCGGCTGGACGACATGCAGCGACTATTTCCAGGCCTGGACGAAGTTGCGTGGATGCAGAAGCGGTTGCGATCTATGAAAAAGCCCCTATCTCCCTTCAAGATCTGAAGTCAAGCGATGGAAGTAGACAAACGAGGCGGGAGAAGATCATCATGCGATCACTACTAGCTCCTAATATTTCTTCATTTCTACTACTGCTAGAATCTTCACCTCCTCGAGAAGAACCCTCATGGGTGGATTTGTGGGACGCTGCGTCGACTGCCGCGTCAGGCAGCTGCAATGCAACTCAGGAAGATAATTACTTGCTTTGAAGATACTTGCAGTAAAGGCACATAAACATATAGAATTAAAGTGAGTGATGTTGTTTTTCGCTTGTTTTCTTCCTGGTTCTTCCAGCGCTTGAAGCCCTTCGTCTGTGACGAGCGAAGCCTTCGCTCGTCACAGACAGTACCAGGTTGACTGCAGCGACGTGGGCGTCTGTGCAAGAAACAAAAAAAAAGAGGGTGTTATATTTATATTTCGGGGAAAAGTATTCAGATAGAGGCGAGGACAAAGGTATTGCTTTAGGTGATTTCCTGCTCTCATGGTTCTTCTGCCATGCAGCTGACGGAGCGAAGTGGTGCCACTGGTGCTTACCCAAAGGGATGATCTCAGTCTGCCGCTCCTGGTTAAGTACGTGAGAAGGTGTTCTGTTGGTTCTTCGTCACAGTCGTTGCTGATGTGGAGGATGATGATGATCGAATTTTTCTTTTCCGACATTCGTTAGGCACTTCTCGTTTTCAAAAACGTTGACTAATGTCGAGGATCTATTGCTCTTTCTGCTGCGCTGCAAACACGTGGCGGCTGCTCCTGGTGTGTGAGAGAGTACTTGTTTTTGACTCTTTTGAAAGACAAGCTAGAAAGTCTGGAAGTGGATGATCTTGTTCTACTCTCCGAGATAAATCGGTAAGAAGAGAAGCCTCTTTAGGTTATTCTTTTTACGGCCCCACAGCGCGAGCTCATGTTTATTTTCTGGAGCAGCTGTGTTATTGTTATCTTTGTTCCTGTTGCCTTGCTTCTCGTTCGATCACGTATGCGCCGCAAGGCACGACCACTTCCACTAGTTGCCGTTTTCTTTTTTGATTTACAATCTCAAGTCAAAAGATAATTGAAGATCGCTTTACAAAACGGAGGTGGATTGTGGTGTTAGTTCCTTCCTCTCCATATTAGTAACAACAGGTGCAGGTAGTGGATATGAACGAAGGATGCTTGTTGTATTTGCATTTCGGCAAGAAGATACGTCTATGTATTTTCGTCAAGAAGGAGGTCGTCTACCTTTGCGCGCCGGCTAATTTGTAAATCTCAGGAAGAACAGTCACGAAGCGATGACTCAGATTCTATGCCAGAAGGTGGAGCCCGCCGATGATATTAAAAGGACGACAAGGACGAGGAGAGCAATGATATCTTCAAGCAGAAAGCCTAGGACCAGCACGCCGACCTCGACGACCAGCAACATCTCCCCCCCGTGCACACGATTTCTTCTACCTCGGATGAACAAGTTCTCCCCCTGCACACGACTTCTCTCTCGGAAAAATAAGAACATCAGTCTGGTGACCCTGACTTCTTCCAGGAAGACGAAGATGGACATCGACTACAAGAAGGAGAGGTCGTGGGCGGGAATAAAACGAAATCTAAAAATGATGTTCAAAATCCTAAAAGCTACTTCCACAACTGCATCCTCAAGAAAAACGACAATCCCCGTGATCTTTATCAGGGTTGCGGTTGTTCCTGCTTGGAAGATAATAATTTCTTGTGTTTTAATATTGATATTCGTGGTCTATTCTTGTTGGAGATGTAGGTGGTATTCGTCCTCGACCTCGTGGTGGAGCACCTCGTCGTCAGAGGTTATTCCCGGAAAACTTCTTACCATCCCCATGATCCATCACTTTTTGCATAACAAAAACAGAACTTCACACACCATGCCTTGCATGACAAATTTTTGGATGGGGATGATTACTTTACAGGGAATATAACTGCAAAATTGGTATTCGTATTCGAAAATAGCAAAAAACTTTCCCCCCGCACAGTTCACTAGTGCAGACGCCTCCGCCTGCGGTGCCTGTTCTGCCGCCTCCAGCTTAACGCCCTCGAGCGACGCGCTGTGCCTCTCAGTGTTTGAGGAAGCCGCCGCGGGGTGGCGATCGATAGCGCAAGCACTAGCCCGAGCTCGTGGCGGCGCTGGATAGCCGAAAATGGTGCGCGCGCGCCTGAAGGCTTTTTGTCGGCTGGCAGGTGCCTCGTGGCTTGTCTGTGTCAACTGCTTTCGGCGTAGCTGCACCGCCGGCACATGGGTCGCGCACCTCTCGAAAATTTAGTGCCGACGAACCCAGCGCGTCCTGTGGGGCATTACCTGGCTCCCAGATTCCCGGGCCACCCTACCTGCACCACCCCCATCAGCTGCGCCGCGGAGAAGAGCTGGCGCAGACAGGCGCTGAGGCCTTCGCCTACGAAAGTGCCTCTTTGCATTTTTGGCGCGGAAGCAATATCTGTGGCCGCGGCCAAGCGTTCACAGGAAACGGAGACCTCGGACGGATTTTCTTCCGCGCAACTTTGGTATTCAGCTGCCCAAGATTGCCCCCAAGAGAGGGGGGTCAAATGTCGCTGAATACCAAAGTCGGAATTTCCCGTGAATACCAATTTCACACCGTGTTTGACTTTGGTATTCAAAAAAAGCCGGCGTTTTTTGCTCGGCATCCGGAAGGGCAAAAATCCTTTCCCCGAGTCATCAAATTTGCCGGTCCGCGAGACCGGCTGCTGCAAATGCTCCGCTTCCTCTGAACGCTTGGCGGCGGCCACAGATGTTGCTTCCTGGCCAAGAATCCAAAGAGGCACTTTCGTAGGCGGAGGCCGCAGCGCATTTCTAGGCCACTTCGCCTCCACGGCGCAGCTGAGTGGTGGGCGTGGTGCCCGTAGGGCGCCCCGAGAATCTAGGGGCCAGGTAATGCCCCATATGGTGCGTTGGATTCGTCGGCACTAAATTTTCCGCAGGTGCAGGACCCATCTGCCGGCGGTGTAGCCACGCCGAGAGCAGCTGACACGGACAAGCCGCGAGACAGCTGCAGCCCGTCAAAAACCCCCAAGCCAGGCGCGACCCGTTTTCGGCTCTCCAGCGCCGCCACAAGATCGGGCCAGTCATTGCGCTATCGGTCACCACCCCTTGGCGGCTTCCTCAAACACCGAGAGGCGGAGCGCGGCCGTCGAGGGCTTTAAACCGGAGGCGGAAGAACAGGCACCGCAGGCGGGGGCGTCTGCACTAGTGAGCTGGGCGGGGGGAAAAATTTTTGCGATTTTTGAATACGAATACCAATTTTGCCGTTATAGGGAATAAAGTATCTGCACGGACAAGAACTAGGGCAGCAACAACTTCTCGGAGGTTGGTGTAGTGCTGACTTCCCACGACGTGCCGTCGTCTTGGTCGCTGCTAAAAAAGCAGAAGATGACGGGGTTTCGGTGGATGAAGACCAAGAACTAGGCCTAGAACTACACAAAGTCGCTTTTGCTTCAAATTTGAAAGACGATCAAGGCCACGCGGACCCCGTCGTCGGCGCAGCACACGACACTAGTGCTGCAACTACCCCCACGACCACGAGAAAAACAAAAGTTGAAGATGTAGTTGTTGTGCTAGAGCCACAATCTACTTCGAGCGGCTCGAAGGGTCGCGACGTCGACCCTTCTCATGCTGCCGCGCAAGTCTTCTCTAGTAGTAGTAGTAGTAGTAGTAGTAGTACAGCACCACAGACAGGAATATTATCCGGCGCAGCACCGCCACCACCAGCCGCATCATCTTCCACCAGCCCGATCATGCAGGTTTCACCACGTCCAGCATCGGACGCAGGTTTAGAAGAAGTCCTGCCGCGAGGACGAGCCACAAGCTTGCGCTCCTTGGAGACAAGGATGGCATGCTGCAATCCGCCGCGGGCGCCCGAAGTGGACGGAGATAACACGTGCTGCAATCTTAGCCATAAAGGAAGGAGACCGAGACCCATCGACCTCATACAATTTGTGATGCAAAGCATGCATAGAAAGAGTAGAGTCCCGTGTAGTTTGATGTGGTCAACATCATGCAGAAAATGGATATGGATGGGCCTCTTTTTGTGGATAAGTGTGGCGAATGATCTGATGCAACCGTTCACGGAGACAGACGACCCCAAAACGGCAAAGCTTTCCGCTTTGGAGACCGCTTTGCTGCGACCCCTGAACGCTACGGTCAAGACGTGGAACCTAGCGGCCGTGCTCGAGTCGGCCTTTTACAACAAGACGAATGTAGTTGATCAGCATGTTGGCGTTGGGTGGACGAATGATAGTCCCATGGCGCGGGGGATCTCTAGTACAACTTCCTACTCGACGTCCAGTGCTGGTGCTGCTCTGGCTGCTGATTCCGGCAACTTTTCCGCGATGGTAGAGCAGCTGGAGCGGAACAAGCTTCGGTGGCGGGCGCGGTTTCGCGACGGGGAGGCACGCTACGTCTCGCGCTTGACGATTTACGCCCAGAAGGGCGCTGAAGCGGACATGCGAGGCACGCGGATCCTGATCCGCACTGCGGACGAGCCGGAAAGGTTGGCCGACATCGGCCTCACACACGTCCCCGTGTACGAAGGCCAGTCGTTCCGCGTGGAACGGCGGGTTCTGGAGGTTGTGCTGGAGGGTGGATTTGAAGACGACGACGCCGGCTACACCTTGGCATATCGGCAGCGCCAGTTCGAGGAAGACCCCGACTACCAGGCCGCCTTCCTGCAGCGGTTGTCGCGGCCGCGGCCGGCCTTGCGCGTTGGGGGCATACACGTGTGGCTGGGGAACGAAGCCACCGCGCGCCGGCTCACGACACAGACGCTGAGTGAAACCGCCGCGGCCATCGTGAACGACCAAAATCCCACACCTGTGCACAGGTTGCTCATTCGCTCTGGGAAGCCACTGACGAATTGGGACGGGTTGAAAAAGTACGAGTTTGGGTATTGCGGGGACCGGCACCCCGAAAGCGGAACGGTTTGGGCTGACAAGCAAGGAGTAGCAGACGAGCCGTATGACGGCACGGTGGAAGGTTGCGCGAAAGAGGCGGACGCAGCTGATGCTGTCATGTTTGAGGTTTGGGACCTGCAGAGGAACCCCTACACAGCCGCCAAAAACTTTCAACACAAGCCGTGTTGTACCATTTTCTACAACGCACAACGTCTTGTGCCGAAGACCGACCCAAGCGAATTTACAGGCGATGCAACTGCCGATTGGTGGCGAGGGTTTGAAGGCACCTACTTTAATTTCGGGATGTCGCATGGGGCGTTTGAAATCAAGGCGGTTCCGCCGGAAAATTGGTACGCGTCGCGGGGTGCATTTGGCATTTACGGTGCCTGCTCTGGCCGAGACCAAAACACTGGCGATTTTTCACATGGTAATACTGGAAACGAAAGTCGGTACATGCAGAACGCATACGGAAGCAAGGTCGACAAGTGCGCTGCGGAGTGTTTTAAACAAGGCTGCAACTTTTTTACCCTCGGAAATAATGGCCAGCTCTCGAACAACTGGGATTGCTGTACTATGTTCCGTGACGTCGTCGACGTAGGTCCAGACGACAGCCAACAAATGTCCGGATCGAATTATATGGCGATCCGTCTCGGGGCGTTCCAAATGCTCGGAGAAGCGTTCTCCCAACCCTCATATTTGGACTCACTGCCCACTGGCCTGTACATGTTGGAAGAGAATGTCGGCGACAGCTTGGGGACCCCTCATCCGGCCGTAGGTCTGACGGCCTCGCAGTACAACCTTAAATCGAACCCGGATCCCTCCTGGGATGCCTCCGTGCACACCTGGGACGGAAAGGTCGCGGCCGATAACCCTTTACGGCGTACGTACTCATCCACCAACACTTGCACCAAAGTTGATGGACATGCGAAACCCTGGTGCACCTGGGGCGAGCAGTGGGCGCCCATGGAGGCCGGGGGTATCCTTCGCCCGACGTACGAGCTAACTTGGTGGCAGGTCCGGTTTACGGACGACCGGCCCCGGTTACTAGCCGGGTTTGCGTGGTTTCGTGCGGAAACGAACTACGGGCCCTACCAAGATGATAACGACGGCATGAACCAAGCCAAAGTGTATCTGGACGGCAAGTTTTCCGGCGTGACCATCCAAACGGTGGACGATGCGGCGAAGCGGGGCCAGTGGGTGCCTCTTTTGCAACCCACCTTCGCAACCGAGCTGCGAATCGTAGCCGGCAACATCGCCTCATACACGACGGGCGCGCTGCGGCTATGCGGGTTCCACTTGTATCTCCGGGTGCCGCAGTACGCTATGCCGATTCGCAACCCCTTCACGGGCGCCCTTGACCCGGGGTATGGGCTCACCGCCACCGGGGAAGCTTCGCTCTCGTTCGGCGGAGACGTGCGGCAGATCTTCAACCGACCCTACACGGACTTTTCCGTCGACTCGGGGGGCAGTAATAACATGGTGACGAACCCAGAGCGACCCTATGTGTGGCATGCTAAAGAAACGAGCACGGCCTTGGAGGTGGAATTCGCCGACGGTGCGGCGCGCCCCATCGCCGGGGTCATGCTATTTGGTCGAGCGTCGCCATATGGCTCGCTGGACCAGTTCAACATCTACGTGGACGACGTGGAGCTCATACAAATCACGAGCGAACCCCGTACGGACGGGGAGTTCTACCTATTGAACAAGGTCGGAACCAAACTGAAAATTGGACCACGCGGCAGTACCGGGGAAGCCGTTCTTTTCGGATTTCATCTCTATCTCATGATCCCAATCACCGGTGTTCCTCTCCCGTTTCCGCCCGACCAAGACAGAACGCCATCTTCTTGGACCACGTTGGTGGAGAATTACCAGGGAATGAGGGCGAATTATACGAAAGGCGCCGAGCCACCCAATAACCGCAAATACGAAGCGCAGCTGCTCCGTAAATACTCGGATTTACGTAGACGGCGGGTCTCCGCGGATATTGCCTACATGGACGGCCTCAAATATTGCTCGGACGGCCCGCACTCGTTTTCAGACGCAGCCCTCTGGCTATATTGGAACGACGGTGGAAAGCGCATGGTGGAAGGTTTCACACTGTTTGGACGATCAAATCACTTCCCGGGTGACGGACTGAAGGTGAAGGTAGACGAAGTGGTGCTCCTAGATTATTACTCGAAGACGCATGCCAACTACGACGCACTCAGCAATGCGGGCAGCGAGGGGAAGTGGGTTTCCAGCGGACCCGGAGGTAGCATCTGGGTGCAGGTTGGGCGGTGGGTGAATTCCATTAAGATCAGCCACCTGCCTGGGAAAACAGCTGACCATCCCCCGGACTTCTGCGGCGTGCATATTTACCTGCGAAACGTCGGATACGCGAGGTACCCCGCAATTGGGAGCGTAACGCAGTTCGAGGTCCGGGCAAACTTTCCGTTTGAAATGATTTCCCTGAAATATTGGGCACTGCATGTCGCGGAAGAGGACCAGAAGGCATTCACGGACAGCGAGGAGTTTCTGCGACACAACGACGCCTTCAAGAACCTGGTGGCGATCCACGACGCTGACTTTTTTGCGGAACTGGCCGAGCGCCCCGACGACGCGGCGGCCCGGGCAGAGTTCGCGAAGAAGAGCGCGGCTATGCAACTCGGCTACCTACCAGAGTGCGTCTTTCTGCAGTTCCCGCGAAACAAGGGGACGGGGGACCAGAACACGGTGGTTGCTGAAATCGACATCCACAACGTTTTCCTGGAAATTTTTGTCTTCCACCAGCAAGCCTTCCAGAATGCGTGGGACACGCAAGAGGAGTGGATGCCTTCCCTCCGCAATATCGGGGGCACCCACAGCGGGGCGCATCCGACTTGGGAAGAGCAGAGTAACGACGACGGAAGGATCTATGGCAGCGGCTTCGAGCGTGTGGGGTTTCCGAATACGCAGGTGAAGATCCACAAGCAGAGCGACGGATCCGACACAGACTCCGGGACGCAGCTGATCTTCATTTGTGAGTGCGCTCAGAAAACCCTGGTCCCCCCGAGTCCCGGCAAAAAGATGCCAAGTAACGCGGTACTGCCCCCAAAGGTTGTCCGGAATAGAGGACCACGGACTCCGACGAGCTTCTCGCTCTATTCATTCATGTACAATAATTTTCTTTTCGAGCGCTTAGTCCAGCAGGTGGAACGCACGCAAAATCACAGAACAGTGCTCAACCCGGCGACGCGGACGATCCCCATTCGGTGGTTGGAAGAGCGGGGGCAAGGGCTTCCCGCAGACCAGAGCGCGTGGCGTGTCACGCCGACCAGCACCCGGAAGGTGAACAGCGTTGGGGGCCCGTATGAAAACCACGATCTGTGCGTCTATGTCGCGCGGGACGAGTTTGACTACAAATCCATTATGTCCCTGGGGACGGCCGTGAAGATCTGGAGCCATCCCGGTTCGCCGAATTTCCTCACAGAGACTCGCATTTACCTGCACATGTGCTCGGAAGCGGAAGACGCCGGATTCTACGCGGACCCGGCGAATTTTGGCCCGGGGACTCTCGCCGCGGAAGCAAACGTGGCAGCGTTTCGAAATCATCAGGGACTAGTCCGGGACTGCGGTGGCGGGACGGACCCAGCGCAGCCCGGCGGGGTGACCACGGTCTACTCCTACAAGCACAGCATCGCCGGGAGCGGGCGGCAAAGTGCGGACTTTCCTGGCTCCAGGACGGAAAGCGGCAACACTCTGATAAGAATGCCCTACCCCATCGTAGTTTGTCCTACCACGGCGGGGATCTACTTCTTTCGCCGCGAAAAATTGTACCTGGTCGTGTACGATCCGGAAGCACCGGCGGCATTGGGTCTCTCCCGGGCAACGCCGCACCTATACCAGAGCGCGAAGCGTGGCATCCTGGACGACTGGCAGCGGGACTGGTCCTATGCAGGAGCAAGAAAATGCCATCACAATCGCAATTATGATAGATAAGTAGATCTTTTTGCATTCGCAAAAAAAAAAAAACTTGTGCAAAGGCAACTGTGATTGTGATGATGTTTTTGTCATCTTGGATAGCTCCTCGCAACTGACGGGGACGCTGTACGGTGTTCTTAAGCGTTACATTGATCGTTATTACATGATTTGTGATCATGCAGAAGTAGAAGTACTATCGTCCTCCATACGTTCAAGGTGGTGCTTTGCATGACATATCGTGGTCCGAAGCAGCTACTTGCGGCGACGGTGCAAAGGTTTTTGATGTGGTGCAGTCGGGTATGCATGACATATCGTGGTGCTCGACGCGCAAAATTGCACTGAAATCCGTGCCAAGTCGTCTGTAATGCAAGACGCACATGATCAAGCCCCCCCGTTGCCTTTCACTTTATTTCCTATTTTCGCAGCATCACAAAGTCATGTAACGACTATCAATGTAACGCTTGAGACCTCGACGCGCTGGCCTCGCTGCGCATCGTGGTTCGCTGGGGCACGGACCGCACGATTGGCATTCGGTCGCGGATGCAGCAGATGCCGTTGACCGCGGCGAACCGGGTCACCATGGCCACGAAATTGCGCGTGGAGCTTCTGCGGCCGAAGGACAGCGCGGATCCCGTGCCAGCACGGGTCGCCTCGTTGACGGTCACGCTGGCGGCGGCCCGCGCGCCCGTGTCGAAGTGCGTGGGGTGCGGGAACCAGATCGGTAGTTGCCTGAACGTATGCGACCCACACAAGGGGACGAGTGCCGGGTTCTGTGCCGCCTGCGACTCGATCACGGGCGAGCGCGGCGTCTGCTGCGACCCAACCAGCACGACGGATCCGGCGGAGTGCCAACCGCTGAAAGTCCACCGCCCGGACCTGTTTCCGAATCCGGCTGGCGCGTATCACCAATGCGCGGTGAGCCCCTCGTTTGTCTGGGAATGGGTGTACTACAAAGACTCCAATGCAGATGCAGATCTGTCGCAATCGCGAACGCACACCCATTGCGTTTTGAAAACCAACCCCACTTCGGATTTCGACGGGGGACCGGCATCAGCAAGCGATCCAGGTCCAATGACAATATCGACGATCAAGGACCACAACTACATGCTCGAGAAGTGCGCTAACGATGTGCGGTGTCATGCCATGGTTGGTTTCCTATGCCTGGTGGGGGGGAGCAACCTCAAGCAGAACTACTTGAACAGCAAAAGTCACCGAACAGAGGTGACGCAGCGCACCACGCTGGCACTTCGCGCGCAGTATGGAGGAGTGGGCACGCGCGGCGAGCGGTGTATCAGCGGCGGACATAGCTGCATTGGCAGCGACGACGGGTTGTCTTTGCGGCTGTGTGACATCGCGGGCTTCGCGGAGGTATCCAATGCAAAAGTATCGTACTGGTATAAATTTAAGTCGCATGACATCAAGAAGAAAATTGGATTAACTTGTCATGCAGATTATGGTATAAATAAAACTAAAGAACTCCATCGGTCATGCAGCAAGACTGGCACTTTGTAATATTCATACGAGCGCGATATAATTTTCTACAGTGGATAGGAGGTGGAAGCCCGGGGCGGCTTTGGCTCGTGGGATGGGAGTATGTCGTGCGGATGGAAAAAACGGTACGTGGAGCCTTGGGAAGTGGAGAAGCTGCAGCAGGTCGAGCGCGAGAGCTTCGCGGTGCCGGACAACGACATGCAGGTGGACCCACTTTTGCTGACGGCCACGGCTGTTGGTGAGGAATCGTGTAGCGACGCCGCCGCTTGCAATCCCATGAACCCGCTGCACTACCGAGAAGGCGGGGACCTGCAATACCGCAACATGTGTTCGCTGTCCACTGGCACAACCTCTCCAGCTGCCCATCTCGCACTGGCGGCGGACAAGGTGACGGTCTCGAGCGAGTTCAACGAGCACACCGCCGCGCCACTGCTCGTTGACGGAAACGTGGCCGGTGGTATGTTCACAACTGCCGACGACTCGTATGGCGCACCAGCCCAGAAGTGCCCCTGGATACAAATAGAGTTACCAGACGACACTCCGGTGAGCCATGTGGAGCTGAGCACGCGGCACGATGGAGGTGACCTATTTCGGCTTCGCCGATTGTTTTTCATTTATGATGATCATTCCCACACGTGGGACGCTGGGAACTCGGGCCGGCCGGAGGGAAACCTCGCCAGGGAGCAGAACGCCGGCCTTCGGGTTCTGCTCACCAACACCGCACGCGACAGGACCGCCACTTCCCGCTGGCATACCCCAACCGGCACAACCCGGCAGTGGTGGCAGGGGACCGCGCCTGGGGACCCTTGTCCGGACCCTGATCCTGTCGAAGTTTGCGAGCACATCATCTGCAAAGAAGGCGAAGGAGCTACCTGCAAAGACCGGTTCGTGGTGTCCGGGGAGGTGGCCACCGCTAAAGTGACCTGCGGGGACAAGAAGGGCAAGTACCTAACCATCGAGCTGCCCGGCATCACGGCCTCCATGACGTCGCCTGATCCATTGAAGCGCATGCTAAACCTGAACGAAGTTCAGGTGTTTGCCGCCACCAGCCTGCCAAGGGGGACATGGCGCGTGCAGTTTCGGGACAACCAGCCCCGCTACGTCACCCGCTTCCGCATTTTTCCGCGTCTTTATCCTGATGGAAAAATAAACTTTCGAGACCAAAACAGAATCAAAGGTGCAAAGATTTACTTTGACGATGAGACCACCAGTTTGCAGAGCTTGCCGGTACCCTTTCCCGAAACTCTTCATTACGATGCGTCTGTCCACCGTGTCCTCAAGTCAATTACGATCGAGGCGCTGCACGACCATCAGCTCAGCATCTGTGGATTCCACCTCTTCGTGCCGGCGGCCCAGCCCCGTGCGCCAACCGCGGTACCGCCGGAAGTGATATCCACTGCAAATATGTCTGGGTCTGGAAACTTGTGTTGCTGATATCTGCATCAACATTCATCAAAGACTCAGGCCCCGACATATCTGCAATGCATGAGTGAGCACCCGTCTCCTGCGAGAGGAGCACCCGCTGCTCCAGCAAGCGCAGGAAGGCGACCGACTCAGGTTTCGCTTTCTCGGGGAGTTTGGGAAAACCAAGTCCGCAAACTACAAACATCATTTGCTGCGGTTTCACGTGACCCCTGCGTATCAGACGTCCGAACGTCTGCGCAGTAGAGAACTGCTGGCGAACCAGGAAGAGGAAGATAGAAGCGAGGTCGAAAATGACGAGAACGCGACGAGAGGCGACCAGCTAGAGCGTGGCCTTGCTGATTTGTAGACAACTCTGGCGGGAGCTGAGTGGAGAAAACCAACGTCTTCTGCATGCTCTTGCAGTTGACAATGCAAGACATGCTTTTGCAATTGAAAGCGCAAGAATTACTTTAGTAGCAGGCACATGGGAAGCACATGCTCACTCAAGAGGAGCGCCATATACTTAATTCAATACTCTATAAATCATACTAGTATTATCAAGTTAATCCATGGCCAGGCATAAAATGAGCCGAATCGAGCAACGCAAAACCGGAAACCGAGAATCGAGAAACCGAGAGTCCCGGTTTCTCTTTTCCCGATTTCTCTTTTTTCTGTTTCTCCTTTTTCGGTTTCTCTTTTTTCTGTTTCTTCTTTTTCGGTTTCTCTTTTCCCGATTTCTCTTTTCCCGGTTTCTCTTTTTCCGGTCTCTTTTCTCGGTTTCTCTTTTCCGGGTTCTCTTTTCCCGGTTTCTCTTTTTCCGGTTTCTCTTTTCCCGGTTTCTCTTTTCCCGGTCTCTCTTTTCCCGGTTTCTCTTTTCTCGGTTTCTCTTTTTCCGGTTTCTCTTTTCGCGGTTTCTCCTTTAGCGGTTTCTCTTTTCCCGGTTTCTCTTTTCTGGGTTTCCCGGCTCTCCTTTTTCCGGCTTCTCTTTTTTCGGACGGTTTCTGCTTTTCCCGGCTTCTCTTTTCCCGGTTTGTTCTTTTCGTGGTTTCTGTTTTCCCGGCTTCTTCTTTTCCCGGCTTGCTTCTCTTTTCCCGGTGTCTTCTTTTCCCGGCTCCTCTTTTCCCGGCTTCTGTTTTCCCGGCTTCTCTTTGAGCCGATCGAAAGGCCGAGAAGCCGAAAAAAAGGCAAGAAGCCGGAAAAAGGCCGGGCAGCCGAAAAAAGGCCGGGAAGCCGAAAAAAGGCCGAGAAGCCGAAAAAAGGCTGAGAAGCCGAAAAAAGGCCAAGGGGCCGAAAACAAAAAAGGCCGAGAAGCCGAAAAAAGGCCGAGAAGCCGAAAGGCCGAGAAGCCGAAAGGCCGAAAGGCCGAGAAGCCGAAAGGCCGAGAAGCCGAAAGGCCGAGAAGCCGAAAGGCCTGCCGAGAAGCCGAAAGGCCGAGAAGCCGAAAGGCCTGCCGAGAAGCCGAAAGGCCGGCCGAGAAGCCGAAAGGCCGGCCGAGAAGCCGAGAGGCCGGCCGAGAAGCCGAGAGGCCGGCCGACAAGCCGAAAGGCCGAGAAGCCGATCCGAAAGGCCGGCCCGCCGAGAAGCCGAAAGGCCGGCCCGCCGAGAAGCCGAAAGGCCGAGAAGCCGAAAGGCCGAGAAGCCGAAAGGCCGAGAAGCCGAAAGGCCGGCCGAGAAGCCGAAAGGCCCGCCGGCCGAGAAGCCGACCGGCCGGCCGAGGCACCGAAAGCAAGGGATAACGGGGTCCGGGAGAAGGGCAACCGAGAAACGCGAGACCAATGCGGGAAAACCCGGCCGGGAAAAGGGGGGGCGGGAAATGAAACCCAAGCAAGCAAGCAAGCAAGCAAGCAAGAGAACGAAAAGCCGGCCGCACGGCGGGCTCCGCGGGCCGGCCTTCCGGCTCCGCGGCCTTTCGGTCCCGCGGCCTTTCGGTTCCGCGTCCTTTCGGCTTCTCGGTGGTTCGGGTTCCCGGCCTTTCGGCTTTTCGGCCTTGCGCTTTCGCCGGTGCGGCCTTTAGCTTTCAGGCCTTTCGCCCCCGGCCTTTCTCCTTCGAAGGCCTTGCCCAAAAGGCCGGCCGGCGGAGCAGAAGAAGCCGGGAAGGCCGGCAAGGCCAAGAAACGCTGCGGCGCGTAAGCCTTTTCGGCATTCCGGTTTCGGGGCCCGTTTCTTCTCGCCTGCGTTTCACATTTTGGCCGTAGCTTGCTCGAGTGGCCTCCTTCTGCGCCCGGCTTCTGGCCTTTCCTTTGTTCCAGAGCCCGCGGCCGGGGGCCGGGTGCTCGGCTCAGGCGGCCCGCCCCGGGCAAAATCGGGGTGGTAAAGTTCCGATAAAAAGCCATTAATTTAAAGGCTGGGAACCTTATGCGCCAGCGGCCTAGTTTCCTTGTTTGGGGTGGCGCGTGTCCGAGGCCGTTCCCTGCAGTTCGCGAAAAGGCGAAGGGTTCGCCTCTCTCTGGCCCGGTCGTCTTTGGGTTTTCCGTGTGTCCCCCGCTCGGGTTTTCCGTCGCCAAGGCCCCAGGCAGAGGCGCCCCTGGATAGTTTCGGCCCCGCGACCCTTCGGCCCGGTGTTGTGTTCTTTGTTAGGCGGCAGGGGGATGGTCCTTGGGGAGCATTGGGTTGGGGGCCGTTCGTGTTGTGTCCCTACGCGCGCCCCGCTGGTTATTATTGGCGAAAGATGGGGGGGCGTGGCGTGTATGGTGGGTGGCGGCCTTTGTCGGATGACTCGCCCTCGGGTCCTTTTGTATTTTGCCGTCAATCGTCTGGCGTCCCTTTGGGTCGGGGTGTTGTCCGGGTAATTCTCCGGTAAATTCCGGAGATAAGCCGAGGCGGGACGCCGTTAAATATGCCGTTAGTTTTCCCGTTAAGTTTTTCCGTTAATTTCCATCTGAGGCGATTCGTAAGGGAAATCGAGCCCCCGGAAATTAACGGAAAAATTTAACAGAAAAATTAACAGTAGAATTAACGGAATCCGGCCGCGGAATTATCGTGGTCGTGCCTCTTCGAGGTTGGCCACGCCTTGCGCCCGGAACGAAGAGGCGCCTCCCGGCGCGGTGGAGGAGGTCCTTTGGCCCCGCAGGGTTTCGCGTGGTTTCCGGCGCACCATACCGCCGGGCCCCTTGTGGTTGGCCCCGGGGTTTGTCTCCCGTTTCGGTGTGGGATGTCCGGGGCGCCCATTTGTCGCATGCCCATCCTTTGGGGGTGCCCCCTGTTTTTTTCTTGGCCCCAAGAGGGGGGGCCCCGGGGCGCTAGCCCGCGACGTGGCCCCGTGTGCATTCGCCACTTGCCGGGGGATCCGGCCGCGCCGGGGTGTTTTCCCAACGTGGAGCCCCCGCGCGACATCCCCTGGGGGAGTTCTTTGCCCTCTTTGGTGGTCTGCGCCCTGCGTCGCCGTGTGTCCTCCTGCTCCCACCCTGAAGACAAAAGCGGGGCGAGGCGCATCCGGCCACCTGGAACATTAACAGTAAATTGCAGGGGAATTAACGCCGGGAGCTTGCCCGGGGCGGTCCGCCTGACTCGGCCGCACTCACCAACCTTGGCGCCTCGGCCTCCGTCGCCGTAGCCTGGCGCTTTAAGGTCCAGAGCTGTGGCTCCTAGGACGCAAGCCCCTCCCTCTTCCCCGGTTTCCTGCTTCTCGTTGCTCGAGACACTGTGGCGACAAAACCTGCCGACTTGTAATACATTACACCGGTCCTGAAACGGAAAAACACACCACTGACCACGAACCTCGTTGAGCTCTGTGGCAAGCACTTAGGACGTAGGCCCAGCGGCCATTGACTGAGTACTTGCTCGATTTCTTTGGCAATTGCCAGGACGAGCACGACAGATCACGCAGACGGCGCCGCATTTTTAAAAAAGCCTCTTGAAAAAGCGATCGCGAGAACCACTGCTCTGATGAATGTTGATCATGAAGCAGCAGAATACAACACCAGAAAAGAACTACACGACTTCGCTTTCCGATGTCATTTGCACTTCTACTTTCACCTCCGTCGTATTGATATTGAACAGATGGAGCTAGTGCATTTATTTTGCCAATGATAGAAGATGAACAAAGAACAGATTAAGCTAGTGCAGTTGCTTTTTCTCATGTGATAAAAATTATGCCTATGCGGGAGCGGGATGAACAACCGCCCTGTAAAAAAGCTCCATGTGTTACTCTTGGAGGTGCAGAAGTATTTTTTAAATCTAGTTTTATCCTGAGCCTTAGTCTCATTCTTTTGCTTTTCACTAGTCTGCTTTTCTCAAAAAGGCAAAGCAAAAGCTCATTTTGTATTTGCCGAGGGCACGGCTTACTTTTTTCAAAGTGTCGGCGATATTTTTGCACTTTTTTTTGTAGCTGTTTCGTGCGGTTTTATTTTATTTTTTTTTGAAAAATTGCAGAAACAACAGAGCAGGCCGGAAAGGTAAACCGAAGAAGGACCTCTATTAACCAATAAAGACCGAAGAACTGTCGGCTAAAATAAATGGCATCGACAAAGCGCAGGTAGATGAGAATAACTACCTGCACAAACAACTAGTAGAGCAACAGCGAGAGCTGTGATATTGATATAATTCTCTCATCCGGCTACTTTGGGCAAAAGGGAGAGACCACGGGAGGGGGCGATATTATGATCATCGTCTGGTGTTGTAGCGAAGACAATGACACCAAGTTTTTAATACATAGTACAAGCACGACATCATGCAAATAAACGAAAATAATTTGTTCATACAATATTGAAACAAACCCAAATGATACACTTGATTGTTACGACCCCTGGTGCATCGTCCTCGAGGTAGTTCTCGAGGTTGCCAGTGTAATTGTCGTGGAGTGATATCACAGTCGTGGACTGGCTCTGCTCGTCGGAAGCACATGATCGGACGAAAAGAATGCGATGCAGCCTGATAGAATAGATAGAGATTATCATTCATATTCCTCGTAAAGACAATGACAACCACAACACATTAGAAGCGGCAGAGGTGGGTTATGAGGTGGCCGCCGCGTAGTCGTTGTAGTTGTAATAGCAAAGGTCGTTGAGTTCAGGAGCGTCGTGGAGATGAGAGATTGATTGAGACCACCCGTGTTTCCGCTCCTCGTCCGATGTATTTCTGTTCAGGTTAAAGTACTAGAGGTTTTTACTTATAGCTAGTAACTAGCTCCAACGGCCCAGCTTGTTCAACATAGTGGGCTTGTGTATGCATTTGCATTGCGGTTCTATTCAAAAACCCTTCCAGCAAGTTGGTAGACCACGCTGGTCGGGATAAACTTAAACGATCCAGCAGCACAATAAAAGGGACGCAAGTAGAAGTAGCACGCTCGCAGGAATTCGACGAAGTGCTAAGTTGTCTTCAAAAATCAGAGCGGCAAAAAACTATGGCTTCCCAGCACGGCACGGTGGCTGGCCGCAAGGTCATTCTGGTCGGGTATGGGAGACTCAAACGTTACTTTGTTTGATGTATACTTGATTTGTCATGCAAAATTACCATCATCTTCATCCGCCTCCGCCTCGCTTCATATGATCCATGATTAAGCTACTTACTTCTTTCCAATTTTGTAATGCAAGAGGACTGGCAAGGTCACCCTTTCATCTATTACTATTTTGGTATTTTTGCGTCGCGAATTCGTGCAACCGCTAGCAGTGTGGCGTCGTTTGGGGACTCCATATCGGCGACGCAGCTGTTGGAAAGACGTCGCTCGGCAAAGGTTTATTGCTGGCTGCCTCACGACGGAGTGGAGAAAAAGCGATCTCCGAAAAAAGTGGAAGAACTAGAAGTAGAACAGGCGTAGGGCCACTTCTAGAAGAAGCAAGTGGAAGCGCTGCAGCATTTTCTTCATCGTCACCTCCTAGTGATAGTGCGGTGCTGCATATGAGAGTGCACAACTCGTCCCCCTCCCCGTCATTTGTCATGCAAAATGCCTAGTCCACCCTTTGCCCTTTGGAACTGCTTGCGTGACAGGTTTCCGAAGGAGCCGAAACAGCACTAGAATTGGTCGTGAAAGTGAATGCGTCATGCAAAAGCTGCATCTGTGCAGCCAGCACTTGTGTTGATGCCATCCAAATGTGGGACGGGAGAGGCAATTGTTCACCCTCATACTACAGGCTGCACGTGTCGAGGGCAGGGCCGGGCAAGACCAAGAAACTCCTCTGGGTGATCAAGAAAAGCGTCAGGATCACGAAAATCTTGCAGCAGGAGCTTTCACTTCGCAATACCATCCCACGGAATACCAGACGAAAACGCTGGTGTCTTCAACAACAACATCCTCCCCCACTGCTGCAGGATTGTTCGGTGAAGTAGATGAAAAAACTTCTTTTCTCCTGTGCGATTGCGGTTTCGGAGGTGACCATGTGCACCGTGCGCTTGCCGGCTACTTTCGCGATGCGCGGTTGGCACTGTTAGTGTACGACGTGACGAGCTTTGAGGACACATTCGACGGTGTGAAACATTGGCACCGGCAGATTTTGGGAAACCCGCGGGAGTGCCCCGACTGCGTCATGCTTGTGGTCGGTTGTAAAGCAGACGGAGTGGAGGTCGACGACCTCCAGGACGATAAAAATAAAGTTAAAGATCTGCTGCAGCACGGAAATAATAAGACGAATGCAGCTGTTAAAGAACAACATTACCAGATGCGGAACAACAATAACTTTTGTCTGCATGAGCAGTTGGGCCCGGTGCCTGGAGAGCTTTCCTCTGAACAAGTCGCGGAAGTTACCCCACAGAAAAAAGCAGGCAGGGGATATCGATATTAATTTGTAATGCCGCGAAAAATGAATGTATGGGCGGCCCCGTAGCATGCTGTCTAGGATACGCGATGCAGTTTTTTTTTGTGTCTCTATTTTTGCATTTTTACAAATTCGACCTGCGTGCTTTTTTCTGTGTGATACAAGTGGCGGACTTCTGCGACGAAATGCGGTTGTTGCACTTTTTCACGTCCGCGAAAACGGGGCTTAACCTTTCGGCGCTGTTGACCCAAATTTCCTCCCTGGTCGCGCTCACTGCGAGTAGTCCAGAAGCAGGGACGATGACTTCGAGTGGTCCTAGCACTTGCTTGTTGCCGAACAGTGCGAGTGCCCCCGGCGTCGGGGGCACCGGTATGACGAGAAAAGTGAACATTCTCAGCACAGGAGGTGTTCCCAGCAGTAGAAACAATTATGTCTCAACTACTTCTTCCTCATCCTCTACTTCGGCAGAACAAGCGAGGAGGAAAGAGCCAGACTTCTTAACGCAGATGAGCAGGAAGCTGCTTTTCACCGCTCCAGTTCCGAAAATCCTGGTTGTCGGGGGTTTTTCCGTAGGGAAAACCACGCTTATCCAGCGGTGGCAAGAAACGGCCGGCGCGGCGGTGCCGTGTTACTTTCAGGAGTACCTGACGCTGCCCAGGATTCTGCCGCTGCACAAGGCCACGCCCGTCATCTTCGTCTACGACGTGACAAAGCTGGAATCGGTGCAGTACCTGCAGCAACAACGCGGCGCGATCTTGACCACGCTCGAGAAAAACGCCGGCCCAATCCTGGTCCTCGGATTGAAGTATGACTTGGTAGAAGAACAAGCTCCTGCTGTTGCGAACCACGACAAAAAAGGACCAAGAAGACGCTCACCCTCGGACGAGGAGCAGAACGACGGAGAGAGAGCGGTAGAAGCTGGAGGTAAGGGGCATCAAGGACACGAACACGACGACGATCATGATCCCGTCGCTCGCTCGGAAAATTATCGACGCGTGGCGCGGGCGGCGGCGGAATTCGCCGCCGACCTGGACGCTCCGCACGCGTGTTATGGAAGTGTCAGGTTTGAAATCGTAATCGACAAAGTTGAGATGATTTGTCTTGCATTTTATGCAAGGCATGAGTTGCCTGTCTTGCCGGGATGGCACGTGAGGCAGATTGTAAGCCTGTTGAGAGGTAGAAACAGAAAGGGAGCTGGCAAAGTAGCATGACAAAAGGCGTCGCCCTTACCCAAACAGCATGGCAAACTGGATTTCGGTTCGATCCAAATTTGTCACGCGCCACGTGGAAACTGGGTTACAGCTGACATCCATTTTATGCATGACAGATCATTTCAACTTTGACGATTTCGATCCTGACAGTTCCATACGTGTTGCAGTGCGGTCGAGAATACGTCGCAGGAACTCTCCCTTCTGCTGCAAGCCTTTACGACGAAATGGTATATATTAATCTACTAGTACCTCAGATGAGCAAGTGGTCATCGTGTCGCAACAGCTATGAGTAAGTTACTGACTACGTGGTCCTGGCGTTTATTTTCTAAGTAGGTGCGTTCTACTTCCAGATGCAGATCTGCCTAGTCAATATGTAAACACGACCACTGTTGACCTGCTATTTCGCATCCTGATCCTTGTTGTTACCTGTTGGCTCCACGACCCATAGCGCAAAGGTAACAGTACAAAGACATCAGATCTCTGACGTGCGTTCATGTTCCGAACAATTTTAGAAAAAAATGGTACAACTTTCCTTCAAAACAGCACCGGCATCGAACCTGCGACGTCGCTGCCGCTAGAAGAGCAGCGGCTTGCCGCTTTGGAGACAAAATTGGCGCTCACGCAAAGGCAATTTCATGCGAACAGTAAGAAGTCCCGCGACTCGCTTGGCACTAAAAAGCACGAAGAACTACAGGTCGGAACTTGCGACCCTGCTGCTGCTGGGGCGCTACAGGCTTCGCGGCCGATTTCCAAGCTTTCCCTTGGCGAGATGACGGTGTCAGACTTCGGAAGTGCACGGATGGTATCACCTCTGCAAAAGTAATATCCTAATCCTACATGTCCTAATCACAGTCTTGCATAGGTGGCACATGACGGAAGACAAATCACCACCATGAAAAAATTATCCAAACTAGAACTTTACGAGGAAATTTCCACGAATGAGAAATATGCTACTTTTGCAATGCATAGATGGAGATGCAGATGAGCAACCCGGGTGTAAATCTAGCGAAACCCCCCGCTCTGTGGCCGAGGTTCTCGCCGGGCAAAATGAATGAAAATTCGGCGTTGAGTGGCTGTACGGGGGTCGTCGAGAGCGGTAACTCGAACAAACCCGCAGTAGACCTGTTGAACCTAGAGAAAGCGAACGAGGTCCGGTCTAGGTACCTGCATCTCGACAAGCACAACAGAGTTATTTCCGACGACCACGAGGGACCTGTGGCGGACCAGAGTTTTTCGCTTGCTGAAGGCGAAGAGTCACAGTCGGTGTTGACGATCGCGCCCAGCATGTTGCCGTCTGAGCATGACTATCCAATGCTCCTGCAAATATAGTATCGCTTCCTACAATGTGGAATCGCAGAACAAAAATCTTCAAACTTGTGAAGATGCTGGGTTATTCCGGGGAGAAGATAGAAATCTGTCATGCGGTAATCAAGGCTAGTCCTAATGCATTTTTTATTGTAGTGCGAGTGCGATTACGATACTTTTTCAGTTGATACACAGAACGATGACGTCGACGGAGTATCAGGGGACCATGCAACACGACTTCCTGCCCCGGTAAACAACAGCGACCTGGTTTTGCTCAACAACAACCTTACTTGTGCCGAACAAAGTAAAGACATACACTTTCATCTGCACGAGGAAAAGATTAATAAATCTAAATCGAGTACCAGGAGAATCGAGCTGCTGAAGAAGCAGCACCTGCTCCAGAAGCAGGACATATCGATACTGGACGAGGATCTGGAGGAGGAGAACTCTTAACACACAGAAAAAATAAAAAAAAGCTAGTATATCTCTTTGCGTTTGCAATGATGAAAAAAGAACGCACAACATGCGCTTCCGGCATGAGCAATAAGCCCGACACAGCCCGCTTTTAGTGAGATTTGCAGGTGAAGTCTGTTTGTCTATTGATTTTGATTTGTTTTTGCTTCACTACAATACTCGCTTTTCTTTGTGTTTTTCTGTGGGATAAGTCTGCCACCGTACCCAACCCGCGCGGCACCGCGCCGCAGCCGATTGAGTTCGAGGACGCGCCCCCGATGTCGACGTATTCCCTGAAAATTAACCATCCCCATCCAATTTGTCATGCAAAACATACATACAATCATGTGTTTGTCATGCAAAAAGTGGATGGGGATGGTTAATTTTCAGGGAATACGACGCGTCGCCCTCGAATTTTGGTAGCGACGGGCGGTAGTACAGAGCACGAGGTTGTTGGCGCGGCGAACAACGGTAGCAAAAAAACGATGAACCATGGCGGCGCTGGCGTAGGAGGGCCAGAACTCTCCTTGCCGGTACTTTCACCGGCTGGCGACTTCGTAGGTGGTGCAGCAACTTCTAGCGCACAGAATGCGCAACAAGTTCACCTGATGTCCACTTTCACATTGCACTCAGCCGGAGGCGCCGGAGACAAGACTATTTCGCTTCTGCCGGCAGCAGTTGATGATGTAAGCGATTGTAATGATGTAACTCAAGACTTTTCGTTCATGAATCACGAACAACTCGCCGACTCGCCCTCCCGGAAACGCGATACTATCCTGTACGACAGGCAAGAACTACAACCGAGGACATCTTCTTCCGCTGAAGCGGACCACGCGAGTCGACCAGGACTGTTTGAGGACGTTGCACCTATTGTCCCCACGACCGACGATCAAGATATTACAGCAGGGATGATGCTTGCTGCGTTTGCGCCCGCGGCTTCAAAAAACGATCAGCAACGAACGAATGACGCAGACCCGGGGGCGGATGAAGATGAACATGAAGATATTCCAAAGCGGGACGCAAAAAATCATGTTGATGAGCACGCGGAAGCTCCTACATCCGCCCAAAGATCTAACCCAGGCTCGAAGTCGTTTACTTCTCCGAGCAAGCAACTTCTGAGCACGACAGGTGGTGGCGAAGATCTTCCCAGTGACGGGACGACTGGCGGAGGTCTCAGGACCTCCACTTCCTCCAGCCGCGCAACGGCCTCGAAAGAGAATGCAAACGAGGGTGGACCACAGCGGCAGCAAGGAGAAGGAATGAAGAATCAAGTCGAGCTAGCGGCTGCATTATGCCTTGGACGGTCGTTAGCATACAGGCGGGTGAATTTGCAGTGAATTTGTATTGCATGACTTGCATTTACTTTCAAAGAGAATTATGCGCTGCGTAAAGGGCTGGACACGGGCCCAAGCAGCCCACGCAGCGTGAAGGGCTGCTCGTCGCCCGGTGGCAGTTGCAGCACCGAAAGAAGTGGTCTTGCGGGGGCCCGCCGGGCTGTGTAGTGCATATGTAACCAAAGAAGGTGGATCGTGGGGCTCTTGTTCATCTGCGCGTCTGCCTCAGAAGTTCCTCTCTGGAATGGTCGAAAGGGACGTAGGGCGACGCCTGAACACAGGGGCACTAGTTCAACACGTGCGCTCTCATGAGTTGTGGTCGTGGCTTGGAATTGGATATCTGGGAGCAGCCTCGGGTGAAAGGGAAGGCACGACTCGGCCACGGGCACTAGCTTGCTTCGCCTGCTGCTGTGCTCGGCTTACAACTCCCCAGGTGTGTTTTTGCCTCCGGAGAAAGTCTTTTTCGACGTGGCTCCCAGGTCAAGAATTCTCTTGGTGAATTTTGAAGGTTGTTGTTTTTGCGACACTTTTTTGAAGCCCCAAAACCCGGAGTTTCCCATGCGCTAGCGAATTTTGAACAGGAGCTGGAGGCCAAAACTCACCGGCGCCCTTTTCAAAATTCACCCCAAAATTCACCGGGCGCCCCTTTTCGACCGTGATAAGCAAACTTTAGCGCAGAAAAGTGCTCAAGAAAGTCCGCAAATAGGCCCTGGGAAGTGGGGCCGAGGGGAAAAAACACGCGCCCTCTGTTGCCCTGTGCCCGTCTATATTCTGCCGAAAAGGCCTGGAGAGCCCAGCAAGGAGAAGGAATGAAGAATCAAGTCGAGCTAGCGGGGGCTGCACACGTCGTCCTCGGAGCAGCACAGCCAACATCCGACGCGGCCTCGTCCTCTGTGCATGCGTCTGCCGCCAGCTCAGTGGAAACCACGCTGCAGCCGTTGATTGAAAGCGCAGCGGTGCGGGAGCAACTGCGCCTGGAAAAGGAAATGGCAGAGCTCGATACGCGAATGCAAATTTGTGATATGTAGTTTTCATACCCCACACGTACAAACCTATGTATAACTTTCACTGCAGTTGTTCAGCACTCGTGAAAGAAAAACAAGAACGAGTGCATGATGGTGCTGAACGTAGATGATGATGAAGATTTTATATCGGAAACATATTGTAGTTTGGTACACAAGATGATAATGATTTTGTATCTAACAACGTGTGTGGTATTGAATTTTCCTCCTGATACTGCAGGAAGCCATTGCACGGGCGCGGCACAACGTGGCTGTGCTCAAGGCAGCGGACAGTTTGTCAGCGTCCAAGAAAAGTAGCAGCGCTAAGTCCTCGAAGCTATGCATTGCAAAAGGAAAAGTATCGCATCTACATCTAGTAGACATTTTTCATGTTTTTTTTCAGAAGGATTTTGCTATGCTAGGGAGTTTTGTCATGATGCATCATGACTGCAATTAGTAGTAGTACGATTGCGATATGACTTTTGCACATGATAGAAGCTGTCCTCTACCTCCAACTCTGTCCTCGCGCCGGGGTTTTCGAAAGACAACTACGGGGAACGAGTTGTAGGTCATCGTGGCGCCGCTGGGAATAAGAGGCATGCCGTCGACGATGAGGGTATGTTGTGTAGTAGAACAAAGGGTATCACCAGTAGATACAACAAATCCGCAAGCAGCACTGCTTCCTCCTCGCGTAGAAGCCGCAGCGACGCAGGTACTAGCGCTGCCGCCGCGGCTTCGAAGTTGGCCTACAAGACCACCAAAAATTTCCGCAAGAGCCGGTTCGTTGCTGCAACGGACGGAGTCGGAGGTCCTGCGGAGGAGCAAAAAGAACGCCACGCCGACGAGCTCCTCGTCCCGCAAGACAGCAACAGTAACTCCTCGTCCCTCAGTATTAAACCTACGCCGCGCGGCAGCACGCCGGCCACTTCGGCCAGAGCAAGTGTGAAAGAACAGGTGAAAAACTATGCCAGGCAGCTCGCCGGAGCCAAGTCCGAGTCCAAGGGGGCGCGGAGGACCGGTATTGGGAGTAATTATCTGGGAGATCAACATGCACATGCTGAAGATCATCTTCACACTCCTTCATCTACTTCTGGGAGAGCAGGATTTCATTGCTCTCCGCGCGGCGACGGTGGATCTTCATTCGAAGCGGCTGGCACAGAAACAACAGATGAGGTTGGCGCGACGAGCAATTTCTACATGACGACGCATCAAAGGCCGGACGTGATGCTAAAAAATCAAGACCCATCCTCATCTTCATCCAAATCCAAATCGTCGTCCTCCATCTCCGGCGCTGCACTTGCCTCAGCCAGAAACAATGTTCCCGATAATTCGGCTGCACCTCCCAAGTCGAGTGCGCGTTCGAGTTCCGGCTTGCAGAATAGCCAGAATCTCTTGTTCACGCGACACTCCGTCCGCGCCGAGTTGCTGGCGAGACCAACGATGAACTCCACCGCGAAGGCGAGGAACAAAATTGATCAGCAGAATCAATACTATCAAGAAAGTCCGGCTAAATTAAAGCAACCTAGCTCGTCATCATTATCGCCGGCAAAAGGAAAACAACAAGTTGTAGGAACAAACAATGATAAGCTGGCTGTGCTGCCCCCCTCTTCCGCCCAGAAGCAAACGGCATCGAGTGCAGCAGCAGTTTCCCAAAACTTTCGTCAGTCGCGAACAAGAACAGGCGGAAAGGGAAAGAGGAGCAATGCTGAGGCCGCCACTGGGTCTGTGCCGAAGGCCTTGCAGCGCGGACTTTGTCCCGCCGGCGGGCCGGACCAGGACTTGCGCCGTGAATTCAGAAGAAATTCTGCAGGACGACTAGCTCCACATCAGCAAACGGGCTTGGGCACTGCAGTAGAGCAGGACTACCCTCCTCCTTCCTCGAGCCGCTTGAGCTCCACCCTGCGTAGCTCGATCGTCAGCAAATCCAGGTCGTCGACTGGGACAAAATTATCCCGGTCCGGAAGCAAGAGCTTCAACACGGGCGACCCGACACCCGGGGACTGGACGCAAGACATGCGTCGCCAGTTGAGTTTTGCGCTAGGCGGCGGACCTGGTGGTCCAGGAGCTAGTGTGAATGGTCCACCTGCTCACGGTCGTCCGTACATGATGGGCGGCAGCAGCTACCAGCAGAACAACATGGTTATGGCTCCGACCATGAACAAGAACAACCTCGAGCAGGAGCATGACCACCAGCACAAGCAGACGGCGCAAGAACAACTCCCTGGAGCCGCGGCACCGCACGCCGGAACAACGGCCTCAACCGCGGTCTTGCGGAACTGCGACGGGCTGGGCCTCATCCAGTTCCAATTTAACCCCGTGGCTCGCGGGAGCGGTGTTGCACCGAGCGTGAACAGTTCAAATTCATGCGGAGGTCAACACCAACAGCGAGTAGTTGTTAACACAAACATTGCAAGCCGAGCGAGTTTGCTGAACGTGAGGAATGTGGTGGAACACCAACAAGGCCAGCATAGCCATTCGAATTCCCAAGCGCAACTTGCAGCGGACCAGACTGCTGTGACCAACGTCATGACCGGCTCTTCTACAACGTCGGCTCTTGGTAAAATATTACAAGCACCAGCACTAGCTCCATCTTTGGCCGCCCGAGAGCAGCAGCAGCAGCAGCAGCGGTCTTACCAGTTTCGGTCCTTGTCTCCGCCTCCAGGGGGGCGATCGCTTCTGAACTGCGACAACCAGGGAACAAACGGAAAAACATTAAACGGAGGAGCTGCAGCATCTTCAAGCGCGCAGCCCCACATGAAGATGACCTCATCTAACCCGGTTATGATCAACAACCTCAACACACGCGCTGGCGCACTGTCCCCTCCGATCGCGACTCGACGCCCGGAACCCGTCCACTCGTCGCAGTCCCAATTTCAGCCCCTGACGGTCTCCACCGGGCGTGCCTGCCGGGGTGTTGGCGGGTTTCCTGGCTCGCAGAAAGCGCTCCCACGACAGGTGTCCGCTGAGGCTCCGGAGCCGCCAGCTTTCGTGGGACCGAGGATGAACAAAAGACAAGTAGAGACGATGGCGGTTGTGAAGGATAAGAAATCTTCGAATCATTCTTGGAACAAAGAACAGAGCGCAGCATCATCGGCGACAGATGTTGGGGGTGCAGGGAATATCAAGAAACCAGTACCAAAACACAAAGAATCGTCGTCCTTTCGGACGAGAAACAGGAACGCACAAACAGGACGAGACCATGCAGCTGTTGATCACAAGAAAAGCTCCGGCCGCCAATATGGTGGGATCAAAGCCGGCGGCGTTGGCCCCACGAGCACGACTGGGAATGGGAAGAGCCTGTATGGCGCTAGAAATAACGGCAACAAGAATAATTCGGCCGCCGACAATTCGCTGGAAAATACCCAGCAAATGTTGATCAAATCTGCGCGCGCGTACAGCACCCCTCCGACGTCCAGTCGCGGCGGCAGAAACGAAGACGTCGGGCAGCAGCAGCAGCAGGATCAAAACCAGCGTCAGAATTTTCTGCAGCATCACGTCCAGTTGAATTTGAACATCCCGACTTTCCCCCAGCAGCAACAGCAACAGCCGAACAATTTTGCAACTGGTGCGCCGATCCTGCCAACAGGAATAGTTCAACACCCGTCCGCTGCGCACCAGAATGTTAACATGTGGCACCCTGCCGCGAGAACTGGGGGAACAGTGAACAGCATGAGCTGTCTCCAGAACACAAATGAAGGTCGCGCGTTGGAATTGGAACAACAACAATTTCCGACGCAATATGTCAGTGCCGCCACCACGACGTCCTTTTTACACCAGCAGCTATCCCCGCAACTGCACACACGGAACATGAATGCAGTAGGCGCAAGCATCAATAACAATTTCCCAACGAACCAGCCAGCAGCTGGCTCGACTTTTAAGCGTTTCTGCTCCCCGCAGATGCAAAGCCGGGCCTCTGTAGGCACGACGAACAATCTGCACGGTCAAAACGATCCACAACGCCAGCGCCAGAACGGCGTCTTTCGACAGATGAGTGCGCATCCCCGGGCGAGAGCAGTCGCAGGGACTGTTCGGGAAAATAAAAATCTGCAGGAGGTGGAGCTGGAGGCGGGACATAATGATATGAACGGGAAGCAAAAGCAGTTTAGCGGACAGCAGATAAGGTACCTAAGCACGGCTAATCTGAAGACGAGTTTTTGCATTTTATCCCACGCGGATTACGCCGCGCGGGTTGGCTCTAAAGCACGGCTACGTTGTGCTTTGCTGGACAGATCATGGACGTGGCTGTGTTTGTCGCCCACAGTTAGTTGTAAGTATATGCCGCAGCGATATAGCATCCGTCCGGTCTCCGTTCTGTATGAAGATGTAGCTGAGAGTCAGTGCGTCGAGAAGTAAAGCACTTTTTTACAGCACCACAAGTTAGTACAAAAAACCTGGTTGTGAACAAAATCTTCAAAACAGCACCGAACCCGTGCCGCCCATGGTTCCAGCTGGAGGGCACCTATCAAACCACGGACCAGCAGCCGCAGGGCGAGTACCGCTTTCTTCCGGTGCCCTCTTCCCTCCGCATGTTTTCCGGTGACCTAGTACCGGTGCTGCGGGGAGCGTAATAAAGGATGAACAAGAAGATGAGCGATGTCAGTTTTCTTAAACATCAGATCCGAGCTTTGATGAAAAGATTAACCGTTCTTCGTCGGAAGCAAGAGATTATGCTTGTGCATTATGTTGGTGCTTAGGCTTGTTTGTAGCGCACAAAAAGCATCAGAACCAAACCTACTTGCGCGGAATCATGCAAAAAAGAGTTTTACAATTTCAAGGAAACAAAGTAGTCATCCACCAGGAAATAAATGAGCTTACGTTTGCAGAAGATTGAATCGCTTCCATCCGATTTCCAGATAAACTCAAAACTTGCCGGATAAACATTCGAAAGAAAATTTTGCAGTAGAGTAATGAACTACAAAGTATACAAAAATTTACATCTATGGAGGACCAGTTCCCCGCTAGTTTGTTTCAAATTCCGAGAAAGATACTACACATCGTCCAAATCCTTCCACCTGCTCTTGCGATGTTCTGGTGGTCGGATTGAAGGTGGCAACTTCTAGAGCTACTACAATAATTTTTGTACGAAAATACAGTCCAACACCGAAGAGAGAATAAAATTGGGTGCATCTTCATACAAAGAACTATGAAACTTTTCACCCACGAGGAGAATCCTATCACGCCTCCTGAGGCAGCAGTGTAAAATCTTGGCTTTGTTGTATTCTCACCCACTTTATTCATCGTGACACTCTCAGAACTTGTTGTTACAACTGTTTCGTCCACTGTACAATTTGTTGTTGAGCTTGAAGAACGGGCAGAAATTTTCCCTGCTACACCAGCAAGAAGCTGACTATTAAACTTGAGCTATTGTTTTATCTTTGGTGCAATGTATTTACCTACCATTGAATGCGATTGCGCTTGGACAACAACATCAGGGGGATGACTTTTACCACCCCAGCTGGTGGGTGCAGCCGTTTTGCTGATGGATTGATATAATCCCCGGCGATGAAACAAATCTTGCTAATGTACCAGAAAGAGCAACAACTTCTTCTTGTGTTGCTCTGACAGCCCCGCAGGATTGGAAACAAGGATGATGTGTTTTTCTTTGCCTTTCCTTGCGCACCAGCAGCACCAGAGGGAGATATGTTGATCAGCGTTGGGAGGTCTATGGTGACAGGACGTCTTCCGGATGGTGATGATTTTTCGTGACTACTTCTGCGTCAGCTGCAAGTCTTTCATCTGTCTTCCCTGCGAACTGAATCGATTTCGATTATCACGCATCATGTTGTTGTTGGCAACATCGATCTTGAGTGCAGTTTTCATTTCTTGACCAGTTGATATTGACATGACACAGTACCAGTAGTCGACTCTTCAAGATCTTCCCATTTTGTGATCTTCATGTGGGCAACAATGCAGACGCCTGAATTACGTATATAAGAGTCTGAGTTCTTCATAAGTTTGGATCGTTATGATGCCGCTCGTTGTAGTTGTCCAAGAGCGCGCAATATGAAATGTGTACGTGTACTAGTTGAAAACCGGATTATTTTGCTGCGTGAGGGTGCTGCGTCGTGGAATTCCATTCTGGCAGACCTTATCATGATCATGCACATAGACATATTTTCGTACATGTCCATGTTGCAATCCTGCTGTTGAGGAAGTCACATTGGTTGTCTCATTAGACCGCTTCCGTGGTGGAATGGTAATGGATCATCTTCGAACGCAGACTCCATTGAGATAATGAAAGGACAGAGCAGCACCAGAGTTGATTAGAAAACCGCAATGTCGCCATCTTCACGACACCAGCGTGGTCGTCGGGCACGAGATTGGAATCGTCGCCAGCTGCATGCGTTGCTTTCGTGTCGCCCCGGTGGGAGAAGTGGGTTAGTTCGACACGACAACAACCAGCAGGTCGTGAAGATTTACTTCTGGTTGTTCGCAGGTGCTTTTGCCGCCGCGTCAACAGCTACGGGCTGTTTGTTTTTTATTAAAAGTCTTTCGATACTATTGCTCTCGCTCTCCACCTCCTCCTCTCACGACTTTGATGGCGTGCTCCTGGTTGAAGCGGCCTACAGTGCCTCTGTGTATGGGCAGCACCCCACCCTCCACGACCTATGGCTTGCGAAGGCGCGCGCGGACGCCGACCGGGTCAAACTCAAACGCGGAGACGAGCAGACGCAGACGGAGTTCAACGCTATTGCAAGAGAGAATATAAGTCGCGAGCGGGTTGCGACTGCAGCCGTGGAGGCGGAATGCGTGTGGAGGGCGAGGGATCAGCAGCAGCAGCAGCAAGCTGCTGCTTGGAGCCGTTGCAGCGGTAATGTGGGGGAGCACCAGCAAGAGGCCGCGCGGCCACACGAACTGCACCAAAGAACTGCTGCGCCAGTAGCTGTGGCACATCAACATCCGGGAGCTCCATCTCCTAGTATGCAGGAGGCTTCCCCTTCGCAAGATGTAAACGACAGATTTTTCGAGTTGTGGGCAAGGCATGCTAATAACCTTCTGCCAAGTACTAGTACTAGTAGAACAACAGAAACAACTTTGCTGCAGAACCCGCGCGAGCAAACGGACGCCGTTGGTGGAGGTGCCCAGCCTTGTTCTGGTCCAGCGCTTCTAGCACCGGTGCCGATGCCCGCACCTTCGCCCCCGGATTTGTACTATGATGTGCACCAGAATCTTCGTTCCTCTTCGTCTTCCTACGCCCAAAATTTGCAGCATCCCTCATCTTCTGGCAGCTCTAGTGCCGCCGGCGCAACATCAAAATCAACTCCGAGTGCCGCGTCGGCTCGCTTGCCGAAAATTATACAGGGAGAAATCGCGGCCCGAAAACAGTCTACTTCGACGAGAAATCGAAAGCGAGAAGCAGGGGACGATGCCGGACCTGCAACAGAAGGGCGGGAGATGAGCACCGCGACTTCTTCTATGATGACAGGAGGCAGTTGTTGCAGGTATGATATTAGTACGACGAGGACACTAGCGACAGATGAAGGCCGACTTGCGACGTTGCGACTTCCCTATAACAATTTCCAGGACGAAGGAGCATCAACTTCTGGTGTTGATCAGTTGAGTGCCTCCGCGCCGTTGCTGAGTGCCTCCGCAGCTCCGTCGCTCGCAAACATGCGGTATCAGCAAACACAGATCAGCATCAGCCCCAGCCGCGTCGCCATGGGAGTGCCCGCCTTTTTGTTTGCGCCAACACCCGCCACGTCCACCACGCAGGAGCACACAGGAGAGAAGAACATCATGGGGGTAAGGACTTCTCCTGTGGCAGGAGGATTGACCACGTCGTCTAGTGATGTACAAGTTGGCGGTGTCGACGCAGGAATCTCGTCGGGAATAAGTGGACGACGAATTATACCACCAACTGCAGTTGCGCCCGAGTATACCGCGGCATCTTTACCAGGTGTGCCCCCAAAAGAACTGCTACGAATTCCCGTGGAGCGCGGACGCCTGGCATTTGAGCGCAGTACAGCTGTAGGAGAACAAACAGGACCGGTAGTACCTGGTGGGGCTGCTGAGAGAAGAACGGCCGTCGACCTCCCTGAACCACAGCAAGAACGACCTCGGCCGACGCCGCTCCCGCTCGGCAGTCCTAGGGACGAAGAGGAAAGTGTTGGAGCAGCAATGTCACTCATGTCATCTGCAAGTATGATCAAAAACAATCCTACATCTTCAACAACCTGCGGATCCAACGCCTACTTCACTGGCGTACTACAAGGCGCGCGTACATGTTCTTTCACCCCGTCAAGTACGACAACTTCCAAAAGCACAGCGTTGCCTTTCACCTCGAGCATCCAGAGTGTCTTGTCGTCCTCTCCTGATTTCACAGGGAGGAGCGTCTGAGTAAATCCATCCGAACCACATCAGGGGCCTCCGACTTCGGAGTGGCCTGCTGGCTCTCATACGGCCTGGCCCATAAATGTTTCAAAGCCGGGACCGCTACTGGGCCGATTGTCTTCGTCCAGATTGCTGCTTCCATGTCCCCGCGTCACCTGGTTGCGACATGCGGCAAGAGGGATGGGCCTGCGGCATTGTGTTTTCAAATGAGGGCTGGTTGGAGAGGGATGGTCGGAGAGGGTTGGTCGGAGAGGGTTGGTTGGAGAGGGTTGGTAGATATTTTTTTTTCGAGCTGTTGGCAGTATTCAAACGACGTGAGAATCACGCACGTGATTTGTGTACAGTAGATTTAATCTGCATGGTATGGTCAATTGGATGCTGCTCCTGTACACCACTTTCTAAAAGAAAACTGGTGTACAGGAGCATGCTTCGCTTCACCATACCATGCGGGAAAAATCTACTGTACAGAAACAAGTCGCGTGATTTCGGCGGTCTGAAAGCTAGAAGTTGAGCCCTGAAAAAATGTTTTTGCAGAACTCGCGAGCATTTTTTTCGCAAGAAAATGTCGCGGCTTTTTCTCGCTGGCGACGATCTCCGCGCCGGAGATCTCGCCGCGCGGGTTGTGAAGCCGATCAGCCCAAGTGAAAAACTGTTTCCGTGCGTGAACGCTACAAAAGGCCAAAACTAGCCATCGCATCGAGTTGGAAATTAGGGTTGCCAGCTTGCCCAAATGCATTAGCGGCTGCTTTCAAAAAGTCGGAAACCAAATCAAACACAGCCGCCCACTGACTAGTCTCTCACCTAAAACGCAACTGCCTAAGTTCATCAATCGGCCGGGCAGGCTCATTGTTGTATCCTCCTCGGTGTGTCTTCTGTCACATGTCCCCGCCCAGAAATACGCGCAATGCGGCGCAGGGTCGGCACACCTTGGGACCCTTGTCCCGAAATTTAATAGCGATGCATGTTGTGCCGCGGTCGCTATGAGTCGAGGGGGCGACAGGCGAAGGCTTTCCGGGAAGAATTTTAAAGACGCTAGCTGATTAGAGAAAGCTACTGCAGCGCCGTGAGTCCGGATCTCACTAGCGATACCATTCCGGGTAGATATATTCACTCGGCAGCACCCAAAAAGGCAGCAATTTTTTTTTTTTCGAAGCCGCGTTTCTTTTCAATTTTGCATGACAAAAAGTGGTGATTTGTACGTGTACAGGAAATTTACTATGGATAAAAAGCACAGCGTTGCCTTTCACCTCGAGCATCCAGAGTGTCTTGTCGTCCTCTCCTGATTTCACAGGGAGGAGCTGCGCATCAGGATCGGGGAGCAGAAACCTCCTCCACGCTGCGGAAGATGGCACGACACAAACAAAAGTAGACTCAACGACTTCTGTCGGCATCGGCAGTATGTTGAGCAACAAGACGGGAACCAATAATCTCCTCTCGCGCGGCTCCCTCGGAATATTACAGAGCGCCGCGACGGCCTGCGCCGCGCCCGAGATCATGAGTGCGGGTTCTAGTAGTAGCTGCAGAGGGGCTGCTAATATCTTCGGAGCTGGACCGCAACGGCAGCAAGCTGGAGCAAGAACGTCGTCGTCCGCGCTTGGTAGGTTTGGGATGGCTCAGAGCCCGGCAGCAAGAGTGTCACTACGAAAGAGAACTGAGGACGCGCTGTTCAGCTCTGGACGTGGCAAGCAGGTGCAGGAGGGACGGGTGGACCCTCTAGAAATACAGCCGTCTGTGTACGAGCGCAGCGTTTCAGACCCGGCTCAGCTACAGCAGATGCAGGAATGCCTGAGTCTTGAGCATGAAGATCCGGCTTGTGCAACTAGTAGTTGCCAACACGATACGAGTATGTCCTGCACTTCTCCTTGTCTCGCCCTGGGCGACACCGACACGCTGTCCTCCAGAACAAATCCACCACGGTCCTCTATCCATTCGTTGCTCCAGGTCGAGCGGCTGAACTCGGCGTCCTCCGAGAGCGCGAGCCCTACAGGAAGGAGGGATCCGCATGTGACTGTATATTCCAGCAGCACTGCAACTGCTGTTGGGAACAATGTCTGGTCTCCGCACGGCTGGAGCAAAGAAGCAGGCGATCTCCCCGCTAGCGGCGGGGGCCACGTGCGTCGTGATGATCTTCGTCCACAGCAAGTTCTAGAACAAGGCACAAGAACTTCGCCGCGAGTCCAATTGCTTCGACAAGAAGATGCTTCATCTTCAGGAGAGCATGCTTTATTATCCAGCGTCGGTGGTCGTCGACGTCGTGAAAATAACAAGAGCGGCCAAAATCTTGTTGAAAATAAGAATAACCACGGTGGCCCTGAAGTAGTAGACACTCGCTCTCTACTCCCTCGGACTCGGACTGATGTTGTTCCCCCCGCGGGAGAAGATGATCCGCAGAGGTTGAAATATATCGAGCACAATACCTCCGACTTCGACCAGAAGGAGGTCCCGTGGCTTTTCCGCACCAGGCCCTCGCAGCTGGACGTGGACTTTGCCTCGTCCTACGACATATCTGTCTCTTGGCGACGCCGAGCGGTGCTTGCGCGGAAGATGTTCGGGAACGGCATCCGCGATCTACTGTCTCTGGAACTCCTAAACACGCGCGCGCACCACGGACCGCTCAGCAGTTTGCAGACCCCCTGGAAGTTTTTGAACATGGACCACTACCATGTTGCAGCGGCACCAGCTGTCGGAGGTGCCAGCTGCTCGAATTCCACTGAACAAAAAGAAGGTCCTCTATTGCCCCCTGGAAGAACAACATCGAGCGGAGGTCAACATCCCGCGCATGAAGATGATCTCTATTACGACGGTCGAAAGAACAGCAGCAGCATTCTCGTACTAGGATCTGATCCTTACCTGGCCCGCCCCGCTGGTGCTGGCCCTGATGAAATGGTTTATTCTACCCCGCCGTTTCTCCGCTCTTTTTCCAGTGCGTTGCGCACGGCGCGCTGCGACATGCGGGGTCATGGGTCAGTATCCTCATCGCAGTTCTCTTCTGCCGGAGCTGCTTCTACTCTACCTGGTGGCACGACTGAGAGCAGTTCTGGCGAGCAGCTGGTGTTTCCAGAGGCGCGAACGGAAAGGAATCGAGATCGACCGGGAAGAAGTACAGAACAACTCCCGAGAGACGAGGACTTGAACTTGATGTCACCACATGAAGAGGTCGAGCAGCACGATAGAAGTGCCAGCTCATTTTCTTCAAAACAGCCCTCCCGCACTTGCCGGACCGCTAGCGACGAATGGCTGGAGAGAAACAAGACCGACCAAAAAACGCAGAACGCGCCCGACACGGTTCCCGGTGCCGGGATTTACGCGGTGCTGTTGGCGCGAGGGAAAATGCTAGAACTGGTCTTCGGCCCGGCGATTGATGCGGACTTGGCAAGAACCTTTTTGTACAAAAAGGAAAAATCTTCAGGAGCATCTGCATCAAGATCCAGATCCAGCAATGAAGTTGAAGCAACTTCTGTTGAAGAGAAGCAGCATGGGGATGTTGATCCTGCTACTTCATCATCACATCGACCTGCAAGAACTAGAGCTGCATCGAGTTGCCTAGTCCCGCCGTTGAAATTAAGGGAGCTGGTGACTAGTACCGGGTCGACCTCTAATAGTTGTGACCTTCAAGCTGCGGGTACTCCATGGCCTGAAAGAACCTCTCAGCCATCGCATCTGTCGTCTACGAGACCTTCTAGTAGAGGCACGCGCGACCTCTTGAGCGTCGTGTCTCTGGAGCAGCAGCCCGCAGCCTGCACACGACCCTTTCCTCGTCTAGGATCTTCTTCGCAAAGCTTGTTGTGTGAGACAAAAGATAAGACCTTACTCTCGACGACCTTTTCCAGCACCACCGAGCAGGATAAGAATGAACAAAAACGATCCAACGAGCTGCCAAGAGCAATGCCTGCAAGAGATGTAGTACACAATAACACCAGCGCTTTGGAAACCTTCGCAACGACAAGGGTCGAATCTTCGAAAGGGGACGCGGCGTTATCGTCGGGGACATCAGCGGCTTCCAAGAATAGCGGTGGGAGAGGAAGTAGGGTATCCAACCCCAGATTCAAACCGCATTGGCTGGTCGCTCCGGATTGGTCCAGATCATCGTCCTCGAAAAGCGCGTGGGAAGAAGAAACTACAGCTGCAACCGATATTATTGGCGATCAGCAGATGGAAGCGAATGAAAGCAGCGGGGGCGTCCATGAGAAAAAATACGACACCGAGGACGCGAAAGCGAAAGGAAGTACGAGACGATGCAAAAAAAAGAACTCAAAAGATAATGCCTCCGCGCGGCTGTGGTCGTCCGGAGTCGACGATAACATAGTACACCAGCACGAAACAAGAACAACTCCTGGAGGGAAGCAGACTCAGACAGAACTTCTCGAAGATGAAGACTGTAGTTCCACCGAACAGCGAGGAGAAAAGCCGCCCCCTTCCGAGCCGGAGAAGTATCTTCCAACAGAAGCACAACAACAGACCATTAAAAACCTTCTTCTCGCCTATCAGGCCATTCCAGCTGCAGCCACAGTATCAGCCACCCCCTTGGCCGGCGCCGCAGCTGTGGCCCGTGCTACTGCTGTTACGTCCTCGGCGAAGCGCTTCACGCAGGGAATGACCCTGTTCGTGTTCACACTGCTGCTATCGGTCGAGTATGAACTGCACAAGTATCGTACTAGTATACATTGCAATACAAATTGGCTCAGCATTACAAATTGAATTTGTCATGCGGATTTGCCTTAGGAACTAGATTTGTAATGCATAAATACAATTAGTACGACTTTTACACAGGATATCGAGTTTGAAGAAGAGGAGGCATACTTTTGGTTGTTGCTCTTCTTTCTGGAGCAGACGATTCCCAACTGCTGCGAGCGCATACTCCTGACGATGAAGGGCGAGGCCAGTCTTCTGCTCCCGAGGCAAGAGGTCACCACCGCGCCGGCGTTTGCCGTTCCGCCGCTGCTGGTATCGAGCGGGGCAGGACGAGAGGGTCGAGAACAAAAGGCGGAAAGTAGAGACAGAGGAACTTCTATCCAGGAAAAAACACCCATCTCCATCCAATTTGTAACTGTAATGCAAAACATGCATAAACTCCACTATTTGTCATGCAAAAAATGGATGGAGATGGGTGCTTTTTCCTGGATAACTTCTAACCGACGGGCCGCCCCCGCAGAGCCGGGGGCAGAGCACGACGACGGGGGACGACCCGGACCACCTCCACGAAGAGATATTTTCAGTACTAGTCCCACTGCAACAGAAGTTGATGTAATAATGGACAAGCACGCTGAATTTTTCGACGATGATCTCCTCGGGGACAACGAGAGCGACCATCTCCGCTGGGCGCAACGGGACATGCAAACTTGCTACCGGGAATTCGTTTCTGATCTTCGAGAGAGATGCCAACATCAGATCCAGAGCTACCCCGAGAAGTATAAGGCAGAGTGTGCTGGGTGGAAGAGGACGAACTTTTATCCCTGCACGGAATTTTTATCCCAGTCAGTGCCGGCGGCGCACCAGAGAAACGACACTTCTGAGGACCCCTTTCTGTTTGGCGGGGGGCGAGTGCGAGAAGCTGATTATGACGCAGGCAATCTTCCGAATTACAACTCTCCTGCTGAAAGAACTACTGTAGAACATGCACAAATGTCATTACAGCCCTCGCCGCAAGCACAAGCCGCAGCGCCCAGCAGCGGAATGACGATCGCCGGCGGCATCCACATGGTTTTCGCTGCGCCTTATCACTTCATATCCGGCATTTCTGGGCTGGTAACGGGAGGAGCATCGAGTTCGACCTCGTCGAGGCCGCTAGAAGCAGGAGCTTCTTGTTCGGCAGGAGGTACTACAGCCTCCCCTGGGGAGGGGGCGTTGCACGGCACTGAGGGCGGCGGAAAGAAGGCGCTCGATCTGGTACACCATTTTCAACGCAAGCGATACAAGGACAGAGTCCCGCTCTCCAGCTCGTCGGGCTCGAGTAGTTCTGAGGAGAGCAGTCGCGGTCGCGAGGAACAGAGAAGTCATTTGAACTACAACGGACGAGATGACCGAGAGCAGGATGATGAACTTGAACGCGCCGAGCGTGAGCCGAGAAGTTTCGGCAGGACTAAGACAGGGGACGGAGCTGCAGGAGCAAACACAAAGTTGTTCCCAGGTCCCAGCTCTTTTGGCCTTGAGCTTCGGCGGCTGTTTTCTCCCGATTTGGTGAAAGAGTACGCACCGATCTTGTTCTTTGCCGTCGCCGTCGCCTTAGTGCCGCAGATGGAATGCACTCTGTGTACCTGGGACAGCAAAACCGACGCACTTCTCTATCAGGACGTAGGCAAAAGGAAAAACTAGTACAACGACCCACCAGTGCTGATATCGCGCATGTACAAAATCTGATAACGGGATAGAGCAGTGGTCCCGACAAACTCTGCAAAAATATCTTTTTCCAATGCGTTTGCTCAATCATGTACGCGACTGAAGCAGCAACAGAGCAATATTGATAAATTGTACAATCTTGCTTCAGCTGGAGGACCATGCTCATGCCTGTGCCAAAAACAGCACGTGGATCTGTTGTGCCATAATTTGTACTTGCGCGAATAAACTCTTTTTGTCTGTGCATACAACGAGCACAATTCGTACCTGAGCTCGTCTCACGAGAGTAACTCCTTGCTATCCTCGAGCTACGGGGGCCGAGTGGGGGGCGGCGGAATAACACATCTCGACCTAACTAGTCCGCTGAGCTGCTGCGGTGCTGCTGCTCCTCGTCCACTGCGCAGCAGAGATAGAGATAGCACATCAAGCAGTAGCAGTCCCGGAAAAAGAGCAAGTCTGCGCCCTCTGAAAAATCTCGATTTTTGCAGGGCAAACAGTCCGGCTCCGTCGTGCTTGGGAACTGCTACATCACAAAATTCACAGTCACAAGATCGTGGTGCAGGAGCGCCTTCAACACTGGGAGGAGGTGCAGCTTTCTGTCCCTCGTCGGCCACAAGACGGGATGATGTAGTAGATTTTACCAAGAGCTACGACGTACTCGACCAGGCCGCTACAGCGAACCCCCTTACCACCAGCGGGGACCACCTCCTTCGGCGCACCTTGCGAAACAAGCAGGACAAAAATCTCATCGTTCTGCACGGTTGGGGACTGAGGCCGGAGCGCGCGTTGCGGCACCGCGTGTTTGTCAAGCTCTTTCAGAAGGCTGCCGGCTCGTTTCCGCAGGACGAAAATGCAAGGGACGACGACCGCGAACTCTCTCTCCGGCTGTCGCCCGTGTGGCTGAAAGTTTTCTCCGGCCTGTGCACGCAGCTCCTCGACGCGGGCGGGTTGCGGTTAGTGCTGGACTACGCTACTAAGGTTGGGTATGAACGGGCACTGATGGCCGTGACCGTCATCATCATAGAGATGGTGTATACCGAGTTCATTGGGAGGAATCGTAAAGAAGAAAGAACAAGAAAAAGCAGTAGTACTAGAGAGACAAGGCGGGGAGCTGCGTGGAAAGACGCGCATACTACAACTACCCCTGGCATTGGCGCCGGTAGTTATGAAGATAATTATGAAAGCGAAAGCCAGCCGCTTTTTGGACAGTTCCATGAAACGCAACCGACATCCACATCAGAGATGTTGATGACTCTAAACCAGCAACAGCAAAATACCCCGTCCTCCTCGTCCACTGATCACTTTTTCGACGCAAGTCCAGAACAGCAGCAACGCCGGCGGCGCCACGAAGAGCAGCTATTCCACTCGCCGATGGCGTCCGGGCTTGACCGGATGGCCCTCTTGGCTCCTGACCCACAAGACGCGGAACGGCTGTGGCGCCTGCACATTGAAAAAGAGAAGCAGGAGAAACTGGCTGCTCGACTCGCGGAAGTAGAAGCTCAGGTTAAGGGTGGAAAAAGAAGACGAGAGCAAGAATTTTACCGTGTTGAATCGGGTGAAGAGCAGGTAGAGGCTGTAGATGACCCGCATTTCCTGGACAACATCCTCCCCGACGCGGAGGAGATTTTTTATTCGACCTTTTTCAACAACGAGGAGGATCAGGGAATAGAGAATGAGACTTCAGCAGGACAAGTAGAAGCAGGTGCTGGAGCTCAAAACCAATTTGCAGCCCACCCCGCGGCCCACAACCTCATCACCGTGAGCAGCAGCGTGTCGCTCCCTCCCGCCGGCCGAAATTCCTTACCCCAAGAACAGGAGCCCCCGCACGACGGTCCTCACCAAGGAACTTCTACGCCGCGCCACTTCGAAAACATGGATCAGGACGCAGCGGCACCTGATCCACCGTCCACGCCTCGGCGGGACGTTAGCATTAACAATCCTCCAGACGACGATCCCATGCAGGTGGAGGAGTTGACCGAGGAACTGCTCCAAATTTTTTCCTCCTCTTCCCTTCAACCTTTTCTCAAAAAGCAAACGAAACACTGGCACAGCAAGGACTGGGTGCAGAACCTGGAGCGCGCGGGCACCTGGTTGGGCGCGGATCTGGCAGTATATCGGCAGCCGCCGCTGCGCTTCGACGAAAGTGGAAAAGTGGTCGGGATCGAGGTGCAACAGTTCAAGCAAGAACTGGAGTACCACCGAGTGCGCGCGGCGTACGGATTGGACCCGACCAGACTGCTGCGATTGTAGTTCCATTTGAAAGTAGCTGCATTAGTTTGAGAACGAAGTACTTACTGATATGACACGTGGAATGAAGCAGTTGCAGAGTGAGAGAGTAGACCAGCACCTTCTCAAGAGAAAAACGTCGTGCTACTTGTAAATGGCCCTCTTCCTCGTGCTCTTTTCGAGCAGCTTCAATGCCGTAAGACAAAGACAGCCCGTACAGGGTGGCAAAAAAAAATGTTCTTTTGAGGTGGAGCCTAGCTTCAGCTTTCCTTCAGCAACACAACAACCATTACTCCTCATAAGCTTGACTTTTTGTTTTTGATATACATGCGTTTTGTCGTGTTAATGTGAAGATAAGTCCTCGAATTTGTTTCATTTGCCTAAGTTTTTGTGAAGAGCACGCTTCAACATCATCTCGACAAATCAGACAGGAAGTGGTATATATCTTTTCATTTTTGGTTTGTGGGGGCAAAGAAAATTTAGAGGAATTTCGAAAATAAGGTACAGATATTACACACTAGGAAAGTAAAATTGGAATTCATCCTGAGAACACAAAATCTTGAAAAGCAAGAAGCCATTTATGTGGGTGTTGTTTATTTATTCATCTTCATCTTTAATCTCGTTCTCGTCATCATGAACTACAGAAGGAACTTCGTCCACAAGAATGTTTTACCGAAGACCCGCTATTGCTAACCGCAGACGAAATAGTTTTGGAGAACTGCTCTTTTGTCTGACAACGACTAAATGCAAATCCGATACATGAGAGATATGATTGCACCGTCCCGCCCTACCCTGCTCATCCGCGTCTTGTGCAGCGTGTCGTGTTCCAAAGGCGACCGGATCTTCGTGCTCTGGTCGAGGTGGAAAGGTGAAGGACCTTTCCCCGATGTCCATATTCATACGGAGTCAGTGTTACTCTATCGTTTCTAAGTATTGCATCCATCTGCGGCAGTTCTGTTCCTGTAGTTGAAGGTGCAGCTACTTATAACTCTTCGTGGTTTTTCTGCGTTATTTCATCCGTTCGGACAACGAGCGTCCTGCGGCTCTGTTGGGATGAAATTGGTGAAAATCCTGAGCGTTATATTTGATTACGACGAGTAGCTAGGTAGTTCTCCTCGAGAGCAGAGGTGAAGAAATTGCAGCTATACATCGCATTCGTAATCGTAAAGTTCAGGAAGTCGTCTCGAAGATTGCAGGTGAACAAGTAGAACTACATCTACACGAGACGACTCGACCTCTTTGTACGCACAAGAAATCATGAGAGCATCGAGTGAGTGTATCGACAATCTCTTCGCTTGTGTGTTCAGCTCGCATAGCAGTGCGCTCACCCACTACAGCTCTTCACAAAGGACAGCACCTACATCAACACACAAAAAAAAAATCAGACCGAAGAGGCAAATTCACTTCGTTGTGAAACACGATCGAAAACCCGCTATGATGCCGGTGAACACAAGGCAACCGCCAAGCGGGGCCGGGGGCTCCTTACTTTCCGCACGCGGGCTCCCGCCGCTGCAGCCGATCGTGTTTAAAAACTCCCCGGAGTCACTCGACGGCTCCTTTCTGCGGAACCAAATTGCGCAGGGAGGTGCGGCAGTGGCGCCAAAGAGTTTTTACACGGTTCAGATGCCAGTCGCGTCCACGGTGCCAGTGCCGGTATTTTTTGGTAGAAGCGGTTGCTCTTGTGCCTGTTCTTCTAGTACCTTTGTCCTAGTTGCCGTTTCCACTCCTGTTGACGCCGTCGTGAGATGTTGCAGTACTCGTATAGCAGTGGACTTGCATGCCAAAAGATTTCCGTATGACTAAGTCAAACAAAATCATTATCAGCCACCAATATCGCGGATTTCTCTTGGCACCAGCAGTAGACGGGAACCAGTCACCGTGGAGGAGACGCAGCCACCAGCGACCACGGGGGCAACACGTACTCAGTACTTAGTCGGAATTATTTGGCACAAGTCTTCATACACGGTTCTTCAGCCCATTCTCCCATGCAGATGCGCTCGGGCTAGAGGAGGGAGTAGCACGCAGCAGTCCGGTAAAGGGCACACTGCCAGCGTCATCATCTCCCACGCAGATGCGCATGACAAAAAGGACATAGAAGAAGCGCGCGTGTCTTGCATGACACAAAACGCAAAAACATCACTTCCTTTATTAGGTTTTCAAGTCGCCCCTGATAGCCCGTTAGTTTTCGAGGAGGAGGAAGATCACAGTATGGACGAGCACTCGTCAAAGGCCACAAAAGTCGTCGAGCATGTCGGGAATCTGATGGGCACACTACGCAATACAAATTTAGTGATTTACCCCACGACATGACGCGCAGAAGCAATGAATATGAATTTTGGCAACTTACTTAATAAATAAAGAAAGACTATTAAGACATCATTTGTCACGCCGAACTGCAACCTGTATCTGTGCGGAGTAGTTGTTGTGAGTAGTAAATTTACCGTGGATACGCATTGCAGCGCTTGCACGGAGAAAACCGATTTTGGAAAAATAAGTACCTCACAGCGAAGAAGGAACACTTCGCAAAATTCTTCACGCAGACGAACAGTATAAATTGAGTCCAAGTGCTGGTTTGTTTGCATTTTTTTCGATTTTATGATTTTGTTTTTGTCTCGTATGTGGGTTGGAAACCGAAACATGCGTCAGTAGAGCTTATCTCTTTAAACGTCTTTTCCTGCCGTTGTTTGAGCATATTAACAAACAAAAATCACAGCCGGCCTCCTCTCACACGTGCTGCAGCTCTGGAAGGACCAAACGAAGGAAGAGATCTTCAAGAAAAAAATTGCGGCACTGGATATCGTAATGGAGAGGGAAAAGCAGTCACGGGAAGCCGAGTGGGGATCCAAAACAACCCAGCAGGAGGAAGGTTTTTACCGTTTCTTTGCTCTGTAATTTTGTCCGGTCGTTTTCTTAGGTTAATAGTGTCCCTTTTTCTACTTTGTAGTTTTCAAGCGTGGCTATTCCAAAGAAGCGCGATAGCGCCATCGTCAAGTGGTCGGTGCCGTGTATGGCATGTGTATTGATGAGTCAACCTAATCTAGAAGTACAACAACTTTGCACGTTCAATAAAACCTAGATTTCCGGCGGCGAGAGAAGGAAATTGAGGGCTTGGAAATCGAGCACCACCGACAACTAGAAGAGCTGACGATGCGTATGAGAGTGGAAAGTCAACAAAGTTTCTCATGCGGATGCGGCTATTCCTGCTGTCTCTGTCATGCATCCACATGAGAAATCTTCCATGTGTTGTCTTTTTCATAAGCCAGGCTGGCCGTTTGGAAACCACGGTAGCGGAAAGCAGAGAAAACTTTGAGGCCAATCGCAGTATCATCCGGGAGTTCAAGGTACTATGAATTGACATGTTGTACTTACACAATTTCAATTGTAGCAGCTCCTTCTTTTTTTATGATGCATCAAAAAACATGCCTGGCCTGCTCAATCTGCTACAGAAATTATTTAACCCAAACTATTCACTATCAGGACCGTCTGTCCGGTGTGGACAGCTGTTCGACCCCGACATACGTGGACCCGAACAAGGGTGCCGAGTTTCTCCGCGTGCATCTTCACGAGTGTCTGCAAACCGTCGACCGCCACTACGTGCCGCCCATTGGCACGAAAATTTTCAACGTCACGGAGCCGAGCGCCGCCGGCGGGAACGGCGGAAACAACAGCCGACCCTCCTCCGTGCGGCTCAGCCGCCCGGTGTCAGCGAATACCGCGATTTAACAAGGGGGGAGGGAATTGGAAGTGTCTTCGTTCTTCTAGATGCTTGATCATGTGCTGGTAATCGAATTGGCGCGGTGATGAAGTTGGGATGATCGCGAATTCCAGAACTTGCGCCCCGATGAAGTTCCGCACATTCATCGCGTTGGCCCAGCGTAGAAACCAATGAAAAACGCCCCCCGAGCTTGTGACTTACATCCGGGCCCAAGTTCTGAAAAGCCGCGGGAGCGGCATGGGCCCCGTCTGCGTGTTCTGAGCTCCGTAGAGGCGCCAGGAACAGGCTCTCGGCTCGCGCGGGGGTCGCAAAATCGATTTTGTGAACAGACAGCCCTCGGTGGGTGCCGCGGCTCAGTCCTCGACAGCCGCTGGGCGCTTGATGGGGCGCAGAGTCGGGGGTTTTAGTTACTTCAGGCTCGCAGAATCGTCTGCGGGTTCAATCACCCGAGGCGCGCAAAATCGATTTTGTTGGCCCGCTCCTTGTGCGATGTCCGCGTCAGTGGTGGTGCGGTAGGGCCCGTTGCCCGTACCTCATAGGGCGCGGGCTGGGACGGGGGTTGGTAAGGCATTGGCGTGGGAGACTGCATCCGCGAAGAAAGGGCGGACACACAAAATCGATTTTGTGGGAGATCCGCTAAAGCGCATAGCTGGAAGCTCTCCCCCCTAGTCCGTCGGCCCGGCGGATTGCGTGGCGCACCGCCTCGATATTGAGCCACGCGGCCGCTCGATTCTGTCGGACCTGGGAAGCTGCGAAATCGATTTTGTGTGGTCGGGCGATTGTGTGGCCTTCAACAGCCCTTGCGCGACCCACAACATCGAACCACCTGTGGTCAGCTCAAAACCGGCCTTGTGGTCGGCGCTGCGTTCTGGGGGAATGGAAAATCGATTTTGTGCAATCTGCGGGATTGCGCGTCTGGAGGAGGGGTTTTGTGCAATCCGCGTCTGCGGCTTCGATTTTGTGCAATCTGCGTTGTGTGCCATGCAAAATCGATTTTGTGCAATGCAAAATCGATTTTGCGGGATTCGGTTTTGTGCAATGCAGAATCGGGATTCGGTTTTGTGCAGAGCAAAATCGATTTTGTGCAGTGCAAAATCGATTTTGTGCAATGCAAGATCGATTTTGTGCAATGCAAAATCGATTTTGCGGGATTCGGTTTTGTGCAATGCAAAATCGATTTTGTGCAATCCGCGTCTGCGGGAATGCAGAATCCATTTTGTGCAATGCAAAATCGGGATTCGGTTTTGTGCAATGCAAAATCGATTTTGTGCAATGCAAAATCGTTTCTGTGCAATGCAAGATCGATTTTGCTGCTTTCGGTTTTGTGCAATGCAAAATCGATTTTGTGCACTGCAAAATCGGGATTCGGTTTTGTGCAACGCAAAATCGATGCTGTGCAATACAAAATCGATTTTGTGCAATGCAAAATCGATTTTGCGGGATTCGGTTTCGTGCAATGCAAAATCGATTTTGTGCAATCCGCGTCTGCGGGAATGCAAAATCGATTTTGAGCAATGCAAAAATCGGGAATCGGGAATCGCCCCCCTTAAGTTGGTTGGCTCTGGCCTCTACAGTTTCGCCGCGCCACCGGATTTTTTTTCGATTTTCTTGGCCGATAAAAAGTTGGTCCAAATCACTACCAACATGTGCTGGTAATCGAATTGGAGCGGTGATGAAGTTTCGAGATCGAGATGGACCGGGCGAGGTTCTCTGTTGTTTCGAAAACAAAAGACAATTAGAAGTAGAGTTTGGTATCTCTTAGACAAAAATAAATGTATCTGTTACACGAAATAAAAGCTGCAACAGAATTCATGAAAGAATGTCTTGATTTAACAATTACCCTCTAGTAAAACGGGCGCTCGACTAGATCTGTTGACAGAATGCGAACTAGGAACGTCCATATTTTTGGCAAATGAATCATCACGACAACCTCAACATGCCTATGAAAAAGAACTTGAGCACGGGAGGACGAGGCCAGTACCTCATTCTACTTGCAACGACCTTTTTTTAGCCATACCACTATCTTCCGGAGAAAAGCCTGCAAAGAAACTACTCCTGTAGTGTCCGCTAAGTAGCATCATCATGTTTCTCATATTTGTTTCAATGAACTGGTACCCAGCGGAACCCGCCCCCGCGAATTCAGAACGCAAAATGGACTACGAACAACGTATGATTCCGAATGTAAAAATCTATGTAAAATTTGACAAGATTATGGAGGTGTGGCTGTAGTTGTGCTTAACCGGGCGGCACGGCTGCTGCGGTGAGACCCGGAAGATCAGCGCTGTTATTCTGGAAGCACCAGGTGGATCGTGGCAGTCATTTATTTTCAAAACAAACACTCGACCATGGATCAATATGCACCAGACATAACAGGACCATGCTGAGCAGCAGGATCGTAGAAGATCGTGTCAGTGCAAAAGCGGAAACAGAAGATCGTGTCGCACCCTATATCGACATCGGGATCCTGCATTTTCTTGAAGTAGTGCCATTGAGGCATCATGGACATGGTCATGGATTTCTTTATTCTCGTGATAGACGTGATAAGTACCTCTTCTTCTATCAGTGCTGTGTGAGTGGTGTTTGACTAATTAGTGTAACGGCGCAAGAGGCAATGCCGCGTAGTTCGATCAAACTTTGTCCATGGGATTGTGTGGTGCGGCAAAGAAGCTCCTATGATCCTTGCTCTGTTGCTCCATTGATCTGCATGTAGATCTCGTCTCTTTATCTTTAAGCAGCAAGTCGTCTTGCAGAAGGGCACGATCCACTGAGACAGATACAGAGCGTTCTCGCGTAGCGGGTCTGTCGTGGATCAGGAAACAACAGCGATATGGAAAACAAGCTCAAGCTGTTTGTTGATAACTCGTTGCACTATTTGTGTAATCGCTACCTCTTGCAGCTTATGTGAAAATAAATAAAATTTCGCATAGAGATGAAGATGACAGCGAGCGCGTCTCACTGTGCGTAGTTCTGTGTGTGACAAGGACAACTTCGATCATCATGATAATAAATAGAGGTCGCAAACTTCGACAAATTCGTCCCGCCAAGCGAAGTATAGTTTTGCTCACGCGTCCGACTTTAGAATCTGTATGGTAAAATTGAGTAGCTTTTTCTCGCCGAAAGTGCCGCTTCTAAGCTCTTGATTTTGCAGCTCGAGTATTCTAATGCTTCTGTGCTTCTTCGTCCCGCCCGTATTAAGTAAAGTGCCAACTGTAACAAGAAAATCGTATGAGTGAGTATGTAGTTGTAGAGATCTAACCTGGTGGCTGGGCCCCCTCTAACGCAGAAAGAGAATTATTGGGACCGGCTATGGGATCGCGAAAAGGACGAAGGAGGAGATCGAGAAGCAAAATCAGACGCGGGTAAGAAAAGGCGCGTCCACAGGTAGCCCAACAGCATGCGTCTTCGCTTGCGGTGGCGATTTATTGGGCTCGCTCGTTCATAACCACTACCAGTCTTCAAGAAGGAATGGAACAAAAACAAAAATTGTGCTAGAGATACTGATACAACTAGCAAGATGTTGAGAGGCAAAGCGACTGCTGGTCCTCGTGGTCCTCTTCCCCTTGCGGGAGCAATTGCAACTCCGACTTCCACGACGGCAGGAGCAACAGCCCCCGCTACGCCTAGTACTGTCGCGTCCTCCACTGCTTCATCCCCAGCGTCGACATCTACTTCTTCGCCAGCTGTGCTTGCCGATGAAGGCCAAGCCATAGCCACTTCCAACGCGGAGAATAAGAATTATTCCCGCACCAGCACATCACCTTGCGCGGCGAGCACGACCAGCCACAACGAGATAAACGAAACTGCTAGTATTTCTACCTCAGCAGGGCGACGACGCGACCGAGCGCCGCTGCTTAGCGCCCGAGCCTTTTTAACCGCACTGGAAAACTTTGACTTCTTCAACGCGTACAAAAAGATCGGAAACCGCTGCAAACTGTCGCGGGTTTTCGCGGAATTGTGCTATTGCCAGTACAAACTGGACCGCTTCTCCGAGAGCATCCGCACGGGACTGATTGCAGGCTTTCTCAACCCGAACAACTGCCTGGCGTGGGACACTGTCGGCTGCGCGTTGCAAGCGATAAACACCGAGGAGGCTGATGCTGTGGTGGACTCCCTCGGCAATGAATTTGTCCGGAATTTTATTGCCGCGACGGGGGATCCAGACGTTGGCATGGTTGCAAAAAGTTCGCTAGAACTTGAAAGGCTGTACGGAGGGAAAAAAGAAATTTACTCGGAGGAAAAGAGGCGACAAAACATCAACGCCTTTGATCCAAATAAAGCCCGCGACACGATGAATCGGTTTTGGAGTTACAAATCTGACGTGAAAAAGGACGTAGCGGCAAGGATCGAGGTCACCGGTTACGCAGCTTTGACAGTAGTGCTGGACGAAATTATCGAGAACAAAACCCATATCAACGACCTGGAAGCCTTTACAGACAAACAAGAGAAACGTCTGCAGCAGGGCACGGGTCTGCTCAAGGAGCTTTTTATTTTGAAGACGGATGAAGATAATAGAACCGGCGACGAAGAGATCCAGATCCTCGAGGAGAAAGCGCGGCAGTTGCGGAACCGCTCGGAATACGAAAAAGCGAGGATGCTACTCGAGCTAGCGCTGACAAACTCGGAGGAATATCACGCCACTTGCTTAGCCTGCGGAGAGCATTTGTTCGGGCGAAGTTTGCAGATTCTCGCCAGGGAGGTCTTGGACAAGGAAGAACGGCGTGGTGAGGAGACGGTCTTGGAGCAACGACGAGAACTGAACGCAAGTGAAGAAAGCGGTACTAGCGAGTCGCGGTTAATATTCGGGAGCGACCCTTCTAGGAGTCCTTCTGGTATCAAAAAGTCCGGTGGATCTCCACCTCCACCCCAAAGTCCTCTACCTGTAGTCCCTACGACTATCATGATGCGAGGCGAAGTAGCGCAAAACCAAAAAAATGAAAACAATGAAAAGGCTCAAAGTGTGACCAGCGAAGGTGGAAACGATGAAGGAGACATCACAGCACTTCGTCTAGGGCTCGTGCAGAGCTTCGTGACAGTGTACATGGCAGAGGCCATTTTGCTTTGGCGCGCTGGGGCCGCGCATAGGAAGAGCAAGAAGCAAGAACAGGACAGGAAAAACTCCACTGCCAGCTCGGGTCTACAACAAGAAGCGAAAGCGCAGAAACAGCAGCCGCTTGATTACTCCAAGGAGTCGCGCTTTTTGAACCACAGCATGGCACTTTACATGGCATTCAGTTTGATGCTGAACACCAAAGCCAGCACGCGGCAGACATTGGTGAGCGCTCGCCACAAAAATAACGAGTACTTCAACGAGTACTCTCTCTGTCACAAAATTCCGCTGCTGCCCTTTGATATCTCAGAAGGCTTATCAAATGTAAAAATGTCTGGGTCTGGAAGAATGGAAGGCTTGCCATGCTTGTCTGGCATGACCCATGATGCTTGTAATGCATGACCCAGCATCACAGATTTTTGGAAAGCTTCCTGATGCCATTTCCGCATGACAAATGCCCTCCTCGCGTAGCACAAATGTGGCTCCTCTTGCTGGTCATGCAATACAGATTTTTTTAGAGTCCAAATGCAGCATCACAAGTTCCATTCTTCCAGACCCAGACACTTTTGCATTTGATAAGGCTTCGCGTTCAAGCTGGAACGAGAACTACCGGACAAGGGCAAAAACCTTATGGGTGTGTCAGGATCGAAATCGATAAAATCGAAAAATTTGTGATGCGTAAAATGTAGGGCACGCGACGCCTGTATTGGGGAGCAGGCCAATGAGACCGATTGTAAGCCTGTTTAGGGTTATGCAATGTGTTGCTAGAGTAGCATGACAGGAGCAGTCTGCTTTGCCCAAACAGCCTGACAGACTGGATTTTGGTGGTCCCGAAATTTGTCATGCGCCACTTGGAAACTGAGGCTCCAACTGGCATCCATTTTGTGCATCACAAATTTTTCGATTTTGACAATTTCGATCCTGACACATCCATAAACCTGTGTCGGAGATTACACGCCAGTGTGGAAAAGCTGGCAGGGAAGGTAATGGTTTGCGACTTTATCAGCTCGCGCAAATTTCCGTTCCCTTTTCTGACTTTCTCCGATCCGCTTCTCCGAAATCTTGTGGATTACGCTGCGAAGGAGCTCTTCCCGAGGTTCTGCGCGGCGGAGGGCGGGAAGAACGACCAACATCATCTGCTTCGTTTTTCCGAATTAGACTGGAGCTGCAAAAACGTACCAGCTGCAGACCCAAACCAGCGCCAAGAACGTCGCGGCTGTGATGAACATGTTGAAGAAACTTCTGCAACGACGAGTACCGCGGAAGACTCCGCGTTCGAGAACATCTCAGGACGCACGACCACAAACAAACAGAATGCGCAGCCTCGTTCGCAAAAATCATCGCGCACAGACATAAAAACGTTGCTGAATATCGATGACCATAGTGCTGTAGGTTCCGTACAGGACGAGGCGGCGAGCTTCTTGCTGGAAAACGATAGGACGGGACGAGGTGGCCACGACGTACTGCAAGAGGCGCCGTCAGACGAACGCGAGGATGTGGTACCAAATCACACCCAGAAGATTCTCCAGCACAAGGAGCAAACAGGCCAGCACCAGATGACAAATGAAACGGCAACAGACCAACTCGAGGTGCTGAAGCAGATGGTCTTTTCGCGGTTGCAATTTTTCGAACGAGCGAAGCTGCGGATTTTGGAAACAGCCACTCTTGTCCAAAACCGCATAAAAGAACAGGAGGCGTTGGCAGAAGAAACGCTGAAAGCCATTTCAAACATGAAGCAGGACTACAAGAAAACTGGCTGCCACTACCACTCGACCCGTTTGGCTTCAAATTTCGTCAAAAACCAGCAGCAGCACTGTGCAAATAGTAAAGCGGCAACGGCCGGCTCTGGTGCTAGCTTCGGCTCGGGCTCCTTAAAAGAAAATACGCGCAAGATGACCGGCACAAGCACGGCAAGTAGCAAGAAGACCACCGTTATCATTTGTAAAAACGTCCCCACACCAGAGTCAAGATGGGAAATCTGCTAGACAAATCAGCCAGGTTTGGTTGTTTGGCGTGACAAATTTGTCCTCGTAGTGTAATGCTGCTTAGGTAGTTCAGCAGCATCGCAGATCTAGTAGATCATGCTAATTCTAGCATCACGAATTCTAAAACACGACTAGAAAATGCCACTCATGGCGCTCCGCATGACAAACTTTTTTGGCATGCAGATTTGCATGGCAACTCTGGGGTGGGGACGTTTTGACTCAGCATAACCGCGCAGCACGCCTGGCTTTCCGTCGAGCTAATGCAAAGCTGGTATACGGAAGAACACCCCCGTATGGGAGTGTCAGGATCGAAATCGTCAAAGTTGAAATGATTTCTCATGCATAAATTGCAAGGCATGAAGTGCCTCTCTTGCAGGGGCGGCAAGTGAGGCCGACTGTCAGACCGTTTGGGGTCTGCGGTAGAGCTGCTAAAGTAGCATGACAAAAAACGCCTTCTCTACCTAAACAGCATGACAAGCTGGATTTAGACGGCGCCGAAATTTGTCATGCGCCGCTTGAAATTGGGCTTCCTCTTCCAACTGGTATAGATTTTATGCATTACAAGTTATTTCAACTTTGTCGATTTCAAACCTGACACTCCCATACCCCGGGGGTCCAGCGCATCTTCTGAGGGAGGTACTAGTCGGAGCAATGTTAAAGGCTCTTCCACCTCCCTAACGTCAACAAATGCTCCGGCGGCCAAAAAGAAATTCGCCCCGGACAATCCGAACGGCTTGCTGTGTGGAGCTCCGTCCGGCCTGTTCGTTCCGTGTCCGAAACTGCCGGAAGAATTCCAGAAGCACAGCCCCACGGTGCCGAAGGGCTTGGAAACCTGCAAAGTCTTGGTGCAGAACCTCCTCCGCCTAGCCTACTTGGAGGCTGCGAAAGAGCCCATGGCATCCGCGATGCACTATGAGGACCCAATGCAGCAACTGTTTCTCCCTGTGTCCGCCGGAAGTGGCGGGTTGCCGCTCCCGACGGCCAGCGTCGGCGCCCTGCTTCCTACGTCTTCGAAAAACGCGGGGGCCGAGGTGGGGATAAGCCCCGCGGAGGTGGAGGTGATGATGAACGAGTATCAAACAAAGAAAAGGACCCATGTCCATCCAATTTCTCATGCAAAACGTGCACTACAGGAGGCGTTTGTCATACAAAAAATCAATTGGGATGCGATGGGCCTTAGTGCTTTTTCTTTCGATAAAGAGGAGGTGTTGGCAATGGCTGATGCTGCGCGGAAAGAGTATTTGGAGAAGCGGTGGGGCATGGACTGGCAGATTGCGTGTGCCGTGTTGGACGAACAGATGGAAAAGATCATTGCGGCAGAACAGGTGAAGAAAAGTGAGCATGGGAAGATGAACAAGTGCGGCTCTGATACAGGGGGAGGAGCTGCGGTAGGAGCTGTGACTGCTGGCGCTCTTTTGGAAGATGTTAAAGAGAAGGATGAATCTATTACTACTACAACTAGTGCGGAACCAGAAGGAGATGAGCAAGGCAGTCGCACGCGCCTTGCGAAGGACGATGTGGAACACGAGAGCGGTGCTCGCGGTGCTCGTATTAAAGCTCTAGTGTCCAAGAACAACAAGCTTTTTGATGTCTTCAAAGAAAATGTGAAGAAAGCTTCAAAACAAATTCGCGCCGAGAAAGACGGATCCGCAAGTGGGCAGAAATCGGACGTCGAGCCAAATGACCTTCCAGCCCTAGCGGCTAGTACTAGAAGCAGCGACGAAATAGCTACTCCCGGACCTACGGCAGAAGAAGTTCGTAATGACGAGGCGAACAAGACGATGAAAGAAGATCCTGCAGAGACAGCACTGACCATGGCTGTGGAGGAGTCTCCTCCACAGCCATGGTCAGTGCTGTCTCTGCAGGATCCTTCCTCTTCTCCGAGAAGGCTGTTCTTGAAAAGCAGACCAAGCACAACAATCCAGACCCCAATTAGTGCTCCCGCCCAGCGCCGGCAAGAAGCGGCAAGACGAGGAGGCATAGAAGAAGTGCACGCCGCAAGCGCAGCGATGAAGCCGAAACCCGAAGAGACTCCTGCAGTTGTAGAGGACGACCAGGAAACTAACAAAAACAAATCCTCCCTGAGTGATTCGGATTTCGGCTCCGGTGGAAAAGTCATAAGAGGCTTTCAAGGCGGAGAATTTCTACAACAGGTCCGGCGATTACAAGAGCGCGCAGCTGCTTCTGGGTACAACTACGCTGCTGGCTCTCAACAACAATTATGTGACTCTAGTAAAGAGCAGCTGGCCAGCACATCATCATTTGTTAAGCGAGCTGAAGTCCCGCTCCGTAGTAGTGCGGCCAAGGAGGCCCTCCTCGCGGAACTTTCAGAGAAGGAGAACCAGGACCAGGAAGATGCTGTTCTTGAAAGTAGCTCCAGCTCCTTGGGCGGCGAAGAGGAAGCGGAAAAGGCTTGCAGCTCCGAGAGTCGGCAGGGACTTGGAAGTTGTTGTGACAAGTTGCTTTCAGAAGATGAGGACCAGCCCACAATGGCGCCCGAGACGGACCACAGTTGTTTCTGGTTAGGGACCTCGAAGGCGACATGGACTGTATGTCCTGCAAGGGGAGTGCCGTACTATCGTAGAAGTGTGTAATATAATGGATTCTTGCATTTTTTACAATTTTTTTCCAATCATAAAAGAATTTCCAGCAATGCAGATCGGCCTAAGATGAAAGCCACGAGAAGCGATTTTCTGTCATGGCATGACCGCCATTATTTAGATTTACGTGCACGTGTGTGCGATAGTACTTTTGCAAAGGATAGGCTAAGGCTGTCGACAATGTCGCACAAAAATTGTATCCACTCGGATCGATTCAGCGCACAGTGTACAGAAGCAGAGTTGCCGAAATAGAGGAACAATACAGAAACGCCAGAATAAATAGTCCAAAAGAAACATCGTCGTCGGCGTCGGGATCATCTTCTTCGCAACTGAATAGCTCGCCGGCGGCCGAGGACGCTAGCAGTGCTACCTCCCGATCTCCCACAGTACCAGCACAGGCACAGGGAAATGGAAAAATCGAGAACATCAAGAGCGCTAGAAGTTGTGCTGCACATGATAAAACCTCTCTCCCATCTTCTCCTTCTCCGCCATGTTTCGCGTCCGCGCCCTCCTCTGGCGTGGATTTTTTCGAACCCAACGGCACGCATCTGAACCTGGAATTTGAAGACCTCAGCGACTTGCTGCACGACAAATCGACTTTCGGAAAAGGGTCGCTCGAGTTGTTTTGGAATAAGAAGAACAGCTGCGCCGGAGGTGGTTCAGCTCCTGGCGGCGAAAAAATGAAGAACAAGAACAACTCGACGACCTTTTCCTCGTCCAGAGCAGCAGTTTACTACCACGCGGCTTCAGCCTCCGCATATACCGTCGCGAAGTATTCCGTAATCGTGGCGATGTTGAAAGACTTTGACGAGGACGCAGTGCCGCTGGCGGACGTTTTCCAGGTCTACTACATACGGCGTTCTCAAGCGCTAGTACACTCTCAACTGTTACGTGAAATTTGTAATGCAAGCATGGCAAAAGGGAAAACGAAAAGGTTGCGCCTTTACTTTTGCATTACAGGTTTGGAGCAGATCGTAATGCTATCTAGCGCGTCGAGAATTTGTCACGCGAAGCAGCTTTTTCGTGTAGATGCTGACGCCAATTTTGCATGACAAATTCATGGAACAGGAACAGCTGAGAGCGTCACACCTGAGAGTCCCATACTCCAGCTCGGTGTGGTCGAGTTCCGCCCTACAGTCGTTTGTGCGCGCAATCGAAAAAGTGCGCGGCCAAAGCGTAGACGAAGAAGGGCGCTGCATTCTACACAAAAAGGAAGGCGTTAAACAAGAGCATCAGAATACTAGCGCCGGCGGCGCTCGTGATGTTCATGCCGACCACCCTGTGGACGAGGTCGAGGAGATCATAAACCAGGGTAATAACCACGAACCACAGCAGGAGCACAAGAACTACAAGCACGACGACACAACTATCGGCACCACATGGAAGGACTTGCTCGAGCCTCGGCACTATCTGGAGCATTGGCTCAAGGTCGGTTACACATTGGTCGATGAGAAAGAAGCTCTTCCTCACGATGGTTCGTCTGGTGGCAAGATCGACACGAGTTGTACGGGAGCTGGGTCAGAGGCCGACGACGGTAAGCGAAGTGTGTCCGAAGTAGATCCGCACAGGCTCCAAGTTCGCCCGGATACGAAGCCGGGCGTCGTAAGTAGTGCAAGCGTGTTTCAGCTGCACCACGAGCAATTATTTGATGCAAGCTGCTCAGGCGGAGATCGGAAGATCTTACCACCGGCAGCAGCAGGAAGTAAAAACCCTGGCAGCAATGTCGTTAGCGCCAAGAACAGAAAAAGCCTGAAGAACGGCAAGGCATCAAGCAACACGAAGAATATTAACCAGGAGCACCAGCTGCGTCAAAATTTCACATCTCCTGCTGGAGGTGTAGCGAAGACTGAATGGAATCGCCACGCCGTCGACCCGAAGATTTTCCCAGCAAAGGCAAAAGCTCCACCCTGTCCCGTGTTCTCCGCTGCGGAAGCGCAATTCTTGTGGCTTTCCGGCGTGAGACCGTCGCTGTTCCGGTCCGTCTTACCCTTCGCGGACCGATCCAACCGGCTTGCATTGGTCCGGTATTACTTGACAGGCCGGCTCACGGTCGGGGACAAGATTTTGAAGGAGGTGAGACAGCGGAGAATGAATCCTATGAGAACATCAGTTTCAACGTCCTCCGCACCCGCAACTTCCAGTTGTTCGACCGGTGCAGCAAGTACTAGTTCCTGTGCCGCATCAACATTGGGCACAACTTCAAGAACTTCTAGCGGGTCGAAGGCCAAGCAGTCTCTCTCGATGACACCGAAGGGCGTGGCCACCGGCGCTGGTCCCGCAGCACCTCCCACAACTACTTCGAAATCTACCTCTACTTTCGAAGTCGGCAGCTTGACCATGTGGAACCGGCCGGACAACGCTCCGGAAAAGAGAGACTCCAAGTCCGCCATCGCGGTCGTAAATATCGGGACTCTATGCGGCGAATTCATCGGCAGTGGGCGGCCGGACAACCTGGATGTGACGGACCTGTTTACCATAAACCGGATGGTTGCACTTGCCGAACTCCGAAAAAACTTGCGGGAAGGGGCGGTGCAAATCCAAACGTGGTTTCTACAGTCGCAGCTGCAGCCCGTTACTAGTACTTCTAGAGAAGCTCCTGATGTTCCTCCGCCAGACGACTACAGTGACGTGGACCACGACAACTTGGGTGCGGTAGAAGAAGGAGGTGGTCCTGCAGCTACCGAGCCATCAAAAGGTGACGATGAGAAGTCAATCCAGCCAACGCCCGAGCGAGAAGGTGGACAACTACGGCGAGAAGAGGAGGACAAGAAAGGGACAGGACAGCAAAACAGCGACCTCCCAACATTTTCAAAAGAAATTTATTCGAGCTCCTGTGCCGCGACGGTGCATTCTGCAACGAAAAACAAGAGGAAGGCTTCTGCATATTATCCTCCTACAATATTATCGGAATTGCACAAAGCCCAGATCCTCGGCATTTTCCAAGCTCTGAAGCCCGCTACTGTGAACTGGAACGCTTTGATGGATCGCTTCCTCGACATGGACGATTTCCATCGTTTCGCGCGGAAGTGCACGTCCGTGCAGAGTACTAGGTCCTTCTCCTCCGTGCAACAGGCGAGCTCCTGTGCCTCCTCGCCGGCGCCTGGCGCTGCAGTTGCTGTGATAAAGAATACATCTTCGACAGCCTCAACCTGCCCGGCGCGGATCTACTGTGCCCACAGCGGACACAGCTTTCGGTGGGCCCAGGAGACCTTCGGCGCGTGCATTCAGGACTACTTTGCACCCCCGTGCAAGTGGCTTTTGCTACCGCCGGAGGAACAAATCAGGCGGCTGCAGCTGGACGCGGACTCGCTCGGCGCGGCGCGAGACCTGCAGGAACAGGTGCACAAAACGAACCACGAATTCGGAGAGAAACTGCTGAAGGAGAACGCGAATGTCGGCCATATGCTAGACGAGCTAGGCATCGCAGAAGTGGCAACATGTATAATCGCACTACGCACTTAGAGTAAGTAAGAAAGAAATCGCATGATCACAAACACAAGCTTTCTCAAGTTGAATATAGTAAAATTTGTAAGACGTCGCTCATATGCCAGCTTTGGAGAGACAATGAAACCTGTCATGCAAAAACACCGCGGCCACTAGTACGAAATGAACGAGTGCGAAGATTATACCACTTTTGCAATGCACAGTGGCTGAACTACCAGAACCAGGAGCAGACAGCCCAAAAAAACCTAATTGCAGCGATGAAACAGGACGACAGCAGCGACGAGTCGCTCGATGAGACGTTGGCCGAGAGTGACCGACTTTTAAAAGGCGCCTGCGAGACGGCGGCGCGAACGGCGAGGTGCAAGACCCTCAGCCAACACGTGCAAAAGTGTCTGGCGGAGTACACGAAGATGACGATGCAGTACAATGCGAAGAACCAAGAACTGGAGAAAATAATAGCGAAGCTCGACTTGGACCTGAAGCGGCACGGCTTCTGGAAATTGACCAAGGAGCGTGGCGAACAACTGCTTGGCTTAGTCTTCAAGCCGAAAAAGTCCAACCTGTTGGCGCGCGACGCCATCTACGAGCTGTTTGGCCGGTGTGGGTACGTCGCTTGCACACTGATCCACCCACGCCTCTTTTGCCCGGTAGAAAAAATCTTCGCGCAAGCCCTCGCCCCGTGGTTCAGCGACCACTGGACCTGCGCTGCGTTTGAAATGCCGCGCATTGATGGTCGTCATTGCAACATCGAGCACAAGGACTACATGAAGATCAACAACTGTGTCGAACAGGAGCAGCTTTTGTCTTGCTCTTCAAACGCGACGCTCCTCCATGGTACTACTATTCCCGATGTGCCGGAAGATGAGCGACCGTCTGACGCAAGATCAGCTGCACCTGGGAACAATTTGACCTCTACTAGTACTTCAGCACCCGTCTACGCCTACAGCCCGCCTTCCTGTCCGTGCAAACTCTGCGACGTGTCCTCCCTCGCGGTCCGTGGTCGCCCGGTGCAGCTGACCCAAATTGGCGCGCTGCAAGAAGACGAGTTTTCCCGGGGCATAGCAATTGAGTGGACCTTATCCTCAAAAAAAAGACCCATCCCCATCGAATTTGTAATGCAAAACATGCATAAAGTGCAGTGTTTGTGATGCAAAAAATGAATGGGGATGGGTGTTTTCTCCTGGATAGACCTACTCCCCGTTGGCGCCCATTCACGAAGAGGACGGGGTGGAGAGAAAGAAAGTAGGGCAAACGGTGGATGATTCTCGGGAAGTGGAGCAGGGGCAGCAGGCCAACAAGCGTCCTCCAGAAAGTGATAAAGTAGCGAGAAATCAATCTTCTACAGCGCAGCGACATGTTGAATCGGAAAATTCGAAGAACGAGTCGGTTGGGACTCCATCAAAAAATCTTCGCAGCAATAATATGAAGACAACAAGAGCAAATAAAAACGCGGCTTCTGCTTGTAGTGTGGAAAACGAGAAAACGAAAATATGTGCAGGCAGAACATCGGGTGTTCTTGCAGGAGCATTGTCTAAAAGCGTGAGAATATACCGATCGTGGGACTCAGAACACTTCACCAGGATTGACAAAGAGGCTGCTCCGCAGGAGCAAAAAGATGTTTTTTCATATATTCCTTTCTTACTTTTATTCTTTTATCACCATAAGAAAAGCCCTATTGTTTTGAGATGTTCATCGACATTCATTCATGTTCATGGTGAAGATTCGCTGCGAAAGAAAACAACAATGTCTGTGTTGAAAAACCAAAAATGACTTGTTTCAAAACAGCCTAAAGCGGGCACACTGGACAAGGTGGAAGATCATACTTTTCTCTTTTGATCTTTCTCTTTCTTTCAACTTTCAGTAGCTCCTTTCTCGGTCTGATTCATCTCGCATTTTCTTCTTGAACAACAGCACTGAAATTCAGAGTCTCGCACTTCTCACTAGGTATCTTTTCACCGTCTACAACCCTGCCTCCTGCGGACTCTGAATTTTCCTGCTCGTAGCCAGTCAGTCTCATCCGGAGAGTCAGCCCGAGCTGATTGACTTGACCCTGTGCAAATTGACTTGAAACGTTTTGCCAGTTTCGGTTTTGACCGTGATCGCACTACCGAAAACTTTTTCGACCTCGTACGGGCCATCCGCAAGTGGTTGCAACCTGTGCGAGAGGCCCTGCGTGAGCATCTCTTTGTGGATGAAGACGACATCGCCCTGCTTTAATTTCGTTTCGCCTTGTTTTTCTACAATTTCTTCCTGCTTTTCTTTTTGTAGCTCGATGATTTCGTCTTGCACCGCGATCATATTCTTGATTCTTTCATTCCAAAAACGATAGAAGAAGTCGCTGCTGTTTTTTGCGATGGTGAGAGATGTGCTCGGGCGCCAGCCGAAGACTATCTCGAAAGCACTTTTGCCGAGCTTCCCTGTCTGCACGTGCGTGTGGAAGCTCCAGGCTGCCGGCTGGATCAACAGATGCCAGTCGAGCACTTTCTTTTTCAAAAATTTGTCGATGAGGTAGGAGCGGAGGCATTCGCTGAGAACTCTGTGCATTCTTTCGATTTCGGATTGGGAAGTAGGGGAGTACGCACTTCCTAGTATGTGTTTAATCCCGTGGGTGTCGCACAGCGCTTGCACGATCGCCGCGAGAAATTCCGTGCCGCGGTCACTCCGCAGGACGCGGAATCTAAGTACCGAAGACGCAGATCGCTCGGAAGTAGATCACTGCAGCTACTTCCTTTGCTTCTTTCGTTGCTGTGCACTCGAGAATTGTCCAACCCGAGTACATGTCGATCAGCGTTAAGATCCAGGAGTAGCCCCCGGACTTCGTAATGGGCCCGACAAAGTCAACCTGCCAGATTTCAAAGTAAGGGCTGGACTGCGATTCCATCCTTGCGCGCGAAGCTGGTCAAGCCTTTTTTTGTTTTGCTCTGTGCGCAAACGCGGCACGCGCGGACGTAGTGGCGGACCTGTCTTGCCGCACCTGTCCATGTGAGTGAAAAACTCGCGGACTTTCCCCAGCGTTCTCTCGCGGCCGGAGTGGCCACCGTGCAGTGGGTCGGTGTGGAAGAATTCCGTGATTTTTGTCGTGTAGTTCTTTGGAGCAACAATCTTCGGAACAGGCCCCACATCTTCTAGTACTTTTTTCAGCAGGAAGCCATCCTTGACCTCGAAGACTTTGTGGGCGCGCTTTTTTGGCGGGTATTCTTCGAGCTGTAACTTTTGGAATTCTTTTGGGTCGATATCCAGCAAGCGGAAGTCAAATTCGACGCATCTGTACTCACCTTCGATGGTGTGGCAGAACAATTCCTCATCCTCATCGAAGTCTTTTCCTCCGGTGTCGAGCTCTGTGGGAGCGTCGATCTCATCCCGAGAGCCAGCCCTAGCAGCGGTCTCTGAGCGAGAGTCGAGCTCACCACGAGCGTCGGGCACATTTTTGAACTCTAGCTGTTGGCTTTCGGTAGAAGTAGAAGTAGAAGTCACGTTGCTACTGCCTCCTTGCCCTGGTGTCGCAGCACTTATCTCTGCGGTGCTTGTGCTGTTCTGGCCGCTCGGTTTCTGCCCTTTCGGGGTTTGGTCGTGGGAGTCTTTGGGAGGGACTGCTAACGCGGATTCGGCTTTTTTACCCTGCCTCCGTGGGGTGGTCTTCTTTTTGCGCGGTGCTGCCTCCTTGGGGAGGTCGTCCCTGGCGACTTGTGCATCGCCCGCCCGAAGCTGATCCTCGAGGCCGAACCAAAATTCTGCCTCGTCGCTGAACATGTCGATCGGCTGGTGGGACTGCAGGTGCTTGCGTAGCAGTTCCCGCACCTGTTTCTGTGTTGCCGTGCCGCGTGTCGCATACAACATGTACCGATGCGCGCGCTCCGGGCCTAGCGCTCGAATAGACAGCCACAACTGCTGCCGTTGGTTTGGACCTATCAATCTCGAGAGAGGATTTTTTGACCGTCAGCCCTGAGGAAGATGCTGCTCCCCCTCGCGTCGTCGTGCGTGAAAACTTTTACTTTTCCCTGGACGGGCTTCACTGGTAGGCGCTGCTGTGCCGTGAACCTCTTTTGCGAGCTGAGCAAGATCGAAACTTGTGGCGTTTTCCGTTTCCCATTCGGTGTGCAAGTCCCTCGCTGGCTGGGACTTGGGCTGTCCCGCTCCGGCGGGCTTTCCTCGGGCAGGACCTGCAGCGGCGGGTCGATTTTCCTTGCTGTCAGTTCCTCGCTGACACTCTCGGCTACTTGCTGCGCTGTCGACACCGCTGCGGCTGTCAAGGAAATGGCATCAAGCTGCGTCCTTTGCTTGTTCACTTCTTGCTCCGCTTTTTCTGCTTTCTTCTGTTTCGTCTTTTCCTCTTTCGCGTTCTTTGCTCGTTGGATGTGCTGAGCGGCAAATTCTTCGACCAACTTCAGGGGGGGCATGTTCACCCGATAGAGGTCGTAGATCAGCTCCCGCACAGGTTTCCCTTCGAGAGTGAGCCGGTGGAACTCGGTTCTCGCTGCGCTCACTCCTGGCCCCTGCCGGGACAGCCAGTCTGCCGCAACATTCTTTTTGCCGGGGATGTGCAAGAAGTTGTAGTCGCCTGCAGCGCGAATCTCGATCGCCCACCGGATGGTCTTTTTTAAAGCTTTCTTGCTGTTCAAATCCCTTTCGATGCGACAGGCAGAACATCGGGTGTTCTTGCAGGAGCATTGTCCACTGCACAAACTCCCAGCACGAAGACCGCATCTGCTGCAAATACTGCAGTCGCGGTTGCCGCTGACGGACCTCCATCTGCAGCCGGAGTGGATGCTGAGCGTGAAGGAGGTGAAGAGACTTCTAAGGCCACACTGAGCGTGGTTCCGCCCGAGCTCACGCATTATATTTGGTGTCATGACTTCCTCATGTCGAAGTTTCAAGACGGGTCGACCAAGCGCACTTTCCCACTGAAAGTGATACGCAAAAGACAGAAAAACCTGGCCTTTGGGCACGGGTTTTGCAGACTCGCACAGCAGCTCGAGGAATTGCCGGAAGGGTGGCTGTACGTGATGGCCGGTCCGGTAGACGATAGCTCGCTGGATCACTACAACAGCGATTATCGTACGATGCCTATCAACGAGCGCTTTATTAGCGGAGAAGGACGATCTACTCGGTCAATCATATTACCCTCTTCCTCAAACTCAACATCACCTCGCAATGTTGCAAATTCATCCTCGAAACAGCACATCGCCGTACACGACAAGAAGGCGAACGCAAAAATAAATGGAACAAGAAGTTGTACCAAGAAAGCTTCGACCACGCCAAAGAAACACGTCAAGAATAATGGCAAAGATGGAGTTGATAGCCACCAAGGACAGCACAACAAGCACACAATAAAGTCAAAGCTAGGACAAGAAGAAGATGCGGAAAAAATAGATAGAGGGCAACATGGTGACACGCCCGTGAGAATCTTCTACCTGCACAGCCAAACTGGAATCGCAACGACGCTCCGGCGCGTGGTTTTTCAAAAGGTCCTACGACAGGAGCACGAAGCGCTGGGAAAGCTGCTGAAAACGCCAATGTTCGAGTTGGTGGACGGGTGGCTACTGGTGAAAAACAACCAAGCTGACACACCCATCGTGTACTACAACACGAAAACGCAGGAGCAGACCACGATATCCAGGAAAAAACACCCATCCCCATCCAATTTGTCAATGTCATGCAAAACATGCATAAGCTCCTTTACCTTTGTTTGTCATGCAAAAAATGGATGGGGATGGGTTTTTTTTTCTGGATACACGAAGCCCGACCCAGATACGATGCTGCGTTTCGGGGTTCTTGAGGGCAACGAGTTAATGGACTTTCTCTTTCTAAAATTTGACGACGAGGAGGAACATGATCAGGAGGACGCGGAGTCAAAGGAGAACCTTGATGGGGAAAGCGAAAGCGCGGTCGTGGATGAGAAGCAGAAGCAAGCAGTACTTGGTGCAGCACAGGAGGGCGCAACAACGCCAAAGTCCACCGCGGTGGCGTCACGACCGGAGAAGTCCTCGCTGAAAGAGAAGTACTTTTCGCTGCCCTGGGTTCCGAAGGAAGTTGTGGACACAAATTCGTTGCAACAAATAAAAGGTCACATCGACAAGGACAAGGGCGTTCACTGGCTGTCCGAAATTAAGAAATGGGCACTCAGCACGTGGCCCAGTAACTTTCCCACTCTGCGGCAACTCGACACGGACCTCCCGCGTACCAACATTATAGCAGTATCCTGCGGACGAGCGAAAGTGATATCGCACGATGCGTACTGATAGATCAAAATATAGTCTGACAAATATGCTCTTTGCTCTCACGCGAAGAACACGCTGTCTGAATCTACATGAACATGACAACATGAACGCTCTTCTTTCACTTTCTTCTTTCGAAAAAACGTAGAAAATTGTGTATGAGTTCTAAGCCGTCTCGTGCGATATTAATATTATTTTTGCAACGCATTACCGGAAAAAATCAAGAACGGGGAAGCTTCCGACAGCGATTTGTTTGACTACTTCTACAACGCGGTTTCAAGAGCTGGGGAATTATGCATTCTGCAAACATACATCCTGTCAGCCTGGGTAGTTGTTCAGAGTTGTGATCCATGTATCCTGCAGCTATGGCCGCCGAGACGGCGCGTCTGTTCTTGTGCTAGCACATGCACAGAATCAAAAATGACTATTGCTATGAATACCAACACTTCCTACTTTTTCATCTGATGATCCAGAGAACCGATAAAAATTGTGGAAGAGGCTACTGAAAAAAAACTAACTGCCTCAGGATCTTCACAATCATCACTCGATAGATGAAACCCAGGCTACATGTTGATATTTGCAGCCGATACGCCTTCAAGGACCTGATCGACGAGAAGGAGGTGAAGAAGTTCAACGCAGTGATGAATCGAGCGCGGCTGCTGACCTGGAGGAAAGCGCGATCGCTCATGGCGGACCCTGAGGCCGATGCAAATCAGAGTCTGCGCAATGCATTTTTGAGAGAAGATTATACTCACTGGCCGAGCTGGTGACACTAGCCAAGAACGCTTTGAGCAAAGAAGAATCTACGAAAAGAAAAGCTCGGTAGCTAAGTACCCAGCGTCAGAATGATCTACATCTACATTATTACAGCACCAATGACAAAATAAAAGCTGTCCGTCGAAGAACCAAGCAAGGAGCGTTTGGAATGCCCTCAGGGCGGCCCTGCGGGGCTGCATGATAGTGATTTGTGCCCGAGGACGTAGCAAGAATCTCAGGAGATCGAGATCTTTTTCTTTAGTAGCCTGGAGATGAAGCAAGAGACGATGAAGCTGAAGCCTTTGATTAAGTCACTTCTTCGATTGGAGGTTCATCAGGTTCTTTTACCAATAGTGGAAAAAATGGAACGAAGACCAAGACACGAGATCTGCGATTCACTATCTTGGTCGTGAGCAATCTTGTACGATCTTCCACCGTCAGAAACTATCATTCGACCGCACGTGGTCTAACTTTGCATGCATTTAAGTATTTCGTTCCCTCCACCGAAGAGTTGTACAGAGTTGTTTCGACGACGTACACAGATCATCGTGGCGCTAAACAGTAGAAACAGGCCTCGGTTCCTTCGTGAAGATGTTGATGTATACTCAACAAAAAAAGCATCTGATGATCGCAGAATATTTTATAGTTGGGCCGCGACTAGATTGAATATGACTTGCAAGGCAACTACCGCCCCAAGTGACCCTGCTCTGTTTTACCCATTTTCTTTACAGTGTAGAGTGTAGAAAAAAGCTTGTAAGCAAAATAATCACGACACTCTTTACATCGAACGATGGAGTCAACACCACAAGCGCAGCGACATCTTCATTACCGGGACTTATACCGGCAACGCCGCGGCCTTTATTCCTACCTGTTTAGCTTCATGATTCAACTGCGACGTGTGCCGTTGGCCATTGCCATAATACTGACTTTTGTCAACTCGCCCCTGAGTATTGCGGGCGAAAATGTCGAAGCCACTTCGAATCCCAGTGTTGATAGCCGCAAGGATAAGACGGCCCAGGCCAAGACTACTTCTACTGTCGAACGTTCAGCCAATTATGCCGGGGCTCCACTGGAGGACAAAAACGCAACCGATGAGGGCGCAAGTGGACGCGAAACTGCGTCTGTTGCAGCTGCCGCGACCAAAAGTACCGAGGATTTTATTGACTGCACGACTGACTTTTCCGAGGCGGCGATTAAGCGAGCGTACCGACGGGCGGCCAGTAGGACCCATCCGGATATAGCGAGTGCACATCGAGGTCGCGAAGGGAGCAGTAGCGAAGCTGACGGAAAAACATTAACCTCGTTCGCAGCTAATGCTGACCGTGCTGATGAACAGAAGCATAACAAACAGGAACAGGATAGAGCGGTTGTGGGCGACTTTGCGGAGCTTCGCGACTCCTGGCTTCGGGATCCGATGCGGTTCCACATCTTCCGGGCGCTCACGCAAACTCGGAAAAGTAGAGAAAGCGCGGCAGAAGGAGACGACAGCAATGCTGATTCACAAGAAGTAGGCCCCCGCACATCAGAACAACTACTATCCGCTTCAACTACAACATCGACGGCTGCTGGTGGAGCGTTAAAACAAACTACTACACCAAAAAACATGAACACGATCATCCAGGCGGCGACCGTCTCTGTTCTCTACAACATTGACCAAAATGACCCGGAGTGGCCGTATGTGAAAGTCGACTTGGCGGTGGATATTGCGCTTGGACAAATCGACGGCGCTGCCAAGTGGTCTTTTGCGTTCGGCAGACAAGAGGACCACACGACCGTGCACTACAAAGGAGACGAGGCCATCGGCGGCTACGAGATGTGCCACGCGGGGTTTATCCAGAATGAGAACCACGATGCAATTGAGGGAAATCGAACCGAAAAAACTCAGAGGACGGAGAATTATGATATCACCGAGGAAGACGAAGCTCGTGGGCCTGAAACAACTAGTACAACAAGCGGCCCCGACGTCGAGCAGCTCCCATCAAGGGTAACACCACACGAAAGCAGCTGCGTCGTGCCGAACGCCAAACCCCTCCACCTCTCCGTCCGTCGCCCGTTACACATCGCGAAGGCCGGCCGGTGGGGCGCGGCACTGCAGATAAAAGACAGGGAGAACAATGTCGCTGCCTGTGTTGCCTTCGCGTTTCACGTCGATAGGGAGTACACGATGAAGAAACTTGATGCTGCACAACAAGAACAGGAGGACCACCTCCACGGTGGTGCATCATCATCTTCGGCATCGACTGGTGAGAGCGGCCTTCCGAAGTGCTCGAAAGGTGACGAGGACAATGGAAGTAGAGATGCTAACGCTGGTGGTCCTGACGGCACTACCTCCTCGTCGTGTCAGAACAACTCGGCCAGCGAACATGAAAGAGGCCAGACCTCGACACAAGGCACTGGAAAAGAAGATGCTAACTCAAGGTCAAGAACATCAGGCCCCTCTTCTTCAACAAGAAGCGCCAGCAGACCGTCGGAGCCACCTGAACCTCGATTCAGGTTCATGAAGGGTGGCGCTTTCTGCGAGGACGGCGCGGATATATTGGAAGGCCCTCTAGACAATTATGGGAGAAACGATCCGTGGCGCGCGATGCTCTTTGATGAGTCTACCAAGAACTCCCACTTTGCTGCGAAACCCGGAACCCACTCCGACTCGGATCTCTATGGGGGCAACTGCCGCGCCAAGTGTTTGAAGCGTAATCGGTGCAGGTTTTACACCATTTACAGTTCCGGCTGGTGCCAGCTGTCGACCCGATGTGGTAAGTTGAGAAACACTGGCGACCCACTAACAGCGACCTTTGCGAAAGAACTTGTTTGATCTATGCGACTTTCATATTTTTTTTTTTCAGATAAAAATGAAATGGCGGTGGCCGTGGCGCAAAGAAAAGATATAAGATTGATATGTAGACTCTGAGAACTCAGAAAGTAGAGTCAGACCAGTGGCAAGAATGCTCCACGTGTTGTTCGGAAGAGCACATTTTTTCATGACGGAAATGTACTTAAACTCGTATGTGAGAACACAATTTCGCATTAGCTTCTGGAGGACGAGGCAGAATTGCTGTAACTGCCGTCGCTAGTAGCAGGCCGACCAAACTTACTAGGAAAGCACGACAAGATCACAAGATGACGCTCTTGCAGGCTCGTTAACAAACTGGATCTTCACACTTCTAATCCTATATCATTGACGACAGCGACAAGCTCCCTGACTATTCCATATCCATGGCTCTGATCGATCAAACTCTAGAACCGAGTTCCTCCTCTTTATTTTCGTGTCGACGAAAATGCTTTTGTGGTTCTTGAAAATGCGATGTGCTTTTGTTCATCCATAAAAATGCCAACCTAAAAGTCGTCGTGTCAATTTTGGTGACACGACTTTTAGGTTTTGAAAGTCAATGCCAAGTTCCTCTATTTCTTCTCATATTTCCTCGCATGATGGTTGCTATTCCTATTATTTCGTTGGTTTTCGACGTCGAACATAAATAAGTTTCTCTGCTTATCTGAAGTATCAGCATCAGCTTCAGAGTGTTGACATGTCATTTTTACTTTCTCGACGCTGCATGATATTATATGTTTAAGCTATTGATTTCTGTCGGAGAAGAACATATGGTCTTTGTTTAGCTAGAGATCATAGCGACCTCCTGGCACCATTAACAACAACCCGAAGTACAAGTAGAGAAGCAACACAGAATAAGTACTTCGTCGAGTTCTTCAAATTTATAGTCTTTATTTACGACAAAAGCTGCGACGAAAACAAAAACAAAGCGGCCAGTCAACCGGGGGAAGAATAAACGAAAATGGCGAACAGTAAATCAGGGAACAAAAAGAAGCCAACGGGCAAATCGTCCGTCGTCTCAGCGGGCGCCCCGGAATCCACTCCCAGTCTTATTGCAGGGAAAAATCCCCCCTCCCCATATCAAAACGGAAATTTGTGATGCTGATTTGTGGCCACAAATCAGCTTTGTATTGCAGAGAGGCATTGCGGCCAGATCCCCAGGCTAAGCAGGGGCGTATGGGTCTAGTTGTTCAGCATGGCAAGCGGCTCCCCTTTAGGCCCAACAGCATGGCAAATCGCTTCCATAATGGGGCGGAAGCTTCTGCCCTTGTCTTCTTGCAAGACAGATGCGATTAATTTGTGACCTGAAATCCGCAATACAAATTTTTGGAAACATACCTTTTCAATATGGGGAGGGGGGATTTTTCCTGTCAATAAGTCTGAGTACCGCGGCAAACACGCCCGAGAAGGAACAAAGCAGTGATAAGACTTCATCCAAGAACTATTCCACAAGAAATTCTGGTGGTTGTTCCACCTTGCATAATAAAGTAACTGGAGATCATCATGACAACATCAACGAGACTGCTTCATCCAGAACTGGCGAAGTGAAGACTCCGCAAGAAGCACCGCTTGGCAAGACCAGTACAACTTCAACAGCGGGCGAGGACAGCAGCAAAAGAAATTCAACCAATAATTTGACCCCAACAAACGTGAGCAAACTGCCGCAGCATCAACAGCAAGAGCACCAACAGCAAATCCAGAACTTAAACATGGATCTCATCCGGAGGCAGCTCCTGAACCGGTTCCTGCTGCAGCACGAGAATGCGACGAAAGACCACGATTGGATGGAGCAGTGTCAGAAGTTCGCGAAAATGAACATGAAAGGCATTTTGGACGAGATCGTCACCGACGCAGTCAACGGAGAGTGGGCCAGCTTCGCACTCTTCTACCAGAACCAGAACCTCACGCAGGGGGTATGGATACCATACTGCTTTTTTAACTTCGCGTCCTTGAAGTAGATCTGGGCATCCAGTTTATCCACGACCTCTATACACAAACAAAAATAACTCGCTCTTGATGTATAGATGAGTAAATTCTTCTGAAAATGATGAAGATGATCCTCGTTGTTCCTACAACTTGATGAAGTCAATTTTTCAACCGTGAAGAAGATTCGAAAAAAACCGTCAAATGACCCAGGTGAAGATGCTCCCCCAGCCCGAGCACATCCACAGCCTGATGCTCCAAGACGCGGAGAAGCGGTACCAATTGTGGCGGGAGCTGATGATCAAGTCCATCCTGAAAGACGACAGCACGGGCACGGAAGAGATGATCGCGCAGAAGCGGGTCGATAAGTTTCAGAAGATCGACAAGCTCGCCAACTTTTCCGACGTCTTCAGCGAAGACGGCCAGGAAATGAAAAAGCATTTCTACTACGACCGCGAGGACGAACGACACTGCTTTGTGATGAACGGAAAGTACTACGGCGGCGACTTGCACGACACCTTCGAAGTGAAGGAGATCCCGGGGAAGGGGTTTGGAGTGTTGGCGAAACGCGACTTGGAAATCGGACAACTGATCCTGGAAGAATTCCCGATTTTGGAGGCGACCAAGCGCAAAATCGCGGAGCTGGCGATCAAGAAGCGGGAAAAAGTGGACGCGTTTGATTACTTCTTTGAAGAATTCCGGAACCTACCGGAGAAGGCGCAGAAGGCGATTTTGGATTTACAGGGACAAGACCTCGGGCGGGAGACGAGCGACTCCGGAGGTGGGTATACAACAACCGAAGAGGAAGAGGAGGAGGAGGATCAAATAACATCTTCTTCTAAAAATGTTGTAGAGAATCAGGCTGTGCCATTATCGTCAAGAAATAAAGCTGCGGTAGATGATCCGCAACGGAGGAAGAAACTGGTCCAGGAGAAAAAGCAACTGCGAAAATTGCAGCGGCAGCGGCTGCGAGTCCGCGATATTGCGAAGACGAACACGATCGAGCAGGCCGGGCGGCGGCGCCTCTTTCTGACCCTGTCTCGCTTCAACCACAGCTGCGCGCCCAACTGCGGCTGGGAGCAGGTGGACGAGAGTTTACTGCCGCAGAATTGCTGTAACAAAGAGAAGCAGAAGACCATGCACGAGAAACAAGGCAAGGACCTCCAGCCGCTGGCGCTGCAAGAACCCGCAGAGTACTACTGCTTCGCCCGCGTGCGAGCGACGAAAAAGATCCGGAAAGGTGAAGAATTAACCTTCCCCTACATCGCCCTCTTCCCGGGCGCCGACGAACGGCGCGCGCAGCTGCGCCGAAATTGGGGCTTTTGGTGCACCTGCCCGGCCTGTGAGGCAGAAGAGGACGCGGCAGAGGCGGTAAAGAGAGGAATAAAGATGTCTGCTAGTAGCTCTTCGTCTGCTGGGAGGCCGGGTACTAAAAATAACACGACGCAAGAGGAAAGCGACCCCGATGAAATGGAGAACAGCATGTCCTCGTCTGTAACTTGCACCCCCTTCGCCACAATAAACAAACCACGCGCCCTTTTGCACGCCTGTGAGCAGTGGGCGACAAAAAAGTCTATGTTTGCGAACCAGCAGGACGAGCGGAGCAAACTCAAACTCCCGGAGCAGCACGTATTCGAAGTAAAAATTTGCAGCTGCGCACGTAAAACTAAAGAATGCGACTTTGCATGACGAAAGAGCACGCGCGGGCTATTGCTATTCCGCAGATGAACAGGTTCCTTCCTCCAACAGCTTAAGTTGGCTACCTAAACACCGAAGAGAAGATCTGCCTCGCATAGTTATCTACGTCGTGCGCGGCTGCAAATTTGTGTTGCATAGCACGCGAAAGGGTACCACAAAATCTTGGAGCGGGTGCACAAGGAGGACCCGAGCGCTGTTAGCGCCATGCAATCCGTTCTGGAGGCCTATTACATGCTGGAGAACGTGATCGGCAACAACAAAAAGCAAGACTGCACGGACCTATCTGCTGCGTCGCTATTACTTACGGACAACTGCAACGAGGACCGGGAACTGCGCCAGCAACTGCTGCTCCAGCACCATTATGCACGGCAAAAGCAACATCATACTCGCTAATATCAAAATATATGGATGTTGGCAGACGATCTTCTAGTTTTTCTTGCCTGAATTATCTGCATGACGAATTTCGGATCTCCCCCTGGAATTTTCTTTTTTCATGCAATACTGTAGTATGATACAGTAATTACCAATTAATACGGTAGTACGAACGATCATGAACATCATGATGAGAAGATAACTTATGCCGTGCATAACCAGAATAGCATCCTGTTTCTCCGTCATTTGGACTTCACCAACAATTTGAACTACTTCCCCTTGGTGTTACAGTACAAGTTTTGGTCAAATATGGTGGAAAGCTGGATGCAGATCCGGATTTTGCGCCATGAGAAGGACACGATGGCGAAAATGCAGGCATTTGTGCAACAGAGACGGGAGTCGCCGATTGAGTTCCTGAAGATTCAGATCGCGGACTTGAGCGCAGAAAACAACACGCCAGAGCACACCATGTTCCGGTGCGGGATTTTGCTCCTGGCTTTGCAGTACAGGGCAGCGTACTTCGCGTTCGGGCCGTTTTCCAAGCCCACCAAGGAGGCAAAGGAGTTCTACGACCAGATTCAGGCGCTCCGGAGCTTGCGCCACCGGGTCTTGTGTGCAACGGAGAATTTGGAAGCGGTGCCGTGGAAGAAAGAAAAGCCGGGCAAAAACAACAAGGAGAACAAACAGATTACGGTAGAACAGATGCTGCGGCACGTGCAAGAGATCAATAACGCTGAGACAGAAGACGCTGCGGCCGCAAAAGTTAATCAGAAGTGCAAGTCCGCTGGGACCACGGAAGCGGCGGCCTCCGGCGGGGCAGGAGCGAACTCCAAAAAAAACAAAAGGAAGAACAAGAAGAAGTGAGCCTGAATTTCTTTCAAGTAGAAAGTGCGCCAATGTTTGCGTCTTCCTTTACTTCCAAGATGAATGGAGCGAAAGACAACGCTATTGAAACGCAACGAAGTGCATTTTGGAGACCGGTGGCCCAACATTTTTTACGCTAAACATTTTTTTCAACCCGCTGTGATTTGTGAGAAGCAGGAGATCATTTCTTCTGATTGCTCATTGCAAGAAACAGAACGGAGGCTTCGACCAATGGTATTCGCTTTCGCCGACGTGCAGCTTCGTGTTCTACACTTTTTAGAGCACGTTCCGCATCCGTGCGTGGTTCAGAACCGAAAATATTAAACGAACCGCGATGCATCGGTGTGTCCCCACAGTTTTCATTTTGTGTCGGTGTGTCACAAGAGGCACTCCCACCGCAGCAATTTCGATAACAGAGGGGTACGCAACCGCAAGAACCATGACGCCAGTCGTTTAGAAGCGGGCACCAAACCTCCTCTTGTCGTTTATTTGTGCAGTGCAGGTGCACCGCATCATTTCATCTGTGTCGGCTTCTTCTTCGTGCAAATCTATCTTCTCGTGATGAAAGTTCTGGTGCTCATCAAGGCAGCAACCACCCTACCTGGTTTATTAATCTCAATCTCTCCACCCTGCCCGTTTCCGTAATATTGTAATGTTTACATACATGGACCAAGGCAAGTTCGTGATGTATTTTGTAATCGAATTATTTTCATTTCATAAGCTTAATCCTACACATACACCTTGGTGGAGTGCTATAATGTTGAAATACTGTATGTATGATCCGAGTCCGACCTTTGAACTTGGTGAACTTGGTATCAAGCGCCACGCCGAAAGACCGATTTAGCCTTTTCAAAAAGCACTTAGATTCTGCAGATGAAAACTGCACGAAGTAGAGGAACATGAATATCACGCTGATTGAACCACATGTCGACGTCTAACCCTTGTCCCGACCCCTCTTGGCACTACCATGCCCCAACCCGTCGTTGCTACAGATATTTCTCTCCCGATGACGACGATTTATTCTCATTGTCCGACGCGATCTCCTCGCCCGCACAAGAACTCGCCGCGACCCTCGCGAGCGGGCAGGAAGAACAAGACTCTCAGTACGGGTGGCCTTTCCTGACTTGTCAGACCCAAATCTGCGAAGCCTTTAACGCGACGGTGGCCACCGTGGTCCGGGAAAATGAGGATTTCCTGTGGAGAGTCGTTGTCGACAAGAAAAAACGGCTGGATTCCATGCAAACCTCCTTTGGCAGCAGCAAACCGACGAACCTCCGATCCCAAGACCCCTTCCTCCGGTTCTGGGTCGGTTTGTATCGCGGCGCCGAGTCCGAAAGCAAGAGCGACATGCAGGCCTGGTTCTGGGTGGAGGGAGTGCCAATTGCGTCGTCAAGTGGCAATAGTTTATTTCCGAGCAACAGCACCTGCGCCTCCTCTACAAGCTTACTTGAAAACATCGCCTTCACGAGGATTTCCCCCGGGCAAGAGGTAAACACCGCCGTGTCTACCAATGCGGATCGCGACGTGGGCAAATTTTTGGCTTCTTGCGAACAACACATGGGCGGAGGTGGGGCCGCGATATTAAGTACAACTTCTGGAACATCAGGCTCTTCATCTGCTGGCTCTTTCCAACAGGAAGAACTTCGGCTGCAGATCGCAAAGCACGCCGATCCGCTCTGGCCCACGAAGCTCGTCGGTTTGAAGAAGCAACTGCCTTGGGCACGGTACGAACCAGACGGGGGTGAGCAGTTCAAGCTCGAGAGGTTTTCGAAGCAACTCTTCACTAACCGGCACGACTGCGTGTACGCGCTCCAGGAGAAGTTGTGGGGCCGGTTATCCAGGAACAAACGCCCATCCACATCCAATTTGTCATGCAAAACAGGTATAAAGTCCTGTGTTTGTCATGCAAGAAATGGATGGGGATGGGATGGATGTTTTTTCCTGGATACCGGTCGGTCTGGTACGATACGGATTGCCACCGCCGTCTCCCCTGCCTCTGTCAGTCGAACACGGTCGCGAACTTGGCTTTTCACACCGTCGACGCGGTCCGTTTGTCCGAACTCGACACCCGGGAGGACCCGTTCAGCCAGCAGTTTGGCGCCACCCAGTGGCGCGGGGCGATTGTCCTCGTCTTCGCCGCCTTCACGCTGGCCTTTGTCGTCAGTGTCGTGAACGCGGTGGTGCAGCGGATCGTCGTTAGGTGTTTGCATGGAGTGAGGGTGACCACGCCGCCGGTGAGCAGCAGGCCGACGTCGACGGTGGAACAACAAATGACTTCTAGCAGCGGTGGACAGCAACTGGCAATAGCAGAACTCAAAGAGGAACAAACCGTCGAGGACGAAATCGAAGAAACTGAAACGCTGCTTCCCTTGCCGCAATTTTATTTCTTCCGAATGGCCATGGCCGCCTGCGTGCGAAACTCGGAAGGGGTCGTCATCGCCCTGGAGAGGGCGAAACAGGCATACGCAAGACTGATCCACTCGGACAATTTCCTTGCTCCTAGTTCTCTTTCAAAAAATGTAAACCCTGCAACGGAACGACCAGATGTGTTGTTTTTACACTCTGTGGACCACACCAGTAGCACTGCGGCGAAACAGGCAAACGTGAGTACGAGTAGAACAAGGAGGTATTATCTGCGAGACGAACAGAGCATCTACATCTCGCCCGCCCCTGCAGACGAAGCTAAGATGTTGAAAACTACAGGAATTATGCAATCCTATAACCCGTCGTCCTACGCCACCTCCACGACTGCGTCGACTTCGCCAGACGAGAAGGAAAACGCCACTTTAGCTGCTAGCACACATTACAGAAATAAACCAGCACACCACTTCCTCCTTTCGAACCTTCCGACTCCCAGCCTCCTACCCCGCTACGCGGTGCGCGCGCTGATGTTTGTCGCCGGCTTCTCCTGGTGGTTTTGGCGCCTCTTCACGGACGAGGGACTCGGCGCGAAGGCCCTGCTCCTCTGGCTCACTCTCTTCCTGTTCTGGATGTTCGCAATCTTCGGCCCGTACGTGCACAACTTTGTCACCAAGCTCCTGCTTTTCGACCTGGATCACACGTTTGTGTTACTTACTCGCCCTGTATAAACGCGCCGCGACCGTGAACGAGGGGTCCTCCTTGCAGAAATTCACCAACAAATTTGTCTTCCGGTTCCGGCTGGGGATGTTTGCGGGTTTGCTGGTCGGGCTTCTCAACTTCAACCAGGCCATGGGTGGGATTCTCTATTCCGGCCAGATCTGCGCCATGCAGTCCAACTTGGTGTTCTCCGGATTGTTCTTGGACGCCATGTCGCACTGTCACGTGCAGTACGTGAGGGCGGTCAGGACGCAGCTCATGCGGCAAATCGACGCAGTGGAGAAAATGATCATGAATCTGCGCGACGTCGTCGTCAAACAACGAAGCGACTCGAAGGACCGTCGGGGCAACTTGGGTCGTGGATCGAATCCGGAACGAATAGCATCCGGAGCAAATCGAAGTTCCTCTACAACTACAGCCGAGATGCAGCACATCCATCCAACATCAAGCAACAATGGAGAGCAGCACATTAAACTCGAGGTTGTTCAGAACTCGAACTACTACGAGGATCTTGATCGTTTTCATGACACTGGTGGCACAGAACATCAAATTGATACCATCGAGTCTTCCATTTCGCACATTGCGATTGACCTGCGGAATTTTGACCGCACCCACCAGCAACTGTTCACCCGAACGCGGCAGATCACAGGCAGCACCATGGCTATGCTTCTCCTGGTGCTGCTTTACGGTGCGATCGGCTCCCTCATGTTGTCGATTTGGCTCTACAACACCCTGCCGTCACAGGCGGCTTTTTTCCTCTTCGTCTTCTACCTGCTCATGTCCTCCCTGGCGTCCCTCGGCGATGAGTACGAGCTTTTTGTTTCGCAATTGAGACATCGCGCCATGGCCACCTTCAGACCCGAGTTCTTCGCGGCTACGTCGGGTGGGAGCAATGCTTTCGGAAGTGACTTCGGGGGTGATAGCAGTATGAAGAACCGGCTCCGGTTTAGGGGACGAACCAGTGTAAATCAACAAAAAACCCACTTGACCAGATCTGGTTTTCCTCAAAAAACCACATCTTCTTCTGCCACGGAAGTCTTGCCGGGCGAGAATAGAGGCACAGGAACAGATCATGTCCCACATCAAACACATCAGAACGCCGTGGATTCATCGCGCATCGGAAATGATGACGGTAGTACAGGGTTACATGCGAAAGTTTCGTCCGGGCAACACGACCATGGTACGTCAACTGCAAGAGGTTCTTTCTACGGGGAGATGGGAGTAGAAGATGAACGCGATGACGTGTTTGGTCCGACAAACACTTCCACCGGAACAGCAACGCGCGATCCACTGCAGGAGTTGCACTTGTTGCTTGACCACGGTTGCGTCTACTATGGCGATTATCGTGTGTCGAAGAAGCATTGTTGGTGCCTCCTCGGCAACGTGTTAACCGCGGACCTAGTGCGAAAGTCTTTAGCGTTTGTGCTTCTGAGTGGAGCCTTCGCCGTGATCCCCATGCTGGTGGAAAGTGGGCTGGAGTGAGCCGCTCATCCTCGCATGATTTCTGAGAATTGTCGGCGTGATACCAGTTCTTGCAACACCAGCAAACGACCAAAGAGTACAATTGAGTCCGATTCCCACCTTCAGCGAGATTCAAAGCGAATCGGGATCGATTCGCAAGTCTATTGACAAAGCACAGTGATACCGATGTTGGCAATTACGAAACAAAGTATCGCCCTCTGTTCCTCGTGTCCGCGCCATCTATTGTCGGTTGGTAGCCTGACGATATTCGTTTCTGTTATATCAACATAATCACAGTGCTGATGTATCAACAGTAACACACGCCGCCTCCTCAGTAACAGCCTCGGTTTGATATATGAATATTTCGTGCAATCTTGGTCCTTCGCTCAAGGGTTCGCTCTTTCGTAGCTATGCTGATCGTCGTAGGAATTCAATTGCTGATCTCTCCATTTTCGTGCCATTAGTGCTTCGTGAAGCGCCACTTGGATCGAACTATGTCGTATACAAATTTTATCGTCGCGATCCGTCGTAACAAATTTTAGCGTGGTCGTGAAATGAATTCCATGATTTTCATTGAAGACTTCTTACCCCAGGTGTTAGCACCAGTTACTTTTCCTGACGAAGATAGATAATATAGCACACAAAGTGCAAAAATATTTTTTTTCGTGTCGCACAAGCTTCAGCAAAGCATCTGTCCGACTATCGCTATTGCAAGTCGTCTTGTCGACAGCAATTCATTACCACGACGCGCAAGGGGCGAGGGAGGCGGGAACGACTTCTAAGTATCTCCTTGGTAGAAGCAGCCTAAAGAACTGGAACACTCCTTGATGATGTCGGTCGTGCAGATGGTCTTGTGCCTTACGACCATTTTGCCTCTAGCAACGTTTTGAAAAGGAAAGCCAGCACTATGTGGTCCTCGTCTAGTGGGAACAGCGCCGTTGTTGGGGTCGGGCCGCTTGACCCCGCCTCTACTGCGATGTCCCCTGCAGCACACGCACCGAGTGCACCACAGCCCTCAGGGGAACCGAGAGCTCCTGTTCTTGCACCGCAACTCCTACCAGAAGTGGGCGGTTGTTGTACCAGGCAGACACAGAATCTTGACGATAACGACGGCGGCAGCGAGGATGATCATGATCAAGATGTTCACATGAGGACCGTCAGTAACTCGGAACAATCATCGTCCGCGGACTCGTCGTGTAGTGGTTCGCCTTATCTCCCGCTTGAGCTCTGTCGGGAGATAGCAGATTTCGCAGCTCCGCTGGCCGACACGATCGCGCTGGTCAGCAAGGACTGGCACGCGGGCGCGAAACACCTCCGGGAAACCAAAACCTGCCTGCTCTGCGGCGACAAGTTCCGCGAGTGCGACCAGGCGGTGGGGTTGGGCGAAAAGAAATCGCTGCTCGATCGGGCGGGGAAGGGCTGCTTGTACCACCCGGGGCGCATCCAGCAATGGGACTGGGACGGCGATCTGCAGCCGGGGTTTCAGTGGAGCTGCTGCAAGGCCTTCTGTTTCGACGAAAATGGCTACGAAAGGGGCTTGCACCAGTACAACGAAGACGAACTGCGAAAACGAACCGCCCTCATCGTCGGCTGCACGGCGCGTAAGCACCGAGCCAAGGCGCCGAAGAGATCCCGGTCTTTGGCAAACTACGCGTGGTCGGCGACCGTCGCGTGTGGAGAGAATCTCTTCGAGCGCGCGGATTTGTTCTCAACATCACACTCCAAAAGCGGGTCGGGATCGTCTCCCCCTGGAGGTGCGGTATACAAAGATGTTGAGTAATATGTTCAGAATTTGTTGATTTTATTCTTGTTAGTTCCCACACACATTCCTGACGTTCTTCCTTTTGTACAATAATTCGATGCACTGCAAATAATAGCAATTGGTTTTGAGTGTCAATGTTATGGTTTCACCTCACTTTCTCTTTCACTGTCACTACTTGATGTACAAAAAACAAAATGACAATTCACGTGGTTCACAACAAACAACGTTGGTTGTTTTGACATTCGTGTTTCTTTGTACCAAAAGACTTGTCGCAGGGTCTATACTGCCACCAGATTCTTGTTCTACAAGAAGCAGCTGCATCTTTCACTCAGCATCGCATTGCCACTCTAGTGAAGTTAGTTTCGTCGTGATAAGTGCACCTGCCGCAGTGCTCTTCTACCTGAATGATTATGATTTACGAAAGTCATGGTAAACACTGCCACTGCACTGCACGCACGGCCACAGCTTTGCAGCTTGATAAGCAAGAGCATACGATTTCAAAACCAGGGTGGAAAATAGAGAAAGTACACAGCTGCTGATGCAGCTGGGTCACCTGTTCCGCGCATGCTTTTTTGTCCTCTCAACTTCCAATGAACGACGGAGGCACATCATATCGGTTGTCAGGCGCTTTTAGTACGATACGCATCAGGTATGAAGCACTGAGTCGGTAAATTATTTGATCTGTTACTTCCCTCTGCTCGGTTCGTTGCTAGACCCATCCAGTCGATTTTCCCTCGGTGAGAAATTCTATCGAGTTATCATTCGAAGACCAAAACCTTCTACTCCGATGAATTTGTCTTTCAATGATTTCAATTTTATTTTTCCGATCTGCAACAAGTATTCCTATTTATTTCGCTCCGGTCTTACTCTTCAAGAAGATTCTTCTTGAAGACGAAGACCGGCCTGAGGGCTTTTTTTCCTAAACTAAATTGACTTTGACACTACTGTCAAAACAGTCACGGCGCGGCTCGAATGACACGACGCAGCTTATCTCTACACCTTTGGAAAAGATGATGCCCCCGGTATCTTTTTGAACAGTTGTTGAAACAACTTGCATTCGGTCTGTTGCTGCTCATCTAAAGCCATGCCTCGTCGTGCTTGGAGCGGATGCATAATGTTCCTACCTGAATTCACTGCCCATTTTACCCAAGTCACATCGTAATCTTTGCCATCGTCACGGTAATTGGCATGTGGTCACAATGGCACTCGCTGCACAAGGAGGTGAAAAACAAAAAGTCTCACCCGAGAAAACCCATACCATTCCAACAAAAACACCTCCTAATGTCCCCGGCGGCGTCGCCAGTACTACAAAGCGCAAAGGCTCGACAAGTTCCACCTCCTCCTCCTCTGTTCCGACCCTCACCGCGGATTCAACCAACACCGAGCGGCTGGAGGCGGCCACGAAGTTTTTCTACCGCACCATTCGCCCGAGTATCCGGGAAGCGCCGAACATCAGCACGGAGGGGTTGTTGGACAAGATTCAGACGAACACGCGGAGGCAAAAACTGATTCTGGTGGACTGCCGAACTGGGGAGGAAAGGGCCGTGTCTTACTTGAGAGACAGTATGTCGCTCCAGGATTTCGAGCTGTGGACGCGGGAGCGCAAAAACGCCGCCCCTGACACGAGAATCAGCATCGAGGTGGTCTGCTATTCGCTGATAGGTAAGCGCAGCGGCGAGTATGTCGCGAAACACCGGGAGCACTTACTCCGCACGGCGGGCCTTGCGGAAGTCTACAACTACGACCTGGGGTTGGTCGCTCTTATGCATTGCTACGCGGAGCGGGGACTGAAAAGCGGACTGGTGTTTGGAGATCAAAAGGGGCGTGCTAGAGTTTCTAGTACAGAAAATGAAATTGGTGGAGCAACAGAAACCTACGACCCGATTGAAGAAAATGAAGACTGCGGCAAAAATATTGACCTCGATTATCTTCCGTCGCCAGAAGAAGACCGCGAGCACGAGCAGGACACGTTTCTGGATTTGAATATTCCGCCACCGCTGCAGCTTGTCGTCGACAAAGAAGTGCAAGCCGCGCTGAAGTTGCATGACAACAAGCCGGAAGAACACAGCGTAGAAGTGCAAGCCGAAGACGCGATCGCCGCCCGGAGGTATGAGCGCGACCGAAAAAAGAAAAAAGGTAGAGATATTGGCAAGGAATTACAAACAGGCGACCGCACGAACGTTGGTGATGGAGGGAAGGCACTTGGAAATGATGCATCATCAAAAAGTCCGAGACCAAGTACCCACACGCCAGCCATGCGCAATGACGTGATGTCCTCCTCGGTGCAGATAATCACTAAACCAGCAAGGATGTTGCATGGAAACGAGGCCCAATACCACGAGTTTTTTCCAAACGAAATTCCCTATGTTGCGATCACTCTGATTCCAGAAATTCCAAGAAGCGACGAACAGAAGATGAAGAATAAACTGAGAGAAGTAGTTTCGAGATTATTCAAATGCTGTGGAAAGGACCGAATTGAGACTGACCCGGCAGACCCAGACCAAGTATGCTGATTGTCGCGAATGGATAATAGCATGGAGATAGAACACTACTACACCAAATGCAAAGAAAAAGTGGCTGTTGAGCTCTACTCTTACTTTCTATACGGATGCTCCAATGCAAATAAAAAGAAAAAGCAAAGCGCTTCTTTCTAACTAATGAAGAAATTGAAGATCCACATGCACATACATATGAATTCTCTGGGTTACACACATCGGAACAAAAAGAAATCACTTTTTGGAAATGATTTTATCGTTTTGGATTCTCAATTTTTTACTATTTTCATGAAGATTTTCACCACTATCAAACAAACTTTCATGATTCAAACATAGGCATCGACTCTATTTTGATTTCATCATGATCTGCTACGAAACAAATCAAGAATATTTTTTCTTCTTTTATCATGTCATTCAAGAAGTCAAAGAATCCTAATCAAAGAATATCGGATATCTGGATGATAGGATATTCATTTTTCTTTTAGATTTTGCCAGAAATAAATACCTTGGCTTTTCCATAACAGAGAAATTCAATGATAGGAGAATCTCAATCTTGGAATTTCGACAATCAAGAAACTCAATTTCCATAATTTTTTTCGATCGATAATCAAGAGAAGAATTGTCCAATTTTTTATTTTTTCGATAAGCTGAATCAAGATAAGAATTTATTTTCCTATCGTTATTTTTAGGGGTCTATTTGATAAATGATATTCCATAAATAAATGAATAAAAGAAATACATGCATTATGAAAAATTTTCAAAATTAATTCTCAGAGTGGGGTATCAAATTCTGATGAGTTGTGTTCATCGCATTTGTTTCTCATTCCCTCATCCGATCGGATGGGTGATTAATGAAATGGAACCAGGATCTTGGATAATTGGATGGATCTTGTTTTTCGTCGGTCTCATGGTCAGGATCCTGTCTTCATTTCATCAATCATCCATCCGATCGATGGATCGGACGAGAAATGGCACAAACACAAATCCATCCGATCGGGGGATTATATAAGAAATGGCACAATCTCAATTCAACAGAATTTGTTAACATATTCTCCGAGATTTTGAAATTTTCTCATGTTGGAATTTTTATTTTTATCGACATAATTTCATTGAGGATTTTCGAAAAATTTGCAAAATCTATATTAATATGATTCGAGATTTTGATTTTTCGAAAATCTTTCTTTCTTTCTTTCTTTCCATGCCCGGGTATGGCTTTAAATGTTCAAGGTCCTAAAAATTCCGTTTGAGTCCCATTTTCTTCTTTCTCGATTTGATCTCGCAATAAAACCGCAGTTGAACCTGAGCAACTTGTGAATTCTAAGATCCAGGAAATTGAAGATAAAATTTTGGCTCGAATACAACAACAAGTTCGAAAAAAGCACTCTCCTTTAAAAAAAAAAGCTTTCCCCTATAAAGTTCTGTTTCTTTGTGTTCTCCTGTAAAGTTTGCAATTATCAATTTCGAGTTTGTTCGTCTGAAAAATACACTGGTTCATCTCTTCACCTAGAAATCTAGTTTTCAAAATTTCTAAAAAAATCTTCGAAAATCTATATCAACCTCATTAAATTTTTTTTCCAAATTTATCATATTGGGAATCAATCAAGATCGATTATTTATCAAATCTACATCATATTCTTTCTTTCTTTCTTTCTTTCTGTTCGTGCCAGGGCATGGCGTCAAAGGTTCAAGGCCCTAAAAAATCCTCTTGTTCCACATCTCCAATCTTTCTCTTGATCTTCGAATAACTCCTGTCATAATTATAATCCTAATTTGAACTACAGCCTGAATCTACCTACAAAACAATTAAAACTCAAACTCGTTGTTTCTCGATCCAAATAAATGTCTGTCCTGAATGAAAAGGTCGACCCAAACAAAATTCTCTTCTACTCAGCATCAAGATCCAAGATGGTCGAAATATAAAATCTAGATTTCAAGATTTATATTTTCCTCTTCTTCAAAAAAAATTTTTTCTGGTTCTCGGGAGTTGTTTCAGCCAGGACCAGCAAAAGGCTGGACCTTAATACTTAATTTTTTCTTATCTATTTCTGCCCTTCGCATGCTTTTTCAAGATTTCTTTCTTCGTCTTTCTCCGTTCCGTCTAGTCGTCCTGTCGTGTCCAGTTACGCGTTGTTGTCACCCCGGTCGTCCCGAGGCCACCTGTCCACCCGGTCCGCCTGCTGGCCGCGTAGTGTCGGTTGTCGTTGACCTGGGGATTGTGTGGGGGACGAGCACCGGGACCAGCGTGATATTGTTGCATTCCATGCCATGCAGGACCACAGGGATAAAGAGTAGAACTATACCTGTTCCGGGGGCCCCCGGACCCGGACCGGGGAACCCCCTGCCATGTCTCGCATAGGTGTGAACCGCTTTGCCCCGCAACCGCGTGCAGTCGGTTATTCCAGGGCTTGGGCCAGTGGTGGGTGGCGGCGTTGTCCTGCAGGCAGTGGGCGTCGTGGTATTGTGGGTCTGGTCCTTGTCCTCCTGGCAGGTCTGGTTGCTGCAGCCGCGGGTTGCAGAGGCGCCGGACCCAGACCTGTGTGTTCGGTGGGGGAGCGACGACACACGACGGGGTGCATTGGGGTGCATGAGAAACAAAAGAGCCACCAGACGCAACAACGGAGTATCGATTATACCTGTTCGGGTGCCCCCCGTCCTGGGGCACCCGTCCCGGTGTCGCGCTTGGGTGCCAGCCGCAGGTGTTCGCCTTCGACGCGCGCGGCCACCGTGCGTATGTCGGATGGGCGCCGCACTGCCACTGGTTGTTGTGGTCCCGCCTGCAAGGCCCGGACGGATACATACATCATATTCATTTATCCATCGAATGATCTATCTTCAAATAGAAATACATTATCTTTCTTACATTCTTTCATCCATATATCATCCTGATGAAGAAAATCTCAATCAGAAAGAACAGAGCCAGACCGATTCATAAGACAAAGAAATTAAAATGAAAGAATGAATCCATGACGGGAAAGAATATCATTGGATTTCAGAGAATCAAGATCAAAATCAATAGAATTCATTCGATGAGAATCTGAATCCAGAATCATATTTTGCGATGGAGCAGGTCAGGTGATTAGATTTCGATAAAAATATCGTTTTTGTCGTGAAGATCCATTTATTCCATGTGTTTCGAAGGGTGTGTATGTTCATCGTGGTGTATGTTTCTGGGAATCAAGTAGCAGGTGGAGGTCAATTTCTCATGCATCAACATAGGAATGTGAATGTCCATCAGTCTCTCCTTCTGTTTCTAAAAATACCCGAAGTTTTTCATTTGGTATTCCTTTTCTCCCAATCTGGGGCATTTCAAGATCTCCGTGAAAAAAAGTTCTGTCCTCACCACCTGTGATTTGCGTTGCGCCGAATCGCTTGCCAAATATGGTTCGGCGAAGAAAGAAGCAGAAATGATGAATTCAGTCGCAAGTTGTCCTGAGTATATGTGGTAACGCGAGGTGCGCTCTAGTTCATGGCAAAATCATGGCAAAACAAAAAACTTCCATGCAGAGTGAGAGTAGCAATAGCAAAAGAGAGAAGTGTCGGCATGGTTGGGTCCGAAGGCTTAGCTTACTCCACGGACTCTGTCTTTGAATCAAAATTTTCCTATGTTTGTCGTGCTTCCCCTGCTCCCAGATCACGACTCGGGAGAGAAGAGCAGCAAGCAAGTCCAAGCTGTAGCTCACGTCATCACCTTGCGATCTTTTGAATAGATCATTTCTGCTTTGTGGTCTCATCCTTCTATTCCATACCAAACTCGACTTGGTCATGTTCCCAATATTACTGAGGTGGTGAACAAGATACTTGTCTACAATGCCGATGCGCATTTGTCTATCTTTGGTTTCCATTTCGCTTTCGTTTTGTTTTTCATCCCGTCCACATAGCTCCTCCCGCCGGCTCCTCAAATGTGGTGGTAGCTGCTCCAAGAAAAGAACTTCAGCGGCGTTTTTTCCAGAAGAACTGCTGCCATCACCGTCCTCGAGTGAAGCTTCTTTTCCTACCGTAGTACCTTCGGCAGTACCGGCGGATAAAATCGCTAGATTTTCCTGCCAGTAGTGTACGAACTCTTCGTACTCGTACTGCTGGAGTGGTTGAACGGAGGGACGAGGAGTGGTTTTCACCACGGGAGGCACAGGTAACGGTCCTTCTATGGATCGAGAATTGGTTCGCGTTTGTTGGTCGTCGTCTGCTAGGAGAAGATCATGCTGATGCTCTTGATGCGCTTGCAAGTTCCTCGTTTCCGAAACAGTTTGCTGCAGTTGTCCTGTCGTGCTTGGTACTTGTGGTTTTTTTCCTTTACAGAATTCGTAGAACCATCTGTCGTGCCCCCACCCGGAAGGGTTCATCCAAGGTTCCAGCAAATGCCATTGACACGCCCAAGCCCAATATCCAGGAAAAAAATTCTTGTGTTTCTTCTGCAGGACCTCGACGACCCTTTCTGTGTCAGCAGGATCGTATCTTTCCAGCTTCGACGGCGGGCACGACCGTGATACAGAATATGAGCTTTGACGAGTAGGAGTCAGCGCGAGAATGTAGCCGAAACACTTTCGTGAAAATGCTCCTTGACAAAGAAAAGAAGTTTGTCCTTGTCCTTGTCTACGCAGCATCTTCTGCAACACAGATTTTTTTTCTACTTGGATATCCAAGGACGGTACGCGACTGCCTGGATTTCGACGAAACGCACGAGGCGACCAGAAACTGCAGCTGTGCCAGCAGATGCAGCGGCACCACCAGGCTCAATATAATTCTCCAGCTGTCTTTTGTGCACGAGGTGCCAGTTTCCCTGACCGATGGCCGTAGAGACGACGTCCAGATTTGCCTGTTCCGCGAGTTCGAAAAAGTTTTTGGCGTCAAATTCGGCCTCGTCAAGCTGCACGTCGTCCAGAATCAGGTAGATGTACTCGTAATCGTTGAGCTGCCCGTGGGGTTGATGGGGCTGAATATCCTTGTCGTGACCGGCTTCAGCGGAAGTGGCACTACTTCCATCGTTAATACCCACTCCAGACCTGCCAGCACTTCGCTCTATTGCGAGGAAAAGTAGAAGCGCCTTCCCCTCGCCATATGCATATTCATTCAGTAAAAAAGGGGACTTCATTCGTCCCTGCGATATCATGGGGAGCAGGGGAATGAGTTCTTCATCTTTTTGATACGCATTGCCATTGCCTGCTGCTGCAAGATCGCGTTTTTTAGCTGGGTGTTATCGTTCGTGATTACTTTGAGGAGGTCGACGTAGTTGTGGTTCTCGAAGATCACCAGAGTGCAGTCTTTCCCTAGCTGGTATTGAAAAGAGCGAGGCAGATCTGTAGTGTAGGCCAGGACGACGCAATGAAACTCGACGTTGTTGTGTCCAAGAAAAAAACACCACCGCGATCATTTTTGGGAATTTGTCTTTTTGCAATATACAAAAAAATCTGCCATGCGCAAAAACGCATCACAGTCAAGCTTTTTAGTACGTGATTTCTCTTTTCCTTTTCGTTCTGCAAGAAACATCACGAAAAAAAATTTGTGACGCGCGGCAACTTTCTACTGATGCAGAACTTGTTGATGCAAGAGTGTGATTGCGATCATGGTCGTGCTCGTGGGGTTTTCTTTTTGCTGCATATGTTGTGGAAAAAATTCTCCGCCTCCTGGTGGGCAGATCTACTTTGCGCGGCAGTTATTCTATTTTGCTGTCCTTCGCGATAATTGCGAAGATTATGCGGCCGCAAATGCCTCCGCCAATTCCGAGCGACAATCTGTGCTCGGTCTGCCTGTGACCCCACTCCGACAAAGACGATGAGGTACTTTTTTGTTTTCGCATTGGAGTTGATATTCGATCGCGAGGACTCGTTGACGTTGCTGTTTGTGTTTCTTCCTGGTCGTGTTGGTGTTGCATCGTCTTCAACGCTCCTTCGCAGCTTCTCCATGACTATGTTATCCCGATCTACAGCTTCATCATGATGGCCACGACCTGCAGCTGCAGCCGCTGCTCCATCCGCCTCGTTCTGGTCGGGATCGAGCCGCTTCGCCGTTGCCAGCGTTGCATCGTCATCAAGAAGATGATGCAAAATAACGACCGGATGAAAGAAAGATGACACGGGTCTTCTTGACCACAACGTGCGGAATACCAAGGAGACCGCGCCAACGACAAGAGAGAGCATGATCTTGTTCTGCGGCACTATTCTTTTGTTCACACAAAAGTCGCGCGATGCTCTCTCTGTGTGAGGAACGGCGTGCGTAGTTCCTTTGTACTGATTTTGCTCGAGCCGACGACGCGTCTCTGACTCTGATGCACGTGCATGCTTGTGTGTCTCCTGGTCCGCTGTCCACCGTCACCCCCCGCTTCTATTATGTTCTAAGTCGACGCTGAAGAAGACCACCAGGGGCAATGGCAATCCACAAAAGGGAGAATTCGTCTTCTATACCACCGGCATGATGCGGCAGGTGAGCTGTGGTTTAGAGGAACTGCTCTTCGGGTGGAACACAACGGCATGTTGCAATGACAACTACTGTGCATGAAGATTCAAACTGCTAGCGCTCATGTGTGAGTTTCATTGTTCTGCTCTTCCATCAACCAAAAATAGAAATAGCGCATCTGGGCATGTGTCGAATGCGCTAAATTTTGATGCCATGACTTCCGAGCAGGACATGTGGTGCGGTTTTTGGGGCAGATTTAAGCATTTTCTTTTGCTAGCTTTTCAGTTTCATGTCTTCGAGAGAAAAAGCAACCCTGTTTCCAGCAATTGAGCTTGCTGCTCTTTAACTTCGAAAGTCAAAGAGCAGAGCAATCGCCGTCAAATGTGTAATTGGAAGACTAAGGGCTGGGCGTCCCTGTGAAGACAAATCGTACATGTATGACTTCCATTAGAAAATAGTGTTGTCTCGTTCTCGTCGGGAAGGAATCCGTCGTGCTCAGCACGTCAAAAGCAGTACAACTGTAAAAAAAAAACCCCAGAATAATTTGGTATCATAGAAGTTAGCGTCTCAAGAAGATTTTTCTGTAGTCACTCCGTGAAGCAGGAGGCGTAGCCGGTTCGGCGGGGGAAGAAAGAGCAACTACTGCGCACAACGCAACTTCAGTCGAGAGCCTGCACTTGGGTAAGGAGACCCTGCTCAGAAAAAGTTGCAAGAAATTGGATGCGAGTGTTTCTCCTTACAGTTGTTGAAATCGTCAACAGCTTCACGGAACAAAAATGCTATGTAGAATAAATAAAAATAAACTGCAGCCTTGTAAAAAAACCACAGAGAGAGCTGCGAGCTGCGAGCGTACTTCCCTAGTTGACGCCATTTGGGAGCTCGAACAGAAACAGTGGCATTTCTTAATCTTATGGTAAAATCAAATGCCGGGGTTGATGCATCTTAATCTCTTTATGGTAAAATTTGGTTGCATCTTAGTCTTATGGTAAAATGTCGGCGGGCACTTCCTGCCGCAGGAAATCGGCGATTGGTAAGAAACGCCGGGCGGCTGCTGCGGCAGCCCGCCGGCGCCGTAACGCGTTATCCCAGGTTGCCTGAAGACGCTCCCGCGTCTCAGGAGTGAACCCCAGGGCGTCCATCTCTTCCGAAATCCCTTCCATGCGCCACGCCAGTTCGCCTTCTCGTTCTCGTGCGGCCTGCTGCTGACGCGCGGTTTCCTCTGGGTCCTGTACTAGCGCTGCAGCTTCAGCTGCATTCGGGTCAACGGTACCACGTGCACGTTGCCGTTGTGCTTGTAGGTCCGCCAGGTCGTCTTGGAGCTGCAACATTTGCATGTTCAGGTTGAACCAACTGGCAACATTTTGTTCATCTCTTGCCGGGTAGCGAGGAGGTCCGGGGTCACTGCGGGGAGTGGAGACCGAGGAGGGGGTGGGAGACGAGCTGCGACTGGAGGCGCCACCTTCAGAAGAAACTGAAAGAACACGCACGGCCTGCACCGTCCAGCTGGTGTGTTGCATCGAGCCTCCCACATGATGAGCGTCCGGCGTTGGCGTCAGGTCGTGAAGCAAGGTACTGATAAAAAGAGCGGACCAGTTGGAAAGAAAGAGCTGTTGAAGCCCGACGAGACGGACATTCTGACGGAGGAAGGAGGCCATTTTTTTTTTTTTGCAGAAAAATATGCACAACTACTATAGCCGTACTCGTCAAGAACTCTAGTTTTTTTACAACGTTACTGAAGACCTCCCACAACGATAGGGATAACAGAAAAAGAAATAAGAGTTAAATGGACAAAACAAGAATAGAAATTACAGTAATAGTTGGGTTCTTCGACGGATGCGAATGCGGGAGAATAAGTAGGGCGGCTCGAAATGGTTATAAACTTATAATACGACTGTAAGACTCAAAAATAAAGAAAAGTGCTTGGATCGTTTGGAGGCCGAGGCGACCGAATTGATGTTGATGGGAGATGGAGATGGAGATGTCGACGGAGAATGACAAATCGTTCTGGACCTGGAAAAAATCCCAATACCTTCAACCGAGACAATGACAAAACTATCGGAGAGGATCTAGACGAAGATTAGCAGCAAGGGAAGGCAACCCAACCAAAATTTCTTATTATTTCGCTTTCCGAATTCCGACATTGAGGAGCAAGATCGATTTGAGACTATCTACTACATTTCTGAGGAGCAAGATCGATTTGGACGAGCTTCTACATTTCTTTTCTCTGACTTCATCGGTATGACTAAACCACACCGAGCCATTGTTTTCTACTATGAGACCGATCTTCACACGTAGCCGCTGATGTGTTTATGTTACCTATGTGTTTATGTTACATGATAAAATGCTTGACCAGCAGCACATTATCGTCTTGTCATGACGTCTGTACATGCCCCGCGGAAGCGAAGTGCCTGAAGTCATTTCCATTACAGTCATTTCCTGATGATCCTGAAGTACAAGTAGATCCTTTATATTCTTACTGGTATTTCCTCATCTTCATCGGCTATTTGAAGAAGCAGTATTTTCACTTGTTTGCAGTCGAAAAAAAGACACTTCATCCTTAAACCGCTTCAAATCTTCACTGTTGCAACATTTTTTGCTGCTCCTTTTGGGCACGCTTAATGTTAATACAATACAATGTACGTACATGGATGGCAATACTCCTCGTCCTGGTTGCTGCAGATACTTTGGTCCTATTTGAAAAGCTGTTTAAGAAGCCGCACAGGGATCATCACGCCGATCTATCATACTCTATTCTCCGCAGTTTTTTAGTTTCCTCCAGGTGCGGCGGAAAAACTCCGACAAGCCCACATCCGACTTGTGCACGACTGCCGGCGGGTCTTCCCAGAAAGAGCAGCGCGCAGCGGTGAATCCCACCCCGGGCTGGGGGGTTTCGATCGGCCAGAGTAGGCAACGTTTGTACACTTCGTGCGTCGTGCCTCCGTACATGCTGGCGTATTGCGTGTGGTCCGGTACCCCCGCGTCGGATTGGAGGCGAAACGGACACGACGCGTCCTCGAACGGCATCGACTTGGTCGTTGCGTTCTGCCGCGGCCGATAAGAACTTCTCGGCTTGACGGCCTGCTTTGATTGATGTTCGACCTTAGAGATATTGTTCTCCTCGGAGGTCCTCGTGCCTGTTGATGAGAATTGAGGTTGTAGAAGTGTCCGCTCGTGCAGCTGGAGGTTCCCACTGCTCTGTATCGATCCTCTCTTCTCCTCCTCTTTCAGGAGCAGGTGCCTTTCCAAGTCCTTCCCCTCCGCTGCGTGCCACCGGTCATTGTGGTGATAAAGAAGCTCCGGTGTCATGATGCCTCTAGCTCTACTAGTCGCAGTTGTTCTGCTGAACCAGCGTTCCCCAAACTCTCTGCGCAGGTCGGGGTGCAGGATGCTGAGGCCGGTTTTCTGGATGCGAAGGCTCTGCTCCCCAAGGTAGCCGAAAAAGCACCGGTTCAGTTGGTACGTGTTCAGGAGTTTCTTCTTGCGCAGAACGAAGTGGAACACGTTGACTGCCCCGGTGTACCAAGCCTTGAACCCGGGAAACCGGGCCAACAGGTCGAAGGGCGAGTGCGCGCGTTCGTAGTCAATCAGCACCTCCCGCTGAGGGGGTTTTGCCGTGCTCCCGAGCAGTTTCTCAGAAAGGTCCGGATGCAGAAACTCCTTCGGAAAGCGGAAGGGGAAGGGGTCGCGGAGAGTGGAAGGAAAATTGTTCCTGTGTGTTCTGTTGGAAGGAGTTGTTGCAAATTCAATGCTACTGGTCGTTGACGTCGTTGCAAGGTCAACAGCAGGAGAGACCATCGAGGACGAGGACGAAGAGTATGCTCCTGATGGAACCAAATAAATCGTCCGGTTCAACACTTCGTGGTCCGGAAGTTGTTGCGCTAGCTGCTGCTGCGGAAGTTCTTTATTTCCGGCTTGTGCAGACGCTACTCTTTGCCACTGCTCGAAAGACGGCGCTACCAATTTCTCCTCGAGATTTCGTGCAGGGAGTTTCACGCCTTCCTTTAGAGAGAAAAAAACGTCAAGGCCGTCCTGGTCAAGAACGGGTTGCTGCACTAGTAGTTGGGCTCCATTCATCGTGATTGCCGTCGGTTTTATCCGATCTGAATCCACATCAAAATCGTCAACGAGCCACAAGTCCGGGCCCGCTTCCAAATCGAGAATGAGAAAGTTATCAGGCAGGAGGGGGGAATTCATGATGTAGTCATCACCAATTTTTTCACCTTGCTCCGCGGGTCGTTCTTGGCCCTGAAGATTCTTACTCAAGGTACCATTACCAAGCTCCCCTGGCCCTGGCGACTCGTCCGAATAATCGTGTCCAAAAAGCTGTAAATTCCGAAGAACTAGGGTTTTCCTTTCATACCTTTGCAAGTCGGCCTCGTGGCGAAGCGGTGTTTTCACTGGGTCATGGTCGGGCGCGAGCGGTGGCGCGGAAGCCGCTGGGATATCAGGAGATCGAGGTCCACCAGGTGACTTTCTTGATGTAGTTTGTCCTGCGCAAAATTTCACAGATTCTTTCACTTCATCCTCACCAGGGAATAAAATAGCCTGATCTACTACTGCAGCTTCTACTTCGACTTGGTCCTCATGAAGTGGCCCAGAAGTCGTGCTGCCGTCAATGCGTCGACCTTTCATGAAGATTCGGCCTGCTGTTTTTCTTCCCCAACCACCACGACCGATGGTGCCCGTTTCGCCGAGCGATCGGAGCCACGCTTGGAAAAGCTGCGTGAAAAGACAGACGGAGATCATAGGGCGAGGCTTTTTGCTGTTGTAGTCTTCGACGTCCACAGCTTTAGGTTTAGCTTTGTCCGTTTCACGACCAACGAGCACACTGCTAGACAAAGCTTGCGTTGCCAGAGTTCGAACAACAGTCCCCAGAGCGTCCTGTCGACGGCGTGTGGAGTTCGTCGCAGGAACTCCCTCACGGGTACTATCTGTCTGTCGAATCAGCCATCGGTAGACGAACTTTCGCACAGCCTTCTCGGTGGACAAAAGTAGGGTCGTTGCAGCAGTAGTCGCAGATGTCGACGATGTACTGCCCGCACCTGCTGAAGCTGAAGTCGCTCTCGCTGCTGATGCCCCGCTCCCGTCTGGACGAGATATATCACCCGGCAAATAAAATGGCTCCAGCAAAGCCTCCACGGCTTTTCGCTTCCGGTCCACGAGCTCTTTTTTCTTCTCCGCTACTGCTATCCGCTCCGCGCTCTCCGCGTCGTCGACCTGGACAATGTGCAGCTCTAAATCGAAAAAGTGCTTCAGGATCTGCCGCTTCTTCTCTTCGCCAATTTTGGTCAAAAGCAGCAGACTCGTTTGCGCCTGGTTGGCGTTGGCCGGGAATAGCATAAAGGTGTCGGTTCGCGTTTCCGTGCGCGCGAAAACTTGGCCCCACACGCCCAGCAGCTTCAGCGGGTGGGGAATTAGGTAATCCGTGTCAAAGTGCAGACTCAAGTCGTAAATGGTGCCGAGTTCAAAAATCGCGACGCGCGCAAACTCGAACAGCGCCATGTTGCCGTGCGCCGCAGGGTGCCGGGGGGGAAACATCGCGTGCGAGGGCCGCAGCTTGGATAGGTAGCGGCGACAGAGGTCGAGGGGTACGACGGTCACTCGATACTGTTTGAAAAACTTTTCATCCTCCGGGTTGACAAAATTGTATTGACGGTACATTTTTAGGGGAGCTGTTGCAGCGGCGCTTGGAGGCATAGTCGCCCTGCTCTGCAAAACCCTTTCGCCTGTTCTTTCCTTACCGGTGTTATTCTCGACATCATCTTTGGCAGAGGCAGCAGCTGAATCCTCGTGGTTGTCCATATTGTTCCTGCTCTTCTTGCCCTTTGGCTTAGCTGGAACTAGATTACGTCGGTTAATACTGATCGGGCTGCAGTACCTAACGACGCGGCTCAAATTTTCATGACCACTGCGGCGCTTGTCCAATATTTCCTCGGTCGTCTTGCCTGTTCTTTGCTCAGGGTCAACTTCTTCTACAGAGGGCCTGACGTCGGAAGAACTTGGAGGTTCTGTTATCAGGAACTGCCCTGTGGCGTCATCGGGCGCCCCGAAAAACTGAAACGAGTGCAACTCCCCCACACGCTTCCTCAAAAACGCAATCGAGGGCTGGTTCCACTTCCAGAAGTGCGTGTGACACCAGTTTACAAAGTTGCGACCATCGATAAAGTAGCTGTTCTTTTTCGACCGGTCCTGCAGTTGAAGGAGCTCCCCGTTGGGAAACCGCAGCGGGTGGTCGCACTTCGTTTTCAGACTGGTGGCCAGGGTGAAAAACGCGACTCTGGCGGAGGAGAGAGTGGTCGCACCAGAAGCGGTGCTGCTTGAAGCGGAGGATCGTCGTGAGGACGACAGGTCACGACTTTTCCCCCACTCCCTCGGAGTTCTTCTCGTGTCCAATATCTCATCTAAAGTCTGGATTGTCGGCACGGTGTCTTCACTTCGGAAAATATGTTCTTGCTGTCCATTAGAAGATGATGACCTCCCGATTCTACTTTTCTTGGGCGCATAGGTCTTACCTTTTGAGGAATCATCCCGCATTATAATTGATTGCTCCTGGTTTTTAATCTCCACCTCCTCCTGCTCCGGATGTCGTCTCCCGTTGCGTCGTTGAAATAATGACTTTTCTTCGCCAAAACATGGATGCGCCCTTCCCCGCACGTTTCGACAGAACGGCTCCAGTGCGCGATACCGAACAGCGCCTGCCCTGTTGGCTACCTGTGGCGGAGGCCCGCCGGTTGCAGTAGCTTCATTGATTTTCCCATTTGCCGTGCCGTCAATCACCAGAGCGCCCGTTTTCGCATCGAGAAAGCGCGACTTGATATTCAAGAACGAAGGCGTGAAAGCGATATTAGCTCTTGGACCTCGGTGGGTCTTTGCCATAATCGCTTGCGGTCTCCCGGAGTACCAAACGCGATACGGATCCATTTCTAGCGGTGGCGAGGACTCCTCTTTTACTAACGGCTCCGCCACAGTCGTGTTCATTCTCGTTGACAACTGTGAGCCCCCCTCCCCAACCCCATGGCCGTCTTCATCATCTGGCGGATCACCAATAGCTTCTACCGTTTCCAGAAACAAATTTGCGAACGGTTGTCTTGGAAGACGAGGGAGTTGCTGTGTAATCGAGCTCCCCGCCGTTGTCGTGGAGGACCACGTTGTTGAGGAGTTTATGTTCAGAGACGACGGTGTGCTAGCGCTCGACTTCATACCAGTCGAAACACTTCCTGTGCCTGTAGAAGTTTCATCCACCGATGCGCCGGTGAAAGGAAGATCATGGTCTTTATTCCATCGCGCGTTCAATTCCTCGACACTAAAGCCGTAGCCGAACATGCGCCGAATATTTTTCCTGGTCGCGAATAACTCGGGGCCGGTCTGTATTGCGTGGAGGTGCTCCTGCAAATGGCTCAAAATTCCCAAGTCGTTTAGCTGCAGTTCCGAAGACGCGTCCGTGCGGTTTTGGAAGGTGGACAAGGAATTCTTTATTTCGGCTCTTTGTGCAAAGTCGCGTTTCGATTCCCGCACAGGCTTGATAAACAAATCCCTCGCGAGGCATTGCTGCCGATGGTTCAGCCAGGCAGAGGCACGAAGAATTCCCGTGATGGTCTGTCGTCTTGCAGCAGGAACTACTGCTTTCCCGTGATGGTCTCCTACTGCAACTGTCTCAAAAGACCCGACCACCAACGGCTCGACTTTGCTCACACGAGGGAAGTCGTGGAGCCACCTCGGTGAGCCAATTCCCGATGGGGTTAAAGCATCGAAGAGCCTGCTCCACGTCGGCCAGGAAACTAGTCCCGCGACGGTCCGCGCTTCCGCGACGAAGGTGAAGAACTCCGTCCAAAAACGCGTGTTCTCGGATTTTTCGCAGCTCTTCGGAAGGCAGATGTAAGACACCTCCTTCAACAGCTTCAAGGGACGACCGTGTTGCTCTCCTGTAGTTTCAGAAGCAGCTCCACGCTGCTGCTCGTGCTGGCGAGCTCGTCCCATTGCTGGAGGACTATCGCTAGTCCCACTGACGGTGTCATTTTCGTTCCTCGTGTCACCAATAACATCTGCATGATCCAGAAAGAAATCGACAACGTTCAAGTTACCCAGCCTCGTCTGTTCGCACTGCTGCAGGGTCGCGTACAGGGAGAGCGCTTGCGCTTGTTGATCAGACTGGTTTGTACGTCTAGCAGGACCTTCAGCACCATGGCCATAATCGTTATTGTCTGCTACGTTGCTGGTGAGCGTTTTCCTCGTCGTCTCCGAAGACTGTTCCGCAATATTCGTTCCTTCATTCGGCGACAACGAAGTAGAAGATGGAGCTGACACAAGCTGTGTTAGCGTTAGCGTTTGAGATGAAATTCTTCTCGGTTTTTGTTCAGTGTATTGTCTGTCGTCAGTGTGAAACCACACTAACTGCGGCAGGAGCACTATCCAAGAAAAAAACTGTGTAAGTGTAAGTCTTTTCGGAAAACAGCATCACAAGTTCGTCTGCCATGACAGGTAAAACTTGTTATGCACAGATAGTAAGGGAAAACACATAGGAAGCGAGCCGATCATGCATGTCGAGCATGACAAGTATAACTGTGTTGCATTTTGTGCATCACAGATTTACACTTACACAGTTTTTTTCTTGCATAAGCACTTTGGCTCCGAGCGGGTGCTCCACCGACCAGCGCGCGAGGTCCCGCACGCACGCGTCTTTTCCCCAGTACGTGTAATATGCATTGCAAAATTATCGTACTAGTATGAATTGCAATACAAGTTTTTTCAGAAGGAAAAATGGAGTTTGTAATGCTGATTTGGCTAAGAAACAACATTTGTCATGCATGATTGCAATTAGTACGAATACGATACTTTTGCAGAGCATATGTAAGCACCGTCTCCAATTTTCCAAAAATTCTCGGTTCCGTCTTTATTCCGCTGCCCGTTCGGAAACGAGTGTGTTCGCACAAACTCCCGCATCAGAAATGACCGCCAACGGAACTCCAGGGTGCGATTCACTCGGTACACTGGGCTGGTGGTCGCCGAGCTCGTATTCCCTGAAAATTTTCAATTCTTCCCCATGATTCACTTTTTGTTTAATTTTGCATGACAAGCACAGAATAGAATTTCCTACATGTTTCTGGTATGACATCAAATTGGATGGGGGTCGTGGTTCATTTTCAGGGAATAGCTCGTGGCTTGGTCGAAAAGCTCGTGCTGCTGATGTCCGCCTGAGTTCATCTTCTCGTTCTTCTGGTTCTGGTGGAGCGCGGCCATCAATGTAGGTCTCGTTTCCCATTCCCGGTGGTCTTCTTGTATTTCTACTTGCTCCACCAGCTCCCGGGCCCCTTCGGGAGAGTGTAGGCTTCGGGTAGTAGAATTCTGTCGTTGTGTAGATATTGACTCCGTTGTGTCGCTGTAGTAATTGTCCAGTTCGTCGTACAAAACTTCGGAGTCCTTATGGATGTGTCAGAGTTGAAATCGACAAAGTTGAAATAATTTGTCATGCATAAAATGGATGCCAGTTGGAACCCAGTTTCCAAGTGGCGCATGACAAATTTCGGCGGTCCCTAAATCCAGTTTGTCATGCTGTTTAGGCAAAGACGAGCGATTCTCTCATGCTACTTTAGCAGCTCGAGCTTTAACCCTAAACAGGCTTACAATAGGCCTCACTTGCCTGCTCTGCAACACACGTACCGCGGGTCATGCATTTTATGCATTGCAAGTTATTTCAACTTTGTCGATTTCAAACCTGACGCATCCATAGTCCTCGGCTGCGAGATATCGCAGCAGCATCAGTGGTTCGCTGACCCGATTGGCGGGGTGGGTCAGAAGTCCCTCCATGGTGGCGGGGTCGTGCCCCTCCTGTGCTTGAACCATGTTGATTTGGCACGAACTTTGCAGGAAGAACGGAGGCCCTGCACTTCTGTAGTTCCACGACGAAGTTGCGATCCAGAGCAAGCCTCCGGCTATCGAGGATAGTGTAGTTGGACGCTTTTTTACTGTCTTGTCCTTGTTCCTCGTGTCCCGTCCGCGTCCCATTCCCACCGACCGCCGCACCGGCGGCCCGCTCAACACCCTCTCGGCCGCGGCACTCCATGTTTTTGACTTTGCGGATTTTTTCCGCGGGCTGGCCCATAGAAGATGCCTCGTCGACGTCCCCGGAGACCCGCATTTTCTTGTGCATTTCATTCATCGATATTGTGGTAGTCGTACGTTTCAGTTTCTGTGGGTGCGGCGCATCAAAGCATCAGATGTTCTAGAGCAAAACCAAAACCATGGTATGTGGTTCTTTTTGAGCTGCCTGGGTTTTTAGATTGTCTTCGGCGAATTGTAGTTTACAATTACAAAGCATATGATAAAACATCAGATGAAAGACGTGGTCAAGATGCGTTTTCGCACAAGGAGCAGGATCTTTTTCTTGGGCAAACAAGTAGTAGGCCACGAAACAAAGAAGAAACCAGATCGCCGGCACGTGTGTAACTTGAAGTTGATGTTGTGAGGTAGCGTCGTCAACAAGATCGTCAACTCAACAGTGTCAATGTGGATCTTGCAGTGGTCAACTATGCCGCGACCAAGAAAATGATCAGCCCAGTTATCAAGACATCCACGAAACTAACTGATCATCATAATCTTGTTTTCATATGATATGCCTGTAGATGTAGAAGTCGTAGTCCTGCTTCACCTCCTGCAGAAACGCTGGCCATTTTGATTTTTGGCAGCATCGAAAACCTCTCTCCCGCTTCATTGTTCGAGTATGATGAAAGTCAAAATGGGATTGTGAATGTATGAAAAAGGTATACCATAATTGGAAGTGCTCCAACATCGTCAAGAAAGAATGTGTGCAATAGTTTAGAATGCTTACTCCTACTTCTTTTTGTCGGCGTAGTTGCACTACTTTCGACTACCGCGCACGGTTTGATGCGACGCATGGTCGTGTTCTTCTGGTTCTGTTTTAAAGCGATTGATTCTAAATTCCCTAGATGTCAGCATATTTACGTAAGTATTCACTTGTCTCCTCGACGACGGTGAGATGACTCACATTTCATCTTTTTCTCTGCTTGTACACAGCGCGGTATTTGTATTTCTCCGCTACTTCGCCTTCGGCTTAGCCTTTCCTTTCTTGCCCCCGTCCACTCCACCCGGTGCGTGCGCCGGCGGTGGGCACTTCGGAGCGCACGCCCCCGGAATCAGGGAGAAAATGTTCGCCGGGGCTGCTGCAGCGGCGGGCGGGGCCTGTGGTACGACCACTCCCGCGCCAGGGTAGGGAACACCAACCATTGGAGTGGCCGTCATCATCTGGACCTGGAACTGCTGTTGACCTGCCTGGTGCTGCTGCTGTGCAGCTGCAGCTCCACCCATCGCAGCGGCCATCATTACTTGCTGTTGCACCATCACCGCTTGGGCCTGTTGCGCCGCAAACGCCGCACATGCTTGCGCCTGCTGCTGCGCGGCGGCCGCCTGAAGGGCCTGCTGCTGCTGGTGCATTAGGAGCACCTGCTCCTGCTGTCTCTTCACTTCCATCTGCCGTTCGTAATTCAGTGCCTTTTTGCAGTTCTCCTTGGTCTTCTCCAGGGTCGCACCGACCAAGTTGCACCCTTGGCCGCGGCTGTGGTAGTCCGCCGCCAGCGCGTCCCACATCAGTTCCTCAAGTTCCCGCTTGACCTTCGGATCCATCTGCGGCAGCGCTTCCACGATTTGAAATCCATCGTCCTCGTCGGCACCCGCCCCCGCGGTCGCGTCATAATTAGGATCCTGCTGTTTCGTATGGAAGCGTCAGGATTGAAATCGTCAAAATTGAAATTATTTGTAATGCATAAACTCGATACCAGCTGGAAGCCCAATTTCCCAGCAGCGCATGACAAATTTCGGCACCGTCTAAAACCAGTTTGTCATGCTGTTTAGGGACAGAAGGCGCCCTTTGTCATGCTACTTTAGCAGCTCTATTCCAAACCCGAAACAGGCTCACAACCGGCCTCCTTTGCAATCCCTGCAAGAGAGGCACTTCATGCCTTGCAATTTCTGCATGAGAAATTATTTCAACTTTGAGGATTTCAATCCTGACGCTTCCATATTTCGCGACCTCGTTGTTGTGCTTTCGAATCTTCGCCTGGAACTCTTTCGCGATGGCGGCCGATTTCTTTCGCTGGTCTTCCATTGCGCGCTGTATCATGGGCATAGCTTTCCGCTCCGGTGGCTCCAGAATGTTCATCATTTGCGCATTTCTCGCGGCAAAGACGGCATCCGCGTCCTTTCGTGCGTCTGGCTTTTCCTTCGTGGCCTTCTCGCCGCGACACCCCGCAAGAGGTTTCATGTCGGCCCCAAAAATGCACTGCAAATGCGGCGGGAGGTCCCACCAGGTCGTGACCTTGGATTTATCAGCACTTTGCTGCAGTTGCTGCAGGGTCGGGCGAGCTGCAACACCGCCTCCAGCTGCGTCGGTGGAAGCTGCCGGTTGTAGAAGTTGCGCGGAGGAGGAGGTGGAAGAACCCGAGAAGATCGCGGCAGTTCCCTGCATCGGCGGGGGTATCAAGGCTGCCAACATTTTCAACCCGTGAACGCCGCAGTTGTAGTTGTGCGAGCCAAGAACCACTGCTGCTGCGAGCGACAACAACGCTCCTGCGGCCTTGCTCTTATTTGAGGCGGCATGAGCGCGTCTGTTGCGATGATGTTGCCTCATATTGATCTTCTAGTACTACACACGAGAACTATTAATGTTGCCGTGTGGTCCGAGAGGAAACTGAGAAGAAATGTTGAAGCTAACCACCAGCAACAGACCTCGTCAAAATGGCGGTAGCTGTTTTCGATTTCATCTTCAATGAATTCAGGATGATCTTCACAAAATATCGAGTGCATTTGAAACGTAGTATGTAGCAAGGAAAAGAACAATTCACGCAAAGGCGAAAGAAAAAAAAGCATGTGTACTCACACGCCGCGTGTGCGGTGTGCCGCTGCTGTGCCGGTGCAGCTGCATAACAGATCTACTTGCTAACAGCCCCTCTTTTGATCCATCGCGTGGTCCTGGTCATTGACGACTCTGCGCTGGAAAACATCAATTTTCCAGGTTGCAACCTACGCCGCGGGAGATGAATACAATGGATGCGTGAATAAGAATATCGCCTGTGAATCTAAAATTGAAAAAATGGATCCAGTAAACTCTTTTCATCAACAACAAAGCTGCTGCAGCGCAATACAAATACCAACTTCAAAAATACTGAAAAGATGAACATCTGCTATGCAACACCACATCGGCGTCGCCTACTTATAGATGAAGCTTGAGATTTTTGTTTTTCTAGAGCCCGGTCGTATCAAATTACTTTGTGACTTTTTTGGACTTTATTTTCAATTTTTTGTGTTCCTTCGTACTTCCAAGTGGATTGCTGACAACCTCCAGATTGAGATTACTACAGCACATGCTCTCCCTTTCAGTTTGTTTCCTGTATTTCAGTGAGCTGTACCGAAGACTCACTGTATGAGCCGCCGATGAGCTACAAGTTGAAGCTAATGTATTTCTACCTTACAACAACTCTACTCATCCGGGTAAATCTGCGGGCGAACCAGCGCCCAGCCAAACAGGACTATGTTTGCGTACAAGCCGACCGCTAGAATGCAGTAGCCAACCAAGTCTTGTCTCTGGTACAGCAGGAAGCGGAAGTAAAACGCCGAAGCCGCGTATGGATGCGTCAGAGTTGAAATCGACAAAGTTGAAATGATTTGTCATGCATAAAATGGATGCCAGTTGCAACCCAGTTTCCAAGTGGCGCATGACAAATTTTGGTAGTCCTTAAATCCAGTTTGCCATGCTGCTTAGGCAAAGAAGACTGATTTTGTCATACTACTTCAGCAGCTCGAGCGCTAAGCCCAAACAGGCTTACAATCGGCCTCACTTGCCTGCTCTGCAACACACGCGCCTCGCGTCATGCATTTTATGCATGACAAACTATTTCATTTTCAACTTTGACAATTTCAATCCTGACACTCCCATACCGCGTGGATCGTCAAGAAGTAGAGCGTTTCTTCCTTCGGCGGTCCCCCCGTCGTGATTAAACGGCGCCGACGGTTTATGCAAGAAAAAAGCTGTCGCGTAAGCGTAAATCTGTAATGTAGAACACGCAACAAAGTTACACCTGTCATGCCAGATAGCCACGAAGTTCTCTTTTCATGTGTGTTTTCCCTTACAAGCCACGCGTGACAGGCTTTCTCTGTCATGTAGAGCAAATTTGTGATGCTGTCTGCCAAAGATAGTTACACCAACACAGTTTTTTTCTTGGATACGGTTGGAGGTGTTCTCTTCTCGGCCACCGGCGTCTCCATCTTGAAGATCTCCGGTCGTATGATCATCTCCGTCTTCCGGTCCAACCACAGCCGTGGCCTGCTGCTCCTCGTCGCTGGAGTCAGACTGCTCCAAGTCCTCTTCCCCATTCCGAGCGCCGAAGTTCCGGTCCTCCGCCGTTTCAGCGTCTTCCAATTGCAACAGGCTCGGGTTCCTTAGAAAAAGGGAAAAACAAACCAGCATGATCGTCAACCCGACCCACCAGGAGAGATAGCGATCTGCGGTCATCGGGACGTGATCGCTGTATTCGTAGCTGATGATTCTGGATTGAAGAAGATCATTCTGGTGCGACACTGCATGATGTTGCTCCTGTGGAGAAAGTACAACACTATCAGCCGCAAAAGCCCGGATAACACCGTTGGAAATATATGATCGTCTCTGTGCCGAGAGAGGTAGGAGAAAAGAAGTAGAAGTCGGCGGCATCGTCCCACGGGGCTCGCTCAGGATTTCTTGGTGCTGGGGGTGTTCATCTGCTTGCCGCGCACCTCCAAGATAAGACCCACGACCCTGCTGGGCGGCGGGGCCATTGACCACTATCCCCGGGCGCTGCAGCACCATCAGCCACTGTAGCCACGCGAAGTATGCTACCAGTAGTGCACTGGGTAGAATGGCACCGTTTTTGCACCAGTCGCTGGCGGAGAGGATCAACAAGGCGACGCTTAGAAAATGCGAAATCAGGATGACGTACTGGTTGGGTTCATTCGCGTACACGACGAACGGAAGGTAAATCACGGCCAGGTATCCTGAGTAAAAGCGTCCCCACACCAGAGTTGTCATGCAAATGCGCAATGACAGGAACATTTGTAATGCGCAGCTGCATGAGAGGAATTTCCAGTCGTGTTTTGGAAAAATCTGTAATGCTATAAACAGGATGTGAAAATGACTTTCTCATGCAGCTTCTCTTGCCAATCAGCACTACACTGCAGAGGGAGACTTGTCATGCACAGCTCCCAAAACTTGGAGATTTGATGTGTTGCTAGATTCCAAACTTGACTATGCGGTGGGGACGTTTTTACAAATGATACCAGGACGGCGATCGTCAGGAAGATGATGGTCGCAAGGAGGATTCCCAAGTACCACAGGATTCCTGGCCTGGATTGGAGAAATTGGCGGAAAAAGTTGGAATGCGAATTGTTGTCCCGATTGCGATTACCGCCCCCTCCGAGAAACGCGTTCGGGTTCACGATTGCCTCCCGCTGCGCTTCCAACGCGTTTTCCACCCAGGTTTTGTTCCAGCTGTGCCCCAAGTCGTACAAAATCATCATTTGCGCGGTCAGGTAAAACAACGAGACCCCCCCGCAGGTGTAGTACAGCCACGACTGCAGCCCGAAAAAGTCGTTCGGAATCAAAAACGCGAATAGGATATCAGATGCAGAAATGTCTGGGTCTGGAAGAGTCGGGACTTGTCATGCACATTTTGCATGACCCGTGAGGTCTGTGATGCTGGTGCTAGCATCACAGATTTTTTGAGAGCTTCTCGAGCTCGATGCTAATTACGCATGAGAAATGCCCTCTCCGCGTGCCAAGAGCTGAGTCCTCTTGCTGCTCATGCAACACAGATATTTTTAGAATCCGCAGACAGCATTACAAGTTGCATTCTTCCAGACCCAGACATTTTTACATTTGATATAGGAACGGAAGAAACACCGGGGTCAGCAGCTTCGCGCCCCAGAACTTGTTGAGCGCAATCTTCGTGGCGCCGATGGCCGTATCAACTGTAAAAGTGTCTGGGTCTGGAAGAATTCATGTTTGTCATGCTTGTCTGGCATGACTGCTAAATCTGTCACGCACGTTACCCAAGAGCTCCGTTTTTCTGTGATGCAGAAGCGCAGTTTGTCGTGCAGTAGAATAGGGGGCAACACCTAGGAGCTCAGAAACTTGTCATGCTGAGCCAGCATTTGTAGCCTCATCATGAGACGCCACCCAGCATCACAAGTTTCCAGACCCAGACATTTTTACACTTGATAGGCGGAGAGGAAAATCAAGATCAGAAAGAGGATCGCGAACGAGAGAAACACCCGCTCCGTCGCTTGCTGTTGAAAGTTTATCGTCCTTGAGAAATACGAAAAGTTTAGTTTGCCCAGCACCCATACGATCCGACTAGCCGCCTGGCTACGAGGAACCCGTCACACATTGCGACCAAATGTGCTAAGAACACGAGTTCGACTCCTTGCGCGCAGACGCAACGCTGAACGGAGCTCGTGGCGACTAGTGAGAAGCGTAAGGCGAGACCATGGAAAAGACGTTTTCCATGCATAGACGATAGACACACTCACACAACGAACAGTGACGATGAGTGAACAAAATCCCTGTATGTGACTTCCTCACAGGGCGAGGTGGGTGGGATGAAAAAAGCGGCTTTATCAACTTCTTACTATTTCTAGTCTAGTAAGAGACTTTAGACGCCCGAGACTGGGCCAGTACGAAACTAGAGCGCTTGCCTGTGCCGTCGCGTTATTTGCGGTATGCGCGACCCACCAATTAGATCCTATGACGAAGACATGGACGAGACGAAGACGAGAGCAGACGACTCCTCTTTTCCATGGACTCAAAACTGGCGCTAACGAATTACTTCGTAATTCTCAAGCATAAAATTTATCGTCCTGGAGAAATACGAAGAGTGTAGTTTGCCCAGCACCCATACGATCCGACTAGCCGCCTGGCTACGAGGAACCCGTCACACATTGCGACCAAATGTGCTAAGAACACGAGTTCGACTCCTTGCGCGCAGACGCATATGGGGCACAGTGGGCACCATTTGGGATGGTAAGAGTAGACAACTGTGACGGCTCTTGGGCCGAAAAAGCGTGCGCATGAATATGCTCACAGAGAGTCGGGATTCTCATAGAGTCGCACAATGACGCCGAAGCTTCGGCACTTCATGAAGAAGCGGCCCAAAGTGAGAGCGTAATCACACATCTTGCCGCCATTGAGACCGCAGCCAATGCGTAACGGGACTGCCACAGACTTGACCCCGTTGCTGCTGCAATAGACTGCTAAGCTGTACATTGATGAATTGAAAGCATCTAGGCGCTCCTGGTATGTGTCGTAGTTTCTATCCGCCTTCGGCGGCCCTGGATGACACATGGAGTGAACGTTAGCAATCGGATGCATGACTTGAAACGATTTGCATGGCTTCTGGGAAGCTGGTAAGGGATAAGCGTTGGCACATGGCCACCTATCAAAGACCAACTCTGCTACTCCTTTAGGCGCGACCGGATCAGTGCAACACAAATGCGCGATCAACTGCTCCGACGCTTGGGCGATGCATTTGCAGACGGTGTTTCCTGGTAGATTGAGAGACCTGCGAAAGACTGCGTTTTGAAGTAGTTTCGTGTGCTGTGGATTCTCGATCGTGATGAGATTTGTGGTGGAAGACCATTGCTCGATGGGCACCGAAAGAAAGACCTCGTAGTCATCGTCGGCCGGCATGTCGACCTTTTCGAGATTTTTGCTGTTGAAGATCTTAGCGCCCCTCTTGTGCGAGATTTTTGCTCTGTAGAAGGAGGATGTCATCGGAGCAAATTTGCCTCCTGCTTTTGGAAGGAAAGCCGCGAACTTCGGACGGTTCGCGAGCGGGATGCCCTGTGCTGTTTTTTGCAAAAATTTTACTGCGGGGTAGACGATGTCGCCTGGTGGAAACCACCGCGACTTTTCTTTGCTGATTTGCTCGAAGTTCTGGAGCGGCATGTTTTGGGACGTGAACTTCGTGGCTAGGCGCGAAGTCTTGTCGGAGTCGTCTAACGACGCAAAGCACTCGATGGCGATGTCGGGCAGTTTTTTCATGATGTGACTCCATGCCCGGTTGTTTAGGCAACGCTCGGGCTCCGGATCACAGAAAGAGAAGACGTGATCGTCGAAACGACTGAGACAATCAGCAACGATGTTGCGCAAGCCGCGCACTTTGGCCCCGATGAGCTCCAGCTGGTTGCGCTGGCGCAATGACTTCAGTCTTCTGGTGCAGAACCACCCAGTATGCCGGGTTGGTGTGCTTGCCTTTGTTTGCGAACTTCTTTGCTGTGAAGTTATCCGTATAATACAGCGCGAGCATTCCTGGTGGGAGCTCGCCGCGCGCTTCCATGCACTCCAAGACGATGAGGAGGGTTGCACTTTCTTTCGCGTTTATGTCGTGCTGGTTGATCCACTGCGGGAAGAAACCCTGGTAGTGCACTCCTCTGCATGTGCCGCCCCATCCGGTTTCCGTTGCGGCGTCGCCATAGATGACGAGAAAGGCCGACGGCGGGATGGAGTTCAAAAATTGCGTTCCGAATTCTAACACATGCTGGCCCCACAGGAAGCACCTGCCTCCGTAGTAGTGGAGCTTGCGTTTCGGCACTTGGTTGATTTCGTGCACCCACCACTTCAGGTCTTGAGTGACCTCGTGCGACAGCGAGACTTTGGGACTGTGATCCCGCGACGACTGCCACAGCCGGTAGCAGCCGGAGGCGTTGAGCGCGTCTTGCAGGCCCCTGAGCGGGCCGTCTAGGATGAAGGTGATTGACTGCAGTTTGCCGCAAATCTTTGCCGCCGCTTTGGCTGTCGTTGTTAGCGAGGGAGAAGAAGACACCTCATCTAGAAACTGCTGCGCGTCGATCGCATACTGCTCTCTGCGCTCTTCTTCTATCGCCATAGTCATTGCTTCCGTATCGCACTCGAACCCGAGCCATGGAAGCTTTGTTGTCGGCGGGATTTTCTTTCCTGGTTTTTCATGTAGCTGACAACCGAACAGCGAAAACATGAAGAATGTTTTTTGGAATTCGCGCGCGGTGTGCTCCATTGACGTGCTGCACGGGGCGGGGAGGACGCCCCTTATATCATCGACGTAATCCAGTAGCCAGGCCGTTAATCCGGCCCGGTACTGGATACGAGTGAGTTCCTTGATCGCCTCATCATTCTTGCCGGGGGCAGGTGATATACCTGCCGAGAAATCGCGACTATGAGACTCGAAGCATATGCGTAGTCACAAGTGTGAAAACAAGCATGAAAAGCTTAGGAAATACCGAATGGCACGAAGCAATGGCACGCTTTCGCTCCCGTCTGCGGTATGTCTAGTCCTAGTAGGCGACGCTGACTGGGATGCACTGGCCAGTGTGCGTAGCAATCGGCCAGGTCGAGCCCAAACGCCAGAGCTCCCGGACACAGCTTTTCGAAGAGAGACCGCCAGCAGCTATACTGGACTGGTGTACTGTACAGCATCTGGCTGGCGGCTACTTGCGGGCTGGACCAGTCGGCCACCAACCTAAGTGATGATGAGAAGATGACGCGGGCTATGACGTGCGCTAGAAGACATGAGTGTCATGAGAAACAGAACATACCTGTACTTCGCTCTTTGCTTAAGTATTGTTCCCGGGGCGATCATAAGATCCGGGGGCTCGTCGTCCTCGTACACTACCACTTTTTTGCTGTGGATAAAGCGCCAGACTTCTTCGGTGAAATAATCTTCGTAGGTCGTGGCTCCGCTGTAATTCTTGACCTGGCTGACTTTGAAGTCGTCCACTGTCACGTCGAATTTTACACCACCGAAAAAACGCTCCATGAAGGCAGGGCTGAGCCCGTAGCGTGCCAACATGAAGGGATTGAGCGCGGTCCCCTGCCACGTGAGGTAGTCTTCGACCGGCCGCCACTTGTCGTCGGGCCCTTCCTGCGACTGCAGAAACTCCAGGGCGGACAAGTTGGCGGCAGGCAGTCCCATACTTATGTAGTCCCGAATGGACATGCCTGGGTCTGGAACTATGCCTAGTTCTCTCCCTTCTCTCGTGGGAACTGCTGGGTCGCTCTCGGCCACGTACTCCCGGGGCTGCTCCATTTGCCGGGCTTTCTCTCCACGCTAGTGACTGGTGGTTGACAATTGAAGTGAACGACAACAGAAAGACGGCTGCGTGCCTGAATGGGAGAGCAAACGACTGGGCCAAACTCCCGACGGTGCTTTGTCAGCGACAAGGCAGTGGGAAAGCGAAATGATTATTTTTTTAGTCCAAGACGGTAGTAGACGTTGTGAAAACCATCCTTCAAAGAGTTCAACTTGGCTGCCCTTGTCAGCCCTGGCGCTAGACGCGCAAAAGTTTCGCGCGGTACACTCACTGGGATGTCTTGCAGGCCGATGAGGAGACTGCCTAAATTGAAAGCGTTCTTCACATAAGCTTCTTCAACTTTAACTATTGCGCGCCGTAAGTGAGCCAGAGCTGCTGACTCTGGGAAATGCTTTTGCATTGACCGCGCTAAGTCCTCGCGTGTTAAGGGGGCATAAATGGCATCCAACATCTTGTTGCTTCTCCAGCCACCCTGATTATAAGCCACTGCTCTATCCATGGAGGCCACGCGAGTGGCTCCTGCTCGTCTTAACGCGACTGGGCCGGGCAGTTTTTTGCTTTTCGGGAGTAGATACTGCCCAAGCAGTGCTTTTAGCTTTATTCTGAGGCAATCTTGCGACAAGGGAGTGCCGCGAGATTTGATGCGCGTGCTGCCTATTACGAAAAATAAACTGCAACTCCCTGCGAAGTACTCCTTTTTGAAAAAGAATCGGACGAAAGCCCCAGCCCAGCGCATCCAAGCTGTGGCGCGCGGTGTCAAAAACAGAGGCAAAACGCAAAAATTGCCTTGCGCATAAACGTCATTTTTTGCCTTGACTACTTGCAAGCACCAGTAACGCTCCGCCTCCTTTGGGGCGTCGGGAAAAAGATACTTCGGAGCTAGGCTGTCGGTTAGCAACTCCCGCATCTCGGCTCCTCGACGGACGCCGTAGAACTGCATCGCTGCCAGAAGCGCAGTTTGGTAGTCTTGCGCCGCCGAGAGGGCTTGCTTCGAATTTAAATAAGGTTCCAAATAATTTGGAGGCTGATGAGACAGGAACCCGGGAGGACAACAGTGGATGTGGGACTCCTGGCGCGCTTTTGTGAGGACTAAGTCTACTTGGTATCTAGTGGGCTGAAGTTTGTAGGTCTGATTTAGAGGCAAAGTTGCATTGCGTTTGAATCCTTCCCAGATGCGTGCGAAGGGTCTGCTTTTGTAGCGTAGCGAATACGTGTCACACTCTGGACGACAGGAGTTGTAAGCTCCGATGGCTGCACTTAGGCTTTTGAACGCCGACCAGTTGACTTTATTCGTTCTGTCGTTCAAGTGCGAGAAATGGCACGACTTGTAAGTAGCAAAGGTCGCGAAAAACAAACTGCGCCCCAGCTCATTGGTGAGTGGCCATAACTTCACTCCGAGTTGTCTACACACTCGAGGAACTACAACTGCTAAAATGTTCGTAAAATTTTTACACGAAGACGGTGCGATGCTACTGCTTGCAAAAACATAAGACGACTTGAGAAGTTGCTTTCTTACGTCGTCGCGTAACGGGAAAGCATCGAACCACTTTGGACCCTGTGGGAAAGTGCTAACTTCAGTAGAATCTTTCTGAGAGAAAACTTCGGAAGACTTCATCTGACCCTTCAACTTCGAGTCATCAGCTTCACGCGATGGCATGCCGGAGGACATGTGCTGGCTCAATGCTGCCGCGGCTTTTCTCTCCGCCGGCGCGACGACTGCGACCTGGGGCTTTGAACTTGATGACGCCGACGATGCAGGTGGCTTCAAGCTTTCAAAATCTGACACGGCTTCGGCGAAGACGAAGTCGCTGCTGGCGGACGAAGTGCTTTTTGACTTGGACAGCGCGGGCACTGCTTGATTGCCCCCTGCTGGAGCCTGTGCTATGCTACCTGAGAAAAAAATACAGATGAGACGAAAAGGAATTTAGAAGAAACGATGCTACGTGATGGATCATCTAAATCACGCCAAGAAGTGCCTTCTGCTAAGTACAAAGGGGCCTCGTCTGGCTCAATGTCGGCCACAGCTGCTTCTGCGAGCGCTTTTTTGACTGCGTCGGAGTCTGCCTTCGTTTTCTTCTGAGGCTTGGGATTTGCCTTCTCGCGCTCCTGAGCGTACTCAGTTGCAAGAGCTGAGCTCGCCGCTCTTTTGGGGTTCATCTGAAGCAACGACATCCTTCGGCTGATCTGATGTGAGAGCAGTTGCCAAGAACGCCGACCGGTGGTCTGATCTGTAGCGAAGGGCCATATCAAAGATTACAACGATGCGCACCAACATGCAATATGACGAAAAGTACGACGAGAAGCACACTTCGAATGTGAACAGAGCGCCAGACTGTATGAAAGCAGCTCCTGACTGAGCGATGGCGCGAATGGGATGGCAATTAAGTGTCAGCATCGATGCCACTGGAAACACAAACAAAAAAGCGTCGATCTAGTTTCATCTTACAGCTGATTTCCTGTACATGTGGCGAGCTGTTCAAGCCGTTGACTACCACGACGGGGCGCGCATTACATTCGGCGGCCCTCCCTTTGCGCCAGGGACGCCCTGGGCGTATGCTTGCGCTGGGGGAGCACCTTTCATCATGGGCGGACCCTGCTGCTGCTGCTGCTGACCTGGCTTTCCACCTCCTGGCTTGCCTTTTGCCGACGGAGCTGTGCATTGGGACTGCCAGTGCTTGGCCGACTTGCAGTTCGCACAGATAATATGGCAGGGGATGCCTGAGAATGGGTTTCTTATGCAGCCAGAGCGAAACTCTTACGAAGACACTCGCTTTGCATTACCCCAGCAAAGACGTGCCTGCGAGTTCACAACTTTTCAGGCCTTTTTCATGTTTCTTTTGAAACGTAAAGCCTGCCATGTAGCAACTGCGGCAATGACCGTTCGCCTCGAAAAATTTGCACGAGAGGCCACGATCGATCTTTTTTGCAGCTTCAAAATTCAGCTCTGCTCCTTGGGGGTTGTTGACCACCTGGCTCAGAATACGCGCGATTTCGGCCTGCTTCTGCTCCTTGGTCATGCCGGAGGCATTGCCGCCTCCTCCCTGAGCTGCTGCCTGTGGCGTTGTGTAGGATGGGACCTGGGGACAGTAGTCGTAAGCGGGCTGTGCCGGGTAGAAAGTCGAGCTGCCCTTGCCGTTGTTGTTCTGAGACTTGCCGTAATAACCACCCTGACCTTGATCCTGCTGCGTGCGCTTTCTAGACGTGTCGGACTCAATGACGTTCATGAGGGCCGACATGATGGACGGGCTCGACAAATTACAGGCAGTGACGAACGAAAAGCGTGGCTGGAAAAACATGAACCACAGAGCTTTCTTGGCTTCGGAGATGTGCGACGTGAGCTTGATTTCTCGATGGCAACCTAGAGAAGACGGGCGCGGTGAGAATAGAACGCATGCTCACAAATCTACAACTGCACACAGACAATCAGCCTGCCGGGCCCGGGCAAGCTGCCCGGTGTAGTGTCAGCATAAAAATGCTTTAATTTCTTGGCCGAAGTTATGACTTTGATTCCACAGAGCCGGCCCCAAACCCCACAAAGGGCACACCGAAAACGCCGCGCGGCTTGGCCATGACCAAGGCAGGGGGGCCCGGCCGCCCCGGTCCTATGGGTTTCGATGGAATCAAGCTGGAACGGGGCCGGGATGGGGGTGATCGGGTGAGCCATTGGCCCCTGTCCACCTCGCCCCCAAAAAATGCGGGGCCAACAAAGCCCCACGAGGACAAACCGGCCGAGGGCAAAAACACGACAACCCCAGCCCCACCTTCAGCAGAAACACCAAAGCGACACGGACGCGCCGGCCAAATCCGGCGCAACACCGGACAAATGCCGGCTGCTTCCACACCTGCGGACCTCGGGTCTTGCTTGCCGAAATAATCGCGCCAAACACCCCCCCGCGGCGCGGAGGCGACGCCCCCCCCTGCACTCGCCGGGCCCTGTTGTTTTGCTTTAAAAGTGGTGTAATTTGTGGTTTAAATTAAGTTTAATTTTTGTTTAGTATTTGCATTAAAATTTGCTTTAATTTGTTAAACACTGAAATCCCTAAGGATTTCAATGAAAACAAATTAAAGCACATTTTATTGCATTTTTAATGCAACAATTATTGCAAAGGTTATTGCGAAGGTTACTGCTGGGTTTATTGCAAACCCAGCAGTCCTTCGCAACAACCACCACTCCCTGTCGGCCATCAACAAACGGCGACGCCCCTCCGAAAAGACCCCGACTGGGGGACGGCGCCAATGCCGATGGGGACGAAACCTGTCGAAACGCCAAAGCCACCAGCGCGCGTCGCCCCTTCCCAAACGCGGCGAGGCCACATAGACTGGCCGAAGACCCCACCGGCCCAGCTGCCATCCAGGTGGAGCCCGGCGAAAGCAGCCCGGGAGCTGGAAAGAGAAAAGGCACGCGGCGTGCATGCGCTTGAGAGGCGGGCAAAAACTCAAACAAAACACCCCGGGGGCCGTGGAGGCACAAAAACACCAAAGCCGGTGGGGCCCGGCCCGTCCTTCCTCGGCGCCACGCGCCACGTATGGGAAGGCAACAAAATGGGGCCCCTTGCCAGGCAGGCCACGTAGCCAATGAAACACAACCCGCCCCAACTTTTATATTAGTGGTTTTTTATGCCGATTTTAATGGTCGAAATTTGCCCGGACCCGGCTGCCTGAAGACAAGCCATGCTCACAGGTCTAACAAAACACTACTTCGAATGGAGAAGTAGGCTGCGTAGCACAGATTGGATGCCGGCTCCGAGTTCTGCTGTGCCTTGGACAAGAAGCGCGCTGACGAGTCCTCGATGTAAGAGATGAGGAAGCGGTGGCGCTTGGCTAGCACCGCGACCGGCTGTCCGTCGAAGTGCAAGACCACCTTGGGAAAGAATGATGAGCAGTTATGTGCGATCGCAATGTAAGTGCCTAGCATTACCGTCATGCAAAAAGAAAAACAAATAGTCACTACCTTACTCAGAAACTTCTTGTAGGTGGCAAAGCTTCCTTTGTGCTTGGGCAGCAGCATCAGCCTCGTCTTTTTGTGTTCGACTTTCATTCGCTTCATTTCTTTGAAGGTCTTGCTGACTTCCGACGCGGCTGCGTTCGCGCCGGTGGCTGCGGCCGCAGACGCCGCTGACTGTGCTTGCTGTGCGATGGCAAGGTCATGTGAGTTGAGCTTTGAGACGTCGACCTCCTGAAGCGCGGGTCTTTTCAACTCGCGGCGCGCTTCCTTTTTGTCTTCTTGACTCATGCAGACCCATTCCGGGAACCAGTCTTCTTCTTGCGTTATCAGCTGGATGGCCTTTTTGTCGCCAGCCGCTTTCTCCAACTCATCTTCTACCTGAGAAGGAGTGCGGTGGGGACATGAGAATTCCAATTTGACGGAAAACAACGATGAACGCTGCACGCAACAAGAATGATGAAAACAGCGAAAAGCTACCTGCTTCATGCGGCTTTTGTTCTTGGCTACGTTGCATGTCTTACAGCGGCTTTTAACTGGGTCGAGGACGTTGACGGTGTGGAAGTGTCCGTGGGACATGGCGCCGTTGTCCTTTTCGCATTGTTTGCAAATGTATGCCGATCCTCTTGGCGCAAGCTGTGGCGGAGTCTGCGCCAGCGCATTTGATGAAGAAGAGAGCCTCATCTTTTTTGTCAAAGCACGCACAGCAGACGAGTTCCGTCATGGTGGGCACTAATAACTTTTACTACAAGACGAAGGAGAGTTTGTTATCATGTGATGACAATTCTCGCTCAAGATAATACTTTTGACGAAAGGGAGATGCTCTCTCGTGGAAAGGCTCCGGGTAGATCGTAACGCAGTGGCATAGATCTTGCTTGTGACGGCGAACAAACTCGGCTGACATGCTCACTCACTGCTTTGAGCTGACCGCGTCGCGGAATCGTATTAAATTTTAATTATTCTTGGAGTGCCAGCATACATTTTTCAAAAAAATGCACGTCGATGACTTTTCGTCTCAACAAAAACACTGAAAATGAATTTCGCAGACTTACAACATTCCTTCCTGGTCAGCAACGCGCCCGGGCAAAGCTTTTCCTAACTCTAAGTCAGTCTGTCTCTTCTCATGAATCTCGTTTACATAATCCTGCGTCCTCGCTACGATGATCATCGGGCTTTCATCCACGGACCTCACTGTAGCAATGGGCGGGATCAGGTCAAAACTGGCTCTGCAAAAGGCGGACTTCCACTTGCTGGCGTTTGCGAAGGGCGGGCAGAGCACGACGCTCAAGTCGAAAAGTGCACTGCGCATAGCGATGTCGGGTGCTTTCCCATCGGGAATGTCGTCCAACCGGACTTCTAGCCAGTCTTTGAGGACCTGCATGCACAACTTCGCCTTGCCGCGGGACTGGTCCGCAAGGACGTATCCGATTGTCTCCGCCATGCTGGCGATCAACTCGATGTCCTGAAAATCGGAAAACGCCAGGTATGCCCAAGTGGCGTAATCGAGTGCGTTGCTGACGATGGTGAGCGCGCGGAGGCGCCGGATGTGCTTGCCGTTTTCCCACTTCCAGGCCCTCTGGGTCTCAGTGGGCTGGATGACGTTCTGAATCATGTCGCCGTGGGAGTCAGCCATGTATGCCGGATGCTCGGTCTGAACCTTCGAGAATGAAGATGGGAATGGAGTTGAAGACGCACGCTTGTGCGGATGCGTGAATCGCTCTTGATATGCAAGACAGATTAAAGACAAAGTAGCACCTTGGAGCGCAAAGTGATTGCTTCTCCGTCGTAAGTCAGTTATCGTCGGACCACCGTGATCCTTTGTTTGTCGGTGTACATTTTGACAGCGACGGACTTGACATCGTGCTTGGTGAAGATCGTGTCGCTCGGGATCCACTCGAAGTTGTCTGGGCGGTGCACAGTCCCGGTTTTGTCGAATGGCAACGGGTAGTCGACCGACTTGGGGTCCAGTAACTGGCGCGCGCGCATTGCGGCGACTTCCTCCTCGATGACGGCCGTTTCGGGTTCGACCTGTTGAGCGACGGTCGTGTCGCTACCCATGGCAACGCCCTGAGACAAGGATCCAGACGGCGACGGCATGTCTTTTGCTTTAAGCTTCCGGATTCTTCTCAGAAGATGCGGGCGACTGCTTGTCTGCAAGAGCTGAGCTGCCTAAGTTTCGCGGAAGAGATGTAGGAGGAGACTTCTCAGAATATTCGTACGAAGCTTTCGCCTTCTTCAGAGTTCTGAGAGCTGATGCCGGATCGTCTTCCACGCTGGAAGCAAAGCTTGAAGCTTCGACCACTTCTCTATCAAATACCCAGGATCGCTTTCTGGAGTCGGGGAACAACTTACAAAGATTGCAGTCGACGCAGATGCTCGCGTCTTCGAGGCGAAGCCTCGGTAGGGGGTAAGTCGCTTCTACGAAGGTGCGATGCTTCTTCACCGTCTGCAAATCTCCGTCTTTCGCGAAGTAGTAGCACTCGCCTTTGCAGGCTTCAGAATTCGGACACGCGGGCGAAGTGTTGCGCGGTGTGTGAGCCAACCGCTTCTGGCTGCAAAACGAGCACTCGATTTTGCGCAAAAACGACTTGGGCGCCATAGTGGGCTTTTCTCTAGGCAGAGACGTTGCGAGGTTGCCGCTCTCGTCGCATGTAATGCGGAAACCGAGCCAGGAGCCCAGATCTCTTGACGTGAACAACTTCTTACTATTTCTAGTCTAGTAAGAGACTTTAGACGCCCGAGACTGGGCCAGTACGAAACTAGAGCGCTTGCCTGTGCCGTCGCGTTATTTGCGGTATGCGCGACCCACCAATTAGATCTTATGACGAAGACATGGACGAGACGAAGACGAGAGCAGACGACTCTTCTTTTCCATGGACTCAACACTGGTGCTAACGAATTACTTCGTAATTCTCAAGCATAAAACAAGCCGTGATCTTGCTTTGATCTGGACCATATGCATTGCAAAAGTATCGCACCAGTATAAATCGCAATACAATTTTTTCCAGAAGGAAAAATGGAATTTGTAATGCTGATTTCGCTAAGAAACAGGATTCGTCATGCATGATTGCAATTAGTACGAGTACGATAATTTTGCACAGGATAGACCACCTGGGGCAGTCGCACTTCTTGCATTACCACCATGAAGATCATCTCGTCCTGCTTTGTTGCATTCCATGATCCCAAACTCGAAGAGAAAAAAGTGGTTGAAAAGCGGGAACTTCGAGACATGCGTATCAAAAGGAAAAATCCGCCCAACCCATATCAAAACGAAACTTCCGATGCTGGATTTGTGCACACAAGTCCGAGCTTTCTTGCTGGAGAGCACTACAGGCCCATATCAAGTGTGAGTAGAGGGGTTTCGGCCTGGGCGCTTAGCATGATAAACAGCGGCGCGGCCGTAGGCCCAAGAGCATGACAAAACGCGACGGAGCCTGCGGAGTTGCCTTCTTGCAATGTGACCACAAATCAGCATCACAAATTTCCAAAAATATACCTTTTCAGTATGGAGAGGGGGGATTTTTCCTTTTGATAATGCGGTGCAAGCCAGCGGTACATGAACAGCCAGACGATGTTCCAGAGCTGCAGAAACGCGAACATCTTCCGCATCGTAGAGTCTTTCTTGACGTGGCCGGAGGTGAGGCATTTCCCCATGCAACTGCTTTATGCAACTACGGAAAACCTTGTTGTTGTTCTTCCACAGGAGCTTGTTCCTCGCTCTCACTGTGTTTTTTTTTTCTCATACATTATATGCAAAACACCAATTATATTTACTCGACGCGAATGATCGATGGTGATGGTGATGGCGATCCATTCACGTTCCGTAAATTCCTTTTCTTCATCTTGCACAGCAGTGAAAAAAACTTTTGTATGGCGATCATCATGGTGATGGTGGAGAGCTAAGATTTTGTGTAGCATACGCCAAAGCAGCTGGCGAGACACGTGCCGAGGCAAGAACCCATGGTATGCTTTTCGGCTCGTTCTTTCTTGACCGCTCCAACAACACTTCTTTTCGTCTCTTTGTCTTTTTTACGCCAAGCGAAGCCTGCTTTTCGCACGTATGTACGATTGCGGCAGCATTTTTGTACTAGTTTTCGACGTCTTGTTTACCGTTTACAATTAGTTAAAGTCTTTAACTAATTGAACTACGATCATCTAGCTACGTCGTCGTAGGGGAAGCAGGAAAACAAAAGCAAAAGATCAAGCGGCAGGTTAGACTGGAGCTGCTAGAAGAGCTCCTGCCAGACAGCATGGATGCGTAACTTCACGACAACGACACCTATTTACTGCCACAGAGGAGTTTATTGGGTTCGAAATCGAATTCAAGACTCTGACATAACAACTCATGTAAATATGCAACGGATTTTGCAAGCCAAAAAGAAGATAAATGTAAATACTGATACTAAAAATCGGGTCCTGTTACGTGTAAGATTTCGACCTTCCGAGTAACTACACAACTGCAAACATCATACACATACAATGTCTTGTCTTCAGGTAATCAATTTTTTCGACCAGCACGTGAATGAAAATGGATCTATTTGTACTTTCGTCCTCATGAAGGGAGACGGACAAACATCAACATGATAGTACACACGGTAGCGGAGCGGAGTCGAAAAATCATCTTCCATCTTTGAAGGGCTCCGAAACGAACAACCACCAGGAAAATGGAATGCAATTGTCCAACATCATTTTGTTGATTTTTCCTTCACAGGAATCGCTACTTCGTAATAAATTCACCCCAAAAATCCAAATGTCTAATCAAAATCAATCAAGAGTCAAACCTTGTTCAGGTCGAATATTATGTCGCATGAGAGATCCTCGGGCACATTCGTCAATAGAAAATAGAAGTCTATATATTGATTGAGTAAGTTATTTTGAGTTTTCTTTTAACAAACCAGAAATCTTGACGAGGCTTCCAAAGTTAGTAGTGCTTCTGCTTCCAAATACACCATATAAATCGCATCTGTTTCTTTTATTGACTTTTCAAAATATTGCCTTCGTTTCGAGGAATAAATAGAAATATTAGAAGTCGGAAATTTACTTTGAGTACTCTGAGATGCCGCCTTTTGGCGTAAAACCGTTACTGTTATTTGTGAAATGTGAATGGTACTCTGAAAGATAAAAACATAAACTGTATCAGAGCAACTACAAGCAGGGTACGTTTTCCAGAAAGTTGATTTTTGAAATTGGAGTGGCAATGATTTCTTTGATCAAAATTAGAAAAAAATGACTACAGAAAAAGTCAAAACTGAAAAGCCGTTCTTCATCTCGATAGAGCCACACGAAACGTTAGCAACTGGCAAGCAGAATTTCATATTTTCACCGTCAATTTTCTTCGTGTTTGACTCTTGGTTGTTCCTTGCTTCGTCCATCAATGAAAAGTAACAATAGTACAACATCAGAAAAAGGCCTTGCATATTGGCTAACCAGCTGAGCTATCCAAAAGAGAACTTAAGAATATGAATAGCATTTGCCAATCTTGAAGGAATAAAGCGAGGAGAATATAGTCACTATCATAACATCAGAAAGAGGACCACCAACATAAACGATCGATAGTTTGTTAGTAGCTTAGTAATAGAGCGCACCAGACGCAGACCCAGAGCTATTTTTTGAATTTACTTTTTTTTTATTTTGAACCTGGAGCTGCTTGAGCATGGAGATGTCTACAATAATATTGTGATTCCAGCACGCGCCTGAAACAAAGTGGATCTGGTATAGTTACAATAACAATCATTATTCACTTAGCTTGGTCCTCTGCAAGTTCAATCATACACAGTGTGCATGAGCATGATAGCGTAACTAGCGACGCAAATCTAAACTCTATATCAAACGCCGTTCATCTTCTTCGAATCTTGTGCTCGGCAACTCAAATAATTACTATTACACATAGAAATCTTCTTTAAAAATGCAGCAATACAAGGATCAGGAATATGCCGGAATGAAGTCAGAGGAATGGATGCCATTTCTCAGAAGCAGAGATAAGGCATCTGTATGTAAGTATATTCATTCGAATTACATGCTGCACTACCCAGTCAATCATGCGAACTTCTGTACGAAGAAGAAAAATTAGGAAAAGAGTAAAAAAATAAGCACAAAAAGAAATCGGAACAGGTACAGCTTCTGCACCCAATTTTTTTCACGCATTTTGATTTTCTTCGAAATAAACAAATATCATGACGCGCCTTATCCTTCGTCCAAGATAAAGGGTATTGCTTTAACTGAAAAAAAACAAAACGCTGAACAGCTATAGTCACAAGAAACGCTAGCACGAAGTCTAACTATCATTATGAAACAAAGAGGGACACAATAAACCGTGATAGGTTATTCACCATTCTCTGCTGTCGTTGTAGTTCGACCTAAGTAGCCGTCGTGCGTTTTATTCTGCTATGAATTAGAACTTCATGTTCATGTTTCTTCTATGGTATGATGCTCATATTTTTTTCGATAGTCCCATCCTCATAGAAAAAAAGGGGAGATGCCTCTTCTATGCTCCCTTCAAACTAACGCGACTTCTTTTTTTACACTACACAATGTCTTCACAATCTTCTTTTGTTTTTTTGCAGTCGACTTTCTCTCCTTCATCTTGTTGCGCCGCTTTTTCCTTTTGAAGCTGAAGTAGAAGTCAAACAAGTTCTCGTCAACACATCTTTCGTACTACACCCAGCACTTTTATTTTTTACTACATCCGCTTCCGCTACTTAGTACAGCTCCGCCGCTCGCACAGCTGCTGGCGAGCCGCTCGAAGCGGACGATTCCAGCCCGGGACTGTTTTTCGCGGAGCCACCACCAGCCCCCCCTTGCGAATTCCTATCCCGCATGTAGTTGTTGCCCTTTCCGCCGCCGCGCTTACCTCCACCTTTAATACCTTTGTTGTTCTTGTTAGTGTTACCACGGCTGTTGCGCATGATCGGATCAACATTTCCAGCGTTGTGATGTGAACCGGACCCGCTGGTATTGTTCATCTGCTCACTCGCCGTCGCGTAAGAACCACTAGAAGATGAAGACCCAGAATCTACTACTCCTGCAGCTGCTTGGGGACTGTCTCTCGTGCTGCTTTTCTTGTTGTTCGGGGAAAGTCGCAGTTTCGGCTTCCAACAAGACGACCTAGTCGTGTTGTAGTCCCTTTGGTCGTGCTGCTTGTCATTACTGGACTCGTCCACTTCATGAACCTGAAGACGATGATCTTGGTTCTCAGGCTGCTCAAAATCATTCATCTTGTTGTAAGAGGACGAACATATGGAGTTCGGATTTTCGTCGCCCCTGGCGCCGGTACTAGTATCTGGGCCACGGCCGCCACTGTTTCCGCTGCTACTGCTACTGGTGCTGTTCATCACGTTTGGAGGGTTTGTTCCAGTGCTGTTGTTGTGAAATAAGTGTTGTTCATATCCACAGAAAAAAGCCCATCCATATCCAATTTGTCATGCAAAACACTTATCAAATGCAAATCATGCGTTTGCCATGCAAAGAATGGGTGTGGATCGGTTTTTTCCTGTGGATAGTTCACCTCCTCGCTGCTGCTGATGCGCTCCTCCAGTGGAGGAGGAGGAGGACACAAGCGGCGGCGACTGGTTAAAAGCACTGTTATTGCCACCAAAACCTCCTCCGCTAATATTTCCCCCGCCGCCGCCCCCGCCGCGCCCACCGCCGCTATTGCTTCCGTAGTAATTATTGCTACTCGGTCGCTTCGCGCGCGGCATAATCGGTTTCAGATCTTTGTCCGGTGGGGGCAGGGGAGCGCGCTTACCTGTTGAAGTGCAGGTTTTTTTCAGAGTGGAGGTAACCATGCCGTCGATAAAGCAGTAGGGTGGTTCAAGGCTGAAGACCGTCATACTAATCCTTTTTTCAGACAAGTTGAAGCTGAACAACAACAAGCATCAGATGATCACTAAAGTGAAATGCAATGAATATTTCATCGTAGAAGTGGAAGCTGCTCTTCGACATCAACATGAATAAAAATCACCATATAAAAATCCATCATCAATACCGTCCGGGGAAATAATGACCGGCTTGAAGTCTTCTGGGATGGTCGCCCGATTCATGGCCGAATTCCGGTAGTAAGCGATGTTGCTTTCCCTTCCTTGCAGTTGCGCGAGCACGCAGTTGGCGAGTTTCTTGGATTTCTCGTGCAGCTTTTGCCCGTATTACAATGAAAAATGCCCCCTCACCATATCAAAGCGGAAATCTGTGATGCAGATTTGTGGTCACAAATCAGCTTTGTGATGCTAGAAGGCAAAAGATGCGGACTGTAGTGCTGTCTAGCGTGGGAAAGCCTTGATGCTCCAGGATGACAGGAGGCAGCTGGAAGTGGGAAACAGCATGACGGATTACCGGCAATTTAGGCCGCAGCTTCGTCTGTTGGCCTTCCAGCAATACAAGTCGATTTGTGTACTCAAATACAGCATCACAAGTTCGCGCATCTTCCGTATCCGATATGGGGTGGGGGCTTTTTTCACTTTGATAGCCCGGAAAAGGCGTTGATGAAGGGCTGGACGTCGTTATTGTGAGGAAAAATCCCCCCTCCCCGTACCGAGAAGGTACGTCGCAGAAAATTTGCAATGCTGATTTGCGACCACGCGGCATCTCTGTGTTGCAAGAAGGCAACTCCACAGGCTCCGCAGCATCATGCAGGCGGTTTGTGATGCTGTTGGGCCTACAGCGCAGACGTTTCTCATGCTAAGAGCGTAGCCCAAAACCTCTTTACTCAGGCTTAGTATGGGCCTGCAGTTCTCTCCAACAAGACAAATCTGATTTGTGTACGCAAATCCAGCATCACAGATTTCGTGTTGATGTGGGGTGGGGGGTTTTTCTATTTTGATAGTCGTTGGGACAGACAAAGTTGACGAACGCGTACCCGAAATTAGCCTTGGACTCGAAATCAATCGGCAAGTAGAAAAAATCGTACCTGGAACAATTATTCCGCGATTTTTTTTAACCGAATAAAATTTTTGTTCATCGTTGTGATCATTCCCTTCGCCTTCCCGTTTTGGGCTACGTGCTTCATAATTTATTTCATGATCCAGAAGCATACAACTCATATTCATTCTACTTATCGTCCAGAAGAAGCATGATGCCCGAACTTGTTTCCATTCTTGCTGCAACATCGCGAGGAGAAAACTACAAAAGTAAAAGATACGACGACTTTCATATTAAATTTCAGTAAATTAAATGGACGAGGACGACGCTACTCTATTGCACGTCGATCAAGAAAACGCAGCAACAAGAAGTGTTAGTACAAGCCCTTGAAGTTGAAATCGTGATCGATAATGTGCAGGAGGTCCTGCTGCCCCAGCGCGTTCGGCACGTTCTGGATCATCACCGTGGTGGCTTGCTCCACTTCGCCCCTCTTATTCAAGTTTTTATTGCTGTAGCTGTTATACACCGAGTTTCGGCCAATCTGCGCCGCCGCCGTACTGTATGCCGTGTGAATAAATTAAGGAAACACGACGTACCATCAAACTCGAAGTATGTTGTAACAGGCAAAAGAACAAGCGCGCATAATTCATTTCCTGGAACCTGGTCGTGAGACGAGCTGCTGACGAAAAAAATGCTTATTTGCCTCTGTGTTTATCTTTATTTATTCCTTCATCGTTAAAAATTATGCGAGAGCTCGTTGTTTATGTTTATAATCTTGATGGTGACCGTGGTAGTGATTTTCCATCGGATATGAGACCCCCACTGCGGCGCCCATGGGCGTTACCAGAAATGCCCGGGCTTCGTTGCTGAGCACAACTTCCCGTAGCAGCATATAGCGACGAGGCACTGTAATTCCCACCGCCCCGGCTTATGTGGTGCCTTTGATGCTGGTGCTCTACTACACCAGGGGAGCTTCTTGCGGCATTCTGAAAAGAGGAGTTATTTTCGTTGGGCGAGTATCGGTTTTGATATTGCAACGAACCGGTGATGTTGTAACAGTTTTGGTTGTCCTCGTTGTTCATGAAATTCAAATTGTTCATGTTCGAGTTCACGTTAACACATGCTCCACTTGGACGGGGGCCGTTGTAGTTCTGATTGTAGTTCATCATCTGGTCGTTGGGAAATAAACTGTTGCTCTCCTGTTGGTGAAACTGATGCGAGTGCGGTCCTCCACCACTACCTCTGATGTGCTGCTGCTGGCACTGCTCTTCGCATTCGTCGATGCTGCCGCAGTACTTGTGCGGGTCCTGGTATTGGTTGTGGCTTCCCCGATATCGTACGAAAAAAGTGCTTCACTGTTAGGATTTTGCAAGTTTTGCATCACGACAAGTTTGTTCTACTACATCACAGAGAAAATTTGCGATGCGAGATTGATTCCTAAGGGAAAACACAGCGAAAAATCTAGCGTCTTGCATGTGTATTTATTGCATCCATGAACCCTGTGTAGCAAGACAAACACTTCAACTTCTCAGATGCAGTTTCTGCATTACACGTTTACAGTGAAACAGTTTTTTCTTGCGATACTCGACTTCCATCAAAGCCCCCACGGCCTCCGAGCGTCCTCTGTGGGGTTTTGTAGTAGTTGTCATGATGCTGTTGGAAGGTTATACTGGACTTCGGATCCGGTGTCTGCATGTCGAGCGGGGGCGTGGTATGGTGCTGAAGCAAGGTTGGCAAGTCGGGAGAGCCCTGTTGACCCGGTTGCGCCGTGTTTCGTATACAAGTGATAAACAACACATGAACTACACAGTGTCAGTGCAGAGAACAAGGTGAAGATGAGCTTGCGCACAAAGTAGGAGCACAACGTAGTAGTTGCATGTAGGTTTATCTTCCTCAGCCTGAAATAGTACGTCCTGCTCGTTGATTTATTTCTCCTTCAAGTTGTGTAGTGCGAGGACCCTGTACTTTTCCTACGCACATAATCATCAGCAGGCACTCGCATAATTATCATTCTCTGTCATGCATCTATCATGCTGTCGCTGTGAGAAGTTGAAGTTCATGACATTTTCAATGCACCACATGGGGTTGTCCAAGTCCAAAAGCACAGCACCGACACTGACACGAATGTGTAGGTTTATCTGAGACATACGCGGAAAAGATGATACACCATATCCATAACCCACACCGCGGGTCTTCTTGTTGCGTCGCGCGCTCGACGCGGAGGCTGTTTTCATTAAAGCAAAATTTCTAGAGGAAAGTAGCAAAATCTGCAGCTACACGTGCACGACATAATAAAAGACATTTCTTTACTTGCTCGCCACAGCATCATCATCATCATCATCTCTTCTACTGTTCTAGTATACCTGCGTCCATTGTAGTCTGTAGCAGGGCTTTCGCACAGATCGTCATTAAAATGCGCTCGGGTCTGACCGGCGACAGATCGCCCCAGGTTCCCCAACTATCGACTCTGTTGAACGAACCCTCGTCCTTGTTTTTCGACGGCCGCCCGTCCCCTTCGTCTCTGTCGCTTGGTCGTCCGCTTTGGTGGAAGTTAGGATCCTGAAGATCGCTTTCTTGTTGCTCTCCGTCGTCAGCATTTGTCTTGCTGTTGCTTTCGTGACGTGGCAGTTCTGCCACTTCTGGTGCACCACGACCAGCTTCGGCGGCAGCTTCACGATGATCCTTCAACACTAGGCCGTGGTTGCTGATTAAAAATTTGCCGTTCTGCGCTCGATGTTCTTCTGGCGAGAGAACCTATTTTTTTATTTATGAGTTTTTATTATTTTTTGTTGAAATAGTTTTGCAGTGGCACCTAGTTTTTCTTCATGCAGAAGACGAAGGTAGAAGCGATGAGGCAATAATTTCGCTTGTTGATAGCCTAAACCCTATCAAGATCAACATGTTCATGAAAAAAATAAAGAAAACACGCATCACGACCTAGATGCCGCTATCGACGTAATACAAAAAGAGTTGTACCCTTTTCACCGGCGAAACTTCCAGTTGTAGCGGCTTGTTCTGTGCGACAACTGCGGGTTGAAGAGTTGTCGAGCTTTTAGCCAGCACCTGCAGACCCGCGTCGCCTTCTTGCAGCAGCCCATGACCAGGTTCTTTCGTAATTTCCTTGTCCGGCTGCACTTCCACTTCCTCGGTGCGCTGCCTGCACCTGCTGTGGATCGATTCCTCCAACACTGGCACCAAGTCGACATCAGCAGCCCCGTCCTGTTGAAGCTCTTTGCTCGCCTTGCGCCGAACTACAATGGTGCTGCTCCGCGAAACCAGCATCGATTCCAGTGACGCAGGCCTTTCCAACATCTTGATTTTGCTACTCCGTCTGCTGGGCTGGCTGTCGAAAAGACCGCATAGACTGTTTCTCTTCGACCCTCTTCCAGACGAGAGGACAGAAGTTCTTATGCAATCTTACAAATGTAGTATTCCTGCACACGTACAAAATGCATCACAAATCTCGCCAACTTGGACGAGGATGCCGCTTGTCATGCTGAATAGGGATAGGAAGAACTGGAACGAGTAAAGTAAAAGCCCCCGCATTTGTACACGTACGGGAAATTATCATTTTCTCTGCATATTAGCCCTAGACCACGAGCTGACAGGAGCAGCGTGATCCCGACCGGAGGATACGCGTCTCGTTTTCATCGAACATTCATGTTCATCAGCACTGTCTTCATCTTGGTGATGAGCTGCCTTCGTGATCTTGTACACGCTTTCTGCGCTGCTGATGTTGCGCTTTCGTGATCTTATTAGAGTACTAGCCTGTTTATGATTCTTGTTCGGGACGTACTGCAGCTCGGCCCAGCTCCTGCGGCGAGAAGCAGCTAAGCGACCACATTTTTCGGGATTTTCCGCGGAAGGGGAAGACGAGGACGGTTTGACTTTCATTGTTCCGTGCGTCGTGTTGTCGTCCTCATCTCCGGGCAAAGGTACAACTTCTTCTGGAAGATTCAGATCATCATTGTCCTTGTTATCACTAGTATGTAACCCTCTACTTTCATTCTGTTCTTGTTCGGTGCTGGCTTCTCTCGTCCTCCTCCCTCCAGCACGCGACGCTGAGACCAGGAAAGCCTTTCCAGTTGCGTCGTCAAAGTACACTTGGCCGCGGCCGGTGATCCGGATTTTGGGGTCGGCTTGTGCACTGGATTTGCAGGTGAGATCCAGGTAATCATCATGATCATCGTCCTCGTCCTCCAAATCGGTATACTCTTCGTGTAGGTTATTTGCATCATCTTCATCTTGTAGCCCGATGAAATCTTCTTCCAAAGTAGCGCTATCGTCTAGAACAATTCCTGCATGAACATGATCGCCATCTTTTTTCTCCTTCTCGTCTTGCGTCGCACCGGACGACAACTCCGCGGTCGGAAACTTCTCATCTACTGTTCCGCTATTTTTACAAGTGCTGCTGTTTTTTAACAGCGACGGCGCGGGTGCAGACGGCGCGTCCTTCGCATTCCGCCCCCCGCCGGTCGTGGGTGGAAACGGTGGCGGCTGGACTGCAGGCGCAACGAGGATGTTCTTTGCTGCACCTTTTCCACCAGTAGTGTTTGCAGCTTTCTCAGAGCCCACAAACCGCAGAAGCTCGGAGGCAGACAGGGTTCGTTGCTTGTTCATCTCAGCACTGCCTTCGTCAACACTGCGCGGTGGCCGGACTAGACCAGCATGTGCTGATGTAGTTGAAGCACCGCCCCCTCCGCCAAAGCCCTTCGTACCACTGCGGCTGCGGTTTTGGCGGGGGCCCTACGGTATCGTGTCATTGAGGATTTTCTGGGCGACAGGAGCTGCAAAAGAACGTAGATACAATGAGGTGGAACAAGAAGCTACAGATAACATCAAATTAAACATATCAATGCTTACTATAAACCAAAACTAATACCTTCACAGGCGGAAATGGAGGGGGAATCTGTGTCGGCAGGGGCGGATATGCCATGCAAAATCATCCACAGTGCCCTGCTCAATTTGCAGTGCATGAAGCAGTAGAGGCTCCTGAAGTGAAATAGCACTAGCCAGTAAATTATACATTTCGACATCGACGCTCATTTTCATTTACAACAACAAAATCATCTTCATCGAGTTGGCGTTCTTACAAAAAATTGAGCACGACGACGTTGGCGAATTTTTTGCACAGGCGGATACCGGCGGCGGGATGTTGAGATTGAGCTTGGAGCTCGTTTTGCTGTTCGACCGACTGGATTGCTTTCGCGAAGGTCGTTCCTGATAAGTGTGAAAGATGGATCCACGACCACCTAGACCTGCACCGCTTGGTCCACCAGCTCCCGCACCACCCTTGCAGCTTCCACGACGAGAAAGCGCTCCTTGTCCATAGCTGTAGCTCTGATCATCATGATCATTCCCTATATAATTCTTCATGTTGATTTCATCTTGGTACAATTGCGGTGGTGCGGCACCAGCAGCTGCATGGTGATTCATGCTCTGCAGAATGAGCCCCGTGCCGCTAGCAGTTGCGCCTGCTCCGCTTGACGAGACAGACCACTTGCGGCGTCCACGACCTGAGGCTCCACCTCCTGCTCCCCGCGAACAAGAACCTGGTGCGCCGTCAGGGGCCAGATTGTAGTTCTGCTGCTGATTATACTGGCCAGAGGCAGAGGCGCTGTTGCTGTAGTTAGCGTTGTAACTACCATTTTTATCCGATGCGAACATGAATGGTTTGTCTTGCTGATTTCCGCTTCCCAATTGCATTTTGCCGCCCTGCTTGCCGTTATAATTACCTCCCTGACCACAACCACGCGCCGGCGGTAAGTAGTTGGCATCGTTCAACAGCACCGCGGATGTGGATGACGCTGAAAAAGCATGATAACCGGCACTACTCGTTTCGCGGACGCCAGCATGTTTATTGTTCTGCGCCGACATCTTGCCATGGTTCATTCCTCGGGTAGTAGTACCTTTGCCCCCTCCACGGGAGGTAGTCCTCTCGCTGCCCGGGCATCCACCTCCCTTGCTGTGCTGGTGACACAGGAACGAAGCGGGCACCAGCCCACGGCTGTAATGTTCAGTCTCGATCGCACTGAATGGAGCTTGGTAATTCATGTCGTTGTAGTTACTATTCTGGTTCTTGGTTGTTCCCATACTCTGCTGGAGGTCCTCGCGATAATTCTTGTTGAAGTTATTGTACCGATCGGAGATGTTGATACTGGTGGACAAGTTGATTTCTCGAGGAAGCTGCTGGTTCTTACCCCCCGGCACTGAGTGGTTGTTAAGCGGAGGCCCAGGGCCTCCCCCGTGCTGCTGTTGGAAGTGCGCGCTGTTTGAAAAATTACCAAAGAGATTGTTGCTTTTGCCTCCAGTGGTGCTTCCTGCGGTCGTATTTGGTCCTAGAGGCGGTCGTCCGCTTCCGGAATTGCTGTATAGCTGTCCACCGCCTCCGCACAACTGGTTCTGGTTGAGCTGATCAGAATTTTTGCTCATCATCAGGCTATTGTCAAATAACGGGTCTTGCAGGAGCTGCTGCTGCGGAACGAAAGGCTGCGACTGCGACGAAAGCTGCTGCTGATTGACACCTCCATTGGAGTTCATCGTCCAAGTCAACATTTGTTCAGGCTGCATGGACTTCGGGTTCGGAGCGCCTTGATGAAGAAATTGCTGCTGGACATTCATATTCTGTGTGTCCATGTTGAAACTCGATCCAAAAGAGGACCCATGCGGCAACTGCGCCCCCGGCGCAACGAAATTCGTGCAGCCTGGTGCACCACCCGTTGCTGTAAACGCCGCGCCTCCAACATCTCCGCTCGACAACGGAACGACCCCACCGCCAGCAGACATGTTTTCGTTTCCGACCACTCCCTTCAGGCAGCTTCCCCCTGCTCCTGATCCGCCGGGCTGCTGCAGCTGCGGCTGCGCAACGAAGCAGGGCGAGAAGCCCGGGGAGTTCCCAAATCCCCCGGCCGAGGTCGAGGAATTGAAGGACATCGCAAATTCCCGAAGGTTATCCGCAGATTGCTGTTGCTGTTGTTGAGTAGGGTTTGGGTTATTGTTATTCATCATGAACGCTGGTGCTGCAGCTCCGTCGCACGATGTCGAGGACGCCAGAGGCTGTTGCTGCTGTAGCTGCTGCTGTTGCGAGAAAGGAGCGGCCACAACACCACCTGCTCCTGCACCTCCAAGAAAAACGCCCCCAGTGGCGCCGTTTGGATTCAACATATTAGTACTACTCGCTGGCGCAGCACTGGTGCCAGTTTGATGCTGCATTTGATACGGTAGGAGAAACTGCGACATTGAAGATGAACAGTTTAACTGTTGCGGGTTCAGCATCATGCTGTTGCCTACAAGGTCGAGGTTATGCAAGAAAAAATCTGTCTAAGTGTAACTCTGTAATGCAGAAACTCGCAACAGAGTCGCGCCTGTCAACATGCCAGACAGCCATGAAGTCCTCCGCTCCTGCTGTGCGTTTTCCCTTACAAGCCACGCGTGACAGGTTTTATCTGTTATGTAGAGCAAGTTTGTGATGCTGTCGGCCAAAGAAAGTTACACTAACACAATTTTTTTCTTCGATAGAGGTGAAGCTGCTGGGGAACAAGAACGGGAGGCGGGGGCGGAGTAGGTACATTACTTGCGACGTAGTTGGCCGCATTGTTTAGTGTAGTTGAAGTTCCAGTTCCACCGCCACCCAAGTTATTCTGACCTGCCCCATAAACGGGCTGGTGTCCCGGAAGAAAGTTGATATCACTGGAGGCGCCCTTGTTGTTCATCATTGCGCCAGCGCCGGGCGAAGGTGTGACGGTGACCATGTTAGACGAGCCGATAGATCCGGCACTACCTGTGGTGTTGTTTCGCAGGAGCATAAGCTCATTGTTGTTGTTCATCAGCTGCGGCGCAGTTGGGTTATTACACGATGCTGCGCCCATCATATTGATGTTTTGATTCGGCAGGGGCGGCATCGGCGGCGGTGGCAAGAAGGATGTAGGTGCAAGAGGACCAGCAGTTCCACCTCCGAAGTTACTAGGGTTATTTCCGGTAGAAGATGATCCGAAGTTCAAATTGTGCAAGTTGAAAGTAGCATAGTTCGCGGGCGGGGGCGTCGGTACCGGAGGGGGCGGCTGCGGCGGTTTTTTTGTGATGTGCGGGTTCGTCTGTTGTTGTGATGTAGTGCCTGCTGTGCTAGTTGTTGTACTACCTCCCGCCTGGGCCTGGTCATTCTTCTTGCTAAGAGAGTTGCTGTTTTGAGGCCCCCCTCCACCTACCTTTATCGCGATGCTGGCAGCGTCAGTCGCGGCGCGTCCTCCTGACAGTTCTGCAGCTCCTGCGGCCGAGCTAGCACAACCACTCCCACTGTTCTGGTTTTTCTGGTGCACCTCAGTCACCACGCACGCACTCCTGCTCATCGGATGATCCCCGCCGCCAGTCAAATGGTTCGTGTTGGAACTGATCACGTTGCAGCGTTCGAGCAGCTTCTGCGTTTCCATTTGACTCTCCTGAATCTGCTGGAATTGCTGCGACGTCATTTGCTGTTGCTGTTGCTGCTGTTGTTCGCCCGGGGTCGTTTGCAGCTGCGAAGTTGTTGTAGCTGAGCCAACTACGCCGGCAACAAGGTTGAACAAATCCACTGAGGGGGTGGAGCTCGAGGGACGCGGAACATCTACTTCTTCCACAGAATTCGCAGAAACCAGGGGGGGACCGATCGACGCAGAGGAGGTGGTAGAAACGAAGAGCTGGTGTTCATGTGGACCAGGAGCACCTGCGGTTAAAGACGAACTCGCCGAAATCATGGAGTTTGCCGACATCATCTGGTCGATAGTTCCGCTTGAAAGTTGTTGCTGCCCAAGATGACCATGGTCGCTGAGACCGGAAGACGATGAACCTGAGGCTGGTGCCGAAGCGGATTCTACTTGGGCAACTCCGCCCGCACCACAGTTTGATGTTCCCGCAAATATCAACTGTTGCTGAAGAGTAGGGTCACCTCCAGCAAGACCAAATCCGCCACCGAATGCAGCAAATAAGGGATTGTTGTTGTTCATCCCGGTCTGCTCCGATGAAATTATGGACTGAGTGGATGGTAGCTGTGCGGCCGTGATGAAGGACTGTAGTGGCTGATGCTGCGAGGTGGAGGTCGTAGAGGGCGGCACAAGGGAGAGTAGCGAATTGTTGAAATTCAAATTCATTTGTCGCTGCTGCTCTGCATGCGGCGCGCCACCATCTGCTCCACCATTTGGAGGTGCACATGTCAAAGAGCCAGCACTGTTGGCCACGGAGGATGACTTTGGTGAGCTACCCATCATGGAGGGTAGGCGAAGTGGGAGATTAAAACTATTTGTATTTCCTGCCGCACCAGCAGGAGGGGTCAAATGCATCATATTCTTGAGCTGAGGACACGCATTCGCGTTGTTGGCTGCCGCAGCGCTCGGCGTTGCGACGACCGTGAGACTGTTGCAGCTCGTCATGCTTGAGTTCTTGTTGACAGACGAAGAATCCGTGTTCGGGTGCTTCTGTTCAGCGTCTCCATGGGACGTCATCACCGTCTCGGAGGAGTTCTGCTGTGCTCCACCACCAGCGGTGCAACTTTCGATCTGATGTAACCCGGCAGAGGTCGCCTTGACACTGCCACTCGTGCTGGTCTCTTCAATAGAGCCTGTCATCTCACCAGCCTGCTCTGCCTCGGAGATGATTCTGCAGTAGATGTTGAAGATGTTGTAGATCTGGTTTGGTGGCTACATTGCACCAGCTGCAAACCGAAACCGTATCGACGATTTCTGCTATTTCAGTACTTGTTCGGGACGACAACGTCAAGTCTGGTTTCTCAGTGAAGATGTTTCTGGTGAGCCTGATGATACATCTGAGTTGTAGAGGTCTTAGTCGTAGTACCACTAAGACTAAGAAACCACCACCACGTTAAATTTCCTCGTTCTTCACAAATTTGTCTAGGCAGGTATTTGCTTTTCCACGTTATTCACACGTCACGTTATTGTTTTTGTTATGGCTTGACGAGTTCTTGTTCTTGGGAAACCCCGAGGAAACTGTTGCGCTTTGCTATTGTCCCAGTCGTGTAGTTCGCACTCGCTTCTTGTTCTTCACCTCCCGCGTGATCTGCTGTCGTCCTCGGACTGCAAGACCAGAAGTACGTCGTAGATGAGCTGCTGGTAATATTCTTGTTTAATGACAGCTGCACTGTTTTTCGTATTTTCTGCTTCACAAAAAAGTTCTCAAAATCCGAGAGAAAAAGTACGTCGAAATCGGCGGTGGACAAATGTTCCCGGTTATTTTCAATCGGTACTAATAAGCCTCCAAGGATGATGAAGATGTGTCCCTTGTTCGTCCCGACGTTCTTTACACCGTCCGGACCTCGAGCTCGATTGACAATTCCTTCTACACAGGTCGTACACAAAATCGGTTGCGGTTCCAAAGTTCTACTTTAACTTTGCCAGCTCCTCTTTCCGATATAACTGTTGCCGCCTAGCGCACAACTGAAACCGTCTCGCCGTTCGTTCGTCCTTTCTTCACGTCAACGTTTCCTGCCCTCTCCGTTACCGTTCCTTCTACTTCCGCTAGTTGTAGTACACGACGACCTCGTCCAGAAACAACTATTTTCGAAAAAGAATCCTCAGGTAGACGTCGGTCCCACACGCAATAGTAAAGCAGTAGATGCTTTGTTCGTCGTGGCCGGGATTCCTTACGGCTCCCCGGAGATGCTTGGATGCAGAAGCGAGGTGATCGGAAGCTGACGAAGGATGACGAAAACGATCAAGAGGAAGCAATGATGATATCTCGACTTCCGATCTTACATTGATTTCAATTTAAATAAAAATTTCAGATTATGCAAGAATATTTCGCAGTTAAAATATCACAAAACAAGAAAGTCAAGGTTGCTTTCACAACTTATCCACCGACAACAAACTTACGACGGGGGAAAAAGTAGCCACCTTCAAGCTATTGCGTTTGGAGATTTTTTTCGAAGATTGATGGTCAGTGCCTGTGCCAGTTGTGCACCCACGACGAGTATTTGTATTCAGTAATAAAGAAAACAAAAATGGAGAACCTTGCGAAACGAGCACCGGCTGGCGAAATAGCGTCGGAGCTTTGCTAAACGTACAAACAACAAAAAAAGTCCAGGTCTTGCCCTCTACGCAATCACTGACCTAGAGTGAGAACTTTTTGTGCAAAAGAGACAAACTACAAAGAAAGCAAGAATATCAGTTTTCTTGCAAGTACGTATATTATCGATCCTCGTGCACAACTATTCTTCCAGGAAATAAGTACCTTATCCTAAAAAATTGGACGAGAGCTCTACTTTTGCTGGTTTCGGTTTGCCGACGCTTTCGCTCAACTTAGCAGGTCGATGTACTGTCTGACGCGCCGTCCTTTTTGTGCAGGTATTTTCTATCGCTAATATCGGCATCTACGCAGTCGACGACTGCAAATCGGAACAAAAGCGAAAAAAAATATATATTCGTACATAGTTCGTAGTGTAGCGCTCTGTGTTAATATGTAGCATCTTTTTTGCATTCGAGAAACAACAACAACTCAAAAATGGACGCGAGCGCCGAGGACGCCGCTCAGCAGCAGAGCTGACCCAGTTTCTCCGATGTTGAACACAGGCACCATTCACTGTACACGGGATAATCCATGCAAAAAAAATATCAGTGCCAACTTTCAAGCGCAAAAATTGGATCAGGGAAGTATTGCGCACCAGCTGTGAACATCCTTCGATACGACATCATCTTCATCTGTAAAAATGGTACACAGACGAGAGCAGACGAGGGGCTAGCGCAACGCTTGTCCTCCTTGTTAGCAGGGTTTTCGTTTGTTTACTCTAAGTAGCATCTTCAGCGTCTTCTACACCTCCACAATGCAATTTCGACGACGACGTCCCGCATGGAGCTGCAACCACATGAATCGCTAGCGCCGTGTGATCATGTTATTCCCAGCTTTTATTTATACTACTTAGCCGCAACGGGGGGAGATATGGTTTTACATATAATAGAAGAGAGCTGGAGATCCAACGAATTGGAAACTACTTTACAACTTTTCGAAGACCACCACAAGTGCAGTAGTGACGTTGATGTGGTCGCATCAACATTGCAAGCACCATGCGGCGCAATGCTTGTTGTGCATCGATGGTCGTGCACGAAGGTCGTGAGATTATCCACAAAGAAAGACAAGTCTCAGTGCACGAAAAATCAGCGGAAAATCATTTATCAATCAAGGGCTTGTTTCGCTCTGAAGACGTAAACACATCGACATCTGACATTGCACATGTGACCAGTTTTCGACAAGGTTCTGAAATGCCCTTCGAACTGTCAGTGTGTGATTGTTTATTGCCTAATGAATCTTATAATCGTCGTGTGTGGTGAATTTCAGCTCAAAGAAAGAGAAGCTCGCAGTTAGGAAGTTGTTATCATACCGCGTGCCGCGTAGGTCTTCAGCGTCACATTCAACACACGTGAGCGTTGTGCAGTTCTACCATCTATCCATCATGCGCAAATGTGTCACACTCACAACACTTTCACAATAATAGGAAGAGCATAATATGCTGTTGAACATCAACTTCTACCGACATCGGTTCCATGGGACCGAGGGCTGAAATTCTTTGTTGATGCTCCATGTCCATCCCTTACCCTTTACTACACGCGATTGGCCGGTGCCGTGACACCAACCTCCGTGGTTGTCTCCAGTTCTTGCAGTGATTGCGGTTGCGCCGGTCGTGCGACCCGCTCCTTGCTTTTCCTCTCCTTGCTCGACCTCTCCTTGCTCGACGCAGGTGACCGCAAATGTTTTCCGGTCGCGACGTGCACGGAGCTGCGCATGTAGCTATCTGCGGTCGCCGGTGTGCGCATGGTCGTGGTGTGTCTTCGTATCCTCCGTTCCCGCTCCGCGATGAAGCAGCGGTCGCAGTAACTGTTGGTTGTCCATCGCCGGCTCGGAAAACAGCAGTCCAGCGGGTGATTGCACCGGAAACTCCGGATGCAATCCAGACAGATGGGCTTCTCGCAGAACGTGCACACGGTTTTTGCGAAGTTGGGCCCAGGAGTTGCGGTCAGCAGCGTGCTGGCGGTCGCCGGTTTTGTCCGCGTCTTCGCGAGGATTTGATCATGGTCTTTGACATGATAACCTCCAAGACTGTCGTGGTAGCTGTTTTGTTCTCCCACTCCTTGATGTTTCTCGCCGTCCTGCTGTCTCCCCCCACGACCCCCGGCGCCGCCACATTTGTCCACGAATGGAGCGGAGGTGTACGTGTAGGTGTCCTCCTCCACCTGAAATCTTTCTTGCCCCTCCTGCTGCCCGTTTTCTTGTTGGTGTTCGTCTCCTCCCGTGTGGTAATTTGAATCCCCGCCGCCCGTAGCGCCAGTGTCTGTTTGCGACGTCTGGATGAGCACCAATCGGCTCGAGAAAGTTGGGCTCGGTGATTTGCTTTCCACTTTGCAGTATCCTGTGCAAAAGTATCGCACTCGTATAAATGCAAGTCTTGCATTTTTTTTGTCTGAAGGCAAATCAGCATTACAAATCTTATTTTTCATGCTGATGAAATTTGTAATGCATTTATACGAGTACGATACTTTTGCAGTTCATATGCAGCAAAACTCGCAGAGCTGGTACTCTATTGGGACGACATCAGTTATGGAAGCGTCAGGTTTGAAATCGTCAGAGTTGAAGTAATTTGTTATGCATAAAATGCATGACCCGAGGTACGTGCGTTGCAGAGCAGGCAAGTGAGGCCCATTGTAAGCCTGTTTGGGGTTAAAGCTCGAGCTGCTAAAGTAGCATGAGAGAATCGCTCTTCTTTGCCTAAACAGCATGACAAACTGGATTTAGCGACCGCCGAAATTTGTCATGCGCCACTTGGAAACTGGGTTCCAACTGGCATCCATTTTATGCATGGCAAATTATTTCAACTTTGTCGATTTCAACTCTGACACATCCATATCAGTGACCTCTGTAGATTGCTCGTCTTCTTCTCCGCCGCTCTGTCCAGCAGCTCCACCAGAATTCTTGAGTGTCGCGACGGCTGTAGCACCGATTGGCGCCTCACTGTTTGGAAAGGTTGGCCTCCCCACGGGCCGTCGTGCCTCGTCCCTCCCACTAGTTCCGCTTCCTGCAATATTTTTAAATTGCTCCAGAAACTTCGCCTGCGCACCGTCGCTGGACTTGTTTCCCTCTTCGCTTTTTGTCGCAAAAATCTCGTCTACATCCTCCGCAGTGAAGGTGATTGTCCTGCTAGATGACCCCTGTCGATAATTTTGCTCCCCTGCGGCCTTTTGTTCATTCAGAAACGGGTCGCCGCCAGAATACCCGCCCCCGGCCTCATTCTCGCTGTCCTCGCGAAGGGTTACCTCAACGCAAGAGTCTTGGTCCTCTGCCTCGTCTGGCCGAAGACGGTCCTGCTCGTCAGAATGCATTTTCTTATTTTTTCACGTGTAGTTCTACTTCGCGGAACAAAGTATCATCTGTGTAAAAGTGAATGTTCTGGTGCTACTGTTTCTGTTCATGCAACTCACTCATTAGAAACAGAAACTGAAATATAGAAAAGCTGCTGCTTATTTATGAATATCGTGGTGCTCAAACAAAGACAAACCGGTTGTATTCTTGACGGCTCGTGGTCGAGTTGCTTGTTAAAAAGTGACTAGTGACCACTGCAGTCTTGCACACGACATAAATAATCCGTTTGTCCTGGTAGTTCATCAGGTACGTGTATTACTGCTGCGCCATCAGTTTCAGTCGGCTCTCTCGTCCCTCTACTGCCATCTCTGACTTGTAGGGCCATCCCATTGCCCCATTCTCCAGTCTCATCGCTCAGGATGAATCAAAAAACGGAAAAAAAAATCCTCGCCCTCGCGACCACAGAATTATGTCACAGCACCGCAAGCACAAGCAGCAAGGACACATGCGGCAGATTCACGCCTCCCAGAAAGAAAAGAATGCAGTTTGTATGAGGAAGAGACTGCCTCGTGCTCTTCGCTGCAATCCGCTACGCTTTAACTTAGTTGTTGTATGCGGAGACTTGTTTTCGATTTCGTATTCATTTGCACACAATATCTGCTTTATTTCGCTAGGCGCCCAGACGTGGCGGCGTTGTGGAGCTCTTCAACATAAGTACTGTAGCACAAAAGCAGCTACGATCTTCAGCATTGTTACACGCAAGTTTTGTCTCTTTCCACCAAAATGTGAGTACTCAGCTACAGCCCTTTTCCAAAACTGCAAAACCTAACCCAAACTGAAAATATACTTCTATCGCTAAGCATCGAGAACACTAAGTACTTCGTTTACAAATACATCCGCTGCACCGAGGTGCATGCGACTCGACAGAAGGGACAGGGCTCATTCCGGCGCAGCAGCTCCTGTGCGCAGGCGTAACAGGTTTTGCAGTGGAAGCATGGCACCAGTGCCGCGTTCACCTCTTCGGTGAAACACAAAAAGCAAAGCGGTGCGCCACCGGCCAGCGGCTGGTCTCCCGCCCCGTGGTTAACGGGCCGGACGTGCACACCCATGGTTTTCGCGCAGAAAGCCACGCACCGGTCGACAAGGGAGTCGTAGGTTTTCTCCGGAAGGTTTGTCCAGTCCTTCTGCGCCAGCTCGAAATACTTTTTCTGCCACCCGGTTGCAGCCTCCGCGATCAGATCCGCAATTTCCGAGTGCCCCACCTTCCGGGCCTCCTCCGCGGGGTTTCCGGTCTCGAAAAAACTGAAACACTTTTTTTCCACCGGGTGTTTCTGCACCGGCCTCGTGTTCTTCTGCTCCATGGTTGGCAGGAGCTTGTTGGCCGTGGTCTGTTCGGAGAAGGTTTTCAGCAACATCTGCACGATCTGCTTGTGGCCCTTGGTCGCGGCAAGGGAAAGCGCCGTTTGCCCGTACGCGTTCGCGAGGTGTAGCTGTAGCTTCTTGTCGTCTGGTCTGCGCTTCGGATCTTCGACCGGCTGCTCCTTCGGCGTGTTGCGGCAAAAGGTATAGTCTACAAAACGGCGCTCTTCAAACGACGTGCCCCAATGGTGGAATTCCGATGGTACCACGCGCACCTGCAAGTGCATCCCAGGTTCTGCCTGTTCAAGGGCCAATAATTGTTCTTCTTGCGCCGAACAGGAGTTGTTCCCAGAAGATGCAGTTGGTAGAAAGCCCAGTTGTGCCGGCACGGCAGCCACCCGAGCAAATGCGGTTCCGGTTTCAACACTTCGCGCTGGCTCACGATCCGTACAACCACGCACCCGCCCCACGAGCGATTTTCGCTGGGAGTATTCCTTTATTTCGTCTTTCTTCACGAGCAGCCTGTCCGTGTGAGGCTGTAGCGACTCCGCCTCCGCCTCCTCGTCGGCCAATGTCCACAGCAGGAGTTTGACGACAGAAGTTTTCCCATTTTCACAGGCTGTCATCAGTGGCGTGTAGCCGTCTTCTCCGCCAGCGTTCAGATTCAGGATTTTCCGATGCTTCCTATTTGCGTCGAGGAGGGACGAGTAGCAGTCATTTCTGTTTTTCACCAGCTTCTTGCCATTCGCATTTACATTTACTGTCGTGGTCGCGACAGCTGCAGCTGGTTCAGATTCATCTGCGTCGACATTTCTTGCTCCAATCGTTGAAATAGCGCTGCTCCTATTCGCCGCGCGAGCAATGGCAAGACTGCTGTTAGACGTTGTTGAGTTGGTGCTTGTGCTTGTCCCACGATGATCCACCTCCTCATTTGGAGAAGCAAGACGCTGATGGTGATGCTCATCTTCCAAAGGTGAACCTGCACTAGCCTCCGTGCTGGGTGTGGAGGCCGCGGCAGTGGTGGTCGAGTTAGATGCTCCTAGAGATGAGCCAGTGTCGCCCGCCGTGTTTACTATTCGACTATTGGTACTGTTGCGCTTTTTTGAATTGTCATTATGTGCGTTGTAACAGTCTACTGCGGTGGCAGTTTCATGTTGTTCTTCAAGATGATCAAGCTCTTCGTCGTCTTCGACATCCTCTGCTTGTTCCTGTGCCTGCTTCTCTGCTTCCTCAGCGACCTCCTGCACTTCTAACAAATGACGATAGTACCGGTGTAGCAGAGACCCGCACGCTTTCTTTTTCTGGTCTTCGCTCACCACCACAGAATAATCCAAATCCAGCAGGTCCGCCAAACGGCCGAGATCGTGGCCCCCCTGGGCGAGCGAATACAGTTCCCGGGCGAGTTTCCGCGCAGCCCGTTTCTCCTCCTCCTGCAAACGGGCAGCCGCCCGCACAGCTTCGCGCTCCGCCCGCGCTGCCGCGGTCTGCTCCGGAGTCAACCCGAAAGGCAGAGGAAACAGAGTCGATGAACCGTGCGGTGCATGCGGATTCAGGTAGTTACTGGCGTGAAGCTCCAGATGCTGGTCGCAACCATTTTGCGCCAGCTGTCGGATGTGCTGCCGGAGGCACGCACGCGCGTCCACGGATTCTGTGCGAGGCCGGAAAACTCGGTCGCACACTGGACAGGCGGCAATGCCGACTCGCTCGCCTCCGTACATCTTTTTCGCTATTTTTTGTTCGTGAAGACCACGACATATGTAGCATGCTACTTCAGTGCATGTGCAATGCACGACGGACTATGGATCTTCATCATGCTATTTTTTGATTTCGAAGTCGGAAATATCAATCTTCATCTCGGTCTATAAATTGTTTGTCAACAACATATTAGCCGGCGTGCGACCACGACGCTCCCATCGAGATCCTCAACATTGACATTTCATCACAGCGAGGACCCTCATAATGACGGACCCGGATGGCAAAAAACATGACGCACGATGCTGGCCGCAACTACAAGAAGGGTTGCGACTTTCTCCGTCGTGGCCATCAAGGTGGCGCAAACGCAACAAACAAAATCCCGAGAAAGATATAATTAAACACTTCACCATCGAAGGAAATCGAGATCGAAGGGTTGCGACTTCCTCCGTCGTGGCCATCAAGGTGGCGCAAACGCAACAAACAAAATCCCGAGAAAGATATAATTAAACACTAACTTCACCATCGAAGGAAATCGAGATCGAAGCATTGCCAGAAGTGCTTGCTTCCCTCTATATCCCGGGCCCTCCTCTCCCTCTCGACCATAAATTTGGCGCAGCAGGAGCACACGCCTGCTGGTACGATTACCCGACTTGAACACAGGCTCTGGCTTCATGAAGTTGAAGCGGACAGCACATGGGCCGTTGATTCTTTTGTAGTTGTACAACAAAGAAAGGATATATCAACTGGGTGGTCATTCCAGAAGCAATGACGTTGCGGTTGACCTCGTCTTCTAGAAGATCAAGATGAAGATGATACAAAGAAAGAGAAGTCGTGCAGGAGTAAGTGACTGCGACATGATCTCCTCCCTGTCATATTCAATCCGACTCCTCCCCATCCGAGCCGCTTTCTTCGTCGCTGCTGTCGGCCTCGCAGAACGCGATCAAGTTCTTCAAACTCTGATTTTCCAGCACCGTCTTCTGCTTTTCCAGCACGTTGTGCGCCTCGCTGTACCAGCCCGCGATGGAAACCCGGTCGATCACCTGGTCACCGTCCCCGAACTGCCGAAAGGCGTTCAGGATATGCACGAACAAGGTTGGCGACACCGTTGCCTGCAGACCCGACGCCCCGCCCGAGGTTGCAAGCTCCGCGACATCGTTGGGATTCGCTTGATGTTCAGAGGCGGAACTGCCGATGTCGTTTTGCGGTGCTCCTACACCCACTTGTAGTCCGCAGCACAGCTGGCCGTGCATCTCCTGGACCAGTTTCAATTTCGCGGACGAGTCCAGCTTCGCCGTGAAGTTCGCAAGAAAGGGGCTCATGCGGTTGATGACCGCGACGGCTAATTTCACGTTTTGGTTCGCGGACGCCGCGGGGGTGGAAAAGAGCTGCTGTTTCAGCAGTTGGAGAAGAATCTGGAGGATTTTCAGCGCGAATTCCGGCACGGAGGCCCGCGCAGCCATTCTCAAGGATTTCAACTCCAGCAAAGTCGCATTGTAGTCGTCGCCATCCGGGGATGAATCTTCTGCATTCTCCTGTTCTCCGCTGCAGGGGAATTTTTGCAAGAAATCGGTTAGCAGCATCCGCAACTCTTTTTGGAAAGGGTCTTCGTTTCCACCGTTCCCATTCTCGTCGTCGTTTTTCTCGACCTCCTCGTCAAAAAACTTCCGTAGCCCGTGGTACTCGCTCCACCATTGCTGCGGATCGAAAATCTCCGCATGGTCATTATCTTCCTCCGCATCCTGTGATTCCGTAACTGCTGCTGCGGCTTTACTCGCTGCTGCAGCGGGTTGTGGCGGTGCCAGACTCCCAAGTTCGTTGGCGATCAAGTGCGAAATTTTGTACTTTTCGGAATCGAACACGGCAGCGGTGGTCGTGCTAGTATCGGTAGAAATTCCTGTCGCCGCGGCTGTCTCTTTGTTCGCTAAACCGGCGAAGGCGGACGGTGATGCCAGCGCGACGGAGCCGGGTAAGAGCTCTGTTGCTGCAGGGATTTCGGTGCTCGGGCCGACAAAGCAACCGCTGTTCAAACTTGCGCCACTGCGGATTTTGGAGTCTTCGCAGATGATGGATTTCTCCAGGAAGCACTCCGCTTCAATTTCAACGTTGTTCAACAGGTAGCAGTCGCTGATGACACACGAGTCCGCTTTGATGCTCGTTGGGCCGAAGAAGGTGTTGTTTTTCAGCTCCAACTCAGAGTCGGACGTAGCAGTGGGTATCTGAGAAGATGCGTTTATCATGTGGATATGGTGTTGATGCTGATCAATGGATGAATTCAAACCGGAAACGGAATGAGGACCCTTGACGACAATGTCAACATCATAAAGCATTTTTTCGGAATGAAGAGTTTTGATGCTACTTCTTCTTCGTCTTCTTCGTGAAGCAAGTAAAGGATAAATAGGAAGATTGACAGCCAGATAGCACTAACCTGCATCGCCTCCTCCCCGCTAGTAATGCACGCGGAGTTGATTTCAATTGGCTGAAGCTTCAGCTGCTCGCTCCCACTCACCAATGCAGTGCCCGAAAACCACTCCGGTCGGGCGAGGGCTGCAAAGGGGTGCAGCTGCGTCGCTGCTGGTGCGGATGAACCACCTTCGGCTACGGGCTCCAACGCAGGTCCACCTCCGGCGTCCTTCTTCCCCGCCTTTTTCTGTTGCTTCTTCAAGGGTCCGGCGAGTTTCTGCGTTAACTCTTTGGAGAGCGCCACGATGCTTTTGGGAAAGCAGATGGGGCGGACCGGCTTGTAGCAGACATGGACGTAAACCGAGTCGGAAGAAAGCTTGGAGTCGAACTTCTCGACAAGCATGTTCTGCACCAGATCGGACAGGACGGTCTGATTTGGAAATGTTGTATCCATAGATGTAAATTATGTTCAGAAGAAGCATCACATGTTTCAAGTTCAACAAAGCTAGTAGGTAGAATAGCGAATCCGGTTGTCGTTGTCCTGTCGGGCGTTGCACTTCAACGCGCACTAATTATTTGCTCTAGCTCTGCATGGATGCAGTTGTAAACCAAGAAAGTGCAATAAATGCTTATGACATGCGTTCATGTGGTCTGTTGTGTTCTTCTATTTATTTATACCATATCCACCGCCTCGGCCGCGACTTTCGTCAAGATGTCCGGCGTTAGAATCATGATCGCCAAATCGCAGACGTTTTTCAGGATTTCCAGACATCCCCGCTGTTCTCTTTTCATCAAATCCTGCAAAATCACGTCCAGTTGCGGCTTCTCGGTGTGGCAGTGCAACAGCTCCAGGGTGTTTGAGTACGCGGTCTGCTCGATCTTTTCCAAGTAAATCGGAAATCCGCGGTGCGTCAACGGAAATTGCTCTGCTTGCTCTGTTGACGTCAACTCCGTGTACAGCTTGCTGACGGCGCAGTGTCGGAGTTTGTCTTGCCTGGTCTGCTGGTGCTGGGTAAAGAATTCGAAGAGGATTTCGGGTGACGAGAGTAGTGCGAAGGGCTCCCAGAGCAGGAAGTCCTTTTGAATGATGTTCCGCGACTGTAGATCCCGGAGAAATCCGAGGAGGTCGCCGACCTGTGTTGAATTTGTCAAAAACACGCATGACTTTAGCAGCAAGGGAAGCATATGGAAGAAAATAAATCGACGTCAATCATGGATACACATACTACAGCTACGAGAGCGCGATAGAAGCACGTTACTGAATATCCTCGTGATTTATTTCAGTTAGAGTGGGGTAACAATGAAATCCTTATCCGCCCCCCCGGCGGATAAGCCGGGGGGGGGGGCCCCCCCGGCTTATCCGCCGGCGGGCCGTACCGGTATAGCCGCGACAAAGTGGCCGGGCGCTGCCATCGCCTGAGGGACCCGGAAATGCCGACAGCATCCGGCATGTTGTGGCAAGATTTTGAAACGCCACAAAGAAAGGTCGACGGCAAGCATGACGCCGCCGGCCTTTGAGGTGTTTCTTTGAAAGTTGTAGCAGGCGCAGCATTTGAAGGCCCCGCACTCACTGCCGGGACTGCTTTGGACTTAAAAAAAACCGCCAGCAGATACATACTTGCCACGCAAAAGGTGCGAAAGCTTGGGGAATTCGCCACGCAAGAAGTGGCCCAGCAAATAGCAGCGGGCAGACAAGGCCAGGGCCAGAGCTTGCCCCACAGAAGTAAACTCCCAGCGTGAGGGCCGCAGAGCTTCTTCGCATATACCCTTCGGGCCATGCGCTTACTTGCCAGGCCATGCCGCCCTGCTCTGTCTTGGGCATGCCTGCAGGCAGCGGCTTAGGGTCCGAAGCGAGAACGAAACACAGCCACGGACTGAAGGTTTCATCTTGCGCGCGCCCACCTTCTAGGGGTGTGCGCCTGTGCCAACCCAAGCCCGCCGCCCGCAATGGGCCCCCCTGCTTTTTCAATGGGCCCAGCCTGCCATGCACCGAAACAGGCCGCGACAACGCCCACGCCTGCGCGCCGAGGGCTCGCCCCTTTCTTAATAAATGCGGGGCACCGTCGGTGGTAAAATTCCCCCCGCTGGTGTGCTCGACTTATATTCTACCGAGACAGGAGGGGGCTCTAAGCTGGGCAGTCATTTCCTGGGCCGCGGGCCGGGCCGTGCAGGTGACGTCTTAGCTTGCCGCAGCGCGATTCAATAGCTTCCGCCACGGCCATAGATATTTAAGCAACCAATTGCGCCGCGCGGGCGACAGCCTCGCGCGCTTTCCTTTTGTTCGCCGGCTTTTTTTTTTGATACCGCCGCCGGCCAATGTGCTAGCTCTAAGTTTCCGGCGCGGCGCAAATGCCCGCCCGAAGTCAGTGATGCGAAACAGGCCACGGGGCCCAGTGAGGTTTTCTCGGTTCCCATTACAGGTTTTCCCGCTTCCCATCTCGGGCCCCGGTAAGGTTTTCCCGCCGCACAGGCCCCGGGGCCGGCCCAGTGCGGCGGGCTGTGGCCCAGGGCAAGCCACAGCCCGCTACCAGCTATCACCCCCGTGCTGGCTCATTCGCGACGCCCCGGCCGCCTCACCACGCGGCACGCATGGCGCCAGGGCAGCAGCTCCGGGGACTTGCATGAGGCTGCGGGCTGAGTGATGATTTCTTGCGTGGCCTGTTTTCAGCGCGAATTGGTAGCCGTCGGGGCTTGTGAGTAGCTTGCAAAGCCAGCGGGGTGCCTGCACCTGCCAACAGCCCCAAGACAGCCTGCACATGTGAAGCCTGGCGCCCTTGTTTGCGAGGCACGCTGCCGGACTCGGTCTATGTGTGTGCCTCTTCTGTCTGTAATGTGATGAGGCCCGGGCTTCTATTGACAAACCCCCTAAACAGGCTTCGACGTGCGAAGCTATCTAGTTTCTGTGTGTGAATTTTCAACGCCATGTCTTTCCGCCTTGTTTTGCTTGCATCCATGGCAAACCTTGACACGCTGCGTCCCGTCATTTTCTTGCTCTACCAGTCCCGGTGGTGCGACGTTTGGCAATTTCCTGCGCATTACTTAAAAAAACCATAAGCACCAGCGGCGTGCCGTGTGTCGGTCCGGGCGCCCCCGGGCTCATCCAAACGGCGCCTTGGCCGGGCCAGTTCATGGGGCCTATTTCGGGGCAGCCCGCCGGCGGATAAGCCAGGGGGGGGGCCCCCCCCGGCTTATCCGCCGGGGGGGCGGATAAGGATTTCATTGTTACCCCACTCTTACAGTTTTGCGAGCTAGCAAGCACGACGCAGTCTTGTTTTCGAAGACAACTAATACCAGCGCCTGCTTCCCGTCGCTCAAGCTTTTCACCGCCCCGCTTTCTCCCCCAGTATTCGGCGGCACAAAAACCCGAAACGCGATTCGGTCCGTCGTCGGGTCGATGTTTTTTCTTTCCCAATTTTCGATGTGGTTCTTCAACTTCTTGCTCTTGGTGCAGATGAACAAATCCGAGATCTGCTGTGGGAAGGCCACCTCTTGCTGCATGAGCTCCGCGGAGAGCTTCATCGTTTCGGCGTACCGCTTCTCGCAGAACTTGTTGTAGTCCTTCAGGAAAAACAGCATGTGATCCACCAGAGGGACCCCAGCGACGGGGAAGAGTAGAGGGTGCACGGCGGAGGTACTAGAAGTACTAGACGACGAGGAGCTCGTTGCGCTGCTTGAACAACTACTGTGGTGCAGCAGGTTGAACACTACACTTTGCCCCACATCAGCGAGAATCACCGCCTGGTTGGTGGTGATCTGCTGCGGTTTTTGGCTTTTCTGCTGCTTCGTCGCGTTCACCGCCGACATCTTCACGCCTTTGTTCGGGTCGCTTTCCTTTGCCATGTTGCGTGAGATTTTCGTCGACGGATGAGATGATTTTTGATTGGTGATAAAGGTGCTTCGAAGAATATTATGGGAATGGGTGGTCGAGGTCGACGACTACACCTACTGTGCTGCGAGTTTTTCGACTCTAAATAAAGTACGTACTCTTGTTAGGGTGCAATACAACTAATCGATCGTCTTCGTAGGATGTCGCTGGTGAATGTCTGCGGATGAAGAGCGTTGTTACCGTCACCAAGAATACATGGCTGGGAAAGCGACCAACAGCGGTAGGATTCTTTTTGAAAAAATGAACCAGAAGAAGATGCAGATGCAGTCGATCTCATCAAGCAGGTGATTGCGTGGATCTTGTTGGAGGTCGTGACTGCACATGATTAAGCGATGCAAATCGTGCATCGTGTTGATCTGTTAGTTGGAGCATCAAAATTTGATCGTGTTAAAATACTTGCAGGATGCTCCCTCGCGTGCTTGTCCTCAGGCGGGACAACGAAGAAGATGACCACACAGAAGCAGAACAAAACATCTATGGTCGAACTCGAGCGCGTACACGTGTCAACACTTCATACAAATTGCAATGCGTACTAGATCATGTAGATTTTGACATTTTAATGTCACATGCCAGTGTGCAGCAACAAGATGTATCGGATATGTTAGTTTATGATCACCTGCCAATGTCATTGTCAACATCTACTTCCCAATCTTTAAACTTTCATCGATTTTCCCAGTTTCAATTTCACGTGTGTGTGACTATGCTGCTTCTACATGATGACTCATTCACATGATGCGCATTTTCATCTATACTTTTTACCCTCAACATCAGTTATTCTTATTTGTTGCCTGGGGCGGCCGGAAAAACAAACGAGCCGAAGCCGCACAATAATCATTCATCTTTAATATCTGTTTGCTCGTAGTTAGTTTGCGGACTGACTCCATCAGGATCTGCTTCTTTATCGTGATCGTTTGACAGAACAAGTAGGAATAAAAGACTAAAATAGTGAGTGTATTTTTGTGTCACCAGAATTAGGATTTACGTACCAAATTTGCTATGCTTGGATCAAATTCTTCAATATATTGTACAAGGAAACGCAATTGCAATACAATAATGCCAGGGCTAGTACAACATCGTCGTCTTACAATAGCCTGGTGGTCCTCGTCGTCTGTAATTCTCAACAAGTCGTGACGGAGTAGCTGAAACGAAAAACGAAAAAAAGTGAACAAAAATTTCAAATCAAGTGGAGCAGTAGCAGTTTCATTTTTTTTAAAACTTCATCCCCATCCTCGGCGATTCGCGTTCCACAATGCGGTGGATCAACACCTCCGCTTCCTCGGTCAATTCCTTCAAGTACAGTGCTTCACTCTCCGTCGCGGGCAGGTAGACGGCACCGTTGGAATTGTGCTTTGATGTTTGTTCTTTCACCGAACAACTTTGCTCCTTCCGCGGCAAACCCGGGCTCACGTCCAGGTAGTTGTCTTTTTGATCATTTTGCAGGAGGTGTTGAACAGGACGAGGAGGCACCGCAGCGCAGTTCTGCTGGTAATGCGCCAAGTCCTTCTCTGGAATTACGATGCTGCAGGATTTGTTCAGCGTGTCGACCCTCGGCGAAGCAGGCAATTGGGTTTTCAGAACAATGGGATGAAACGACTGCTGCTGCTGATGATCGACGTGTGGCATCGACGAGGTTGATGCCGGGCGACCGAAGGCCGGAAGGCTGGCAGTGGAGCCGACAACGTTACAACTTGCCATCCGATTGGGATTGATGGCAAAACTCGTTGTATCATAGCCCGGCTGCATAACGACCTGACCGACAACATTCGGCGTGGGCAACAAGTGCAACGTCGGCACCTGAAAGACCGGAAAGTTCAGCGTTTGCCGGAACTTCATACCGTAATCCTTCAGTGGAGAAGTTGAGCGATTCTTGTCATACGGTAAGTTGTTCTCAACGCCGGTACTGGAAGTTTGTTGATCATGTTGATGTGCCGATGCTAATGTAGTCGTCGGCATCACTGTGCAGAATGAGGCGGCCGAAGTCAGCACATTGCTTGCACCAATCACCGGCACCGGCGCGGGAAGTAGGAGCTGCCCATGATCAGGCGTAGTTGATGTCCCCTTCTTGCTAGTCAGCATCTGCATCCTGGCTGCCCCGGCCGACGGCAATTCGTGCGGCTCGACCGGCAAGCCGTAGGAGGAAAGGAGCTGTGCGGTGTTGGACTTGTATTGCGGTAGTTTAATATCTCCGTTATTTCCTGCTGCTGCAGTTGCTGCCGCTGCGCGATTTGCTACGGCTACCATGTCAGCACCATTATCGCTCCCGAAATGTGGGGTATCAGTCTTTTCCATTTGGTGTTGATGGAAATTTTCTTCAAAAAGCTTCTCTGCGGAGAGCGTGGCAGGGATCGCATCCTTCTGCTCCAACCCGATCAAGTCAATGACTTCAGTTTTCATCTCGTCCTCCACACTGTCGTACCGACGCCCAAGTTGATGGTGTTGATGAGACTGCTGTTGCTGTTGGTCTTTCGAAGAACTGTTTACATTTAGATTTGCTTTAGCTTGTTGCATCAGCTTTTTACTTTTTTTGTTCGTCACCACTCTTCCAGCGGACTGGCTATTTTCATTTCCCTGTCTCTTCGCCATTGGTGAGCTCAAGGAGACGCTCTCCTGGTCCAGCCAACCAGACGAGCTGTCTTTGTTCATCTTGTTCCCACCTACAGTCACGACCGGTGAAACAGGCGGAACCACAGCGCCACTTTGCGTAGAGTGGTTTTTCCGCGCAATCGGCTGGTAGTCGAAGACCGTCGTTCCCTGAACGGCCCGGAGATGCTTTACGGTCGGAGATGTGCTTGCCTTGTGCTGCTTCAAGGGGGAGAAAAGCTTCTGCGAAGGTTGTGGATGCAAGTCCAAATTCATCTTCACCGGCACCGGCTGGATGTTAACGGAAGGAAGGTTGAAATCTTTGTCGTAAATTTTGTTCTGGCGGTCGAGGACATGAACTGCAAAAGTATCGCACTCCTCGTATTGCAATCATGCATTACAAATCTTTTTGTCAAGTCAAATCCGCATTACAAATTTTTTTTCTCATGCTGAGAAGATTTGTAATGCATTTATACGAGTACGCTACTTTTGCAGTTCATAGAGGACCGGCACGAAAACGCCCGCGTCCTGATCTTCCAACACCATGGCCGCTTGCTCCTCTTCGAGGAGACGGGCGTGCTTTTCGCTTTCGTCCCGGAGAAAGCCTGCCAAAAACATCTGCTCGACATCGTAGTTTTCTGCTCCAGCAGTGGCCCCCGCGCAGTCTTCCAGTTCCAACACGACCCAGTCGTCCGAGTCCCGGTTGCTGCTGGCGACGTGCCCGTACTTCTCCTCCATAATTTCATCAATAGCCGACGTCGTAAATAGAGCCTCGGCCTCCTTCATGATGAACTTGGAAGGACTGCCAGCAGTCGACGACGTAGTTGTGCGGTTCATGGAGTTCGTCTTCGCCATGGAATAGGTGCTAATGGTGCTGGTGGTCTTGTTGATACCATCCTCGAGAAGCGTCGTGCTGGCTTGGCTCGCGAGCCGAACCTGGTCGCCGTCCTCTGCTTCTTCTCGTTGAGGATCTTGTGCGACGAGTCCACCTTGTTCCGCACCATGAGAGAAGGGCAGCGGGCGGTCGTGTTTCGTCGCGCTTGTGGTCGTGCTGGTAGTGGTGTGGAGATCGGACAAATACGTGAAGAACTGCGTCTCAGCAGGCGGCAGCTCCAGCGGCTGTTGTAGTCCCCCGCGCGGAGTTGCAAATTGAGTCGAGGGTAGCGAGTGCAGCTGCTGATCTAGAAGTGCCGCATCGTTTTGTTGTTCGCTGGTGTAGTTCGTGCTGTGTTGGGGGCGTTCTTGTTCCATCTTTGCACTTCTACTCTTGGCGTTATCTGCCTTCGTAGCCACAACTGCCGCCTTGTTCAGTTTCAACAGTACCGGTTTTTTAGAAGAGGCATTTTTCACATTTAGTTTGTTCCCCGCCGGCTCACTCCTCATTCTGCGCGGAACAACAGCTGGACGAGCGGTAGCAGACATGACGCTCGCAGAACTCATTCCATCCCCGCCAGTGCACACGACCGGTCCGTTCTGCAGGAACTGTTTCGACAGTTTTGCGCCGAGCGTCAAACGATTTTTCTCCTTACACTCGCGGAACAACTCGACGTACGGCTTGTGATCGGATTTTCGCACGTCCCGCCCCAGAAAGGGGTCCTTGCGGTAAATCCGGCGACGCGGTAGCACTTGCAAGTCTGGGTATTGATTGGTGCCGATAGAGGACGTGGTATGAGGTGCGCCAGAAACTGCAAGCCCCAAACCGGACGTCGACATGGACCGCGGGCTGACGAACGGGCTCCCGGCGAGACTCGACGGGCTCAAGCTGCGGTTCAGAAGTCTGTTCTTCTGCTTTTTGGTTTCCTTCACGCAGTTCTGATGGTAGATCTGCTCGGCGGAGAGGTGCTGACCGCGCGCCGAGCGGGGGCTGAGCTTGGTCCCCGTCTCAGGGTCCTCGATAGTGACGACGGGGAACTGGAGAAAATTATCGCCCTTCTTGTCGTTCGGGTGATTTTTTAAAAGACTCTCCCCTGTAGACGTCGCGTGTTGCGTCTGTGCCTGGGCCTCCAAAAACAGGTCCGAGTACCGTTTCCGGTCCGTGCGCCTCACGTTGCGGCCAAGGTACGGGTCTTTCCGGAGAACCCGGGCCTTTTTGGCTTCCGACTTGTGATGTTGCAGTAGGTGGTGCGCCGGGTAGAAGGCACTACCGCCCTCCTGCTCCTGGTCTCGGATCGCCGTGGAGTTGGGCGTTGTCGCCGTGGAACTTCTTGCGGTTCTGTTAGGAACCTCCACCTGCTCCGCTGCAACTTGTTTATTGCTCATGGTGGTGGGACAAGACATTCTTGTTTCTCGGGGATTTCTATACCGTGCGTTGGGGTGTGTAAGTAAATTATTTTGAAACTCTACGTCTACGTGCTGGGTGGTGTTGATAACTCCATAACAACTTCGTCGGGACGAGGCTATTGTTGTTTCACTTGATCAACAACTCGTCTGTCACCTGTAGAGTGAACAAGTGGTAGAGGTAGTGTTTCAGGTAAGACGACACCTACAACAGGGAAAGAACGTCGTCATCGAGAAGAACGTCGTCGAGAAGATTATACTTACATCTGCAGGGGCCACCCCTGACTGTCATGCCGGTGCTTTTTACTTCGACCTCTGCCCCCCCTTGAATTGAAACATCAAAGGGAAACTACAAAGACGCACAAGGAGGAAAAAAGAACGAAAAAACATACAGCAGCAAGAGGTACGACGTAGTGTAGAAGTAGTGATTTTTGTTCGTTGTTCTCGCTCGTCAACACAGACACAAAAAAAAAGATTGGAAAAAAAGTTCTGAAGGTAACGAAGATTATTTCATCTCAAGTCTGCCCGCCTGCTCCATCCCCAGCGATGCCCTTGCAGTGCGATGCATAAAAAAAAAAAAAAACGAATCAGTGCCCCTGTGCCTCCTCCTGGACAATGAAAAAAAGCACATCACTTCATTAGTTTGCGAAGTTTTTTCAACTATACAACGAATGCGAACAATTATTTGCGGCTACAACGCACCGAGAGCCAGCGCGTGCTGCGCTTTGACTATTTCATCCGCATCTTCACTAATGTAGTTTCTAAATAATGTTATATGCTTATCCAAAGACACAGAAGGAAACATTTTTTTACATTACTGTACAACAAAAAGTAGTATCAGTGTCAATATTTGCGCCGAACGTGAAACGCTGACTCAAATTCATTTTGGGTCTCAGTGATAAACAAAAACAAAGCTGCGTCGTGTACTTTCTCATTCAAGCTGCGAAATCAAAAACGCCAAAAATTTCTGCGGTTAAGAAGTTCAAGGCATGCAACTGGTCGTATGGGATAATTGGAGTTGGATTCATTAGAGTTTACTAATTTTTGATTCTGTACCGTAGAAGAACAATGATGATGGTGCTAAAACTACATACAGACCAGACTCTTTCATAGGGTCGCGTCGAGCGTCACATGTTACTCATCACCAGCTGCAGACGGACTACTCAATACTCGTCACCAGAGAATGATTTTGATAGTTAGTGGGCTGCTCCCGCTTACTGCTGCTCCCGGTCGTTGTGACTCAAGTCTCGCAGCGGCATGTTCGCGATGGAATCTTCTGTGATATCGAGCGCCACGCTAGATATAACCTTCTCAAGTGATAAATCTCAAGCGTTACTACAACAGAGTAACTGGATTTTGTGTTTCTCTTGCATGATCAGCAGGAGACGAGCTGCCACACGGGCACGGCGCGTTCCACTTTCTACAATACAAGTCTCGCCGGATTCCTCGAATGCAGTTTGGCACTCCACAACTTGTCATGCGTATTGATATTGCCATGCGTAATGATATTGCACTTCTTGCATCACAGAGATGCAACACCTGAGGAGGTCATACTGGAGTTCAGAGACTTCTTCTGTCTTGCGGACGGACTTGCAGCTCCTGCTCCACCAGTTCCCGCGACAGAAGACGGATAGAACAAGTGAAAATTGCCGATGGCAGTTTGCTCCTCTCTACCATTTGCGTCCTTTGATGGGACGGAGTACTTGGAGTCAAATTCCGTGTTAAGCTCGTCCTCCTGCTATGAGAGTGCGCAAGAACTACAACTCGTCGCCCCGCCCCCTCATTTGTCATACTTACGAAGTCCCAAATCCAGTATGCTGCCTTGTGGAACTGTTTGCATCGTAAATCTCGGTGGAGGGAGCACAAGAAGAAACAGTTGCACATGCACTGCACTCCGCGCATGAACTTACCAGCATGCCGGCAGGCTGGATGGCTTTAGGTGGTTCGCTGGTGTCTCTCAGTTCCTGTTTATGCTCTTCAAGGAAGTTCATTCATATGAAGAAGGGGAGGTGGGGTGGCGGAACAGGAGGTTTTACGCACTCTCATACCTGCGCAGAGGCACCGCCGTCATCCCCCCGCGGAACAAGTTCCACCAGTCTTGCTACCGGGATGAAGTCAGAAGGAGACGAGTCGTAGTGCAATAGTTGAGCAGGCTCTCCTGCTGCACCGGTTTTGCTGCTCGTGTCCGAAGATGGGATGTTCGTACGCCTGTTGCTGTACTGATTCAGCTTTGAGGTGGACACGACGGCATTTCGATTTGGTGTTGTAGTTGAGCCTGCGTTTCTACTATTTCCACCTGTCGTGGTACCTCGCTGCTGTTTCGCCGATTGTTCGCCTGTTTGACGACCCCCGCCCATGGGGCTCCGTGAATTCTCCGTGACAGGCACCGGCTTCGGCAGGAGCGCCAGCAGAGCTTTGTCGCGCAGAATGATTGGATCGTGGAACTCATCCGGCGTTGGGGAAGGAAGGTCTTCTTTTTCGGCATTTGTCGGCTCTTGTTCTGCAGCTTGATGGGACTGGTGTACTTTTTCCACTTCAGCTGCTGCTTTATTCTGTTGAACCCCTTTCCGGTTTTTGATCCCGTAGTTCCGGAAGACTTTTATCTTCTGGGTCTCTTCTTCTTTGTCTTTCGTCGCGAGGGTAGCGCTGTACTTCTCTGCGAGATCAACTTCGTCGTGCTGCTGCTGGTGCTGCCCCGCAGAAGCAGTTGCTGCGGTTGTCGACGTCTTTTTCAACCCTGTGATTTCTTTAGTTCCTTTCACTTTCTCTTTTATCCCACGAAAAAAGTGTTACAGTTACACATTTGTAGTGAATTCAGCAACTACACGAATTTCTCTGCATGAGAGAGAAAGTTTGTATGTAATGCAGAAATCCTATGGGAAAACACGTATGAAACGAGGCCCCTATGCATGTCCGGCATGACAGAGCTTGTCTGTCTTGCTTGGCCAGCAACACAATGTGTAACTGTAACGCTTTTTTCTCAGGATATCTTTACTTCCCACTCTACTGGAGGGGATACTCCGAGAAACAGACTTCGTTCTACTTACTTTCGGCACCAAGCTCACTCCGGTTACCCGTGGCATCACGAGCGGGGTGATCAGGAAGGGGGAGCTCGGGACGGAAAGCAAGGCACTGGTGTTGGACTTTGATTTGGAGCTGGAAGCCGCTCTGGCGCTGGTTGTCATTACAGCAGCAGGCCGATCACAAGCTGTAGATGACCCGTCGTCTCTTTGTTTTAGTGGAGCCAACGGCTTCACCTTCACTCCAGGCACAGGAATAGAGGCGGAACCGGAAATAGCACTTAGTGCCAGTTTCGGAATAATTATTCCGGGGGGTTTGCTGGCGTTTTTCATCGTCATTTCTCCTGGCTCCTGTTGTTGAACAGTGGAAGTCGTCGCTGCGGATGCAGCTCCACGGGTCGTCGCTGCTGTTGTAGAAGTTCCTGCAAGTGAATTCATTTTCCCACTAGCGAAATTCCAAGCGGAGGTGAGTGGCTTGGCGCCTAAGCCGATGTTTTGGATCAGATTCTTCGCGGTTAAAAGTTGCGTCGTGGTCGTTGTTCCGGATATCGCAGGCTCGCTGTCTTTCGAGGAAACCCAGATCTTGCCTATTTCGTCAGGAAGACCAGATGCAGAGGAAGCAACAGCGGCTTTCTTGTAGTTCTGGTAGTCTGTTGATGTTGTACTTCTAGGACCCCCTGCAGCATCTTGCTTTGATGTCTCTCCTGCTGCGGTAAATGCAGCTGCCTCTCGTCTCGCCGCCCAGGCTTTGGATTTCAGCTCCAGGAAAGTATCGGCTTTTTGTTTTGCGTTCTGCTTCTGCTCCTCCGCAGTCAGTTGCTGGTCCATCGGGGACATAAGAGTTTGAACTTTGACTGACGGCACGACAGAGGCCGTTGCTGCACAAGAAGCAGCCGAGTTTACATTTCTGTTGCCAGAGACCACGCTGGAAGATGATGTTGGCCCCGCAAAATCAGCGTCGTCCTTCGCGGAGAAGGCTTCCCCCGCATCCTTCGCTTCCCATGGCATGCGCCGGCCCTTCATCTTGCTCGGCGACATCTTGCCCGGAGTCGAGCGAGTCTGCTTTTTCGGAGAAGAGGACCGGGAGCCCCCGCGGGACGCAGACAGTTTCAGTTGCTGAGAGAGTGGCGACGTCCTCGCACCAGATGAGTTATATCGCTCCCGCCCCTCCTGCGCAGCTAGTAGCGGCGACGTTGTACCACGACTATAGTTGTTTGAAGTTCTATGCTGGAAATACTCCTCCGCCTTTTTCCGATGGTACACCAGCGCACCGGCTTCCGCCTTTAGGACACTGGTGCTGTAGTTGTGTTGTTTCTGAGCTGAAGATGTTGATGGAGGTGTTTGTTGCTCCCCTGGAAGAACATGCTTTTTTCCACCTGGCTGATGCAGGTTCGACAACTCGAGCTCTTCCACCTGGCGCAACAAGTCGTCGACTTCCGAGTGTCTTTCTTCGTAAAACGTCATGGGAACCCGGCTGGTACGTTCGTCGATCAACAACGGATCGGGGTGCATCGTGACCACGTACCCAGCCCCGCTTTTCATCCGTGGTGGAGCGGGAGGGCTTGTTACGGCAAGACCTACAGTGGGTGCGGATGCGGTTGCGGTTTCTCCTTCTACTTTCATTTCGCCTGGTGCTGTTGCGTCTTCAGCAAGACCCAGCAGAGGAGGAAAGGGGCTGGTAGTTGCCGACTGTGCCAGTACCTCAGATGACGTCCCAACAAGACCGTCACTTTTCGGTGGACAGATAAACGACTCGGGGTGCACCAGCGCCGCGGAGCGGTGCTGTTGGCTTGCTGCAGACGAAGCTCGGTAGTTCACTCTCCCAGCCCCTCGCCTATTATCCGCCTCCACCTCCTCTTGCTGTGCGGCATCTTCCTGTCGTGGTCTTGCCACTGCCGTCTGCCGGTTTTTTCTTTCTTCATCTTCAAGAACGTCAAGAGGTGCAGCAGCTGCCAATCTCGCCGCCTCCGCCATCAGCACACTAGAACTTTCCGGCGCATTTTTCATGCTCACGGCCACAGCACTGCTCTTCGTCACACTTACTGGTGAAGACGAAATGTGCGTGAACCCTCCACCCCTGGCCTGCAATGCGTAGTGCGCTCCGGGGAACGCGGGGATCAGCTGTTCGCTGAGGTTTTTCCTTTCTTCGACAGAAAGCGCTTCGTTCAGTTCGTAGTCCCCTCGCGGAGTCCGGCTGTAGATCCGGTGTTTCGATTCCAACGTTAAAACCTGCGCCCACTCTTCCGGTCGGGATCGCGCGGAGAACGGGTTGCGCCACGTCGGTTGGTCGTCGTTTTGCTGTTCCATAATTGCTGTTCCCGCAGTTCCAGATCTCGCAGATATCATTCCACTCTTGTCCAAGCTCCTCACACTGGCACTGGGAGACCGCGATCGAACCTCGCGCACCTGAATCCTCTGCGCCGTCGTCAACACTTCTCGACTGCCGTCCAGCTTCTCCTGGGTATCCACAAACTCGTTGTTCTCAATGAAGCTTGTCATGGGCGGGCCGGGGATCGGCCGCGCGGAGTGTAGCAACGCGGAATCGCGCTTCGCGAAGCTGACCTGCGGGTGATCCCTACTTCCCGGGTAGTTCACCGTCTGCCTATCGACGGGGTACGGATCGACAATCACGTGGGGAGGCGGCGCGTTAATGTCGCGGTCGGACGGAGGGACGATCATGGTGACGGTGGTGGGGATGGACGAATTTCCCATGTCCAGCATACCGCGGGAACGCACCGGGGTGGCGGTGATCACGTTTTGGTTACCGTTGAAGATCGGGTCAGCGCTCGACGTTGCCTTGCTGGTTGTTGCAGCAGGTCGCACGACGTCTTGCTCCGCGACTGTCGTAAGCGGGAGGGGGGAAGGAGATCTTTGCCTTGCACTTGCGCTTTTTGCTCCTCCTGCTGTGCGTTGAACTTGCACCGAGACCGTTTTGTCGTGTGTCAGCACTGTGTTCGACTTTACAGAGCTGTTTCTTGATGGCGAAAGCAGCACCACGAAAGCGGATTCTACTGGCGCTGCTCGCCGACCATCTTGCACAGCACTCCCGTTGGTCGGGCTGGCCGCGAAAGTTTTTTGTTCAAAGCCCGGAGGTGGGGGAGAGCTGGAATTACCCCGCGAAGCTGATTGTGAAACAGGATACGGTCCTTCTTGCTCCTGTGAAGGTCTACTAGCACCACGACCAGCAGTTCCCGCCCCCGGAGATCTGGACCTGCTGGCTGGACGGCCGTGCATGATCTGTTGCATCGTCGATCTGGTACTTGTTTTAATATTCGTGCCTGCAGATGATGAAGCACGACCTGGTGGACTGCCGCTGCGGCTATTAGCTCTGGCGCTTGAAGATTTTCCCCCAACACTCCTGCTCTGCTGACCGGGAGAAGAGCTGCGACTTCCCGAAGATCCTCGGGAATAATGCGCAGCACCACCCCGAGCGCTCCTTTCTGTAGGGTCGTGCAAATATCGTGAGGCGCCGCGGTGCTTTTTCGGCACTGTACCCGGGTGTTTCCAGTGCGATGGATGATGTACGTGGTGATGACTGTGACCGGCAGTGGTCGTCCCCGCGCGCCGGTGCGCTGCGGAGAGCTATGAATTGCAAAAGTAGCGTACTAGTATAAATTGCAATACAAATTGGCTCAGCATTACAAATTGAATTTGTATGAAATGCGGATTTGCCACGGGAACGAGATTCGTAATGCATAAATGCAATTAGTACGAGTGCGATCATATTTTTGCACAGGATAAGAGCAGTTCCCTTGCAAAATCCAGGTCGTTCGCGGACGGGGAGGTTTTGTGGTACGGATCAAAGTGGCTCGGCGCGATCACCCTGCTGTTCCAAACGGGGCGGGGAACGCGCTCGTCGGCGACGTCCCTTGTTTGGCTTCCAGTTCCACCTCGCTGTAGATGAAGATGAGATGGACTCCGGCTTCTACGGCTACCGGAACGTCCTATACCTGCTCGTCCCTGCTCGGGTCTATTTTTCATTTTCGGAGAGGACATGTTAGACTTCGACCCCGACCGGGACCTGGATTTGGGCGACGACCTAGTGCTCGACCGCCGACGCGGCAAACTCGCCTCTGTCGGCTGCTGCTGAACCGATAATTGTGTTTGCGGCCTTGGCAAGTAATGGCTTTGCTCCCTGAGTTCGCGCTCCGCTGAAATCACCTCTTTGTATGGAAGCGTCAGGATTGAAATCGTCAAAGACAAAGTTGAAACAACTTGTAATGCATAAACTCGATACCAGTTGGAAGCCCAATTTCTAAGCGGTGCATGACAAATTTGCCGAGCACCGGAATCCAGTCTGTCATGCTGTTTGGGCACAGACGACTGCTTTTGTCATGCTACTTTAGCAGCTCTATTTCAAATCCTAAACAGGCTGACAGTCGGCCTCACTTGCCAACCCGGCAAGACAGGCATTTCATGCCTTGCATTTCATGCGTGACAAACTATTTCAACTTAGTCGATTTCAACTCTGACGCATCCATACTTTGGTACTCGTCTGTACGTGCTTCCGCACCACACTGGTTACCGTGTGTCTCGCGTTGTGCTCCACCATCCGTTTCTCGTAATCGAGCTTTTCTTCCAGTCTCCGTTTCTCGAGCAATGCATTCTCGTCCGCCCCAGCAGCGCTTCTACTTCTCTCCTCCCGCTGCCTCTTCAACTCGAGTAACCGTTGCTGCACGTTGTACTCGTTTTCCAAGCGTATTTGCCGGGTAATCGTGTCCGCGTGCAGCGTCACCTCGTCGATTTCCACGGAAGCATCATGTTTGAACCCGGTGGACGCTTTGTCCGCTTTGCGTCGGAGGGTCTGGAGGTACAGATCTTTACCTTGTTCCTCTTGATAGGTACTGTTCAGCCCTTGTTTGTTCACCGAAGCTGCATCCGCGGCCCTACTCCGTCGCTTCGTGTGGTCGTGCATGAAAGCCTCCACGTCGATGTCTTTGTAGTGCCGATTGTCCAGAATATGCTCTAACACGTACTCTTCGTTGTTTTGTAGCCGCTCCTCTTCCAGCTCGTGCTCCGTCAACATGTTCTCAAACACGTTTTGCACCGCTGGCTGAGGCTGTGGCCGTCGACGCTCACCCGGTCCGCCGCGCCGGCCACTTTGCAGCTCATTTCGTTTAAGATTTTGACCAGCGTCTTCTCCTTCTTCGTCTACCGGTACTAGAGGCATGGCGGAGGCTACCGGAGCGTCACTCCTTGGGTGCAGATCTACTGCTGCGACGACGGGGGAAGCAGAAGCTACAGTTCCGGGTGTTGTTGACCACGTCCTTGTCGCAAGAGCTTGCACTTCTTGCTCTTGGGGCACGGCCGGCCCTGGTTTCGACTTATTTTCGTGAGTAGATGTTGATAAAGTAGGAGAATAATTCCGCGTCAAATACATCGGCGAGGCGACTACCATGGCCGTCGGCGGGTCGAGTGCGCGCCTTCGCACACCGAGCTTCGGAGACATGACCCGGTCATAGACCTGTCGGCTCCCCCTGGTGTTGTAGAGCGGACTGCTCGCTTTAACATTACTGCTGGTTGCAGACAACTCACCTTCACCTTCTCCTTGATGTTGCCCAAGGCCTGGGCTGCCACGAAGTTGCTGTGCACTCGAGGATGGAACATGGCTGGCCTTCACGAACGAGAAGTGCGTGTCTCTGCTGGAAGCTTCGGAAGGCTCGAGCAAGGCCGAGCCGACCAGCGTGACCCCAGTTGTGGAAGTCACGGATACCTGGAAAGAGGAAAAGGTTGAAGTCAATCATGGTTGTTCGGGAAGATGAGCTCCAATGAGGGTGCGCGATCGCTCGGCTGTTTTGAAATGAATCATCTGTCACCGACCGAGCAAAATAAATGTTGAAGGAAAATATTGGATACCGGATCCAAGTGTCTCCATGTCAGCGCGATGATGTCGCAGAGGTGCGCTGTATCAACCGACAAGAAAATACGAATACCGCTGCTTACAAAGAGGCTCAGAAACGGATTTGTTCTGCATTGTCATTTGCATTTCGTTTTCGATTACTTCTTTTAGCACTGCAACACAATGATTCAACGTATTATTTTCAAAGTGTAGCTGTAGCTGTAGCAATACACTTTCAGGTACAACGGCATGACAAAACCAAAAGATCCAAAATCCGCTTCTATCATGCACTGGTTGTAACATCATTCTTTCGACGGAGATACGCTGCCTTTTGCAAATAGCCGATTCGAATGTAGCCCCGCAATTCCTCCCAGAGCTCCTTGATATGCGGCGTGTTTTCGACGCTCGGTGCGAGTTGATCGAGGGACTTCGAGATGTAGGTGACGGATTTTGTCGCTTGCTTTTTGCGAAGGTCCGCGGCGAGCTGCGTCAGGCGGTCGCCAATCGCTTTTTTCGAATTCATTTTGATTTTTTATGAAGAAGCCGTGATACACATACACATTCATACAGCTACCTCCCTTATTCCAGGCCAGCACTTTGTTTCGTGGAACCAAGCGGAAATGCAGACACCCAGCTCTTGGCTAGTACAGACATAGACACATACTCATACAGAAGGTATTCCACAAGAAGCAGCTATAGTAGGCGCTTCTGTATTTTTATTTCCAGCGTACTGTTGGTGTCTACAACTCGGACAACAACTATCTTCCAGTAGAGTCACTAAATTTTCATCAGGAGAAAATCGAACTCGCAAAAGAGCTATCTCGCTACAGCATGCTAATTGTATAAATGGCAAAACGTAATGCCCGCCGCCTCTACCCTTCCCAGTGCTGTCACAGCCCTTTTTTTACCCTATATCACCAACTTTTTACGACAACTAAAAAACCCAGGTGACGACGAGAATAGCGTCAACGATGCAACGACTTTAGATTGTCAGAAACGGACGACCGAAGCAGCACTAGTGCCAAGCTGCAAGTAGAAGCGCAATTGAACATCACTAAGAAGCTGCGCGCCATTTTCACCCACTTCTGGTTAGGTTGCGATGATTATGGTATTTCTATTTACGCAAGCATTCCACCATCACCATTTTCTAGAAGCCGTTGAAGAAATTACATTACTTCATCGTTTGTTTGCACGACAGATCTTTTGATACTAACGAAGCTGAAGCCTCGTTTCTTTTTTACCCTACAGACTTGAAAAAAAGACCAGCCAGTCGTGGCGTCTTGATGTTTTTGGGATTATATAATGAGTGGCCACATTCATAGTAGTCGTGTGGAGGTACTTCTTTCTGTTTCTGTTTACTAGCCGCGCGAAGAACTAGACCGCACATTGCTGGTGGTGCCCAACCCCAATTTACAATACTTACAGAAGTAGAGCAGAAGCGCTACGTATACATGTGCATTGATGACTGCGGCTCTCACGATCTCGGAAAACTCCACCTCATCAGGGTCAGGGTGAGGAGTCCGATGAAATAGACTTCCTTAGGAAGAAAATAACGCGCGCGCCCGGATGGCTTTGCGTGGACGGAAAGTGAAAACCTGCCACCGTACTGTTGTGTAAAGTAATTCCTGAAGGTAACGAAATTTGCGGAACTGACTGCGAATGGGAAAAAAAAGACTGTCGTGACTGTCTTTGTTCAGCTCGTCCTGGCAGCTGCAAAAAAAATTTGAATTATCTTATTCCAAAGTGGAAACCCCCTCTTCTTCGTCCAAGTCCATGTCCATTCGGTTGCCCAACTCAATCCCGTCGTCGTCCCCGATTTGCTGCGAGTACGCGATTTGCTGCGAGGTTTCGTTCGGGCGCCACAGGTACATCAACACCATGCTGAGAAAGAAGAACATGCAGTGCGAGGCCGCGTCGGTGAAGATCCACCTGCTGTCCCAGTTCTGGGACAAATCTGTCTGCCTGACCACCGCCGTTTCGTACGCGACCAACGCGATGACCACCGCGCAAACACTCCCGAGTGCGAGCCGCAGGTACCGGTAGAGTTCCGCCTTCACGATTTGTTTTGTGGAGTTCAGCTCGGAAATGGTCTCTTGGAGGGCTTGGAGGATCCAGACGTAGAGACAGGACACGAAGAACGAACCAGGTGCGACGACGAGCACGGTGGAGAAAGTGGTCATGTCCGACCCGACGGTGCTGCGCTCCGCCATCGCGAACTGCCGGTACGTGTCAGTTACCACAAAGGCCACGGTGAGTGCGAAAATCTGCATCAACTGTTGTGACGGAGTTGCGGATAGAACAAGAACAAGTTCAAGCCGAAGCTAAATTCCCTTTCCCGAAAGAACGAGGTCCAGCCTACTGTTTACAATTCGCGGTGCGAGACGGATATATTATAATTACTCTGTGAAGATAAATCATAATTGGTGTTCCCTTGTTGTTGTTGTTCTTCATGCTGGACTTAAAATTAGTCAAGTACTGTTTTTGTCGATGGTTTCGGTTGTGTCACTCCTACGCCCAAACAGGCCAGCAAGAGCAGTGCGTAGCAGACTCCCTGCTTAATCGTCGTGCCCAAATATGCATTGCAAAAGCATCGTACTAGTATGAATCGCATCACTCAGCATGCCAAATGAAATTTGTCATGCTGTTTTACCTTGGGATGGAGATTTGTAATTCATGATTGCGATTACTACGACTACGATACTTTTGCACAGAATACCAAAGTTGCCAGCGCGATCATTGACCACCACCGATGTCCGGTCCAGTTCCAATGAGCAAGCGACGTAAACCAACAGGTCGCCTGGGGTGAGTGTGATTGCGTGATTTTCATCTGCTCGTAAATGCATTGCTTTTATGTTCATTCGTCGTAGCTGCATACAGCCTATATGCATATAACGCCGCGCCTGTGGTGAAAATAAACAAAGATTCTACTGCAGTCATTTTTTTAAGTACCTCTAAGGCACCGCAGATGAGCGCGCAGGAAATGAAGTGATGGATTAAAAACAGCACATCTGTCCACGCCCAACAGTAAGCGGCCCAGCAGCAAAGCAACCCCACGTAACCCAGTGCCAGATACATGTAAAAGGCCATCTTTTGGTATGGAAACGAAATAAAGGGAGAAAATTTATTTCCTCGGCATCAGTTTCGCTTCATTGGGTACGACAGAAAAGAAGCATCTTTTGCTTTTCGATGCGTGAAGTGTGTCACGAAAATGACGAGCGTGAACAGTCGATCATGATTTGAAACTGATGCGACCTCTATTATTTCTCGATGGGTTTTCGGTCTTCATATCGGCTTTTCTTCTGCTGGCAGATACCCAGCCTTGGTCATAACTGATATCTCACCTGTAGTTGAGCAGAATTGATGCAAGAAGTGTTGTATGACTAGAATCTTCATCGTGGTCGAGCGAAATTCAAATTACAACAACTTCTATTTACGTTCCAAGCGGTGCTCTAATGATCTCCTTGAGCGACACTCACTTCCTCCGTCAAGAACTATGAGCATACGCTTTTTTACGTACCTGACGTAAACTTTCCGGAGCTGAAGTCTGTCTCGCCGCAGTTACTGATGGCCAGGAAATACAGGCCCGTCGTCTTCACTTTCCATGGCGCGTACTGGTCCATTCGGGACGGCGAGAAGCTTTTTGCGTCTAACGTTAACGCATCCGGTCCGTCTGTCAGCATCAGGGTTCCCTCGGTGGCGCACCTGATTTTTTTGTTCGTATTTGCGTGGAGATGTTTCTGTTCCTCCCGATCATCGTGTGCGAGCGTAGCTGTGGTCCTGCACCTGCTGTCGGTCTCGCGGATTTGCATTCAACAAACATCAGGCGTTGTTTGTGTTCATCCGCTGACAAAACAAAAAAAAAGTTTCATCGTACTTTTTCTCCGCGACGTCCTGCTTTGAGCAACGGAAAATGAAAGAAAAAATAAAAAAGTTGTGAACTAACTAAATATCGGCTCAAGTTGTACGTCTAGAAGGCCGTTAACGGGGTACTTACAAGTACAGCTAAAGTGGAAGCAAAAGCGCAAAAGCCGCAAAGCGGCCTTGGTTCTTTGTATTCTTGTCTCTCGCGTACTCGTCCAGCAATGCAGTCTGGGTCAAGTAGCACGGGCGCCGGCACGAGCACGTCATGGTGGCCTTCCAAAACCAACTTTACATCAAATCACGTTGTCTACTTCTACAACTTTTTTTCTTTCATAGAGAAGTGGTCGGCTGAAATATGTCCCATCAAGGAAGAGTGTAGGAGGTGCAGTTGAATCTTAGTGCTGCTATCCAAGCACAACATTCTGCGACTCATAGTACGGCGGTCGAGATCTCTTCAGCAGCAGACTTATTATTTGATTCAATCATAATCCAATTCATCGTGCGTCATCACAAGAACCAAAAAGCAAACAGTTCTTCTGCAGAATCAAGAGTCGCTTGTCTTGCTAGAGCTACAGTGTCGGAGACACCATGAAACGCCGACGAGATGAAAAGTGTTGTGGTCTGATAGTCAAGCTTTTCCCTTATTCCCTCTAATGCGATTGGACCTTGCAACGAAACTTCTGCGCCGGCTTCCACCTGCATAATTATCGTGTGTTGATGAATTTCCTTACGAACGGCAAGTTGTGCATCAACTTATTTCTTACTTCTATTTCATTATCTTCCGAGATATCTAAGATGTTAAGCATCAGTGCAGCCAACGATTTCACTCTGACGCTGCAGGAAGTGCAACAATCACGACAATCTTACCGTGTGATAGTGCACAATTTCGAACGTTCTGGGTTCCGGCAACCGTTCCACTCGGTGCAACCAAAATCGCTCTGCTGCCGCAAAACACGGCGCGAGCAAGCACGCCAACGCCGTGGAAGGCCTGTTCCTCATTTTGTTTTGCTTCTGAATATAGAAGAAACGTAAAGAACTATCAAGTATGAAGCACTTCTACTTACTGTAGTCCGTGCCTGCACCAGGGGAAGCGAATCAGAAGCAGACGGGAACGTTGCTGGTAGAAAACGCAAAACATACGATCGAAGGGGTACTCCTTGAAAGTGTTAACCCTGTACCAGATCCACCAGAGCACAAAACGGAGACGAACAGACTACGCGGCGAGCCGCATCGTAGCACTTGCAGCGAGGAAGCAAAGACAAGACAAAAGACATCGAAACAACATACTTAACACAAACTGAACCAATTTCGTTTCGAAAAACGTGAACAAAACCAAGGGAGAACGAAAATAGGAGACGTCGGCCCACAAAATCAAAACTGCCGATCATACTGATATCAGAAGAACATCGTGATTTTTAATACCCGTGGCCCACGCACCAGCGCTAGGCGGCGTTTGTCGTCCCAGATCATAGGGGGTACGTGCACGTGCTGCTGATGTCTTTTGTAGGAGCAATCAAATGCAAATTCTGTTCCCATTGCTATTCGCCTTTTCAACATGATCATGTTCTGACCACTCACGCCACAGCACCAGGACCAGCTCGTTATTTACGTCCATCTGGAACCATATTTTCCGAAATTTTTCCGTTTTCCTGTCGCCTTTTTTTTTCGAAATCTTCCTACTTGTACAATCTTGGTCTTGGTCTTTGTATCACAACAGGCATTGAAGATCCTCAGCGACCCGGTAGCATGCTGGTTTCGGGAATCCAAATGCAAAAAAAAGGAGTAGTGTATGCTTGTTTCTTCGATGTAGAGGTTTAAAAATATTCGTAGCTCTTATCGCCTGTTCTTGATGTCGATTTTTTTTTGAACGTTGTACTCTGAGCCTCCTCGCCGACGTCGTACTCGTAGTCGTCTCGTCGTCTATAATGCATCGATCATGAAGTTGAAGACGAGGCAAAATGATAGGAGCGGGGTCACAAATTCAATCCTTAGGTCCGCACCGGACTTACGGACCACCCGGCCGGGTGGTCCTTAGGTCCGGTGCCCCAAAAGTTACTTTTACGTAACTCAACAAGCCGCAGCAGCTGAGTCCCACTCTGACGGCAGAACTCTTATACGAGATTCTGCACGTTATTCATTTTCTGCATGAAGGGCGGCTCTATGCCAATTTGATTTTTGAAGCTATTCAGAAAGCTTCACTTTTGATTTTGCATTGCAGTGTATGCATTTACAGGGGTTTGAGTTTCTGTATTCGCCTGCTTCCGCTAAAAACGGGACCCGTTGGCCGACGTCGTTCGCGCAGGCACACCGACGTCGTTTCGGCCGCGCAGGCACACCGACGTCGTTCGCGCAGGCACAGCCACAATCGCATCGGGAACGGCGCCACCTCTTCCTTCGCGACACGGTGATGACGACCTCTTCGCGACACGGTGATGACCACGACCTCGACGCGGTGGCTTGCGACGTTGGTGTGGTTTTTGCGTTGCGAGGTGTGGTTTTTGCGTTGCGACTTGCCGGACAAGTCACACCAACGTCACAAACCACCGCGTCGAGGTCGTCACCACCGTGTCGCGAAGGAAGAGGTGGCGGTGACGCTGGCGCTGCGCCGGCTGATTTTCATGCGGCGCCGCCATTCCCGATACAATTGTGGCTGTGCCTGCGCAAACGACGTCGGCGTGCCTGCGCGAACGACGTCGGCCAACGGGTGACGTTTTTAGCGAAAGGCGAATGCACTGCAATGCAAAATCAAAAGCGAAGCTTTCTAAATAGCTTCACAAATCAAATAGGAAGTCCTTCCTAGTGCATATGAAGAAGCTTCTTGCGCTACGTCAGAACAGCCTATGGCATAGAGCCGCCCCTTCATGCAGAAAATGAATAGCATTAACATGCAGAATATCGTGTAAGAGTTCTGCCGACTCAGCTGCTGCAGCTTGTGGAGTTACGTAAAGTAACTTTTTGGGCACCGGACCTAAGGACCACCCGGCCGGGTGGTCCGTAAGTCCGGTGCGGACCTAAGGATTGAATTTGTGACCCCGCTCTAGTATTTCTATTTGATGTTTAGTAGCGGCTTCCCCGCACCGTCCGGGACCCGTGCTAGTAGGTGACGCGACGTATTACTATCCAACAGACAGAAAGAGAAACGGAAACTAGATAATATTGTTCTTCCGAAAGTGTGACTACACGCTCCTGCACAAGTAAAGCTTAGCCCACCAGTTGGTCGCAGAGAGTTTGTACCATGCGAGCACCAACAGGAGCAGCTCTGTGGGTAGCGCATTCATTCATCTTCTGGTAATACAAAATATATTTTATTGGAGTGAATCTTGATCTTGTAGTTGCTGATCAATTTTTTCAGAAAGAAACAGAAAAAAAGACTTTCGCTGGGCATGTGCAGGCGAATTGGGCGGAATCGTTCTTCCGTCTGTCATATTTGCTTCTGTGGGGCGCAACTACCTATGTCGAGTTTGCAATTTCGTGCTACTTACAGTAGCTGCAAAAATCATCGAGCTTGAAAAAAAATGTTCCTTTTCTCCAGCAATCGCCAACGCTGCGGCATTCAGACCATCATGTTCATAATTCCGGAGTGCAATGGCAGAGCCCGCAAGAGCTGTAGTCCTTTGACTTCTGCAAGGCAAGCTTCTGCTCATTGATGCAAAAAAACCTTTTAAGAAACTCCCAACTACAGAGATACCGCTCAGAAAGTAGAGCGATACTAGTGTGGTCGCAAATAGGTGGGCGGGTATGACTAATGTACACCAGAATTACAAAACGAAAACTGCATATCCATATTATTTTTACTCACAACTTGTTGCTGTTCCTTATTCCTCCTCATACGATCGACACCGCTTTTCATCCGCTTGAAGCAAGAGGGCACTCTTGGTCGCTGAAATATTAGAAAGGGCCTCGTCTTCACTATCTATTTTCGCCCATTATGCGAACGAAATCTGCACAAAAAGAGTAAGGAATCATCTGGTGCGAGTGGTGCGGGCTGTGCTCGACGAGCCCGCCTGAGCCAATGAATACCAGTGAAAAGGTGACTACCTTCACGAAGCTTATCGTAATCGATCCTGTTGCGTAGGTAAGCAAAAAAAGAGGCCAGTGAGTTTCTATATTGTTCTTTCTTTTCTTCATATGCATATACTTATACACGAGGTGGCTGCTTTTGGCTTGCAAGAACGCAAAAACGGAAGACGTAAAAACATTTTTCAATCGCTTGATATAGTAGTGTAGTAGCTAAGTGGTGGAGATGAAGCAGCGATTTTATAAATTTTGCGTTTCCGTAGCAATCAGTGCAAGAATGCCGAAATCGTAAAAGTAGTTAGGCCTTCCTAGCAACAGGCGAAAAGTTACAAATTAGGATTGCTTAGTATCTTTTTTAGCAATTTTGTCGTCCGAAATGCGTCATCTGTATTTTTCTTCTTGAAAGTTCTACTTTACTATTACTTCTGTCCGCTGATTTCTGCATGAGCGTCTTTTGCCAGTCTCTCTATGTGGGCGAGCACTCCACGCAGGGGCTCCGACATTATGACGTAGTTTTGTTGTTGATGATAAACAGAGTTACTTCCTGTTCGAAATTGGAATTTTGGCAGGAAGGATAAAAGCAAATATTGTCTTAATGGCAAAAGAAACAATAACAAATACGGGTGGCCGATACTGCCGAAAACGCGGAAAATAGATTGCGCTGTGGTGGAATTCAACTCTCTGTATCTGGCACGTAGATGCAGTAGCCTAGTTTAGAAGTACTCCGAAGATATTAATGTAACTGTTTTCACCCTTTCCGTGAGCTGCTCCTGCTTCTGCGATTTAGTACAAGTCGAAAAGAGATGAACGTGAAAGGTACAAAAAAACCCATGGCTACTTACTGTACTGATGTAAAAATCATAAAGAGTAAGAGATAAACAAAAACAACCAGTCATTAATATAGATGCCCGTGATTTTTTTCAAACAAGACTTTTCCAGCGATAACAAGTCGACGTCCATGCAAAAAATGGCGACACGGCCACGATAATGAACGCGTAATATGACATACCTCAGGGACGACAGATCGCGGTCCTTGATCTCACCCTTTTGCTGTGACATGAGAAGTAGGTCCGTCGTCTATAGTCTTCTTTTTTAAAAATACCTGTCTACTCGGTGCTGGCCGTGAGGCAGAAATCATTTTTCTACTTCTCCGGCGACTCGAAACGGATAGCGATAATTAAGACGGCGCTGGAGCTGGTGGTGGTTGTGTCCGGCACTATCTACCGAAAGCCTTGTCCTTATCGCGTTTCATCAAGTAAGTATCCAGATCTACCCAACAACGTGATGGGTGTAAAGTAATATTTGAAAGAAAAAAAAAACTCGATGGAAATCTTCAGGTGCTATTTTTTTCATCTTGCCTTACACGTGAGGCGGGTGACGAGAACAATATTTGTTCCACCTCAGACTAGACTCACACTATACACTTTCATCAAAGAAATAATCAATTTTTGCATCAGGCGTCGATAGGAAACAATGACTTTCTCGGCTTCGAAGCGGTGGCGCTCCTCATGACTTTTGGTTTTGTTTTCAACTTTCTAATCTTGTAATAACAAGTTACGAAGGATTGATGTTTGGTGCTTGCTACCAACAACTAAGCATGAATGCGTGCTGGTGGTGCCCGACGACATGCTAAATCGAAAGGTTAGGAGATCAAAATTATATACTAATATCATCAAATTTTTGTAGAAGATACTTCGGTCTACTAGGCTGAATTTTGGGTCAGTAGTTTTCTCCAGACACACGACGTCAATCACCGCGTGGAGCTGCGAGGCTCGTCGTGGCTTCCGCCACCGCGAGGCCGTTCGTAGACCATTAACCTTCTCACCAGTCTCCGCAGAGTCTTGTGTAACTCCACAGGGCCTTCTATCTTTTGCCTCAGGGGAGCCAGAATTTCTGCAAGCTGGATCTGATATTTTTTGGAAATCAACGTAGAAAGCTGCTGAGCACATTGCAATATGGGAGAAAGCCATTGATTCGTATGTTGTACTAGCATAGTCATGTTCTAGTGCTACTCGATGTCGACTATCACTGAAAATGTTTTTCCACATCAAGCGTGACTGTGACAAAAGAAATTCAGATGAAATTACTTACTTATAAAAATACCATGTCATGCCCAGTTGCTGGTCGGGTCCATTTCCTGACCGCTTCCACAAGCTGCGAATGAAATCTCTCAAATTTCTCCTTGCTCGGAATGTGCCCGTTGCGCATGTTGGTGTCGATTTGTGTCAGGACCTCCTTCAAATACCTGTTGAAAGAGGAAGCTGATGAATGTGAATATCATCTCGTCGAAGTTGTAGGAGTTGGAGTGTCTTAGAGTGGCAGTGTTAGATACAGACATGACAACGAACCACGCAATAAACTTGAACTTCTTATATTACCAGCACTGAGACGAGAGCCTCACATCAGATCAAGTTTGTTAGTGGAATATAAACAAAGTTCAGCTCTTCATTTACCGTATCAGCCCCTTGCTTCGAAATGGCAGGGAGGTTCGGCTCGAGCCCGTCGTGCTCGTGGAGCAATTCTGATCCAAAACCGACAGGTGGTACTGACGCAGCGGCTCTGGCATGGCTACCGCGTGCGCGGAGGTGCTACTGTCGGGGGTGTTGCCGTCGTGGCTTCGGGGTCGCGCGGGAGCGCCACTCCCGGGCGGAGAGGCACGGACACTACCTGATGTTTAAGGGCCAAAAAAAATTGATCTTCTACTACCGATTTATACTTTGAGGTTTGTCAGAGACAGAAAATCGAAAAGAGTATTCCTGATGTCGCGCCGGTGCGATTGCTCTTTGGACGTGTGCACAACTGACTCGCCATCCATGAAAATGAAGAAGATGATGATCCATCGTCTTACATGCAACATTTAGACAAAAAAGAACGATCGAGATATCAATATACCGTCACTTTTCTGCACTTTCCCAACTACTTCATTCCAGCTCTTCTTCGTTTGCTCCTTGCTACCCTCCTTGCTCCGTCTATGCAGGGAAAAAGAAGTTGATGTTGAAGTAGAAGCAAGCATGACACACATACTTGCTAACTACGAGGAGCGTCATCGAGATCATTGCAAAAATTAATTATAAGTACAAGCACTTTTTCCGCATTCGATAGAGAGATCTTGTAGATGCTAGCGAATCCAGGAGCATCGAAAATGCGTCGATGCAGATAGCGAATCCAGAGGCAAAACCGCGATTTTACTTTGCTTGCGTGCTAGCACTTCTTCTTCATCTCTGCATTTGCATCCATGCGATAGCGTCCCGGTCCCTGCAATGGCGAGAAAAGCCGTAAAATCCGTTTGGACTTGTTCAGATCGCCGCTCGTTCCCATGATATTGCTGTCCCCATGGTTGCTGTTCCTCGAGCTACTGTGCCCCACAGCCGGCGGCGTCTCCGAACCACAGTTCGGCGGGGTCCGCACGGCGTTTACCCTCGTCTGCGAATTGCTCAGCTCGCTGCTTTTGGGCGTGTGAGCAGCTGAAAAGTTGTTGTGCACTAGAACTGGCGGTCCAGAAGTTCCTCCCCCTGCGCTGCTGTTGCTGCTCATTCGGTTCGTTGCACTAGAAGAAGTTGCTGCACCATCCCCACTCGGCGTAGTTACAGCAGTGAAGATTACTGACGAGGTGCTGCTAGTACTGCTCGTAGTTGTTCCGGCGAGAAGCTGCCCACCACCGCCCATAGCTGTACTGGTTCCACCCCGCGACGTGCCGTTAACGCCGCTGGTAGTACAACTTCCAGCTCCTGTGTTGTGAAAAATCGTCGCTGCGGGTAATGGCATGCCTGTTGGCGTGGGGCCGGTAGTGGCCCCCGAGCCAGAGGTTGATGAAAGGCTGTTTATTGTCGATGTTGTAGTCACCCCGCCGCCCCACACTGCCCCGGGAGCAGAGGCGGTGGTCGCCGACGAGGCTGCTGCACTAGAGGAGGACGAGGAAGATGAGCAACAAGAAGAGGATGATGCGGTGAGTTGCTGTGCCGCAGCACTCACAAATACGCTCGCACCGTGCTGTTGACCACCATGATCCTGCTCGGAGAGCAGAGGCACAGCACCCATGGTGGCAAGAACTTGGCGGTGACCCGCCCCCCGCCCTGATGTTGCAGTCGACGGCGAATTTATCGCCGAGGAGTTGATGTTGTTCCGGCTTTGATGTGCTTCTCCTTGATAGTTTGACGAACTTGAGGGTGCGCTCGCAGGTCCTGCAAGTGGCGAGGATCCAGACGAGGAGTACGAATGCTCGCCGAGCGAGTTGCTTGTGCCACGATCGCGAGCATTTTGCAGGGTAGAAGCCAGATTCGCGCGGCCGCCGATTATATCTGCTCTACTTGTAGGTCTAGTTGTAGAAGTTGTACCTCCTTCAGTTGCAACTACACCCCCAAGCGGTAGTTCTATTTGTTCGCTTGGGTAGTTATCTTGCCCGCTCGTGTTCCGGGAATAAATCTTAGTCGTACTAGAAGAAACACCTGTGTGCTGCTGTCCTCTGGAAGAAGAGACTTTTGTCGTCGCGCCAGAATTCCGTGATGCTGGAGACGACGAGGTACAACTAGTAGAGGCTTTGCAACTACTGCCACGAAGAACGTTTGCTGGAGGATTATTGTTTGCGAGGACAAGATCGGCCTCCTCTTGTTGGATAGTTCCAATGCCATGATTCATGGCACTAGTCGACGTCCTCGAAGTAGATGACCTCAAGGCCGCTCCTGCGCCCACAGCACCTCCCCGGTTCGTTATTGATGTTGGTGATGGCGTCGAGTCAGGATGTGGCTCCTGATTCGTAGTTAAAGTACTATCTGCTCCAGTTGTGCGGGCGACTCGGCTCTGGTCGCGATTCTCCACCTCCACCCCATTGACGTGAAAATCCTCACTGCCGTCCATTCCCGCTCCCGCGAGCGCCTCCAGACGCTCGATGTCCAGACCCTCTAGCAGCGAGGCAGGCGGACCGTCGTCCTGCAAAAATTCATCACCCGACATGGTAAAACTGATAGGTCTGGCAGATGAACAGAGAAATGAAAATAAATATGCCCCCGCCACGACACTAGCAGGTCGTGCTGGCGCTTCTAGTAGAGAGAAACGAAAAGATACAAAAGACAAGCTGCTCTTACAGCTTTTTGAATAAACAAATTTAAAACATCGATGCTCCTCTCAGTGAAACCGGACTCTCTAGCTCTCCGCTTGACTCACGACATTGAAACTGTGAAAGCGTTGAGCTCGCAGCCCTCAGTGGAAGACACGTCGGGGACGGACGAAGAAGAAAAAAAATGAGACGTGCAGGTGCATGCGATGGTGCTCGACTACTGCATGAGTCTATAACTTGATGTAGTTCAATTTTCATTTTCACATCATGAGCATTTGCATAAATCATAGAGCTGCAGTAGCCTCATGTTATTCTTGCTTTGAATTTCGAGTCAGTTACACTGTACTCGCTATTTTTGGTGCACCAGCGTGAGTGCGGTGCGGTCGAGTGCCAGTAAAAATAGTATGCGAAATGAAGCAAAAGAAGCTATTGGAGCGCATCAAGTTGTTGCTGCAGTCACTTCTTGTGCACTTTCTTTTTCCCCAAACTACCTTTCTTGCCCTCACCTTTCTTCTCTTTCGCGACCATCTTTTTCAGCTTCGCCTTGTCTCCACTTCGGAAAAGCCTCATCTTTTCTGCGAGCGCCGCATTCGCTCCGTGGTCCACTAAACCAGAACCTGCTGCTGTTGATGATGATATCTTACCCTTTACTTTGCTCTTTGATTTCTTACTCGCGCTTTCATCTCCATTCGATCTCTTTTCGCCGTCCTGCTCCTTGTCAGAGCCCGAATTTATTTCATCCTTTTCTTCTGCAGCTCCCGTGGCCGCGTTCTCATCATCTACTTCTTCCTGCTCCTCACCGTACTCCACAAGTGTCTCAGCCATTTGTTCCCACTTGTCCTTGCCCCAGTGCACCACCGGGTTTGCCTTCCTTTCTCTTTTCGTCAAGTTCGGCAAATCGTTGGAAAACTTTTCGAACTTCGCGACGAAAAACCCGTCCATGTTGTGTCGGTGGGGGTAGAATCGTTGCGTTTTCTCGACCGTTTTGTCAAACCGATGCTCCCGGTAGGACGTGAACCCAGGTACGCCGAAGGGGATTTCTTTCCGGAAATCCACTAAGCGGACATTCCTCTTCTTCAGGATGGCGTCAACCACCATCTCGTTCTCTTCGACAGACACGGAGCACGTGGAGTAGACGATCGTGCCTGGGTAGTGTGATTTAAAATCGATTTTTGATACGGATAATTGCTGGAAAAATCTGTCGAGTATGATCTTCTCTTCCATCGGCAACATGCAAGCGACATTTTTCCAGCAGTTGAAGTTTTAGAGTGCTGAGCACTTATTTTACAAGAAGTCTGTCCTTAGTGATAGTACAACACACAAAACCCTGGTAGTATACCGTTCTTCTTCGCGTCGCAAAGGTCGATCGCGGTGAGCAGCAGCTGCTTCTGCAGTTGCGCGGTTTGTTCAAACTCGAGTAGATTCCGCTTCGACTTGATCGTTGGGTCCCGCGCCACGATACCCGCGCCCGAGCAGGGCGCGTCCAGGAGGACCCGATCCAGGCTGTGTGGGGGCAGGACGTCCCGAAGTTCCCGACCGTCGTAGTTCAGCACCACCGTGTTGGTGAGGCCCAGACCTATTGTTTTTTGGATTCGTATTTCAATTTTTCCGGCCTCCTTGCGGTTGGATCTGGATGCCATATCTGGTTTATCATGCATGAGTGCTTTATTAGAGGACTAGCAAGACATGATTAGCAAATGTAAGAGAATAAACCAAATGCAAATCCCGAGTAGTTCTTGTACCAAAAACCAGCAAGAGAAATAAGAGCCAGCAAATCTTCAAAATTCGTACGGTGTATGTTCCCGGTCAAAGACGAAAGTCGCTGCTTTTGCAGTTCGTTGACGTAGAGCGTTCCTGTGTTTTTCATCAGTTGCCCGACGTGCGTGCACTTCCCCCCGGGCGCTGCTGCCATGTCGAGGATGGATTCCCCCTCCTGGGGGTTCAACGCGAGCACCGGGACAAAGGACGACGCGGCCTGGATCATGTAGTGCCCAGCCAAGTATTCCGGAGTCGCACCAACCGGCACGGAGGAGTCGAGGACCTGAGGGGGGTGGAGGAAAATAATTGCTATGATTCTAGCACGCAATAAACTGCAGCTGTGTGCTTGTTCATGTTTTGCACAGCAACTTTTTCTTTTTCTATTGATTGAAACGATTCCACTTCATGTTCATGATGGGGATGAAACATGATAAATCATGAAAATCGGAACACGTTGTCACTATTTGCATATACCTTCAATCCCTCCCGATTGCACCACTCGCCAATGTTCGCCACGTTGACCCCTCTTGCGGTCAATTGCTTCGCCAGATCGGTTTTTCTCGTCTTCAGAGTGTTGGTCCTCAAGGTCACTGGTCTGGCCTTCTCGTTGGCCTCGAAGAAGGAGAGAGCTTCTTCCGGCGGGAACATGTCGAGGAAATATTTGGCGAGTTCCGGATTGTAGCCATAGTACATGGTGACCAGCTCGCACACCTCATCCCGGACCTCCTGCCTTGTTCGCGCAGACGCACGGCCGAGGGTTTCTGTTTTGTTTTGATATACTTATGTTTGATTCCTTTTGTCGGGAAGAACGTCTTGTTCCGTAGCCAATCCATATTGAAACGTTTGTATGCAAACGAGGAATCTTCTTCAATTGGGCTACCACTTATACGTACACCATGTGAGCTGCGACGCCGCGTTCTCGTTCACAACCAAGAACAAAATATAAAAATCATCTTCCTTGTGTCGAAAAATGCCATGTAAAAAAATAAGATCCGAAGTACTCCAGTCGTTCAGCAGTTCGATGTTCTTTTCCATTTTCGCTTTCAGTTTTGACATCTCCATGGCTTTTGGCACTGCTTTTTTATCCGCTGCATCCCCCTCCTCTTCCCCATCTTCTCCCTCGTCCTCAGACCCTTTGTCCAGTGCGGCGGCTTCCAGCAAGTCCTTGTCCTCACTATTCTCCGCTAAGTCCAGGTCCTGCTGGTTCTTTTCAACCACCTCCTTCTGGTAAGCCGCGGCTGCCTTCTTAGTCGCTGCGGTCTCTTTATCGATGTTTTCCTGCTCTTTTTCGATGTCCATCAGGTCGTCGGAGTCTTCTTCCTCCTCCTCCTCGTCTGAATCTTCGAACAGGCTCTGCTTTGTTGTACTGTCGGTGGCTGTAGCCACCTTTGGAGCTTCTGCGGAATCTTTACCTTTCGCGGTTTTACTTGAAGAAGTAGCGTCTTTGGTATCAGCTTTCGCAGCGGTTGTATTTCTGCTTTGTGCTGCTTCCTCCTCCTCCTCCTCTTCTTCCTCTGATAGCATGTCTAAATCTGACATCTCCTCCTCGTCCAAGGTCGAGAGGTCCTCTTCTTCCAAATCGGAAAACTCCTCCTCCTCGAGGTCAGATTCGTTGTCCTCGGGTTGTTCCACTACAGCCGGACGCTTCTTCGACGAAGACGCTCCTCCTGCAAGAGCAGGTTTTTTATTCTTCACGGAGGAGGTCGCCGGGGGTTTTGCTTTTGGTGGATTTTTGCTTGCTGTTGCCAAAAAACTGGCATCTACTTTCTTCGCTGCAGTGTTCATCTCGTTAGTTTTATTGGTTGCAGCTTTTTTCCCAGGTTCAGCTTTTGTCGCAGCTAGGAAGTCGCGTGCCATCGCAGCCTTGGCGATGGAGAGACTCTTGCTCACCGGTTTGCTCTTCATGCTCTTGCTCTTCGCCATTTTGATTTTCTCTTCTGTTCGTTTGAAAAAGATGGGACTAGAAGATGTTGAAAAGAAATTTGTACTATGTATCTACTGCTGGCACCGTAGACGTAGTAAGTAGAACCTTGCTCTTTATCCTTAAAATATGTTCAGAAATAAATGTAGCATACAACTACGGCTTGGGCTTGCACATCAAACACGGCCTGTGCGCATTCGTTGTATGTAAGAATCGAAAGCAGTATCACGCAGGAGCGGAGGGGAGCATTTTTTTCGTGCATGCTGCAGAACTCGATTAGAGCGCAGATTTAAGGCTTGATCTGGAAGATCATTTTTCTCATGGCAGGATCAACAGCAACAATAGATCTTTTTTACGTAGTTGATTCATTTTCGGAGCACGCATCTTGCCACATTTGATCTTGCTTCATTCGTTGAATACCACACGACGCACACTCGGGACTTCAAAATCTGAAATCATTTTACGCTGGGATCAATTGCACAGTAGCTTTTTTTTGAATTAGATGGCAGGAGATCTTCTGTGCTGTACAAAATTGAAAGTACACTTTTTGATCCGACGTAGAGCACCTGAAGCGATCCAATGGATCACTATCGTGATCATCATGATCTTCTTCGTCATGATGTTAACGGAGACCAGACGTCCGCGCGGCTTTGTAGGATCCTCACCTGCTCAGTACGACAACAGAAGCTGCTTACGATCAGCTATTTCTTTTCCATCGAAAGAAGCCGTGCGTTTCCTTGTGCTATGATCCGATGTAGAAGTGCTGGGACAACATCACATGCGTCAAATAAACAGAACCACGTGACGAACAGTAAACTCGGATGCAGCCTCACACACATCGAGCAAGGTGCTGCCTGCCGACGGCAGTAGTGCCATCGGCTGCTGAATTGTTTTCGAGAGGAATTCGTAGGCGTACGGAAAGTCTCTATATGTATATCTATTACTATTTGCACATCATTTTTTCTTGTTCTACTGCACACCAAAATTTACCTACTTAATGGTGGTGATGATGCCCTCCCCCGCCACCACCGTGGCTGCCCCACCCCGAGTGCCTGTGCGCAGCCTCGTTCATCATGCGCAATCTCTCCTCAATTGCCTGCTTGTCATATCCTTCGTCCCATAATTTCCTCTTCGCGTCGTCGTTCAAAATCTCAAATGCCTCCCCGACCAGCTGAAAACGTTCTTTCGCCGCTTTCTGATCCGCCTCCGACTCTCCTGCGTGTTTATCCGGGTGGAGCTCCAAACACCGCTGCTTGTAGCAGTTTTTGATGTCAAATTGGGTGGAGAAGGAAGAGAGCTTGTAGTAGGACTTGTTTTGCTGGTGCTCGTCTTCTTGTTCTGCTTTTTGTTGCTCCTGTTCCATATTTTTCGGGGAGGAGCAAGGCTCTGCTTCGGAGTTGTGTTCATCGAGATCCGACACATTATCTGAATCGTTTCGCTTGACACGTTTCTGGGCGTGATTCGTGACGTGATTTTCGCCTTCTGAATTTGACGAACCGTTTGGAACTGGATTATTTGCGCTTTCGCAGTTTGAGCTGCTTTGGTCCTCTTTGTTGTCGCCATCCTGCTTTGAAGACCACGCTGCTGGCCTCTGTTGCGTCGTCTTGTACGGCTTACTCAAAACGTCGTAGTAGTCCGGTCTCTGTGATTTGCGCAATTCGAACACCGCCTTCTGGTGCGCGTGCTGGACAAGGGCGTCGTGCTCAAACATCGACCGCGTGGTCCCCTCTAGCGATTGGACCGCCTCTTGGTACCTACCCAGGTTCACCAACGTGTTTGCCCGTAACACAATCGCGTCGCGGTAGTTATGGGTGTGTCAGGATCGAAATCGTCAAAGTTGAAATAGTTTGTCATGCATCACACCGATACCAGTCGGAAGCCCACTTATCAAGCGGCGCATGACAAATTTTCCAAGAACCGGAATCCAATTTGTCATGCTGTTTAGGCACTGGAGACTGCTTTTATCATGCTAGTTTAGTAGCTCTATTTCAAACTCTAAACAGGCTCACAATCGGCCTCGCTTGCCATCCCGGCAAGACAGGCACTGCATGCCTTGCATTTTATGCATGGCAGATTATTTCAACTCTGTCGATTTCAACTCTGACACATCCATAGTAGTCGGCTCGGGCGTAGAGCGCGTCGTTGCACAATTTCAACGCTGCGTCATACCGCTTCAAGCGAAACGACGCGGTAGCCGCTTCCGAGAGCAGCTGCACGTAGAGCACAGAGGTCGATAAACCGAGAACAACCGCGGCTTCCTTCGCGAGAGTGTCGACCGGAGGCGGAGGTGGGAAGATTGCGCTAGATTCATCCTTGGTCGACGTGGGCCACCTCCCAGTGGTTTGATGTTCTTGGCCGCTACAACCACTGGCAATTGAAGACACTGGCTCAATCAGCGGAGTCTCCTGCTGTCCTTCCTCTGTGCACGACCCGTTTATTGGCACAGCCTTAGCTGCACCAGTTGTAGGTGCACCATTCACTTTCGTCTTTCTCTGCGCTTGTAGTTTTTCGCGAACCAACCCAATCCCAACGAGGAAGGCGTCCAGCGCCTTCGCAAAGTCTCGCGTTTTCACGAATTCCCGCCCGGTTTGCAAGGCGTTTGAAAAGGGTTTCGCGATTTTCCGGAAAACAAACTGCGCCTCCTGCAAGTCCGGATTGAGCCGGAGCGCTTCCTTCAATAATTGCAACGCTTTTTCCGTCTCTCCGTCGATGAGTAATATTGTGGATTGCACCGTCAAAGCCTCGGCGTTCGTCTTGTTCCCCCGCAAAACCCTCCTGGTCACTCCATTCGCGTGGTCGGATTTGCCATTCGCGATTTTCGCCCGCGCGAGCCACAACTGCAAATCCGGCGGCACCTGGGTCGCGCCGAAGCTGGTCGCGGCCAGGTCGTGCGCGCGCTGAAACAGGTGCTCGCATTTCTGAACTTGCAGGGTGGAAAGCGCGTCTTGCCCATCTTTCAACGCGGATGCCAGGAGGGAGAATTCGGAGACTTTTGCACGGATTTCCTTCAGACATTGGTCCTTTTCGGAAGCGGTGGCTAGAGAAGGAGTTGATGTGCTTGTGTGCGACTGCGATGTGCATGTGCTGAGGTTAGAAACATTATCTTGCTCGTTTTGTCCGATTCTTGCCATCAGAACCGCGATGGCTTCTTGCACACTGGATCCCGACAAAAACATCGCGGACGCCAGCCGCACGAAGGCTTTTGCGAAATAGCGGTCAGCCTTGCAGGCCTCCTGACAGTCCGCAACGGCGCTTTTGTGCACGCCGAGCGCCATCCAGCAGGCGCCGCGGTTGGCTTGCAGGCGGGCCTGCAATCTTTCAGTGGCAAGTTGGAGTGGAGAAGGGGGCAAGATGAACTGGGAAGAACCCCCGGCGCGCGAGGAAGAGGACGCTGCGCTAGCTGTTTTATTAGCATTACCCGTGTTCTTCGCTGGTCCTCCGGAAGCTGCCGAGCCTGGTCGAGATGAACTGCCCGAGCTTGTTATGTCTGGGAGTGTCGCTAAGGCCTTCGAATACAGCTGTATTGCGTCCTGATAGGCACCGGCTTTGAACCTGGCGTTCCCGAGCTCTTTCAGGCCCTCGGGCTCTTTCAGCAGAGCACTCGGGTCTGATGAGTCTGGAGATGAGATGGAGGGGGTTTGGGCTTGTGGAGGTACAGGTAGTGTGGGAGTGTTAGTGCTTCCATTACCATTTGTTCCCGGTGCAGAAACTTGCTTCGTCGAGCCGCCGGTACGAGTCGAAAATACTGCGGCGTCAGTATCGCCCACTCCTGGTGCCGTGGGGCATGTCACCTGCGCTGTTTCGTCCTCTTGTGTTGATATGGTGTCCATCTTATCACGACTAGTACCAGTCGTGACACCCGCCATCTTTGTCGGCGGTGTAGAACTAGCATTTTCCAGCCCGCCGCCTGCTCTCGGTGCGTTGTGCGCGTCCCGATTTGTTAAGTGCGCTTGCAGTTCCGAGTAGTCCCCCTGCCAGGGACAGCCGTTTTCCAAGGGACATCGACACCGGATGTTGCTCAGCAAGCGGCTCGCCAAGGGCTCCCTTTTCGGCAAGACAAAAAGGTCTCTGTTCATGGTCAGTGGCTCCTTGCACGCGGGACAGGGAATCGTTGGAACTGTCTGCGTAGTACCACTGCGGTCGGAGGGCGGGGAAAAAGAGAAAGCGTTCGCGGATGAACCTCCGCCACTTCCGAAGGCATTCCCTCCTGCGTGATCCATGAAAGCGTCGAGATAGTACCCATCATGATCGTTGCCGGGCGCATTACTTCTCGTGTCCGCGAGCGAGTGCACCCACTGGCGGAGACACGTGTTACAAAACACGTGCGAGCACTTGGTGTACGTCCCGGGGAGTTCGACCAGGTCCAGACAAATCTTGCACACAAACTCCCGGTAGTGCGATTCATCGGACAGGACCCACTGCAGACCGAAACCCATTTTTCGTACTGCTTTGTTCTGCGAGGCAAAGCGGGGTTCTTAGTAGAGAGTAGGCTCGTAATTGAAGTGGTTTTTATTAAAGTAAGTAGTATTTAGAACGCGTATTTTTTGCAGATGGGGATGAACAGCTAAAACTTGAACTTCTATTTTTGCGCGCTATCACTATCAAACTAACTCTATCGCTGAGAATCATCACGAACGAAAAACAAAACAAAAAAGTTTCCATCTTCGTGCGGAGCTTGCGGTTGAAATGAATTATTGTGTGGAATAAAAAATAGAACCGAAGTGTATCAATCCGAAAAAAGGGGGGGCGGGGCGTAGAATCCAATCTGTTTTGCTAAGTTTCGATGAGTGCCTGGGGAGAATTATCAAGAAGACAGAAACTTTACAACGTCGTCCTCGAGCTCGAAATCTGAATCCTAGAAAGACCGTACATCGATCGACTGTAACTACTTCATCATCGAGCATAGCATCAAACGAAGGCCCACGCAGCTTCATCGTTTTGTTTCTCTCGTTCTCGGTGTTAGCTGAGGGACTGCGCTTTGTGGATGATCTCAAAAGGAAATTACTTCGCGCCCGTTTGCTTTGTTATTGTAGAGCCGTCCCGAAAAAAAACCTCCTGAAAACAGGGTGTAGAACAAACGTATAGCACGAGTGCGGGCAACGGCAATGGATTCAAAAAAACAAAAAATATGATGAAGATCAAGAATCAACAAGAACAACGGAAGTCAGTATGCGACGCAAAGAGTTGTTCGTCCGGCAGGTTGCGACAGATTTGGGATTTCCTTCGTCCATAAAAAACACCCGACGTTCACTTGAAGGCCATACCAGACGTCCACGGTTAAAAAACTCGCTCGAAGAACAGGTTAGGACAAATTCGAAAAGGAGTTCAAATTGTAAATTGGTGCCGTACTGCTCCCAAGAGTTCTTGTTGAAAAAAGTCGTAAGCTCAGCTGACTGAAGATGTGCGGCCTACTACCGTCTGCGGCAGCAGAAACAGATGGAGTTGTTGTGCTTGTAATTATCATGGACCACAGGTACGTCCCACCGCTTGTTCCACCAATTATTTAGTGTACGTCCGCGAAGGGCTGCTGGGTGTTTGATGCTGCACTAGCAGCAGCTGCTAGTGAGCATACACCTGTTTTACTTCCGTGCTGAAGCTGATCGATACATGATTTCTTGTATCAGAAGCACGACATTAACGCACACAACCTCGACTGCAAGAACTTTTGCGAAGAAAGGAGAGCGTCGTAAAGAACATCATCTCGAAACACCTCACGCCATGGTGTTCCTCAGTTGCTTCATGCCCCTGCCCTTGCCGCCCCGTGCCATGCCGGCCATTTGGTTGGTGAAGCCCTTGCCGCTATTACAGTGAAAAATGCCCCCCACCCCTGAAATTGCAAAAATTTGTGATGCGAAGTTTCCAAATGAAAACCTTTTGTCATGCATGAAAGGAGTATGAATCTTTCTGATGCAGAGTCTAGGCGTGTGTCGCATCGCTTGCATGACAAGCGCCGCTCTTGCTGGGGTCTTTTGCAAGACAAATTCTTGCTCTTCACGATTGGAAACCTGTGATGCTGATAGATGCAAGAGGGCGAATGTTTCATTTGGAAAGGTTTGCAATACAAATGCTCCCAAGTTCGGGGGTGGGGGCATTTTTCATTGTAATAGCCGCCGCCCTTGCCCTTGCCGCCCTTCGGCTGCTCGGACTGCGGGTTCTTGATGGTTTCGTCGATGGAGAGGATGAGGTTGCAGGCCTCAGTCGCGGCGTAGATGGCGTTTTCCTTCACGGTGGTCGGCTATGGAAGCCTCAGAATGGAAATCCTCAAAGTGGAAATGATTTGTGATGCATGAAATGCGACACCAAAAAGTAAAAGACTGTATTGCAGAGAACGCAATGGAGGCCGACTATTGTGCTTCTACGGGTTCAGAATTGGGCTGCTGATTAGCACGAAAGACGGGCACCCCTTTGCCTAACTAGCATGACAGACACGTTTTGAGTGCCCGGGAAATTTGTCATGCGCCGACTAGAAATGGTGCTTCGACTGGAGTCGTTTTTTTGCATTACAAATTATTTCCACTTTCAGGATTTCCATTCTGAGGCTGTCATATCGGCTCCCAGATGAAGTTCGCCAGGGTGTCCTTCACGCCGTTCTCGATTATCAAATGCAAAAATGTCTGGGTCTGGAAACTTGTGATGCTGGGTGGCATCTCATGATGAGGCCACAAGTGCTGGCTCAGCATGACAAATTTCTGAGCTTGTAGGTGTTGCCTATTCTGCATGACAAACTGCGTCTCCGCATGACAGAAAAATGCGGCTCTTGGGCAACGTGCGTGACAGATTTAAGAGTCATGCCAGACAAGCATGACAAACATGCATTCTTCCAGACCCAGACATTTTTGCATTTCATATCGATGCAGTCCACGCCAAACCACCGGGACTCCGTGCTGGAAGCGCCCGTGTGCTTCTGTCGGAGCTTGTTCATCACGTCCGTGGCGTCACCGCCTGGGGATCAAATAAACATGGGAATGCATTTGATTTGTGTTGATTCGTTGCGGGGGATTAAAAGAATGCATTTGATTTGTGTTGATTCGTTGCGGCGCTGCAGGAAAGTCATGAAATTTTGCATCAGATTCAGAAATTCTATCTTTGTTTCAATACCTGCCCCTTTTTTGATGTTGCTTTTGCAACGAACTAGAACTAAGTGCGACAGAAACAGTGAATAAAAACCATCTCCAGAGCTTACCACTGTTCTGGACGAGTGTTCTGGGGATGACTTCCAGTGCTCTGGCGTAGTTCTCGATGACCCGTTGCTGCTTTCCCGGCACGGTCCTCGCGTACTCCCGAAGGTAGCGGGAAAGCTCCATCTCGATAGCACCGCCTCCGCCGACAATCTGTTCGTTGTGATAAGTGGAAGTTTTCTGGTGGCATGACAAAGACAAACTCTAGAAACAGCAAAGATAAGAACACGAACATCATGATCATACATAGTCATACCACATGTGCTCCGACTCCGTGCTCGCAAGTATAATCGGAAAGAAATATAGATTGAAATTTAAACCCTGAAGTAGTATTACCGCGGTGTTCTTTGTCGCGCTCTTCACGATCATAAATATGGAAGCGTCAGGTTTGAAATCGTCAAAGTTGAAATAATTTGTAATGCATAAAATGCATGACCCGAGGCACGTGTGTTGCAGAGCAGGCAAGTGAGGCCGATTGTAAGCCTGTTTGGGGTTACAGCTCGAGCTGCTAAAGTAGCATGAGAAAATCACTCTTCTTTGCCTAAGCAGCATGACAGACTGGATTTAGGGACCACCGAAATTTGTCATGCGCCACTTGAAAACTGGGCTCCAACTGGCATCCATTTTATGCATGGCAAATTATTTCAACTTTGTCGATTTCAACTCTGACACATTCATAATAAATGAGTCGTGGATAGATCGTTCGGCCTCGTCCACAAACTGCTGAGCGCCTCCACGGATAATCAATGTTGCGGCCTTTGTGTTCTCGCAGTCTTTGAAGAGGTTCCACCTGTGATGTTGTATCAAGATCAACATGCTCAAGCAATCAATAGAGCATGTTGTTGACAAATAAAGTTGTGCTATGAAGATGTTGTGCTATGAAGATGTCGTGCGAAGACGATTTGCGTGATGTGTAGCCGATTTTTTTAGCAGAAGACTTGGGAAAAAACCAAGACGATCATGCTGGAAAAGAATCATCAGCCTGTCAAACAAAACGATGTATCAAATCCTACCTCTCCGCTCCGATCTGCACCTCTTCAAACTTTCCACAGGATCCCAAGACGCTCGGGTCCAGCCCCGCGGTAACTGTCGTCTGGACAGCCGCCCCTGTGGCGCGTCTCGTCCTGTCCAAATCGGCGTGCTCGACCCGGCCGGCGCAGAAAATGTCGCGGTCGGCGAAGTACTGGGTGGCGAGGTCGCCGATAGCGAGCTTGGAGAGGACGACGTTGGCACCGGATTTAGCGATGTTGTCCAGTTTCTCGTAGATGATATCTGTCGTGGGGATATTGTAATGTTTTAGTGGTCGGAGAAGTAGAGGACGACGATAGCGATACAGGAAGACAATCGTCATCTTAGTCTTACATTATGCTTGCATCATAGCCATCGGATCTGGCTCTTCATCTTGTGCTGATCGATAAGAACTGTAGTACATCTACTGTTGAACGAACAAGAAGCTGCAGATGAATACTCCATTCCGCGTCGACAATGGCTTGGAACTTGCTGGGGTCGGCGATTCTGATTTCCGCGTTGTCCTTTTCGCTCTTCAGTTCCAGCTCCAAGTTCAAAAGTAAGATTTTTGGCTTCACAAAGCTCTTGGGCTGCTGCTCGAAGCCGGCGTAGGAGAAGGTTTTCTTGAAGGCAACGCCATTGATCAGCGTGGAATCCATCACACTGCCGCCCGTGACCTGATGTTGACATGAAAGTTTTTTCTCTGGAGGTGTCTTCTTGTTCTCTTTCTTATTTACAGGGTCTGCGCAAAAGGCAACATCTGGTGCAACAGAAATTCCTTAACCTTATACCTTTTTGATTCCGATTCCTCGGTAGTCCAAGTCGTCGCCTAGAATCTGGATCGCGCGAACGACCATTTCGGAAAAGAATTCCTTGTAGTCAGCCACCAATTTTGAGTTCAGGGTCGTCTCCGCTGTTGTGTATTAATTTAGCAAAGCAGGATGGAGATTCTGTTAACAGCAGAACGAGCGCCACAACGCTACTTACTACATGTCACGCCAGTGTAACAAAACCTTTGCACCAGATGGAGATTTGAAGCGACACGAAAAAAGAGAAATCCATTCAAAAAAGTATACCGCATTTCCGCAGCATGTTTGTCTTTTCTGCCGGGTCTTTTGTGGACAAATCGATGCTGATGTCCTTCAATTTCTGCAGCGCCAGCTCTGCCGCTTTGCGGTAGCCTTTTATGATGGTTTGAGCCACGACGCCGTCTTCTAAGAACGTCTTAGCTTCGCGGAGGAACTCGCCTAATTTTTGTTGTTGATTGAGATCCAGCCTTGCATATTGGCATGACAAAAAGACACGACCGCTTTATGCCAATGGCTATGCGTGGAGTCGCTAGCATTAGATACGAAAAACTGCAGTAGAAAAATCTACATCATGATCATGATCAAAAATTCCTACCGCACAGCACGACCACCGATGTGGTTCCATCTCCGACCTCCATGTCTTGTGACTTTGCGATGTCCACCAAAATTTTCGCTGCCGGGTGGACCACATTGAGTCGCTTCATCACGGTGGCCCCGTCGTTGGTGACCAAAGCCTCACCACCCTCGTCCACCATCAGCTTGTCCATGCCGCGGGGACCTAGTGTGGACTTCACGATGTCCACGACCGCACAGCACGCATTGATGTTGCTGATAATCTGCGGCTTGCCCTGGGAACTATCCGTCCCGTCCCGCAGGAGGATGATATTCGGACGGAGACCAAACTGCGCCATGGCTTCAACGATTTGGTAGGTGAGGATGAGGTGTCGTTATGTTGAGTAAACTACGTTGCTTCAAATGCTCCGCGGTGATAAGTACCTCCACTGTAGTTGCTTTGGGTTCGTTCCCTGGATAGATATCTACGAATTTTATAGCCGTTCCGTTTCACTAACTAGCACTAGGTAGTGACGATCGTTGTCTTGTTTGTCGTGTCGTCGCCGCAGGATTGAAATATGTTCGAAGTAGAACGAAGGACCTTTATTTACTTCTTGTCGTATGTAACTATGTCGCGAACAATACGAATACCCCGTGATACCTTATGACAACTGGTGAGGACAACTTCAACTATGCTTCTTGTTTTTATGATGTGGCGCTCTATCTAAAAAGGAGCTAGTTGGAGACTATGAAATTGAAAACTAGTATGCTGCCCGTAGCTATTTGCGTCCTGCTGTATTCGAAAAACGAAATGCAACATCTTAACTGGCCGTGCAAGGAGACTTCACGCAGAGTCAGAGAGAGCAACTTCTATTAAATCCAGTGCGCATAGGAGTACGAGATTCGTGCATGGGTAATGATGAGCAGGCATTTGCAATTTATAGATCGTCGGCGCAGAACTCTTCTGGCCGCTAATGCACAAAATTAGAAGTGGCGTGCCGCATGTCGTTTATCATCCTTTCAAGCGCGTACGCGGAGGATCTTTTCAGTGAATTTAAATTTTCAATTAGCACCGGCACTGAGGATTTTTTGAACAACAGGCGTGATCTCTATCACAATGTGAGTGCAAGATCACGGCGGATTCTTGTGGTGAAGCACGTAACTCAAACTCACCTGCTAGATGTGATGAAGGGAGCAAAGGCAATCATTCACATTTTGCGAAACAAACAAGTGTCGTAGTTGCAGCACGTTCTATCTTCACTAGCATCTTCTGCTTCGTCCATGACGCAGCTAGTACTTTCATTCTAGTACTTCAGTCCAATTGATGTGAAGTGCGGGAGCCCTTGCCACAGAGTGCTTCCTCAAGCCCTTCCCTCCATTGGGTCGTCGCGTTCGCTTTCCGCCGCGGTGGCTTTCCCGATCTGCAGCTCCTGAAAGTCCTCACAGTCCTGCAAAAAGGAAACCACTTTTGAAATATGTGCAAAAGAAAACGGAGTCGCCCCTTGCTCTTCTTGATCTTGTTCCCGGCCCTCAAGATGAGTTAGAGTTTGCGCCGCCATCTGTTTTTCTGGCCGTGATGAACTTCCATCACTCTGTGGAGCCATAATTGACGGTGTTCCATGATTCGACGCAGCGCTGCTCGTCTGGAGGTTCCGCTGCGCCACAATTTCTCGAAACTGTTCTAAAACAGCCGGAACCGGCAAGCTCCTGATACATTCTGCGCATTCCGCGAATTCGTAATTCGCCCGGAGTTGCAGAATCAACTGTCCGTGCGGCAACCAGTCGGCGAGCTGCGTTCCACCGTAATATGCGGGTTTTCGTGTTGAACTTCCTCCGCCACCTCCTTCGCCAGCGAGCCCAGCTGCGGCAACATCGTCTACCAGCCGCTGCAAAAGACACTCCGCCCGGGCGAAAGCTTCTTGTCCGGTCGAGGTCCTATCACCGTGATACAAGTACGCGAGAAAGAGCAAGGCGTAGAAGTCCGGCGACAGACTTTTTTCTAATTCTGTTTGTTGGGCCTCTACTGCTCGTGAATCACCCGCAGTCGTGGCAGCGACATGCAATAGCTGTTGCATCTCAGTTTGCTCGCAAAGGAAGGCGAGATTTCCGTATTTATTGGGCCCGCATTGCTGGAGGAGATGATGAACGAAGTCCGTCATTTTTTTGGCCCGGAGCTACTAGATCTTAATTTCTACTCGAATTTATTGTGAATCACGGGAAGAGCTCTGGGTCTCATTTTTCTGTTGGCGTTTACGGAGAATTAGGATACCATAGGGCTGTGGAAGCGCTGAGCTCCAGCGATGATCATGTAAGTACTTACTTAAATTTAGGCCGAGATACGTGTCTGTGGTGCTCTCATGAAGAGATCTGGTACGTTTATCCACCTATCAGCCTCTTGCAACAGACGTGCCGGGGAGCGGTATGCATGTCCGTTGCTTCGCATGATGGGTCCTTTCGCTTTCGCTTACTTAGTTCATCACTTTACTTGTTCTTCGCTATTGCGTATATTATTTAAGAATGGTGGTTCATCATCAATGTCATTGGGTCGTCATTCCATCTTTCAGGCGTTGTTAGCGGGACAAATTCGCAAACATCCGAACACCGACATGAAGATACGCGATGAAACTTCATGTAAACACTGCGACCACGGTGGCAGAGTTTTAGATAAGGGTGTTAGCCACCGGCTCTCGGTCACCGCCTTTTTATTTCGTTCCACGATGAAATTAACTCGATACGACTGCTGATGTTTGTTGGAGCGATTTTTGAAAATTGTAAATTGTGGTATGGTCGAGGTCGTGGTGGTCACTGAGTAATCACAACTTCATCTTCGTGCCGCTACTGCGACACCAGGCTTACCGGACACAGACTCAGGCAAGTCCTCTCATGAATCACAAAAATTCGACCACTCAGCATCAGGTCCCAGCACAGCATCACGTGTTGTATGCTGTCTGATAATATTTGTCGTCGTTCACAGTCTTGATACAGAAGGAGAATTAGAGAAATCAAAATGAATCGTACATGGCAACATCTTCATGATGATGCAGACATAAAATGAAACCTTAACCTTCTGAATAAGTACGCTCGTGATACGTTGTTTTACAGACATAGTAGAGTCGACGTGAACATGATGCAGAAGACACGGCACGCCACAATAGGCCAAAAGTAGTTGATAAATTTGAAAGATATGCTACTAGCAAAAAGAAAAACGAAAAACACTGAACAAAAATATTCGAGTGCTCTTCTCCACCAACATCAGGATTAGCATTTTCATGCCACTGACTCCCTGTTCATCATAGCCGCCGCAAAAACGAGTCTCCTCCTGTTCACCGCGCCGCCTTGCATTCCGCCTTCCATGTACTGCCATCGGCGTACTTGTTTGGCACGCCCCCGGACCCAATGCCCGTCACCTTGATGTCGCTGAAGCTGGTTTTGCGGTTTTCGCGAAAGCCGGCCGCTTCCGTGAAATCGCGGTCGTACTTGTTCGGTTCGCACGGCCCCCGGAAGGTGCCAAAGTGGGGTTTGCCGTCCGCGCCCATCTTGTTCGGGAACGGATTGGAGTTCAGCCAATCCATCTGGACCTCCCAGTCGTTCCAGAGGGACAGCACCAGCACCATGCCCAACTTCATCGCTTCGCCCATGCCCTTCATGTTCCCCTTCGCAATGAACCCGCCCTGTTCGTGTTCGTGTTTCTCGCCAACGGCATCGACGAACTTGTGGCAGAAAGAATCCGTGAGCGATTTGTGGTGGCAGCCCGAGTCGTCCTGCCAGACCATGTTGTCGATGAAAGTGCCGGAGTTCGGCGGCTGTTCGTAGTACCGCCGGATTTCCACCAGGTCGCCGTTGGGCGTGTTGTCGCTGGTGATGAACTGAGTGTGGACGGTGAGTGGCTGGGTGGTGTCCACTTTCTTTCCGGGTCCGTAGTAGCTCGGTTCCGCTGGGGCGGTCGGGTTTTCCAGCCGGTTCGTTTGGAAATCGCACCCGTCCTTGTCACACTCCCCGTTGTAACGCATCGGCGGGTCGGCCGCGTTGTCGCCACAGGTTCGCTCGTCGTAGCACAGCGTGTGCTATCGAATGCAAAAGTGTCTGGATCTGGAAGGTTGCAACAAACTTGTGATGCTGTCTTTGGAACCCCTGGAACCCTGAGGTGATGTCACTAAGGGAAAATGGAACAATCCTCAGTCCGAACGCGTCGAAAAAGAGGGGGCCATAATCCCCTGGGGTTGAGCACGGGGTGGCCCCATGTGGCTGTGATGCAAGATCACCGCCGGGTAGAGGAGCGGGAGTATCACCTGGAGGAACTCCACAGAACCTCAACCAACCACTGCCCCGCGATCACAAATGCAGACCCACCATCGAGAACCGAGGGGGAAGCAACCCCGAACACCCTTCCCTGCACCCGAATACCGAAGGGGAAGAAGATGCCCAACAGTTTAGACGGGAGCAGAGGCATAGTCCCGGGGGGCAAAAAGAACCTCCCCATGTGTGAAAGCCTATAGTTTCAGCTCTTAGAAACTGGCGGCGATCACAAGGCGCTCGACTGTGCCCAGTGGCAAGCACGAAGAGCTTGGGACGTGAGAGACACCGCAGCGAACGACAACCCGACCAGGTGACCCAACACTCCCGCGCCTGGGAGCCCGGGGACCAGACAGTGGTGGCGGCAAAACGGAGCGACAAGTCGCTGGCTGCAACCAAGCCATCACCAGTCAGACAGAACAGCACGAGACCAGGGGGGACATAGTATATAACCGACTGCAAGCAGCCAGGAGGACGGCTGGACGCAAGCGCACCGTCCAAACTGACGAGTGCCCGGCGAACTCCGACCCGCATATACGACCCAACGCAACCCTGGCACGAAGAAGTTCCGCCAGACGCGAGCAGAGCTCAGGCAACAGCGAGGAAGCCCATCTACCCATCCTGACTCCTGCCGGTGGCGAAGACGCCCCAAAGTCCGAGCGTCCTGCAACGGGAGTTTCAGACAGAGGTTTGTCGACGACAGCACTGGGTTGAAGACGAGCGGGCTCTGAGAGGGAGACCTCAAGGAAAACCCGAACCTGGCAGAACAGCAGCGAGAAGGGTTGGCATCCAAAACTACCGTGAGCACAGGAGAGAACCGCAGCGACAGCCGGAGATTGTAAGCGGGGACACGCACTGCAGCTGACATCGAGCACCCGCACACCCATGCGATACGGCCAGGCCGGGGTGAAGATCCCCATGTCGCACACGATGTTCCCGGAAAAGGAGAGGTAGCCGCCAGTATCCAGACACCACCAGGGCCGCGTTGTCGCCACAGGTTCGCTCGTCGTAGCACAGCGTGTGCTTGTGGTTCGTGCAGGCCCACGGGCACTCACAGCACGCCCAACAGGCGCAGCCGGGCATCTTTTTCGCGGCCCCGGGCCCTACGTACTCGCGACCCAAAAAAGGCCGCAAGCCGGCTCGTGCGGGCTTGGTACGCAGGCCCCTCGAGACCTCTTGGAACTCTTCGAACGCGCCTCGATCTCTCACCCACCGCCCCAACCACTCACCGCTGGCACCGCTTCCGCGGTGATGGTGGACGCACTGGCAGAAGACCTTGAAAGCTTCCCGCCTGGTACTCGTTTGAACGCTTCGGAGAGATAGACAAGAACACCTACTGCAACGCCCTGGCATTGATGTTTTGGCATGAAGCAGAGTCGGAGCTTCTGCGCCAAATGTTCCCGCTCTCGAACACTGCTGCTCTTATCCTCCACG